AACTGGGAAAATAAACTCCACCATTGTTGCTCGCAAAGTAAGCGAGGCGCCTCACCCGCGGAGGCCAAACCCTTTATTCTGGACAGCCTCCCTTGGACACTGGAGCTTTGGCTTTGATCCAGCAGTGCGTGAACGCGAAGTTCAGTAATGATGCAAACCTAAACGTACACCAAACTCGAGTAACAGGGCCACTACTGCATCCGTCACTCGTTGCTCCTGGAGTAGCGCTGTCAAACACTGATCCTACAGTTGGAGGCCACTGTTTGAGCCTCCCGTACTGTGTATGCCGTGGGCGCAAAGGACTGTTTCGGAGCCCGGTGCGTGAGTCTCGTGTGTCGGCTGTTTTACATACTCTGCTACCTCGTGGCGAGTCTCTGAAGTCTAGACTTTGATATGATGCGGATTGTCGATGAGCCTTTTCAACCTTGAAGTTACCCACTCGTATTTCTTACCTCAATGCGAAAGGCAAGTTCAGCACCGGTTTTCTAGCAGCGTAATCCATTGTGCTCAAGAGTTCTTCCAAGGATAATGGGCCTTATGGACGCCGACGACGCCAACTCGGCCCTTCTTGCCATATCATGCAAAGTTCATCAGCACCGACTGCCACACGTGGTGCCAAAGCTTAGCGTTCAGGTTTGAAAACTGGTATCCTATTGAAACTTCAGCCATCGTCCCGATATCCCGCCTGACGTATCGACACGTCCGATCGACAGCCCCAGGCGCCCTTGGAGCATGCCGTCGCTACATCGACTGGCCAGCAGGCTTCAGTTAAGATGCTACCCGTCCGCCGTCATGGAACCATCCCGTCTGAAGCTTTGAGCATCGTCAATTGAGGGACCCTCAGATCCGCTATCGACCTCGGCTATCTTCATTTCAAACGCACGATGTCGATTTGCAGCGGCTCTTGTTTCTCCTGGCTAATCATTGCCGACTTGGTCGCGACTCGACGTTGGAGCTGATCGTCCTGCTTCCCACGGTACAAATTATGGATATTTTCTCTATTGCATGTTGCGGTATGTCCGCGTAGGGAACATGGTCGTGCCTCGAATATGCGAGCACCTGTTTCCTGGGCACGGATGTACAATCAGTGCTGAGACCTCGACACGAGCGTTGTTATAGCGATAATTACTCGCACCTTCGGTGCTATGGTGTGTGGGTGCCACTTGGTTCGCATACCGGTAGGTCGTCTCCCCGGTTCGCGAAGAATAAAGAGATGCTGTTTGACAACCCACCTGTCATGAATTTCGTTTGCCTAGACTATGCAACTGATGCTGCCTGTCGCACTTTGTAATTGCTGCGAATATGCACTCTCGCTCCAGTCAACAATGCGGGAGCCGGTGCTGAAGCATGATTTAGGCATCATGGATCACGGGGATTCTCTACAGAAGGATGAAGTTGGCTGTCTTATGAGACGAGTGTGACCTCCAGTGACCACTTCTTCATGATGATGCTGGCTCTCTGCTGGCAAACCAGCGTATCTAGGCATGTTGTCAACATAGATCGCATACCTGCGTCAAGTCAGTACAGTCTCCTTAGTCCTATTATGATCAGCAAGCACCGAACTTCTCACATTCACATGGAAAGCACCCGGAATTGCTGAAGGTTATTACTGGGTGGGACTGCTCGTTTACCAAAGGCACTGGATTGGGTAACCGCCCTCCGATCTATCCGTCGCATAACCCATCGCCTGCATCGCGAAAAATGCTCTGGAGCTTGCAAGAGTGGCTTCGGGCTCCACCCCGTATGGTAGGGGCCATCAGCACTCTCCCTCGGTGAAATTAATGCAGCAAGAGGTGGGTGTGAAAGCCATTCAGTGAACAGTATTGCACTCGTTAGGGCGCCCGCTCCAACGGGAAAGCGCCCCTAACACGTGGCAAACGATCCAAACCGTCCATACCGCGATGCGGTCGGGTTGCTCGAGGTAGATCCCCACCAATCACTAGTTTCTTCTGTCTTCGCTTTTTCAGTTGCTCCTTCGGCTATGAGAAAAGGTACGTAACTATGTAGTGTTGGCTTTTCTTGTCAACGTAATCTGAGCGCCGCCACAAGATGTACCGGTGGAGAAGTTTCACTGTAACTTCAGCTTGGGCTGACCTGTCCAGCCTGTCAAAGAGTGTCAAGACGGATAGGCCGCTGTGGCGTGAGTGGATGTCAAGTTGCTGGATCTAGATGATACTGCTTCCCCGGTCAGCGATCAGAGATCAACGATCATGATCTGGTGCATGTCTTAGCGCTCAGCCACATTCTTAGTCTCCCCTGAAGGCCGCAAGGTCCTCGTCCTCGGCCTCAACGCTTCGGTGGTTCTGACATGCAAGCGATGTCACACAAACTCGTTCATTGCTGAAGCTCTCTACACATATGGAAAAGCCAGCAGACTTGAGTTACGAACCCTGCGAACCTCAGCCGGCCAATGGTTCCGCACAGTCGACTTGCAGTTTCCTAGCAGATCCTTTACTTTCAGCTCTCCACCCCTCGCCGTCACTATTGGGTCGCTGACACCCTGGCGGTGCTTGTCACAGACAGGCCACCGCAATGCTTTTACACTCGCGTCACCAGGAGCTTTGGATTACGAGGTACAATCACGACATACTTGGATGGTCTGGACCTCGTCCCGGCACCGGTCGGGCACCAGCTGCGCTTGTACTCGCATTCGCCTCACAGATGGATAACCCGGAAAATGCCGTTGTCTGGTTCCCGACTTTTCTGGATGGCAAATTTCTTGATCCCCCGTCCAGGTTAGTCGGCAAAGTACGGAGTACTCCGTACGACAGATCGTAATACCCAACACCCTATCGGGCATGTCACTTTCTGTACCACGGGGCAGGTAGCAAGCAAAGAGATCTGGACTGGCTTGCTCAACAACAAGATTGCATTCGTCCATCAATCGCGGGAGCCTTACCGTGTAGCTCCTACACAGTGTGTGACCTCGAGTATCCTGACCCCGTTGCCTTTTTAGGATGGAGAAATCGAATTGGTCTGATTTGACGCGAGGGTATCTGATCTCGCCCCCACGTAAGACGACTAACTAACCCAAGAGATCCTTTGCAGCCGGACCCGATTTCCTCGACTTCGACTTCGACTTCGCACACATGTTACCATTATTGTTGCCGACCTATCATTCAATATTGGATTGGGCCTCCAGCCCTTTCGGCAGGTCGAAATCGCCTCTCCATCTCCACTACTGTGTTCACGGACATAGGAGGACATGTCATTGTCAATTGATGTTTTCATCATGCGTGAAATACGCCGGGACTTGATGTACCGTCGTGATGAACAAGTAACCCAGGATAACATGCTACAGTAGTATGTAAAGGTAGGGATGACTACTAACTCAATGGGGCCGGTTTCCGACACAAGGATCTTGGGGGTTGGCTCTAACTTTAACATGTCCGTGTCCCAGGCACTCAGTGGTTTCGAATGTTACACAGTAAGGTATGGGTTACCTTCAGCCCAACCGCACATTGACAAACAAACCGATTTCTGTACCTTTTGGGAACCCCGAGTTTGCTGACGGACAAACAATAGCACAAGCAATGCTTGCAGGTGGCAGAGTCCACAATCTATCTCCCGTGTGAGGGTAACCACCCATGTTCTGTGATGGCGTGCCTCCTTCGCACGCTCTCACACAGAGGCGCATTTGAAAATAGCTGAGATGCACAGCATGCCGGGCTCCCGCTCGATCATGGTAGAGGTCAGTCTTCTTCGGGAGAGACCCTCTGTCTCTCGATCCCCTTTCTCATTTCCACTGCATCACAATTGCACAGAACAATGGACGTTTGTGATTCCCCACGGGTTTCAAATAGGTCGTTAGCCTTATGCTGCTCAGACGGGCATCTGCATCTCCTCTAGTGCCGTCCCCGGGATTCTTCGACGTGCATATGACAGCGGGAACATACACGATTCGGTCAAACACCTTGGAGCTGGGCGAGAGCGCTCACCGCTCTGACGGGCATGGGCTTGAGATGGAGGCTATGCAATCGATACTGGTGAGTCCGCGTTTGATAAATCGCTGGGGCACATGAGATCTGCGAATTCGGGCCACTTGGAGATCTGTGTTCGAGGCTGCTGCAGATCTCTACTGTTAGAGGAAGCCATTTCTTGGGCAGCAGCCTTGGTAAACCAACTGCTTCTTCCGTCAATATCACACCGCTGCGGATGTTGTACAACCTCGCGACTCTATGGACGAAATGAGAGAAGTCGAAGGCCGGTGGCCGACTTCAACCCTACCGGGCCCGTCCATGGCTCTTTCAGGTAGGTACCACATTTGGGTTCTGTGGCTTTGATAGTTGATATCTGAATACTATTTGACCCACTGACGAACGACTGATGTTTGAAGTAATATCTTGTAAGGGGGGAGACATGCACAAGGTTACAGCAGATCAGAAATCCTCGAATCCCTCGGCCAACCTAGTTTCCCAGACAGCAAAGCGAGTGGCGATATTCTCTTCAAGGCTTTCATGTCTGCCGTCCCAAATTGATCTATGTTTCTGGCAAGAAAGGAAACAGAGCGTGAAATGTGGCAAGCAGGATGCTCTTCGGATGGAATGAGGGTCACAGCTCTCATGGGACACAAGAACGAGCCAACCCAATCAATATCCGTGTCAATGTTATCTGGGGTCCGAGAAGTGCCGGACTAGGAGTATAGGGAGAGGTGTGAATTGGTGCTGCTTTCCTGAAGCCCCCCTTACCGTGATGTGACCGCCAACTCATTGCCTTGGATACCAGCAGTAAGAGAGGCACCCGCAGTGAATCCAGATATTGTGTGGTTCGCGGCAGCATTTCTTGGGGTTCTGGCAGCCAGACAGGCTGGCTCTTCATCCCTCATCGCGCGCGGCTTCTGCGCGGCTTAGAAAATCGCAAAGCAGCCGCCATATCTCTGCAAGGATGTAAAATGTAACATACGCCTCCAACGCCTGCGCTCGAATTCACACGTCCACGTTGAATATCAAAAATACAGTCAAACCATCAAAGAGGTCATGTCGCATTTCACAAACACACTGCTATTTCTTCGGTGGTGGCGGTTCTGGCTTATGTCCTGTTTTTAACTCTTCCCAGAAAAGTTTGAAGAAGTTCTTTGCACCGCCATCGGCGGCTTCTTGGGGATCGATATGCGTGCCGCCGTAGTATTCGGGGGGCTTGCCATGTTGTAATTCATGGACTTTCTTGTGGACTCGCTGGACGCCGCGATGGAAGGCTGGGCTGCGGAGGAGCTGGAGAGGGAGCGGTCTGTTAGGCTGTCTGATCATGTCGAAAAGGAAGCAATGGTATCGTGGCTGGGAGCATACCGTATCTACGAGGCGCTTCTGCTCGTGGTGTTAGTCGCGGACTGGAGCATCATTAGAGGAAGTGAGTCGAGAGGGAGGCAAACCTCTAATAACCACCACCAACTCATGCTGCAGACTACGTCGGTGGATTGATGTCGAATGGAAGTCCCAGATCAGATGGAAGGATGATACGTGCGCCTGTAACCAACCCTGCTGGAACCTGATGGGTAGATTGATGTACTCAGTCAGAGAATCGAAGCTGTATGGTGATGGCTGTGATGTTCGAACGGTTGCCGAGAAATCTATTAGAGTTGTAATTTGAAATTCTGTTACAACCCGTACCGCCTCTACAACGACATCAAGAGCGGAAAAGGTCCTGTGTCTTACCACGGTTTACCGGATCAGGTTGCCTCAACCTGGCGCACTGCAGAATGAGGTCAGCGGTTCCTCTCCAGAAAGCCATTCAGCTCCTTCAGTTTCCCTGAATATCTTCTTGATTGGAAGCATGCATCGTCGCTAAAGCGGGATACACTTCTGGATATCCAAAGACGTCTTCACTATCGAGGACAAGGCTCCTTATATCCACTGCCACAAAGACGTCTTTCATGCAACCAGCCTCGGGACGTTTCAATCACTCCGGCGCTTCGTGAAACCGGCACCAGTCGATCGATATCTAGAGGGCCCCTGGTCTACGCTTCAGGATTGTATAGTGCTCGGACGCTGCATATTTGCATTTCGAAGACCGGTCCAGCTTTCGCGGAAGGGGCTCAAGGCTTCATTGCTCAGCAGCGAGCCTGGAAAGTCACGTCAGGCGCGTCCATCACCAACTTCTCTCGCCTCAGACCTCTGCCTCACCCTCGTCTTCACCTTAACCCTCATAACCAGATTAGACGATCCTGCTTCACCCCATATTGCTTGGCCTCACTCTCTTTTCGGAGCAGTCAAAACATCGTCAACACTTCCAGAGACTATCAGGACAGAGTCACAACGACAGTCTCAAGGCTGTTTTCTGACAAAGCCGGCGCCGCTCCTCAGGATTCAAACCCTCGGGAGTCTTCCAACACGACGGCGTCTAAGAGGCCGTCCATTCTCCAGAGACTACATATTCACACATCGGGCAAGAGGACCAAGCCCACTCCAAACCTCACCATCAGACCTACCACTTCTTCATCTTTACCGCCTCCATCTACGACTGTGAGTCGGGCTGGCTCATCCCATTCCGATGCCGCGACCATTGCCGAAATCACAGACATCATGCCGCAGTCGCTTACACTTACTCCCCAACAAGCTGCTGTCAAGAGGCAACGATCCCAAGAGTTGCCGCTCAGCCCTTCCAGGCCGACATCCTCTGGACAGGCACAATCCAACGGCCCGCTTGGCGGGCCAGATGACTCAGCAGGGCGCGTTAACGTGAGGATCGCCCCATATCTCAACAAGACCAAAGCAAGTAAGTTCTCACTTGAGGCAATCTAATTTTCAGGCGTCTAGCAACGTCGAATGCCTAACCATCGGTGCAGAAATCTCGTTGGCTTTCCAAGAACTCGAGTGGAAGCAGCGATTCCGACTTCAGCATGGGTTCCAAAACCCTCACACCTCTCCTTTTCGGGTAGATCGATCCAAGACTGTCTTTGACCGCAACAGATATGGAAACGTTCAACCCTGGGATGCGTCAAGGGTGAGACTGAAGAAACCCATAGGGGGTTCTGACTACGTGAATGCGTCTCCAATCGTGCTGAAGAGCCGCACGGCTAAGAACGCACCGAGCGGCACAGCAACCTCCATTCCTGCGCGCCAGTCCTCATCGGCCTTGGTCGCTCAAAACGAATACAGATACATTGCCACCCAAGGCCCGAAAGAAGGACAATTCTCTCACTTTTGGCGTATGGTCATGCAAGAAACCCCGGGCGACGTGGGTGTTGTCATCATGCTTACGCAGCATGTGGAGGGAAACAAGGAGAAATGCGCCCAGTACTACCCGGTTAGCGTGGAGAACCCAACCATAATGTTGCCCGCTCATGAAGGTGGTGACGAGGATGGGGAGCCTGGGCCTGTGGATGATGGTGACCCTTTCTTGGACTCTCCTACAGGTAGCGCCGATGCTGATAGTCATTGTGCAGATTCTGAAGCGTCACAAACGTCGGATGCCGCAGACGAGGACGACAAGTCTCAAGAACACGATCCACCTGGTTCAGTCACCCTTTTATCTTCCCACCGCGACGCCAATATCGGTTGCGATGTACGGAAGCTACGGTTGACCATTGACAATGAGTCCAAGATCATCTATCATTACTACTTCGGTGGCTGGCCCGACTTTGCTAAACCCGAAGGTGAGGATCGGACGGCCCTCATTGAACTCACAAAGGTATCGAAAGCTGTGGCCGGCGATGCTCCTCGGATTGTGCATTGCTCCGCTGGAGTGGGTCGAACAGGCACTTGGATAGCCTTGGACTTCCTCCTGCAAGAGCTCGAAGCAGGCCGACTAGTTGACTGTGACCCGTCACAATCAGTCACATCCACCCCACCGAACGCAGCGCAAACAAGCACCACCACCAACGGTACGCGGGGCACAATCGGAGCTCCCAAAGCCCGTACTCCCGAACCCAAGGACGAAGAAGACGTCATATGGGAGACGGTCAACACGTTACGAGAACAACGCATGATGATGGTCATGAACGAGGTGCAGTACCAGTTCATCTACGAAGTCGTGAAGGAAGCGTTCATTGAGAAATACGCTGAGAAGGAGACGGGACCGGTGGTCGTTGAGGTTCAGGAGCCCAGTCCAAAGGTGGCAAGGAAGAAGTCTCCTTCGGTCTTTGGTGGTATGTATCAGGGTACCAAGGTAGGGTCCGTGAGGGGGAACGCCGACACGGTGTCCGAGAAAGCAGAATCCGAAGCGGAAACCGAGCTCATGGACGGAGAGGAGACCCGGGAGGACGCGGATATGGACAGCAGCACCAGTGAGGAGGAAGGAGAAGCCACGAAAAGCCAAGACGTGGCAGCATCGGTAGGACAGGATCCTTACGCCGCTGTAGCGCCAGAGACGATCCGGGAAGGACAGCAAAAGGTCGAGCAGAACGAGATACGTGATCATGAATTGAAACAATAGGCATGGGTGGCGCGTGCGAAAGCTCCATAGCGGACAAGGCAAGTTTGTGCGGATTTGGACACTGCCATGAATGACAGCAGCAAGCGTGGCGAGGAGACCTCCTCAGGGTCGATACTCTCTGAGCATGGTTCCATTTCCTTGCATGTCTGCAGAGGGAAAGACATGGCAGCGACAAGTCCGGCGTTAAGAGCTTGAGCTTTGAAGTCATACAAGCATAGAATCCCTCCACCAGGTGTGCATCGAGACTTTGTATGGGGAAAGGAGTTCTCCGGCGCAGGTACTCCCTCCGTAGACGTGGCAAACTGTCATCGTCGTGACGGACGATCCAGCTCGAGTTGCTCCTCATCCCAGCTCGGGTAATCTCGATGGCATTCATTCTCCTCCGAGCTAAGTTTGCGCAAACGGTTGGGGGAACATAGCATATCATTGCCATGAATGACAAGACCTCACAATACACGGTACGGAGCAAGTCTCCCGAACAGGGAGCCTGCTACGTTGAGGCCAATAGCTGTAAATACTTTTGGAGCTGCCTGTCGAAAGACGATGGCAAGCAAGTTGCAAGTGTTATGCATATGTGCTGTGTACCTAAGGCTGAGTACTGAATGGGCCTGGAACAAAGCTCTGTGGTGACAGACATTCCCTGGTGCACGTGATGTCCCACGTGACTGATGTCTCACACGTGACCAAAGCCAACACGTCTTTGTAAAGGACGCGCCGCGATGCTGCGTGCTTCATGCTACGTCACTTTTGAGCGACTCCTTCTGCTCCTTTTCCAGCCTGCGACGTTGCCTGCTTCACCATTCACACATCACAAGCTTGGTCGACTCAACTTGAAAAGGCAATTACGGCACAGGGTCGTGCGCTGAAGCAGCGCATTGTCATCGCAGTTTCCTCATGGGACTTGTCCGTCATCGCTATATTTTTCTAGCATGCCTTGTAGCTATGAGCAATGCAAATCACAAACCGCAGCCGGGTCTCATGTCGAGTCACTGACAACGTCGAGCATCTGGACTTGACTTGCATTGAAGCATAGTCCATGGTGTTGCCCACTAAAGTCAATCTTCTATGCAGGCCGTTAAGACGAGTCCCTCGTCGCCAAAGCCTCAGCAGCATTTTCCTAGGGATCCAATTCTTGAATCGTAACCACATGCGGACAACTAAGTACGAACAGCATCATCAGAGATTGTGCTTACGACGGCCTGCACGGAACGTGGTAGATTGAATAATCTCAGTTCAAAGCAAGGTGCGTTTGAAGCTTGTGTCGCAGCCGCCGCAAAGTCTTGGGGCGACCCCTGAAACACCATCTCCGACACGCACTGCCTCACGTTCCCACCACCCAAACCGGAGGCCCTCGATCCGCTTCAACGGCTCTCCGTCAGTTATAACAAGCATCCTCCTTGGCAGTTTATTCTCTTTCCCATTCATTCAAACACTCCTTTCGTGCTCGCCGTCGTCGTCGTTCTGTTTTCCATTTTCTCGCTCTTTACCGCTGGTCGGCTTTTGACATTGTCCGTTCCTTCTCTTCGACCACTACATTCTTTACTTATTGATTCTCAAGAGATCCAAAATGCTCGTCAAATCCACTGCTGTCGCCTTGATGGTGGCTGTTGGCTCGGCGAACGCGGCTGTCATCTACGGCAAGGAATCAGTGATCAGGGAGGACCCGGACTTCGGCCTCTGCCTTCCAACCATGAAGTTTGAAGGTGGACTCGGCGGGCGACCGTCCATGGACTTTACTTTCTTGCCCTCGGACCCATTGTGTGCTCGTGGCCAGCAAGAAGCTTCCAATCCAAGTACGCATCATCCATTTATCCCCACAAATAGAAATGCTAATATTGGCTCCAGACATCATCACCAACCGTATCTGCGACCAGTTGTCAACAGTCTGTGGCGCGAACAGAGAAGCAGTGGTTCTCTGCCGCGAAGCCCAGGCCAAGATCCGATCCCTGGGAACCAAGGACAAATCCACCGCCGATACGTGGAACACGCTCATGGGCTTCGGCTACGCTTTGACCAATCCCGATGGTGGTGCCGCTGTCCCCGGCGCCGTCAAGGACGACTTGAAGAAGCGAGCTCCCAAACCTATCATCTTCTGCTCCGCCACGGAATGGATTGACGAGTGCACTGGGTGGCCCGCCCCAGAGCCTGTTGTCAAGCGGGAAGTGGTCGCCGCTCCTGTGAAGAAGAGGGATGTTGGCACCGCTCCGGTCGAGAAGCGGGACGCCGAGGTCAAGAGGTCGGAGAAGAAGGCCAAAAGGGCGGATATCCCATTCATCCCCTGTTCCGCCACCGAGTGGATTGACACATGCACCGGTTGGCAATAGAGCGTGATCTTTTACTTGGTTGGGTCCTGATATGGTCGAAGACACGACGGGTGTTTTGGGTCGTTTCCGAGCGAAGGGCTCTCGTTTTCATTACTAGGTACAAGAAGATTCTCTGTTCTGTTCGACATAGGCCGGAACAGCCCAGTCTCTTCAGTCGCTCCAAAGGACTAGAGAATGGAATCAGAACGACTGACTTTGGAAGCCATAACATGATGCTCAGATGCAGATGCAAATATATGTCGTCCACAATTCTCCCCTGCTCGGAACGAGATCCTTTGCAATTGCGGAGAGCCCCTGCTCATCTGCTTCTGGTTGCTCGTTGCGTATAGACACCCCTGCCACTCATATGTACGAGGTATGTACGATCCCCGCGCTTGCAGACGTCTTGTCTGTCTACATACTCTATCAGAACGTGTCGAGGATCCATGTCAACAATCACTGCCAGTTACTGTTCTGTACCGGCTCAGCAGCTGTACTCTGAGCTGTACTCGTGCCGACTCACTCTCCACCTCTCAGTCCATCAGCATGGTCGACCTTCATTCCCTCCCCCAGGGATCCCGCCCCGAGCAAGCAATCCGCAACAACGGCCCCAACGACCTTGCCCTCGAGCGATACAAGCTCCGCGAATTGGCCGAGGGCTGGCCTCTCTACAGGTGAGTACCTGTTGTCGTTGGCGGACACCCTCGGCTGGCTTCGTCGACAGACAGACCGAGTGGCTGACCGAGTGGCTGACCAAACTACTGTACCAGAGACGCCTGCGAATGGGAGAATCTAAAGTCCATCTTCCATCCCGACGCGTACATTTACACGACGTGGTGCGTTAAAGCGACAGCAGCAGCGGCACTCGCTTCCGTATCCCGGTATCAATGTTGACCACCCACACGTTTGACAGGACCGGCCGAACGCATCATCTCGATTTCATCGCCGCCTCGCAGCGCGGGTAGGCAGAGCTTGTTGCGTGGTCTTGTCCTTTTTCTTTTCCCTTGTCCTCGGGCCCTTGGGCCCCTGGATGACCTTTGTACGCTGCAGAGCGCCTTGCCTTGCCTTGCCGTGCCTTGCCGTGGCGAGTCATTTCCTGCTTGCTGCTTCCCAAAATACTTTCCATCCATCTCCTTCTTAACACCACCCTTAGCGTGTCTTGTTGTGTCTCGACTCGTCGCGTTGCTTGCTGTTGCTACTTGACAAATGCTTTCCCTTCGGTATCCTCTTCTAACGCGACACGACACGCAGAATGGACGCCGGCGCCTTCATCATGCACCGCTGCCACGGCATCAGCACGGACATTGACAGCCACGCGACCCGCGCCGTCACCAAGATGAAAGCCACCATCACCCAACGGTTCGTGATCCAGGGCTGCGAGGTCGACGCCGAGAGTGATTGTCGGTTTTGTTTCTTTTGGATCAGGATGCCCGAGACCGGAGAGTGGAGGGCCCGGTATGTGAGGCATTGGTATGAGAAGGTGCGTAGCTACACCCACGCGCTTGTCGTGTGGGGGCTTCTCTCTTCCCGCCCTCTCTCTCGTTGTGTGTTCCTCACTTTGCGTACCTACCTACTCGGGGTATACGTCCATGGTTATGGTTATGTTCAACGTTGCATGTTTCATTTCTCCTGCTCTGTCATGCTCATCTTCTTGGCCCGTCTGTGCGATCGCGCGCGAACCACTCGAGTCCCCAGCTAACAAGTGGCGGTCTGCATCAGGACAAACTCATCGCAGTGAACCCCGCCAAAGTCCCCATTCTCGACGAGCACCGACTGAGACAGTTTCCCGGCGGGTATCGCTATCTGGCGTACTGTCAGGAAGAAACCATGGGTGTCAAAGTGCTCAGGGACATGCCGGGCCATAGGCGGGAGAATGGTGTCGAAGGTGGCTCCAAGGCGTGTGGCGAGAAGCATGATTTGCTGTATTGGCAGTGTAAGAGCTGGGTGGAGGGTGGGGAGGTTGAGATTTGAGACATGATCCTGCGGAGCGTAGCGTAGCGGAGCAGTTATATAGGGGTGGTATGTGTGAGTTGTCTTGCCATGTGATGGACGGGCTACGGTGGGGTGGGACGATAGATCGAAGGCGAGGTGGCGGAAAGGAAAGGCCGTTTTCGCCAGGTACACTCATACGCAGGCGGTGAGCTGGTAGACACCGATATATGGGACACAATTCATCTGGGGCTATCTGGGACGCAGTTCATCTGATGCAATGTGGAGGTGCGGGTGCGCCATCTTGCTCTTCTGCACTGTCAAATCTGGCAAGGCATCTGGCCCAGGGATCGAGGCATTGCAATAACCCGGTTGGTTGGGACTGGCGACGACCTTTCTACCTGAACGGGAGGTATGCTTCCACTTTCCAAACAAATGTCTGATGTGGGAATCGGAGTGAAGTGACAACAACCTTGGGAGCCTCAGTGCTCAAACTGCAAAGGTAATGGATAAAGGACTTGTAGAAACATTTGGGCCTGGAGGGAGCACGTCCCACTTGGAGGCGAGTTAATTCCCAGACGAGGGAGTGCGATTGGAGGGGATGTCCTCTTTTATCTTCTGTCTTTCCAAGTGCTGTTCATCCGGCGCAGAAACCGAACCCTAGATACCTATCCTGTCATCGAGAGGTCCGGCCAGCGCTATCCAAAGAGGACTCCGAACGCCGAGATGGCATTGCCCTGCCCTGCACGGCTCATTAATTCACCCGGCTGTCGTACCCGGTACGCCCACCCTTATAATCCCAATTCATGCTGATCAGTCTGTATGCAAGTCGTTAGTGTGAGCTCTGCGGCATCAAATCCTCCATACCCGCACCGTCTCCGATATTGAGACCAGACGTCCCGCCACCAGCCTCGATGACCATCCTGACATCCTCTAGCCGGCGCTGAAACCGCTCAATCATCTCCTCCATGGTCTCCCTCTCCTTCTCTTTCTCCCCGTCGGCTTCCTTGCCCTTTTGCACAATGTTCCCGGGTGTATTCCCCCTCCCCTCGATCCGAAGCATCAACCCTTCGTCTTCCGCGGACGGATTGTCACCAATGGTAGGTGCAGTGGATATGCTCGTCCGGAGGACCTGCCATTCCGCACTCAGGGAGTGTGCAGACGAAACTTCGTACGTGAATGCCGAGGTAGCGGTAGTTGTGCCGGAATTGTCTTCCAGCTGCGTGCCAGAAGTCTGGGGATGCACATCGAGCACGATATAGTGCTCCCGCATTCCCGCGACAGGGGCCGGCAGTCGGGATGCGTTTGAGCTCTCCTCGTGGTTCTGGTGGGCGTCATGTCCTTGCGTCTGTGACTGCCCGTGTGGGCCGGTGCCAGCTCGCTGACTTGGATCCAAGACCTCCAGGCTCCTCAACGCAGCCTCGGTGATCATGTCCGTGTCATCGTCTGCGAAGATATAATGCACGGTAGGGTGATAGTGCTCATTTGTAACGCTGTCTTCGATCAGGGTGAAGAACGGCTGGAAGGACGGGATCGATTCGGCTGTTGTTTGCGGATGAGCCGAGCCAAGGCCATGGCTGCAGTGTTCGGATTCGGCCACGGCGTGTTCTGAGTATTCGGGGTCGTTGAGTGTCAAGCTGGGACGCTTGCTGTATTGCTGGTGGGATGCGACGATCGGGTCATCTTCAAAGTGCGGAGAGGACAGGAGACTGCGAGTGTTCGAGGGTTGTTGTTGCTGCGGAGCCTGCGATGTTGGTCGAGTACTCGTACTGGTACCGCCACCGCTGGTCGTTCGCCGGGATGATGATTTCGACGGCGATGAGGAGTGAGTGGGAACTTGACGGGGCTGCTGGGACATGTCACACAGAGTTTGTCAATGTCGGTGGTGAGGTGCTACATCTTGACAGATGTCGCTGCATGGTGAAGCAGAGGTACAGATAAACCGAAGGCATCTGGTTATGCAAGGCAGACAATAAAGTTGACCAGTCACTCGGTGTGGAGAATGTGGGGGGTTTCCGCGCAATGCGAGGCTGCAGCCTTGCGAACCGCGAGGCTACGAGGCTGCGAGGCTACGAGGCTGCGCTTGAATGAGGCTCCATCCACGGCGTATAACGCTTGCCAGAGGTTCGAGGCCAGCAAAAGCCAGTTCCAGGCGAAGGCTAAGGTACCTCATGTATACACCATGCTCTCCTCATGTCGTGGGCCATCCGGCTATGTCTACCTTCTTGGACTTCGAAGCCCTAGGAAGACCCTCGATCGGCGCTGGCGTGATTTCGTTTTGACCAGGCTTGCTGGAGACAGGTCTTTCTGTTGTGTCTGTCTTGCCACTCACTGAGCCCGGCCATGCTGTTCTCTCTATCATGCAGTCAATCATTTTGTCTTGCTATCTGGGTCCCAGCTTTTCTAACACTCTCGACCCCTGCTCTGCCCACTCCTGCCTGCTAACCCACATGTTCTCCTTATCCGCCATGATGTTGGCCAGGACCGCACCTCCCAAGAACACCATGTGCCTCCGTCTAGGCGGGTCTTCGATCCTCACCTTGAACTTACTCAATCGCTCTGGGTTCCCACCGAGGACTCTTGTCAGCCACAGCTGTTTGAGTTCCTTTTCCAGGCGAGAGGGTAGGCCGGGATACATGGAGGAACCACCGGAAAGGACGATTGCTTTGTATAACGACGAGCGGACGTCTACATCGGCGGATTGAATTGTGTTGAAGAGGAATTCAGCGATGCCTGGTTGTTCAACATCGACCAGGTGAGGCTGGAAGAGACATTCCGGAGCTTCGAACCGTTCGGAACCGACTCGAATCACCCGTCCGTCTGGGAGCGTGTATGACTCGACCAGCACAGTCGTATCTTCCGACAGGCGCTGGTCTAGAGCCAGATCATACGAAACGTAACACAGTTTCTCTTTGATTTGACGCACCGTTTCGAAGTCGGCCGTCCGGTTCAGGGCATAGCCTCTTCTCAGCAGAAGGGCGATAAGGTTGCGTGTTACGTCTCGGCCAGCAACGTCGAGACGACGGGTGAGATGGTTCAGGACTGTTGACTCGTATACGGGCACGATATGTGTGACACCGTCACCTGAGTCGACGACGACTCCCGAAGATAGACCTTGCGCATATAAAGCAAGCACTGCTTGAATGGCCACGTACACGCCGCCGAAGCCGTAGCGCTCGAACATGACCTCGCACATCTGTTCTCGGTTCTTCAGCGGATTCATGGGCGGTTCGGTCAGCAGGATTTTGCGGCCTGTCGGGTCGATTTTCAATTTCTCGAAGAAAGTGAAATCCCAGAGATGTTGCATGTCGTCCCACTTCTTGACGATGCCGTTCTCCATCTACCACCAGATGTCCTTGTCAGCGCCAACTGATAGACTGGCCCAGGAGTTGTCCACCGTACAGGATAACTTATCTGCAGCATTGATCTTGCCGCTGCAGCCTCATCTCCGCACATGATATCTTTGACCACAATGTCGCCTGACTTCTCTTCCGATCGTAGAATCGGCCGGCCAACTATGGATGGAAATTGGTGTTCTGGGAAGTTCTGGACAGTGATTGCTTAGCTCGCTCCGTAGTCGACAGTGGCGGACACAGGCCCTTCCAGACATACCTGAGCAGCATAGCCGACTTTGAGGAAACCGGTACCTCCATCGAGAACTAAAGTGCCTGTCAGCAGGAGTTCCATGCGAGAGGACTGGGCGAGGGGTCGCACCGATGGGAGGTTCGGCCATTGTGCTAATCTGGTGTCTTCTAGTTCGAGTGCTTGAGGAGAGCTGGAGTCGAATTTCCAGGGGAGTGGTATAGCAGCAGTGGTATGTAGTCGTCGCTCACGAGGAGCACTTCTTTCATGCGCAACCTAAGTCCAAGGTCGGGCAGCCTGCACACGCGCAGCCCACCAAAGTTGCCAAGCGCGGTTTATGTAATCGCTTGTCCGGCCGTCACTACAGTCGCACACTGTGAGCTGAGGTTGGCACCGCATGCTCTGATTGAAGGCCGACATCCTTTTATATCCAAGCCAGCAAAAGCAAAAGCGAGCTGTTATCTCTGGAGGAGGCACAGACACGGGCACTGAGCGCTTCCTGCAGTTCGCCTACGCTTCCGCGCATACTAGTCACGTCGTCGCACTTCAAACACCACATACCTACCTAGGTACCCGTGTCATCGTCCACAATCTGATGCTGTGGAACTCAAGCATGGGCAGGTGAAACATGGTAAGGTATTGGTGGTCCTGCACTCGAACGTGTAGGAGGTCAACACCTATAAGCGTATCGACCTGTGGGTGTGATGTGGGCAAGGATTCAACTGCTACAACTGGTCCTGACCGTTTCCGAACCCGGACCAGTTCTCGACATAAGGCGCAGTACAGACCACAAGGCTCTCTAACGCCTCCAGGATGAGTAAACCAGCATTGATGAATCAACCCATCAAGAAATGCAGGGAACAGATGTGCACATCCCACGCTGCCATTTGCTTATGCTTTTCACTGGGTTGCTGTGGGAGTCGTTCGGCTAACGCTGGAAGGTTTGCCTTGAAGACTCCGTCACCGATCAGCTTTCACAATGAGGCGGACCGATCAAAGGCAGATGCAATCTTGCGGGCTTTGCCAGCAGTGAAGTCTATAATTTCGCTGGTTTGGGGTCAATGAACAACGCCTTCGCGCTCGCGAGCAACTTTCCTTCTCCGTCTTCGATCCTCCCCTTCAGCCACGTCTTCCTTCCCTGCTTTTCCACCGCCCAGCAACGACAGAGCACGACACCCGGCGTATTGATCGGCGCCTTATAGTCCACTGTCATGGTCGCCGTCGCCGGGGCCGCAGCACCTGATATCGCGGCGGCTGTCATGCCTGTTATCTGGTCCAATACTAGGGCGTTAAATCCTCCGTGTGCTCGACCTGTCTTGCCGTCGACTCCCGTGCCGAGGGACAGTAAGTTGCAAATTTCCCAGGAGGTAATGGAGTCGGATTCGAGTGCTGGCCGCCTGAAATTGATCTGCGCACGAATGGCGGATGGAGTGTAGAGGGTTTGCTGGAACATGCTGTTGGAGGTTTCATCATCAGGTTCAAGTCGACGCTGGGTGGGAATCTCCATGTCTATTACGTTCTTCTCAAGAAGAGCTTTGCACCATGGTATGTTGAAATCCGGGTGAATCTCCATGACAGCAGGGCAGAGGTAAGAACTTGACCCCGGTCCTATTCCTGTTCTGGTGCACTTGATGCAAGGAAAGTTGCTGGTTTGTATGTTTTCTGAGAAGATCCGACAATCTGAGTATTCTCTATGCGATTTCGAGATGATGCAACCTTCTATTCAGTGTAGTCTTGGCCCGTGCAAAGATGATGGACCGAAAGAGAGTGTGCCCCCGGGTCTCGAGGGTCTGGTCGCAGCTCCATTCAGAAATCTCTCATGAGTCTGAAGTACTTTGGACAGCCTGATCATTGAAGATCATGGCCGAAGCCGAAGCCTAAGCCTCGGTAAACGCACTGATAAGGAGGTAAATGGTCACGTGGAGATAGGTGAGATTACGGCGGAGCTTGGCGACAAGACATGCACAGACATGCTTGATGCCAATGGGTTTTCGACTTTGGTGACATCAATAACAGCACCGCCTCACCGTCGAGAACAGAAGCAAGCTGCCGAGTCAACGTTATGGCGACCCAAGTAAGGCCTCGATGGCACTACGAGGAAGCCCTTCTGCTCAAGAAACAGCGTCTTTCTTAGGGCTTTATAATGCCCCGTGGCAGGCCTAATCGCTCTCGAGGACAGGCGCAGGACGTCGTATGCAGCGTACACGCTGTCGAACATTCACAGCATTGCTTCAATACACCCTCCTATGATCCAGAATGGCGAAGTCGACCTGTCTCTTCAAAGTGATGCGGAGCGGTGGAAAGCGTCAACCGCAAGCCAATGGCGCCTAAGAGGTCATTCGGGTCATCGAGGGTTCCAGGAGATTCTGCGAAATCTGCTAGGCGGCAAAGCACCATTGACGGATGTGCCCCTGTCCTCTCTTGCCCTCTATATTTCTCATCCATGCCATTCTCCAGGAAATCCTCCTAATACGCCAACAATGGCCAGGGCTAATGCTGCCACAAACCATCAAGTCTTTCGAGAATGCTCTTTGTGCCTGGCAGCGGTCTTGGGAAATGACTACAGATTCCACCCTTGATCCCATGTCATTCAAGGGACCACTCGGGCTCACCGCCACTGCGCTGCTGCGACTTGCCTATATCCGCCTCGATGCCAACTACAGCCTTGCGCAAGGACTATTCTCACACGATTAGCGAAGCATCATTAATGGTCTTCTCCTGTCATTGACAAATTGACATTCTCTCCACCGAGCTGTTCTCCACGCTATACATGCGCTAAGCATGTCCGTGAGACATGGCCTTGAATTGACTGCTCGTATCACGTCGCCGTTTCGCAGCATTGAGCATTCAGTACGCGGTCTTGAGCGGGTTGCAATGGGTGGGCACTTCTGGAGTTGAAGGACTTCGCAGGGTCGAGAAGAGGCTCCTCGAAATCATCCGCGGCGTTATCCAGGAGACTCCTCTAATAGGGATGCCACACATACTAGAAGATGAGGCGTCGCAAATCAGAGCCATGGCCAGGAACGAAGTCAAGCTATGGGCCAAAGCCTTCGAGGGTACTGCTCAGCTCGGCTTCGACAAAGCCATCTCTGCCAGTCTGCAGCTCCTAGCAAGCGATCCCCAATTCAGGCCGATGTAGGACTTTATCTGCATGCTCGCCGGACGCTACACATCCGGGGGCCTTAATGAATTCATTCCGATGGAAGGCGAAAGACCTGTACACAGGTAGCACCTTTCTTGTAGGACATGGAAATATACGTCTTTGGCTATTTCCGTCAAATATCCTACCGCAGTAAAAAGCAACCCCGTGAAAAGGCATTCAAGGCTTTGCTGGATCGTCCAATCCCACTAATTTCCACGACGTTGGTAGTTAGTTCGGTATTCTGATTCTTAGTTCAAATATATATATGTGCTACGCAGATGCCGCATCACGCACATACTGTACTCTGTATATGCGAGCACAACGCGAGGCAGACGATCCGGGCTTTGAGCTCTAACCTAGCCTAGCCTCCGTGTCGCCTTGAATCTGGACCTCAAAGCAACGCTCGATCAGCACCCAGCACCCAGAAGCCAGGAACCAGCTTGTGCCGAAGATGCATATCAACAAAACAACAACGCCTCGTTGACAGAGCCTGTCAATCAGCCATCCACGTATCTAATATCTAATCAACTGTCTCTTCGACGCGCGCTGGCCCCTTCATCGTCAGGCATCTCGTCTTCATCGTCATCGTCAAAGACTTTATCCTCCTCGCCCTCGCGCTTTGCCTCGTCCATTTTCATTTCCCGATACGTGGCCCAGCTCAACATGACAAAGGCCACGATGATGAGGCCGCACCCGGACAAGGCGGCCGCGCTCAACGGTTTGCCCGTGATGATCCAGTCGGTAATGCCGACGAGGAAAATGGTCAGCAGAGCCGCGACGGACGACAGGACAGGCGACGTGAGCGACATGAGGACGAGGAAGCTGCCGGAGAAGATGGCGTTGGAAAGCGTGCTAATGGAGAGAAGCCAGGCCGCCTGGCCCCTGGGGAATTCGAACGTCTCGAGCCCCGTCCAGTGCAAAATGGGAATCGGGATCCAGAGCACGGTCAGCGTGAACAGGCCGACCATGCTGCCGAAGGAGTTTGCAAAGATCATGCCCCGTCCGGGACTGGTGCCCTCGGGCGGGCATGCGAATTTCTTGTACAGCACCTCGTAGAAGCCGTAGGCCACGGACCCAATCCCGATGACGATGTTTCCTACGAGTTTGGTGCCGAAGCCCTTTTCGGCGCCCGGGTTGGATTTGCCCGGCCCGGGCGTGCTGTCGTCCTTGTCGCCGTACGCGACGACCAGGACGCCGATGATGGCCAGGCCCACCGAGAGGGCTTTGTCGAAGCGGAGCTTGTCGTTCAGGAGCATGATGCTGAACACGTACGCGAAGAAGGCGGAGCAGTTGTAGATGGCCGTCAGGTCGGACGGGGAGGTCAGGTTGACGGCCACGTACCACGAACCGCCGGCCATGGTGAGAAAGGTGGTGATGAAGGCGGTGGTCTTGATCATGTATGGCCACGGCGAGGTCATGGTCTGGGACTTGGACAGGTGTTGGTGCAGTTCCTGCGAGCGCACCATCTGCGCCGTGCTGCGGACCAGGTAGACGTGCCTGCGCCAGAAGGCCGGCCACGAGAGCTTGCGTTTCTGGATGCGCAGGAAGACGAGCTGGATGGGCCACAGGAAGATCCACGACCCGTGCGTCAGGTACATCATGCAGTAGGCCTTGTTCCAACCCAGTTCGTGCTGGATGTAGACGGCCGTCTCGGTCTGGACGACAAACGACACGAGCGACAGCACGAGGAAGAACGAGGCGTAGACGTATTTTCGCCGCACCATGTCCTCCGAGTGCGTGTATGAGGGCGACCGCGAGCGGAACGTGCTCCGCCGCGAGGGCGGCAGTCGTGCTGAGCCGGCTTCATGGGGACTCGCGGGCCTGCCTCTTAACGACTGTTTGTCTTCTCCTAACAAGGGTTCGTGCGACTCGGGTCCCGTGGGCCGGTGCATGCTTGTCCGTCCTGCCATTTGTTCGTCGTCGTCTTCACCGTCTTCTTCGGGTTCGGCATCGGATTCAAAGTGCACCCCTTTGCCGTACTGGCGGTCTGCACGAAATTCTTCCTTGATGGGCTTGGGGAGCGACGTCAACCGCAAGGGGCTCGCAGGACGCACGGAGGCTCGAGAAAAGGGATGCTGAGGTAAAGGTGACTCGGTCCCAGCAGGCGTGTATATCAAGTCCCCGCCGGACGAGTCGCTGCTCCGGTCTGACGGTGACGGTGGCATGCATGCGGTACTTGAGGGAAGCAGCTAGTATCACCAGATGGGGTCACTGGGTAACACACTCGCCGAACGATACGTGGCGCCGTGCTGCGTGCGGTTCGCGTGGTGGGTCAGCACTCAGGAGGCGTGCGTGATAGGAAGGGGTCGGATGGCTAAGCAGGCTTCGCAACATGTGTCGGTCGGTGTCTTGTGTCTGCCTGCAACGTTAATCGGGCAGACTAACAAATGGAACGAAGCGAGGAGATATTGCACCATTTTCTCAGCGTCGTGGAGGTCAAGCGATTCCATCATCTGCGCGCTTGACGGGCCCTGCCTAGCGGGGTGGTGGGGGCTCACGGGGGCTCTAGCGAGCACGCCTAGCCGCCTAACTGGACCCCTATCCCACCGTCAACGCCCGTCTTCCCACCTGGGCTTAGCCGCCAAACGAAGCGTGGGTTGACCTTCACATGCCACCTCCAGCCATGACTCCGGATTTGCAACAGGTTCGGTAGGTCGGCAGGCATATGCACATCATACGGCAGACAGGGTTTGATAGATCATGGCGCCAGGAAGTGGGAGGTGAAACAGCCTCGAGGGATCTTGATTCATTTTCTACGAGTACTACGGAGACCTGATGCCGACACTGCCTCGTCGACAGTCTACACCACAACCCACTGCGTCTGGTCACTTAGCTCGTTTGTCGTCACATCCCCCACATCACTTGAAGGACCGCCGCTCTGTTTCTGCATGATAGCATGGCAGACATGGCCCGGGCGAAGATACTGCTCTATAGCGGCAGAAGCGGCCTCCGCAACTGAGCCGAGGAGGGCAATTGCATGACTCCGACAAGCGTTTGCTTCAAGGAACATGCAATGGTCAGACCGTAGGGCTCATTGGGATCAGGGCGCCATTGATTGTCGACATGGGAGAGCCTTGCCAGAAAGTAGTCGCTTCATTGTGCTCACCTCGACGCATGAGCTCCTTGGATCGATATCCTATCAATGACAGCCGAGAATACCCAATGCCCGCCTCGAACCATCGGTGTTTCCATGTTGGCCGTAAAGACGCAGCGAGGGAGCTGAGCTTCGTGGCACGCGCAACGGTACGACGCCTTACCCGAGGCCTTCGTCTTTCTGTACCAAGGGCAGTGTCGAACCTTACATGGGACGGTATGCGGTACAGTGCGGGGGAACGTGATGTTTCAAGGTCTACTTGTGAGAAAGTGTGATTGTCGAGGTCATCGTCCCAGAAGTGCCTGTCGGTTTGATAATTCCTCGCAGCCCTACAACGCCTTTTCTCTCTTACCCCAGCGCTCAATCACAAACGGTTGACCTGAAAGCGCGGACCAATCCAGAGACCCATCCTTGACGGGCAGGTCTCTGGGTCGCGGGACCACGAGCTTCGCCACATCATCACTATCTGTCCATCTCACTTCATACGCCTCCGGGCCTCGAACAGCCAGTTTGGGGTTGAACCCTTCACACGAGGGGCTTGCCTCGAGAGCCTTGAATATCGAGGTAATGCCCACGCCGTGTGTCGCAATCAGGACCGTCCTGTCCTGCTCGCCGACTTGCCGCGATTCGGTGCCAACGATGACCGCCAAAACCTTCTTCAGCCGTCTTACAAAGTCATCGAAAAGCTCGACGCCGGGCTGGCCGTCCGCGCTTCTGGGATTGCTCATGTCAATGGTATCGTATGAGCCGCCCTCGAGTTGACCAAGCGACTGTCCCGTGAGATCAGCATCTGCGTGAACGGGGATATCAGATCGATCGGCGAGGATCGGTCGGATTGTCTGGACGATTCGATTCAGAGGTGAGTGGTAAACGGCATCGATCCTTTGGTTCTGCAGCTTCTTTGCGAGAATCTCTCCTTCTCTGAGTCCTTTCTCTGTTAAGCTAGTGTCTCGAAGACCTTGAAGGATCTTGTCGATATTGTCCTGTGTCTCTCCATGGCGGACAAAGAGCAGGTGCAATTGTCCGCTGGGCCGGTCTGTGGGGGAGCTCATATCTAACAAGTAAGACGGTTTGCCAATTCTCTTTCAATGAGTTGACCAGTTCGGGGTTTTCGGCGGCTTCAAGTAGCACCCCGTTGAGGGAAGGAGGCGATGAGGCGGGCAAAGGGGATCTCAGATATCGACCATTCTCGAAGACAAGGATCTCCCCAATCTCGAGATCCCACGTTTCGCCCACTGGCTGCCAGAGTGCTGTCCTCACAAGCTCGGGTATGCGAGGCCCATGTACCCCACGCCTCCGGTTGCGGGGAAGGTTCACCTCGGGGGTTGGTGATCTACCAGACTCCTAAATGGCCTGAACGGGGTCTGAGCTAGACTCCATCGATTCGTGTGTTGAGGTTCGGCACACCGAGTCTCGGGATATGCAGCATCTCCAACCGGACGGTGGTACCGAAAGACGGACACGTAACTATCGCCAGCAGAAGAACACCCGGATACAGCTCCTTTTATCATGTCCATCCACCCATCAGCGCTGAGGTTGCTGCCGTCGGCGCAGACTCAGAGAAGTTGTAGAACAATCTCTTCGATGAGAGCGTCAACGTGTCGTTGAAGTTCATATTGCTGGTTTCAGGGACCATCAACCAGCGGTGTCGCGAAGCGAAATGGTGGCCAACGATTTCGCGCCTTTCTAGATCATCCAGCATCAGTTGCTGGATTTCGTAGCTGACACCCAGGCTGAGCAAGTGCCATGACATCCAAACGACAGTTTCGTGTGAAGGATGGCCGGAGGATACTTAGCGTCGACAAGGCTGAAGAGCATGATACAGACAAGCCTTTGTATGAGTGCGCGTACGCAATCATAATCAAACTCATGACCGCTGGTGCCATAGGTAAGTAGGAGCTTGGCCAGTCGGAGCAGACGGCATCTCCATGTACCCAGGATGATACTCCGTAATTACTCCGTACTGTGTACACAGTGCCCCTACTGTGTAGTCCGTGGTAGTCCTAATCCGAATGCAGTACCAGAGGTACGGAGCATTTGCCCAGCACTCAGCACTGGGTCCGACATTTCCCACAATAGCCCTTGCTGCCGCCTCGAACCGCCGACACAAGCGCTAAGGCACGCTGGGTGTCTCAGAAACGACAAAGCTCCAGATGAGCCAATGGACAATAGCCTTGCGTTCCGTTTCGGCCCCCTTCAAAGAGAGCCTGTTCAACAATGGAGGCGACTTTGGCACAAAATTACGCTTTTCAGGCCGTCTCCGCCAGTGGGCTGGAGGCTCCGATTCGCGATGGTGGCCTCACACACGGGCGACGACAAGGTCAAGCCCAGCCTAGCCTGGCATGGGCGTTTGAGCAACCGTGTGCGGGCTTTATGGAGCCAAAACCTTGGGCCTTGCTATGGGACGTCTATGTAACTATGGATGCCGTTGCTTGCGTTTCCACTCAAAGCTGTCCTCGACGCCCTGAATACTCGATCGTGGGTTCCGTACTCCGTACGACGTGGACCTACGAGGGACCTCCCCTTCTCTTCTTTGTGCATCGCCCTTTCTCTCACCACAGCACGTATCCCAGGCGTTATCCGACTCTGTCCGTCATAATTGTTGATCAACGGCTCATTGCGCGTCTTGCGCCTTCGTTGTGAACAATGGCCAACGAATTCAACATCGATCCCAATGTCTGGTATCAGGTCTCGAACGACCTGTACGACGCGAGCGTCGACTCTTTGCGTGTCGGCGACAGCCACACGGCGATCTACATGTTTGCCACGAACCTCACGTCGCCGCAACAGCGATGGCAAATCTTCCCCGTCTCAGGAGGTGGTGGAGGGTGGAATTTCCGCGCCCAGATCACAGGCTCGGGCGCGTACATGTCGCAGTGTATGCATTTAACGTCGAGTATGTTGCGAGACCCTCGATAAGACGGTACTTTTCTGTGCATATAGGAAGAGAGACACGAAAAGCTGACCGAACCACTCCCTGATAGCAACGGCACCGACCGACGCCTCCCCGGACGACACGGACGTATGCATGGCCCTCGGGGCCGCGACGGACACCCAACGCCAATGGATCCTCTCCTCCAACGGCGACGGCACCTTCGACATCAAGCTCAGCAGCTCCAACCCGCTGTACTCGGACTATCACCTGTCCGTGAACGCGACCAACATCGTGGCCTTCACCAACGACACGACCAAGCAGGGCGTGAAATGGGGATTCCAATCCATCATGCCGATTGACGATCCTGCCTTTTCCACGGGCATCGTCCGGGCGACGACCCCGAGCGCAAGCGCGACATCCACTCCCACAAATTCCTCGACCCCCACGTCGCTGGGCTCGGGCTCGCAAACACAGACATCTTCCCCAGCGACAGCCTCAGCCTCGGCCTCATCCTCGTCCATAGCTTCGGCGTCCGCGCAGCGAGGCGGTCTCTCGAGTGGTGCAGCAGCCGGCCTCGGCGTCGCGGTCGCGGTCGCGGTCCTCGCCCTCGCGGCCATCCTGTTCTGGTTCTTTCGCAGGAGAAGAAAGCACACCCAAAGGCAGAGACAGATACACGCACAGGTCCAGGAACTTGCAACTCCCTACGATGGGCATGGGGCTTCTTTTCCGCACGAGACGAAGAACAGAATGCTTTACGATGCCGAGCCGGCCGAGTTGCATCACCAGTCTATCGCGGAACTAGATCACTCGCCTGAGCACAAGACTCCTGTCGCTGAACTAGGGGCTGATCCGAGGGCGAGCCGGGGGTAATGAGCTGGCCTGAATTCGTCAATAGATTGGCTGGAATCTACTCAGCATTGTGAAAGTCAAGGCCAGGGTTCGTCAATCGTTCGTCTGGCTTCGTCCAGCAGTGATTCCATGTGCAGTCTAGTGGGTTTATGCCCAGACGACCAGAAGAACCATACCGGAAGGTGCAGGATCCATCCGCGTGTGCTACTTGACCTGACTTGCCGAACAAGATCGATCCTACAGAGACACGATCTTTGAAGCTCCGGGGCATCGAAAGGACGTCTCTACGTACAAGTCCAGCACCGAGTGAATGGCGTTTAACGTCCACTGAGCAGTCCTGTCCCCGGCCACCTCCAGCTATGGAATCCAAGCCGGCCTATGTCCAATTTACCGGCGTAATAGTCGCACGAGCACGAGCATGAGCGAAAACCTGGGGCCAATGTCCTGATATTGAAAGACCGTACCCTGGAATCAGACCCTTCCCACGAAGCGAGAACCGAGATGGGGACCCATCGACCGAGGCCCAACCCACGCGTTCATCTAGTCAGTTCGTACAGAATTGCTGGTCTCTCAGTATTCCGGGTGAGGGCATACACGGCATGGGCGCGCAGCTTGAAGGTTCAAGCTTCAAGCTTCGTAGGCTGTTGGCGATGGAACGGACGAGCTTGGGAATCCCGTGCGCGTGGTGTCGTGCTGTCAAGGAGACTTGGTCCTGCACGGATGGAGTAGATGGGAAAGGATTCGCTTGGTCGCTTATGTACTATGCAGTTCACGCACTCCCATGCTACTCCGTGTGAGTATGGACCGAGCTCCACGGCCAACTTCTCTATATTCATGTTCTTTAGGGGTACCTTTTTAGGGGAGCGGAGGATAATGACGAGGACGACTAGGAGTGTATACAATTACCGAGATTACGTTAGACTGCAACTCCGTTCATTTGGCGCAGTCACCTCTACGCCGAAAGGACCCACGAACAAACCCCCCTCGCGCGTTGATTGTGCAGTTCACTCGGCCATTGACTGATTGTGATATGCCATGCTCGTCAACTCTACACGGTACGTACTGTGAACCAAGTTTTCATTTCTCGTGTCTCGTAAACAGCTGGCTCCGGTGGGTGCTGGGTATTCTCTGCGTGCATCTCATGTGAAGAACAATCTCTTCTGCCTCCTGCCTGGGTCAACCTCGCCGGGTGCAGATATGCTGCTGCCAGCTGCCTTTCTCTTCGCCTTGCCATTAATTGTCGTATTCGTCAAGCGAGACCTTCCAGGCACCACGACCGCCGGGGACAAGCGGGAAGATGTCCCGCGAGGAGGCCCGTCCGTTTCGGCGACAGCCTCCTTGATCGTCTGCCTTGAAAGACATAGGTCAATGTGATTGTTGAAATCCCGGTCGTTGGCTGGTTGCGGAAGTTGGCAGATTGGACATTCCCACAGTTGTGTCGCATTCTGCTTGTGTGCGGACGGTGCTGCACCTTGATTCCTCAAATGCCCGGCTTTGGCGACTGAAGCCGGCGAATTGGGTTCACTGCCGTATTTGTATCGCCCGAAAGGTTCGTGCCAATCGGCCGTAGAAGTATATCTGTCTTCCATGTCGGTGTCGTAGGCTGGGTCATGAGCTTGTTCCTGGCTCAATCGCTCTAGTTCCTCCATCTCCTCTTGTCGCTCCTGTCGTGCTGCGTCCTCAAACTCCGAGTCCGGCCAGACTTCCCATTCGCCAGCATCGGTCGGCTTCTCGTTAGCTTGCGTAGTGTTAACTTTCCGACGGAAGAAATCACCCGTGTTTTTCTTCGTGCTCACGAGGTGCGTACAACGCAGCCCCATAAGACGGAGCCTGAAGTCCGGTATCTCCTTCTCGAGCTTTGCTAACATTGGGACGCTGTAGTTGTACAGATCTTCTGCGAGATGAACCGCCTTGGGTGGAGCGAATTGTCTCGTGAAGACTTCGTACGTGTGGAGCTTGACTTTGAGCACAAGTGTTCGCCCTTTGACTTCGACGCGAGCCATGTCTTTTTCTAGCTCTTCCGCAGTGTGCCGTAACTTCTCACGGAGGTCTTCTTTACTGCTGATATCTCGGAATGTGCTTTCTGTACCGACACTCTTCCGTTCATACTCGTCTGCAGGTTGTACCACCGTTCGTCCTAGGCCAAGATAAGTCTGTATCAGGAATTGAAATGCTTTTTCGCCAAACAGTCTGGCCAAGTAAGCTCGCTGAGCATAAATTTCGCCGCATGTTTTGATGCCGATGGCTTCAAGTTCGCGTTCAAACACTCGGCCTACTCCATTGACCTTGCGGACAGAAAGAGTCGACATGAAGGACATGACGGCAGCTCGATCATTGGGAATGCGAAAATGACCGTTGGGTTTGTTCTTGTTGGAACAGATTTTGGCCAATTTAGCGTTCGGTGCGATTCCAGCAGAGATCGTGATCTTGCATTTCTCGTGGACCTCGTGCCGAAGTTGCTCGATTGCAGCTTCTGGGTCAATGTGATGTGCGTCGCAGTAGTCTGTGATGTTCAAATACGCCTCGTCAATGCTGGCACTTTCGAAGCGTGGGTCATATTCGCCTAGTATGGCCCTGACCTCTTTCGCCTTCGCGGTGTACTTGTCAAAGTTCAATGGTAGGCATATCAGCTGCGGACAAAGCTTCTTTGCAACAAATCCAGCCATGGCGCTGCGGCATCCATATTTGCGAGCTTCGTAGTTGCATGTCGTCAGTACACCCTGGCCAACAGCCATGGGCACAGTCTTCAACTCGGGGCGGTCGATCTCCTCGACAGCTGCATAGAATGCGTCACAATCAATGTGCACAACATACTGTGACAAGTTTCTCGACAACTCGAGGGAGGCAATATAGTCATCTGCTCGACGCTGGTCTGACCTCAGGTCTAGTTTCTCCAGTTGGGCCTTCTGCTTGAGGATGCGGTCGATCTTCAGCGTCAGGGTTTTGTCTTTGACCTCCTCGTTATTAAAGTATTTCGAGCCTTTCGAGGCCTCGTAGATGATCTCAGAGACCTTCTTCTGATCGACACCATCTTGCCCAGCCTTTGTTAAAGACGGGCCCAGGAGATGGTGCCTTAAGGAGTGGTGCTGGGATGCTTCGGGCACCGCTGCCTGCGTAGGCTCAGTCTGACTCGCATCATCGTCGCCACTGTTGCCTGCTCGGTTTACATCTGGAGAAGAGGCATTCTGTGTATCAGTTGAGGTCATGGCAATACTGAAGTCGCGGTGGAGGTGGACATGGCGTGTTCCTCGAAAAGGTATGGAGTCGGGGCAGTGCTCGTAGTGTTCAGCACAAAGTCAGGGTGACGCGACTTTGCAGGGAGGCGCGATGAGGGGCGTTGGCTTGGCGTGGCAGTGTGGGCGGAGCGTGTCGGGGGCAGTCACGGGATTCAACGGTGCTTAGGCTCGCCGTTAATGATGAGCCCTTGACGCTAAACTAACTAAACCATTCAGAGCGTGCATCTCGCATGTCTTGTTGACATTCATTCGACACCCGCTTCCTGCCATGACCACACAGAGACAGACCGTGTGCACTTGCATCCGTCGACCATGTTCTTCCAGCCGCACATGAACTGCTCACATCGCTGCCATGCGAGAACGAGACCGCAATCAGCCCCTTCAAGTCTCTCGCTCTCGCCGGTCGCCCCTCCCGACCACGATGCCCGCCGACAAACCGACTAAGTCGAATACCTCGAAACCGCTCACACCAGCCCTCAGCTCCAACTTCCGCAATGTGAAGAGCCCATTGACACCAAGGGTTGCAGGCTCGCCCACCCCCTCGTCGAGTCAACCCTTTGTCAGAGCCAAGTCGCCTGCCAAACCTGATCAGACGACGACGCCTTTGGGTGGGAATGTTACGCCCAGGTCTGCTGCGAGAAAGTCACGGGCGGATACGGAGTCACCACTGGCTCCAGCTCAACCACGGGTGCCTCCAAATGGCCGGAGATCGAGAGCATCATCAGGGAATGAGGCGCAAAAATCACCTGGACAAGTGCTTGGGATCACCAGTCCACGCCTTGTTGCAAGCACACCTACACTAGCAAAAGTTGGGCCTGCTTCTTCAGCACCAGTAGTGACGATTCATCGAAGAATATCCGCCGCAAAGAGTGCTGTAGAGGGGAACAAGGATGTATCATCAAAGTTCTTCCATGCCAGCGAGGTCAAATCCGCCCTTGGATCTCCGGGACTGGAGGAAAGCCACCGGTTTCCGCCAAAACCAGGCCATTTCTTCGTTGGCTCTCCTCCTCTCGCTGCCACGAGAGATCATGCCAGTGGGAGGTCAGAGCCAGATGAGAAGTTCTTCAGGGCCAATGATATACCTCAAAACGCTCAGTCGAAACGTACAGTTCTTCCTCACATCTCTACAGACAGACTGAACAGTTCGGCGGGTAGGGGCACCCCGCCTCAGTCGCCCAAGAAGAGCCATGGTATGATACCGGCAGAGCCCTCGTCACCTCGGAAGTTCCACTCAGGGCCGACAGCGTCTCCAGTAGCACCGAGAACAACAGCCGAACGTCCCAAGAGCACCTCCAGCGGTGGCAGCCCCTTGGAAGCCGGCACCCATGGCCATCGAAAATCCCTGAGTGCGGATTCGAAGACTTCTCAGCCGACGCGGAAGTTGAGCGGTCCTCGAGCACAGGTGCCCCAGCCGCTAGATCTACGACTCACTCCCACATTGTCCCCGCATACTGCGGCAAGTATTCTCCTATCACCAACTGCATTAAGTCCCAGGTCAATCAGTCTCAACTCCACTAACACCATCACCACCTCTGTCACAAGCGACACGGATTTATCAGAGATCGCTGTACCGGCCACGCTTCCCTTGGCATCGCCTTCCGACCAGAAAGCAGAGCCACCGGCGACCCCCGTTCAGCCCCAGGTCGATCTAGCTTCCAACGCGCGCCGAGAGCGAAAAGTGCTCGACCTCGAAATATCCAATTCATCCCTATTAGCTATCAACAAGACTCTCGAACGGGAACTCCGCAAACAGTCTACTGAGCTACGGCGCTACCGCCGCTTGTCGCGATCCGGACGAATTTCCATCGCTCCAAGCGCACGAAGTGTTTCAGAACAAACCAACTTCAGCCTCGACACGGTCACAGAAATAGATGGGGAGGGCCAGCATTTGTCCGACTTGGACGAAGAAAGTGACCTCTCCGACTATGACGACGAAGACTCCTCCCTCCTCTCCAACGACTCCGGCTCCCTCACCAGCCCCTCCGCACGCTCCCGGCAACGCGCACGAGATGAGAAACGCCTGATGCAAGACCTCTCCCGCCACCAACAACTCCTTGTCGACTCCCAGAGACTCAGCCAGAGCATAAAACGATGTCTTACATGCACCGATGATTTGATCCGCGAAGGGAATAAAGCTCTAGAATATAGAGTGGGGATTGGCGACGTCAAGCTTGGAGGAAGAGTTCTTAGCGATGACGAACTCGACGAGCGGGGCCTGGCCAGCGGAGTGGAAGAGGTGGAGGCGAGGCAGGGGCTGTTGAGTCCCAGTGTCGCCAAGGCAAATCTAGATCACGCGCAGCTCTGGGCTGTCGAGCAACTGCCACTGCCGTCGTCAGGAGCACCAGAGCATGCCAAAGACGCAATGGCCGTTGCCTCGCTTGGCGAGCTCACTGATCTGCTCGAGTCCGTCAATACGGAATTGCGAATCCTTTGATCTTGTGAACTACACATCTGTCTCCTTTGTTACGACGCACGATATATTGTTTTGGCCTTGCGTTTCGGGCGTTGCAAATTGGCTGGGCTAGCAGGAAGATCTTGGTTGGCGTGGGAGTCGGCTTGCTCAAGTGGAGTTGGAGTGGGTGCAGAGAACCGAAGTGGAATCAAATAACTCAAGTCAGAAAGGAAACAGGTTGAGAGGTAAGAGAATGAGAGCCTAAGCGGTTTTTGCGAGATTGTAAATGATACCCCATCCGCCAAGGAGTTCTGGATTAGGATTCAAGTTCGTTGGAAATTGAGGAACAGAAGGAGCAGAAGCAGAAGCAGAAGCGAGAAGAGAGGAAACACTACAGCTAATGTGTGTGCGTGTCGGGAGGTGTGTCAGTGGTCCAGTGGTCCAAGTCCAGTATTTAAATTCACCTCATTTACAATTGAATGACAGTGAAGTACAGTCTGAAAGAGGACGTAGACGAAGGGCGAGTCCATTCGCGATGGCGCAATGACAGTCTATAATAGCCTCGCTCGCATCAAGGTAGGTATATAGTTCGGGGTGAAACAACACAGACGCAGACATCGAGCTCTATCCCTTGGACGCTCAAATCCAGAAAGCACGACAAAATGGGCGTTGAGAAGCCAGCCCTGCCCTGCTGCATGACTTGCCCGTGCTGGTCTTTGGTCCCCAAGAACCGACCAGACAGGTCGAAATAAATGAGTAGGAGGAGAAGAAAAAATTGGCCGCACTGCATTGCACGCTGCACTGCACTCCAACACAGAGAACCCAGGGTATCCAGCGTCCAAAACTGTATCGTATCCGTGCGAGACGATTCGCTTGGAGACGACTGCTTCAACACCCATGTTGCAAACGCCACTGCCCCGAGTGACTTGCTGTTCTGGTGCTCGTTATCGTCCGCGTTGCACTTCCGGGCACTCATTCAGAGGAAGGGTCTTCATTTTGCCGAAGGTAAGCGCCATATCGCAGAAAGAATCAGTGCATCCTATAGTATCTCATTCAAAGCGCTACTTCGCTTCGGACGTCGATGCCCTTGGCGAGCCCTTCTCGCCACTCCCACCCCCGAAAAAGTTGTGCCTGTGGCCGTGCGGTTGCTGTGGTTGTGTATCAGGATGTGAGGTGGTGTCCTTCTGCTTTTCTTTTTCTTTCTTTTTCTCTTGCTTTTTCATGGACTCGGCCATGAGTTGTTCGAAGGCCATGAAGTCGCCCTCTTCTTCCGGGTCGCGCTCGGCCTAGATTGGATTGCAAGGTCAGTTTGTGAGGGAAAATGAGGAGCGAACCGCCGCAGGCTTACCTTTTGATATATCGTCCCGCAGAGGACCAGGGCGTGCGCTCTCTCCACCCGCTTCTCCAAGCGAACGTTCTTATCGTTCAGGATCTTGTCGCAGACGTCGCGTAGCACTCCCTGGATCTCGAACCGTGACCCCTTCCACGCCGCGGCCAAGATCTTGCCTGTAACCTTCCTCTCGTATTCGGCTTTCTTCTCGTCTGTCCAGTCTGCACCGCCCTTTTCCTCTAGCTTGGCCATTTCCTCCATGGTCAGCTGGGCGTCGATGGCGGTGGAGATGGTGTTCCATGTTTCCTTGGCGAGCGTGCCTTTGTCCTTTAAGCGCGAGAAGAAGCCTGATATGCCAAGGAACTTCTGGGATTTGAGAAACGAGGTGGCCTTTTGGACGTATGTCTGCCCGACGGCGTGCAGGATTTCGATGCCAAATGACTCCATCTTCAAGTTTTCGACCTCCAGGCGAGTCTTTTCCTGGAACGCATGCGTGACTTCGGGGCCCTTGTCGGTTTCCGTCCACACGCTGATTCGGTCGATGAGCTTTTTGGCGAGTGTGTCCACTCGTTCCTCGCGTTGCTTCCGGCGCTCTCGCTCGTACGCTTCTAGCTTTTCACGCTGCTCTTTTGTCAGACCGCCCTTTTTCTTCTTCTTTTGCAAGTCCTTCTCCTCTTGGGTGAGGCCCGCGGCGTCCATGCGCGCATCTTCCTCTGAGCGGTCCATTATCGCTTGTTGGCCGAGGTAGCGTCTTTGCGGTGTGCTTGTGCCGGACTCGGAGGGCTTAGGTGTTGATGACGACGGTTCCTCAGCGCCCGCCACGTACGGCGGAGGTGGTGCGGACGAAGGTTCTGATGCTGAGTATTGTCTTGCTTCATTCTCTTTTGCACTCATGCCTGTAGAGGCGGACTCTGATGGGGGTGCATGTGCTTGCGCGGCAGTGGCATCCTTTTGCTGTTGTTCATGGATGTTCAGCTTCTCTTCCGCTTCCTTGGAGAGTTGTTCTTCTTCCATTGCTTCCATGGTGATGTCCATTGTATGTGTGAGGTCTTTCAGGAGGGTCAGTTCGCCGATGAGATCCACAAACGCATCTCCGCCAAAGATCATGCTGAAGAACTCGGAGGGATCCTCGAAGCCCTGGCTGGGCATCGCTTTTTCTTTGCCATACTTGTCGTAGGCGGCACGAGTGTCTTTGTTGGACAGAACCTGGTAGGCTTCTCCTACCGCCTGGAAGCGGGCGTGCGCAGTCTCATCGCCGGGGTTCTTGTCGGGGTGAGTGGTAATCGCGAGCTTTCTGTAGGCTTTCTTGATTTCCAACTCGGTAGCATCTGGTTTGACGCCTAGGGCATCGTAGTATGATGTATCAACGACCATCTCGACCGCGGTAACAAGAGATATCCAGGGATATGAGAAGAGCAAAAGTAAGAAGATATGGTCGTACGTGAGTTACTCAGTACTAAGATTTGTTGCAGCCTTGTTTGGCGGAGCGTGGAGACGGCCGGTGAAGTCATAGGGTGAGCGACATAGGGTGATATCTCTCCTCCAGCTGAGCCACAGTGGCTGCGACGCCTGCCCAATGGATGGAGGGACCGCCTAGATGGGCTGGGCTGGGCGCACCTGCGAAGGTGCTCGTGCGCGCGATTCACCCTGAGCGACAGGCGAGGGTAGCGCCTGGAACCCGATTGGGCACTTCCTTCTTAATTCCTCGGGTTAAAGATCGTGCCATTCGGCTGTCTTCAACCCACACGCGCAGACACGAGATGGTCTAGTACGCACAGAGCGCGGTGCGGCCTCCAGAAAGCTTTTCTCTTTTCGTTCCTTCGTTCATCTGTCGCTCTTTTCCAACTGATTCATTCTCCTGCGCTTGTTACGTAGAGTGAGGAAAAGAGATCCAGCTCACTTGTCACGCTGCAGCAGCGCATCCAACTGCAGTCATGCCGAAAGCCAGCGAAGTTATATTCTACCTCCTCCATCCCAATCAGCTGCGGGCCATAATTCAATGGTAAGTCGATCGGAGCCCTGTGGTGCGGCTGTGCTGTGGACTGACGGGACGCAGGAAAGTCTGGCATAACCCGGTCCACGAACGGGATGAGTCGAAAGACACACCGGCGGCGAAAGAATGTTTCAAATACCTGAATAAGACGAGTCGCTCCTTCAGCGCCGTCATTCTGGAACTACATCCCGAACTTCTCATGGTTGTTACTCTTTTCTACCTTGTCTTGCGTGGGTTAGACACCATTGAGGACGATACCTCAATTCCCGCGAAGAAGAAGGAACCTCTATTGCGCAATTTCGACGACGTTCTCGACATTGATGGATGGACGTTCACCGAGAACAGACCGGAAGAGAAAGACCGCGAGCTGATGCTCCATTATGGGTGCGTCATCGAGGAGTTCAAGAAGATCAAGGCCCCCTATCAAGCCATAATCAAAGATATTGCCAAAAGGATGGGGAACGGCATGGCCGACTACTGTCTGAAGTCCGAGAACGACGAGTTTGGCGTCAACACCATCGCTGAATATGATGAGTACTGCTATTATGTGGCCGGCCTCGTGGGCGAAGGCCTCACGAGGATGTTTGTCGAGGCCAAGTTCGGGAACCCAGCTCTCCTCGACAGACCCCATCTTCACAACTCAATGGGTACGTTCCTGCAGAAGACGAACATCATCCGAGACGTGCGGGAAGATTTTTATGACAAGCGGATATTCTGGCCCAAGGAAATTTGGTCCAAACATGTCGATGATTTCGGGGACTTGTTCAAGCCGGAATACAGGGAGCAAGCTCTAAACTGCAGTTCGGAGATGGTGCTGAATGCGCTCAACCATGCCGATGAATGCCTCTTCTTCATGGCTGGGCTTAGGGAGCAGAGTGTCTTCAACTTTTGCGCCATTCCGCAGACAATGGCGATTGCGACACTGGATCTCTGCTTCAGAAACTACGACATGTTTCTCCGGAACATCAAAATCACAAAGGGGGAGGCTTGTCAGATCATGACCGAGTCGACTCAGAATCTCCAGATCGCCTGTGATGTCTTCCGGAGACACATCCACTCCATTCGCAAGAAGAATCGACCTCAGGACCCCAATTTCCTGAAGATCAGCATCGCATGCGGCAAAGTGGAACAGTTCATTGAATCAATTTTCCCGTCACAAAAAGTAGAGGATGCGCTGGCCAGAAACAAGGCCGACGAAGCTCGAGCGGCCCTCGCACAGAAAGAGAAGGAAGCAGGCAAAGCAGGTACTAAAGAGACCTTGATGTTGCTCGGCGCGGTGATGGGCATGCTGCTTTTCGTCACATTTTCCATGGTAGGTGCATTTTGACATACTCACGTGGCCGCGCTAACGTGCCTTCAGCTTGTTGTTGCGTGGCTCGCAGGTGCCAGATTCGACATTGCGTTCGCCGAACTCAAGAAGTCGTGGGTCGATATCAAGGCGAGCGGTCTCATTCCAGGCTTGGGTGGTCAAAACCGGACGCTGACCAATGTCACGAATCATGGCGAATTATGAATGCTGTATCAGCACCGGGACGTGTACATTACTACTAATAGGACAAATTACCTGGCGTTCTCGCTGTCCCACAAGTCTTCCCCAGCAAAACCCGTCCAGACAGAAAAAGTTGATTTTTGCGAGTGACACGACGTAAAAGCACGGATGTCAAATTGCAACTCAGCCGCTTTCATGACTGTTGTTGTGCCGAAGATGTGCTGATATTGATCGACAAGAATGCTCGCCATTGACAATTGACAGGCCTCAGACTACTTCTTTAAGATGTCCTGTTACGGTCGAGCATACATATACCACCACTACTAATGTAAAGATATTTGGGGCACTCCAACAACTAAGTCATTTCAGTTTCTTGCCAGATTGATTACACAGGACTTCGCATGTACTGGGGAGCGGATCCTCGCCATCTCCAATGCAATAGAGCGACCATCCGTCCGATGGCCTCGTTCTTGAGAGGTCTGCTGTTATCACGGTATTTAGACCATGCAGGGTCTGGTAAAGTAGACAGATGCCTGTGGGCACTTTTTCTTTGGGTCTCCCAGGTTGGGCATCATGTCTTGCTGATGATACTCCTCAAGTTCTTGTTATTGTCACCTGACACTCCTCGTGAGTCGCGCAGGATTTCCTTGTCACTCTACCTCGTACAGTGTACCACCGTCATCGACCCCAACACTCGTGCACACATGGCAAAGGTGCATTGGGCAAGGGGATCTTGGGGGATTCAATTTTGCCATCAACGGCAGATGGCACTTCCGAGGCGCTTAACGAATGAGATGTTTGCGCTGCTGGCTAGCCAAAATGTGGGTTAATAGAATGACCGCGCGTTAAACAGGGAACCAATTGGCGATGCCGACACTGATGCATCGACGTCACCGCCTTCTCCAGTGCATCAGGTGCTGCCTCGGTGCCTTTTGCCTCGATCCGCTTTTTGAAAACGGCTTTCGAGCTCAGCTCCTCAAACGATCGATCGAGGAGGCTGGTTTGTGTCTTCCGTTTCGGGAGCGCTAGTAATCCTGCTTTTGCCGGGAGAAAATGCTCAAACTTGTTCACGATACAGAGTGCCCGTAACAGCATGTCGGATCCTGGTTGCGGCCCTGTCGTTCCTGCTTCGTCTTGGCCATCTCGACGTCTCGGCTATGCGGCCGCTGCATGGTCGGCGATCCAGAGATACCGGATCGACCCTGACATACCGCTCAAGCTTTCCTTGCGGAGGATCTGCGAGTTTCGAGCGATGAGTCCTAGCGCTTTGCCGTTATGAAGTGGACCACGACGAGATGGCATTCTTTTCCTGCCCCCGAGAGCTAGACCGTACAAGGGGATTTGCGGTCCCCGTTCAGCGCCACTTGCCGAGTTGCTTGCCCAATGCTATAAGGGCCGACGAAACCCTGGCTCGTTGCTTCTTCTGTTCCTTTCTACTGCGTTCATATCGAGCCTATTGCCTTCAAATACCCTCAGCAGCCCAATGAGTACCTGCAAAGTCGGTGTAGCAAGCTACACAATGACGTCTTCTCGATAGACTCTGCCCTTTACTACTTCTATTTGCTTATGGTCTGCAATCGTCTGCTTGTCCTCTTACTTTTACCCGCAATTCGAGCCATTGTGCGAGCATAACCATTACAAGATCTCGTCGACGTCGCATTACATAGTTCAGCCTTGCTTTGTGTACCTGCAAAATGTTTGCTATGCATCGGGCCGGTTGATCAGCATCCCAATTCCAGCATAAGTCGAGTCATCCATCAACCAATAGGTCAATCTTCCCTTGCAACCTGCACCTTTACCCCGCGAAGCGCCTTTCAGCCGTATGCGATTCGGGCGCAGATTGCTGCAAGGCGTCCGTGAACCCAGTTACGCATTCACTGCACGAGGTGCATAGCCGAAAGACCAGGAGAGGCCACGGAAAGGCCCCAGCAGTGTGATACCGGGCTAGTTTCAAAATGGATCAGGCTCTCGGTATCGGCCTGAATGGCGTCAACCTCGCCCTTACCCATCAGGAGAAGGTTCTTGATCCTTTACACCGCAAATATAAGAAGATGCGTGGACAGGGCCCTCAACGAGATCCCGATCTCTACGACAGGAGAACAATGGAAGAGAAAGGTCTTGTGTTGCGGCGTCGAAGAGACGTGGGTTCGGACGAAGAGATTGTTGAAGTGGTGCGACACAGGGGTGAAATCCTGCCTCGACGACCCGGCCGTCCCCATCAGCAACGGAGATCCAGTTCCATGAACAACGCGCGAACAGCAGGAGCAGCCGGTGCTGGTGCTGGGGCTGGTGCTTTAGTTGCCTACAATCGAGGCCGAGATCAAGACCATCATCGGGACAGTTACTACGACTCCGAAGGCTCGGTCCCGCCACGCTCTCGAGTACGCGCGAAATCTTCGTCTGGTCGCTCCCGTCGCAGACGGAGCTCATCTTCCTCCTCCTCGTCCTCCTCGTTGGTTTCATCGACCGAAGAAGAGAAGACCATTCACAAGATGCAACGCAAAAAATGGATAACCGCTGCGTTGGCCAGTGTGGCTACCATTCATGCCGCCTCGAAGGTGTACTCTTCGATTGAGTCGCACGACAAACGTATGGAGAAAGTTCGTGAAGGAAAATTGTCTCCGGAAGAGGCCCACAAGCAACAACGAGCGTCCCGATGGCAGGACGCCGCCGCGATTGGTATTGCCGCGCTGGGCATCAAAGGTGCTGTGAGCGAATGGAATGAAGTGTCCGAAGAACACAATCAGCACAAGGAACTCCTCTCACAGAAGGAGGAACACCACAAAAGGCGGCTGGAGCGAGAACGCCGTGCCCGAGCACGAGAACATGGCGGTTATTACAAGGGACGTGACGGTCGCTGGTATTACGATGGCCCTGTACCCCAGAGTAGTGAAAGTTACCGTGGAGGTGGATCCGGCGCTGGTGGTCACTACGATGACAGACTCGCCATCAAAGATTCGAATCGCGCAAGGGACATGTATGAAGAAGCTGGCGGTGTCTCCCCGGAGTACGATGACACCCGCAGCAGACGGTCTAGGTCTCGACGTGCGGTGAGTCGCGGTCGCGGGAGCGACTACTGATTCCCTTCCTTCTTGTCCCTATTTTCTTTGTTGTGAACAACGACAAGGTTAGGTCGCGAATGCGCTAACGCGCTGTTGGGAGGGAGAAGAACGCGAGAAGCACATCGAAATCGCCGCCACCAAATAACCAGAACAACAAGACACCGGAGAAGACGAGAGCGACCCTGGGCCAACTTGGGGCCGATCTTGGGGAGGAGTTGTTGGGCATTTGACGGAATCTACACCGCTGGGATATGCTATCGAATTCTCAGCATGGCGCTTCGTGGCACTGGGCTGTTTCCTCTTCTCTCCTTCACAGCATCGGCCCAGCTTCAGCATCTCGGAAATACTCTTGAGGAAGACAGATGGGTTTATAACATTGTGACTAGGCAGGACATGCTTTTCGACATTCAGGAGTATCTCTCTCATGCGGATTGGAATCTAGCGATTGCATAGCAAACAAGCGAGCAAATCATGTTGGCGAAGCACTGGGGAGCTGGAAGAGACCAAATGACGATATCGACGTATGCGCGGACGAGACTACGAGACATGACTTGATGAGGATGGGATAGAGTCACCAGGAGTGTCCCTTAGAATGAGAACTTGAAATCCCCTTTTTCCCACCTGTTTTTCGCGGTGCCTCCACGATCATGATATCTTACGCTCGGGGGACGAGTTCTCATCTTCCTCAATCTCGGTTCACGTGACTGTTGTGCACATGATTGCGCGTCAGGGTGAACGCGCCATTAATTACCAATTTCCTGAAACTTCGCTTCCACTCCTTGAATTAAAGCATTCCCATTTCCTGCCGGTTGTTCATCATCACCAGCAGTACGCAAGCCAACCATCACAGCCGCGGAAAAGAGTTCTACGAGGTAGGGCCATGGAGTGGACATCTTCTCTGAAGCGAACACGGAATGGCTCGATTTACTCGGATACAACATCAACATTGCGTCAGCTCAGCGGACACGCGAATAAACGTCGGAGAGCTATGGCGGAGAGAGAAACTCGTAGCACCGCGTCTTGTCACCTGGAAAATCTACCGGCTGAGTTGTTACAACAGATATTCCTCACGGCCATGAACGGAAACTTGCTCACAGCCTCGCCGCGAATCGCTGTGAAGTTGTCAGGAACACAAGCTGTTTACCGCGCTGCCTTTCTCCTGGCTTTCTACAGCCATGACGTTGATAACATGTTCACCATCTACAACTTACACTATCTTGTTCCTATCCTTGATCTTCCGCTTTCCAGCTGGGATGTCAGAAGCATGACACGAGCCGTGCTGAACAGCTCCTGGTGTACATGGGGTCAAGTGAAGATGTGGCTATCAGATAACCTGCTGTACGCTATCACACAGTTCCAAGCCATCGCTAAGGAGAAGTGTCTCCCTCTCTTCATCAAGCGTTTCCTAGAAGGACAGAGCGATCTGGAAGTTCTGCTGGGGCGGTGCATGTCCGGTGAAGATGAGGATAACCGCTGGTTGCAACTAGAGACGTGCATGTGGGACGTCCGCTTGCAGAGGGATAGTGACATCTATGAAGATGAGCAGGAGAAAGACGCTGCGATTGACCGAAATTATGACCTGAATGCTTATACCGCCGATTGGGACTTTGAGCTCATCTTCCAGTGTCAGATGCGAGTTTTTGGGGTTTTGACCCTCGGCGATGAGAAGGCACAAAGTTACAACCTGCATTATAACGATGCCTTTCGCAATGTTGTCGCTCAGATCATAGGATCTGATACCGAGGACGTACAACAGCAACCATCACTGGACTTCTGGCGCCTCCTCGACGAACGAGCCCTGCGGGCAACTCGCAATGCAAATTGGCTGCGCGAGACCCTCGCCATCGAGTACTTCTTCTATGCTGAAGATCAGCCTTACAAAGTTTCTCCACGTCTGTACAGAGCTGCCGCCTTGGCCGACATAATCCTCGAGGAGAGTTCTTATACAGAAGGATCTATTCATGTTCCGGTGCTTTATGTGCTTTTTCAGGTTGACCCCCGGGGTCTACCAAGGGAAGATCCAGCATTGTTAGGCTGGGCAGCAAAAGCCCGTAAAAGGATACTCGATTTCTTTGACAACCTGGGAGATTTGCAGTGCGAAGTGGCTGAACAAAGGCACAAGCGTGGTGACACACTCAACAATGGTGATTGGTGGAGGTATAGCGCTTTGGAACTCGAGTACAGATTCCGGTACGAGATGGATTGGAAAATTGCTTCATACATCAAAACCGGCTCTCTGGGAGAATCACTTCCGGACCCATCAGCTCCCGATTTCACGCAGCCGCTAGAGTGGCTGGGGGAGAGACTCAATTCTTGGCCAAAAGCGCTTGACGAAGCCAGGAAGCTCTCCTACCCTACCCTGAGGGGCAAAGACGTTGATATCTTCCACGGGGACGTCGGTGAAACTTGGGACCACCCCTTCCCCTCTGAGCAAGAAGACGTGGAGCAGGCTCTTTACGACCATTTCGACACGATTGACATAGAAATCGAATGGGACGCAAACTTCCGCCTTGATAGGATTAGCAGAGCGGAGGCTCACTATGCTCTCACTACCCCCGACGCATATTACCAAAGCGATTCCAATACCACATATGACGGGCTTTTCGCCAGACATGGTCTCTGGACCATGGATGAATCCGAGTCCGACGGTGAGGAGAACACGGTCAGTAACGAATGGGACAATGAGGACGAGTACGAAGAGCAAAACAACATCGATGCCGAGGGCCACGTCGGGTGGATGAACAACCTTCGCCATGGACTTCTGGACGAGACACCGATTGAAGTGCACCGCAACCTCTGGGGCCTTGACTTTGCTGTGATGTTCCCGAATGACTTTCACCCAATGCCCTCGACAGACACTGAGTTGATTGAGCCAGTCTACGGGCCACCCCAATGGTTCCATCCAGCAGAGAAGCCATACTTTGAAGAACTTGATCAAGTACACAGTGCGAAGAAGATCCAGAGCACAATCCAGCGGCGCTGAATCGCAATGCAGACGGGTACTTTTTTGCCGCTACTTTAAGCCCAGGTCGTACTGCAGGCTTCAAAATAGTATTGGCGATGTCAACTCGACAGGACCTCCCAATTTATTAACCGAGTCAAATCTCTGCTTCGACCTTCGCAGCCGTGGATAGTTTTCTCGATATATCAGCGGCCAATCTTCAGAAACCCGTCTTCGTATTGGGCATGGGACTCACCTGCGCGACAGGGTTATAAAAGTCCTCTGTGGCATTGGGTACAATCTGGATAGGACCTGATAAGTTCACCACTTGTTTCGCACCGTCGCGGACAAGACTTCTCGCCATATCGGCTTCTCCATCAGAAGCAGCGATGTCTATGCCGGCGCTGATCGTAACCCTCGCTGAAACCCTTCTGGACGTGGCCAAGCTGACACGATATCCGGGGGCAAAGAGTCTCGCTGGGACATTCAGTCAGCGCTGCCAAATTTAAAGCGAGCCGGATGCTTACTGTGGGGACGAACTCGAGGAAACAAAGCCACCCGTATTCCAACGATGCCGGCCGACATCGCAGCCTTATCATACCAGTCGACGCTCGAAGAAGTGTTGCGCCAGCCACTCTCTTCAGGGCCATTGGTGCCCACCACGTGTTCGCTGGGCCTCTGATCTTGCCAATTTTCTCTGTGTTGGAACTGGTCTTTCTAGGATACTCGATTCATACGCAAGGACCTACGTCGCAACTTGGCCAATTCCGAGAGGCCCAAGATCTTGGTACTGTCGGACGCCCTAGGACAGTCAAGCGTCCATCTGAAGCCATGAGGATTTCTGCACTGCGCTGCGGCTAGTGCATCAAACGCCTGAATCATCAATATGTCGTCTTTCGCGCCTAAAGGATGTGGTTCTTTCCGCCTCATGAAGAGATAGAAGGCTACTTTAGGCCTGGGTGGTCTCGAGTCTCGAGTCCATGGCCACGATGCCTTTGCCGACTGCTTTCGGCTGAGTTCTTGGAACGAAAATGTTCCCGCCCCATACCTCATGCTGATATGTGCAATTTCCGAGTTTGAACTGGGTAACCACTGTTACGACATCGGCCTTCCAGCACGACCACATCATGTGAACTCCTGCCAGCAAAGCCATATGTTCCCCTGTGGGCGAAGAGCTGGTCAGGATCTTCAGAAGCCCATAATACGGTGCCATCGACTTTGACAACCTGAGCGTCAAGCACATTGACCGGATCCTAAGTCAGCCTATATTCCGAGGACAGCCAGAAGTGTCCACCACGGAAAATACTTCAATCATACCCATAGAAGCTGTGCGCACAGAAACAATTACGGAATACGGAGTACCACTACCGATTTCGGTGTCCGGGAGATTCCATGTCGCGAAGGTATCATACCCAACCTTCAGCGGCAGAAGACCGGTTCGTGTACATACGCAGGTTGCTTTCATCGGGTCCGCGAGCAGGTCCTATAGAGACACGGCACTAGGATCCTTTTTCAGCTCAGCCTCAATCCGGCTGTGCTCAGTTGTTCCTGCCGACATGTACGGATCATTGATGTGGCCCAGCTTCGCAACGGTCACCGCTGAATGGCAGGTAAGATCGAGTAGTAAGCGTAAGGAGGACTGGTACGCAAGATCCAACAACAACTCGCCCGGATGTCACAAGCGACGATCTTGCAAGCTCTTGACAGTCGCTGCCTTGGGTTGCTACGCAGCCTCTTTCCTGGCACAGCAGCTCCTCCACCCAAGGCTGACCTGTGCTGTCGATGCCAGCACTCTGGACCGACTGTAAAGAGGAATAGTGGTGGACTTGCAGCATGAGGGCTCAAATGCCATGATCAGTGCTCCAGCGTGGCGGACGGGAACTGGCTGTGGCAGGTTGCCTCATACTCGCTCTTACTACCGAAGATGGAAAACAGACAGCTTTCACAGGTCGTGTCGTGGCTGACAACAAAGGAGCCCGCTGTGCTACGATTGGCATGGCGGGTTTTGCTGATGAGGCTCTACTCACGGACAGTGAGCCTTGATTGGGTTAGTGGAGTCTGCACCATGGACCCGGGATCTTGACATAAGCACGACACGCAGACGTTGATGATATGACCGCTCTCGGAAGTGGGACACGGAATCGGAATGCAGAAACTGTTTACGGCTCCCGGAGCATCAACCGGTTTGTTGATGCTTTTACCATACCCAAGCCCAGCTGAGGCCCGCGGGCATCACATTCGCATTCGAGTGTGGTCGCGCCCTAAAGAGCCTCGTCAGTCGACCTCGCGTAGCATAGAATTCCTGCCCCACGAGCAGGATCATCAAGAATCCAGTCTTGTTTTCACAGTAAGGGCAAGCGGGGCGCCATACACTGCCATTCGAACCTCACAGACCATCCAACACCGTTAAGGGAGCAAATGTGTAAGGTCAGCATCGATCTCCAACAGTCAGCAATCCTGGCGGCTGTAATCTCTCTATCTGGTCCTTTGTGTCAGAGCAAGGCTTTCCTCTGGTATGATATTGTGTTGTCAAGCGAATGCCCTCAGGACCGAACACCTGTGGGTGTAAGGCAGCAGAGCAGGAACGATGATGATCGACTCGATCATTTCAGCAGCCTATTTCCGCATACCTATCGCGATCGACATCACAGTATCTTGTCAATGAGCTGACTTGGCCTGATCATGCCATGCGTCCGTAGCTGCGGTGGGATGACAACGACGGAGCGGCTTCGGCGACTCATGTTTGCGTGTGCCATTTCCTCCCCGGTATCTGGGGGAGTATAAAGCAACGATGAACATGGAGCCTCATCTCCTGGCTCGGTCGCCACTTTCACTCATCTGTAGGAGGGGTGCTCGAAGAATCTTCCGGCTAATTATGTATCTTTCCTCAATTATTGCCGTTGCGACCGCCGGTCTGGTCTGTGCGAAGCCCATCAAACAGATCAAACGACAGACTATTCAAGATACATACGACTTCATTATTGCTGGAGGTAGGACAACACCCTTCGGCTGGAGTATCCCGGTGTATGCATGCGTGCTTAGTAGCCATTGTTCATAGGCGGCACTGCAGGGCTTGTCATCGCGAATCGATTGACTGAATGTCCCAATATCAAAGTGCTTGTGCTCGAAAACGGGCCAGTGCCAGATGCGGTTGCCAACACCAAGACGCCAGGCGGGAATCAGTATCTTGCTGGTAAGTTCCGACGATCTGCTCTTCGATTCCCGCTACTGTGACTAACCACTACTCTGCCCAGGTACGGCGGTTGACTACAACTATTATACAGTGCCGCAGAAGAACTTGGACAATCGGATTCTTCCCTATCACAGTACGTGTCCACCCTGCAGCGGTCAAGGCAGAAAGGGAACGAGGGTACTAACCGATGCTTAGGAGGCCGGGGGCTAGGTGGTAGTTCGACAATCAACGGCCTGTACTATGGAAGGGGAAGCGCCAGCGTGTTCGACAAATGGGTCCAAATGGGCAACCCAGGCTGGGGATGGGATGACCTCTACCCTCTAGCCGTCAAGGTGTGTACTATCCACGGCGGTGGCCACTGGACTAAATCGTGGCTAACCGTGCAGCAAACACACTTCAATGCTCCCAACTTCCACGACACCAACGACCACAGTTTCGAGACGTGGGATCCCACAGCATATTCGAATGGAGAGCTCCAGATCGCGTTCCAGGGCTTTGTGCCCGACTCGAATGTCGGCTTCATCCGAGCCGGCGAAGCGATCGGTATCGCTATCGTCAACGAACTCAACAACGGTAACAACACGGGCGTGAAGCAGGGTACCGGGTGTTTTGACAGTCGACTCAGACGCAGCTCCAGCTACGAGGCCTTCTACGTGCCGATCCAGAACCGCACCAATCTCGATGTCCTCCACTATGCGTTCGTCACGGCGATTCAATTCACCAAGAGCAGCAACGGAACATCCATCGCCACGGGCGTGTCCTTTACAGATCAGCCGACAGGGCAGTTCGTCAACGTCAATGCCGCCAAGGAAGTCATCGTCACCATGGGAGCGTTCAACACGCCTCAGCTGCTGATGATCTCGGTGCGTAAGCCCTGCATGTAGACAGTCGCGGCGCTCTTGTTGCTGACATCGCTTCTAATAGGGTACTGGGCCAGAGGCGCAGCTGACCACCAACGGCATCAAGCCAGTGTACATCAACGAGAACGTCGGTCAAAAGTAAGTCTCGGACTCGAACGCGAGAGTCACCGCGGATATTTCTGCCTGTGTACTGACATTCCGTGCCCGCAGCATGAACGACCACTCCGTCTTCAGCATCATGGCCACGGTCCAGCAGTCGGCGTCAACCAGCTCCATAGCCATCAACGACAGCACCCTCGCGGCCGCAGAGCAGCAATTCCTCGGGGACGGAACGGGCCCCTGGTCCGCGCCCTCGGGCATCACCAACGCCTTCCAACAGCTCTCCGACGCGATGCTGCAGGCCATCGGCGCCCAAGCCGTCCTCGACGCCGGCCTGGTCAACCAATCGCACGTCAAGTTCCTGTACGAATCCGTCTTCTACCCCAGCAACGTGGCCCTCTTGCCCGGCAGCTCTGGCTCCAGTGCCTGCTCCTCGGGCAACACTGCCCACTCGCTCCCAATCCCATACTACATCCCGCAGTCCAATCTGTCGTACATCTCACTGACGGCGTCCCCGCTCGTGGCCCTCAGCCGCGGCAGCGTCACGCTCAAATCGTCGTCCATGTCCGACGCCCCCAACATCGACCCAAACTACTACGCCGACCCGACCGATCGGGCCGTGGCGATCAACGCGTTCAAGGACCTTCGCAAACTGCTCGCCCATCCCGCCCTCGCGCAGTACACGGTCGGGCCCGATAACGGCGAGGTCCAGCCTGGGGTGGCGCACGTTCCGGCCAACGCCTCCGACGACGTCATTTTCCAGTACATCCAGGCCAACACGATCCCGAACTGGCACGCCAGCGGCACGTGCCAGATGTTGCCGGAGCGGGATGGCGGCGTCGTTGACCCGAGGCTGCGCGTCTATGGCGTCCAAGGTCTCCGCGTTGCCGACGTGAGTACCGTGCCGAGATTGCCGGATGTGAATCTCCAGGGGCCTGTGTTTATGCTTGCCGAGAAGGCGGCCCTGCTGATCAAGGAGGATTATGGCTTGACTTCAAGTTATTGAGGGGAGGCACAAAGGCTACTCTGTTTCGGTGATCAGGGAGGAACATGGCTTGACTTGTTAAGCTGAAGCATAGAGGGTACTGTATGTGTGCGTGTATGCGTGGTTGTACCCATCAGACGGAGTGGTCTTACTGATGGGAAGGAGGGACGGGGGTGGGAGGGAAGGGTGGGGTGTCATTGAGTTTAACGGTTGACGCTTGGATCGACACAACATGACCTCCCGCTTGACATGGGTTGACTTGACTTGTCTTGACATGATCCGACTTGAAATCACGAGTGTGATGACTCAGGTGAGAAAGGGGCCATGTAAGTAATTGTCAGGGCAAGGGAAGGATAGTATAGAACACAGACCGAGAACGAGGCTGTAGCCGCACACACACACACACACATTCTCACAATCTGACAGGCAGGCGTACAGTAACTCAGTAACTAGATACAGTACAAGTGGATAATTAGCGGCTGGGAGCCTGGGAGGGCATTACAGTACTCCGTACCTCGAGGAAGGAGCCTGCCTTTCCAAACGCCCTTGGCGATCCCGATCACCCGCGTGGAGATCATCGGGCTCCCACGGCTCTTTCTTATATCAAGTGAAGACGTGTCTACCAGCTGCGCAGATCTCAACCGACAGACTAATCCGTAGGTTGTGCCCTGAAGTCGTCAAAGGTAAACACACGCGCTATATGGGTCCCCGCTGCTCTACACCGCGAATACGGAGTACAGCCATACATAAACGGGGTAGAATGCTGTGAAGCATGAATGGCATCGTACTGTACTCCGGACAACCAGTTAGTAAAATTCCTGGCAAAGCATGAAGGGAGTGCCGCCGCCGCTCATGCGGAGTATCTTGCATAATTGAGCGCGGTTTCATTCGACGACTTCAGGGAAAGACGGAGTACAGGAGGGTGAGTTGCTACCCCCCTCTGGAATGCACGCGTAATCGACTACCTAGGTGAGTATTGGGTATTAGGTACATAGGCGACAGAGCTACAGTACAGGAGGGCCAGGATCGAACTGCTGTTCTCTATTCCATTCGCACGCGTCACTATTGTGCCGTAACTCAAGACTCCTCTAGGTAATCTGTAAGAGTAAAATCTTCGCGCGCAACACACTGAACACAATGCCTCTAACTCGCTGCTATAAACATTTTTGATGCTGGAACAAGAAAAGAAGAGCGCCCTGTATGTCGTCTGTCGTCAATCTGTACCCCGTACAGTATCCGAAGCTCCCAGGTTAGGCGAGATGCAAGCTCGCGGATCGGTAATCAAGAGATCTCGGCGGACGGACAAATACTCGATCCATCATTCAGCAACCATACACGTAGTAGACCAGCCAAACTTTTATCAAGCAGCTAACCAGACCCGGACGGCGGGAATGAGGGGGAACAGTGAGATGCCTTGCAATGACGCCTCCGTATGAGTAGACAGTCGCGCTGTCAAGCACTATCTCACTGACCCCTTGCCTCCGCGACGACCTTGTACGAACTTGTCTTGATGCTCTTCGGTTTCGACTTGGGATAGAGACTGCAGCTCGATCCGACGCTCGTCGAGACCGCGACAGTGCCGAATCCATCCGCCGTGGCGCCAGTGCCTGTTGACGCGGGATTCGAGGACGACCGCTTATGGTAACTTGCCCCCACGCACTCAATCCCGTCACCCAACTCGACATACCCGAATTCGGGTTTCAGTTCGCCGAGCCGTTCGACAATCTCCTCGTTCCAGATGCCGTAGACTTTCGTCTTCTCCAGCAGCCAGTATGGGTTGAGCAGCGTGCAGGGCGAGTCCAAGTCGATGAAGCGTATCCTCACGTACTCGAGGCTCGGGAATAACGGCAAGGCCTCCACAGTCTGGAGCACCAGTCGTTCAAAGGCCTTGATGAAGACGAGATTCGTGATGCCCGCTCCGTCTGCAATCACGCCGCCTAATTCGTGGATGATGAGTTCGCCCGTGTCGGGATCTATTTCCGTGACGCGTTGCCGGCAGCACGATTTCACGACGAGCTCAAGGTGCTTGAGTCTGGGCTCTTCCTTCTGCAACGAGAGCGCTGAGATGGCGCTGGTCCAGAGACATTCGCAGACTTTGCCGGTAAATGAGAGCGACTCCAGATGAGGGAGGACCTGGCCGAGGCTTTCGCATAGATGTTGAGTTTGATGGGCGTGCAAAATCGGTGACCCGGGGAAGCTCGAGCCCAGCGTTGTGGGATCTTTGCTGTACATTCCATCGAGGGAGATATTAATGTGTCGAAGCTGAGAGGGCAGGCGGGCCAGAATCTCGTTAATGGTGACGTCGGCCTCGTAGCGCGGTTTGGCGTAGCCGCAATGCCATTCTTCCACGTTCGGGAGAGCCTTCTCGATGGTCGCCCAATGGGTGTACTCGCGCATAATATTCCATGCCCCTCGCATGGCGAAGGTGCGGATGTTGGGTAACTGTTCGAGGCGCTGGTTCGGATTGGGAAACAGCGTCTGAGGAAACTGTCGGATCATGTTTGACTTCTTGCAGTGGCCACCTTCGAGGGTAAACACACGGGCGTGGGGAAAGAAACAGTTGATGTGCGAGAAGATCTCCGACAGCGTCGCCGAGTAGACGCATAGTTTGAAGCTGAAGCTCAACGGGTCAAGCGCGGGCATCAGGTCTCGCTCGTGGGCTGGGAAATTGGCGAGCTGGTGGAATGCATTGCTGCCGTCGAGGAGAAGCCCAGGGCCGAGAAAAGGATTCAAGGCGCGGTCGTCAAGAGATGCTTTGTCTCCCCAGACCGGCACCCAGAACTCGATATGTCGCACGAGCCGCGTGAGATGCGAATGGTTGCAGAAGAACTCCTCCGATTCTTTCAACCCGGCTCTTGTGCCCTTGATCTTGATGTGTCGGTATATCCGTTCTTGCACCAAGTCGCGCCAGGTGGGTGAGACCAAGGCAAGGTCTGAGACGGCCTTCCTCCGCGGATGTCGCATGAGTGACGATACGCTCTTTCCTCGCAATGATGTCGACCCGGCGTAGACCGAATGCATGTCTCCAAAGATGAAGTCGAGCACTTTACCCTGGACTTCCAGTGGCAGGTCACTCAGCGACGATGGTTGCCTTGACGTGTCGTGCTGGGTTCCAGCCGTCTCAGCCGTCTCCGTATTTTGAACCGGCAAGTCCGTCCCCCGTATGGTAAGAACTCCCATGGTTTTCCCAGCTTGATCGAGGGCGTCGGCCACGGACGGGGCTCGTTTCCGAGGCGTCATTAGGGGGAAAGCAACGTCTGAGCGGGAGACCTTGGAGGGTGGTACTGAATGCCGCCCTTGAAGATCTTGCGCCGCTGTCGGGTTGTCGAGGACTACTTCTTGTACAGGCATTGTGAGGAGACTGCGCCGGCCTCGAAGGCCGCACTCACGACACGCACAGGATTCTTGTTGTCAGGCGTAGACGATCGAGGCCGGTTACTGGGATTGCTGGCCGTTTCGGAGGGTGGAATGCGGAGCAGCTGAATGCTTCGGGCGGAATTTGCTGTCGCTGTCTCTTGATGCTTGTAGGACCGACGGTCCCGTGGGAAATTACGCCGGATGCAAAGGTGACGGCGGACACGTTCCTTCACTTAATGTCCGGTGTTCTGCTACAAGGACAGGTTGCAGACGAGTGAAGGGGGCTGAGGGGGCTGGCAGCTCGAGTCGGTGGTTTGATTATCGGGCGGTTGCGATTTGATTGCGAGACGCACAGCCACAAGCACGAGTCACCATTTGCACTGCCACGGCCACCCTCGCTGCCGCCTACACAGTTAGCTCGCAAGCTGTTTCGTGTCATCCGCAAACATTGTCGAGCACGACCCTGAGTCTTTATTTCCCATGCTGTGTTCTCTATTGTACGTGTAGGTGGGGGTTTAATATTCGGCAGCGGCATGAGTGGAAACAAAGGCTTGCGCAAGCCGACCTGGCCTATTCGTATCCCGCCATAACATCGACATAGAGATCCTCCAACCCTCGCATCTTCGTCTTGTCTATCGCCGGATCATTCAACATCTTCAGGAACGGGTCGGTCTGCCCCACGGTATCGGGGTCGGTCTGCGATATCCGCCGCACATTGGCCTGAGACCTGGGGTCTACCAGTTCCAGGAAGACCTTTCGTCGCAACTCGGAGTACCTGTCCAGCAGCTTGTCCGACTTGCCTTGGTTGATGACTGCTACTAGAACATCACCCAACGCGCCAGCATCCAAAATGCCTCCAGTGAGACCCATGCCCCCAAATGGATTGCACAGATGCGCAGCGTCGCCAGCAAGCAGGACGGAGCCCTTCCGGAAAGTGGTTGCACATCTCTGGTTGATCTTGTAGGGTGACGCATTCTTCAAGTCGTATTTGAGCGGTCTCTCACCAGGAAAAATCGCTTCGAACTTCATGGGCTGTCGATCCAAGAGCTCTTGGTGTGTCAAGCCAGGGAGCTCGCCGTAGGAGCACCTCCACAAGCCTGGCTCGCTCAACTTTGCAATGAGACACCAGTGGTCTTTGTCAACGATAAAGTTACCGCCCTGAAACCCATACTTCTCGAATGGATAGACGACGTTGCAGGCAACCAGGTTGAAATCCCACGTGAACCCTTCGAAAGGAATGTCGAGCAGACGACGGACGCTGCTTCGACCTCCGTCCGCGCCGACAAGATACCTGGAATGGAGCTGTTTGACGCCCTCGGGGGTCTCCACCGTAACATCCACTCCTGTGTCCGAGTTCTGGATCTCAGTCACTTTGTGGTTGAACAACACCTGACTACCCTCGCATCGCTTGTAGTGCGTGAAAATGACCTCTGCAAGCTCATGTTGTCCCAGAACCAGAACTTCATACTCGCCGGGGTCCGGCCTACGGTCGATCTCTGCGATGATCTCACCATTGAGCTTCCTCCAGCAGACATCCGAGCCTGTGCCTCCTCTTTTCCGGCAGTCTTCTAGCACGCCAGCCCGGTCGAGCTCTCGAACAGAGACGGCGTGGTAGACGGCTGCTCGAGGCGACTGTTCAACATAGGGGAGCATTTCGAGGACGGTTGTTGGGATGCCAGCTTTAGCCAGACGAAGAGCGACTAGTAATCCGACAGGGCCTGCGCCAACCTGTGTGAGGTCAGCACAAGAATCGAGGCTTCGACAGGACGGTTACTTGCCACAATAACGTTGTCCCTCTGTTGTCCAGGGGGCTTCTCACCACCGTCGCCATTGAGAAGGGTGCCATTCGCGCCGGTGGCAAGGCCATTTCCATTCACGACAGTCCCTTCTGGTTCGCCCATCGTCGCGACGCAGCAGGCTGGTTCAGTAATCACCAGGCACGAAAGATGACACTGGGATAATCAGCAGCGCAACCACCATGTTCCCCTGGAATCCACGTCGCCCTCATATACATTACATCCATGTCGCAATGCCGCACCCACCATGGTAGAGCAGCTTCTCCATGCAAGTGGAGTTGCGGGGCACAAGTCATCTAGAAAGTCGGAGCGGCAGAGCTCCCCAACCGAACTTGTGTGGGGTACATTTAGCAGACGGGCCACGACAGGCTCAGCGCGCCCAGCACAATTGGAGCAGTCGCATGATCGCATGGTGAGGCTCGTGATAGCATATTGGTAGATTTGAAACCTCAATTGCTCCTCAACACGCGATTCCGCGGCCCGAGATGGACGTTCGCGATACTGCTGGTATCGATGGTGCTGTTTCCACGTGGTCGAGTGGCGGTTGACTTTGATATGACATCCGAGGCAATTGTCTTGTTTGTCGTCTCTCCCGAACTTTTGGCCGATGGAGAGACTGCTTGCCTTGGCTCCATGCTCGCAATTGACCGCGGCTGCGTTCTTGGCTGCTTTCGCACCACATCCCCGACGATAATGCCTAGTATCCAGCAGTTGATCCCAAAGAAGAGCAGGCTTGCTCCAAACAACCCCGGAACAAAAGTACTCCTCCCCAGGAATTCCAGTTGATATCCCTGTTGCAGCCAGAGACCTTGGCCCAAAACCCACAGCGCTAGTGCCGCTATACCTAGCCACCGCTGGCGGAGGAGGGATGAGTCCGGCAAGTAAAGGGGCAGAAAAATCAAGTACCATAAGAAGTACTGTGACGTGCAAACTTTGTTGAACGTGACGAATGCCAATGTCTGGGCCAGCATGGTTGTTGGTAAGTCTCGTTTCGCCAGGGCAAGAGGGATGAGGACTGTAGAGAGGAGGAGTTGCGGGATGAACGCTAGGGACTCGAACGATACGGATCGTGTTGGCTCAACACCGGACGCGCTCCTAGGCTGGGCTGAAGCCAAGTACAAGAGCGTATTGTAAGGGGAGAAGTTATGTCGATGGTCGATTCGTGTCAAATGGTGGAGGAAGGTATGTTGAAGGAAAGGACCGCAATAGATGTTGTACATCAAGAGGTTGAGTGCTGTGAATGTGAGTGCCGACGTGACAACCAGGATGATGCGGTTGAGATTGATGAACTGCAATGCGCGCTGCGAGATCGGCTTCGGGAATTCCCCTGAAGGTGCAGGAGTATTGAGGGCCCATAACATGCTTGCACCGTAAATGAAGGGGTATATCTTGAAGTGAACGCACAGTCCGAGCAAGAGTCCCGACAATGCAACCTTTTCTGTCTCAAATGCCCAAAGGAGTGCCATGACCAATACACATAGAAGGCCTTCGCTGCTCCCACGGGTGCTAATGTTCGCGACCATTGGGTTCAACAGCCACACGCTGGCATATTTCAACGCTCTCTCTTCCCGCAGCCTCTTCCTCTTAAGTAGCCTGAGAATCAGCCCTCCGGCAATCAGATCACACAGAGCGAACAACACCTTGCCAAAGTGGAACCACAGCCCTCCCCAGCTGGTGGGCAACAAGATCCACGCCAGCAACGGAGTGTATCTGTAGGTAGCACGGTCGTAGGGAGAAGAGTGCCTTGAAACGGCTCGAGCGGCGTCTGTGAAGACATAATAGTCGATGTCCGTGTATTTCAAGGCCGAGACCGAGTCTTGATAGATTCCGTAGACGAGGAGGATGGTGCGTAAGAGGAGCGCTGCGACGAAGACTGAGGTGCGTGACGAGAGGAGTTGTGCAACGAGTGACCCCATGGCGTTGGCGGCAGCTGCATCTCCTCTGCTTTGCAATGTGCCCAAGCAACTTTCTCTTTCTCCCACACACAGATACCTCCTACAGCAGCTCTGGTGCACCGCCGTCACTCCGGAATGTGATGTTTAGAAGTTGACGGGCGTGACGGACACGAGCCGCACCACCCTTAACACCCGCGATTTAAGCTCTCAGGGGCGGCTGCATTAGTGGCCGATGCTGGCAGAGGCGCCAGAGCTGGGAACATCTTTTACGTCAGCTTCACCAGCCTTGCTCCAGCCGCAACCAGTAACGACAGAGGGCCATGTAGTCAATGAGACGGGGAGTTGTTAAGTTATATTCTGGCTTAGGGACTGTCGTCCAGAGACCAACTTGAGAAACAATTCGCGCCTGTCACCTTGACTGAGGAATCAGCAATCCGTTCTCCGAGCAGCGTGGGAATTGGATCAACTTCACCGTAATATTTCGACCTTGTCTTCCCTTTTTGTTCTCATCACTTGTCTGTTACTGTGCAAGGTTTGTCTCTGCATCTGTGTCACCACGCTCGAGACCTCAGAATTCATCATGGCAGGCGTGAAAAGGAAACCAGAAGATATGGCAACCGATCCGGCCACATCGCCTGAGACAAAGTCCCCATTTCTTCCAATTTTCGAAACCTTCCGGGCAGAGCTGGACGAGCACCATGACCGTAGAGAGAATATCACCAAAGCGTCCAGAGATGTGACTGCTCAGAGTAAGAAGATGTAAGTCGGCGCTCTTGGTCGACCGATGTGACCACCACTGAAATCATGTGCGCAGCATCTTCGCCTTACAAAGGTAAGACGCTGTCACAAACAAACGGCCAGCAAGCAACCTGGCTCATGCGAGGAGTACAGAGTCCGTGAGCTGGGCAAGCCTATCCACCCTTCAATTTCGAAGACAATTACTCCCATGTACACTACCATCCGCAACCTATTAGAAGGTGTCGTCCCAGATTTACAGAGCATCAACACGTACCGATACCGAGACAGGATTACAGGAGGCATCCAGGAGTACATCGAAGCGGTGACATTCCAGTACTACCTAGAGACCCAGCGGATCATGAGCTTCGATGAGGCAGCGGCTCAACTCCCCGAAGGTATCATGCTCACCTACGAGGATTACGCGCTGGGCCTGTTTGATATGACTGGCGAGCTAATGCGGTTTGCCATCACATATATGGCCACGAACGGGAAATTACCGACACATTCAGGAGAAGACAAGTCGTCCAAATCTTCGATCTTGACTGATATGCAAGATCTCCGAGCCGCCTTCGAAGGGGTCAATCCCGGGAAAGTCTACCCTTTGACAAAGGAATTCGAGTCCAAACTCAAGACCACAAGGCAGTCGGTGGAGAAGGTCGAGAACGGCGTCTACCAGATGATCGTCCGGGGCAAGGAGAGGCCTAAAGGTTGGAGGCCGGACACCGACACCAGAGGTGGGGGCGAGACTGAGGCAGTGGAGAGCTATTGAAATAGGACAACGCTCAACGAGGAGACAGTTTGGCTTTTAGTCAAATGCTGGGCTACTGCATGAGCTACTGAAGCATTTGTATATCTGGGATCTTGCACTGGGAGGTAGCCACGACCCTGTCAACCTAGATCAACCCCATAAGGAGGGAACCGTTTCGACAGCACTCGGTTTCTTTCATGCCCTTGTCGGATCCTCTTCTGTCTCCAGAATGCCCTCTTTGATCAAGTCCTCCGGCTTCGGCCGATGCTGGATCTTCTGGTCCAGGCTGTCGGCTCGCATCTGCTTTTGCAATGCTTTCTGGCTAGCCTGTAGGGCAGGCGCGGCGTTGGAGTCGGGCAGGATGTTTCCTATCGACTTGTCAGACGTGCGGTCTCTATCCAGGGCGAGTCAAAACTAACGCTCAACCAACTCATCTCGCTCCGGACGCTTCTCCAGGTGCTTTCTGAGGCTGTCCGACTGTTGCTGGCGCTCGAGCTCGTGTTGCTTGGCTTGTAAGGACCTGCGTCCAAAATCAGTACCTGAAATCACCTTTCGAGACCGCGCAGCAGACTTACGGTGCAGCATTCGAATCGTAGAGGATATTGCGGTTCTTCAGGTCCTGGACGTCAGGGCGATGCTGCAGGTGTTTCTCGAGCGAGTTGCGGCGTTCAATGGGTGAGATTGGGGTTTCGTCGACCTTGAGATCGGGCTTGTTCTCTTCGATCGAGTTGGACATGTTGTAGTCGATATGCCTCTGCTGGATGGGCTCTTGAACTTGGGCTTAGGAAACAGAAAGACGAAAAGGAGCTTGGGGTTGCAATGGCTTTATCTGCTTGGTTGGCCCCTGGTAAAGCCGGTTGCCAATGACAATAAACAAGCTGGCGACCTCTAGAATGGCCCTGCTGATCCGATGTGCCAATGAGTCCAGGCTGCCCCGCACTTGGCCAGGACCCTGCCAGGCTAGGACCCCTCCAGGTGTCCCACCATCAGCGCCCGCTAAGCAAGCTCCTGGCCCCCAAGGTGTGCGGGAGCAACCTTCTAGGCACCATGCCGCTAATCCACTAGCTCTCCTCGCCTGCAGCTCCTCCAGGCGTCAAACGTCAGAGCGTGTCGCGCGTCGCAATAATTTGTTCCTGCGCAGCCTGCAGTTTGCCGCCTGCTCCAACGCTCATCTCAGCCTCTACAAAAAACACCTTCCTCTTCTTTCTATCTCCTACTCTACGATGCAGCCGAGATGTGGATCCTCGACAGCAATGCGGACTTCATGCAGGGCAAGCGCATGTGGCTCAAGCCTGGCCAGCGCTACCTCTTCGGTCGGGTGAAGAAAGACGGTGTCATGCTCGCCATCGATCACAAGACGGTATCCAGACAGCATTTCACCATCACTGTCGATCCGGTGAAAGAAGGCGATGTGGGAAATATCCTTGCTCGGACGAAGGTACGAGTCGAAGATCATTCGAAGACCGGCACCTTCGTCAATGGCGAGCCTCTCAAAAAGAAGGATCCAAAGAACGAGGCGGAACTGAATCCCTCCACCGAGCTTAAGCGTGCTGAAAACTCAATTCGACCAGGAACATGCCCGTACGAGTTTACGCTTACGTGGCAGGCGTGTGTGCTCACTTTCAACCTGCTCAAGAAAGAGATCAAGGCTGGCGTGCTAAAGGACAAGCAGGCAAGAGTGCGAGACTATGATATCAAAGGTATCAGTGAATTCTCCAACCACACCACACACGTCGTTGCCGCCAAGAGGAATACTCCCAAGGGCTTGCAGGCACTGGTCAACGGCAAACACCTTGTGACCGAGGCATATCTGGATGCTCTGGATTATGCCACCACCCCTGCAACTTTGAGCCAAGATGTCAATCTATCTCCCTTGGAAATCGACTTCGACGTCAACTGGCCCGACCCAAAAGAGTACCTTCCTCCTCCTGGAAAGGAGCCCACCGCGAAACCGCCAGAGGCCTATCAACCAGATACAGCTCGAGCCAGTGTCTTTGAGCACTACACCTTTGTGTTCTGTGATCAGAATCAGTATGATAATCTGATGCCGGTCATCACAGACGGGCATGGAAAGGCGCTTTTATTCAAGGTGGTTAATGCTGAGACAACGGGTGATGACCTCCTACAATTCGTGCAATGTGTTGCTGGCCGCAAGCATGGTGAGACGCTGAATGGCTGTTCGAAGGGCGGGGTCATCTTGGTCCGTCCTTCCGTCAAGGACGACGCTCTACAGGAATGGACCAACACAATCATCAATGAGACTGTGCTGAAGATGGATCAACGGGCCATTGACCAATCTGAGTTTCTGGAGGCCATATTGTCCAATGATGCTGGAGTCTTGAAGGAGACGGTGCCATTTGAGAGCACAAATGATAGTATCATTGCGCCTGCACCGACTGCTGCTAATTCTCTTGTCTCGCCCACACCAACGTCGGCCCACACGAACGGTGTTCCCGGGTCTCAGATATCAGATATCAGTGCTGCTCCAGAAGCAGATACACGCCTGGCAACAAACGAAGGCGCTCCAGCCGCCCACCATCCGCGGACTGCGTCTCAGAATGTCTCCCAAAACAGTCATTCTGCAGAGCCCACTCCCCGACCGTTCTCAGCGCCTAAAATCTCGCAGGCCCTCAAGTTCAAGAATTTCGATGATGGATTCGACCCGGACGCAATCGATGAGCATGTCGATGATGAGGTCGTTGAGGAAGCAGAATCGGACGATCCTGAAGCACCACGGACACAGCCAGGACTCCAGACTCAGGTCTCGAACATCAAGCAAGAGCCCCTGTCCACGGCTAGGAAGAGACAACGCTCTCCGGAGTCAGCTGATCTTTTTGCTAATCAGATAGATGATCTCCTTCCAGCTGCAACCGGTCTGAAGAGACAGAAGCTAGCGGAGGCAGTCGCCAATGGTCGTCTCGACGTAGAGGTGCCCCAACCGCAAAAGTCGTCGGTCAAGAAGATCAAGAAGGAAAAGGTCCTTGACGTGCGTGAAGCCGTGAGAAAGCGTCTCGAGGAACAGGAAGCCAGAAAGGATGATTCCCATATGGGTCTGCCGGATATTGAAGATAAAGCACCTGCCAACCTGGTCCAGGTTGTTACTCTGGATCTTCCCCTCCGCGACAAGAGTAACGGGACCAAAGACCGTATGAACGGAGACCACGGCTCGGAGTGGGATCCAAAATGGAACGGACGCAAGAACTTCAAGGCGTTCCGTCGCAAGGGCGATCCGCCACAGCGGAGAGTCAATGCTAGGAAAGTTATTGTGCCGCTAGAGCCAGTTCCCATCAAGAGCGGTGGGTTGGGCGATCAATACTGGCCACGCAGCGAAGAGGAAAGGGAGGTTGGAAGGCAACGAAGACGCAAGGAGGAGGCGAGGAGTCAGCGGACGACTCAAAGTCAGACGCAACAAATGAGTGGAAACAGCGGTCGGAGATCGAAGGCCCGAGTAGTGGTTGACGATGACGACGACGATGACATGGACGCTTCTGGTGGAGAGGATGGTCAAGACAGAGTATTCACGCAAACAAGCCCAGCAACATCGCGTCTGCAGCGCGAAGCAGCGGAGATCGCAGAGCACGAAATTGATCCGACCATACCGAGACGGACTCGTGCCGCAGACCGAAATCAAGGAGCCAGCGTGAATGGTTCTGACACCAAAGGCGGCGGCGCGACCCAGAGAAGGACAGAAGTGCAGAGAGGCAAGAGGCCCGCGAGCTCGATTGTTGATACCAGCAAGCCCAAACGTCAGAAGACCTTGCGTGTCACAAATGTCCGGAACGACGACAGCGACGATGACGACGATATGAAATTCCGCTTTGGTACAAGAGCCAGAAGGGGCAGGGGAAGGGGGAGAGGAGGCGGGGCTTGAAGATCGAAGTCGATGGTCGTTCGGGAGCTGATAGAGCGCACGAGCTACGACGGCGACCTATGCACTATTCCGTACATCCGATAAATACCCATCATTTCAAGCATACAAGCTTATTTCCCAGATCTTAGCCCAACGCGAATCTTTGAATGGCCACGTGGCGTCCGCAATCGGGAAAGCCTGCTTCTTATCATGGCAGTTCATGATGGCGACAACGTGCCGTACAACGTGTGCTAACGCCATTGCCCCTTGAGGAAGGCTCCCGGGTCCCATCTGGTGCCCCCGCCAGGATCGGGTTCCCCGCCACGTTGGAGACACTTTCAATGCGGTCATTGGGCAACACGGGCTTGTATCCGATGTCGGGATCGCGACGTTGAGACGATGTTTCTTCACCTTATCTTCCCAGACCCTTCGTAGTCTACGTGACAGAGATTCCCTTCCATCTTGATGTGGAGTAGATCCATTACACGTTCTGTCGCTCCGTTCCCCGCCAGCACCACCACCACCACCACCGCGCGCCTCGCATCACTCACACACCAGCTACGCCCTCCCACGCCGAAGATCGCCAAAATGCCCCTCGTCACTTCTTCCATGGGCCCTCAAAAGCCACGCGTAATCCTCGGGTTGATGACCTTTGGCCCGCCCGGCACGGAGTCCAAAGGCGGCCGAATCACCTCTCTGGACGAATACAACAAGAATCTCGATGTCTTCCAGTCGCAAGGATACAACGAGGTGGACACGGCGCGGGCGTACATCGGCGGCGACCAAGAGGCCTTTACCCGAGAAGCCAAGTGGAAGGACAGGGGCTTGACGCTCGCGACGAAATGCTACCCGGTGAAACCCGGGGATCATGCGCCCGATAAGCTGCGAGCCAGTTTGGAGAAGAGTCTGCACGAGCTGGGCACCGAGACCGTGGATATCTTCTACCTGCACGCGCCGGACAGGTCTGTGCCGTTCAAAGAGACGCTGGAGGAGTGCGACAAGATGTTCAGGGAAGGGAAGTTCGTGCAGCTTGGCTTGTCGAACTTCGCGGCCTGGGAGGTCGCAGAGGTATGGAATATCGCCAATGAGAGGGGGTGGGTCAAGCCCTCGATCTATCAGGCCATGTATAATGCTATTACGAGGGATATTGAAAAGGAGCTGGTCCCGGCTTGTAGGAAGTGAGTGTCACAAGAACCAGAGATGCGGCATTCAATTACCGTAGCTGACATCGTGTGCTCCAGATACGGCATTGACTTGGTGGTTTACAACCCGGTAAGTCCAAGTCCAACTTGAGTCGGCGTCCAGGCTCATTGCTGACCGGTGGCGATAGCTTGCCGGCGGTGTCTTCAGCGGGAAGTATAAGTCGAAATCGGAAGTTCCGAGCGAAGGTCGCTTTGCGGACTTACACAAGGCAGGAAAGGTATGTACTGTATCAGTGGTGATGAAATCCCTGCTTTTCTAGGCATATGCTCAGTCGTGATCGATCTATGGACACCGATTGCGTCAACCCTCAGAGAGCGCTAACAACCCACAACATTGAACAACGATATCTAACACTGTCGCAGATGTACCGCGACCGGTACTTCCAAGACAACACGTTCCTCGCCCTCCAACACATCGAACCCGTGGTCCAGAAGAACGGGCTGACGCTCCTCGAGACCGCCCTGAGATGGTGCATCCACCACTCGGTGCTCAAGTTCGCCAAGGATGGCGGCAACGACGGCGTCATCATCGGCGTCAGTTCGTTGCAGCAATTGGAGAGTAATCTGGCGGATTTGGAGAAGGGGCCTCTGCCGGACGAGGTGGTCAAGGTGCTCGATGAGGCGTGGGAAGTGTACTTGAAGGGGCGAGGGCCGAGTTATTGGCGGTAGTGGGGAGATGTGCGTGCTTGCGGTTGTGTGTACATATGTGCGTGCTGGTTGGGTGCTTCGATGCAGTGGGAAAAGAAGGAAGGCAGGTAACCAGGCACGAAAATGCCATACTCGTGGTCAGAGCCATAACCCTGCCTGTCAGTGACCGGCCCCAGCGCCGCATCTCTAGCGCACTGAAACCACACCCTGCCCAACCGCTTGAATATGGCTACAAGTCGTCGAAATGTGTAACACCCTTGTCCAAACTCGACTAATCCTCTCGTCCTCTCAGTGCTCTCGGCAGCCAGCGCGACGTAGGCACATAGTAAGGTGCCGAACTGTCCCGTCCTACCACTGTACCTGCATATGCGATGTATGCACTTAGATACCCATCTCATTATCAGCGCCCCACCATCAGTCTTACGCTGTAACAGCGTGAGATAGACCACTGTGTAGGTAGTGCATAGTCTAGTAATTAGCCTTGTCTTTGTGTCTTTGCAATCACGAACCAGCTCGAACGCCAAGATCCCATACGGGTCGCCTGACGAGGCTGCGGCTGGAAAGGGTCTTGACCTATTGCACTACTGTATCTCCGGTCAGTGCATAATTAGTCGTGTAGACCTATCGTTCGGAGCATCCCCATTTCAGGCAAGATCTGCTATCACTCACAGACGGACATGTGTGCATCGTAGCGGAACAGCCGACTGAGAAGTTGAAGCTGCTCGTACGAAGAACTCTTATTGTCCAGGGCCACGATGCTTACCAAACAGACGTGATCTTCAGAAACACTATCAGCAAAGACGTCGCAGGACCGTAACGTACTAGGTGGCCAGAAGGACAAGGACCGAGATGACACAGAAAAGCCTGAATTCCACAGCCTGAGACACGTTGATGTCGTGGTACTTCGTATTATATCTGCAATAGGCCACATGAGTGCCGAAACCACAAGGCCCACCCGACAGGACCCCGTGCTCCGAGATAAAAAGACCAGGTTCGGGACGGGACGATACCTGTCTGAGCGGTGAACGAGTCAATCGATTCAAGGACTTCGAAATCGAGGCGCAAAGTGTAAAAAGGCTGCTCTGAATGCTGGGGAGGTCAGACTCCACGGTCGTCCCGGCCCTGAGAGAAAGAAAGCTGCTGAGAGATACGAGGATCGAAGACAGGTTCATGTAGGTGGGCACGGCTTGCGGCCCAGGTGGCAGACAGGTGTGCCTGTACTGGAGCGTTGGCGTCTCAGGAATTCGACCCGGACGCGAGAGGCCAGGAAGAGCTCAAGGACGCACTACAGTGTCTGGTAAACTCCGCACGAATTGCTGGTAGGTGATTTGGTATACTGTGATTGAGACTGTCACTGATGCAGTTATTGAGCACTTTCCACACGGCAAAAGGCACCTTGGAGACATCGTATTCGGTTGACGATCTCTCCCACACATACCATCTGAGCCCGAACCTGGATGAACCACTTCCACAATGGATGGACGATGACGGCGAACAGCACAGCATTGTGGGCGAAATCCACATCCGCAGTCTCTCTCGTAGAAACTACTTCAAGCATCTCCTCAGAGGAGCATGGCCGAAACCGACGCACGAGAACCACGGTGAAACGAAGGGAAGCCGAGTGGTGGCATGGAAGCCGGCCCGCGGGTTGGAGGTTGATGCGAAGCACCTTGAGAGATGTTCCCGATTCTCCTCTGAGACGCTGCATTTGTTGCTGTGTGGTGGACATTGACCCGCGGTGTGAGGAAGGCGCGAAAACCGTCGAGAGTTGTTGTTTGGTTCAAAGACGGCGCCCCTGACTGACAGACTCGGAGGAAGAGGCGCGGGCCTTCTGAATGATCCGGTCAAGGCTGTACTCAAGTTATTCAGAGCGACCTGGTGGACGACCTGTTGTTCGGACATTGAGGAGCAAGCCTGACCTAGTTCCCCTTCCCGGCTTCTGTAGCCATCAACATGTCGTAGGAGGAGTGCAAGGCCTTCAACGAGGTTGGCACAAGACCGCCGGAACGAGACTATGGCATATCGGGCTCCACCCTGTAGGCTCTCCCGCTGTAACTTGCATAGAATGGATAGGGTTCTTCGCCATCCAGAGAAGTGACCAAGTTTGTCTCACTCTGTCTGCCGCCTCATTCGGTGTGCGGGTATGTCTCCACATTGCATGACCTCCGCCTGTGTGTCGACGTCGAGTTTGTCCACTGCTGAGAGCGAGTGTGGACCCCACCAGCTGATACTCGTAGGTATAAGTCGCGGGCGGAGATTGGAAATGCGGAACTGTCGAATTGACAGCCTACTGGAGCCCGTAGCAGAGGTTCAACATTTCGCCGAGCTGAACGTCAAAGCAGTGCCTCCTTGTAAGAAATGGTGTCTGGCGTGACGCATCTGAGCATGTGTGATAGTCGATATTCCTCAGGTGGAGTGTTTTCGTGGGCAGCCGTTCATTGTCCTGTTGCATTCGCCACCTGCTCCTGTCCACCGCCTTGCTTCCACTCGAATTCTGAAATGTCAGCGACGACGCCGTTGTATGTGGCTGGTGCGGCTTACTTTGGCGGCACATCGGACACAGCCCCTTCGAGGACTCCTGCTGAATCCAGGTCAAAAGACAATGCTATGCCAGTCAGCAAGCCCTGACGACTAAGGCCACAAAGTGCGCACCATATGGAATGAGTGACCACACTTTCCCATGAGCAAGGTACAGTCATCGCCAGGAAATTTGCACGTAGGGCAAGTCCCGTCGAATTGGACACGACAGATGCCACAGACTTCATCCTCGGGCATGTCCCATCGCCATGTGGCGACGGCGTGCCACTTCTTGATCTTGACCTTCATGGTGGTTGCCTAGGTGTGCATATGTGTGTGTCGTGATGAATGGCGAGGATGTGGTGATGTTAAGGTTACAATGGTGGGTGGTACAATGTACTCTGGTATTGTTTGTGTAATGCTTCACATGCCTGTCGCGTGTCAAGCGCCGCGTCAAAAGCTCCAGGTCGGCGATCCGAAGATTGGAGACTGAGGATGGAAGGTAACTCGTATTGGTGGTCGCGGTATCCTTTGGCATCCGTATCTGCACTCCCACGCTAATGACTGGCACTAATTGCTCGCAGTTAGCGACAGTACGTCAGATGCGGAGTAGAAAGGAAAAGCTCGGGAAGCTTTGAGGAGGAACTGATACCATCCCGAAGGTTTCTTTGCTAAGCTGTTAGCCATTCTAACCGCTATCTTCATGCGGCTTCTGGTCCAGCTCCAGTAGTTTGTGACGATACAGACTGCTGAGTTGAAAACAGCGGTCCACCTCTCTTGGATCTGGTCGCAACAATGCCACGATAATCTGCCCAAATATCAGCAAGCAACATGCGCGCACCCACGCTGACGGGCTTCGTGCCTCTCTGGCGCCCCGCAGCGGTTCGCCCACTGCAATCCCATGCCCATCATACATCCTTCTTACGATGCCGCGGCTTTTCCTCATACTTCGTGAGCCCCAGGGAGCTTGACGAAGCTCTGAAGCAAAACGCTCCCACTGCCATCTCCACAGCTCCCAAGGTCATTCCCATATGTGCCGCATGGTTTATGCCCAATGATCCAGAGAAGAGGACAGGTCGACAAGCATTCCTGAAGAAGAGGATTCCGACGGCTCGATTTTTCGACATCGATGAGATCAAAGACCAGGAGTCGGAATGGCCACATATGTTACCGACATGCGATGCATTCGCCGACGCGATGTCGAAGCTGGGAGTGAGGAGAGAAGACGAAGTGGTCATCTACGACACAGAAGAGCTCGGCTTGTTCTCCGCCCCTCGAGTGGCATGGACCATGCGTGTCTTTGGCCATCCGAAAGTTCACGTGTTGAACAACTTCCGTGTCTGGGTCCAGGAAGGGTATCCCGTCGAGACAGGCCCCCCACAAGTCCCGAACATAACGAAGTATGCCGTGCCCTCTTACAACACGGACATGGTGGTGAAGTTTGCAGAAATGAAGACAATAGGCTATGATCATGGGAAAGAGGGCTCGGAAGACATCCAGATACTTGATGCCCGATCTAAGGGCAGATGGGAAGGAACCGAGCCAGAACCACGAGCAGGGATCAGAAGCGGACATATGCCTGGCTCCACGAGCGTGCCCTTCCAGGAGTTGCTGGATCCAGACACGAAGACGCTCCTGCCGGGTGAAGAGTTGAGAAAGGTTTTCGAGTCTAAGCAGCTTGACCCTCAAACACCTTTCATTACCACTTGTGGCACGGGCGTAACGGCAGCTATCATCGAGGCTGCCCTTAAGGAGGCAGACTTTGGCACAGAGCATGATCGAAGGCTCTACGATGGGAGCTGGACGTGAGTATCTCTTGACACCACCAAGCCAGACTTTCAGACTTGCTAACGTGTCGCAGGGAATGGGCCTCTAGAGTATCGCCAAGCAGTGGTTTGATTCAAGGAAAGGGCTCCGATCGAGGAAAGTCTACAGAGAGTTCACCAAAGACTTCGCGCTTATCGACAGAGTGATATTCTGGCTTGCATTCACCGCATCTTCCAGGAGCGAGGCGCCCGGCGTTTGGCTAGGAACTTGGGGTTTTGGTGGCGTTGCCGTATGTTCATGTACATCTGATCCTTGCGAGCATGAGCGATGAATCTTGCATCCCTGTCCTGGCATTGCTCATGAACACGAAATGAGTGTGAGCTGTGTTACCAGAGCGTTAGCCTGAGACCCACTGGAACGACGCTTGTTGCGTCTTGTAGAGTTGTGCTCGACCGGGATTTTCTTTCCCTGCATCACGCACGCGCGATAGATGTCGCGTCCCACCTCCGGGTGTAACATACAGTATGACTTTGTGCAGGCAATGACATTTACTCGACCGCCTTCGCCTCTCTTTCCCTTAGGCTTCTTCTTGGACTTGGTTGCGCGCTGCTGTCACTTTAACAGCTCTCCAGCTCGGCGGAGTGCTTGGTAGAGTGATATGCCCGCAGCTCTAAAAGATACTGCTAGAATTCTGAAGAGCACTCTCCGTCTCCCAAAGTCGACATTCCCGCCACGGCCGACGCCGGCCGACCTTGCCAAATACCTTCCAAGATGTACAGATGACCTCTATGGATGGCAGCGCCGCGAGCGGCCTGCTTCTGACACTTTCGTCCTCCACGATGGACCCCCCTACGCCAATGGAGATCTCCACGCCGGCCACGCACTCAACAAGATCGTCAAGGACATTATATGCAGGTCCAAGCTAAGTGAAGGCCGGAGAGTGGATTACATACCCGGATGGGACTGTCACGGGTTACCGATCGAGCTCAAAGCTCTCGAAAAGCATGGATGGGCCCGCGGGCAGGGCGTTGATCCAGTCGCAATCCGTAGCGCAGCCCGGAAGTTTGCGTACAAGGCCGTTGACAGGCAACTGGCCGACTTTCGATCCTGGGCCGTCATGGGTGATTGGAAAAACCACTGGAAGACAATGCAGAAAGACTTTGAGCTGCGCCAATTGTTGGTCTTTCAAGCAATGACAGAGCACGGGTTGATCTATCGCAAGAATAAACCAGTCTATTGGTCCCCATCCTCGGGGACTGCTTTGGCAGAAGCAGAACTAGAGTACGAGGAGGACCACGCCTCTACGGCAGCATTGGTCAAGTTCCCCTTGACCGACACTGGACTGTCTGGAAGTGATACGATTCATGCATTGATATGGACCACGACACCTTGGACTCTGCCAGCAAATCAAGCCATTGCGGTGCACACCTCTGTGCCGTATTGTCTTGTCGAGTCACTCACCCACGGCCTGCTGATCGTGGCTCATTCAAGGATCTCATACCTGCAAGAGACCCTTGGAGAAGACTTGAAGGTCATCATGGACAACATACCGGTTGAAAAGCTGTTGCAGAGCACCTACTCCGGCCTGCAGCAATTTGGGCACGAAGCCGCGAACAGACCTGTCGTCCATGCTGATTTTGTATCTGCCGAGAGTGGTACGGGCTTGGTTCATTGTGCCCCGGGTCACGGCATGGAAGACTATGAGGCTTTGCAGCCTTTGATCAGAGCCTCAGTTGTCTCCGTCAAAGCTCCGGTGGACAGTCTCGGCCGTTTTGACGAGACAGCCTCACCCGAGGATCCCGGCCTACTCGCAGGACTGGACGTGTTCAAGGAAGGGAACAAGACCGTGTTGGAGATGTTGCAGGCAAGCAAATTACTGGTTCATCAGCATGAGTACAAACACAAGTACCCGATCGATTGGCGTACCAAAGAACCAATTATCATTCGTGCCACATCCCAATGGTTTGCCGACGTCTCCAAGATCAAGACTGACACCCTCGAGTCTCTTGAGGCGGTTACGTTCCTGCCCGAGACGGGCAAGGCGCGCCTGCGAAGCTTTGTCGAGAATCGAAGTGAATGGTGCATCTCTCGGCAGCGCGCCTGGGGAGTCCCCATCCCAGCAATCTATCACAAGACTTCTGGCGAAGCAGTATTGACCTTCGACAGCATCAGGCACATCATGAAAGTCATTGATGAGCGCGGCATCGACGCATGGTGGTCTGACGCTCCTGATGACGGAAGGTGGGTTCTTCCTGGTCTGCCAGGAGATGCGTCAGATTATGTCCGCGGCAGAGACACAATGGACGTCTGGTTCGACAGTGGAACCAGTTGGAGCTTAATGCTCAAGGACGCGAAACCCCAGCCAACACCGCTCGCGGACGTCTATGTTGAGGGCACAGACCAACACAGAGGTTGGTTCCAGTCCAGCTTGCTCACTTATATCGCATACCAGAAGTCATCCCAATTAAGCCCGAATCCTGCCTTGCAGCCACAAAGGCAGGTGTATGCTCCATTCCGCGTCCTTGCGACACACGGGTTCACCTTGGACTCTCAGGGCAAGAAGATGAGCAAGTCTCTTGGCAATGTGATCGCTCCTAACCAGATCATTGCTGGTCTGGGAGTTCCCGCAAAGCAGACGAAGCATAAACGCGAGATTCATCCGCTCGGACCGGACGCCCTGCGACTCTGGGCTGCGTCAAGCGAATGGACGAAGGATGTTGTCATCAGCGAGACAGTTGTCTCGTCAGTCCACAGCATGCTCGACAAATACCGTCTGACCCTGAAGATGTTGCTCGGTATGCTAGCCGACTTCGATCCCAAACTGATTCTGCCGTATGAAAACATGTCCCGGCTGGATCAAATTGCATTGCTGCATCTACACCAGGTGTTTTCCTCTGTTCGCAAGGCCTACACGGATTTTGAGTTCCATAAAGTAAATGCTACCCTCTACCGATGGGTAACGAGCGACTTATCGGGCTTTTATTTCGAGGCTATCAAGGATGTGCTGTATTGTGACAGCATCACGAGCGATAGGCGTGTCAGTGCTCAAACGGCACTCCATCACATCTTGACGCAGTTGCAGAATATGCTTGGGCCCCTCACCCCGCTGCTGGTCGAAGAGAGCTGGGAGCACAGTGCTGATTTCTACAAGCAATTACAGCACCCGCTGAAACGAGTGTGGACTTCGGTGCCGGAAGAATGGCAAGATCCATCGCTACTCGCCTTGCTGCCTCAGCTTGTTGCCGTCAACTCGAGTGTTAAAGCGGCTCAGGAGCGAGCTCGGACTCGAAAACTCATGGGACAGTCGCTTGCATCAGATGTTGTCATCTACCTACAAAAGAATATCGACATGTCCCGTATACCTAGAGATACCTGGAAGGAGCTCCTGGTTGTATCAAACCTTGATGTCTCATCGATAGAAGGTGAAGAGGCCACGCAGCTAGCTGACATTGAAACGTCATCTGAGTCGTGGTCATACTCAAATGACATTGTCTCCCAGGACGGCCAGAGAATTGGAGTGGCTGTTGTCAAGAGCCCTTCCAGTCTCAAGTGTAGTCGATGCTGGCGGTATATTGTGGAACCACAGGAGGAGACAAGAGCTGGTGTGGAAGAGGCTTTGCTGCTTTGTGGGCGTTGCGCAGATGTAGTTGCGGAATTCCAAGGGCGAACATAGGGACTCGCAGCTTTTTGGATACCCCATGTACGAGTACCAATAGGTCGAATTCTCCATCAAATAGCACTTCACATTCGGAAGCACGGCAGGAAAACGGATATGCGAATGCAACAACCCCGAAACAGTCAAGCGGGCAACGGAGCGGCCTGTACAAGGTAATGAGATGCAAGCTTTGGCGTGGGGGGATTCAAGGACTCGATGCACGAAATCGACTTGCAGCTCGTGCCGCACGCTCGATCGCAGCGCCACAATGCTGCTTTGCCTCGATGGTCATGGGACTCCCAAGAGGTTGACAAACAACCGATCAGCGCCGGCCCGTATGCACATTGCGGGGTAGACGCCTATCTGATCGGTCAGAGCAATTGAGCGGGACGACCTGAGGAAGAAACCTTTGATCATTCGCCGGCCAATTAGCGTGCTTGTAGCCGCTGATGGTCTGATCATGGAGTGGCACAAACTGCCAGCATACACAGTATGGCTGGAGCTGATGGGACCAAGGTCCTTTAACTAAGCGTGGTCTGCAAATCGAGGCGGCAAGCATTTGGGACGAGAGCTGGGCGTCTCGGGACGTCATGGAGTCATGTTTTGTGGGTAGCTCTGTTGCCTAATACAGTAGCGTGCAGCCTGAGCCGGAGTCACGAGTTTCAAGTTTCGAAGACACCATTGAAGAAAGAGTCAGGCGATTTGTTGCTGACATGGATCTCATTGCTGACGGACGTGACGGCTTATTCACATAGCCCGTAGCAAGGCTTACCACAAACGAAAGTTTCTCTGTTGAGCAATAGCATAGTGTATATCTCTTCTCGTGCCTCAACTTCTCCTCATCGTTGGATGAAGCAGCTGTGAGGCCTGGCCGCTTGTGCATATCTGGCGGCGGCTGAAGCCGGTGCTAAAACTCGAGAGCAAGTGGCTATCGTGGGAGCTGGCTTCAGTGATTGGCTTTCCCAGCCCTGGGGCCAGGCAAAGAGTGGCGCTGTCACCCCGGTTCATTCGTGCTTGCCCCGCAACCTGTACAAAATACGAGTTTTCTGTACATCTCGTTGACAGTTCGGACCAAGCGCAGGCATCGTAGTGAGAAGCTAAGAAACCTCTGGAAAGCTCGGAATCCACTCACATCAACAAGGGTGCTGAGCCATCTGATCACACGGCAACTACGGAAGTATTTTGTTGTTGCACGTTCTGAGAGCAAAGTGACGGACCAATCATACATGTGCCTGCTCCACGGTGAGTTGGAGTACCTTGTCGTCATCACAGCTTCCTTCTCTTGCTTTCGACCAACGACAAGCTCTTTCCCAGCTCCTCACTTGTACCACTTGCTTCTGCTTCGACTGCTGCCTTGAAACTTCTTTCCGTCTCATATTCCTCTCGTGTTCTTAACGACCGCTGCATTCTCCTGCTTCTTACCACAGGAACTCTAGCACAGCATATCACACCTCTCTTGGTCCAGCATTTGTTCTCTCAGACCTTTCAGCAGCTGTCAACATGATTGTCAGCCCAGAAATGATTCCATCAGCTTCAGCGCTTCCGACAGCTTCCACTTCGGTGGCTCCTATCCCTACGATCGTCCCCACCCCTCCTCATATTGTCGCAGCTGGAGATGTTGGCAATAGGACGTTGTGGTATGCTCACTATGCTTCTACTAAAGGTGTCCGTTGTTGACACGGTAATAGGGTGGTGGTCGTGATCATGGCCATTTCCTCGCTCGCCTTCTATGGCATGGCCTTCCGCGTCCCAGTGGTAAGTCATGGCACACAGCCTACTTTCAGACGCAGCTAACAGTTGTAGCAAAAACGTCTCTTCCACATCATAACCGCCTTCATCACCACCTTCGCCTTCCTGTCCTACTTCGCAATGGCTACTGGTGACGGCATCAGCTTTGCCAGCTACACCAAAACCGAGCATCACAAGAAAGTTCCAAGCATTGATATTGATGTCAAACGCGAGATCTACTGGGCAAGATATGTTGACTGGAGCATCACGACCCCTCTCTTGCTTCTCGATCTTTCTCTGCTCGCCGGTCTCAGCGGTGCCAACATCCTTGTTGCCATTGTCGCCGATGTCATCATGGTATTGACTGGTCTTTTCGCCGCCTTCGGTCAGGGCAAGGACAGCCAGAAGTGGGGTTGGTACGCTTGGGGCTGCATTGCCTATCTCGTGATCGTTTATCAACTTGCTATCGGCGGCCGAGAGACTGTTGCTCGAAAGGACAGCAAGACCAAGGCCTTCTACGCCTCCATCGCTGGGTTCACCTTGATTCTATGGACCATCTACCCAATGTGAGTACACTGGCGATCTGCAACTGCACGTCACTGACAAAGGATAGTATCTGGGGTCTCTCTGAGGGTGGCCACATCATCAATGTCGATTCCGAGATCATTGCCTATGCCGTCCTCGATATCCTCGCCAAACCAGTCAGTTAAGTCCATCCTTTGTTCTAACATCTGCTGACCGGTTGACAGGTTTTCGGTTTCTGGCTCTTGTTCACCCACGACAGCATGGCAAGCACGTATGTTGAGCCCGTGTCCTGAAGCTGCTGTGTCACTGACGAATTCCACAGCTCGCCTTCGCTTGAGGGCTTCTGGGCTCATGGCTTTGGCGAACAAGGCACTCTCCGAGTTGGTGATGACGGCGAAGCCTAAAGGCGCTTGCTGACAGAATCAGGTTGGTGACGAAGACTAAACGCACACTACAGCAAGACCGTTGTGCGACCCGCCTCTTTCCCAAATTGGCAAATGAATATGGACGACTCGACAGGAACGCGCGAGATCGAAGACGAAGTATGAAGACGAATGGAGTGGCAATGATTATCGCTGCATTGATGTGACGGTGCACAATAAACTACCGGAATGGAACCCCACGAATAACCTTCTTATGGCTGCTTCGTATCGCTAGGCGGCATTTTATCGGCTTACACAGCCCGCTGGACTGATTGTACAATAGAAGCTCTCATTTTGTGGCATGGCATGACGATACACCTAGGCTGCATGAGACACACGACAACACACTTGCACTCTAAAGTGTTTGTTGTCCACTGAATGACGACTGAGTTGTACGTGACAGTTTCACAGAGTAGCAAACCTGCCATGTTGATCGTTCGTTTGCCACGTCCTGATCTCAGCCTCACTTTTCTGTCTTCGCCTGATGCTGACATTTCGAGTCCTTATTAATGGCTTCTTCCAGGTCAATATGAAGACTAAGGAAGGCACGACCTGATCCTCCGGTCTTCAAATATCCTTTACTGAAGTTTGGATCAACGTTTCTCGGTCTATACAAACCACTTCACTCATCTATTCTCAGTGATTCCATCTTCAAACAATCCTGTACTTGGCACTCTTGTTGTGAGAAAAGACCTTGCTCTTTCAGATTGAAAGCAGCAGCCACGATGCTCATCGTCATACTTCTCTTCTCATTGCTAGGAATCTTCCCCTGGAGGATGCCGGTGGCCATCAAAGCTGAAGCTTTGGCAACTCCGGTTCTCAGGTATGCCACATTCGCCAAAGACTAACAGTCCGGCTTTTTGGCACATGTTTGGCTGACCTCAACAGTACGCCCACGAGTACCTCGTCAGTGATAGCAATCCCAGGCTGCACAACTACAGCATACACTGCACCAGTCATCCAGGCGGGACCAACGAGCATCTACTACTCTCTCACCACATACACGTCTTCGATTTATGACTGTCATGGCTGTGCAGACATCATCGTCTTGCCGTACGGCCACGTCTTCGTGGTAGGTTGTCAACACAAGACCTCACTTCCCCTTTGTTCAAGGTGCAGCCGAGTTTGTCAGAGTCTTATTGACATAGCTTTCTAGGAAGCTGTTTTCACTACAAAGGTAACTGCGTCGACTCCCACCACTGTGACAAGTGCACGATGCAGCATTTCCAATGCCTGAGTGTTTCCGGCCGGGCTGAATCACTGCAAAGCATAGGGCGACAGACAGGATGAGCGGCGGCGAAGAAAGGTGGCGAAGTAGCGGGGGCTGCTCTCCCTTTATTCGCATCGTTTGGCTCAAGATCCGCGACGGTTGGGAGACGAAATCTAGTATTGTCAGGGAGAAAGGCAGAAGAGGAGGTACATCGGCAAAAGCTGACGGCGTATCTATGAGCCAGTTGTGCTCTTATGCTCATCAGTGCTTGAAAGTGTTGATTGTTCTCCCACAGCAGTTGCCATAGCATGAATAGCAGTGCAGTTACTCATTGATCGGCTAGCCCACAGCAGCCAGACCCAGATCCGAACTGAACGTCGCTCCTTTTCCTCATGTTACTCGTGCCAGAACCAACCATTGCAGAAGCCGAGCATCAGTGTCCCAGGCAAGCTGTTCTGACGGAACGACGCTGACCATACTCCGTACCTGACTAGTTATTCGATTGTCCTTTGCGTCGGGAAGAGGGGCGTAATGATGGTCACAACCGAAGCTTTTCCAGCTCGCGGCTGGAGAAATATGCATAGTATGCCTAACAGCTCAACCTAAACTCTGACCTTAACGTAAATGGGGTTTGTTGTGTCATGAAGGATGAAGAAGGCTTGCTTGATCGGGAAGGAGGACACCCCGCATCAAGTAAGGTAGCCATAGACGTGTGGAACGGAGTAACTAGGTACCTAGTGATGAGGATACGATTTGAGTCTGGCTGAAATACTGAAAAGCGAGTGGAGTACATATCCTGAGGCAGGAGGACGAGCTGCAGGTACCAGTTTCGCTGTACACATACATACGCTCGCCTTGATCCTTTTCGTCGCGAAGAGATTAATATAGCATTCAGCTGTAGTCTTTCATGGTGGCATAATGCTCGTCCTCGAATGAGTGGTGATTTGTTGCAGTCGGCGACGGCGGGACTTTAATCCGCGGTTCCCTCATGTCCCTCCAAGTGCAGACCGTCACTCCGCAATTTGCCTGTCTCCGAATCCGAATATTGTGTCAAACATCAAACATCTGCATCGTTTTGCCCTCTGGTTCTCGGTCAGTCAAGGACTCGCTCTTGTCTACCTCGCACTACCTCGCAGAGACTCGAAATTCCGTCCCCGGTAGTGAGCAGTCTTAATTTACGAGTCGACTCACCCACCGTATCACTATGGACCAAGCGGCCGCGCAACCGCGAAAATGCCCGGGCTTGAATTGCGAAAATGATGCCTCTTCGCTACAATGCCCCAAGTGCAAAGAGATGGACGTGGACAGCTTCTTCTGCTCACAGGATTGCTTCAAGCGGAGCTGGGTAGGCTGACCTCTGGTCTTTTGTGAGGAAAAGACTACAGTCCCTCAAGAGCGCAGAGAATGCTAATCCGCAACACGCCCAGGCTGAACACAAGGCCCTCCACAAGAGTACGAATCCCTTGCGCAATTTCGTCGCTCCCAAGGTCGTGTCTAAAGTTGATCCAGAAACCGGCCACTTCAACCCATACCCCACATATCCTTTTACCGGCCCGTTAAGACCGGTCTACCCTCTGTCGCCGAAGCGGGTGGTTCCCAAGTCGATACCGCATCCCGAGTGGTCGGAGGACGGGATTCCGCGATATCCGTATGTGCGGAAAAACAACATCCAGGCTTTGGATGAGAAGGGCATCGCGGGCATGCGGAAGGTCTGCAGGCTAGCGAGAGAGGTGCTCGATATTGCCGCTACCGCTGCAAAGCCTGGCGTGACGACGGATTATATTGACGAAGTTGTTCACAATGCGTGTTTGGAACGGAATGTATGTTGAGAATTCTCAGCCCCGCTACATTCTACCCCGGCTGACCGCATGCGATGCCAGTCATATCCTTCCCCATTAAACTACAATCACTTCCCCAAGTCGGTCTGCACATCCCCCAATGAAGTCATCTGCCACGGCATACCCGACCAGCGGGTCCTGCAAGACGGCGACATCCTCAACATTGACGTGACGCTCTACCACGAAGGCTACCACGGCGATCTGAACGAGACGTACTACATTGGCGACAAGGCCAAGGCCGACCCCGACAATGTCCGCCTCGTCGAGACCACGCGGCAATGCCTAGACAAGGCTATCGAGCACGTCAAGCCGGGCGTCAAGATCGGCGACTTTGGCGACATCATCGAAAAGCACGCCAAATCGCAGAATCTCAGCGTCGTCAAGACGTACTGTGGCCACGGCATCAATTCACTGTTCCATTGCGCGCCCAACGTCCCGCACTATGCCAAAAACAAGGCCGTCGGCAAATGTAAGCCCGGAATGACTTTCACCATCGAGCCCATGATCTGCCTGGGTAGTTACAAGGATAAGACCTGGCCGGATGATTGGACGGCCGTGACGTCAGATGGAAGCCGCTCCGCGCAGTTTGAACATACCTTGTTGGTCACCGAGGAGGGCGTCGAGGTCTTGACGGCCCGGTTACCCACCTCGCCGGGCGGGCCTGTGCCCATGCCTAGGGCAGAGGGGACGAATGGAGAAGTGAATGGAGATAGTGCCAAGGCGTGAGCTGTGGTGGACGCAGAGGTAGAGGTAGAGGTAGACAATTGTGAGGTTTGTTCGTTCTGTTAGCGGCATGAGCGCCTGCATCAACAGCACTTAGTACGGAGACATTGGGTACATTCCATTGCATCACGTGATAAGGCTTGCCGAAGCAGGGGCCGGCTGTCTGTCTATGAGAGGAGGCATCATAAAGCACGAATCAACAATGGGTACCGTCGATATGGAGTAAGAACACTACAGACATAGATGTCACGAGATGTCCAAATGATCTGTTTCTCCCAAGTCCTTGCGGATGTGAGTTCAAAGGTCTTCGCCTTCGCCTTTCGTCCACGCTTCGGTTTTCAAGACAGAATCCACTATGTGCTTTATGGTCACCTCAAGCGTGCGTCTACGCATCTGCAGGCTTCCAGAATCTCAGGACGGGACCGCCGGCAGCTTTCTCCACGGCGGAATGATTGTGTATACTCAGTCCATGCTCCACACTGTATTAGCAGGCATATCGACGTGATGTAGGTTGTCTAGGCTCCGTGCACCAACACAGGTCGAGTGAAATAGTGGAAAGGGTGATCAATTTGGCAATGCATTTAAATGTCAATGTGAATGTGAACCATAAAGTGGAAGCGAAAGGGAAGACACCTGCGTTTCCGATACACGCGGTGTATGGGATACGCGAATTGGAGGGCATAGCTGTTACATAGCCCTCCCCGCACTCCTTTGTGCCGCCAGCCTCCCTTATCTCTTCCTAAACTGGCTGGCGAATCTGCCGGGCGTCGGCGTGCGCGTCCCTGTGGTGGAACTTCCCACACCGTTGTGTTGTCTGGTCTTTTCTTCTTCACCATTGCGTTGTCTTGCCTTTTCTTCCTCCCCATTCGCACCTCCCTCCCTACCAGATCCATCCAGTTGACTCTGTCTCTGACTCCGTCTCTCGGCCTTGCGCCTCCCAGTACAGCAGCACACGCCACAGCACGTGCCGACCTGCATGAGAAAGCCGACCAGGTTCAGCCCCGTGGCGATCCACATGAACGCAAACATCGGCCGGCCCAGCCGTGCGTGGATGTTCAAGTCCGCAGCGCCTTGAAATTGGTTGCGGAAGATGACGAACATGACCGTGGCAATGACGCTCGCTGCCGCGGTCAATAGTAAAGCCCCGAAGGTCAGGATCGTGATGGGCAACTGCCGCAGAAAGATGCGTTTCGTCCGGTGCTGCCAGCGCGGGTGCTTGGAGAAGCCCATCGGCGCGAAGAACACGCACAGGAAGGTGAGGCACACGCCGACGATGAAGCACGCGAACATCCACGCCGAGGCCAGCCTCACGAGGTCAAGCACGTCGACGACGTCGCTTGGCAGCGTTATCGACGCGCCCGCGAGGAGCTCGTTCAGGATGATTTCCACGGGGTTGAACCAGTAGAGCGTCTCGGTCGGGGAGCAGTGCGTGATGCCCTCTCCATTGTATCCCTCGCAGAAATTCCAGAGCCCGACCTGGTAGAAATCGTGCAGGCCTATCGATTGGGCGATGCTGTTGATGAAGACCGCGTACGGGACGGACGCGGGGATGATGTTTGCGAGCTCGATCCGCAGGAAGTATGTGCTCCTGATGACGGCGTTGTTGTTGATGTTGCCTATGAGGATGAGGATGAGGAAGACTGTCGCAAGGGTGTAGATTGTTATGGTGAAGACGCGGAGGCCGGTCGGTGGTGGTTTGGAATATCCCAATCCAGCGCCGTTGATGTCCTTCTCCTTGTTCGACAACGAGGCCTCTGCGTGAGGCTGTTTCGACTTCGAGCGCCCGAAGATGGCCATCTTGATTGTTGGGGAAGAAGAGGACTGTCGATTTTTTCTGCACGGATCGACGAGGTCTGCGTTACTGGTTGCCCGCGAACTCAACCCGGGAACTGCAAACGCAGGCACAGTCTTTCAGGTGTCTGCGATGTTCATATCCGTCCTCTACACATCGAAATGGCTACAGCTCAGACAGCTAAAGCAAGCCAGAACGGAACCGGAAATATTGGAAAAATTCGTGAAGATAATTCAGTTTGAGCACAAATAAATGCGTCACTATGTGCAAGGATGTGGATGAACCTAGGAGGAATCTAGGGAGGACGTGGGCCTTGCAAGACGGGACGTCCGGGCGAGGGGTACTCGTAAGACTTCTCCGTACACAGTACTGGTATCCATATTGAGCTCCTGCTCAGCCTTTGGGCTCCATATCGGCCTCCCTATCAATAAACTTGCACAGCACAAACAAGAGCGTTGCGAGACAGGCAAGACCGAGTTGAGGTGGCTTGGGCGTATAGTGGGTGCCAATGACATAATGTGGCAGCCTTGTCTCCACTGAGTGGGGAGATCATTACAGACTAACCATTCTGAGGAAAGCGCAATTTAGGTTGGCACGAATCGAACAGAGAAGCTCTTCCGATCGACGCGGTGCCGATACACAGGCCACGAGGACCCAAGACAGACCCAGTCCTCGTACGAGGTACTGTGGTACTGTGTACTGTGCACACAGTACGAGTAGTTTCTTGTCACATCTCAACCGCGTGCTGAAGCTGGACGAGGCTGCGCAAACCGGGTCTTGCCACGTCGTTCTAACAGGCCTGAGAACAAGAGCAATGTCAACTCCATGAGGTCTTCATGTTCCTCCGCGGCGAGGCTCAGGTGCCAGTAGACAGGACTTTGCAGGTCAGAACCCTGTCGTTCAGCTGAAAGTTTTCGGTAAAGGCCCCGCCCAGGCCATCCACGCGTCATCGGCGTCGTTTCCCCTGTCAAGGATTTTGGTACACTCCGCCAGTGACATGCCATGTTCACATGTGTTCGGAAGTGTCTTGCGTTGTTACGACGATCGAGAAACTCTGTATTTGTCCAGTCCTCCATTGCCTGATTATTCCTGAATACCGTCAATCAGCGCTGAGCTTCTAGAAGTTGTCTACCTGTTAGCGGACATCCTCTAGTAGACAATCGGCTTCAGTCTTCGCTGTCTCTGGCTAATGGTCGGGTCTGATCTCTTGCCGTGGGAGTGCCTCCAACATGCAACTGATTGTATGCCTTTTCATCACTGCACTTGTGCTGGGAGCGTATGCTCAATCCGATGAGGAGACATCCAGCGGAACATTGGAGACCACACAGTTACCAACGGCTACGGGCGCAGACTATGCCACCTCCGGAACAACATACGCAGATGAGTCGAGGACGATAACCATCACGGCGAGCACCGACTATGCCACCGTCACAGACATTTCTAGCATCTTTGCGACCGATAACGGGACCGCATCATCAACGACCAGGTCGGGTAACGGTACGACCACGTCAAGTCCAACCGAGACTATATTGGTTGGCAGTGCAAAGACGACCACCTCTCTGAACGGCACAGCGACAACAAACGGCACGGCTTCAGGCACATCAACCTCTGCGCAACCTACCAATACAGTCCCATGCAATGGCCATCCCGCACTCTGCAACCGGAAGTTTAGCAATATAACCCATGTTGGGGCTCATAACAGCCCTTTCATCCGGCCCGGTAATCTCGCCGCGAACCAGATGCTGGACGTCGAGACCCAGCTTAACGACGGCGTTCGAATGCGTAGGTGGCAGCCATTAAACAGCCCAAGGCCCTGCGGTTACTAACAGTGAACTACAGTACAATTCCAGACACACCTCCAGAACGGAACAATGCACCTCTGCCACACATCGTGTGACCTGCTCGATGTCGGGACACTAGAAGACTACCTCACCACCGTTGCCAAGTGGCTCCGCGCGCATCCGTACGACGTTGTCGCCATTCTCATGGGCAACTACGATGTCGTTACGCCGGCGAACTACACCGCCCCCGTAGTCAATTCGGGCCTCATTGACTTTGTCTACACGCCTCCTACACAGCCCATGCCGCTCGACAGCTGGCCGACTCTCGCGGAAATGATCTTCCGCAATCAGCGCGCCGTCGTCATGCTGGACTACGAGGCAAACCAGACGGCCATCCCGTGGCTTCTTGACGAATTCTCGCAAATGTGGGAGACGCTGTTCTCGCCTACGGATCGGGATTTTCCATGCACGGCACAACGGCCACCGGATCAGGCACGCAATGTCCGCCAGCAGAGGATGTACATGGCCAACCATAACTTGAACCTTCAAGTCGCTGTGGCGGGAATCAGCATTGACGTGCCATTCTTTCCAGTCCTCAATGAGACCAATGCGGTCGAAGGGTACGGCTCCGCGGGCTGGGCGGTGGCTAACTGCACCACGATGTGGGATCGTCCGCCGACATTCTTGCTTGTGGACTACTACAACATTGGCAGTTTCAATGGGAGTGTCTTCCAGGTTGCTGCCGATGCCAATGGCGTCAATTATGATCGAGCAAGTTGTTGTGGCACGGCGGGCACGACGAACGGTGGAATTGCTGTCAAGGATGTTGCGCGGCTGAAATGGTATATTCTGCTATGGGCTTCCACCTCTTGGGTATTACTTTCATAACGGCACTTGTGAAGCGCTTCGATTTGATATTGAAACGCTTTGCGATCGGGGAGATGGTGATACTACCATGTTGGATGAAAGTTTGTCTGGAATTGCATAGCGAAGGTATTCCATCTGGAGTAAAATGATACAGTACTTGCACGAAAGTGGGATTGCTACGTACACCCAACGTGGTACATGTGTATTCCGGTATTCTTCGGCATTGTAGACGAAAGTTCCAGCAGTGGTTGTTGCCTTGTCGAACGCCTCGCTGCAAAATGCATCGTGGCCGGCGCGAGGCCACCGCGGCAGTGCAAGCACGATCATCAAATCATCGCTCAGTTCTTTCTTGGGGCGGTAGGAACCAATTCGTGTGGCGGCGTTGGGCGGCATTTGAGTGGTCGAGGCGCGTCCTCGTGTATCGCTCAGCCTCCAGCGACCTCTCATGTTCCGGTCTGCAGCTGAAACACTCTTCATATGTAGGCTTCATATCCTCCTTGCCGGGAGGAAGAGCATCATGTCTCTAGCAATTTGCACCTCATGGTTGAGCCAACCGCCGCACTCACTGTTGGCAAGCCGGTCATCGAATATGGCTTCCGGCTCGCCTCAGCCTCTGCTGAAGCGCGCGAAGCAAAGAGATATCTGGAGCAATTCGAGCGTGAACTCCTCGATCTCTGTGACCTCGCAGAATCTACATGGCCCTACCTGAGCAACGGGGACAGGTACAGGGTACAGCAAGTCATCTGCGATGCGAAAGACTCTATCGCCGCCGTGGCGGATGCCAACCAGCAGAGCCTGAAGGACTTGGAAAGAGCTGGGACACTGAGGATTTATACAAGAGTGAGGTGGACTCTCAAAGACAACGATGCGATCAAGCTCTATATGCCTAGGGTGCAGATGAGCTATGTCTCGCTTTCTCGTTGCATTGGCACGCTTGAAGCTGTTACAAGGGAGACTAGGGCCACCCCTCTGCGGCGTGACGGGGAAAGCATTACGGATGGTGACATGCCGCGTTTCGCAGACGATCGTAGTAAGCGCAAGCAGCGCGTGACGATACGGTCTCGAGGGTCAACAAGTGGGCGCGCGCCGAACTTTACTGCCCAAAGACCGTCGACTGCTGCTGGAGCTCAGACGCCCAGCACCTCGAAGCAGAGACTCGTCGTTGCCGTCGATTTTGGGATGACCTATACGGGTATGCTCTACCAAGGAATCATTGGAAGTTACTGCTAACAGCTCCTGTAGGCGTGTCATGGGCATGTGATGAACATCAACCACCACAGCCGCTGTACAAAGACTGGCCGGGTTCGAAGGCCGGCGAAGTACACTACAAAATCCCGACCCTCCTGGTGTATGACATAATGAACCACGGGCGGCAGAGGCGTAGTTATTCGATGATCGAAAAACTCTCCTCTTGGGGCTTACTCGCACTCGAAGACGGTGAAAGATACTCTCCGAACAAGATGAATCGGGAATTTTTCAAGCTATTCCTGGACGACCGTGTGCTTTTGAGCCAACGTCCGGAACATATTGATGGCATCACTCACGACGATGTCCAGCGGTGGTTTCGAGACTACCTGGGCGAGCTTTATCAACATATCGAGTCCTCCTTCGAGAGCTCGAGACCCGAGCTATGGCAGGGAAGGGTACGCTTTGTGTTCAGTGTGCCCACTGCTTGGGACCCAGAGGTGGTTGCCTGCTTCAAGAATGTCATCAGCAAAGCTGGGTTCGCTGATGGCAGATTCCAAGGCCATACGGCTGAGGTCACTTTGACCGATGCGCAGGCGGCAGCCGTCGAGACGGTGCGCGAACGGAGATCTGCTCTCAAGCAAGGCGAAATTATCCTTGTGTGTGATGCCGGAGGTGGCACGACGGATATCACACTCCTCGAGGTTGCGTCCGCCCAGGACGAACCCCTGCAGCTCGACCAACTCGACCGAGTGAACGGTGTAGTCGCTGGCGCGGCCTTTATTGACACGGACTTCGCAGAGTATGTGGCACAGAAGCTCGAGATAATCAACAATCACTGTCCAGGCCTAATTTCCGACATTCGAACGGTCGCGGAGATGATGGCAGCGAGTCGAAAATTCCAGTTAAACAAGTGGAGTCTCTCCGCAGCCAGCAAAAGATTGAACGTGCCCTTCAAAGTTCCCATTGAGGGGCTTACGCGGGGCTTCTCCCACAAGGCCGCCGACGTGGAGCGAGGATGTCTCATATTCGACCCGGAGCGTATGGCGGCTCTCTTTGACAAACGCCTGGAACAGATCTACAAGATTTTGGATAGGCAATTCCAGAGCATGGAACAGTTGGAGCGCACCAAGGGCCGCTCTGTGCGTCATATCGTGCTGACAGGTGGTTTGGGAAGCAATCTCTATGTCAAAGAAAAGCTCGAGGAGAGATATTGCAACAGCTCCCGCGTGTGCCTAAGAGGCATGACGGTCCTCACGGCGAGCGAGCCCCAGCAGGCGGTGGCTAGGGGTCTTGTCGTCAACGAAATGTCCTGGATACACAGAGAGTCACAACCACAAGTGCTCCGGAAATGGATCAGTCGCTACAGCTATGGCTTCATCGGCAAGCAGTTATTCGATCCAAACAAGCATCTTTATCAGGACAAGCTGGACTCGAAAAACGAGATAGCCCGGGTCACCGGAAAGGTTTGGGCGGTGAATCAGATCATATGGATGATCAAAAAGGGCCAGAAGCTGACACCTAACGATATCATGAGTGTGCCAGTGACGCGCATCATTGATCCCACCAAGGTCAGCAGAAGAAGACGTCTAAGATTCGACATAGTCGTGTCGGACATGGATGGCGATCTGCCGCATAGCACCTCGCAGCCTGGCTCGGAGAGATTCTGCACCATTGAGGCAGACATGTACAAGTATATCGACGACTTTGATGAGAAGAAAAGGTCCTGGTATGAAAGAGGCAAGACTCACCTGGAAGCAGAATACGAACTTCGGGTCAATATCGGCCCAGCTGATGTCACTTTCGAATTGTGGTACAAGGATGAGAAGCTCGCAGAACAGAAAGACCTTCACGTGGCCTGGGGGGATGGCAACTCACTGGACATGTCCCGCCGAACGTGACCGTCCCTGGACGGCGGCCAGATCCGAGCACACAACGAGTTGCAACCTTTAGGACTACCTCAAAATCTGGCATCATGGCGACTGGACCGCAGGCCATGGCAGCGGCAAGCGTACGGGACTCGAAGGTCTCAAGACGCCATGATCTCGCCGATTCTTGCCTTTCTTCGGCCGTCGATAACTGTGCACCGTCGCCAGTGGACCTCTGTCAACCCATTCCAAACCTCTGATATTCGAACGCTAGCGGTCCTGGATCCAACCTTGCCAAGTGCGCTGCCAGTCTTACTTCTTGGCACACCATTGTCGGTTTCATATCATGGTCTCTATGCACCACGATCGCAACCACGCGGAGTTGCAATCTGTGTCTCCCCATCTGGGTCACCTAGCGGTGGTCCGTATCCGCTGCTGTCGGAATGACGCCATCAGGCTGGTGGCTTCGAAGAGTTGTCGAAAAAGAACGAAGGTCCTGCGTGAGAATTCCGGAGCAGGTAGTACAGGGTTCGTGTTGTCTGTTTCTTGTCCCGAACCTGTATGGACAATCCTTGCACAGAGCTCGCTGCACGCCCAAATCTCCATCTCAGAGGAGTGTCATGCCATCATGGTCGTCGACCAATACCACCGCTCATGAAAGGACCATACCTCTCATGTGGGTTCAAGAAGACCCCTAGTGGTGCACGTGAGAAAAATCGCGAGAGAAGTCGAAGTCGGTACGATGGGCTCGTCGATCCGGTCGCCGTCTCGAGTAAAAGGGGTCGCTTCCTCCTGCGTATCCGCTACGATTCCAGTTCGGTGGCATCGGTGCTCGAGGTGGCACACGTGCAGAGGACCTGCCGTGTTGCCAATCGAAAGTGTCGTCGTGCCGGCGTCGAGAAGGGCGATAGGAGTCATAAGTGCTGCGGCCGTATGGAGCTCGGTGTCGATCAAATGTGTAGTCGGTGTCGCACGGAATGTATTGGGGACGGTCACCACCACTTCACCAACGAGACTCTTAGAGGCTACTGCCGGGACGGAGCTCGGAGTATCCGGACTGTGTGTTGCCCATGTTTGGGATGGAGTATGCGGAAAAGGCTTTGTTGATACGTGGTGTCCTCGGGTTGTGCGCCGGTTGCGGTCGTCCTTCGATCTCTGGGATCGAGTGGAGTCTTTGATGGGTGATCCTGGGACGTTCATGAGGGCGAGAAAGTGCTTGTTCATCGTTGATTCCGCATAAGATATATAGGCGCAGCAGATGGGCAGTGACACGCGAAGGCAGTCTGAGTGAGCACCAAACTGACTGCCTGTGCCATTGTCGTGAATAGATGGTGATGTTGTCCAAGCAGTATTCTTGACCATCAGGGGCAGCTCGACCTATCCCAACTGCAGTATCACCGCCCAAATGGTCGAGTGAAGGACACCAGGCCCCTTCGTCAGAAGAAGAATCATTCGGTTCCTAGCTATGGCCCTCGTGAAGACGCTCTCGTGAGTGAGAAGAAGTGAATAACGACTGCTTCAGCCTCCGTCCCTGCCATCACACACGACATGATCTCGAGAACTGGCCACTTCCATCTGACTCCAGGAATGGCAGCTCGAGTTGATGCGTCAGGGACAAGAAAGACCGTGGCAAGACTGACTGGGGATTGCAGAACAGTCGACCGAAGGACATAGCTAGACTACCGTAGAATGCGAGCATGAGAACGGACAGGAGAAGTATGTAGCTTCATATGCTCTTCTGGCTCTCGGCTCTGTTTGGACGATACTAAGTACTTCGTACTCCTGTTCGCGTTGTATGAGCCATGCTTTATCCATGGGCACCTGTGCCTACCCATGACTTCTGGCTTGGAATCTGCTGGTTACAAGCCATTTGGAGCATCTGTGGTGGCAGGGGGCACCCACAGTACCTCAGTGTGCTTATGTACCACCTGAGTTGCTGGGTTGCACCTGGTGCTTGACACCAGTGGTGCCTTTGATACCCAGACACTGGTATTTACGTCTAGACTTGCGATCAATCAGTCAACACTAGACAGTAGACAACGGTGGCCTCTCACCCGGCTCACCCTGACTCTCGCGAGCCGGAGGGGTGTACAGGGCGGCATCACACTAAGCCGGATGCAGTGTGAGCCGCGAGCAGTTGAACAAACACTTGGCTGCTCCAACGGAGCAACGAGGCAACTTGCGAGGTGTAATTACCATGTTCGCGTCCCTGACTTTCCGACCATGGCTTGACTACATTGACCAGGCTGGCCACCGTCTAGATTGGGGAAGAATTGATGGAGACCACAACAAGAACCTGCAGACGTGTGTCCGAAGAGCTGGTTGCCGTCCGCCGTCCGCCGGCACAAAGGACTCACTGGATGAAGGTACGAAGCGTTCGAGGAGGTTGCATGACGACAAAAGGTCTCGACATCAACGATGCTGCTAGAAGCACACCAGCTCGGGTGTCGTGAGGCCTTCGAGAACATATACCTGGTAGTCAGGCGTCTCCCCGAGACCCCTTCAAAATCTCGACATGTCCTCCAATGAGTTGCAAGAAGACCCCCAGCCCCGCGATGCCGTCAGCACACTTTCAGCCACTGCGTCCACGCATAGGAGCGTGCATCTGCACTGACCAGTGATGAGCTGGCGCTGACCTCGCGTGAGTCTCTTTCTCTTGATTTCTCAGCGTGATGAGAACTCAGGAGGCCGAGGCATTGAATTCGAAGAACCAAATCCAAGCCGGCGCTCAACACATTGCAGGCGGTATTACCAGATATGTCATCCAGAATGCCGGATCCTGCGCAGCGTAACCAAAACCTCAGAGAGCCTGATCCCCGTCAACATTGAAGCACTATGACCCCCACAATGCGACGATACATTCGGACAGGGCCACCAGATGACATGGGCAATGGCTTCTGCTCAGTTTGCAACTCCATCGACTTCGGCGAGATAGCAGCTATTGACGTGGCCGGACCCGAACCTTATGACAGAAGTGAATTTGGTCTTCGTGGATACAGAACCGTGTTCGATCTCTCGACACTAGGACAGGATCCAACGTCTGGATGCCCAATGTGTGCCTTGTTCTGCTTGGCCCGAGACTACGTCTATGGTGGAAAAAGGACTACAGGCCTGAGTCTAGTGCGAAGGGCATCTGCTTATGCCCTGCCCGTGGACTTGGCACTCGTAGGCAAATACGAAGATGGCACAGGACATTGGGATGCTTACCCGTACAGACTGACCTTTTGGCCGTCTTCGGAGTCGACCACACCCAGACTGACATGCGGGAACTTCAAAGTGAAATACGAATGGATTTTGTCTCAAATACAGGTGTGTGTGGACCAACATAATCACACCTCGCCAGACGAAACCATACCAAACCTACTCCTCATCGATTGTCGCAATCTGAAAGTTATTGATGCACCCAGAAAGCCTGAATATCTTGCGCTCAGCTACGTCTGGGGTCGCGACCATCCTGCCGGTACAAACGACCCGCAACCGCTCAACATTGACGGCTTCGGCGGCGTGGTAACATGGACAATTGCAGACGCAATCCGGCTAACTCAGGGCTTAGGAAAGCGCTATCTTTGGGTGGACTATTATTGCATCCGGCAGAATCAACCGGACCACGTGAAACAGCAGTTGCAACTGATGGGGCAAATCTTTGCTGGTGCTTGGGCTACGATTGTCGCGCTTGGGAGCAACAACAGAGTTCCCTTGCCTGGTGTGTCGGTCGATCGACGAGCTCCATCGTTCACGACGGTTCCCTCTGGCGGCGTGATTCTTATGGATCACGACACCCAATATCATTACAGGATTGAACAGAGTGCATGGAATACGCGAGCTTGGTGTTATCAAGAGAAAGTCATCTCCACCCGACGGATCTACTGCTGCGACAACGAAGTTCTTATTGACTGTGCCAAGGCAATGGTGCCTGAAACACTGGGACTTGGTGACGGCCAGTTGCGTCTGAGGAACTATAAAGACTTACGCCCAGATTTCCCTTCGGCAGTGGACGACTACAGTAGAAGGAAATTGACCAACCAGATGGACGCCATCGATGCCTTTCGGGGTTACCTTGCGACAATCGATCAAAGGACCTATTGGGGCGTACCGATCCATTGCCCGTCTGAGTCTGCATCCCACGACGAAACTGAAGAGACGGGATTTTGCGTGGGCCTTCTGTGGCACCATGTGACATCGAGCATGAATCGCCAGGAGGCGAGGAGTAAAGCCGCCGAACTCCAGCCTCCGGTCCAGGATGATAAATTCCCTTCCTGGACGTGGGTTTCTTGCCGCTGGCGTGTTCACCCTTTCGCGATCTTTAGGGACTCCGACAAATATCATTTCGTCCGACATTGCGATATTTTTGTGGAATCTAGCTTGGGTCAGCCCATACGGTGTTCTGATCTATTCATGCCGCACAGCGAAGACTCTTCGATGGTGGCCGAGCAATCAAAGTACCTCCAACTTCAAGCTCCCTTGTTATCATACAGACTGCTGGATCCAAAGCGAGCTTCAAAATACAGCGACTACAAGCTGATGCCGTGGTTACACCTTTGCAGCCTTGACTTGGCCATTTTTCAAGATATTGGAAAGTTCAGAAGAATATGCTTCTATCCCGACTTTGGACGCATCGGCTCTCAGACCCTTGCATCCTTCCCGGAGACGGGCAAAGCGCTTTTCATTGCAACAATCAGGAACGGTGGACGGTCCACCTGGGAGGACAGCTTCTGTTTCCTCGCTTTGGAGAAGAAGCAAGATCACTGGCGAAGAGTCGGCATCATCATCGCCCTCGCGTATGAGTATCATTCGATCGTGTTCAAACAGGATACCAAAGGTCACGTTGATCACACAAGAGATCTGAAGGTCATCCGTGCGTGCGAGTCACAGGCCGCTGCGATCGAGGAAGGTCTGGAAGACTTGTGGTTGGAGGCAGAAGCGGCTAGACAGTTCGCGCTGTCCAAAATCGAGGCGGTCTCCAAGGAGGCGCTGGCTGAGATTCACCAACTTCCATTGGATACTATCCGGTTGGGCTAAGGTGGACCATGAGCCTTGTCTTCCTTTCCACATTGCTGACGGCTACTACTTCGCAATGGCTGAAGACACTCGCGAGAGGTAAGTATCCTCCAGTAAAGGGATCTGGCAACAGACAAGTCCGACGTTCCCTAGAAGAAACTTGGTGGGCAGCGAGGCCAATCAAGCCATGTTGAGGCTGACAACGTGCAGATATTAATGACTGGCGCTCGACGGTGGCAGTGATCAGCAAGAGCAGCATCTCATCCATTGGGGCCGTGTGCGTCTTCTCGTGCCAGGATGCAAAACGTCCACCCAATGAATTCGAATATGCTCGGCAAGCAAATCAGCATGGGAACCCACTACGACAGTCTCAATTTGCTTCATTTGATCTACCCTTACCAGCCTTCCTTCCAGCATCCTGCTTTCGCCAGGCGAAACACCAAATTCGCGCCTCCAGCACTGACAGCATCCGGGTCGAACAGGTCCTTCCCGGCGACAACGCCTTCAGCACCCGCAATCTTCGTACCACTCACACTGAATAACGCCTCTTTCAATGTGCCGACATCGAAGCTGGGGAGGCCATCCCCTTCATACCCGCAATGACTGCCAACGCAACTTAACAAGCTACGCAGGACCAGAGTACGGGATACATGTCAGCTCCGCATCCTACGCAGGCCTAAATAACGACAAAATCGACGGGCCAATTCGAGAACAGCAAATCGAGAAGCGGGCTCGAGCAATGTCTCATCAGTACCCGAGTACGGAGTAATTGCTGACCTCGTTCCAGCACTCCGACGCTAAGGCTGAGGAACTCGCCGTGGGGACCTTCGTGATCTCGAGGGTCTACTTCGTTTTGAGGCGCACGGAGATAGCATCGAAGCCGTGGCGTAGGCAGCATAGCACGTGTATACTATTCTTGCGGACGTACCCAGTAGTGCGCGATTAGCAATGTAGCTACAGTATCTACGGCACTATTCCAAAGCTATTCGGCAAACTGCAGCATGCGGTAGTCCGTGCAAGGTGATATCTGATGCTCCTCCCCTCCGGGGATGGCAATCGCACTTTTGTAACTCCATTGAGTCATTGCCACCTCATCGGCCGTGTTGCCATCGTCGCATTTTTCATATGAGTAGAAGTCCCAGTCCCTCCAGTCTAATTAGGTAGACTCAATGACCAGGCCCATCTGCTTATGTACCTCACTTGATCCTCCCATCCCTGACCATCTCCCTCATGACCCGGATCGTCTCTTCCACAGCCATCTTCGCGACTTGCGTCTCCTTGCGTCTCTTCTCCTCCAACTCCTTCTGCGCCCCCTCACACTCCGGATGCAGCCACTCAAACGTATACGTCATGTACAGGTCGACCCCTTCCTCGCCCGCGCCCTGCGAAATCACATTCTGCACCTTCGACCCGTCGGGCTGGTGGAACTCGACCTTCATGGGCTTGAAAGCCACGCACGTCTCCCGCACCCTCCGGTTGCCGTCGCGAAAGACGACCTCGCGCACAGTGACGGGACGGCCTTGGTCGTCCTGTGACTCGGAGATGATGTCCGTGGAGAGCAGGGCGCCGCCGACGAAGTCTTGGCCGGCGCGGATCTTCAGTTCCAGACCGCGCCAGATTTGTGCGGTTGAGAGTTTGGGTGATGCGGAGGGAGGGTTGATGGGTGCGGTGTAGGCGAGGTTGTTGGAGGGTGTTGGCTTCGTCATGGTGCGACCAGGATTGGGAGGGGAACTCGTTTTCGGTCGGGTCGAAGAGGCGGAAAATGGGTTGCGAGTCTGTTGGATGTTTGATCAGAATGAGGTGCCGCTGTTTCACTGACGTGTGCTGTGTTCTGTGGACCGCAAGATATATTCTTGTTCGACAGAAGCGTGGGGCTGCGATGAGGCGTCAACATCGATGGGCACCATGGAGGGGCATTTCACCGTCGGCCAGGCGCGAGAGGGCGCCCCTCTTAACGCCGAACCGCCGCGTTTTCCGCCGTGTCACTTGCCGCTTATGTACCGCTCGCTCACCTGTCCATCACCTGTTCACCCCTGCGCAGCTGCGCGACTGTGGTACTGTTGTACTCCGATCAGTCCTACCATTGTTGTTCGAGCTTACCAAAGCCATGGACGCGAGTTTCTGATGGACTGAAATCTGCGCGTGTCTTGCTTTGCAATGGTTTGATCTTCAGCCAGTCATTGCTGGTGGATGGGGAGAATAGTGAAGAAATCATTATTTCGAAATCAACACAGGCGGCGCGGGAACAGTATTGCGGTGTGCACAGTATGCCTCTACGAGTATTCTACCCTTATCTTCCACTCGCGTCTGATCAGGCCTCCATTGCCAATGAGATATCCGATGCTGGCCGCAAGGTTGCTTCTGAACTGGCGAATCTGAGGCCAACCTCTGGGTCGGATCTGAGGATGCAGCGGAGTCATCAACCCGGCCGCGCTCGGTCATGGATATCCGAGGACGCTGGAACCAATCTGAGAGCTTCCAGAAGGCTTCGCTGCCTGGATCTGCCTGGGCGTTCATGTCAGCAACACCTCGACTGTACGCCCAGGCCAATCACACAGCCGGTTGCGGCCTTAGTCAGGCACCCCGGAGCGACATGGGGAAAGTACCACAGACGTCAGAAACTCCATGCACGTATTCGGTAAAGAAGGTGTTGGCGTCGCATTCGAGTACATACATATACTTTCCCGCCCCGCATTGGAGCTTGCATCCTCGACGACCTGTCTATTTTCGAGAAATATGTACGAGATACCGCCCGACATGAGTGCAACAGCGGCGACAGCGAATCTCCCCATCATGGAGAAACAAAAGAAGACACGAAAGACTCACCACAAAGTCAGAACGGGCTGCATAACGTGCAAGTAAGTTGAGGGATCTGGAAGGGCGCATGTCCTGCGTTACTCATGGCTATGTAGGATTAGAAGAAAGAAGTGCGACGAGGAAAAGCCGTCCTGTTAGTTCTCCGACTCACCTTCGACCCTTTCCGCCTTTGACACAATCATACTGTTCTGTCGAGCTTGGCAGAAGCTAACGAGATCCGAAATCTTCAGGTCGCCGTTGTACCAGTACTGGTCGGAAATGCGATGGATACGGCCCTCAACCTACCCTCGAGACGTCCACTTCGGAAGGATCCTCACCTACAATCTCCGAACCTGGCGCAAAACGCGTCAAAATCTCCGCTAACAAGGTCGCCATCCCTGCGGCAACAAAGTCCAGGAGCCCTTCGTCTAGCGACAAAATCTATCCCCTACTCTCCAACCTCCGATTCGACACAGACAACGATTTCTACTGCTTCGACTTCTTCCGTTCGAGGACAGGTCCCGAGTTTGCGGCGTATTTCGACAGCTCGGTATGGCGCACGTACATTGTACGAGCATGCTTTCAGCATCCCACCGTCGCCGCTGCGGCAGCAGCAGTGGGTGCTGTCCATCGACGGTTCGAGCTGGGCATCTCCCGCGAAGCGTTCGAGTACTGCGACATCGCAGACAAGTTATACCAGAAGGCGTTGCGCAAATTGTCAGATGACATGGTTTCGCACCCGAATGCCGCAGAAATCAACATGATCGTGATGAAGTTGTTCAGCATATTCGAGACCTTCCAGGGCAACTACGATGCGGCACAACTGCACATGACGAACGCCCTGAAAGGGCTCTTGAACCGAAGGATGCGCACAACCTACAAAGACACGCAGTACCGTGCCGTGGACATCAGCTACGAAAGCCTACGGCGGCTGTTTCTAAAACTCGAGCTAGAATCCGTCCGTTTATTTGGCGGGCTAGCCACGACTCTCAGCGACCCAGAAGCTTCCTTCCAGGAGGCATATCTGACGCCGCTCTCGCAAACCGACGACTATCAGTCAGACATCCCCGATCCCAATCCGTACAACATCCCCACCGCATTTTCCTCCCTCTCGCAAGCCCGTGACGTGCTCTTCACCGAAGCGAAATGGATCTGGCACACGTGGTCGCTCCTCGAAGAAGGCTCCCTGATGGGTGTCGGGTGGAAACGGCACCAGATCCACATTGTGCGCCTCCTGCGCTGGAGCATGGCCTACGCAGAGTACAGCAAGAGCGAAGCCTCGCTGCGGGCGAACCATTCAGAACGGCACCCGGCCCAACTGCTCAAAGCCTACCGCGAAGCCGCATACCTCCTACTCCTCACCCAAATGGCATTCCACTCGCCCGACACGGGCGCCGTGATCGTCCCGCTCTGCGACCCGCCCGAGACATGCGACTGCCACCGCAGCTGCCGCACGTACGCGGAGCGCAAGGAGGCCCTGAACGCGCACTTTGCCCGCCTGCTGATCCTCAGCGAGAGCATCTTCAACCGCTCCAGCTTCTTCGCCTACGACGACCACTCGATGAGCGTGGACAGCGGGATCGGCCCGCCGCTGTACTTGGGCGCCACGCGCTGTCGGTCCACAAAGGTCCGCCACCAGGTCACCTCGCTGCTCAGCAAGAGCGAGATCCAGCACCACGTCTGGGACACGCTGGGCGTGTATACCATTGCCGAGAAGCTGTCGTCGATCGAAGAGCACGCCGTCACGGCGTGTGGGGCCGTGTCGGAGCAGCTGGAGCCCAAGTGGGTGGACATTACGTTCTTCTTGGACGAGAGGCGGGTCTTGCTCCGGTATTGTCACGCGGATAGGGAGGGCCAGGGCGGACGCGTCCGAGGCACAGGGTTATGGACCGGGGAGGATCGATGGAATGAGAGCGGAACGGGCGGCTTGGTCTGGACGCAGGAGTGGGTGTCTTTCTAAATGTTTGGACGGAGGACGGAAGACGAAGGCATTGGTGTCCGATTCGCGGAGAGTCTGGGTATCAACATCGGTCCTAAAAGGGAATCGAAGTGGTGGAACGGCGAGTCCACGAACAGCGAGAGGCCTGTAATATGTATGCCCTCACGACCAATACGCGTTAAAACAGAATCATGGGTTGGAACAGCGTCCAGCATGAGGCTTACAATGTACACCACCTTTGAGCCACGTGTGGATGTACACTGTACTCTACCCTATCTGCTGATGGAAGGACTCCAGCCTTGTCTTTACCATCACCGTTACCACAATCACCATCTGTCAGATGAGACGTATGGAAGCTGCTGGAGATTGAGGAAGGCTATGGCAGAGGGAACAGTGACTATATACACAATCAAGTCACGTGTCAGTCACGTCCTGGTCACGTGATACAACGAGGTGGCTGGAGCATGCCTATGCTTCTGCTCCAACACCATCACCGTCGCCCTCTCAAACTCCAGGATCAGCTCTGAGCCGTCGTCGTCGCTGCTGTCGTCCTTCTCGTTGTGAATCGCCTCAGCACAAGCTCGGGGTCTCATCATCCCCAAACGATCGTCACCCGCTGCAGAAAGTGATCATGCCCCTCTTCCTCCCTAACTCGACTGCCTTGCTTCACCCTCCAACCATGCCAAATACTGTGAGGAGTCAATACCAAGCAACCGCATCACGACGGTCCTGAGAAAATCTACCTCCCACCAGACATCCCCGAGATCTGGATCGTCCGTTACATTGGCCTCATTGGACGCTCGTTCGGCCATCTTCCCCTTCTGCTGCTCGTGGCTCCGCGCTGCCTCTTGTAACTGCTGGTGCTGTGGTGTTGGGCTTGGAGCTTGGCTTCTGCGCCCACGAGCGTTGCGTTCTTCTGATTCGGCGGTTTCCGTGTGCATTCTGTGACGAGGCGATGAGAAGCCATGTGGAGGGACGTACAGCCTAGGTGGGTGGAGTGGAGATGTTGAGGACGTCGAACTGGGTTGGTCGGTATGTCTGGTGCCGTAGATGCCTCGAGCTAATGGCATGCGAGAGAACGACCAGGATGAAGGTCCACCCGTGGTTGAAGGAGATGATGCCTTGTGTGTTCTAGCAACTGTGATCGAATTTGGACTACTCGGCGTAGTGGGCAGGAGTGTCGTTGGTGCCGGCGGATCAAAGGGTCTGTGGTGTCCTCGGTCCCTTGCGTGGGTCATCGCTCTGCGTCCGTCGTGTTGACGTGCCTGTCTTCGACCACGAACGGCACATGATGCCAACAATGAGGGCGAAAGTTGTAGACCTCTCGCTTGACGAGCGTGCTGCTGCTGTTCATCAAGCGCTCCTCGCGGCCAGGGAGGGTCAAGAACACGGTCATGAGTCTCTTGGCTTCTCTGCTTCGTCGCGCCTTTATTCCATCTCTTATTCACATTCGACGGCTGCTGGGGCACTGCCTGCGAGCCCGTAGCGATGGTGTCGTCAATGGCTTCCTTAGCCTTCGCGACGGCCTGGTCCCGTAGTTCTTCCATGCGTTTCCGATTGTGTCGTGCTGTTTGTATTTGAAGGTCCCTGCGTATGATGTTTGCGTTAGACTCCTCCCAGAGATCCAGAGGTGGAGTATCGACATCCTTAAGTATTTGTGCATATCCACTAACGGGGTGTTCCTCTGTTCCTTCTATTGTTTGGTGGCAATAGACTTCCATGGTAGAACCAGAGGGTTCGGACTCATCAAAGTCGTCAAGATATGTCGACGGAGTTGGCGATTTCTTGTTTCCACCACCTCTAATCTTGACGTACGGTGTGTAGGTCATGGGACCAAGTCCCAACCAATACGGCAGTAGTGACATGGTTTCGTGCTGTTTCGTTCACTTGGTGACAGTGGTTGCAGTGATCGAGCCACCGATGCCGTTGCAGGTTAGCAAGCAGTATTTAACCAGTTGGTTTCGTTTGATGCAATCAACCGTGCTGCGAAGGGCTGCTTTGCTCCTCGTCGGTTTAAACGGTGGGCTGGTCAAGGCCGCTGTGTTCTACCTCTGGAGGCAGGTCTGATCTCCGACGAACCACCTCGTGTGCCATCAGCAGAGTGTGGAACATACTCGTAGATCTCTACCGCCCATATCTGCGACGGCCGTCGGTGGTGCACTGGGGCTCCTGATGCCTCGCACCGCCCGCAATATCTAGTCGAGTCGTTATTGCTCGCTGCTCAACTCAGTCCCAAGCTTCACCCCAGTCATCGTCGTTGACGGAAGGTTCTTTGGGCTTGGAAACCTCTTTCTTGATCTCTTTCTTGGCAGTCACAGGAGCTGTGGGTTTGGTGTTTGTGACGGTCGGTCTCTTGGAGCCGGCGCTTGTAGCTTCAACACCAGCCGACACGCTTCTCGCAGGAGCGACCGGACGAACGTTTAAACTGGAGACTGCGGTAGTTGGCTTGGCTAGACCTTTCGGCAGTGCTTTTTGTGACTTCGCCTTTGATTGCGCTGCCAGCCACCCAGCAAAGTCCGGCTCACCACCATCATCGAAAGCAGGGGCGGGCTCAGGTGTTGACGTTTTTGTGGCAGAAGATGCGTCGAAGAAGCTATCTCCTTCATCGTCCATGGTGCCCCATGCGTCCAGAGTGTCACCTTCCTCTTCCCAAGCGTCTTCGGCCTGATCTGGAGGTGGTATTGGTGTGCTTGTTGTTTGCAAAGTCGGCACTCTCGAGGAAGTTGTGGTCGATTTCTCGCGGATGACATTGATTGTCGGGGTTGTTCGTCCGGATGTTGGCAATGATTGTGTTTGAAGCAGAGGAGCTCCGTTTGCGGTCGCTGCAGGGGCCATCTCTCCTTTCGCGCCGGCCATCTTGTTTGTGAATGAAGAAATTGCCCAGCCCGCCCAAGTTGTATCGCTCTGGTTGCCTATTCTTGCAGGAGCAGCGGAGGCGGCACTGTTGGTTCCTGGTCCTTGTTCCGGCGGCAAAACAGTCTCAGGCAAGGTTGCCGCATACTTGCGGACCTTGCTTAGGTAGGTGTCTACGCTTTTGTTCGCCTGATCGCGGACCAACTTCTCCTTGTCCACCAAGCTGACACAGATCGCGGGTAAGAGCTTGGTGGCGCAATCATCATCACTGAAGACGTCAATGGTTGCACTCAGCGCCTGCAAAGCTGCACTCCGGGCGTGCACGAAAGGGTCTCTAAGTGACCGTCCGAAAGCTGCGATCAATACCTTGGATCTTGAACTGACGCCGAGGTTTCTGGCAATCTTCCCCAAGCAGATCGTGGTGTTAGTCCGAATCCCAGGTTGTTCGTCATTTGCGGTTTTGGCGAGTAACCGTAAAAGTTCTCCGTTGATAACGCGATCTGATAGCTTGGATATCACGGAAAGAACGGCTTTCACTGTCTGCTCTCGCACCACCGGAGCGCCATCAGTAAAGCCGCCAGTCATCGCAGGCCATATTTTGCCATTCACATCCTTCTGTGGTATGCGATCTATCATGAGCGGTAAGTTGTCGAGTAAGCATACCCTCATGGCTCGATCGGGACTGTTAAACAAGCGGATGATGACAGGCCCAAGCCGTGATTCGAACTCGTCGTCGGACATTTTGAGGCCGATCTTCATGATGGCACTGAAGACACTGGGGCCTCCGCCACCGAATTCGACTGACTTCAGCAGCTCCGGTAGGATCTTTATCTTGAAAAAGTCTTCTGGAAAGTCATCTGTAAGACTCTCAAGCTCCCTGCAACCGCATCAGCTACAAGATCCAAGATGTGACCATGGCACTTACCCGAGGAACTCGTTCCTTTCCTGTTCATTCTTCAGGCCCAAGCTGTCTGCTCCTTCTGTGATATGAATGAGAGGGGTCTCGAAGAAACCTCCAGCCTTCTTCCCTAGGTCGACGAACTGTCCAGCATTCGACCTCAACTTGGGGTTGGCATTGATGAGCCGCCTGTAACTCTGCACCATGTTGGCAGGTATACTCCTGGGCTGTCCCAGCTGATCGTTTCCCATGAAACTCCCGTTGAACGCCTCGAAGATCAGCACGCCGAGCCCGTACGCATCCGGCGCTCCCAGCGGGTTCTTCTTGATAGCGGACCAGCCGCCATTGACTACCTCGGGAGGCGCATATCGATTCGAGTCTGGTAGCAGGCTTCCATAGTTGTAAATTATGGCTTCGTCCTCATTCATTGAGCTGAGCACTTCAAACCCTCCCAACTTCCACTCTCCGCTCTCACTTGTGAATATTGACGACACCCGTACAGCTCCGTGCACTGAAGAGGCATCATTGTTGATGAACTTGAGCGTAGAAGACACACTGTACAAGCCCCATTTTATGGTCTCCTCGCTCAAACTCTTGCGCCGGACATGCCACCCGAGAGGAGTGACCTTTTCCGTGATGATGTATATGTTCGTCTCGTTCTCGATCACGTCGATGACACGTATGACGCCCGGGTGTCGCAAGGTTCGCAGTTTCCGGGCTGCATTCTTCGCTAGGGGCAAGCGAGACTTGTTTTGATTGATGTCGAAGTTGAACACACAGCAGGCGGAGCCGTCGTCCTGGACTCATGTCAATCAAGGACCAGCTTGCCGAGCTGACTCTCGCCGCACCTTCTTGATGCCATTGTGCACCGTCCATATGGAATCCCCGATGTCGATTCTATCTCCGATGGTAACAGGGAAGGAGCTGGACTTGGCGATGGCAGAAGCGACAGCAGACTTAAGAAAGTCCATCGACGTTGACAGAGCTGCACTATTGACCGCAACAGGCGCCTTCCTCGGAGGGTAGACTGTTGGTAAATTTCATGTGAAACTGTCCTCAATTGCGGGCCATTTGACGCCGCAGAGGCCATGCAGGCGCATGCGCAGGCGGACACGGACACGGACACGCGCCTGGAATTTCCCCGCGCCCGTTACATTGCCATTCAACCACCTTGCACGCCAGGAAGTAACAGCAAACACGCCTTGCGGAGTACATAGAGTACAGTACTTGTCCGGAGACATTCCTCCCAATAACCTTGAGTAGCTACAATATGGCAGACCGACCACCTGCCCGGAGAGGCTTCTCCTCGACTAACATGCCCAAAAGCATGGCTTATCGCCCACACGAGGGCAAGTTCGGTATCGTGACCGGAGGCTCAAGAGGTACATATGGCGCCTCAGGGTCGACACCTTTCTTTACACGCCTAATGCATTGCAGGTATCGGGGCAGGCATAGCTCGCAATCTCGCCTCCAAAGGATGCTCTCTTCTTCTCGTCTACACCTCCGACTCCTCCACAGAACCTATTCAAGCCCTTTGCAAAGAACTCTCTGAAGAGAACGACATCCTCTGCGTACCGGTACAAGCCGACCTGTCAGACCCGAGCCGAGCCGCTCCTCATATCCTAGCCACCGCTAAGAACCATTTCGCACATCCACGTACGGGTACATTCCAGGTGGACATCATCATCAACAACGCGGGCATAGCAGGAAACAAGCTTTTGAACGATTCTGACGCAGGACCGATCGAAGAGACGCAATTTCACAAACAGTACAACGTCAACGTGCTAGCGCCATTGTTGCTGGTGCAGGCGTGTCAACCTTACCTTCCCAAAGATCGCTCTGGCCGGATCGTGAATGTGTCGAGTGTATCCTCGTCGATTGGTTATGAGTCACAGTCGATTTATGCTGGCACCAAGGCTGCTCTGGAGGCGATGACACGCGTATGGGCAAGGGAGCTGGCAGAGAGCTGTACAGTCAATGCGATCAACCCAGGGCCTGTATGGGGAGACATGTACACCCAGGCAGGAGAAGGCTTCTGGAAGGTAAACCAAAAGTATGCGGACAGTGCTCCACTGATGAACTACACGGCTGGCGATGATGCAGTTCGAGCTCGTGCAGGGGGCGATCCCGAAGAATTTGATAATATCGTGCTTAAGGGCATGGGTGGGAAGAGGCCAGCTTTGGCAGACGAGATCGCAGGTGTGGTTGGCATGCTTTGCTCTGAGGAGAGTGGTTGGACGACAGGAAGCGTGATCTGTGCAAACGGTGGCATGAAGATGTCAATAGCATGATGAGTTATGTAAGACCCTAGTCAGTCACGGGTGAGAAATGATTGAGTTTGAAATCAGAGCGAGCCGAGCGTACAGCGATATGTGTGAATCTCGGACAAGGCTGAAGTGACACGGAAGATGCTCGTCATTTGAACATCCGCACACGGCCTTTCGTCCCACGATATTGACCAGCATTGAATACACAGCACCACCCGAACTTGCGGCCAACATTCTGTACTCGACAGCCCTTGCCCATCTTCGAGACTCATCGGCATGGTTGACATCGTCCCCGTCTCCTCGTATCCCTCACACATCTCCCTTCTCCCCTCGATCCAACAATGTAACCTCAGCAACCTCCCAGAGAACTACTTCCTAAAATACTACATCTACCACGCCCTGACATGGCCTCAACTCTCCTTTGTCGCGGTCGTACGCGGTCCCGGTTCGAAACCACCCAAATACCCCAAGGTGGTCGGCTACGTGCTCGCAAAGATGGAAGAAGACCCGCCTGACGGGGTGCAGCATGGGCATATTACCAGTCTAAGTGTCATGCGCACTCATCGGCGGCTAGGCATAGCGGAGAAACTCATGAGGATGAGCCAGAGGGCCATGGCCGAGGTGTTCAATGCCGAGTATGTCAGCTTGCACGTGAGGATGTCGAATACGGCGGCGCTGCATCTCTATCGGGATACGTTGCGCTTTGAGGTGGAAAAGGTGGAGAGCAAATACTACGGCGACGGAGAGGATGCTTATGCAATGAGAATGGATCTTCGACCGTTGCAGATCAAGCACGTGCCGGAGGCGGACGACGAAGACGAAGGCGACGGAGTAGGCAGTTTTGGCAAGAAGGGCGAGGAGGCCGAAGTCAACGGTGAGGCTGGCAAGACGGAGAAAATGGTCAAGGTAAAGGTCGGGAGGGGCCTGGGAGTGGGCGAGCTGGTGGAGAGGAACGAAGGCTCGACAAGTGCGCGGTACTGACTGGGCGTTGCGTGATTGCAGAACGCAGTGCGCTACTCTTCCGATGCGGAAGCAGGAAACGACAACCAATTCCATCCTCAGTGCAGCTGTGAATAGTGCCGTCGGGTACAGGAGAGGCCTGCGAGTACGACTGGCTAGGACCCGTCGCTCATTCCTGACTTACAGACTTCTCTTCAAGCCCGGTCTTGACAAAGGCCAGCTCCAGCAGGACTTTGTACAAGAGTACGAAGAGAGTCCAACGCAGAACGGCGGACTCTCAGGAGCGAAACTTCACTTCCGCGCACTCGGACACCTGAAGATACCAGAAAATGGGCAGACATCCTGTCGGACTGGAAGCTTTCAACTCATCTCGATACTTGAATGAATGTGTTGCCTATTGTCACCCCATACAAGACGCAAGGGTCTACTTCTTTTCAATGGCAGCCTGGTAACTCGGCAACTCCGCCTCCTCTCCAGCATCTTGCTGCTCTTTCTCCACCTCGTACTCGCTCTCACCCTCATCATCGCTATCGCTCTCGCTTCCCCCACCCATTCCCACTTGCTTGTCATCTTTCACGACGAGAGGCTCAACCTTCTTTCTATCCTTCATCTCCAGCTGAGTTCTCATCATCGTCGTCAACCCACTTACCAACAGAATCACTGCTCCTGATTCACTGGCCTGGCTTCGACGGCCGCAATGTCGTCCTCGACGGCAGCTGGCATAGCCATGTTCACAACCTTGGTGGTGGCGAGAGGAGTTGTGTGCCATGCAAGCACGGGGACGAGAGGAACCGCACCTCCTAGCCGCACGACTGCTTATATGGCTTGTATAGCCGCAGCCAAGACAGTCTCCGGAGTCACGGCTATTGGCGTCGCCAAATCCGGTTAGGGAGACTGCTGGGTCGGCCACAGCAACGGTTTGCTTAGCATACGCCGAACCGGTGCAGTTGGTGCGCTTGCTTCGGCACATATTGGAACTGTCTTATGCGATTATGTTGGGGAGGCCCTCTGGGACCAAGTCGAGTCCTTTGTGTGACCTCGTCTAGTACTGAACGAGGAGGTTGAATGGATTTTCTCGGGCCTTGTCGTTTTGCAGATGGTTATCGCTGAACAATTTTCTTCGTTTCCGATGGGCTAGCCTGACAGAAGTCATCTTCACGTTGAACGGGCTGAGCAGGTGCATAGATATATATTGCGTCCTCCTCTGTAATGCTCAATTGTTGTAATTCCAAAATCGGACGTATGGCTAACCCGGCCGCCAATGACGAATGGCAGGCGGGCGGGCGGACTAACGTTGAGTTCCTCCGGGCGTAGACACATGTCATCCCGAATGTCTCCAGGCTCCGTGGGGAACAAATTACTACGGCCGTCGGGGGTCGTGCATGCTCATTCGGCCGTTAGATGGAGTACGACCGAGGCCGGCCAAGCGCTAATCAACATGCAACGACGTAGAAGACTCTCGTCTATATCGTAGATCTCCTCCACATGGCTACACACATTTGAGAGACACGAGATATGCATGTTAAGATGCGTCCTATTCTGTTCACTGAATCAAGGATCAGTGATGCAATCGTCGAAGGCACTTGCCTTTCCCCAAGCGGGGTTCACACCCAGCCTTGAAGTTCTCTTTGTGCTGCGCTCAGGTTTGCCCTCTCCTCGGGATTAATTTCGTCCTTTCTTTCGAAGTGTCTGAGGCCCACGGTCCTCCGCAACTTGATTCATAATGGTCCGGGTCCTTGATCACGCCGGCCAGCCCGTCAAGGGGGGCCGAGCCAGAGTGAATGACATGCGACTATACTACATCACGGCGGGCAAGGGACCGGCACTGGTCCTCCTGCACGGCACGCCCAAGAACAGCTACTACTGGTACAAGCTCTTTCCCTTGTTGACGGAGCACTTCACCCTGGTGGCGCCTGACTTGCGGGGGTTTGGATGTATGTCACGGACCGCTTCTGGTCATCTCGGACTGTAACGCTAGACTGACGGCGTGGTCAGATTCGGACAAACCGCCCACGACCGATGGGTACGACTGCAGAACCAACGCCACCGACATCGCCGAGTTGATGTCCCGGCTCGGCCACGAGCAGTACCACGTGCACGGCGAAGACCGCGGCGCCGAATACGCCTATGCCCTCGCCGCGCTGTACCGCCACCGCATCCTCTCCCTTTCATTCTGCGAGATGCTCCTCTCGGGCTTCGGGCTCGAGGAGTCTTCCTTTTGGACGCCGGAGAACGTGTCAGCTCAGTTCCGCCAGCAAGGCGTATGGTGCTGGCACTTGGGGTTTTTCTTCATCCCTCACCTTCCAGAGATGTTGATCCAGGGCCATGAGCGGGAATTCTGGGAGCATTTCATCAAGCAGGAGTGCTTTGACCCTGTGGCAGTAGAGGCACATGCTCTGGATCATTGGATCGAGTGTGTCAAGCAGCCGGGCTGTCTGAGGGGTATCCTCGGGACGTATCGTGCCGGTTTCAAGAACGCGGAGATCAACCGCGGGTTGGCGCGAGAGAAGTTGACACTGCCCGTCATGACGATCGGTGCGCCCGAGTTCTTTGGTCCAAAGGTAAGGGATTGTGCTTTGAAGGTTGCGGAGACTGTCACCAGGTCGGAGATGTTTGACGAGTGTGGGCACAGCTTGGCCCTGGAAGCGGAAGAGAGACTGGCGACGTGTTTGAAGGAGTTCTGCTTGGGTGGAAGTTGGTGAGGCCGATTGCTTCATTCCGTGAGGAATGATGAGAGCATTTCAAGACAGCAAAATCGGAGCACCTACGGAGTACAGGATTGGCTGTGCAGGTTCTGTAGTATTCTGCACGCATGGGGAGTTGGTTCGGATCAGATCAGATCATCTTTAGCCACGCGAATGAGGTGATAGACTGCCATTGCATTGAACGTACGGCGTACCCAGCCGATCGCATCGTTTAACGCTACTGGTGCGTCGGCGTTCCGCGATGGCATTTACGCAATATCTCGTCGAGGACCTGCCCCTGTCATATCCGGTGCAGCCCTGTTGCTATTTGTCTATCTCAAGCAATACCAAGTCATTGAATTCCATTCCTGAGGTCCCCGCACTGGCGCAGCCGCCGGGGTACCAGTCAGTGACTGGTAGGGTATTGGAGAGTCGCAGTTGACAAGGCTGTGGACCCCTAAATACAGTGGTTGCCCACGGTATTGTACCCTGGGCTCCCGGGGCTCGCCTCAACACCGGGAGCGCCCTCAATCCCCAAGCATAAATTGCCAGGGTTAACGGAATACAGCGTCATCACCACCTCAGCGACGTACTCTCTCTATCTCACTCATAACCTACCCACTCATAACCTACCCACTCAAAACCACGAGTTCCATCCACGGTCCGAGATATTTGTCTCGGTCAGATTATGCACGAGTCTTCACCCTCTGGATAAACGTCCCCATCCAATCCATCCATTGATGGCTGCCGGGGATGGCCGGCGCTGGAATCACAGCACTGTCATACCGTAGTCGGACCACCTTTCGCAAGCTGTGGGCCTCAAGGACTCTTCCATACCAAGTACCGTATTGTGTGCACGTGTAATAAAGTCTATGTAGAAGGGAGGTATGTAGCTAACATCAGGTTTACTCGTCGAATGATATCCGGCGCCTGGCGGAGTATCGCCGAATAATTACTGCGCTGCCACACACAATCGGTCGACATATGATTGCCAGGTGTAGACGGCTCCTTTCGAACCCGTTACCTTCTATAGTGCTGAGCGTGCCTACTTAGGAATGCATACGACTCAAGGTGGTGTGCGACATGTACTGTGCTTTCTATTCGGGTGCGCGATTTCGGCATACCCAGGGCCCAGGCTGATGACGGTGCGGTGGTGTGGTTGTGGTGTGACTCGTGCGCCGCCGTATGTACCGTACGCGGTATGTATCACACCACAACCACACCACGGCCGCTCCCCGTACGAAAGAAGGGCTCTCCGTAAGCCGACTGGCATGGCAACATAGCCAGTACACACCACGCGCACGCACCACGCGCACACACCACGCGCACATGCACGGTGGTACGGAATATGGAGCTCGAAAATTCAAAAGGTAGGGTTCTCAAACGCAAAGCACCGCTCCGAATGCCGAAACAAATCATTCGTTTATATTCGGCGTTGGACTTTGATTTCATCTCATCTCATTCCATTCCATCCCCTAATTACTTGCCAGTCATCAAGCGAAAAGACAAAGGAGAGACACAACACAGGACAGAACAGAAAGGACACCAGGCACTCGAATCACTCCAATCCACTCAGTCAATCATCGGTCATTGGTCATCCACAACCCCTCTGACAGACCATATCATACAGACCATATCACACAGGCCATACAGGCCGTACAGTACCAAGCGACCATATCTGACCCAACCTCAATCACACGAATCTGCACCGCAACTCTCGAAATGAGCGCCATCCGAGCCTGGAGACCGTCGGCCGTCCCCGCATCCACGCACCATTTCCAGTTCGCGGGCTTCCTGTCGACATTCCTCATCCCGCTGGGCGTGTTCATGTACGCGGTCCGAGATCCGGCCAGCGTTGCCGAGGCGAAGAGAAGGGCGGAACGGCGACGGAATGGGTTCAAATAGGTAGAGGTAGAGGTAGCGGTAGAGGGGGCACCGCTGAGCAGAGCGGAGCAAAGCGGAGCAGAGAGGAGCAGAACGAAGCCACATACCTCGTCTACCTCGCATACCTTTTGTTTTGTTATGATCGGCAAGAACAAAACAGAGACGCATGACACTGGGGAACCACGTCAGGGTTGTTCTCCCAGTTGACCTTCCGCGCCGATTCGAGCGTCTTGGGAGGGAGATCAAAAGCTGCATCGGGATGGACAGAGGCCGGAAATAGTGATCGAGCTGCGTCGGGACGGACTGGGTGTATGATGGCTGGGAAAGGGAGATCAGGTACTCCGTAGACAGACGGGGAAAAGGGCAAGTCTCAAGAGCATGCACATGCATCTTCGTCTGCAGGACGTGCAACATACAATATACAGCATATAACATATAACATATAACAATACAAACCATCAGCCAAGTGGTAAAGATAGAATACTAGGTAACCAAGAAGCGAGCGACCTCGGAAGAGAGATGCTCTGGCAGGAAAAGCGAGGGCCCAAAATTCGCCAGCGAGGAGCGTAATATCCAGTGAATGAATGTTTGCGGTGCGCGCCGCTTCAAGGCCTTGCAGGGTGAGCGGAGTCCCAAGGTGATCCCTTATGTGGGTTATACGGTCAGGTCGCAACCGTGTCGACAGCGAGATGTGATGCTGGACGTGAAGGATGTTGGGAACCACGCAACTCATCGCGAGAGGCGAAAGGTTCAGGATGCAGAGTGGCTGGCCTGGGTGGCAATGGGAGCTGGAGCTGGTGATGAGCAAATAGGCACTGTAAGTCGGCGAGTGCTTCTCCGTATAAGAGGTGGACGTCCCACGTGATGCCGAAAGACTAGATTGAGGCAAACGTCCTCTGGATCTCGTACCTTGGTACATGTCATTGACAGCAAATAGGTATCTAACCACTCATTTGCTCTACTGTACGGGTACAGAGCAAAGGTGCTCCCACTCAAGTTGCGGCGCGGCAACACGTATCATCATCGATACCTCGACTACATACGTTGGCCATCCCCGTGCTGTGGTCTGTGAATCAGAGATCTGGGATCTGAGGCTGCACTCGCATCGCACCACCCATACATACATGCTGTACTCCAACAAATGCACGACACGCAGCAAGGCTAGGCTAGGCGTGAGAAGAACAAGAGATGAAACTCCTGGGTGCTGAATCCATGACCCTTGAAACCTCACTCGTCGTCACTGAGTCATCTCTTCCTCGGACTCGCCGTCCCCTCGCTAACGCCGTCCTCGAATTCGTCTTCCTCCTCGATCAGCGCCGGTGTGCGCCGTTCATTACGCCTCTTTGGCCTCCTTCTGCGTGAACTCGAGATGTTACTCGCGCTGTCGTCCGGCGCAATCTCACTTAGTCCGTCCCATTCGCCGAGACCGTCGTCTGTTTCTGCTTCCCATCTTCCTCCGAAGCCGTGTTCTCCCGCCGTAGGTAACACACCGCTTGCGGGAGTGTTCATGCGGACTTCAATCCCTCCACCCATTGCACCTCTCCTGCTCTGCGCCGCGGCAGCGAGGCCCGCTGACCGTTCTCGCAACGCCCGACGGACGACCTCGGCCTTATTGTGCAGTGCTTCGAAGGCGTCCTCGAGGGCTTCCATGCCGGCGTAGACGTCTCGTTCGATCTCGGCGAGTGTGGCCAGTTCGGTTTCCTCGTCAAAGGCGATAGGGGCTCCGTACTGCGCACTGGGAGGGGCGCCGTATCCGGTGCTGGAATAGCTGCCTTGGCGGGAGCCGTAGCCTGCACCGCCATAGGCAGGTGTTGTGCCCCGGGTTGGTGGTCGGTAGGGCGTTGGACCCCGTGACGGAGGGAGGTGTTCGGGGGGGTGTGGGATGTCTTCGGCGCCGCTTCGCAAGAATCCGTCGAAGCGCCCAGATACCAAAATGTCCCATTCGTCGTTTGAGATTGCGGCGAGCGTTGCCAGGGCGTTGTGTAGAGACGGGTTATTCAGGAGGAACAGCGCTGCCTCGGAGTCTCGCGGTTGGAAGTTCAGGCGATATAGCCGCTGGATCGCCTGCAATGCGACCGCTATATGTGGTTGTCGCGCTCTGGGGGCCGGTGTCGGTGTTGGCGTGGGCACGGGAGGAAGGCGAGACGACGCACCGTTTTGCTTCTCCAATTCGGGCGTGGGTACTCGTTTCGGGGGTTCGATAGGTCGATCGACGATGCCCAGCAGGTCCTTGAAAATGGGTCTCTGCTCGGCGGGGAGATGGGTTAGAATGGCAAACGTCAGAGTCTCGTCGTCGACTTCCTCGGGTGGGGAGGTCGGATTTTCGCCTTGCCGATTCAGCCACTTGTCCACGCTTTGTTTGGTCTTGCGCGACTGTCGGATATAGTGGTCCCGGTACTCTTCCGGAACGTCAATATCCAGCTGCTGCATCGGGACGTGCAGCTCGAGTGAGATGCCCAGGCCGACGGGCGACTGGGTAAACGTGAAAGGAGGCCAGGCCGGCCAGTCCTTTCTGCCCGAGACCAGTTCCAGCACTTCGCCCCAACTGACGCCTCTGATGTCCTCGGCGCCGTCGTACTCGCACATCGGACATTGACAGGCTTCAGACGAGATGTCACGTGCAAAGACGGCTTCGAGGCGGTCGAGCAGTCGTCGTGCTACGGAGCGGTATCCCGTCGCCACAGCTAACGAGCCGTTCTTGGAGATGACCTTCTCAAAGTCGTCGAGGAGGCCGATGTAGGGCTCGAAGAGATTCGCAACCACGATTGGTTGTTGTCCGGGAGATTGCGCCTGCTGGATTGCCATGGGTTTACCTGCGAGCAGGAGATTTTTCGGCACCGAGTGATGTAGCCCACCGTGCTGCAGGAGGTAGTCGACCTTGGGCACAGAGATTGGCACCGGCGGCGGAGGAGGTGGGGGAGGTCCTGGAGTCTGGGAGACACCACCCGGCGTACCTGTTATTATCGACCTGTCGTCTTCGATAAAAACCTCCATCGGAGTCACACCCCTCGAGTGGGGAAGAATAACGGCAGGACCATCAGGGTACACGGCTGCAGGAGGGATCTTTGATCCAGGTCGCTGTATATTGGGCTGTTCGGGGGCTATCGAGGTGGCTTCCGAGCTGAGATTCGTGCCTGAGCCGGTAGCGCTCGTGGCGCTGGTGGCGGTGGCCGGCGAATCTGTCCTCGTGGGCTGACTCACTGATCTTTGAGGCAGGGTCGTCGAGACCGGCGTCGAGGTCTTCAAGGTCGACGCCGGTGTGTCTCGAGGCTTTCTCGTGGGTGAACTATTCGTACCAAGTTCAGAGGTACTACGTAGGTGGCCATTCTCCGCCCTTGGTTTAGGCATTGTCCTCACCTTGGCCGTCGTCTTGGAATCGCCATTGGCCTGCGAGGCCTTCTCTTCTTGTATCGTCTCGACCGACACGGGCTTCCCTGCATTGGGCTTCCATTTCCCTGTGCCCGAATTCTTCTCTGTGAGGGGTGGACTGGGTGGGGCATGGTGGGCAGTTGTAGAGGGCTTGGAGGAGGGTAGTTTGTCTTTCGAGGCATTCAAATCAGTCGCCGGAGGCGTGAAGGGGTTCACCAGATTCGGTCGATGGCCCAATCCAAGACTCTCGCGAGCATGCTCTTTGGACAAGGAGGGGTACGGCAGGCTGGACTTTGACTCGGATCTGAGGGAGCCATCGTCGATGATTTTGCCCGGCATCGAGGACCGTCTCTTCTCATCGACGGGTGAGATGGATGTTCTCGAAGATGTCTTCTCCTTTGTCGACACTTTGCGGCTTGTTCGGTGTCTTTCTAGTTCCTTGTCTCGGTCCTTGTCTCTGTCCTTGGGTCTTTCTCGGTCGCGGTCTCTTCGGTCTTTGTCGATGCGCGACGACTCCTTTTTCTCGCGCCGTCGCTCGGCGCTGCTATCTCGTACTTTGGAAGGCATGATTATGGACGGAAAGGTGCATGATGTGGCCGCATATGGTTCTTGCTCAAGGCGCTTAGATCGCGGGTGTCATTTGCGCCCAAGGCCAGTTATTTGTGGAGTGACACGGCGCTTAGGCGGCGAAGATCAATAATACCATGTCACAGCGGTTGCAGGAGCAGGGAAGGTCTGGGATCCCACATGAAGCGGAATGTCAAGGCAAGTCAAGCAAGTCAAGGGCCGATCGTGCCATGCGTTGTTTGTCGTGTCACGTTGTGGTTTGGTTCCTGGCGGGAACTTAAGCCTGCCTGCGATGATGTCGTTGGTGGCCGAGGCGCAGGCGGTGGCAGGAAATAGTAAAAGCCTCGCTAGCCCGTCTGATTGGGCGCACACTTGAAGTTGGGCTCAACCAGGGCTCACTTCGCTTGCGCCGGAGTCCACCCCATGAGACTGTCAAGAGCCCGACGCTGTGCGCCGTCGAGTTAACATAGCATGTCCATTTTTACTACGGAGTACATGATGGCTTTTGAGTACGAACACAGTACTACACAGTACCCATCATGGAGTACGTCCTCACCCAAGGCCAGGTCAGTGAATATCCCCCGCATTTCCGTCCCTCACTTAAGCATGACGCCAACCTTATCGTATCGCGCGTCTCATGTCAATTGATGCTTGTGTTCGTCCGGCGGACCTTTTCCCCCATTTACATGTTCATGACCAAGGCCGCGCCACCGAATAGAGCAGCAGCTCCCATAGCGCCGGTCTTCACGGGCATAGCAGCTCCCGAACTGCTGCTCGATGCACCAGTGGCTCCGGGAGCGGACTCAGTCGCCGCGCTGGCGGTGGGAGTTGGAACATTTGAGGTGAAAGGGATACTGCTGGCGGAGCTGGCACCGCTGAACACAGGCGCGCCAGTCTCTTGAGATGGGTTGGCAGTAGCTGTCGCGTTGTTCGGGTTGAGGACATTGTCAATGACGTGGACCACACCGTTGGCGACAAGTACATCGGCCACAACCACGCGCGCACTGTTGACAAAGACATCGCCGTCAACAACGGCAATGGTGACGTTGTTGCCCTGGACAGTCATGAGGCTGCCGTTTTGCAACATATTGCTGTAGCCGACGGTGCCTTGAATCACGTGGTACTGCAAGATCGAGGTCAGATCCTCCGTGGTAAGATTGGGGAGAGCCGAGCCGATAGCTTCGAAGGCGGCATTGTTCGGAGCAAAGACAGTCACGTCGGTCAAATAGTCAACGGTCTCTGCGAGGTCCGCCTCGGTCAGGGCACCCGCGACGGCGGTGAGGTTGGCCTGAATGGCGGTTTCCGAAACGTTTTGTGGGATGATCAACACCTCATCGATGATGTGAATAACACCGCCACTGAAGTTAAGCGGAGCGCCGGTGGAGCTTGCGTTGTTGAGCAAGCCAGAGAAAAACGACGTGGAGTTATCGCCAGGAACCGCTTGCACCACTTGACCTCCAGTCACATTGGTATACTGAGTGGGCTGCAGCAAGGTCGGAACGAATTGGATGTCGGTGAAGTTGGGGTATGCGCCTTCCAGGACGTGGTAGGTGAACAAGCCTTGAATGAGGGCTGTGTCATTCTGCGCCAGTGCCGCTCCTGCTGAAGAGTTGAGAAACCTGGAGAAAGCTTGGTTGTTAGGAGCAAGGAGTGTGATGTTCTGGCTGGACGACAACTGGCCAACAAGATCGGGGAAAAGTCCCAGGTAGGTAGTCAGGTTGGACAGTTGAGTGGTGTTTGCCAGCAACGTGGTGAGATCCTGGGCAATAGCTGCAGCCGCGAGCGCGCTGATAGCCAACGACTTGAACAACATCGTGTAGGATGTGAGCAACACTACTGAGATGGCGTGGGAAGGCTGGCTTGTCAGCAACGGAGGATGAAGGGAGTGGAAAGAAAGACCTTGCTTGGAGGATGGGAGCACAGTGAACAGTATTTGAGAGCCCGTCTGGAGGGGTGTTCTCTCCAGACCAGACGGGATGACAGTTGACAGATTCTCACCACAAGCGGGTGTGTCTTGATCCGGTTCGTCGGTTGCTGCCACGCAAGCACTGCCTTGGTATCGTGTAACTCAAACCTTCCAAGGGTGCAGTATGGCCCGCTGAGCACGCCAATGTCTTGGAGCATGGGACCATCTTCCGCAGTGATCGGACCACAACATTCACACGCACAGCCGTCTTTCGTGGCGATGCCCCAGTCAACATCATTGCCTGATATCGATGACGAGTTGTACTCTCTGCAAGGGATGGGAAGCTCTTGTCCCCCACAAGAAGACCAATGAAACCATCAGCTTCTCTTCTTTTGGACTGGAGCCCGGGCAGCCACAGCCAGACATGAAGCATAGACCTTAACTAAGAGGCCCAGAAAGGACGCGCTGACCATGTGTTAGCAGGAGTCCCACCTTCAGAAGCGCCGCCCATGCCCAATCAGGACCGGAAGAGATCGGACCATATCCGTGAGACGGAGACGAGGCTGGCCTCGATCGCGGGGAGTGTCTGGCAAGGACGGCACGGGCGATGATTGAAGGTTCGAAGCAGACGAGAAAGTGGGAAGTTGAAAGCTGGGAGCAGGGGTGTCTCGGGTTGGCCGTGCCGAATCCGGATGAGGAGGAAGCCACCCTGTCGTCATGATCTTCTGCCGAGAACGCCAAGAACTGGGCTCCCCGCAAGATCGATCGCTTAGGTGTGGCGCGAGTGGCGGTGCACAGCATGGAGAAGCGGACAATCCTGGTATGAGACTTCCACAACAGGCTGTACTCGCCAGTTGGCCTCCTTCACGATATGGTCTGATTTGCCAAATCTTCTAATGTAGGTAGTCTGCGCTTTATTCTTCAATCTTCACCTCACCCTTACTATGCCCCATCTCGGTATCCGTGGACTGTAGTTTTCCCTTAGTCTCATTCTTGCCCGGAATCCTCTTCCACTCCATTGGTAAAATACCTAGTGACATACAGGCGCAAAGAATGGCCGTGAGAAGAAACACCCGTGTCAACGCGTGGCTGTATGCTTGTACGACCGTGCCAAGTTGTTCCGGCGGGACGACTCTCCGAAGATCCGTCGCACCCGTGTTGACAATGGCGTGAGCATCGAGACCGGTGGTCCCCGACAGAGTGGCAACAAGGTTGGTCGAGAAAACGTTCTGACTAACGGCGAGGAAGACGGAGCCACCAAGCTGCTGCATGAAGAATGTCAAGGCCAGACCGATCGGGACGTCCGCGCGGGACAAGACGTACTGGACTGGCAGGACCGAGTTCTGAAAGCCTGAACCAACACCAAAGCCGTAGAGGATCTCATAGCCGATCCAGGCATTGTGCCCGGAGATTGGGCTCAGGGTCGAAAGCATACCCGCGCCAACCGATGAAAGAACAGGTGCTACCACCATCGCGGGAACATAGTAGCCGATCTTTTGTGTAATGATGGCCGAGAGGACGCCGAATACAACAAACGAAAGGCACAGCGGGATGGTGCTGATGCCCGCTTGGATTGCCGAATCTCCTTTGGCTGCCTGGAACCAAACCGCCAGGTAATAGGTGACGGACATCAGGCCTCCGGAGAGAAGGAACATGAAGGTCAAACTGCCAGCAATGGACCGGTTAAGGACGACGCGAGTGGGCGCCATCGCCGTGTCTGGCATGACGACTTCGACAACGATGAAGGCGACGAACAGGATCGAGAAGGTCACAAGAAGGCCGACAACCTTTGGTTCCGACCAAGAGTAGATGGAACCGCCCCATTGCAAGGCGAGGATGAGGCATACAATGGATGGAATGAAGAAAAGGACTCCGACCGGGTCCAGCCGTTTGAGTTGCGACATCACAGAGAGCTTCTCGCTCTTCGAAGTCGCTTCGGGATGCAGGAAGACGAGAACCGCGAGCAACGTGAATCCGCCAATCGGTAGGTTGATGTAGAAGCACCATCTCCATGAACTGACTGAATCAGCACGTAACCTTTACTGGCCCCTTACTTGACTTACACGTTATCAGTGAGAGCGCCACCCAGGACGGGGCCCGCCACTGACGCTGCCCCAAAGGACAGGCCGAACAACGAGTTGATAACAGGCCGCTTGCGTGGAGGAATGAGTGGAAGTGTAAGGACCATAGCGCCCGAGAAGATGAAGGCTGCTGCTAACCCGGCAATGGCGCGTCCGACGATGAAGGCGGTAGAGTTAGGAGCGGCACCGCAAAGGACTGATCCAACCTCGAAGATCACAATCGAGACCACGAAGACCCATTTCGTCGAGTAGATCTGATAGACCCGGCCGGAGATGGGATTAAAGCAGGCGCAGGTCAACATGTAAGAACTCCCATACCAGCCAATATCCTGGATCGAGTCGAAGTCGTCGGTAATTCGTGGGATGGCCGGAGCAAGAATGGTACGATCCTGTGTCTATGAGCTCGATATCCATGGATGAGGTCGCATGGGAGACGCACCAGTGCAATCAGAAAGACGGATAGAAATATGCCGATAATGACCGTCCAGAACTTGAGAGACTTGGGCTGGAAATTCTTCTCGGCATCTTCATACTCGTTGGCGGGTTCTGATTTCTTATCATGAGCTGGCTGGCTGTCGACCGGCTGGGCTGGCAGAGCTGCCGGCACATCTTTGGCAGAGTTGAAGGAGGGAGAAGCTGTAGAGACCATTGTCAGTCGATCGATAATGGATTTTCGGATTGAGGGTGTCTCACGACATGTTGCCCAGCGGCGAGCTCATTTCATAATATAGCTTTCCGCCCCGGAGATGGAAGCACTAATCTAGTTCGCCAGATACTTCACAGTCATTGCTAGGTATAATCTAAAACCCGAGCCAGCGTAGAGACCATGGTTAAGGCACAGGGCGGACAGAAGTCTCGCCAGGAAGGAGATGATTGCGGACGGTCCGTTGGTGTTGATGGTTTCGAAAAGCCCCGATTCGCCACGGCTAACCATTTCTCGGGGCTTCTGCTTTCCTCACCGGCCGATCGGACTTTCAGGGTGTCCAAGTCGTGACTCTTCACGTGGTATGATGACGCCTGCACGGCTGTCGCTAATGCGCGTTTCTCTGACTCAGTGGGCTCGTAGCCTAAGAAGTGAATACTGGACTGCTGGCAGGTCGTCCAGCTCAGAAGCTGCCCCAGCCAGGCCATCCCCCCAATGTAGCCCATTCCAACTGGTTCCTCATATGGGGGCCCGGGTACATTTCTGACTCCATCGTTCCGTTGCCACCTTGCAATTTTGTGATAGCGGGTTGGCTCTGATGACTGAAGTCCATTGGGTCCATGGACACTGAGAACTCGTCCATTCCCGAACTCATACTGGGGCCTGCCTGTTCGGTGTGAGAGGTAGCCAGCGCGGCCTCCCCCATATGCGCCAGCCTAGATTTAAGGAAATAGACGATCCTAGGTGGCACCAAGGTCTCTCCTGATCGCTCAGCGGTCGTCGCACAAGCGTGCCACGTCCCAAGGATAAGCTTGGCGAACATCTGGAAGACGGGGCTATCTCCATCTCTGAACAGCGCGCCAAACCAAGCCTCATAGTTGTCGCTCATGACTTCCCAGGCGTGCCTGGCCTGCTCGCTCATAGGTCGCCGTTTCAGATCTTGGATGATGTGGATGTACGCGAGGAACGGGAAGTAGAAGTGATTGAACCAGCGAAATCTGCCGCTAAGGGGCGAGCTCATGATCCTCGTATCGCATTCCAGCATCGTCAACGCGTGGGAAAGGGCAGCCTCGCGCTGCTCCCCCGTCCAGCGCAAGCTTGGACCCGAGTGTTTCACGTAGTCGTCCATGAGTCGACACTTTGCTAAGCTGGACCGTGTAGTCCAAATTGTCATGAAGTGGATGGGGTTCTCGGGGTCGCAAGACTTGAGGTATCGGTCTTGGATCACTGCCTCCATTGTCGCCAGGTCCGCAGCTTCCGCCGTAGTACCGACCCGGGGGTGTTGTTTGGCAATGATCTTCAGAGCTGGACTGGTGAAATCAAGGTGCGACTCGCTGTATCGAACAAAATCAGCGACTTCGCTCCGCACGACGGCAAAGATGGCTTCGGTGGCGCCGCCTTGGATTGTGGGCGGCTCCTTCATCTCTGGTCGGAGGTCCGGGTCGTTCACGTTGAGTGGGATCTTGCAGTCCCATGTCGGGTCCAGCGTTACTGTCTTCGAGCTGGCAAGCTGCCCGATGCGACTGTCGAAGAGCGTGAGAGACCACCACAGTCGCCGACGTATTTCGGCCTCGAAGACGGTGCAATCCGCAAGAGCTGACTCGCAGTGGATGCCCATGCGTTGCGCAATGCGAATTGCGACGCCCAGCATCGAATGGAGAGATTGCGGCACGGCGCTGGGTTGGAGAGAGATCTGCAACATCAGCAAAGCAAGAGACTAACCGGAGCCAAACACTTACCAGGTAGAGAAACAATGCGGTGAGACATTCGCGGTCGTTTGTCCGGAGGAATCCGCAATTGAGCAATGCTTGCTGGCAGGCATACTGGTATCTCGTCAATAGTTGTTCCTTTGGAGAACCAGCCATGGTCTGGCACTCCTCTTCGGAGAGGCTCAATATAGCAGTGCAGTATATACTGAACATGAGAGCCTCGAGAATAGGGTCGATGGCTGTGATTTGGCTGATAGCGTTGATGATGCGTCCTTGCATGCTAGGGATGTGTGTGACCTTGAGCAGCGGGTTCACATTGTCCAAGTATACCTGCCATAGCCTGAAAATCTGGACTGTGTCTGGATGTAAAGAAGAAACGTCAACGGCGGCCCCTCTAGAGCCAAACAGCAGATGGTCAGCATGTTCAGGGGACTGTTCCCACGCTTCCTTGATGGCCATCACTTGCACCCCATCGTCCTGCGACGAGTCGCTGTTGTTGCCGTCGTCTCCCAGGCTCTGGGTCATACTGTGCAGGATGTTCTTAGCTCCATAGTGACTTCCGAACCTGGCCAACAATGAGGGCGTCAAGGTATCAGCTCCATCTGAGTCATGGCCCTTGCTTGACTCGATGGTGGACTGACGGCCCGACTCCTTATGCAGTGGCTCGAACGCGATGTGGTTTTGATGAAGCAATTCCTCATACTTGCGCAGCCTGTCCAGCAGCTCCCGCTCAGGAAACCTGCGTCTCTTCTGGCGCGGAACAAGCGTCGCTGGCACACATTGTGCTCGAAACTTGATGCAATTGGAGCAGGGCAGTTGCCTGTCGCATTTGACTTTGCGCTGGGAACACAGCACGCAAGCGAGCATCCGCGGCGGCTTCGAACGCTGGCGTTGAGACCCGCCAGGCGGCGTTTCAGGAGAATCGGCTGTTGTAGACATGACGAGGATAATTTCATCGGCTTCGGCATCGACTTGATGACAGCTTTGAAACCGTCAAACAGCCAGCAGCGCAGCTACAAGACTCCGTCCCTGGGTACTAGAGCCAGCAGCAGTCTTGGCGCTGTAAATGCACTGTTTGACGCCCAAGAGATCATAAGTCACGAAGATGGCCACGGAGTCTTCCAGGTTGCTAATCACCTGTATCATTCATGAGCAGACAACATTTCAGACGCAAATGGGAACTGTCAGTCGCAGGCGACCCCGGCTCCAACTCCCATACATATATGGATTCAAAGTACTATAAGGCACACGGAGTATTGACAGATGGGACACCTGCATCGCAATTACTCGTCCCTCCTTGACTTGCAACATCTCGGTCTTATTCAACTAACGCGCTGCAATGCACAGTTGCTAGGCTATAAATGCGCATTCCATTGATCCTCCCGATCCACTGTGCTCGGTGAACGGCTTCCACATCAGCAGCGCGTTAAAAGCCTATGGCCCAGGCGGTCAACCATTGGACATGGCCTATCCGTGCGGTTGGCCAGGCCAGGGCCCCAGGCTCCCACCTCCAAGTTCAAATGCTTTGGCAGCTTTCAGAACGCCCAAGTCGTCCCACTTCCGGCCAATCACTTGCATACCCACAGGCAGCATTCCTTTTCCGGTTTTTGCTGGTGCCCAGCCACAAGGCACGGACAAAGCTGGATGACCAGTGGCGTTGAATGGGCATGTATTATTCGTGGCTCCAACAGCTAGTTTGATCTTGTCCATCACAGTACTCCCACCATCGACTTCTGGTCGCAAATCAGGATGTGGAGGCGCGACCGCTGGCGTTGTAGGAGTGACAAGGACATCGAACTCTTCTAGAGCTCTGTCATAAGCCGCTCTCAACTGCAGCACATGGCGATGGGCTTTGGCTTGCACCTCCGGACCAAACTTCTCCTTCAAGAACGTCTCGCAAAATAGGATATTGATCACGGCGGGGTTCGCCACTCTCAAGAGATCGTACATCTCTTGGTCAGGAGGCCAGCGCAGAGAGAGGTGTGGGATATTATGGCTGAGGACGTCAGGAATCCGGCCGCCGATCGCCAAACCTGCAAGATGTGCCCGTGTAGCTGCTGTCCAGATCGCAGGTCCTGACAAATGCATCGGCACCGAGACTTCGGACACTGTCGCTCCGCTGGCCTCGAAGTGCTTGATTGCAGCAGCACGTACAGTTTCGGAGACCTCTGCTTGTGAACCTGGGAACGCAAGCGATTCTTTGATGATGCCCACCTTGAGACCCTTGCCAGGATTTGGAGCAGATGCTAGCTCCATGGAATAGTCGGTGACATTTTGCCGGAGCGGTGATTCAGGTGACATTCGAGGGTCGAGGCCGTCGTATCCGGCAACGACAGTTAATAACGTGGCAATGTCCTCTAGTTTCCTTGCCATTGGACCTGTGTAGTCAATCATGGGATGAAGTCCCGCAATACCCGTGTATGGGACTAGACCATGTGTGGGTTTCAATCCATAGATGCCGCAGTATGCCGCGGGCAGGCGGATGGAACCCGCTTGATCTCCGCCCATAGCGAGTTCAACGTCGTCGCCTGCGTCGTCCAACCCAGCGACCCCAGCAGCACGGGCGTTGGCCAATGCGACGAGGAATGCGCCGCCACTGGTGCTCCCTCCAGCATTGTGGTCGCGCAGCCACGGATTGTGGACCGGCCCGTTCGCAGAAGTGTAGGACATAGGCGTCAAGGAGTAGTTCTCACAGGTAGACGTGCCGACAATCGTGGCTCCGGCTTCCAGCAGTCGTTTGGTTATAGGGGCATCAATAGTGGCGATCGGGTATGTGCCATCCCTGGAAACAAACTGAGGGAAGGTGCCGCAGGTATGTGGCAGTCCAGCCACAGCCATATTGTCCTTCATCACGATCTTCCGCCCTTCCAGGATATGTAAAGCTGGCTTCTCCGCCACAAGATTTGCCTGGTGACTCCAGGCATTGTGGCTGTTACTCTTTACCTTCCAATACTCTCGTCCGCCGAGGGTGGGAACTGGCTCAAGTCTAGGATCAACGTAGTCAGGCAGGTTATTGACAACCGCTGCTGTCACGTCGGCCGATTGGAGGACGAGTAGGAAGGCTTCTTCATCAGCCTTAGAAGTGATCCTAATGTTGTTTCGTGCGGCGACATCGTGCAGGACATCGAGGGTAACGCTCGACCTTCACAGGTGTCAGATATGTCTCCGAGGGGAAATCGAGTTGACATACTGCTGATCCTCTGCCAATGCTACGATCGACATCCTCGACAGATCCTTCTCTGTCTACGCTCTTCGAGGATGCTTGCCGCCTCTCTGCTTGCGGGTTAGGAAGCATGAACGCCATTGCTGATATTCCGTCGATGGGCCACGCTGAAGTCCGATGTCGCAGGCGTTGATCTCCACTCTATAGGACCCGACCCAGGAAAAAGGAGGAGGAAGATTCTTGAGAGAGCACCCGCAAGATGGTCAATTTCTGGTCGAGGGTATGGATCTCGTTGTCCTGAAAGCAGCCTTCGGGTACCTTTAGATGGCGATAATCCGACAATACACAACCCATCGCTGGGTTGGCATCAGCCTTGAGCATTAGGAGGAATATTCTCCAACCAGTTCCATTCGACCAGCACCCTGCCCAGGTCAACGTCGGCGAGACCGGCAAAGGTGTTGACGGTGACATCGATATCTTTGGGCTGGCAGCCAGTACACCTGTCCACTACCGTCAAATCCACACTTTTATTGTCCCTCCTTGCTCTTATCTTCTTGCCACACAACGGATTCGCGTTCGGGTCGCTACCAACACTGACAGCATCGAACACAATGTGCGAGACGGCGACAATCTTGTCGCTATTCTGGGACGTAACGCCGCAGGCACCGAGACCGGGTTCGTAGTACGTGAGGTCGCCGGTGTATGGGCCGCCATTCCCTGAGGGTAACGGGAGATTTTGTCTATGCTTGCGAGTCGACAGGCCCGCTGCCAGACCGATGATCAAGACGATGATGGCGAGGACAACCACCAGAACAATGATCTTAGTTCGGCGCGAGGAATTCCTCCATTGATCGAGGAGTCCTCGTCTCTGCCTCGGGTACGAAGGCGGCTGTGGTGCTGGCACTGGCTTGCGTCGGACTGTTGTTGTCCTCACGGCATCGAAGGCTGCTTCGTCTGCCTCGCCCATGTCGGTAGTCAGTTTCCTTCGAAACGAGTGTAGTAGACGGAGTGGCTCTCGTAGCAAGTAGTCTTTAGTCTTCAGTCGGTTGGAGTAGGAATGTGCACGACGAATCAAACGCGAGCGGCAGCGAGGTGGGCGTCGACTGTCGTCCGGAATCTATTATACATAGCGACCTGTTGGGAGCAGCGAGAGCATCTTCACATTCAGGAGCAGGAAATTGCGCGCCTCGCTTTCGCATCAGCCACGACTGTGATTGGCCGAGTTTGGCATACCCGGCCGTGACTGTGGTTGTCTCTCAACGGAAGTCGGGGACAGCATTTCCAAGACTTTTCAGATCTCGCAGGATCGATGCTGCGTGGTGATAATGCAGAAAGTATGCGGACGAACGCATCTTTTGAGTTCCGCAGCAGCAATCTGATGTGGAGGGGCTGAAGCAATGGCTGGCGACAATGCTGCCGGTCCTGTTCCCTCTGATCACATCGTGGAGGGCAGTGAATGCGTGGGCTGCGGCTGACCTCAAGCTGATTCTCTTTTTGCGCATTCAGAAGATGAAAATTCACATAGAAATTATGCTCCAGCAAGAATATACCATTGTTGTAGCTCCCAGACATGCAAACAGGTACGAGTTCGCCATAGGACGCCACAAGGATGACCTCATCGAACGCGTCGGGCGATGATGGCGTTCTGTCACCGCCCCCTTCGCCGTTCTCAGACCTTGAGCTGCTAGTCATCCCCACCGATGACTTGGGCATGGTTGCCAGCGATGATAACACTCCGGAAACGGCTGAAGCTCAGCCAGCACTGAAAGTGATAAGAAAGCGCAAAGCAGCTGGGACGCGTCGCAAGCTTACGTATATCTCGAGGCATTTTCCGACGGAGAAGCTAAAGAATGACCAGCAAGAAGTTGCGCCGCAGAAGGAAGACCAACAAGGTGGCTCTAAGCTGAGAAGTAACGATGCATCGAATGTGAATCAGGATGATACTTCGAAGACCAGCACACTCCCGGTGATACCAGGCCGGCCCCGAATCTACTATGGACTCAACATCGATGAGCTCTCATCTGACTCGAGTCTCACGGATGTTCCCGAAGATATCGGACCTGACCCTTTCTCTTCAGATGTCACGTCGCCCAGAATCCCTACCGTGGTACAGGCAGTCAAGGTCAATACCAAGAAAGTGCGAGTGCCGACAAAGTCACCGTATTTCGCGTCGGCACACAGGCATCGACCGACCTTCCTATCAACCCTGCCATTTCCGCCTCTATCCCACGAAACCTTTGGCTTGATGCAGGAACGCCTCGCTCACGACCCTTTTCGTCTTCTCATCGCGACCATCTTCTTGAACAAGACGCCCGGCGAGCGAGCAATGCCAGTCTTCTACCAGCTCATGTCGCGCTACCCGACGCCGACGGACCTCGCCAATGCTGAAGTCAGCGATGTGACTGCCATCATCTACGAATTGGGGTTTCAGAACCAGAGAGCACGGAAATGCGTCGCCATGTCCAAAGTTTGGCTCGAGAAGCCGCCAGAACGTGGGAAGCGGTATAAGAAGCAAAACTACCCTTTGAAAGGCGATGGACGGGACGTCGGAATGACTGAAGTTCTTGATGACAATGACGGGCGTGTGGCATGGGAGATCTCTCATTTGCCAGGGCTTGGGCCTTACTCACACGACAGCTGGCGCATGTTCTGCCGTGACAGGCTCAGAAACCTCGCTAAGAATTGGAACGGGGAGGGTGCGGAGAATCCCGACGGTTTTGAACCCGAGTGGAAGCGAGTCGTCCCGTTGGATAAGGAATTGCGCGCGTGGCTTACTTGGATGTGGTTGAAAGAAGGCTGGGTTTGGAATAAAGAGACCGGAGCGCGAACAAAAGCAAGCGAGGAGTTGATGTCAATGGCCCAAGGAGGCGGCATTGTCGTTGAAGAAAAGGACTCTGATCATCTTACCGTGAAGACCGTTCCAGGAGACGAACTGCAGAGCCTCAAAGCGAAGAAAAAGGTCGAAAGTACTGCAGGAGAATTTCTGCCCGAGGTCTCAGATATGGGGCGAAGGAATATTGGGATAGTATCTGCAAACAATGCAACTTCCTGCTAGGTGCGGCATTTCGCACTCGCTCTTGCAAAGTGTAATCTACAGCATTCCAAATGACATTTCTTGTACTCCATTTGGGACGTAAGGCGCTCATCGATGCCATAGTTGGCCACCGATAAAGAGGGTTTGGGAAAAGGCCCGGTATCTGGACGAGTCGGATGAAGTGGGCAAGGCTGATGATGCGTCCGTCTTGGCCGAGTTCCGAGTGTGCGGGCAGTTGGCAAGCACCTACGAGTAGCGAGCCGGACAACAGTGCTGATCAAATGTGCCGTGATCTGAGATTGAGAGGTAAGAGGAGGTAGAAGTTGGCCAGCGGCCAGTCACATGCAAACAAAGAGCGCTGCATACGGGCCGGTAGTTCGTACTCCGTACCTGAAGCTGCGGTGACAGGAAACAGGAACGAGACAGGGACAGCGAGCACCTCCACCACGAGGGGCAACGTGGGCAACTTGCTGCAATGGCATCATTCGCACCTGCTTCTCCACGTCTTGTACTGCACGTCCATCCCCACTGGCCCTCAGACCGAGACACCTCGACGTAGCAATACAAGTCGCCTGCATGCAACCTGTTTCAGGTGTCATCTCCCTGTGAATCCCATCCTGCGTGTCTGCACCCCGGCATCGACACGTCCCTTCCGTGAAGCGTCCTCCTTGCGACTGCCCCCAAATACCTCGCTCCGTCCACTTCGGCTCCAGCGTAACTATTCGGCCTCCTGCTCTTCTTGTCCGCAACCTCGCAATCGTGAGCGTCAACAAGCCCGGACCGACACATCATAATACATCGAGATGGTGCACATATCACTCCCCAGAGGTCTGAGCTCATTGGGCAAGCACAAGGATAAAGACCACTCAGGCAATGGTTCAAGTGCCAATGGCGATGGTGGGGGACGACCCAGTCCACCGAGACTCGGGAGCAACAACAACAGCACCGCTGCTCTGGTCGACCAGAAACCATTGATCCTTAAAGTTTACGTTATAAAGGTACCAGTGCACTGCTAGCAGATGTCCTGGGCCTCACTAATGGTGTCCGCAGGCCCGAAACCTGGCTGCAAAAGATCGGTCTGGCACGTCCGATCCAGTAAGTGCCTTGTCTGCTGCGCTTCTGAGCCGGAGCTAATAGTTCCAGTACCTGGTTGTCACCCTCGGGAATGCAAGGCAATCGACGCCCTCCATTTCAAAGACGCTCAATCCAGAATGGAAGATATGCTTCGATATGCCTCTGACGGGTGTTCCCCTCCTCGAATGCATCTGCTGGGATAAAGATCGCTTCAAAAAGGACTACATGGGCGAATTTGATATTCCCATCGAAGACATCTTTCCTAACGGCCAGATACAAACTCAACCGCACTGGTACAAGCTGCACTCCCGTCGTCCTGCAAGCAAAAAGGGAAGCAATGTGTCAGGAGAAGTTTACATGCAGTTCTCTCTGGTCGACTCGGCCAACCCATCCGCGAGTCCAGAAGAGATTCGAAAGAAATTTCAGGCCTACCTTGGAGCTGAAGAAGAGGACGACGAACTGTCCCGCGTCTCCTCCAATCTGGACGATCCCGGCATGGACGACGATCTAGATCCCGAGGACCTCGATGATGACCAGGAGTCAGTCACCGAGAACGAGTCTGCCCACAAATCGGCGCTTGTCGACAAAAAAGCCAAGAAGAAGAGGCTGGCCCGCCTGCGTCGCCGATCCATCGCTGCTAGAGCCTATAATTTCCTGCAAGATGACAACGATGTGAACGGCGTCCTCTTCATGGAAGTGATCAAGATCACCGATTTGCCGCCCGAGCGAAATATGACGAGAACATCATTCGATATGGATCCGTTTGTCGTTGTCGCCTTGGGTCGAAAAGTCCTCAGAACGAAGGTGGTGCGACATAATCTGAACCCAATCTACAACGAGAAGATGGTTTTCCAGATCATGCGACATGAGACTGGCTACTCCTTGACGTTCAGCGTCATTGATAGGGACAGCTTATCGGGGAACGACTTTGTGGCTTCGACCTCATTCCCCATCCAGAAAATGATAAGCAACTCTCCTCAGGAGGACCCAGAGACAGGTCTCTACGATCTACCTGAGCCTCCCGAGTACTCGCCAGCAATACAGCAGAAGGGCCGCTTCCGGATTCCACTGTCACGTACCTCGTCGGCTAGCAGCATCTCGAGAGCGAGCCGCCCAGGCTTGAAAAAGGAGGATTCGAATGTGTCGTTGTCAACTTTGAGTACGAATGAAGCACTTCGACCCCCACCGCCAACGAGTATGCCCTCAGAGACCAATTTGACTAGTTCAAAGGGCCCGGTGCCTGAACCTCCTGCAGCCCAACCAGCGGACGACCCAACAATGACTTCGTACGTCATTCCTCTGGAGCTTAAAAATAAAGAACGGTGGGAAGCCAAACATAGTCCGGAATTGCATCTTCGAGGGAAATACCTGTCTTATAAAGCCCTGCGACAGCAGTTCTGGCGGGCCATGCTGAAGCAGTATGATGTGGATGAAAGCAGGAGAATCAGCAAGATCGAGTTCACTACCATGCTGGACACGCTAGGCTCCACTCTGAAGGAATCCACCATCGACAGCTTCTTCGGGAGATTCGCTGCAGAGAATGAAGACCTTGGCGAGGTCGACCTGACCTTTGACCAGGCGGTCATTTGTCTGGAGGAACAACTACAGAGAAGTAGCCAGAAGAAGTCTCAACTGGAGAAAATCAAAAGTGCCGGGGGCTCCCATGATGTGATACCAGAGGTTCCGACGGTCAATGCTGAAGTGCCGAACATCCCGCAAGAGTCCACAGGAACGCCTGGCGAGGAAGGCAGATTTCTAGGGAATGATCTGGGTGAAGAAGCAGACGAAGAGCATGTTATCGAGATTCGCGAGTGTCCGATCTGCCACCAGCCGAAACTGAACAAGCGCACCGAAGCCGACATCATAACCCACATAGCTACCTGTGCTAGCTCGGACTGGAGACAAGTCAACAACTTGGTCATGGGTGGCTTTGTGACACAGAGCCAAGCCCAGCGCAAGTGGTACTCCAAGGTCATCACCAAAATCAGCTACGGAGGATACAAACTCGGCGCTAACAGCGCGAACATCCTTGTCCAGGATCGCATCACTGGACAGATTAACGAGGAAAGAATGTCGGTCTATGTCCGCATTGGCATCCGCCTTCTCTACAAAGGATTGGGGGCCGGTGAGATGGAAAAGAAACGGATCAAGAAGATGCTCAGGTCATTATCCGTCAAGCAAGGCAAGAAATTCGACGATCCTGCCTCAGCTGCTCAGATCCCAGGGTTCATCGCTTTCCATCAACTCGACATGTCCGAGGTTCTGCTGCCAACTTCCGACTTCAGGAACTTCAACGAGTTCTTCTATCGCGCTTTGAAGCCCAACGCCCGGCCGTGCAGCGCACCCGATCGACCGGAGATTATCACCTCTCCAGCAGATTGTCGGTCTGTAGTCTTCAACACGATTGATGATGCTAGGCGCATCTGGGTCAAAGGCAGAGACTACAGCCTTGAGAAGCTGTTTGGTGACGCATATCCGCTTGAGGCCAAACGGTACAAAGGTGGTAGTATGGGCATTTTCAGACTCGCTCCTCAAGATTACCACCGCTTTCACATTCCAGTTGACGGCACCCTGGGGACGCCGAAGGCTATCGAAGGAGAGTATTATACAGTCAACCCAATGGCTATCAGATCGGCGCTAGATGTCTACGGTGACAACGTCCGTGTTTTGGTGCCGATCGACTCGGTCGCGCACGGTCGAGTCATGTACGTATGCATAGGCGCAATGATGGTCGGGTCGACAGTCATTACACGGAAACCCGGCGAACGAGTCAAGCGAGCCGAAGAGCTTGGGTACTTCAAGTTCGGAGGCAGTACGATCCTGCTGTTCTTCGAGCCGGGAAAGATGGTGTACGACGAAGACCTGGTTGCGAACAGTACCGGAGCGTTGGAAACACTGGTATGTTGCGGACTTCTTGCATTCAGGCATCATACTGACGAGGCGATAGATCCGCGTAGGTATGTCCATCGGTCACTCACCGAACGTGGAACCACACAAGCCGGACATGAAAAAGGACGAAGCAAACATTACAATGAAAGACAGGCAGGAAGCACGTCGCCGGATCGAAGGTAGCCTCGCCCCTGAGATGGACACTATGAACATGCTACCAGACGATATGGACTCGGGAGACGCGGCAGGAGATGCAGCGCCCGGAATGAGTTCGCTGAATCCGGCGAATCTGCAATGATGACGAAGAGCATGAATGATGAGCATATGACTTAGAAAAAGATGATGGTACGAGGTAATGCTGGGGAAAATTGAAGCATGATGAGCGAATACAGGCGGACGCGTCGCCCGGGTGAAAATCCTCACCCGGTTTGGATGGCACGCGTCCGGCGAGGTATACATCAGCATAAGCAAAAGCCGCGGATGGGCAAGAATATTGGGGAGACGTAGCCCGGGAAACAACGCCTGTCATGGCGTTTAGCGGTCACTGGACATGGCCTGTCTCATAATTATATGGTTCGTGTCGTCACGTTCAACTGCGACGGCCATGCCACGACACGCTTGCTCCAACGCATTTTCTCACTTGCAACGTCCTCTTGCCCATGCCGCGGAGTACCGGATCTCAGCAACGCTCATTCATACGCCCAGACATTGAAGTGACCTAATTGTAACATTGCCGGGCCATATACCTCCTCGTCGTGGTACCTCATCCACGCATGGTAGAATGTGCCTTTCCCCCGGAGGCGGACGCCCATCCCCAGATACCAGACGCGAGTCACCGAGTCACAGCCCATTCACACAAAGTCCATCACCGCCATCACCCGCCTATGCTCGTCCTCAGCGACGCTCATTCGTACGCCCGCATATCTAATCGATCCGACCGTGAAGTTGTTGTGGGGCCATAATGCCCCATCGTCGCGGTACCTCAGCCACGCATGAATGAACATGGCATTCCCCTCTAGAGTGTCCCTTCCACACCCCTTTTGCCAGACGCCAGACGCGAGTCGCACGAATTGAAGCCCATTCACAATAGTCACCATCGCGACCCACCGCCTGTGTGCGCGCACCCCGACCGACAGCTTCTCCAGTAGACGAGCGGTATTGAGGTCCTTGGCGCCCACGGTATGCAATTCTGCTGGTCACGCGCCATCCGGCGTCATCCTCACCGCTTCAGATGGGCATATACTTCACGCACATCCAGCCACAGGCGCCGCCAGCCATCGCCACCCGTTCCCGCCCCACGTAGCTGCTCAAGCAGAAATCTACCGAAGAAATTTTCCATGCTCTGATTATCATCCATCTCCCCCCGCTCAACTGACATACAGTTTTGACGTGTGGACGGCATAAACGAAATGAACGGGCGGAGTTGATGCATCAGGACGCGCGGGTCCGAAAAGGCCGGCGTGTATTGCATGGTTGGGGCGATGATGCAAGATAGGGACATTGTGCGCGATGAGAACCTGAACCGTTCGGGCGTGAAGCAAATTTAGAAGTCAATCCAGCGTCGAGGCCGTACGGATGGTGTGCGCTACATTACGCGCGTGATCAGGAAAACTTGCGCCTTGTAGGGTAGGCCGAGGCAGAAGGAATTGAGTGAGGCGACGTCCAGGTGGTCCGTCACTTGGTGGGGGATGTACGCCAGGAGGGCTTGTAGAGGGCCCCTTTGGGGTGGTGTTTGGTTCTCAAGCGGTGAGGCCGTGTGATAGTTGTGAGGATCTGCAATTGGTATCTAAGATAGCCTTTGGTTAGCGGGGTTCAACTCGGCTCAATTCAGTTCAGTCCAATGCAATCGAGGTGCCACTTGATAGCCCACCAGGCCTGTCTGCTATGAAAGATCTGGAAATTGAACTCACCCAATCAGGTACCGTGGAACGTACGTGCTGTGGTGAGGAGCGGACGAAGCGCTAGTGTGGAGGTATATCTCTTTTTCAGCCATGATTGCAAGCACGAGCACGAGGACGAGCAGCTCTGGCGGCGTTTCGAATATCTGGCCATCTTGAACTGACGATAAGAGCCGGATAGTTAGTGACGGCTGACAGAGGGTAGGTAGGGTCAATCCAACGAAGACCGAGGTGGGCGCGAGGCACGGTTTCGCAGAACCAAACCACTCGGATGGACGTCGGCGGCATAGAGCAGTGATTGTAGTGAAGTAAGCGGAGCGGCGTTCATCCTCCAGCACGGCCTAGGTTGAACGCCTTTCGCTGTTGTCGGAACCTCCGCCTGATTAATGGCCACAACCACCAGATGCCAGCGACCGGCAACGTAGCACCAGCTGCTGCAATGACTAGCAACAGGACGGTGAGTATGCGCTTCTGGCTCTTTGACTTCCTGATCACGTCGCTGTATCGCATGTTGCTGAAGCTGACTCTAGAGTACTGGGTGGCCCAGCCCCAGCTAGGCACGTACTTGTCGAGCCGCTCTTCAATCCACTTGCGCCATTTGTACAGAGGCGAGGTGACCGACGAGCTCATCTCGGTGTAATTTGCCAGCGCCAGATCCGCAATGACATGAGCATCTTCTGTGCGCTCTGCCGTGTAGCTGGCGAGTGCGTCCATGCTGTTCGGAGTATTGTCCAGCTTTGAGAACAACACCCGCACCGACTCCAACCCAGCGTTCATCCCTTGACCGTAAAAAGGGACCATCGCGTTCGCGGCATCTCCTAGTATTACGACACTGTCTCCGAAATGATGTGGCGAGCATTTGATGTTGATCAGCGGGAGATGTTGGTTGCGCTTGAACTGCGCCACCAGGTCCGCTGGCGGAATATACGTCGTCACGCCGGGAAAGTACCGATCGAACGTCGACACCAGATCTGCGTCAGACCCATTCTCAAGCTTGGAGAACAGCTCGACGGGCCCAAAGAGCGTGCATACAAAGGATCTGTCGAGGTTGGGGAGAGCGATGAACATAAAGCTGCCAGCCGGCCATATGTGCAGATTGTTTGGAGAGATGGCGAAGTCGCCTGCCTTGGATGGAGGCATTCTGAACTCACACCACAAGCAGTCGATGTACTCTTGCTGGTAGTCCATACGTGCGTACTTCATCATATGGTGTCTGGTTGCCGAGTGTGCACCATCAGCGCCGATACACAGGTCGAAAGAGACCTCAATCTCCTTTGCCCGTCCGGAAGAACCGGTGCTGTCCTTATCCATGACCTCAAACCATGCCTTTTTCTGCCGGAAGTCGGCGCCTGTCATCTTGTGCTGGAAGAAGAACTTGACGTTAGGTAAGGAATCCAGGTGGTCGAGCAAGACTTTGTTGAGCTCCCCACGGTCGACAGAGCGTTGGAAGCGGCCATGGACATCATATGCTTGGGATTGTTGGGACAGGGCGCCCGTGGCGGTCCGGGCGTGGATCATCCGGCCATGCATGGGGATCGTCCGGTCGAGGATTCTATCCAGCAGATCGGTGTTTCCAGCCGACCGAAGCGCGTTGCTCCCACGTTCAGACAGAGCAAGGTTGATTGACTTTGTGAAGTTGAGAGGTGTGGTTTCCTCGTCACGCAGGTCTGCGAAGGACATCGTTAGCGTTTAGATCGACCATGTGTTTAGGAATGGAGACTGAGAGACAGGGGCATTCAATGGACACAATATGGGAAAAATAAGACATAGGACGCAAATTAGAAGTCCTTTCCGAGCGACTATGTGAAAGAGGCGAAGTTGATGATAGATCGGCTGCGAACAGGATAGGAAAGGTCATCCAGCCCGAGAGGGAGAAGCGACAACGACCTGAGAGACGAGTGACAGGACTCCTCGACAGGACTTCTCGACAGGACTTCACGACTTACCATTCCGTAATTCGTATACGTCTACCGTGGCGCCACGCGCTGCAGCATAAACCGCAGCCAGCGAGCCGACTGGCCCAGCACCAACAACCACCACCTTCTTTCCCTCCATCCTACTGGGAACTGACAAACAGGTGGAAATGAAGAAGAACCGAGGGCGGCGACGCGCGGGAAAAGGCACTTATACACGAAAACGAGCCCGTGATCGCAGAGTGAATGCACCCTGAGTGATGAGTCAATGATGTGGTGCGTCAATAATTCAATATCAACATCATTCACGGCTCCGGCCTCTTCCGCGTGACGGAACAACTTTCTGCCGGATCCGGTCCGTGGGCTGGCCATTGTCGCTGTATCGTCGGTTACAAGGCTGCAGAAAAGAGGGGAGCCTCTGTTTCACGTCGTCTTCTCGAAGAGCGCTCAAAAGTGAACCGAGAGAGAGCAGAGGCTGCTCTATAGACACACATTGATCCGCGCTTGCCAAATCTAGTCACGAGCATGGTTGCTTGGGCATGGAGGAGACGAAGATTGAATGTAGTCATGAGTGGCTCTCCTCATGAGTATAGGCGCCGGTCGCCGCTTCGTAGGTATCCAGCTACCCTGCAAGTACCATGCTCCAATGCTTCTGCCTCCCAATCTCAAAATCCAATATGCGCCACTCGCTAATGTCGCTTTCTTCGATGATGCTTTGCCGCTTGTAATGGAAGACCATGTCTCTTGCACTTCGCCACTGATTCTTGCGTGTATCCCGTTTCAGGACAGAATCTGCACTTCATCGCCATCCTGTCCCCCCTCAACCATCCGTTCTGTGAGCAGCCTCGCAGTCCGTTCCCTCTCTCTGCCCTCTCTGCGGAATAAGTGCCAACAATCCGGCGCCTCGAGAACATATCGTCCCATCGCCTCGCGAAAGCGCTTTTTATATTCCCGTGGACTCGTCACGGTGGGCCGTCCCTTCGCCCCCCCTCCGCGGACCGGCACCAACCCACGATCTTTGATCCAGCTCTCGAGTTTCTTATCCCACGTATACGTACGTATACAGTCGATGATGCCGACCACGAGTTCTTTGCGGGCGTCATCAATGGCGACCATGAGGCTGTAATCCATCACATTCTGCCTTGCTAGGAAAAGCGTGTCGTTATGCACCGACGATCGCAAAAGCTTTTTAGAATGCTCCCGCGCGAACAAGGGGCTCTCGTAGATGAATTCAACCATGTTTTCATCTAGGAGGACTTCGCCGCGCTCGCCTGTCGCGTTCATCTTACGATTGCGCATACTTCCTTTGAGGTCGAAAATCCGGGTCGGCACACGATCGTAAAAGAGGTTCTCCATGACGAGCAGGAACCAATTGTATTCCAGACCCGTGTTCTTGTTGGTCACGATGATCTGGTAAAACCCAAACATCTTCGCAATCACAGAGGGTAGTTCATGAAAGAAGGCCTCGGACATGATCTGGAAATAATTGGGCGCGAATTTGAGGAACGACTGAGTTTCGATCGGCGACAAGGACTTGAGGATGAATCGATCGTCCAGCGTCTTCAGGAAGAGTGACTTGGTCTTGCCACCCTTCGAATCCCACTTGAGGCAGCGAGACAGCGACTCCACGAACCTGTCAGCAACACCGCATTTGCGGCGCACGGCATCGAACTGTTCGGCAAAGAACATCTTGCACAGCATTTTGGCGGGACCTTCTTGGAACTGGTATTTCAAGTGTCTCCCAGTCTTTCGGAGAAGGGAGTGCATGACGTCGGATTGATCAGCATGAACGTGCCCAATCAAGTCAGCCGCGCCATCGTCCTGTGGTGGCTCGTTTTGCATGCCGTCGAGCATTGTCTTGTAGTCTTCCGAATCCAGTGCGAATGCAATGATGGAGCTAGGTTCATCTTCCCGCACGACGATGTCGCAATCGGCGAAAATGTGTTCGGATGCTGCCAGTGGGTAGTCCAGGGCGGTCCAGCCACTCGATGACCGCTCAGCCCAAAAGTTGGTCAGCATCTTCATCAGCGAGGTCCGCTCATGTTTCGGAAGCTCTTTAAGGTCGATATCCTCTTGAGACATGCGCATCAGGTCTTCTGGAGAATCAGGTAGAAATATCTCCTCATCAACATCGCTCTCCTCAATTTCAGATGCCGCTGTTGAGGCTTGCACATCAGTCTCATTCTCCGTCGCTTCGGCTGGGGTTTCTTCGACCAGGACACCAGAGTCTTCTTCACGAGAAGCGACATCAGCCATACCCTCTGCTGTAGTTGCTGTTTTGCCCGACTCTTCGATGGGCCGTTCTTCTTCTAAGCCGAAAATATCATCTGAGTCACCTCGTTCGTCCACAGCCTCGTCCACGTCCTTGAAAACTTCGACGATGGGCTTGGAAACCGGTAAAGGGTAGACCCTTGACTGCATGGTCCTCTGTGCGCGAAGCCTTCTTTCTCGAATCCGCTCTCTTTCAAACTCGCGGCTCAACTGCTCAAAATGTTTCGCAAGGTTTGACACTCGGGACTCTTTGCGGTGTGACACGGCTCGCGGTATTAAGGACTGGCCCTTGGTGAAGGTTTTATTCTTCAAATGAGAGAATCCGAGACGGTCAGACAACCTCTTCTCTGGTATATTAGCTTCCGAGTCTCCACTCTTCGCAGACATCACGGGGCTTGGCCTGGAGAAACCGTTGATAGCATTAACGGCCGATAGAGTGTTAGAAGATGCCTGGCCCGCGTGGGAGCGCAATGTAACAGCTCCGGCAGGCTGAGAATGGGCGCGAGATAGAGATGGCGAGCTGGACTTTGCGTCTGGCACGCGTCTCGATGTCGGACTACGAACGGCACCATAAGAGCCGCGATGGAGAAGATCGACTGGAGGAGTGGGTGGAACGGGAACAGCGGCTTCCATTCTTTCGTCGTCGCCGTCGTCCGGCTCAATTATCACTGCTTTTTCTGTACCTGGCGCCGATGCCTGCTCTAGTTTCGGGCTGAGTGTGCTTTGCAGAGGCACATCTTCCACTGGTACTGTTGCTGGCTGGAGCGGCGTCGCTATGGCTAGATCCAGATGTTTGACGTCCTCAATATTTCGAGGTCCTTCGAGCACCGATGGAAGATTATCTATATCAGACTTGGTAACTTCTGTCACGGTCGCGACACTACTTTCTCTTTCCCGTGGAGGTGAAGTGGCATGCTCTTCCAACACGCTTTGAAGAAAGCTCTGCGTCTTTTCGGGTGACAATCTGCTAGGCTTCTCGATTGGCATTGTCTCGGACAGGGAATCCTTTTCGTCAATCACCTCTTCAATAGGAGGGGTGGTTGTCCCTTCATCATCAGACTTCAAAGAAGATACGGAGACATCGCGGTCGAGGAAAATCTTCTTGAGTTGCAGTGTGGCAAGCCTTCGAATATCCTTTTCTGTCGGGAAGTAATTTCTCTCAAAGTCTGCAAAAGCATCATCCCATTCAGTTACCTTCTCTTGTGTTGCGCGCACGGCAGAATTCAGTGGTATCGTTTCCCAGTATCTTGAGTTCGTATACCGTTCTTGCAGTTGTTTGATAAGACCCGCATGTTCTTCGTTGGCTTTCTTTGTCAGTCTTTCGATCTCTTCACGGCATGCGTCGGCTTTCTCAGGCTCAACCGCCTCGATGTTGATATTCTTGAGACGTAGCTTCACAGACACCATGAACTTGGTGATGCGATGCTCCATTCGACTGAAGATCTCGTTGCGGAACTTCAAGTCATTATCGACCTTCCACGTGAGCCTCATTCGGGGCACGATGATCTCCAGAAGGTCGATCGGATCATAATGCACGCGGAGGGCGAAGTCCTTATAGCCGAAATATCGGAGATGGTCCCTGTGCAGGTCATGTGGACAAATCCCAGCGCGAGCATGCAAATCCGCGCTCCAGAAGGAGAGCTCCAAGTACTTCCCAAAAGAGTACTTCCACGTGCTGGTTGACATGGGCGTGACTGTGGTCTCTACACCGCAAATCTTGCATTGACTCCACATGAGAATGACTTCCTGGAAACCACGCATCTTGGCTGGATACGGCTGCACGAAGACTGTGATCTGTGCTTCTCCGTGGACATACTGGCGATGGTGTTCATGCATTTTCTTCTCGCAGGCATCTGACGGGCATATCTCCATGGCGCGGTAGCACAAGTCTTCAACATACTGGCCGAGAGTACAATCGGCTTCGAACTCCGCTTCTGTTTCATGTTCGTTGTAAAAGCTGAAAGCCAGTAAATCCGGGCCTGAACACGGAACAGACGTTGCTGTGGACACCAGGCTGAACAACACGACGATATTTTGGTGGGCAAAAGGATCAAAGAGGTTCCGATTGCCGGAAAGATAGGTTTCCCACTGCTTCTTTTGGCTGTCGTAATTGTAAGCGGCTTTCTCGTACTCGGCGTCGTGTACTGCGTGGATGATTTCTCGAACTTTTCTGCTGGCTCCTGCAAGAGGCCGGTGCACCATTTCTGGGTGAATTAACGTGAACTTTGAATTCTTGCCCTTCTCTTCCAGGGTCTGCTCGAACGTGAGATCCTGGTCGCGTAGTCGTTTCAAGTACGCAACCCGCCTTTCTAATTCTCTCGCTCGCATGAGAAGATAAGGTTGCATGAACCTCACAAAAGGGGACGCGGAGAGGATGCGAGTCTCGTGCTTGAGAACAAGGTCTTCATAGAAAGTGGGGACAGGTATATCATCAGGAATGTGCACCGAGTCTGTGCTATCGGTTCTGGCCGCCTGAGTGAAGCGTCCTTCTTTCTCCAGAGCGATGACTTCAGCATTCGAGACGTCTCCCTGGTCAGGAAGGCGAGTATCGGTCTTCTCCGCGCCCGCGTCATTTTCTTGAGAGGTTGCTTCGTTCTTACTATTCACAATCTTTGTGACCATGTTCACTGATGAACCATTTATTTCTTCACCACCGGCATTTGGCGCGCTCGGTATCAATGCAAACTCATCACGCATCAGACAAGTCTCAAGCTTGAGGTTGTAGACGACGTAGACCATGAACTCGGTGACCCGTTTGATCTTGGACAAGGTCTCTTCATCTGCTCCCCTGAGAGCGATTGTACAGCCAAGCTGAGGCGGGCACCCGGATAAATAGACATACGTCTTCTTTCGACCCGCGGCCACGAAAGTCCTGACTTCGAAGGAGTCACAGCTTCCGAACGGATCGGCGAGCGAGGTCAACTTATCCATGGACTGTGCAACACGCGCCTGTGTGCAACGCGATACGGCTTCTAGCACCGAGGATTTGACATTGAAGATGGTCGTAATGTTCGCTTTCTCAAGCAGCTCAAGAGCAAGGCCTGATATATTTCGCTGAGCCAACAAAAGGTCGGGCTTGAGAGCAGCGATGCGGCCAACCAAGTTATTCAGGTATTCCTTTTCTTGTCTGATCACGGGATCCAGGCTCATAAAATGTGGCTCATGCCTGGAATATTCGATTGCAAAAGTGATGATCAGGATCCTCGGGTTAGTGAGAGAGCGGGCCATGCTCTTCAAAGCGACGTTCTTTGTAAAGATGAGACCACTGATGTACGCAGTGTCCCCAGGCCTTCCACCAGGGATCTTTTTTAGTTTGACATAGTTGCGGATATCAATATCGTCTCCTCCTTGAACGTCAGGATCAACGTCGTCAGTAGCTTTCAGCAGAATGGGGACAAGAGCATCCTCCCAACTTTGGACTTTGGGTACACTGGCGTCCCTGAGAAGCTGTTGGAGCATCTTGTGCACATGTTGAATACTTGCACGATTGAGCTCCATGGCTGGTGCAGCCATTCCGTGCATGGACGCACTTCGAATCATCCTCGACCGTCCACGATAGATGCTCGGCGTCTCCAAGTAGCCATCTTGAGCATCATCATGGCTTCCGGGGATGATAATTTGTAGTCTCTCCCTGGTGGTCCTTGGCGTTCCACGATGGATACTACTAGAGACGCTCAGATTGCGCTTTCGCGAACCTCTGAGCGCCTCAACATTGCGAGAGGACGTGATACTTGCCTCATCGGAATCTTTTCCCAGATTGAGGAATCCGGCGATACTTCGATCTCCGAGCCGCGAGCGACCTTTGCGTACTGCAGCTAAAAGGCCGCCAATTGCGCTCCTGTCGCTGTCATGTCCGCTACGGGACAATTTGTCCTGACTCAGAGTTTCTCCGATAGACGGTTCTTCATCGGTGGAAGGGTCATCGGAAAGATACTGTGCAAGGTCGGGATCGATGATGCTGTCTCGGTGGAAAGCTGAAGATTTGAATTCCTTGATGCCATCATCGGCGGCGCGGCGCTGGAACGGAGCTCTGTCTTCGTGATATGCTTTGAAGTTCCGTATGTGTTGGTGTTTCGAGTGGTGTCTCTTGTGAGTGTGGCCAATGGAATGGGTCGCTTTCAATGACCTCGAGGAGCTAGGTCGAGGCAGTGGCCGATCGGTTGTATCGAATTCTAGGATGGCTGAATTTCGGTTGGCACCATCGAAAGCCCGTCGTAGGGGAAAGTTCAAGGTGGGAGTGCGAGCCATCTGCTCCAGCGACTGAGAGGTGACAGATGCATTATCGTCCTCAAAGCGGGCCAAAGCGCGGTTGAGGGGTGGCGGTTCCGGGGTCCGCGGTCGCGGTGCTAGGTCATTCAAAGCCAGGTCTTCGATAGAATAATCCGATGAATCGTCATCATCATGGGACATTATAATTGATTGACACGGCTTGCAGACTCGAACAGGACTGCTTGACCCAAAGTGACTTCCGCTAATAAGGATAGTGCATTTATTATCGAAGATCTGACCACAGGTACGGCAGTGGTGCTTCCTTCGAAACGTAGTGAACTGTTCACCACAGTGGAAGCAATCTTTGGCGTTCTCGTCGCGCATCCAGAACTCCTTACTCAGCAATTTACTGCGTAGTTTGCTAATTGGCCTGGCTTGGTAAGTTCGACTTGCGAACTGGATACGGCCATCATCGTCCATGTGGTCTAGATTGGCACGTAGCACGCCAGCAGATACTGACGAATCTGATGAAGTGGTACGGGAAACATAGAAGCCTGGTAACCGTGATTGGCTTATCTTGGGGCCCAATTTATCGACCGGCCTTGACTCCGACGTCATCAAGCCAGGCGACTTGAGACCCGGGTGTTCGGTAGATCTCGCATGGGAGGCGCTTGCGGTCTTCGATGATGCTGCATTCTCGGCCAGGAGATCCAGCGGATTTATGTGTCTTTGGTGCTGAGCAACATCCTGTCTGTGAACCACCACACGAGCCGTTGGTTTCTCGGCTTGAGGAGACACAAGGATCGGAGGGCTGGTCAAGCCATCCGTGTTGCTAAAGTGGCCTTGAATTGAGGTTTGAGACAGTCCCCGCTCATGCGAAGATGACGTGCCCCGGGCATGCAGGACGGGTGAAGTGAGACTACTACTTGCTCTGTCAGAGAACGAGCTCTCCTTGGAGGGCTTTTGCAAAGCTTTCCGAAGACTGTCACTATCGGCACTGGCCGCAAGACTTCGGTGCTGTGGAGATTCAACTTCTAGTGTAGAGCCGCTCCTTGAATGGTTTGCGGAACCAGTGGCATGTATATTGACTGATGTGACGGAGGGGTCGACAATATGGGATGAAGGCTGTGGTGGACCGGTAGGCGAACGCAGTGCTGGAGTTGACGGAACCGAAGGTCTGGAGATACTGGTGGGCTTGGACGACACCTTGGAAGAGGGAGGCTCGGTAGGTGGTGTCGGGTCCGAAGCCGTCACTCGAGGCGAGGGAGCCCGGGATGTCAAGCCGGAGCTGAATTTGGACGTGGAACTGGCTCGGTCATCGACAACGGACAAGGCGGGCTGTGTTTCCTGAGACTGCTCATCCACATCTTTCGCGGCTCCGACTGTAGCCCTCAACTTGTTGTACAACCCAGATATGCCACCCTGTATTTCACTAGCCAGAGATTTGCCCTCGATATGAGATGCAGCGGTAGGAGGGTCTGTGTAGTCATTGAAGACGGTCAGGTTGTTGGACTGGGAAGCCGCGGTATGAATGTTGTTGAGGGCTTGGTTGAGGGCATCTTGATCGAGTTCGTGAGACAACGATGCCTTTGAGTCTCGGCGACGGGTCCTCCCCAGAGGAAGAAATATCGACGAGGCTGAGGGGCTGTCTCTGTCTTTGTCTTTTTGGCTGTCCTTGTCCTGGATAGTACTGGTAGGAGGCATCGTGGTTCCCTGCAATCGTCAATCTGGAGGCCTGTCGGCCGCAGTCAGACGGTTGCTGTGTTGGTATTCGAAGGGCTTCATGCTCATCGACTCATGTCGGACGGCGCTGATGTGCCACAGCAAAGAGGACACCTGCCAGCGTTGGTAGCGGCGTAGTGGATAGTACCATGTGAGTGAATGGTGAGTGCAGCGACACATCAGACCATCACCAGAGACGGGCTTAACAAATGCCATCATCGGTGGCTGATAGTGGCGTCCAGATGTGGCGTCCAGAATGTGGCTTAGTCATCCGTGCCGCGGACAGTCGCGTCAAGTTGAGCGCGTCTTTAACTACCTGAGGCGCAGCTACGAGCGTGCGGTCGTGAGCAAGATCAGTCGCACAACAGCTGCACAGACGCCACGAGCTATGTCTATTCCATCCATGCCCGGATTAAATGGACGTGCAGCAGCCGTGGTTGGTCGAGTACATTGAGTCAGGCGTCAACGCTTGGTTCCACAGACTGAGAGGTACTCTGAACAACCAGTATTCGTTTCGCAAAGTCGACCATGTCCTCCGCATCACACAAACGTCCAGACATGTCAGAACGGTCCGGCTGTTACAGGTTGGTCTCTCGACTTTCTTTCCTCCCACCTACTAAATAGCATCGTGGACAGTTACCTCAACTTGGGATTAGCGAACCTCGAGGCGAAGTGACCGATGGCGGTCACACTATCGAAGCCGTCTTCCCGAGCGACATTGCTACAGCCCGTCTCCAAGCAGGTGTGCAGTGCGGGACTGTGTTCCGCCTGACAGATCCTCGCATCCGAGTCACTGCACATGTGAATCCACCGAAGCCCCTGCTCGAAGTTGGTCAATGGGCAATGGTGGATGACCACTACCAATTTCCAGACGAGTCCGGTGTGCCTGTGATGCAAGAACAAGCTATACTGGACAGCATGGTCAGATATCAGACAGTTAAGGACCACAACTGCGCCGCCTCGACTCCCACGCCGCATGGCAGCCCACAGTCCATCGTCTCTCAGGTGCCGTTCAGTCCACGGAAGCATGCAGGAGCCGATGAAGAAGACGACGGAGACCTCTCTCAGCGCCAATTCCTTACCCAGCCCTGTCTTGCTATCAACTTGGGAGACCCACAGAGACTATCACCGCCACCGCACTCAGCTGATTCAAACCAGGCCAACGAGGTCGAGATTTTGCGGTCTTTCCAGAAGAGAGAAATGAAGCCATGCTCAAACGCTTCAAGTTTGCCTGCCTCCGAAGGGGCGAGATCTCCAACACCGCTTACCAGCCTGTCAGCTCCAATTCACTCAAACAAGCCGTCCTCTTCTGGGATTCCTGATACTGCTATCAACCATCACAAGCACGAAAACAGCAGCCCCATTGAAACCACTGAGCTCGTCGCCAACATTGATTTATCTGCGCCATCGTTGCAGAAGGCCAGATGCGAGAACCAAGTTCGGGAATGTGCGGAATTGGTCCCAGCGCCTCATATGACCCAATGTGGGAACATTCATGCACCGGCTGGATCGCTCCAACACTGGCGACTGCAGGCTCAGGAAAGGAGATATGTCCCCCGATATGTCTGCAAAATCCCTCGAGACCAAGAAGACTTCTTGAAGTCACTGCTCGAGTCTGGTGACAGCTGGCAACCACCGCTTGTCGGCCATGTACAAAGGCCAGGAGAGGTGCCACTTCCTCTGCTGGAACGGCTATGTGATGCAGCTGATAAGGAAGCCCAGAGTCCTGCAAAAGCTGTCAATCTGCCGGTACAGGGGCTCTCCCATTCTTCACACGGGCGGAATGACAACCTGGCCGAAGCCAAATCGAATGAAGAAGATTCAAGCCAGGCTGTGAGTGAATGGTCGCAAAGCCCACCCACTCAACAGCGCCGACTTAAAATGATATCATTTGAGTCCGACGACGACGCTTTGAGCGGATCAGCAGAATCACAGGTGTTGTCGCCCAGCCCATCTCCAAAACCCCAATTAACAATATTGCCCCGGGATAGTCCTCCAGTGGATCTTCGAGAGGACAGACAGCTTGTTGGTCTGGGAAGATTTGTAAGGAGCCCAGGGCACAATAGCAAAAGTCCGCATGAGGTCTCCATCAACGAGGATCATGAGGTCGAGAAGGACAAGTTCGACTCCTTCCCGGACGATGCCAGCCGCAGATCCTGGTCTCCCATTTCTCAAGTGGGCGACAAGGCCGTGCCACCTGTGGCGCAGACGCCACTGTCGGTTCGCTCGTCGGACGACCATTCAGAAAATAGGAGAGTCCACCCGGCGGACAACCCTTCCTCTTCTTCGCAGATGATAGGCAGCTGCAGTACCAAGGAAATACAAGTGAAAAGGACCCCCTATCCAGGCAAAGGCGCAACGCTATTTCCAACACCACGTAGTGATCGTATCGCCGATGAGAATCCACAGTCAAGTATTGTCCCAGGGACTTACACGTCCCCAACCCCAGGTGAATCAGCTTCCTTGAAAGGCGCAAGCGGACACTTTGAGGCTGCACTGACAGTCGAGACTGTCAAGGCTAGTGAGGCCGCCAGTGAGAGTGGTCCTGCAAGGACCGCCAGTCGATCAACAGTACAACCGATCAAGCCTCCGCACCAAGAGGAGGTTGTGAGGCCAGTAGGGCGGGGCACCTCACGACGATATTCATGTGTCTCTGGTGTCTCGCAAGGGTCTGTTCGCAGTTGTGACCAAATTGTGGCTTCGGGCGGGCTAAAAGATGTGCAAGGCCTCAGGGTAGAGTTGCCCAATCCAACGGCAGAACGGACTCGAGATGACGACTACGACCAAGCTGGGAACGCTGGTCCTCAAAGTAACGACGAGTATTTTCTTCAACAACGAAGAGACCCCGAAGTGTCCGTGGAAGAAACGAATCTAGCGACTGCGGCTACAGGGAGCTTACGAAGCCCGGCATCCATAAAAAGAAAAAGAGGTGGCTTGGGAGGGAGCAGCGCTCACGGCAAAAGACAGCGAAGGAGTTCGCAGACAACTCCCGTCGACCCGGATTACCTGGCGATATTCGAGAAAAGGAGGGCCGACCGCCGTGAGAAATTGCAGGCTATCGGCAAGCCCAGGACACTGGTGCGACCATCGACCTCGTCATCGGAATTGGACGTGGATAGCAGTAGCGGGCTACATGGGGCACCGTTGAACATTGCAGAGCAACGTCGAATACGGAACTCCACAATCGATATCCGACCGTCGTCTACACCTATTACCCGCCAATCGACCTACAGTGGGGTGTGGAATATTGAGGACCACCTTAGACCGGGTGACTCGGCTTCTCTGCATTCCCTCGCTGCCGTTGCTGCCGGGTCTGAAGGCGAGATCTTTGTCAAATATCGTGCGGCCTATCCTGACTATGAGGGCAACGCGGACGATTTTCGCAGGTCATATCATTTCATCCAAGGTGTATTGAACGACGAGCCCGACAAAATACATTCATCCCTTCTGGACGATGCAGTGTTCCACCACTACCACAGTTATCAGCCTTACAAGGAAGTGATGGGATTTGTGAAGTTTTTCAACGAGTGCGTCGAAGATCCGTCGCATTACAAACGTATTATCAAATTCACCGCCCCGGAGAGGCAAGCCCATCGCAACCAGTTGCGAAGATCGAACATGACAGCCAATAGTGTGATCGGGGCGTCGCCATCACGAAACACTCGGTCTTCACTGTCCGTCACTGCACTTCCACAGCCGCTGATGAGAGACGGGCTCGAGAAGGTGCGGAAGCAAAAGCAGTCTCTCGGGAGTATCCCCTCAGAGCCACCGCCGGGGGCGACTTTGTCGCAACAATCGATTAACGGTATTGAAAAATGGCGTGAAAACGCTGCTCCAAGAGGTTCGCCGGAGCTGGGCAGTGCAGATATCGACAGGAGCTTTCTTCAGGCTTCCAATCTAGAGAAAGCAGGAAACCTCAGTGCCCCGCCATATACGTCTCCAAAGGCCACACGTCTTCCGCCAACAACGTCGAAGCCAACAGGATCGAACCTGAAGAACCGCGCCCCCACCAGCACAGCTCAGGCGCAGCTGGACTCCTTACCAAGATCATTTGTGAGGCCACAACAGCCCTCGCCAGTGGTCAGAGCAGCTTCGGCGACTTCTACGGCACCCATTGCCTTTATTTCGCAGGCTGCAAAAGGAGAGCGGTCACGAAGGAGTTTTAGCGGAACCAATACGGCATTTACCCACTTCGAGAAAGAGTACGCTCGATTGTGCAGGGAGAAGGAAGCCCGGGACGTTGTTGCAAAGGCTAAGTCCCCAGAGAATGTTCGTGGAGTTCGTGGTGTTAGTGGCATGGGCATCGATATCTTCTCCTGGCGGAAGGGAACGCTCTCCAACAGGACTTGCGACAGTAACTCTTTCTGAGCGTTCTGAACAGGAGCGTGGATGGTTGATGAATGAGAAGACGACTTTTGACGCACAGATCATCGTATAATCCAATTCCGCGACTTGCAATAAATTGGACGTCCTTTGAAGTCCCAGTTTCAAGGGAAGAAGGTACCTACACCCGGTTGTCCTCGTGTGACCTCCTGCAACTGTCCGGGTGCCCTTTTCTTCCCAGAGCAGTGGAGTGGAAACCGTAGAGACCCCCTTTTGCGATGTAAACCCTTCGCATCACTGTCGAAGCTGAGCGGCCGAAATCCCACCCTGCCTCTACACGGTAAGTTATTGTATTTGCGCTCCGCACTTGGCTTCCGGTCGTTACTGTAAGCGCGAGCCTCGGCTCTAATATGGACGTGGTGGGACGTGGCCCGAACCGAGACAAGCAAGTTGCGGGGGTGCGATACGAGTACCAGTACGATCTGCTGGTGCTGCCACTTGCAACATCACGCGCTGCCCGTCCAGTCTCAGCGACAGTTCCTGTCCCCATCGGAACGACGAGCAGCCGCAGACAGTACTGTATCTGATCCTTGTTCCGAACCAGACCTCGAATTCGAGTCTGCACTTGTCTGTCTGCGCATCAGCAATGTCGACCGTAGCATTCGCCGCCAGCGTCACCCACGCCCTCGTCGCCGTGGGCCACACGGTAAGTTACGTTTGCGACTGTCTTCTGGTCGCCTACCCCCGTATATCCGTACATCCGAATCTCCCCTCTGAATCGACTAAACGTCCTCTTGTAGGTCCACGGCGTCAACACCTTCTCGCTCCCCCCCTTCCGCTCCCTCCCGGCCCTACTGGCCTGCTACGCCAAAGCGGGCTGGTACCAAGGCAGCGCCTTCTTCACGATCCTCGCGCTGTACACCTACCAGTTGTCGAAGAAGCCGGCCGCCACCTGGACGCAGATCGACCGTGCGATTTTGGGCATGTTGGCTGCGTGAGTTGCGTCCCGTTGGCTTTTTCCACTGGTTTTCGTGTTACTTCCGCAAGTTGACTGCCTTTTTCGACTTTTTCGACTTGCTTTGCGCAAGTTCGCTCGCTCGCTCGGGCTAACACGCGTTTCTTTGCTCTCACCTAGGGTCTATTGGGGGAGTAGTGCGTGGTATTTTAGGCATGGGGATCGGCCGACGGGGTTGGTTACGGCCCTTGGGGGGTTGGTCACTGCTGCGGCGGCGGCGCAGTAAGTAGGTCGTCTTCTAGGTACGAGGCACAGTACTGTAGCAGGTACGTACTGTACGTAGGTTGGAAAGCGGTGAATTGTCAGGACCAGGCATGCATGCATGCATGGCAAGGGCATGGCAAGCAAGTCAGACCAGAATGAAGGTGATTCGGCATGTGGGTGCGTGTCTCCGAGAGCGATGGAGAGGGTAACGGCATCTTTCGCAAACTATTGCTGCATTACAAGCAGTTTGATCGATCCCGATATCTTCACAAACCATAAATCGTAAAGCACAATTCGTATCCGCTGTCGTGACGCTGTGGTATACTCCTATCCACGCTCACCCTTGTCGTCATACATATTTCCTGCCTTGGTCACGCCTCACGCCTCATAAGGCCTCACAAGCCCGAACCCCCGATCCGTCCGCGCTCCCACTTGCCCTCCATCTTCTCGGCCTCGGCCACCCTGACGACCTCATGCGGACTCCGCGCTTCACGCACGGCCCTGCGCGCATCGCTTGTCTAGGGGTGCGAAAACGCCGCCGGACTTGACCCTTTCCAGAGCAGTGTCTTCTCCTTGGCCATGATGATGATCGTGGCGGCAGCCTAGCCGCCGAGCATACTTGCCAGCAGGGCAAGCCATCCCCGCCGGACCTTGACGTGGGGTCTGTGCTGATACGCGAAGCCCAGGGCCGTAGCAGCCCTAACTGCAGAAACATCGCGTAGCTGATCGATCTTGGCCAACCGGGAGGAGATGGCCCGGTCCGGTAGGTGGCGGAGTTTTCGCGGATGAGAAGCCGCGCCATCTGGCCGGTGCAGAGGGATTTGGGATTGATACTGCCCGCCTCCGTCTGGGCAAGGTGCTGAAAAATTGCTTGATCAAGAGGAAGCTCGGCGTCGAGTAGACGTTTGCGCTAGGGTTGTCTTTCGTGGATCCGTCGGTGAACAATGAGCGTGGTTCGAGGACGTAGGGGTTGTCGAGCGTGCGATAATGCCACGACGCGTACGTGTCTATGACTCTTTCGTTCAACCTATCGGACGAGACGGTGGTGTTGGTGCTTTCAAGATGCCGCATTCAATGGCTGCCTTGCTGAAGATGCCGTGCGTCAGGGGGAATGGGACTGCAGTGCTTGGGAGTGGGAATGCTCGGATTCCACAGAGTGTGGTGACGACGGAAAGCAGCGAGACCCTGGTATCTGCGTGGAACCGAGGCGAGCTGGCCATGTTGTTGGACGATACAGATCGTAGACAGTAGTCCCGCGGCCCCAGACGATTTTACTGCAACTGCACGGGGATGGTCGTGGTCGAGCTTCTTACCCGTTCGAGGGAGCGTGGGCGGTGCCGGAGGTGCCGCGGATCGAGGTGCTGATATCGTGGCACTGGGCACACACGCTCGGCGAGGTATACGTTTCGTGCCACGTGCAGTTACCCGTTGATCAGGATACCTTCATCTCCGGCGCGTCGACGAACCACCGATTTGGAAAAGGCGCTCGAGTACTGGAAGATGCCGGAATAGACCACTCCTATCGAACTTCTGGGGACTTCAGTCGTGTCTGGGGATGTCTGTAAGAGTAATAACACAAGCCTCTAACGGGCAGCAAACTTACTGCTGGTGGGCTACCATTCATGGCTGGTTCTTGGAATCGCTGAGGTGCCGACAGGCACTGCTCGGATTGAGTAGACAAGCAGCGCTTGGAAGGAGAAGCCAGCACCAAGGGCAGCGAGGACAATCACGGCACCGATACATGGCTTCATAGCCCACTGCTCACAAGATGTTCTCGTACACCATTGGACCTACCGAAAACGCAGAGTCCACAGAAGCAAGATTGACTCTAGAAACCCCTGGGCAGCAGACTTGAACTTCTCAGAATGTGCCAGAGGCGGACGCGGCGTCTGGAACCAGATTCATTCCAAGTAATGAGTCGCGGCAGCCACAGGATTGAGAATTCCCGAGCTGAAGGCCGTCGTAGTAAAGACCGAGACGACAGTGTTGGTGGTGAGGCCGAAAGTTTTGTGATAAAGGCCAGCACCACGGTCGAGGTCCGGTCGGGCGATTCTTTGCCACGGTAAGGGCGCGAAGAGACACGGTGCGTAGGAAGCAGCCCAGCGCCAAGGTCCATCCGAAGAACTCAAAAAGAGCCAGTACTGTATTTCTCAATGGCATCGAGCACACGATTCTTTAGGGCTCGGAAGGGCGATTCATTGCCGGCTTCCGGGGAGGACAGCCGCTGTCCGTCGGCATTGCTGATCTGGACACGGCCTTCCTTCTTGGACACGTTGGACTCGTCGCTGATGTACGCCGACAGGTTCGCTGCTGCTGCCATCCCCGCCTACGACGGCTGAGCTCCAGAATATCGGGGACGACGACGTCTTCAGCTGAGGGGCACCATGCAAGCACTCCCCATGGTATCCTGTACGTGCTTGGAAGACATCTTAGATTTTGACGGCGATGCCGGAGTGGCGTTCGTCTGGGCAGCTGGATGCGGAGCGCTTTGTACGGCCTTTGATCACTGAGGAAGGGTCACGCGAGACACGCACGCACGAGGCCCCGGACTAGCGGAAAGAAGATGTCGATAGTGAAGCGGATGCCGAAATGGGTGTTGGACACATGCAAAGTGGAAATTGGAGACACATGGCAGAAGCTGGCGCGAAGCCAAGTGCAGCCACCCGTGGTCTGGACACGAAAAGGAGCAGACTGGCACTGTTCGCTTCGAGTCCTCGCACAAGCAAGTCATTCTCCAATTGGCAGGGCGACAGCTCTGGGTGCTCGACAAGGTCTAGGGCCTCGTTAGGAGCTTTCAGCCGCCACGTTGGACAGCGTCTGCTCGCTTCTTTTCGACCTCGCTCTGCGGCCAAGCGACAGCTGAACCATGATCACGATTCTGAGTAGCCAGCGTCCTGTCCCACTGCATAATACACTACTGTGGTACTCGGAGCTGAAGCGGGTGTGTGGCCGATTCTTCCATAGCTCCTTCTGTGGGGGTGTCTTTGACTTTTTCCGACTGCCTCTGGACGTTTGTGGCTTGCGCTGCCGTAGCTGGAAGCTCCTCTTGGAAACGTCTAGATCGAAACCTTGCCGCTCTGTTGGGCGCAACATCAATGCGTGGCTCTGACAGCTGCATGGACGATGGCGTGCGGACAGCCCGTAGACCAGTGTCTTTTTGTCTCGACCGCGTGGTCCAATTTGCGGACGGTGCCAAAGGTAAGAATTGTCGAGCAGGTGAGTTCGATTAATACCTCGCCGGGCACCCCAAGCGCAATTGACCAGCTCTTTCAACCTACGGCACGCCGACCATCAACAAGCCCCATCCCGAAAATCATCGTCCAACATGGCCGGCAAAGGGCCCATCGTCACTGTGCAAGACGACGTCTCCGACTACCAGGAGAAGCAGTCGGCTCATTATCCCAATGGCAGCGTCGACCTGGCACGCCAATCCTCGAGCCCGATCAACAGACCACAAGCTCCAAGACAGCTGTCTGACAGCGATAACGAGGACTACGGACTGACACAACTCGGCCTCAAATGGCAGAGGATACGGAGGAATGTCCTCGTCCGATACATCATCTACATTGTCCCGGTTGCTATCCTGCTGGCCATCCCCATCGTTCTGTGTGCGACCGTGTACAAGGACAAGAAGATCATCAGCAAGTTCAAAACCGAGTCGCAGACACCCATCTTCTCTTCGAACATCACCTCAATCGAGCCTACTGCCGCCAACGGCACCACAACATACAACAATACTGCATCTACAGTCTACCAACAGACCACAACCACCACCGACGAGGATGGCATCCATCTGCTGGGCCTGTTCATCTGGATCGAAGTCGTCTGGGTCCTCCTGTGGATTGCCAAACTCCTGGCTCAGGCTGTTCCCATCATTTTTCAGACTGTTGGTGGTGCAATCCACACGGGCATCCGCAGATATTGGCTCGTCCTCAAGGCGGTTGAGATTCCCATCTCGCTGTTCTTCTGGGCCATCCTCTCCATTGCTTCCTGGTCCTTGATCTATGTGTTTGACAAGCCCTTCCACGCCAAGCATGCCGGCAACATCAAGTGGCTGCACACCCTACATAATGTCCTGAAGGCCACCGTCGGCGTCACAGCGCTATACCTGGTCGAGAGGATGCTCATCCAGATGGTCAGCGTCAGCTACCACGGCAAGCAATTCTACGACAACATCAAGGAGCTCAAGACTCTGAGCCGCGCCATCGAGACCATGTACGATGTGTCGCGACAGAGGTTCTGTGACAACCATCAGCGCTTCCTCGAAGACGACCTCGATATCCACGATACCAAGGGCTACCGAAAGGACCGACATGGCCGGCTCCGGACCAAGGATCAGTCGACCGCCGAGTTCATGTCCAACCTGAGTAGCACCGCCGACAAGCTGACCGCGGTGGTCGGTTACTTGGTCAGCGATATTGCCGGGAAGCAAGTCCTTATGCCGACTGCGTCAGGTCCCATTGTCGAGGCAGCCCTCGAAAGGCCCGTCAGCGCTGAAGCCCTTGCCCGGCGGATCTGGAACTCCTTCACCAACTTCGGCGAGACGAAGCTGGACCAGACCGCCATCACCACCATGCTGGGGGCTGGACGGGAGGCGCAAGCCGTGTATATCCACTCCAAAGTTGACGCCGACGAGAACGGCGACGTCACGCTGGAAGAGATGGTCGAACTCGTCAAGAAGGTGGCCTCTGACCGCCAGACCATCTGGGAAGGCGCCAACAACGTCAAAGACGCCATCAAGGTGCTGGACCGCGTGCTCGGCGTCTTTGTCTTGATCTTTGTCTTCCTCATCTACGCCGCGTTCTTCTCCGACTACCTCGCCAACCACTACACGCAGATCTGGTCCGCCTTCACCGGGTGCTCGTTCCTCTTCGCCAGCACGGCCGGCGAGCTGTTCGCCGCCTGCATCACCGTCTTCATCAAGCACCCCTACGATGTGGGCGACCGGATCAACGTCAACGACACGGAGATGGACGTCGTCAAGATCTCCCTCCTGTACTCGGTCTTCCGCGAGGTCAACTCCAAGCAGATGGTCCAGATCCCCAACAGCGTGATCAACGGCGTGTGGATCAAGAATCTGACACGATCCAAAGAACTCCGCGAGCAAATCACCCTGAACGTCAATGTCGGGACTTCGTTCGACGACATCGAGACCCTGCGTGGCGAAATGCTCACCTTCCTCGCCGAGAACAAGCGCGATTTCATGCCCGAGCTGGAAATCCAGCTGTTCTCCATCGCCGACCTGTCCAAGCTGGAGCTCCGCATCGAGTTCCAGCACAAAGCCAAGTTCGCGTCCGACCACGTCCGCGCCCAGCATCGCTCCAAGTTCATCTGCGCGCTATTGACGGCCGTGCGGAAGGTGCCCATCGACGGTCCTGGCGGCTCGGGTCCCGGCTCCGGGTCGATGGAGTCGCCGACCTATAGCGTGACCATTACGGACGACATTGCCCAAGCCGCAAGGGCCAAGTTCGACGACGAGAAGGACAAGAAGAGGATGCACCCCAAGAAGCAGCCGGCCGAGAGCGAGATCGGCGTCGCGGTCGGAGGGCCCGTAGGTAGCACCGGTCTGCAAGTCATGCCCAGCACGGCGAGGAGCCGAGTAGGTGGCGGTCCAGGATCTGACGACTTTTCAAACATTTCTTCGCATCGGTGAGGACGAGCCTTGAGGCGATGATATATCCATGAGCACATTCTGTCACAGTATCCACTTTAAGCAAGGCGAATGAAGGCGAACTGACTGGCTGTTCATGTTTTGGGAAGAGGTATCAGGGAGAGATGTTTTCAAGGTCGAAATTCATGATCGACCAGATTAATGGCAAACAGAACATATTTCTAGGAAAACAAATACAGTCAGATGCTGAACGCAATAATGGCTGAGTGGCATCAGAGACTCTGCGCCTGTATCCGTAGGTGATTCAGCGGGCGAGCTGGCCGATGTCTAATAGTGTCAGCAGCGAGTAATTTTGGTGGCCCCGGTAGCTGGCAGAGGAGCCGTTGGTGTGTTGTACGCTGTACCTAGGTACCTACCTGGGTAGGTAGGCGAGCAGGCGTCAGTGGTAGGTAAGTGCATGATGATTGGTGGGTGATTAGCACCTACAGAATTGGTTTAGTTTGGACGCCGATTCTTATGTCATCAGCCGAGGCTCTCGCTTCAACTCCAAACGAGCCTTAGCGATCAAGTCCCATCAAGTTACTCCCTACAAACATCAATGCTCTCTAATATCGTACATTCAGCGCGACCGTGAACCAAGGACTCAGCCTTCCCAAATTTAGTAGCCCTAATATCAGCGGCTGTCATATTAGCCGGAACTGGCCGGTCAGGACAGTACAGTCCAGGACAAAAGTGGCCTTGATTCATCCACCTGCCTGAGAGTCTTCCATTCAACATCCCACCCATCAACGACCAGAACTGAGTACATCCACACTCACGTGGAGTCAATCCTACACGCGCGCTCATCCGACCCCAGTCCGCTGACCGCGCAGCGATGCTCGGACTAGACATCGCTTCAAAGCGGAAACGCAAACTATCAGACTATCCATACCGCCTGGAATATCGGTTAAGATGGTAAGTGAGATGTGAAAGTACGCACGTACGCACGTACGCAAGTCGGTCTTTTGGAGTGGTGGTGGCACTGTAACTGGGGGCGCAACCCGAGCCAAGCCGAGGTGCGAGAGAGGATGAAGAAACAGCCCTCCTTCTCCTCCATCACAATCATGATCCTGCTGCCCGTCCTTTCTCCGTCCGGGTAGGGTGGCCTTGGACTAAAAGAGTACATTCTCCCCGCAGGAACGACAACGACGTCTTCGGCCACATGAACAACCCCCTGTACGGCGTCCTCTGCGACAGCATCGCCAACCAGTTCCTCATCGAGCGGTGCGGCTACGCCATGAACAAGTCGCCCCACAGCGCCATCATCGCAAACACCTACTTTGACTACTTCGGCAGCGTCGAGTACCCGGGCATGGTGGACGTCGGGCTGCGCGTCGCCCGCCTGGGCACCTCGAGCGTGGTGTATGAGGTCGGGGTGTTCAAGCGGGGCGATGACGCCGTCAAGGCTGTGGGCGGGAGTATGCATGTGTGGGTGGTCAACGAGGGGGGCGTGCTGGGGAGGCCGGCCAAGGAGGGTATTCCTGAGCGGGTGCGGCGCGAGTATGAGACGTTGATGGAGGGGGAGGAGCAAGAAAAGCAGACGGGGAAAAGGGAGGGAGCAAAGCTGTAATTGTAGACTGCTTGATTGTGCGTGCACAAAAGGACGTGGTTCCGCGAGAGAGACTCTGACTGCTGACTGCTGACTGCTGAGTTCTTGATTGACGTCGTCTTTCGTGCTGCGCTCTCTACCACACCCTCACCTCACCCTCAACCATTTCCCAAGTCGCTTGCTCAGTCGTTCGCTCGCCTCCACACGTCCAAACACGCCGCGTTGAACGCCTCAGGAAACTCCCACATGCAAGCATGTCCACCCTGCGTACTCACAAACACACTCCCTTCAATCAAGGCATGCAACTCGCGCGACAACCCCACGGGGATCAAAATGTCTGCCTCGCCGACAAGGACCACAACCTGCATCCCCTTGCGGTTTCCCCCTTTCCCACCTAACCTCCCAACCACCCCCCGCGTATCGAACGAGGTAATAACATTCAACTGCGCGAGATAACTCCGCAGACCCATATCGCTATCAATCTGCGCCATCTCGGCCTCCATAGCTGCCACGTCTTCGCGCCTCCTCTCGTCCGCGAAAAAGGCAGGCGTGAAGGCCCAGAGCGCCACGTCGCGCATCACGTCCGCGACACTCATCCGTTGGGCCATGTCGCGCCAGAGCGCGAACATGCGGCTGCAGAACGGGCCGGGGGCGGCGTACGTGCACGCTAGTGTGAGTGTTAGGATTTCGCTCGCCCTCCCAGTCTCAGTTTCGCCTGCGCTCTCAGTTTTGCCCCCGCCGTCGACGCAACCCGGAAGACAGTACGTCAGGGCGTACGTCTGGGCGATCATCCCGCCCATGCTCACTCCCAGGACGTGGTACGGCTTGGGCACATGTAGAGAAGTGATCAACTGCCGCAGATCCGACGCCATGGTGGCGGCGGTGTAGACTTCATGGTCTGCCACAGAGCGGGACGATAGGCCGATGCCGCGGTTGTCGTACGTGAGGACCGTGTATCCTGCTGTTGTGAAGGCGGGGACTTGAGTCGCCCAGGTCTGTTGCGGGTCGGCGAGGCCGTTGATGAGGATGATCCATGGTTGAGGCGGGTCCACAGGGGTCGCGGGTTGGTGGATCGTGTAGTTGATCTGGATTGTGTCGGATATGTGGTGGGATGGCATTGTGCAGGTGAAGTGGCAAGAGGCGGCGAGGAGAAAGAGCGCTGTTGTTGCACAGCGCCACTACCAGTACCGATACCAGTCCCCCGTGCTAGCGGTGTTTGCCTCGTCACGAGGCTTGCAGGAACTTGAGTACAGGAGGCGTTGTAGATTTCTCCTGTATCAATGGGACATTGTTGTTCAGTCGAAGGCACTTAGCTCAATGGGCCATAGGGACGAGGTTGGATGCACGGAGTGTCACAATGTCGACTGACACCAAGGCTGACTACTCTGATAGCCCATCTGCCTGGCAGAGGGAGACGCACCTTTATGAACAACGAAGTTGTCATGATCCTTGGGCAATGGGAATGGAAATGTCGCTGTTTTCCGTCAAGCTGACAACTCCGACAAGGCTGGAATGGGAGAAATGGGGGTATCTCGCAGTATCATAAGCATCCATTCCTCCACCTCATCCCGGCTGGCTGGGGCAGAAACGCTCGACATGCCTCCCTTGCTTCGATTCCCGATATTGCATCGAAACCGAACTCAGTAACAGTAACACGCCAAACGCCTTTGCAAACATCACCCGAAGGGCTCATCTTAATCTCATAGAATTGTCTTAATCAGTGCCCGTCCTGTACACCGAATCCTGTCAAGCCACCCGTTCTAAAATGCCACTGATGAAACGAATTCTTTTTCTACTGATCCTGGTCAAGTTTCTGGACGTTTCCTTCATCATGACCACCACTCGTCCAAGTATGGCTCCAGTAGGTAATCGCGTAACTGGGCCAATGATCTGTTGCCAGTAATTGTTTACACCTCTCGGCACTGAAGTCGTTCTTTGTCGCCCAGCAGATCTCCCGAAACGCCTCGCCGTCGCGCTCCCAAGAATAAGGGTAAACGTACTGAAATGGCAGCACTTCGACAGAGTGTTTCAGGCCCTTGCGTGGGGTAAATTGTTTAGCGGTTGGGTTCTTAGCCACATGCTTGTCGAGGGCTTCTCCAACCCATTTACCTTCAGGTTCGTTGTACTCGTTGATCATGTCGTAGAGTTTTCCAGGCCCAGTAGCACCCTCAACCGAGTCGGTATCACCGTCGCTGATCTGTTTCATGACAGACTCCAATACGATCAGGAAGAAAGGGTGGCCCGGAGTAGATGCCATCCATGCATTGGGAATCGAGTTTGAGGAGCCCGGGTCGGTACCCATGCGACCAAAGAACGCTTTTCGGCCACTTTTCGGCAGATTGGGTGTCTGCGATTTAGGTTGCCCATGCTTGATGGTAGATACGTTGTATTCGGCAAACAATTGATCGTGAGGTCGTAAGCATTCGACGTCCAGATCGGCATACAAGCTGTATACCGGTTAGCTTCCACATGTGCGACTCGCAGAGATCGATGTTCTCACCCGCCAAACATGTACATGTATAGATTCCGCACCAGGTCTGCACGATATATCACCCCCGGCAGTCCCAGATATGTCTTTAGCAACCATGGAAAGTGCGTCCTGACCAACTCTTCATTGTCTTCATCCGTCCACAGCACCCATTCCCAGTCGGGGTGCTGCTGTCTGCACGTCGCGCTCCACCGCTCGAATTTCGCAGGGAGCTCTGTCGAGGACCAGCTTTGGTGCATAAGCTTAGGCATCGCTTGTAGGTCGCGGGAGATCGGTCTCTTCATCAGATCCACCGGTCTCAGTGCCTTCGCCTGCTTCTTGTGTGAATGTCTCCACGAACTCGTATGAGAGATGTAGCCGGAGTTGGTACTGTTGGTTCCAAGGGTACTGCCCATTGCTGTAGGGTCGTAGGTCGATCCGGTCAGGTATATGATGGCGAGCGCCGCCAGCACAAGGCATGCAATCCATCGTAATGACCTTCGCGAGCCATAGATCTGCTGTAGAGGGCCTCCGTTCCGAGACGGGCTTGAGTCCATATTTCCCATGGTACGAGGGGAGAGACGACCGACAGGCACAAGGCTTCGAATTATGTGTCGGAAACTCTTCGTAAGTGTCGATCGGAGGGCATGCTAAAAGGAAGAACAACGAAAAGAGCGGCTGAGGTCGCGACGAATGCTCCAACAGGAAGGGAGCAGCTGCGGCTACACCTGCTGCATCAAGGGATACTCTTCAGCTCAACGGCAAAAGCAAGGGTGACGCCAAGTGTGGTATCCCCCATCTTTCGTGGCTTTGCTGGGCTCGACTCTGGCCCGAGTAGGACAAGCCTCAGGGGTTCGTGCGGCGGAATAACTGGTCGAGGTCTCGGCTCGCGTATGAAATGCACGGTCGGGTCCAGCTGGTCCCAGACGAGGATGCGGCGTGCCGATACCATTCGCCGATTCCACCAGAGACTCACCAAAGTCGGTCGTTTGGAGATCTGAGAAGAGAGGACGCATACTGGGTACGCCCGTGATCTATTGTCATTCGGACGCAGATCTGGAGAGATGACAGACAAGCTCGCTCACTCTGGCCTCAGGTGAGGCTTGGTCCGCAAGGGCGCATCCCCAAGTCCCTGACCCCTGCGCCAACGCTCAGGGCTCGGAAATCGCCGTGGCGCAAGCCTAAATGAACAAATGAAGCATGCAGGGCCGCCGGGGCACTACCTTGTACTTAGTAATGCCGCCTAGCCTATTTTACCTATCGATAACACCTCGCGCTCCTCGTGGTTTGTGACGCGTCTGGTATCCTCGGCCACTCCAAGGTCCCCATTATGGAAAGTCAGAATGGTTCCGGCTGTCTACAATATTGGATTGGAGTACTGAAAAGCGAGTCTGAAGATCTTCAACCAAGCAAGTAGCTAAAAATTGTTTTATTAGTCTTGTTCGATTGCACGGGTGGTCTACCCACAAATGCACCCATTCGCTCGTTGCGTTTCGACTGGAGCCGCAAATCTGACGGCTCTGAAAATGTGCCAATTCAACAGCATTCTTAAAATTCTGACCGCATTTCCCGACGAGCGTGTGACGACTGGATGCGACGCCTGCGTACCAGCTTGCTGAAACACTCTGATAAAGCATCTCCATGCAGTTCTGGGACCATCACACTCGCACACGAAGTATGCGGTGTTTCTGGATCTTGCTCAGGCTAGGAAGTGCTCGAGCCCGCTTCGCCTCAGAGTTTGGTTCCGGATGATATGCGGTATCCAGTAGGCTGGTGAGTTGAGGTCGAGGACCCTGTCTCTGTAGTTAGGCCACACCAGTTGTTTTCGCCGTTGATAGGGAGGCATTGATAGATGGGCCCGTTAAACTGCAATAAGTGGCCCGTCCTGTATGCCTTCAGTCTTCACCCCACCTCAGGCACGTCTTCGGGTTCTAGAATCTCGACATGGCCGACTGCACTACCGATCTCTGCAATGCTCCTAGGCGGCGAGATGTCGGGATACCTGCTGTCGAAAATCTCCTTCCCTTGAAGCAGGTTTGGGATGTTCTGACGCATAGGATAAACCAGATGTAGTGACTGGCCCGCTTCGACCTGTCTCCCCTCGTCCGGGCCATAACCAATGTCGCTCCACTTGGCCGTATTGGCGGTCGGTCGAGATACCCCAACAAGTTGCGGCCACGGTGATATGCAAGTGAAGTTGTACTCTTTATTCTTGCACAGGCCGGCCAGACCCCAGTCAATCGGACTGTTGTATGGGACCATTGACATGTGGTAAAGAGCTTTCCGTGCGCCTTTTTGGGAGATGGCATATCCCGCAGTACACACTCCTCCCTCGGAATGGAAGACTATCCTTGTATGATTTCCACCATTGGGACCCTTTTCCCAGGGGGTCATCTTGGGCTGATCGACATTGTCATGCCGAAACTGCGGTAGTTCAGTGGTAGGATCGTCGGGAATGACGAAAAAGCGACGGTTGTCGTCAGGCAGCACCCATGTACCGCAATGGCCGATCCACAGAACGTCCCAATCATCGCCGTAGGGAGAATGAGGTGTCGCATTCTCGGTCGTGTTCATGATGAACCTTGATCCTCTGGCGAATTGTACGAGTTGCTGCTTGATCGCTACGTCCCAGTCGGCATCGTCTTCGAAAATCAGGGCGGTAGACACCTGGTCATGCACCATATGTTGATAGACATTCATATGTGCGCGCCAACATCCAATCACATTACCCGACTGGTCCATTGTCTGTGATGTAGTTAGGAAGATGTGCGATTCGATGTATTCGATAGGAGACACGCACATGGGGTAGAGCCTTCGGGGGTACTTCGTGTCCATAGACTCCATCCACCTGCGTATATGAGATGTCCGAGAACGCTGCCTGCATCGCAAAAGCATCCTGCTTGTCCGTTCTCGCAGGAAGCGAAATCATGTATATCTCTTGAAAACCTAGCGTCTCATTTTGCACTTGGTATATAGAATCATCGAGATAGCTCGATTTGGTAGCTGGCTTCGTGTTCGAGGCGGCGGGAGTGGCAGCAGGAAATTCGACGACATCTTGCCAGGTGGGAGTAGGTGCATGGAAGGATGTGTAGAACAAGATCAGTGCAACAACGACGCCGACGACGACGAAGTTGAGCCGCGCTGGCCAAGGAAACAGCATCGCGCCTGTCGAGAAGGGGAGGCAGTATAGTGGAACGGTGACTCGCCGAGTGAGTGGTCAACCTGGCGTCCTCTGTTCGTCGTCCCCTTCGCGCAGTGAATTCTCGCAGTTTTGTCACTCGATCTTCTCATCAAGATCGTCGACTCTGCCCAGCCAAGGCAAGCCCCACAAGACACATGAGACCTTGTCGCCTACCAACCGCATGGTTTTTCAAGTGCGCATCGAGACTGGCGAAGCAGCAAGGAGCGAAACCAGCAGTGTCTCTACCATAAATCCGCCAGAAGCGGTTTCGCTGCGGTTGCCGGCTATGCCCCTTGCAGACAAGCCCGCTTGGTCGTTTTCGGACGCCCTACAGTAAGTTGGAGGGGGCAGTGCCCGGTCACGCCGGATGCAGCGGCGTACCCCAATTTCGGGCGGAAACACACATCCGCATTGTACAAGGACGAGTACAAAGTACGAGGTAGTTACTCGTGGGCGCCGATCAGATCAGTGGTCTGCATGCGGTGCATTGTTGTTTTCGACTCGACGTACCACTAAATAGGCATGTTCTTCGGCTCTACTGGGAAGACCGCTGGGAAACGTTAATGCTCAGCGTGACTTGTGAAGTCCCGCAAGTGTCATGAAGCAGAAGCGGACTCGGGGAAGCTTTGGCCAATTTCGGATTCCAGTGTAATTGATGGGGTGACCGATCAGTCTATGCGTACACAGCGTTGGTCAGCCGCCGACAGGTGGCAAGCCGAGGAGACACCATGAAGGCCCATCATCGTATACGAGCACTTTGTCCTTCTATCAGGAAGCAAGGGTTGCGGTGATTGAGCAGAACGCAAGAAACACCTGCCTGCAGCCGACACCATTAGTCGTCGACACTGCGCAGAGCTGGGCTGCAGGAAGTTGACATATCACGTGATAACGTTCCTCAACGCCCTGACAGAGAGGATTTCCAGGGTTCGTGTCAGAGAGCCAGGTTGGAGCTGTAGAGGTCTCTCCTCAACTGCGAAGCTTGTCCATGGGTTAATGCACAATGGCGTCTCTGCAAGTTTTACAGGGCAAAAGTCTGCACCGGTTTCTCCGTCGAAGCTCACCTCTCGATACGCGGACCAAGTATGTACATGGACTTGTTACAAATTAGGGAACCCTAAGAAAAAGGATCCATGCGGGGATGCGCGACAATAATCACGAGTCACCAGGGCTACTGTAGAGCCGCCTACCGGCTAGGCCAACCGCCGCTACAAAAGCTTGGCTTCAGCCCCTGTGCCTGAAGATGCCAAAGCTCCTTCCACTTTGCCATCTCTTCTCGCCTCCTGGTTTCACAACCGATTGCCATCTGCATCTCCCGGTGCCAGTCCCCCATTCAGAAATAACCATGTGTCCAGGCTATGCACCAGGTCACCTGGCTGAAGTCCATTCGACCAGTCCCTCCGTACCTCCTGTTTCAGCTCAAAGTCCAAGACCTTGGCCATGCCACAACGGATTTCAGCCAACACAGCTTTCCCGTTAGATGGCGTTACTTGGCCGCCGAAACATCCATGGCATTTTCCCAGGATGTCATCCGCACTATCCCTAGTTGGGTATTCATTTCTCTCAGCCGTACGGAGTGAGCACCAGAAGCATCGCCGTTGTACCCAATGCGTGGCTACACTAACCCGACACGCCTTGGGGACCTTTTTTTGTGCCCATGTTGTCCGTGTCACAACTTGGCGAGCTTTTATTCCCTTGTTGCTAGCAGGCTTGCCTTTAAAACCTTTGTTGAGAAATCCTTCGACGATCCTTCATTCACTGTCTTCCTTCACGTTCTAACTGGTGTTGAACACCAGCAAAAATCCTCGGGTTTCGTCTAGTTGATACTTTTTCAGGTCCCAGATTGCGCCCATATTCCTCCCTTAGCTTGATTTTCTCCATTGACATTCAGCTCGAGCGGACGTATTCAAGATGGAAGGAAATAACAAGAATCTCAAGCTAACAGTCACCGACTTTGCCTCTTCGACCTCATCGAACAACCCCAATACGCTCCTCTCTCCCGGCCGAAACCCCAACTTCAAACCTCTAGCACTACGGGCTCCTACTCACAATTCAACGGATCTTGAAGACTTGTTTGTTGGGCCTCGTGATATGAACCACCATTCGAAATGGCCGTTCTTTTTGCGGCTTCATGGCAGTGTTGTACCCAAGATGATCCTCCCACTCTTCTTTGTCGCCTGCTGGGCTACTTTGTTCACCTGCATATCAAAGTTTGTGCGCGAGTTGGTCTTCGATTCGGTACTTCTCACCATCACTGGTTTCGTGGTCGGTTTGGCTCTGTCTTTCCGTTCCTCTACCGCCTACGAAAGATACACAGAAGGGCGGAAGTACTGGGCACAATTAATGGTTACGGGGAGGAGTTTGGCGAGGATGATCTGGATTCATACGAAAGAACGGAAAGATGAAGGCGAGGAGCAAACCAAGGCAGATGTCCTGGCTAAGTTGACGGCTCTGAATCTGATAAATGCATTCGCCGTGGCGCTGAAACATCGGCTTCGGTTCGAACCCGCCATTGACTATCCAGACCTCCAACCGCTCATTGGGAACCTGCACACCCTGGCTGGTGAAGCTGACCAGGCGATCCTGAAGCCAAAGAAAGTCAGTTCTTGGAAAGCCACTGGCGAGTACCTTGGGATCTCTTTTGCCCACTCGAACCCTCGGAAGGTGATCAAGCGCTCGCATGAAAACTTGGGCAACCTTCCACTGGAGATCCTCAACTACCTAGGCGCCTACCTGGAGGAAATCTGCACCAACGGCCAGCTCGCACTTCCAATTCACCAGAGTAATTCGATGAACAGCCTGGTTCAACTTGCCGACATCCTCACCGGTACTGAAAGGGTTCTCAATACACCAGTCCCCATTGCGTATTCCATCTCGATCTCCCAAATCACATGGGTGTATATCCTGACCTTGCCCTTCCAGCTCTACAGCAAGCTGGGCTGGATGACCATCTTCGGTACAATGCTTGCAGCGTACATCATCCTAGGACTTGCGGCTATTGGCTACGAGATTGAAAATCCCTTCGGTGTTGATGTCAACGACCTTCCCCTCGATGCTTTCTGCCGAGAGCTGGCCTCTGATATCGATGTCATGACGAGCATGCCCATTCCAACCACGAAAGACTTCGTTACTGCCGCACAAAACAAAGTCTTGTACCCACTGAGCATGAGCGATTACGAGGCTTGGAATGATCGCTCCCTGCCTGAGATCAGAGCCGCCCTGAGAGCCAAAGCCACCACGTCAGCCATATCGATGGAATTCGAACGTGCCAAGGCCCAGTCGGAGAGCACGGCCGACACCTTTGAGGCACAACCTTCTGCGTCCGAGAAGGAGACCGAGACCAAAGACAAGCATGCTGTCGTTGCTGATGCTGTATGAACAGCAAGACCAACAGCCCACACAACTGAGACTAAGCGCCTTGTTTCTGGATTTCGTGCCGCATGTTAGCGAGGTTGGGCAAAAAGTAGGGACTCAAGCGACAGCCTGTTCGGGCATTAAATACACACACATTCGCACATATTATATATCAAAGCAAAAAGTAAAGGTGGTCACGCTTTGGTGAGTGGAAAATCATGTTCAATGCCAGAGGCTTCTTTTCTCTCTGCTTGTAAAACCGGCGCAACCCACGAAGATTGTCTTATGCTTCAAGCCCAAGTCCTCAAAATCCATCTCATAGTACGACCCCATAGTTGGCATCAATCGATATCTCACTTCTTTGCCCGACTTCAAGTTCACGCATCCTTACTCTTGTTGCCCAACTCCCTCGCCATCTCCCCCTTCTCCGCCATATCATTCAACACGGCCTCCGCCGTCTTCATAGCATCCACCCCCGCAGGCACCCCACAATACGTCGTGGCGTGCAAGATGGCCTCTCTGATCTCCTCCTCGCTCAACCCATTGTTCCGCGCCCCTCGCACATGCACGGCCAACTCCGGGGCCCTGTTCAACGCCATCAACATGCCAATGTTCAGCAGGCTGCGGTCCCGGCGCGACAGGCCGGGCCGCGTCCACGCGTAACCCCAGCAGAACTCCGTCACGAGTTCCTGGCCGGGCCGCGAGAATTCGGAGCTGCCGTTCGCGAGGGCGCGGTCGACGTACGCGTCGCCCACGACTGCGCGGCGGACTGCCAGCCCGGCGTTGAAGAGGCCCTCGTGCAGAGGGCGCAGAGAGGGGTCTACGCTTGAGGTCGCCTTGGTGGGGTCGGATGAGGAAGAGGAAGACATGTTGTGTGGGTGTGGATGTGGAAGACGGAGTGAATCGAGTAGGTACGCAGTAGAGTGAACGTCAGGTCAGAAGCTGTTGTCTCTATCTGGGGCGATTCGTCTCGGTCTCGTATAGTATGCGTATGTATGTACCTTGGCTGGGCTGATGCCGACGAATAATCCGTGCTCCCGTGGCTTGTTGGCCTTTGCGCTGGGCGTGACCTCTTTCGTGGGGTTGCGGTACAAGAAACTACAGGTATGGCAGCGAGAACAAACCACCCCTCAGCTACCTCCTACTTCTACCCGGTACTTAATACTGTCGCAACGCCCCAGTTCTACCTATTTACCCCTCCAATGTTCTCGTCGACGCTCCGCTATCGGGAACTCGGCGGTGCTCCGCACGCGTCTGGGTTTTCGTCTTCTCCAAATTTCCCCAAATCGGTGGGTCTTGTGGTTCTCACGGGTCTTCTTTTTCCCTTGTCAGTGCCTCGGATACAGGACCGACGAAGACAACGCTGGGAAATAGTCGTGGTTAACTCGACTTCAGCAGGAGCACAACACAGATTGAGGCTAGAGGTTCGCTATGTAAGGCTGAAGTGCGCACGTGGTGCGACAAGCCCTATCATGTCAGCTTGCTCGCCGTAGCCTCGTCGGCGTCCTTCTGCCAGTCCTCATTCCCGCCCAGGTACCGGAAGACGACTCTAGAGTCTAGGTCCTTGCATCGCGGATCATTACTGGCTCCGTCATATGTCGCATATCCGGCCTCGCCCAGCACGTTCTTTGCGCCCACCCTTTTCGCCATGTCCAAGGCTAGTCCAAAGTCCTTGCGCATCAATTGCACCTTGAATCCATTGGTGTACCCCCTCGATGACGGCGCCTCGGGATAGACACCTGGGACAGGACAAAATCGGTCACATATAGTATTCTGCGCCGTCCCTGCTCCGTAGACCTTGTGCAGCACGCGGGGATCCAGGCCCGACCTCATACCCATATCCATGGCTTCGGAGACGGCAATCGCAATGATGCCTGATAGGTAATTGTTGGACAACTTCGCAGCCAGGCCTTTCGACGGCCCGCCGCAGGGGATCACCTCCTTGCCCATCAACTGCAGCAGGCGCGTCACGTGAGGCAGGTTCTTATCGTTACCGTCGCACCCGAGGAAGAATGCTATCGTGCCCTTCTGCGCTCCCACCACACCCCCGCTGACGGGGGCGTCATAGAAAGACGTGGTCGGAAATTTTTCGTTGATGTAGTCCTTCACAGCCAGACTACTGGCCGTGTCGATGGTCGAGCAGTCAACCAGCAGCTTTCCGGACACATCACTCGAGCAGATTGTGTCGGAGCCCCCTTCCATGTATACTAATCGAACATGTTTTCCTTCCGGGAGCATGGTCAGAATGACTTCCTGAAACGCATGTCAGCAACCGTAAGCTCAGAGGTCGCCTTGTCCTGTCTTACCGATTTGTCGGCTACCTCCTTTGCTCCGGAGCACTTGGTTATCCTCTTAGGGTAGTCCTGGTGTAGTTGATCCATGCTTGCTTGGTTGATATCATACACGAAGATGCGGACATTCTCGGGAAGCTTTGCTGCAAGGTGCCCGGCCATGGGAAGCCCCATGGCCCCTAGACCCACGAAACCCAGACCGGAAATCTTGGATAGATCCATGATGGTGCTTATGCAGATGTACTGAGGGAGTATCTGAGCGCTGTTGCAAGGTTGGTGTCAATGAAGTAATCCTCTCGAAGATGGTGACGAGCTCGTTCCAAGCGAAGCGGTAAAGAGCGAACGTGTATCAGGACATGCAATCCTCAGGAACAGATCGAGAATGCAAACGTCAAAAGGCTCGTGCTTGGATGCGTCTGGGTCTAGGTCAGTGCGATAGCCTTCCGTGCTGTTTTCGCACATGGCCATTTCAACGTGTGGTGGACACTCCACAGACATGGAAGTGTTGGGGTAATGGCAATGTGGTTGCTGCCATTCCCAGAAGATTGGAGCAAGTCGTTACGGCAAAGCATGCGGCCACTTTATCGGTGACAAGTTTCATTTCAAATGACCGGAACAAGGCCGGCAGCGCCACACCTTCCAGGTTTGCTTTCGCTTGGACTTGCACGTCCCTTCATGTCTGCAATTAGTCACGTGGAGTCACGGGGACTACGGAGTATACTTACCAAGGTTGCTGCAAGGCCGCCAAGGCCTCCATCTCCTTCTCGCACACACAGATACTGTAAGAACTCATACTCCCGAACGGGTTGCTGCGGAAATGCCCCAGTGATATCCGGCCCGACAGGCAAGCGCCCAGCATGCGACTTGATCATACTCAAGGTAGTGTCGAACTGGCGGTGTATCCGTTCCTGTGGCTTTGGGGATCTGCATTCCGCCCATCCGCTCGCTCAGTAGCTCGTAGGTGCTTGCGAGTACGAGTTACATCCGAACCACACGACTAGGGGCCCCGAAACGAATCCCTGAATCATAACAGGCCATACTCCGTACTCAAGTCTACCTTTCGACGTGTCAAAAAGAAACTGAGCGCTACCTAATGCAAGTCTTATGGTGTGGATCTACTGTGTAGGTCCGAAAGTTCCTTCCTTCTGGCCACTTCATACTAGGCTGTGTGGAATTAATGGATGTGCGCGAGTCATTCTCGACCTCGGGGGTCCTCCGGCCTTGTACTCGTATCAGCGGCTTAGGTTTCTCTGCTCTTCCTGATTGTCAGCATCAGGCACTGTCAATAAAAGGCTCATCACCGTGCGCTTAAACGTCATACGGGTCGATTGATTATACGCATGCTCTTGTCGTTGGGCGGCCAAATGGCCGCCTAGCCACTGATAGCCTGACGTCTACGGAGTATACAGCATTCGTAGCTGTACGCTGCCAACAAGCGATGAGGCACAATAAAGGCGGCCAATCATGTCTTTTAACCACTCAGCCTGCTGTATACAGTTCTCACTCGCGGAATGCAGCATACGAGTCCGAGAAAGCCGAACAAAGGCGGCGTACTATGTCTCGGCCTGCAACGTTGCCTAGCCTAAACAACAAGGTTCGATGACATTAGCAGCACCAACTGGAAGATTGCAATAATGCAAAGGTATTGCCGTGCTGATCGGAGTGGATCCGAACCGCACGATGGTACGTGCCTTTCTGGTGCTGGCATAATGGCCTCAGGTCTTGCCGCAAAGCGTAAGCTCAGCACAGCCAGAACTCAAAAGCTACCTGTAGGGGTTACAACAGAGGTGCTCTTGCTGGGAACAAATGCTTTGGGAGCAGTGGCCAAGGACAGCCAATCGAAAACGAACTGTCGTTCATAGCTCGGTCATTCTGTTACTTCCGTTGCAAAGGCCTTTTGTGCGCGCCTTCATACCCTGTATCAGCATGCACGCCGCATTCGTCGACTAGCACGCAGGCCAACTCTACTATGTACTACGATGTGGGTACAGAGTAACGTTTCCAGTCTCGCATAACTAACAAAGTGCTGACTCTTCGGGCGGTCTCAAATGCCAGTGGCAGTCAGTAGTCCTTTCCTCTTTTGGTTCTGATCCCATGTCTTGCCGCTTACACGAAGGCTTCGTAGAAGCGGCGACTTTCATCTCAAAACAGGTGCGACACTGGACTACGTCAGTGCCAGGCGACGCGTCTTACACCGCGTTCTGGGATCCGCCAAACGGTCAATAGGAGGGTAGGCAATCAGTGTAGCCTTCGGGTTTGATGGGGAGCCGAACCCCTGCTTCATTGTCCGCTTCGGCCATATGCCTTTATCGTCATCCACAGATCGGAGCACAACACCAGATTCGTCCGACAGAGCCCTGTTTGCCCAGGATCTGCTGTATCCACCGTTCGCTCTTTGGGAGACCTGGTTGCCTGATGGTCGGCTTCATGGAAACGATATACCAGGCAGCGGAGTCGTTGGGTGGTATCGACCCCCACGAGGTAAAGGTAGGAGGACGACCGTGACCTGCATATATACGGTCCTACGAGTCCCTCCCTACTCCCGAACCTTGTGTGAGACAAATTGCTAGCGTCTGCAGTTGTTCAATATGGCTGTTTTCTCAGTAGTGGACTTTGTTGTTGTGCTAGGCGCTGCGAATGTCGTCTATGTAAGTACGATGACTTTCTGATCCTCCAGTCACCGCTAACACGCCACGCAGTTTATCGGCCTTTCAATCTATCGTCTCTACTTTCACCCTCTCGCCAAATACCCTGGACCGCTACTATGGAAACTGACACAATGGCCCGAGGCAAGATCCGCGTGGTCAGGGAGAAGGCATGTCGACCTAGCACTTTTGCATGAGAAATACGGTATGACCGGAACCTCGCGAGCAAAAGGAACGCAACTGACAGAGCACTTCTTGAGGCGATATTGTCCGGTTCGGACCCGACAAACTCTCCTTCCGAACCGCCCGGGCCGTGAACGACATATACACTGATCGAAGAGCCAACATGATCAAAACAGGCTGGACTCATACTGGCGAAATGATCAACCCGGGTATCACTACTCACATCCTCTCTGATCGTCAACTCCATGCCGCTAAGCGGAGACTGCTGAACAACGCCTTCTCCGATCGTGCCATGGGCAACTTAGACAAGTACATCCTCGAACGGATTCGTGAGTGGTGCGCATATCTCGCCCAACCTGACGATTCAGACCCCGAGAAGAAGTCGTCGTGGAGCAAGGACCGTGATATGGCCCACTGGTCGACGTTTTTGACCATCGATGTCCTGGGTGAGCTCTGCTTCGGAGCGAGTTTCAATGCCATGAAGACAGAAGGCTGTTATATCATGGAGCTACTGATTTCGAGCGCTCGGTTTCAGCAAGCGGTTAGTGACATTTTCCCGCCGTCATCCAACTCGACGATGCTGATAAATGCCAAGGTCTCTTTTCTCCCTCCGCGCGAATTGCTATTCCCATTTATGAAACCTCACCACTTGTACGCCATCGGCCGGGCCGTCGGCTCCCAGGAATTGCTGCAAAAAGTCCGCTTCCGCCAGGACATAGGCAAATTAGTTGAGAAGCGGTACGCCGTGGAGAAGGCTGACGCCGAGAAATCAGAAGGGGACAAACGCAAGGATTTCTTCTATTACCTTCTCCACGCCAAAGACCCCCAGACAGGGGAGACGTTCCTGCCCAAGGATCTCGTCGGCGAGGCGGCGTTGCTTGTCGGCGCCGGCTCAGACACCTCCAGCACGGCGATCTCAGCTCTGTTCTTCTACTTGACGCGCAACGAGAGGGCGTTGAAGAAGTTGCAGGACGAAGTCCGCGCGGCATTCACCGACGTCGAGGAGATCAAGTACTCGGCCCGACTGACCAACCTGCGGTACCTGCGAGCGTGTATCGACGAAGCAATGCGTATGTCTCCTCCTGTTCCGGGCCTACTCGATCGCCTCGTCCTCCAGGGTGGTGCCACAATCGATGGCCATCACATCCCCGCCGGCACCACAGTCGGGGTTCCGATCTACGCTCTTCACCACAACGAGACCTACTTCCCGAACTCCTCCTCGTTTATTCCCGAACGATGGATCCCGGGACCCGAATCCTCAGCCACAGCGGGATTCCTTGTCACGCCGACGTCCGTAGAAGTCGCGAAGAACGCATTCCACGCCTTCAGCTCCGGCCCGCGAGGCTGTGTAGGCAAGAACATGGCGTATATGGAACTCTACACGGCAGTCGCGCGGGTCATGTTCCTATTCGACACGAGGTTGAAAGAAGGCGATCACACAGGCGAGGGAGGAGCAGTCGAATGGGCCACCGGCGCAGGTCGCCATAGGAAGGGCGAATATCAGCTGAGGGATTGGCTGATATCAGATCGTGTGGGCCCGGTCGTGCAATTCAAGAGAAGGGAGGGGGTTGAGTTGGCGGCGCCAGCGGCATGAAGCTTCAGACGGGACGGGGCGGAAAACCGAAGAATGAGCGTACTCATTCACGACAGCATCCGAGTACATGATCCGGGGGCCGACAGAACTCCTGCCTAAGGCATCGATCGGGTGCACGAGGCAAGCCGGGCACGTTCTTTTCTCAAGATCAGGGGAGGGGCCTATGCTCCTCAATCGAGCATATGTAAAGTACGACAGCACTGGAGCGGAGTTTCGGGAGACACCATTTAGCACTCAACCTACTGTACGAGGTAATTAGGGGGCGGGCAGGCGGGCGGAGAAACGCGCGGGCGAATGCGTATTTCCGCGGTTCTACACACTCTAGACAACCTCATCCATCCGATCAATCAGACCAGCGCCCTGACCTTCCCGAAATAGGCAGATACCCAATTCAGACAGATGGATGGATGGATGGATGCATTGCCTGGAGTGCGAATAAGCGCGTCTCTTTCCCTACCAATAATATGTACAGTACGGACTACCGTGTATGGACCGACGCAGTGAATCGGGCATCCTCTGTGGCTTACTCGTACACAGTACCCTTCAAAGTTGCGACATGCTGACATGACTCCGCGCTCGTGAGGCGCAGTATTTTATTCGCACGAAGACGATGCGCCATGCCATGCAGTGCCACACGAGACGACATAACGCACTTACAGATCGTACAATTGTTGGAGTAAATATGTACCGCTATTATGATCACGAATACTTACTTAGGTACCTGTACGTACTTAGACCGGCATGCACGATCAATCATACCGAGCACTGTACTTCAACTGCAAGGATACTTGGACTGGGATGGAGGGAAGTTGAACCAGGGCTGCTCTCTCTCTCTCTCTCTCTCTCTCTCTCTCTCTTTCTCTCTCTCTCTCTCCCCATCGGAAGAAATGCGGTATGTAATAGTGTTGGTGTTGGTGTTGGTGTTGATGAACCATGGCTTTTAATCGCCCGCTCACCTCATGCATGGGGTGCGGGCTCGACTAGTGGAGTGACTTGTGACTTTGCTCTTGCCTTCACTTCCACTCTTTCCTCTTGTGACTCAATCGAGACCGCTAGCACACAGGACATAAAAATGGCCTGGATAGGTCCGCGGCAGGTAGCAATAAGGTCATCCACTCCATCCATCCATCATCGGTCGTCGATCCGTACTCTGTGGAGAGGGTATCCCTATCCCTATCCCTGGTTGTTATGCATGCATGCATGGATGCATTGCATTGGCACGTGGAGTGAAGTGTGAGCTCGGTAGACGTTATGATGAGGGGTTTCCTGTCGTGTGATCTGGACGTGCACGCTAAAGATGAAGGTGTTCGATAGCGTCGATGACCGGCTGTCTGGATGGCTCATCCTGACCTCCTAAACCGACAGGTTTGACGTCGAGATATCGCAATTGGCTTGGTGTCGTGCTAGCCGTGAAGAGGACAGCGTTGCACTCTGTGCCAAATCCTGTACTGGGTAGAGTCTCAAGTCGCCTTTGACGCCTGAAGCCGCCTGTAGAGCCTCAAATCACCTCCAGCCACTTGAGGACCAAAATGTCGCGCCCATGGTCGAGCATCTCCCCCCACCGCAGTCTCAATCTCTCACACCACCTTGACGGCTTCAATGTCCTCGTCCTTCACACCCTTGATCCACTTCATGAAATAGCTGACATCCTTGGGCAGCATCCCCGGGATACTCATCTTCTGCACCCACATGGGCAGATTCCCCTTGGCATCACTCGCCGTCGCCATGATCCACTCGACCTCTTTACCCTCGACGCCCCGTTCGGCGCCCTCTCTAGGCCGTCGCTTCACCGTCTCGACCGCAGCATAGATCCCCAGCACGACCGGTTTGCGCTGCTGCGGCGTCTTGCCCTCCTTGGTGTTCCGGCCGGACGAGTAGAACGAGGCAGCCACGGACGTGCCCAGCGTCACGGGCACCGTGACTGCCACAAATTCCTCCGGGCCAAGCGACGCCGTGGCGACCAGTACGGGAAAACAGCGCGCAGACGTGGGCGGCGGCGTGGCGTGACACATTTCATAGATCGCCATCGTGGCGCAGGTGTATTTCCTGCCGTGTTTGCCCACGATTTCCCTCTGGGATTCGAGGGCCCGGAGCTCGCCGTTCCAATCGCACACGGGGTGCGCGTCGTAGAGATTCGGCGTGAATGCCTCTTCGTGCTTGGAGTGGTCGTCGCGCAGGCCGTAGATGAATTCCTTCCAGCTCGCGTTGCCGGGCGAGGTCGCGTCCTTGGACGACAGGTCCTTGTGCACCGACTTGCGGGCGAACCAGTGCTCGCCGCCGCTCAGGACGCGGGCCGGTGGTTTGCTCCGTCCGGGTCGAGTGTATGTCTCTTCATCGGCTTTCTGGCCTTGACCTGGACCGGGACCCTGTGCGCCATCGCCATTGGGACGGTTGTCGTCCGCCGTGATGCGCGTGGTTGCACCGCCTTCCCACTTCACGATCTGCTCCAACTCTCGCGCGGCGATGTCACATGTCAGGACGTCGACTTTTGCTTCGCTGGGCAGAGCTGTTTTGGTGGACTGGTGTTTGAAGTTCGCAATGAAGCTGGTGGACGAGAGGAAGTCGACCCCGTCGTCGAGGAGCGACAACAGGAAGGGAAGAAGCTCGGGTGGAGTGGTGTCCTCCGAGGATGGGAGAGATGGATGCGCGGGCACTTCGCCGAGCTGTAGGGCCGCAAGGCGGACGAGGTTGCTCTGGGTGGTGTTAGTAGCCATGTTACCATGCTAAATGTGGAGTCGAGTCTAGCAACGCTTGAAAAAAGCTTTCGCAGGAGAATGTATCATCCAGGTGGAATGCATGACTGCATCAGCAGTGCTGGAAACAAACACGGTCAACACTACAACACGCGCCGTCGATCATTGATTCAATGCTTGTCCGTACAACGCGTCATGGCAAGGCTGAAAAGGTACGACGAGGCTCTGGACCATGCAGTGCTAGCCATGCTCGCTATGCTACGGCTCTCAGACGCCGTCATCCTCGCTCGTGTGGTAATCATACAGCTGGCTAACCCATAGACAATCGAGATGTTGTCGCTGTGGTTACTGCCTTCCAGGAGCAGCATCAGGCTCCTCGGCAGCCTCCACCCTCACAAGTATCTCCTCCAGAAAGCCTTCCAAAAACTCGGTCACTCCTCCACCCATACCTACTGGACACTCCTCATCGCATTTCTGAATCTCGTAAAATACGCCTGCCGCCTTCGCAACAAGCTTTCTGACCTTTTCGTGTGCCTGGACTCGGTATTGGTGCATTTCCGCGGCTGCTGACGAGCTCAGCTTGCTCGTCCGTGCGAGTTCCTTGAGCATATAAGTTCGACGATGCATGGACGCCTCAAGTGCGGGAATCAGGACTGAGTTCAAAGCAGTCAGTTCCTGGTCTGTACGCTCCTCCGCCGGCCGTAAGGATGGGCTGGTGGGGGTGGCAGGTGCTGAGGGTTGCGAACCGTTGGTCTTTGCCGTAAGCGGCGGCAGTGGCTGCTGGTTGGCCATCGAGGCAGGGCATCCTGAAGATGCACCGATTTGCGATGACGATGATGATGGCGGGACGGCCTTAGTTGATGGTATTGGTTTGTCTTTCTGAATTGCCTCCCCTCTTCCCAGTTTTCCTTTGAAGGGTGGAATTTCTGGAATTACCATTGGTGACTTCTTGCCTGGAGGTGTTTGTCCCTGGGCTAGTTGTGTCTTCGGGCTATTTCCCACGTCAAGCTTCAGGAATCCCATGTCCTTTGCTAACTGGGCCTGAAATGCTTTGTTGTATTCATTCGACCCTGGGCTATCTCTCTGCGGTTGAACGGGCAGCGCCTTATTGGTCAATGGAACAGCCGGTGTCTTTGGTGTCGCCGAAGGCGAGAGTGGTGCTGCCGTCGGCCCAGGCTTTTCGACGGCTGTTGATGTGGTCACTTTGACTGGTGACGGAGGCAATGGTATGTTCGCTGGCGTAGGTGGAAATGCAGCTTTCACTGGCGACTTCTGAGGTGACGAGGGCACTTTTACAGTTTCATCCCAGTCATCCTTGCTCTTTGCAATTGCAACTGGTTCTGCTGAAGCTCGTGCATTAGCGGCAGAGTCGTTCATGGGTCGAAGTCCAACTCCGCGACCCCCGACCGGCCTCACCGTGCCGAAATCCCACAGGTCTTCATTTTCTGGTTCATGAAATGCTGGCCGCACATCTTCCTCTTCGTCCTCATCGTCGGACGATCGGCCACCGCGGGTTGCCATGTATCTCTCGTTCCTCTCAATCAGCTCCGTCAAGTATGTCGTCTTTTTGGCCCTCTTCACGAATGGATGCTTCAGCAGTTCTTTCGCAGAAGGCCGCTCCCTGGGATCCCGCCGCAAACATAACTCGACAAAGTCTTTGAACGTGCGCGAGAAATTGCCTTGTAGCGTTGGAGGAGGATTCTTGGGTATTAGGAAGAGGACTTTCATAGGGTGAATATCTGCATAAGGCGGTTCTCCTTGCGCCAGCTCGATAGCTGTAATGCCGAGTGACCAAATGTCTGCCTTGTGATCGTAACCGGATTGCTTGATGACTTCCGGAGCCATCCAGAAAGGCGTGCCCACAAAGGTATTCTTCTTGGTCATGGTGGCCGAGAGTTGGCCCGACACTCCAAAGTCGGCGAGTTTGACTTGACCATTCTGACCCAACAGGACATTGGCTGCCTTGATATCTCGATGCAGCTTTTTGTCTGAGTGCAGGTAGTCGAGGCCCATGAGCAATTCGCGTACAATGATGCAGATATAGTCTTCGTGTATCAGGCCCGGCCTCATGAGGTCTGAACAACTTCCGCCCGAACAGAACTCCATGATAATCCATAAGTCGGAACCCTTCAGGTAGGAGCCATGGTACTTGGTCACGTATGGGGACTGGAGTTCGGACAGGATGGAGATTTCCTGGATGATGTCCTCGACCTCGTCTTCGGCATTCTCGACGTCAATAACCTTGATTGCCACCGCTTGGCCAGTTCGTTTGTCCACACCCTTGTATACCTTGCCAAAACTCCCGCCTCCAATGCAACTCTGTTTGGTGTAGAGCTCCTCAGGGTCCATTGTGCCGCGCCACAGCCCCTCCGCCCTTTACTCAAGTTAGACCCTGCGAGTGTCGCAGTCGAGGTCGTGGTTGCAGGAGAAGATGGGCGCAGGATTTGGGATCGAGAGGGGGCGCGTTGGCTCTCAAATTGACATGAAGATGCAGAATCAAGGGCGCAGTGGAGAGCTGGTGAGTTTCTGGTGAATTGTACGTGCAACGTCGAGTGCTGGGGGCACCGCACTGGCAATTCCTAGGGGCGCACTGGGCAGGGCAAGTCCTGCTGCCGGCAATGTGCAAGGGCGCTGCCCGCGACTTCCTCTTGCGACTGCTCACAAGACCGTTCGTTCAGCTTCGTTACGTCGTGGATCGCGTCAGGTCGTGTCGGGATCGCACCCATGTCCAGGTCGGAGATGAGCCGTAATCAAAGTGCAGATGAAACACCTCGACAACCGGTGTTTACGAGCTTCCTTTCCGGGTCAATGATGGTCACTCCGATTGGTTGCACGCGTCACCGAGGAATCTACTGTGACAGCCAGTGAAGGTGGAATCCAATCCGGCCTCAGAAACACGTTGGAGAACTCTCCTCATGTCGTCTCATTATTCAATCCTATCTCAGGACGGCACAGGCAGGACCAACGCCATGTCCAACTAGCTCAATTGCACCCTCTAGAAAGAAGCTCGGGTGTAGACGCCTCACAGTAGCGACCCCGCGATAATCAATCGACAAACTCCACCATAACCGTTCCATTCTTCAGACCGGCGCTCTCAATGGTCTCATGTCGAGCATCCATCAGGTTCTTCCCCATTGACACCAACTCGAACACAGAGCCGGCCTTGCCTTCTAGCGGGGCAGCCTTGAGGTATTCATAGATTCGTTGCACAGGATCCTGCTCTGCAAACCGTCGAACAATCCGGCCACCGGGGTGCCGAATCTGCACTCGAGTTACACCCGGTCCTGCAGCCGGCTCTGTATGAGGACGATCTGACGGGATCTGTGCAAAAGCAGCCCCGTCTGCAGTCTCCTCTGTGCCGTTCTTGTCGACGTCCATTGAATCGTCATTAGTGACCGTTTGAGCGCTCCGCAAGTCTCCGACACTTCGAGTCAAGTCATCGGGATCTTCAGCCGGCGCCGCTTTCTGCTCTTCGTTCTGTACGGCGAGACTGGCTTGCAATGCTCTCTCCAGCATCTCTTCCTCCGTGAGCTGGTCGACCGGCTTCTCTTTCTTAGCTTCGGATCTCCGCTTTGCGACTGGATTCCGCGCATGAGTATCAAGACTGTATCGATCCAAGAACTCATGTAGTTGCATCAAGAACTCTGGGGCGGGAGGAACTTTGCGTGCCCAGAGTTTGATTTGCTCGCCTGTTCGGGGATCGACGATGGCAACATGAGGGTACTCGCGCGTAAGCTCATAGTTCGGAAAATAGTATTGCACGTATTGTGACGCTCGGGGGTCGTCCTTGTTGTACTGCAGGAAGAGGAAGTTTTCCCGAACAGTCTCCACGATGCCCTCGTTCTTCCACAAGTCGCGGTTCAGTGCCTGGCAGTCGAATATCGAAGGATCTTGTATGTCGACTAGTAACCACCTCTTCTGTTCTTTGCCCTCAGCTCTTGCATTCTCCCACTCGCCCTTGTACATCAGATCCCACGGTGGTTGGAAGAGCCTGGCAAGTCGAGTCGATCTCGCAGAAGCCTCTGATGCTCCACCAGTGGATTCTGAAAGGGCGTCTGGGCTGGCATAAGCATCTTGATCCCAGATGGAGGTTGGCTGATGTTGATTGAAAATCCCAGTGCGGGCTATTCCTGCGTTAGTTGGAACCACCGCGCAAGAATGACTGGAATACTGACCTTGATGTCGTCTCCTCTCAATAGCTTGCATTCGTTCTTCTACAGCCGAGGAATATGTGGGACCGCCCATTGCTGCAAGACCACCTCCGTATCCCCCGACCAGCGTCTCGGCTTGCCGAGCAATGGGGGCCCGTACATCTTCCTCCGGTGCGCCTGCACCGTACATTTCGTTTTGTAACCTGCGTGCCATAGCCTCATCGTCTTCGAAGGCTGCGACTGGTCTTTGTGTTGTCTTTCGAAAACCAGTGATTTCTGGATCATTGTCGTCTGAGATGGTCTCTTCAGCGTCGATGTCTATAGGATCACCTGCGTCACCGGTGTGATGTGGGGCTGTGGCAGGGGGAGGCCGTGATGACGGGCCTGACGGCGGTCCAGCAAGGTCGACGCCACCGTTTTCGAAGAACAATTGAACTGCTTGGTTGGGGTCGCCATCAGCGAGTTGAACGTATTGCGCAGCCAGTTCCGGGGTCGTCCCGCAGACTGCCACCACGGTGGCAATGGCTTCATCCATCTTTAGAAGGGAGGTTCAGTCCGTGGTGATCAGTGAAGTTGGAGACTCGGTGGTTGCAGGCAGTGAAATAAATGACTCCCCTTCTTGAGCCGTTAACGATCGGAAAGTGGTCATATGAGAGTGGAAGATGTCGTTATTGCAGAAGACGACGACGAAGCAAGTAGCGAAAGGTAGGAGATGCCATGTGTCAGAGCAAACTGGAGTAGCCACCCTGCTGGTGTTGTGAGGCAAGTCAAGCACGAGGCACCGCACAAGTGACAGGGATGGAGAGGCACAAGGCACCGCTGCCTATGACGAAAACCCACCGGGCCGACATCACACCAAAGCCGGCTACAGTCACGGTCAAGGTGGACGGCAAACTCGCCAAGCTTCAGGCACAAAGGAGCACTACGGCGGAGTGCAATGCCACAGGGAGTGCGCGTGGGGGCTTGCGTGGCTGAAGTTTGCGGGCGAGGCTGGGGAAGCCGCGGTTGAATCTCGCCTGCACGCTAAGTCGCGCCTGCCTACTTAACGCGTCTTTTTCAAATGACTGAGCGAGTCGCGCCTTCCCATTATCTTAAATCCGCGTCCCTCGTGCCTTCCTCAGCAGCTCGTACAACCACCACCACCGCAACAAAAGCAGCGACGACCATTCCAGATGGCTGCTACAGTTCTTGGGAAGCGATCTCGCAAGGTCCTTGATGCAGAAGGTACGCAATGTTTCCCGCCCACCCGGATTTTATGAATGCAACTGACCGAATGTGTCTGCAGATGTCGCCAATGTACCTCCTTCTCCCAAGAGACGAACGCGACGCTCAGTACCTGAGATATATGAAGATGCATCTCCAGAGCAAGGGACGAATACAAGGCCCGTCACAACACGTAACAGACAGTCGAAGCGTACCGTTCGAGACAGTCCTGTAAATCTTGTCGAGAATGATATTCGACTCTCGGACGAAAACCTGCCGCCGTCCAATGTCTCAACTCCAACAGCTGCTCGCTTTAAGGACGTCTTTGCTGTCGCCCCCAGTACCCCGAAGCACCGCGTCCGCCTTTCGGGTAGGCTCCTTACGCCTCAATCGTTGCGATCATCTACACCAAAGTCACAAAATGTGTATTCCCGAGCTCGACAGTTGTTCACCCATGCCAGTAATGGAAATATTATTGGACGAGAGGCAGAACGAAACCATTTGAAGAAGTTCATTTCCAAAGCCTTTGAATCCAAAACTGGAGGCTGCACGTATGTGAGCGGGCCGCCCGGCACTGGAAAAAGTGCACTTGTCCAGGAGATCATGCACGAATCTTCAGAGCCACACGTCCGGACCGCCATCGTCAACTGTGTCTCGTTAAAATCTGCCAACGATGTACTCGTCCAACTCAACAGCGCATTCTGTTCAACCAAGGGCAATGCCAAGTCAACCAAGACTAGCCTGGCAAAACTCTTCACGACCACAAAGGCGAACTCCAGCATGTATCTGGTGTTGCTTGACGAGATTGACACGCTGCTCCATGGTGACTGCGATATCTTGTACAACATCTTCGAATGGGCCATGCATCCCTCCTCATGTCTCATCCTGATCGGCATCGCCAATGCTCTGGACCTGACCGATCGGTTTCTGCCACGTCTGAAGCTGAGAAATGTCAAACCACAATTACTACCATTCCTGCCGTACTCTGCACAGCAAATTTCGACCATCATCTGCGAAAAGCTTCGTTCTCTTATACCAGGTGGGACGGCCGGTGGGTCGGAATTCATCCCATTGATGCATCCCGCAGCCGTTCAACTAGCTGGCAAGAAAATTTCCTCTCAAACGGGTGATCTGCGAAAGGCATTCAGTCTGGTCCGTCGTGCTATTGACCAGATCGAACAAGAAACCTTGTTGAAGACGAATCAGGAACAGAGTATAACACCAACCAAAACAGCTCTCAGCGAAATCCGCAATATGGGCTCAAGCATCGGTACTCCATCACCTTTCAAGGACCAGCGTTCGGTACTCGGACAGCTCACCTTTGAGACCGCACCAAGAGCGACAATTGCACATGTGGCCAAAATTGCGGCAAGCATTTTCAACAATGGGACTATTTCTCGTTTGAGCGGCCTCAACTTGCAACAGAAAGCAGTGCTATGTTCGCTGGTGGCTTCTGAAAATCGGCAGTTCCGCCGTGATCCTTACACCACTCCTTCCAAGTCGTGGTCAAAAGTACCTACCGTAAAAGAGTTGTTCGAGAAATATGCTGCTTTGTGTAAGCGTGACGAAGGATTGTTGCAACCGCTCAAGAACACTGAGTTTCGGGATGTGGTGGCCAGCTTGGAGACTCTGGGATTGGTGCAAGAAGCATCCGGGCGAACGTCAAAGCTGCTCACCCCTACTAACACACCTTCTAGATCTGGAAGAGGAGGAATGGATGACAAGCTGGTGGTAAGCGCTGTTTCAGAAAAGGAAATGCGAGACAGCCTTACTGGGCCGGGCTCTGATTTGCTTTTGAGATTACTTGACGAAGAATGATCGCGTAAGGGGTGGACTTTTGGTCTCGATGTTGCATGGTGCTGGCGTTTACCGGGCTATTATCTGCACGAAGCGAAGGAGTGTGTCGTGTCTCGGATTTCTGACCGTGCATCTTGCTCCGACCTCCGCCACAAGCGACGATAGGAGTTTGAATACCACAGTCGTTATGTTTGCTTCCAGCGCCCCGTGCGCCGTAGCTCTGGATGACAGCGTTCGGTGCTCAATTGCGTCCTGCAAGATATGATGTCAGTTGTGACTGGTGATTGCGCGTCCCCCTCGTACACGTGGTCCACTTCGGGTTACATGAGGGGAATGCCACAGCAGCTAGGAATTAATCACCAGCTAGTACCAAGCTTTAGGCCAAGCTTTATTGGAGAGCTAGCCCTGCCATGCTTATTGCCGCCCCGGACCCGGTCAAGGGCGAAAGGGCCCCATAGGCAATTCCGCAAGCCCATATCACTCATTGGAGGAAGCCTACAGGCGTGCGTCAGCCATGCCCCAAAGCCTAATTAACTCATTCGCTCCTGCCACCCACCATGCCGCCGTGGGCTGATGGCGCCCCAACCTGCTCGTCGGCTCCTGCGGATTCATGTTGCTAAGCGAACTGCCAAAATTGCCTGCGCTGTCCTTCATACCATCTCTCGTTCCTTAGTCTATCTCGCATGAATGTATGTTTACCTATTGTGGACCGCCATATCCTCACTCAATGCGCCCTTTTAGCTTCGGTATGCCATCGTAGTCAACACCTGCACACACGTTCCATATAGATCAACCGCAACAACTGAGCACCACCCAATGGCGGACACTGATTCCGAGGCACCCGTCCTGCGCAAGGACGGAGTGATCCCTCACCAAGCCGACAAACTCGGACCTAAATTGGCCGAACAAACAGAGAAACTCGAGCAGGTATATCGCAGCGCAGCCGGCGCCGACACTTCCGACAAGAAAGAAAAGAAGGGACCAGCGGGCGGCTTCGATGCCACGCCCGTACCAAGCGCACCGCCTGGTTACACGGTCAAGATTACATTCCACAAAGCGGAGAATCTGCCCTTTGCAGATTTTGGCACTCTGTCGTCCGATCCATATGTTCTCGCGATCCTCCAGACGCAGCTGCCTAAGAGGCATAAACAGGATCCAGATTTAAAGTTGAGGACGCCGACGATACATCGGAACACAGACCCGGAGTGGGAGACGGAATGGATTGTTGCGAATATTCCCGCAAGCGGCTTCCATATGAAGTGCAGACTATACGACGAGGATCCCGCTGACTCTGATGATCGGCTCGGCAATGCACACGTCGATGTGCCTCATATTGACGACAACTGGAAAGGGTTCTCGCACAAGAAGTTCCAATTGAAGAAGCGCATGGCCAGCAAAAGAGCCTACACGCTCCGTGGATGCGCCGCTCTTATCTCTAGGAAAGTGAAGTTGCACGGAGACCTTATCGTCAGTGTGGAGAATTTAGGCAGGACCGACGCAGAGGACGGTGGTCGCGCGTACACCCTCAGCCCTTTACCATGGTCGCAACACCACTCACCCTTGATCGGGCGGATAACAGGTACCAAAAACACGGAACAAGGCAAAGACGGGAAAGAGGTACAGCGGTATAAGTGAGCAAATTTTCACTGCTCTTCCTTTAACAGACACTGACTCAACGACAGCTTCCAATCCATTCAAATGCAATTCCGCGGGCCCGTCCCGGCAGAGCTCTATCACCGCTACGTGGAATTTCGGCCCTTTGTAGCCGGCATGTTCACCTCGCACAGCATCCGTGGGCGGCTCCTGAATCGCGCTTTACACCACCAGCACAGCCGGATCTACAACTACGATCGCACGACAAAATACGGCTCCTTTGCCGAACCGTGCCTCGAGATGACGAATCAGTTTCTTGATTTCGTCCATTACGACGAAGGAGGACGGATTTTCACATACGTCTTGACCCTCGATGGACAATTTCGTTTCACAGAAACCGGGAAAGAGTTTGGAATCGACCTGCTAAGTAAACATACCATGCACAGCGACGTGAGCATCTATATCGCCTTCTCTGGAGAGTTCTTCATCCGACGCGTTAAGCATGCCAAGATGCACAAGGACGATGCAACAGTTGATCCTCAGAAAGAAACACACCCACCATCCACACCACCCGACGAAGAACAAAACGACAATGAGGGAGGTTCGGGCAGACCATGCACGGGTACAAAATTATGTTCGAGCCTAGGTTGTCCGTGTCAAACAAACAACGCACCTTCCTCTCCTTCGCCTCAACCTAACGGCAACAATATAAAACCCGAGAAGGACAGAGACCCGACGCACTACCAGCTCATCATTGACAACGACAGCGGCACCTACCGGCCCAATGCAGAAAAGCTCCCTCTTCTAGAGGAATACCTCAGGGCAAGCCTTCCAGGCCTGAAGATCAAAACGCTCGACTGCCAAGCCGACGCGGAGGTCCAACAAGCTCTCAAGAAGGAACAGAGGGAGAAGAAAAAAGCAACTGCCGGAGGGAAACCCGTCATGTACATGCAGAACCTCAGCTTGTCAAGCTTGAGCAGTTCTGACGAATCGGATTTAGACTCGATGGCCGAAGCCGGCGAGGATCGGCCCCCGAAAGAAAGTCGGTACAAGAGGGAGATGCACAAATTCATGGACGGGGGACGAGATGAGCATCATGGCGATGCAGTTGACGATCAGCAGGTCAACGCGGAGAGGATTCTCCACGATCGTGGCGTCGATGGCACAGCAGAACACGAGAAGGGCGAGCAACAAGCCACCCCTGCTCATGCTGCGGAAGGCGGCGATCTGAACGCAAAGCGGTAGTGGCGCTCGAATCGCCTGATCCCCAGAAAAAGGAGCATCGAAGTCGACTTGAAATTCTTGTGGCCAAGAATTAAACTTGCGTTTACGGCGCAAGCGGCTCAGCCCGATCAGGTGCAACACTGGTAGCATTGAGGACCTTGTGGGATGAAATCGAGAACTTTTGCAGACTTCAATTCAGCGACCTATTGTTTTTGGGGTTTGTGAGTCCGTACAAAGATAGCGACGAGATGAGATAAGATGAAAATTGATACCCTTTGCGCGTGCGAGTAATGGTACCACAGTACTCCGTATTGGAAGTTTGATTGAAACAGACATATAGTACCTACCTGGTATGTTGACACTTTCCCCTCGTTCTGCAGACTCAGCCCACGCGATCCCCTGCCATGCCATGCAAGGTGTCGTGTTCTTCTCTGTACGCGAACATCACGATCCATCTGACTGTGTGTGCACATGTATGCGGACTGTGGGGTTGTACGTATATACCCTTTTGGGAGGCTCTGTAATTTAGGCGAGCAGTTGATCGAGGTGAAAGGGGGAAGGCGATATGTGGGTGAGATGGGTCCGACCAGTGCTGTACAGTAACTTACCTAGGTACAGTACGAGCAATGGTGCAGGTATATTATGGTCAAGATGACTTGGAAAGGTGTTTCTCCTTTCATTGTGAAGGGTGCTTACTGCGGCTGGAGGCCGATCCTTGGAACATCCTCTGTCGACCTTCATTCTTTCACTATGGTCTCGTCCCTATCTATCCCATTCGGCCGTTCAAAGCATAAGCACTGTGTGTCCCACTCACAGGTTCACATATCCACCGTGGTTCAGCTCCTGCATTCCTTCCATTGACTTTTGTGTGGCAGGGGCTTGTGGCATCAAGCTACATGCCCGAACCTTTGAGACCCCATGCCGACATCCATATATACTCCAGGTGTTTGAGATTGTCCAAATCTCCCTGCCAAACACCGCGCTTGTCCTGTAAAAGTCGACGTTGCCACCCTTTGGCCCCTTCTGCTTCCGTCAGATAAGAGACGTTCAATAGCTTTCACGTCTCCGCTTCTCCTCAAGGTCCGCTAGTACCTTGCCGGTAGCTTCGACGATCAGGGCCCACTCTGTTTCGTGGATTCTCTCCTCGAGTTCCTCTCGGGTTTCTCCCGACTTGATTTCAACTTCCCTGACCAGGATGGGCGCTCCTCGGTCGACTTGGTCGATCACATAATGGACCATGACTCCTGTCTTCGAAATCTCGCCCCTTTGAAATGCCTCGTATGCTCGACCTATGGCGTTTGCGCCATCAAATTGTCCCGGTAATGCTGGGTGCAGGTTGATGATGGGCACGTTGGCCGAGGCTAGGGCGTTGACGAAGCCTGGGGATAAAATATGCATCCAGCCTGCACAGACGACCAGATCCGGGCACGGAATATGCGTGAGAATCTTCTGAGCCAAGTCTGCATCATATTGCTTCCGCGCGGCTGTTATACCGGCCTCTGTATCCGGGAATTTCTTCTTGTACTGCACCAGATTGTGGTACGTGGTGAATATGCCCGCGTCTTGGGCACGAACCAACCCTTTGGCTTCTTTACGATTTGATATGACGTGGCCGATGCGAGCGTTTGGGAGGACTCGGTGGGAAGTTGATCGATCTTTCGAGGAAGGAGCTTGCCCACAAGCGTCAATGAGCGCCTGGAGGTTCGTACCGGAGCCGGAGATGAGAACGGTCAAATTGAAGGACGTGGAGGCGCTCCATTTCCGGGACTGATCGGTCGACACGGGCTTTGAAGACATGTTGCCGCTACCGTGGCTCGTGACTATGAGCAACAAGGAGAGCAGTAGGTAGCGAGAAGGGCAGAGATAGGTCGACGAGGAATTTTAGAGCGTCGGCGACGACCGGGTCAACAACGGTGGTCGCTTGTCTATCCTGCACTGCCCATTTGTATGTGCGCGAAGAGACAGATGAGGTGAGAGACAAGCGACAGGTGCGACATCTGGGCTGCGACAGACAGACGGAAGCGGCGCAGGGCTTGTGGAAGCGTGTGAAAGTGCTACAAGTACATGTAACTCAGGTGGGGTCCTGCCCGGGTGGAGAGGCATAGAGAGGGGATGGTCAAGACTCGAGAGCTTGCCCTGAACGACAGCGGAACAGGAACCAGCCGCGCCCCAGCCAGTAAGCATATGCATTGACGTGCTTTAGGGCTGTAGGCTTGCCTAAAAACCCGGGTGAGGCGCCGGGGATCAAGTGTTCGCGCCTAACCTCCCCGGAAGTGACTGTTTAGCGCCTGGGCTCGGGTACGTACCTCGTACCTGCGGGCAGCTTTTTCTTGTTCTCAGTCCCTTCAGCTCATGATCTTCTTCGTCACACCACAGCTCGGCAGTGCCTCTGGACTGGTTTGGCAGCCGATCCTTGCTCAAGCGCATGCAGGTAGTTTCTCTCGAGCTTCCTCAGGAGAAAGACCCATTTCTACGTCGCGTGCTCGTTACGGAGTACAGGCATTATTTGAGCTCATCTTCTAGACGTCCTCGAGCCACCCGTCATCCAGGCCAATGGGCCGAGATAGACTCACTTCACGCATGGGGAAAGTACCTCAGAGGAAGAATCCCGGCACCCATCCTGGGCGTCCATCGCTTCTTGGATTTTGACGGACTGCATGCCATCGTTCCAGCCTCACATCATCTTGCACCGGGAAGTGTATCCTGGGGCCACTCCACCGCGGCAATCGACGGCTTGGAGATCGCTAAATTCTCGACACCAGGCAGAATAATCGGAAGAAGACGGAGTCCGAGAAGTCGCCATGCCATGCAGAGAGCAGCGGGTCGAATGCACGCCCTAAATTGGTACAGCTGTCACACTCTCATTGGGCCTCTTTCCAAATGAATGAACGACCGACAGATAGCCGCAAGATCTGTTAGCATCCGCAACCTGTTTTTCGTGATCGAAGCTAACCTGCGGCCTGAACGATACTCCCCCAGCACAAGCGTCCGTGAATTGGGACGAAGATTCTCAGGCACGCCGGATCGAAGCTTGATGTGGTCGCTACTGAAGTTCCCTGTTGTGACGTCACCTTGATCGCACAGAAGGTCATCGCAACTATTCAATCAACAGTGCAGGCGGCTCCCTGTTCCTGCTTATCTGTCCGTCCGAGGTCCGGGGGTTGGACTTCGGAAGAAGACACATCTCACTGTAGCAGGGTCTCTCTGCCATGGCATTTCAGACAGACCGATCATATCTAGGCTGGTCAAACGTCATCGGCCCCATCCCCAAGCCAAGCACGAAGAGAAATGCTCCCTTTCTTCACCAAGAGACACAATCCTAACTTTTCTCATTTCGTGCTGCTCAAAGCACACCGCCCGGCCACGGAGCATCGTCCCTGATGTTCTCAAACTTGTTGTGGCGTCCGTCTGTATAACACATCTTCCACTGACTCAAATCCAAGCCCTCCTGCGGCTGCTCCAGCGTCACCACGTTGAACTGAAAGAACTCGATCGTCTCTCCCTTCCACTCGAAGCTCCCCTCCGCGGCTACATGGATGCCGCAGGTGCCGCAGAAGTATTTGTGCACGTTGTGTTCAGGATTCATGCGATAGTCCTTGCACTCAGAGAACGAAGACAGGGAGATCAAGTGGAAGTCCGAGCGTGGCAGCCGAATCCCCGTGTATCCCTGCTTGAGGCAGATTGTGCAATTACAGCGGCCGGCCCGGGGGTTGTCGAGCCGAGACTGGGGGATGGCAACGGTGTATGTGATGAACTTGCAGTGGCAGGAGCCGTGGAATGTTCTTTTGATGTCTTCTTGTTCGGGCGTCGACATTTCGGAGAGGGCTTGCAGAGCCACGATGGTAATTGTGTAGATGCGGTCTGCGATGCGGTGCTTGGTCTGTGCAAGCGGTAGACCGTCCTGGTCCAGTAGTCGGACCGACCAAGACTCACGATGGGTAGTACACGCTAGATATACTGTGTACTTCGACCAGAGCTGAATGGTGCCAGCGTGTCGTCTTCTGTATCTTGGATGGTAGATCAATATAAATATATTACTCGGTAATCCGTGTACGCAGTTTCTATATTGCCGGAGTCTTGGTGTCCCTAAGTCCTATCGCTGATTGGGCGGTCCAAGGCCGTAGGGGGCTGGTGCCTATTCTGTGCCTGGAAGCATTGCCGTCAATTACCGATTATCACGAACGGCCGTCACCTGTCGACGCGCGGGCTAAGATGCTGTGAGGGTAGCCATGCCGGGGTCACCCGGCGAGCGAACATGAAACCAGCCACGTGGCGGGTGAAAAGGAGGCGAGAAGCGAGCGGCGTAACAAACCGCCCGCCATGCTCGGTCCTTGTACCGATATGACGATGTACTTCCTGCATCGAAGTCTCCACAAAGGAGGTTCTCCTCCCTGACGTATACTTCGTACGTCTGTGTCGTATCTGGCGGTACCTTGGGTAGCTGACCGGCCTCATACATGTGTAACGCACCTACTGCGTCCTTCGTATCAAGGTAGCCAAAAGCCAAACGTGTTCTCCTCTATTGACACACCGACGGAGTAAGTCCCATCCGACTAAACCGGTAGACCTGTGCAGGATGCCACCCTCGGGCCTCGCGATCTTGCTGGGCGCCGGTCCCACCACCGGAGCGGGCATCGCCCGCGTGCTGGCCCGTCCCTCCCAAGGAAATCTCGCCGTCGCGCTCCTCTCACGCAGCGGCGACACGGCCCTCGCGGACCGCCTCTCCCGGGAGTCCGGGGGCGGTGTGCTCAAGGCGTTCAAATCCGACACCGCGGAGACCCGCCTGACCGACGCCTTCAGCGAGGTCCGAAAATGGGCGGCGTCCTTCGACGACGGGGATTCCAAGCTGAAACTCAAACTCGCCATCTGGAGCATCAAGCATAGTCACAAGACGGCGTTCGAGGAGGAGACCTCGTCCCGCTTTGGCGATTCGTTGCAAGTCTACGTCACGGGCGCGATGGTGTTCAGCCAGCTCGCCTTGAAGTGGTTTTTGGAGCAGTACCCCCACGACAGTGCCGGGAACCCTGGAAGCGGCGAGGAGGAAATGGTCAAGAAAGGGACTTTGATCTTCACGGGCACGTTGGGCGCGTTGAGGACCAACGCCGGGTACGCGGCCTACGGCGCGGGTAGGGCGGGAGTCAGGATGTTGGCGCAGAGTCTGGCGAGGGAGTACTCGGCCAGGGGGGTGCATGTTGTGCATGCGATTGCGAATGGTGGGATTGTGGATGCTGACACCTCTTCTGCGGCGGGTGATGATGATGCGGAGACGAAGGAGAAAAAGGGTAAAATCTTGCTAGGAGAGAGGATACGGGCGGAGAGTGTGGGAAGGTTGTATCTGGATTGTATGCGGCAGAGCTGTGACTTGTGGGTTCATGAGTTGGATATGAGGCCTGCGAGGGAGAAGTTCTGATGGGCATAGGGAAAGGGACGGGCTTTTGTGATGCGTGATACGGAAGCCGCAAGATGCCTCTAACCAGGGACAAATATGAGACATTGAACGATACGTGAGATGCCTCATTGTGATTGATCGTGAGTCCAAGGGAAGGGATATGAAAACTTGTGTCTAAGCGAGGAACTCCGCTGGCAACCAGAAAGGCAAGGGCGGGACCTGGGAACCGCTCGAATCTCTCGAATGAATATCATAACAGCACAGACTACATAGTATTCTCATACGCCTGAACTATCTGACTTCCGCCGCCGTCCTCTGGGTGAGGGTGACTGCTGTAGAGTCTTTCTGCACGCGTGCCTCTGCGTTGATAACTCTGATGGAGACGGTCATCAAGCCTGAGGCTGTTTCCCATGAGTCTGTGTTGATGCCTCCAGGCGTTATTAGTATACGCCTCTAGGTTGACAGGCTATAACGCGTCCGTGGTATTTAATGGACATAGCCCTTTGTAGCTATATACCTAGTACCAGGTAGGCATTCGTTCGAACTCCTTCATAATATCCTCCGAATCGGGTAATAGTCCACCGCCCATGAACTTGAAATCGTTGACGAAGAGTAGCGTGTCTTTTGTTTCATCGGATACACGACTCGCTTGGTCGCACGGGACTTGGTCTCTCATTCCGTCACTATCCATCGGCGCTTTAGGCTTTCGAGCTGTTAAGGGCGTTCCTTCCGCTGATCTAGGCGCAGAAGGTAGCTGGGATACATAGCCTGAGTCTTGCGGCAAGTAAGCGGTGGGCCCAACGGTTGAGAGATCCACAGACGTTGGGGACCAAAATCGGCGCTTAAAGTCACGGGCCTCTTCGGGTTCAAAGTCATCCTGCTGGTATAGAGTTAGCAAGTTCGTTATTTCACGGGTGAGGTGGCTATTGGCCTGCGGTGACTTACCTCAACCGGGCGTTTTGGTGTTCGAGGGGGGGAGGAAACAACAGCTAGATCCGCATAGTCGTCGCCCTGGAAGTCCTCCGAAAACACCTTGCTAGCTACGTCCACTAAAGTTGGGAGCTCAACTGAGGCCAAGTCTACTGTCTGTCGGATATCTTCCAGGCTACGGGTCATCGGAATGATATAACCTGACCCAAAGGCATCAGAGGCGATGACGTGTCCGTAGACTTCAAGCCGAGATGGATTGAGGACCCAAGACCCTGAATCGCCGTCACGAATTTCTGCACATCGGGTCAGCCGAGTGGACACTCCGTAGGCGTGTGGACTTACCGGCGCCATTTTCCAAATTCAAGGTGTACACATCCACAAACTCTTTGCCGTAACCTAGCCAGACTCGACAGGGTAGAGACGACATCACTCCGGACTGGATCCCTTGCACACCACTCTTCATGACGACTGAGAATGTTGCTGAATCCATGAGATCGACGACGCCCACTTTGAAGTCCCCTGCACGGTATTGGCGATGACCGCCTTCGAAAGCTCCAAAGCTGTTCGGTCGGAACGCATGCCGGTCGTCAAAGCCAATCAGTGCCCAATCATAATCCTGTGGGTTCCGAGGAAGCTGCGCGGCGGATGGAGCAATGAACTGTCCTACCCTGTGCCACGACGAGGACAGATGATTTTCAGGCGACGGCCGTTCGTCAAGGCCACACGCCGGTCCGAGTACAGGAGGCTGGGGTGTCTCAAATGGGTCGTCAGGGTCGCTGAGGTCCTCGTCTTCATCTTCGTCCTCGTGGTCCCAATGGTCACTGTCGCGATCGCTGTCGTCCTCACTTGCCGCTAGATGTAGAGAATGTACGCCATCCCATCGATTTGTGAGGTGGCGGGCAGTCATACCGTACAAAGCATAATCACCGTCGTGAAAAGTCAGCTTGATAAGACCCCCACAGGTTCCGAGCTGGTATTCATCGCCGTTGACAAGCTTGATCGGTGCGCCACACAGTGTTGTAATCGGACCCGGAGGATCCATGGGATCCCTTATACAGACATCGATTGCAGCGCCTCTGGTCTTTGGAGATTGGCCGACCACCAAAACGTCAAAGGAAGGGATTGATGAGTCCTCTGGTCGGATGACGTCCTTCACGTGTTGTTGTTCGAAGTACTTTCGGGCCCGTTTGGCACCAGTCTCGTGGCATAATACCACAATCCAGACTTTGGCGGTTTCCTCAGTCTGTCCCAGCACCATCAGCCTCAACGCCATCGGCTCACGCCTTACTGATCGCTTTTTCATGTGGCGGAGCAACGGCGCTTCAACCCGCTCGAGGACATCTTTGAAACGAGCGATAGTCGCTGCGTCGACCGGCTTGTTGAACTCTTGCAAGTTGCCCCTACCAGAGGGAAGGAACAGCACTCGGCCAGCACCACCGCCGCTGTCAACGGAACACGGCTTGGCGGTCTTTTCGAGGGGTTTCGGGGTCAGTGACGCGCTGCCATAACCAGAGTCTACAGGCGGGCCTGCAGGTCCATCGAAGGCTGAGCTCGCATCTCCTGTCTGGGTACTGATCGGACGGGGTTGCGGCACGGTCGTGCCTTCAAGAGCAACGCCGCCCTTTATCGACGTCATTTTCTTCCCAGCTTCTCACAGACCTCAAAACTGGAGATTAGAAATTCTCGAAAAAGGAGAAGTCGTCACTTTCACGCTCCTCCAGTTTCTGATGGAGAAGTGGCAGGTGCCCAAATGATATTTCAACGGACAGAGATCATGAAAAGCCTGATGGGCACCGTGGCTTCGCGCCAGCGGACACAGCCACCACTGGATGTTTCGTGGCCAGCCAGCCGCCCCCAGCGAATGACGAGGGCAAATAACAGCCAGCCGCGACATGGGCTTGGTCTCCCATGAAAACGAGGCATATTGGACACAAGCTGCGCCCCAACGGCTAACGTAGTTCTCGACATTCATGACCGAAACAAGAGCGCTCGACAGCTCCTCGCCGTCCTGGCCCTGCACTTTGTTCGGCAGGATGATATTCTCGCGGTCACCGTTCCCTTTGGAGGACGTTTCAGATCAACACCTCCAGCAGCTGTGCGAGGTGCTCTGGAGCTGGAAAATCTGTCTGCGCTGCAGAGCTGGCCAAGGCTGCACAGTGCCAGAGTGCCCATGGCCACGATCCCTCCGCCTGGCCCGATATTTCGCATTCTACAAGGACATTACGGCCAGCTACGTCCCTGAGTTTCTCCCCGGTTGTCATCCTGCCTTGAGAAGTCATGAGGATCTGTTCGAGATCATCCGAGCGCTGAAGACCCAGCCTGATGTGCCCCGTTCACAGCTGACACAGCACTACTTCTCAAATAGAGACGGTGGCAATGCTCCTCTGCCACCCGTTGCCGACCAGGACAGAGCTGTCAATCTCGCGGTCAGAGCTATGACCATGATTAAATGCTCTGCAGACAGGCAATCTTCGGATTCCCTCGAATTAGGAATCAGACCTCTACAATGGCGGCAGGAAATCTCGCTCTCTCAGTTTCTCAGGGAAGCATTCCCGAAGACGAACCACCCTGCGCTCGGCGAGAAGGACAACACAGGCAGCTCAGTAGAGATCAAGGCCAACCTGACGGCACAGAGACTCAAGAAGGTCGCCGGCCTGAAGTTCCAGCCGACGAACGATCTTAGAGAACATCTGAAGCTCGACCAAAAGCTTGGAGTTGTGCTGATCTTCGACCACACAGCTTTCCTGACCGAACACCTGATTGCGAGCCGGTCTATCTCCACGAATGCCTCTGCCGGCCAAGCCATCGAGTTGTAGGTGCCTTCGGGCCCCCGAAACGAAGATAACCAGTGCAGGCTGACCTTTGCAGAGGAAACCTTCCACGCCAACTGACGCTCGAATCCCTCGACTCTGTACAACGAATCCTCTTTCCGCCGGACCTACAGTCACAGTCCCTCCTGCGGTCGCTCGTCTCCAAAGCCGGTTTTGACCCTGACTGCATGCGCTTTGAGTCCGCTCCTCACCGCTCCGACAGCGAGAACGACATCGTGTACCAGCATTTCTGTGCTAAGCTCATGGACCTCTACGACGAGCTCCTCAATCCGACTCCACGCAGCGTGGTTGACAAATGGGTCGAGAAAAGAAGCGGCGCCAGGCACGTCATGATGGCGACGCTCGTCGGCGTTATCATCGCCATCTTTCTCGGAATACTCGGCCTTGCTGTTTCCATCTTCCAGGCATGGGTCGGCTATCAGGCCTGGAAACATCCCCTACCCAACGTCTGAGATTACACCATGTCTGAGCAGGCTTATTTCATTCGCCTCACGCTGCTTCGCCTTCGAAACACCTCATGCTCCCTGTGTTCTGCACCCACTCGGGTCGTAATCGAATAGAGTCTCCAACTCCAGAGCACATTACGAAACTCCCGGGGTACAACTTCAAGAGTTCCCACATTGCCAACCACGAGATAGGGCATTGCAGCGAGCGGCTACCGCAGCGCGGTGCGCGACAGTCGCCCTTCGCCATCCGCGCGAGGGAAGGTGTGCTGTGCCTGCTATAATATACGGCGGGATACCCGAAGTATCCCGCAGGACGCTGTGACTAAGTACCGCTGCCACAGAAGAGAAGATTCTCAATTTAGCGAAAAGTGCTTAAGCGGGAAAGTCGATCGCAGTCAATGCTTATCGGGCTAGGAAGAAGCTATAAAGACGTGTGATGAGTTTCGTTGCACCTTCTAACCAGTTTACGTTGGTGGACGAGTGGGACGACTTGGCTACCTACGCTACTGTGTACAGGTAGTTAATAATGGCGCTTGTCAACTCGTGGTGCTCTTACCCCGCGCGCCCGCCCGATCCACCGCAGAGCTTCTCTCGGGATCGTTCCACTCCCGATCCTCGATCGTTGGAGCATGATTTAGTGGTGAGCGGGCACGGCACCAAACGCTTCTTGTCGGCTTGACCGATTTTCAATTTGTCGGCTTCGGACCCGGCGTCCAGTCTCGACCATCGTGTACCTGAGACATGCAGCCGTGCTCTGCTGTCATTACTTGCTCGGATCTCGTGGGCTTGCATCAGCACCAGCTGAACATGGGAATCCAGCGAAGCGTCCCAGGTACGACGGTTACGACACAACCCGAACGCTTGCCTATGAGGGGTTCGCCTGCCTTGCACTCGCATCACTGGAGGCTGCGTCCTTTCCTAAGACGGCAGTTTCTAGAGCTCACGGTAAGTCTACTCGAGTGGCCATCAAGCTATCCATGCACAGACAGGCAGCCCAAAGACGGCTCGGTGACAGATGGGAAAGCTATAAACCTAGGATCGGGCCTGCTCTGCTCCTTCGGGTCTCTTTGATCGAAGGTCAAAACGGTAACTTGATACCTGAGCTCTCTGACCCTGATCGAACACTCGCTCTTCACACTCACTTCACTCTCGACTGTCTTTTCGAGCGACAGCTCCATCCTCACAATATCCACCCAGATTGTTACGCTCCCTAAGCTGAATTACTCGCAAACCAGCGGTCAGGATGCGCTTCTTCTCTGTCGCAGCCGTCGGCATCTCGACTCTCCTCCATTTTGCAGCTTCGCAAGACTTGTCGACGCTCCCATCGTGTGCGGTATGTACTGGCCACCACACCGGCGTCGGACAGACGAGCTTACTTCAACGAAGGTGTCGTGCGCCACCAGCGCCATTGGCAGCACAGGCTGCGCAATCACGGACGCCGCCTGCGTCTGCTCGGCGAGCAGTTTCTTGACCGGCGTACAATCATGCATCAGCACAGCCTGTAGCCCCACTGACCAAGCTGGTTCGTGCTCATGAACGATCTTTGCACTTTTCCACTCTCAAAGCCCCCACTGACCACCAGCTCGACAGCGACCCTGGCATTCGCGCAACAGTACTGCGGGTCTGCAGGTGTCACCATCACCTTGCCAACCGCCAGCGCCTCTGCTCCACCTCCTGGACCGACTTTCACATCTTCCGCAACCATTGCTCCGCCTGCAACTCCGGCAACGACTACCAGCTACGCACCGGCGAGTTACTCGGCTGTGAGCACCGCTGTCCCACCTGCCGCGTCGTACACTGGTGCCGCTTCCGCATTGAGACAGCAGTGGGCTGGCCTTGCTGGCGTCGTTGGATTGGGTGTTGCTGCCCTGCTCTAAATATGAGGGAATGGGGCCTTAGTGCCGGATGAGAGGAGACGGAGTGCGGAGAATATAGTTATGAGGCACGCGCGACGACACCGCAGATGACTGCACTATGTGACAGACGAAAAAGGAATGAGACATGAAGCGTCGGATTGTGCGAAGGATATGAGGAGAGGCTGTCGAAAAGAGAGCATATAGCATAATACGAATGAACTCAATCTTTACTAGATGAAGCGGATCCACCCAGAAGATACCTAGGTATTGCGTTGTGTGCTTAAGTAGCTTGCTTGTGCCATTTCTTCCGGTTACGACTACGGAGTACTGTGTACTGAACGTTATGTATAAATGCTAGGCGGGCCCACAGTCATCTAATTCAGTCCTTGTAAGAACTTCGAGTCACTATACAAAATGTCTAGATGTAGAAGCTATAACTTCGAATCCTTCTTCTTGCCGCTCCCACTCCCGTTCTTCCTTGAAATATTTCTACTCGCATCCATGACCAGACTCGCGTGGACCGAGCTAGCGACTAGTTCTCCCTGTTCGTCCCACACCTCGATATCCAAGTCGAAGCGTCCGTTCTTGATGACTTTCGCTTTTACACGGACGAACAGCCACTCCACCCCTTCGCCGGGTAGGAGCTTCTTCACGTCCAGATTTAACGCCAGAGTCGGGTACCAGTACTTTGCTCTCGGCTCGTTCGAGGCGAGGAATTGTTTCAAGTCCGACTGACTGTGCTGGCCTATTGCTGCCTCTTCCACGAAGGGGTTCACATAGCTTTCCACGACCTGAGGGAACATATCCACCAGGAACCCTAGCGCATCGTTGGTCCACCGGCCCACGGCGCCGTCGAAGCGTGGTGTCTTCGGCGTGAAGCGGACCCATTGCTCGACCATCGCGCGAGGTCGGCCCGTCGAACTGTCGGCCGCCGGCTTTCTCTCAGGACGGACGAGGAAGATCTGGATGTTTTGCGCGGCGCGTCGGAAGGAGGGGAACGGATCAGACGCCCGGTGAGTGTAATTCTCGTCATGGCCCTGGGAGGCCAGCAGGGAAAGATTCACCGGCAAGGCGGGAGGGTACAGGTTGTATTGCGTGTCGAGGCTCAACCCTTCTTCCGTGGCTATATTGCTCATCGTGATATACCCCTGCGCTTCATCCTGGTCGGGTCCTTCATCGTTGCTGGCGTCTTGTTTCTGGGATAGAGTGATATGTAGGTTCGATATGCGGGAGCCCAGTTTCACGTCCTTGACTGTGAAAGTCGCAGGGCCGACAGACGTGCGCCGTAAGAACTCGAGATGGAGGTTTATCGGGTGTGGAGAGGAGCGGGCGCGGTGGGTTAGGTACATGTGCTTGCGCGCGACGACGAGGAACGCCGACGTAACGTAGCCTCCATTGGGGACTGTTGGCAGGTTGTGCGTAAGTTCTTGGCCCAAGCCGGCTAGAGTAATCGTTGAGGGTTTACCTGTGCCAATACACCACTCATTTTCAAGAGTGAGAGCATATTGATGCGAGGAAAGTTGCTTGATGGGCAGGACGTCTGCGAAAGTGGGCAAGACCATGGTGGCGTGGCGCGCAACCGGGAAGGACGAGGACAAGATACAAGAACGCTCACAGGAACATGTTCTGTAGAGAGGCTTATTCAGATCTCAAGCAAATGTCACCATACACGTTCGCAGCAGCTTCGCGGTTGCCAGGAGTTCGGGAGTATCCAAAAAACGGCTTCCACCCCAAAACGACAATGAGCCTCGGCATGAGGCGCCCGGTGGGCTGGATCGCTGCACGTCCCTTTAATTGAACTCACTTGATTTGCTTGCTTGCTCTACAATGGTCGAAGTCGTGTTCGATGATGGGGATGAGATAAAGCCCGGGTGTAAAAGTCGTAACACGAGTGGACAGGAGCATTGTTGTGTAGGAGTTGGATTTTCAATTCAGCCCGAACTGATCAACAGGGCATAAAAGTCCTGAGGCAGTCAAAGCAAGAAACAAGAACCCCCCGTTGCACATTCGACCATCAGTGGACACTGGAACAGGCTGCCAGTCAACGGTTAAATCTTCGCCACGCCGTGGACCTGTGGCTGTGCGTTTAGCTTGTCGCAAGCCACCCAACACAATCGCCATGAGTGATGCACAATGACGAGACACGGGGCGAAATACCCCCAGACCCTTCCGTGAGGGCGTGCTCTCAGTGGTGCTTTACCAAGTTTAGCATGCGTGGCATCTCTTGTTTCTTGCATTGTCGCATAGTGGAGTGAGATACTCCATTCTTCCATTCGATAATCTATCTCTTAGCCCGAGGGTGATTGTGTCCTGTTTGCATCTCGAACACCGCCATTGCTCATGGCCGTTGTTCAACCTCACCCTTTCCATATGCGTTGGACTCTGTCACCATTGTACAGATGACCTGCTATTCATACTCCCACCGGCACTCAGTATGAGATATCCTCGCAAAGGCCGCCATGACCCGACAAGCAATGCGCCCAGCGCGCCAGCAAGGCCGCGCCTTCTATCTGACAGCCTTCATCATCACCCTCCTCGCTTTTTATAGCTTCGTTCGAGACTTCAGTCACGGTCCTTCTGCGCAGAGGCTGGCTGTGCGAAGCCTCGAAGCACGCGACCTCGAGGTACCACGATGATCCGTCCAGGACATGTAGATATGCGCAAAGCTAACGCTTGCGATTAGTGTCGGCTCGTCCATCATGCAGAGGACAAGTGCGCCTTTATCACACAGAACTGCCCCGACGAAGAAGCTGGCCTGATCTCCTACCTCCGTCTCTACTACTGCAGCCTGTCCAACGCTCAACCCCTCGCCTTCCTCATCCTGGTAGTATGGGTCAGTCTCCTCTTCAGCACCATCGGCATCGCCGCCTCCGACTTTCTCTGCATCAATCTGAGCACGATTGCGAACATTCTGGGCATGAGCGAGAGCTTAACAGGCGTCACATTCTTGGCTTTTGGCAATGGGAGTCCCGATGTCTTTTCCACATTTGCAGCCATGCGCAGCAACAGTGGTAGTCTGGCGGTGGGGGAATTGGTGGGCGCTGCCAGCTTCATCTCCGCCGTCGTTGCGGGGAGTATGGCGTTGGTCGCACCCTTCCAGGTCGCCAGGAGGAGCTTCATCCGGGATGTTGGATTTTTCGCCGTGGCCGCAAGCTTTAGCCTGGTATTCCTGGCGGACGGCAGTTTGCGGCTCTGGGAGTGTATCACCATGGTCGTCTACTACATTTTCTACGTCATCTTTGTGGTGGTTTGGCATTGGTGGCTGACCCGGCGGCGGAAGAGAAGGCTTGCGGAGACTGCAGCTAGGCTGCATCACCATATTCCAGACACGCAGGAATTAGAGGCCCCTCCCATTGACGAGGACGATGAATCGCGCCCTGCCAGCGAGCGGACAGGCCTCCTTCGTGGCCAGTCAAACGATACTCTCCCGACCATACGAACCCCGGGGACGCCCGCATGGAAGATTCATGACTACGACGAGGACGATGAAGCGCGAGATCGATACTTGGCTGAGCTACAGAGTAAAATGAGAGTCAGTCGGCCGACTCGAGGCGAACGAAGGAATACAATGACCCCGATTCGACCCAGTTTGATAGGAGCGTTGGAGTTCAGATCCCTTATGACCTCTTTGGAAAGAAAAGCGACGAATGCGCAGCCTATTGGTCTTCGGAGATACTCCGACGACGCATCGTCCACCCAAACTCCCATTCCGGCCACTGCGCCTCCTGGTGCCTCCCAGCCAGAGCTCATCAGTTCTCAGTATTTGGATGTTGAAGGCGAAAGTCCCCGCCGCGCACGAGCAGTATCGGCCAACGATGCCGCTCACCTACGCCTCGATACGGATTTTCTGAGCGACAGATTTTCAGGGCGAAGCTCCGAGAACGCCCTCGCCAGCGAAGAGTCGTCACCACACCCGACCGCCACACACACCCGGCCGAGTGCCAATATTTTGAAAACGCTCAATGACCCATCAAATCAGAGGCCACCGTCTCCAAAGCGCATTCGTTCTCCCTCAGGCTCGCAGCCGGAGACCGGGTCGCTGCATTCCAATGCCGTCAACTCCAGATCTGCCAATCTCCTGGCACCACCAGCGACGACCTTCCGCCGCCCAGACTACAACGATGAGCATAGGTCTGACTCTCGAAGCGGCAAGTCATCACCTCGGGGTGGCTCGACCCTGCAAGTTCCGATTCTGCACACACCGCATCCCGACCACTCGAAGGGAGCGCTGAGACTCGAAGATTTTCCCCCTTACGTGGATTCTCCGATGCTTCTCACCCCCGTTGGCTCTCGGCCGCCTAGCATCAGCCTTCCCGCGCCTAGTATGTCACCAGAGTCTACTGCGCATCTTGGGCTTCTCCCGGATGAAGAGGACGAGCCTCTGCGGAGGTTCGCGTGGTGGCCCTACCAATATCTTCCAGCCCCTCAGGTCATTTATTCGACACTATTCCCGACTCTTTATGGCTGGCGTGAGAAGTCACACATTGACAGAATGCTGGGCTTGGTTACTGCTCCCAGCGTGTTTCTGCTCACTATCACACTTCCTGTTGTCGAACCAAAGGAAGATAAAGTGCCGGATCCCGATCCAGCGCTTCTGTCACCCGGGAGCGCGCCTCGTAGCAGATCAGACAGCCACGTCGCTGCCACTCCGGGATCGCTTCCCAAGCTCGGCTCTTCTGATGGTCCGCCTCACCCACATGGCACGGGAATATCGAGACAGATGTCAGACTATGTCAAGAGCCCCATTCATGGCGTTGATGAAGTCAGTGGGCCAAAAGATTGGAACCGCTGGTTGGTGTTCCTGCAAGCATTCACTGCACCTTTCTTTGTGGTGACCATCGGCTGGGCGAACATGGATGACGACCTCAACGGCACACTGTATGTGAAGATGGTTCTGGGCTCACTGGTGTTCTCGCTGGTGTTGCTCCTCATACTCTTGTCCTTGACAAGTCCTGATCGAGAGCCCAAGTACCGGCCTTTGTTGTGCTTTTTGGGATTTGCCGTGGCCATAGGCTGGATCTCTACAATTGCCAATGAAGTGGTCGGAGTGCTCAAGGCCTTTGGGGTCATCTTGGGCATGTCGGATGCCATCCTAGGATTGACCATTTTCGCCGTGGGCAACTCTTGCGGTGATTTGGTTGCGGACATTACTGTCGCAAAACTCGGTTACCCAGTCATGGCATTGTCAGCATGCTTTGGCGGTCCGATGCTGAACATCCTGCTCGGGATTGGCATCGGCGGGCTGTATATGACTGTCAACAAGGCCACCCAGAAGCACGCAAAACATCCCCACAAGCCGATCAAGTACAAACCGTACGAGATCGAAGTGAGCACGACCCTGATGATATCGGGAGTGACCCTGCTCGTCACGTTGATCGGGCTGTTGATTGTTGTGCCGTTGAACGGGTGGAAGATGGACCGCAAGATAGGGTTTGGCTTGATCCTATTGTGGTCGGTGTCTACCATTGGCAATATTATTGTCGAATTGCTTGGATATGGGGGCGACACGCTGATCGCTGGAATTTGACGTTTGTATACCCGAGGCATGGACGGCATGGATGGGCTGGAGTTCAGGCTATTGCGGGGCATCGGACTGGAAGCTGTCTGCCATGAGTACGGAGTACATAGTGATGGTATATATCTTTGCTAAGAAAGGAAGACTCTGAGACAGCTCTGCATTGTTCGCACCACGCCTTGAGTTACTAGTGGTCACAAGCACGCGACTCTTACCCAACTATCACATTGCCCTTACTATCCTTCACCTAAAGATTTCAAAACTTCACTACCTGATGGATGGCACGAGTACAACGCTCCTATTGTCTCGAATGAGGCGCACGATCCGATGCAGCATAGTTCATTCAGCACACATATGAACTCGGTCCTAGTCAGTCGAGAAAAATGCCGCAGACGGGAGCCGTGATCAATACAGTACGCAGTCAGCCAGTCCCGCACATCCAGCACCCCGATTGTCGCCCTGGCCGGGTCTACATCCGGCGCCTGCAATGCGTTCAGTACACAGTAATAGCCATGCAATTGCCGAACGCGCATCATTGGTCGTCCTTCCAGGACCTCGGCATCTTTTCCGCGCAATTGGCCACGCGAGCCACATTGCGATCAGGCACGGACCACTATCGGCCATGGTCGCATTGCGACGGAGAGGCGACCAACGGCCATGACGATACCAAAGTACATACTCCGTACTCTTACAAGGCGACTCAGCGAAGGCCTTCGCTGAGAGTGCTAGACAGCTTAACTCAGCTTCATCAGTTCGACTCGGCTCGGCCCGGCTTTGGCTTTGGAAAGACTGACCACGACAATCAATTCGGTTGAGCTGCTTGCTGTCTTGTTTAGTCTGTCAGCAAACTGTATGCAAATATCGTCCAACTTGACAATATCCGATCCCGTACCGCCCGAACGTCATCTCGGCCGTATCGTGTCTCTGCTCTCAGCATCGAGTCTCCCCAGCTGGAACTCGGTCTACACACACCGCCAGATCAGCCAGGCACCGCTACGGCGGAGAGCGCTTCTTCATCAAATACTATACGAAGCTCTCAAACGACTTTCCAGTTCACGTAGAAGGCACCTCGAAGGCTCCTGCAACCATGCCCATCAAGTCGGATTTCCCGGACGTCGAACTCTCCGTCACAGATATCTGGTCCTTCCTCTTCAACAGGAAGGACAGAGAATTCCCGGACGACCATGTCATCTTCCAATCTGCCGAGACGCTCAGCCGGCAATACACATTCGCGCAATTGCGGCAACTGTCCGTCGACTTTGCCAAGGGCCTCAAAACGGTGTACGAGTTTCGCAAAGGCGATGTCCTAGGATTATTTGTCCCCAACGACATCGATGTCCCACCCGTCGTCCTCGGCACGCTATGGGCCGGGGCAGTCGTCTCGCCCGCCAACCCAGGCTACACGGTCCCGGAACTGGTGTACCAGCTGAAAGACTCGGGCGCGAAGGCCCTATGCACGCATGTGTCCGTCCTGGATACGGCGTGTAAAGCAGCGCGCGAAGCAGGCATACCGGAATCGCATATCTTCCTACTCGGCGCGAAGCAAGAGGACGGTACCACACGAATCAAACACTGGACCTCGATCCGCAACCAGGACGGGCTGCAGCGGTTCCGCCTCCCCAAGTTCCACCCTAAAACGGACCTCGCGTTTTTGGTCTACTCGTCCGGCACGACGGGGCGGCCCAAGGGCGTGCGCCTCACGCACTTCAACATGACGAGCAACATTGAGCAGATTCACAGCGCCGAGGGCTGGCTGACGTGGAACGGCACCAGCACGCCACCCAACAGCGACATACCTCTACCGGCACACGGCCAGGGGGACAAGATCCTCGCGTGTCTGCCCTTCTTCCACATCTACGGGTTGAACTGCCTCGTCCTCTCCCCGATCTACTCGGGCGTGCACACGATGGTGATGGCGCGCTTCGACCTCGAGCGGTGGTGCTCCATCGTGCAGGACCACAAAATCACATTCAGCTACATCGTGCCGCCGATCGTGCTGCTGTTGTGCAAACATCCCGTGGTCGAGAAATACGACCTCTCATCCTTGCGGATGACCAACTCGGGCGCCGCGCCCCTGACCCGCGAACTCGTCGAGGGCCTGTACGCGCGCAAGGGCGTCAAGGTCAAGCAGGGCTACGGCTTGTCCGAGACGGCGCCCACCATCTTCATGCAGAAGTGGGAGGAGTGGCGCTCCGCCATTGGCACCACCGGCGTGATGGTGCCGAATCTGGAAGCCAAATTCTGTGCCGTTCCGGGGTCAGGCGAAGAAAGTGACGGTGGCAAGGAACTGGCCCGGGGCGAGATCGGCGAGCTGTACGTCCGAGGCCCGAACGTGTTTGGCGGATACCACAACAACCCCAGCGCCACGGCCGAATGCCTCGAAGACGGCTGGTTCCGGACCGGCGACGTCGGGTTTCTGGACGAGCGCGGCAACTTGACCATCACGGACCGGGTCAAGGAGTTGATCAAATACAAAGGTGAGTTGCGAACGTCTCTTTCTCGCACACCTTCGTGGAAGTGTTGTCAAGGCCACGCACATTCTCGACCCTCACCTTTACTAAACCATTTCCTCTTCTCTCTAGGCTTTCAAGTCCCTCCAGCCGAACTAGAAGGCTACCTAGCCTCGCACCCCCTGATCGACGACGTCGCCGTCGTAGGCGTCGAAAGCGAAGCCCTCGGCACCGAAGCCCCCCGCGCGTACATCGTGCGCAAGGGCGGTCTGTCGGCTGTGAAACCGACCGACGCCGCGGAGATCATCGGCTGGATGAACGCAAAGGTCGCGAACCACAAGAAGTTGCGCGGCGGGGTCAAGTTCGTCGACGCCGTGCCGAAGAGCGTGAGCGGCAAGATTTTGAGGCGTGTGCTCAAGGAGCGGGCGAAGACGGAGTTTCGAAAGGAGGAAGAGCAAGAGGCCAGTCAGGGAACGGTGAAGGCGAAGTTGTAGGGAGTGGCGCCGTTATGAAAGGGGGTTACCGGCGGGTCGTTTGGGGGTTCGTGGAATCGAGTTGTGGTAGCGGGTGAGGATTCTTTGAAAGGGATGTTTATGAGTAGATGGGTCGTGGTCTCTTGGTGCGGCATGACATTTGATTGCATGTGATTTGGATACGACTACATAATCTCTGGCAGAGTGACTACCTACCTTGGCTATCTGCGGTACAGTAGCGAAGTTGATTGTAGCGTCATCTGTCCGATCTGCTAGAAGGGAGCTAGTCCATCGCGCTGTGTGAGGCCGCGAACCGCTTGTTGAAGGTGGAAGAGAAGAAGAGAGAAAGTAGTGGAGACCAAGTAGCCAGCCTCTCGATGGCGTGAGCGAGATGAACCAAAGAAAAGAGTTGGAATATGGGAAAGGTAGAGAGGCTCTGTCGAGGATTTCCTGGAATCGAAATTTTGAAATTTTGAAATGAGCAAATTGAGCATTACAGTGGATGAATCCAAAGAAGCCGCCACAACCGCGAAGAGGCGACGTTCCAGCACAATGTTGGGACAGGCCAGAGATACTAGGGACAAAGCTGCGGTAATTACTGTCTTCGTGCAAGATCATTCCCTCTCGGTACTGTTACCCACAAGGAAGATGTCTCTATTCCTATAGAGAAGAGAGCCGGAGGGAGAGTAATCCGTGAGGTCGTGCCCAGCTTGCTAACTGCTCGATCGGGTCCCATCACATCGTGTTCTTTCCTTCGAGGAAGGTTTGGAGATTACCAGCGCCCGTCATAGTCCCCTTGCATACGGGGACCGCATGAATGATCCGTAACTGTTGCTCATGGAACTCGACAGCGAATCTGTCTCGGATGTTCGTCCACCGCTCGGGCTCGCGATGTGTCTTTTGGCGGAACTGCCTGATAAAGGGGTTGATGAGGTGGATGTGGCGTGTTGTGATGATGATGATGATGATAGTAGAGAGGTCTTCCAGGATGACGACGATTTGCTGTAGCTTGGAGTTGTGGGAGTCGTCGAGTCGAGGGAGGTGATGGATCTGCGAGCGAAGAATGCTGATGCCATGGTCCTGAATGTTATCGAGATATACTGTGGTATATACTTTTGTGGCACGGCGTCCCCGGACGGCGGCGTGACTGCTTCTGGCGGCGTCTGCCGAGATCTGCTTGCTCTACTGTGTGCAGGGTCTGGACTGTGCGAAAGGCTGGCTGGAATGCTGGAGGAGAGATCAAGCAATGTTTTGAGATGTCTTTCTCACCTTTATACATACGTGCGTCCCATGACATGTAGCCAGCGTTGGGTGGGACTCGGTCCGCGGCCCCATGCCAGCATCTCAAATCTCAGCTTGACAGCGCCTCGATATAGAGGCCAGTTGCGGGATGCCAAAGCTGACCACATGCGAGAAGCTCGCCCACCTGGACCGACGAATCAAGCTAAGAGTTCAGAGGATGAGTACGTAGGACGTAGCCGACGGGAAAAGGGACCCTGATAGACACGCATGGTTGAGTTACAATGCAGGGACAAGGCCAAATTGGCGTAGAGCTGACAGGGCGCAGCCAACACATGAAGAGAAGAGGGAGACAGCGTGCAGCGGTAGTACACAGTAATGCGTGCCTCGTGTTGGCGGAGCTCATAGGGCTGATGATCAGCCGTAGATCATCGCTTAATAACGGGCAGCGAGGTACATATACTTAGGCCTCATTGGGTGGTTGCGGCATTGAGGCCGCAGGACGTCCACCGCCTGAAAGTGGGGGCTGACTCGAAGAAACGTGCCTGAAGCACATAAGCAGCGCGGTGAAGCACATGTCGAAGACTTTTGGTCTCCTGCATCTCGCAGCAGGTGACCGAGGGCTGGGCAGGAAGTGTGAAGATTTGGCACCAGGGAGATGACTCCCTCCCGGATCCCCTCTTCGTTTTTCTACCGACACCCTTCACATCTTCCTTATTTCCACATTACGTGGTTCATGCTGCGAGGCGGAGAGACCTCCAAACCTGACATGACAGATAGACAGACGCAAACATGAATCCGTTCATATGCAACCTACTGATGGTCACCGGAATGGGCCTATCCCGTCACCACACGCCGATGCAAGCATCACACTCCCACTTCTCATGTAGCACGCCGTCCGCCTCGCACACTTTCGCTCGAACAGGTCTGTTACTGCATGTACACTAATCTTAGTATTGACAAACTGTACGGCTCCACTAAATTTGACTAGCCAACATACTCCTTGTCAATCCGTGCCAATACGTGGCATCCAAAGCCGCAATCCAAAGGCAAGAGCTATTCGGAGACTCAGCGGCGCTGTGGCATCCCGTGCATCATACTTGAACCGTCAATCCGGCACTGTTCAGGGGAGCGGGTCGCCGACCTCCGCCACAAAGTATGTATGATTTCCTGTAATGGACAATGTCGATGCATGAACTGCGGCTATTCAGCGAATGGATCGTGGTCGAGGACGAGATTGTTTTTTGCCGTATTCCGCACTCGCAAAGTAGCTTTGGGGGCGCTGTGGGCAAGTGCAGCAGAGGGCCACCAGGAGCACTGACGAGACAAGAACGACATTGCCATGATTGTGCGGTAGGACAAGGCTATCTTAGCTGTGACGTGAGACAGCATCAGAGATCCTCCACGTGATGCTTAAATACCTACCTCTTCCGTCTTGCAAAGCTTGCCCGGAAGTATCGACAGGAGTATGTCCTATCCTGATATCAAGATATTGAAATATCGAGGCAGGGGAGAGCCAGTGACGCAGGACGGGTTGAGTACGACACAGCCATAGAAATCGACGCGGAGGCTGCCTAGCGAGGCTGGCCGAGCTCGACGCAAGGCTTGGGCGGAAGCAACATGATACCCTGTTTCAAGATGTTTATCTGTACACACCGTGAACACAGATGGAAAATAAGTTGGAAGAAGTGTGGCGCTGGTTGACGTGGGAATTTCGAACTGGGCCAAGTAGCGTCCTCGAGTGGTACTGTAGCTCAAGGGGCGTGCGACACCGCGGCATAGTTGCCTTTCTCGAACGGGAGACTATTCCCTTTCCGTCGACATCGAACTTTTGACATTGGAGCTGCTCTACTCCGTATATCTGTTCGTGTGGCCATTACTCGACAGCGACGCCTTGGTTCATCTGGGCGATTGGGTGTAGGAGGTCACAATCACCTGCCACAAACTCGATGGACTCGCTTTCAAGCTCAATATGTCGGTCCTGCCGCCTCCGGCTCCTTCAATCATCCCCATACCGACCCTTCAGCACGTCCTCCTCCCGACTGTACATCCCACCCGAATCTCCCGCCTACATCGACGTCCCTCAACCACTCCAACCAGTTCGTGACGGCAAGCCTCGAGCAAAAGGCATCCTGCCCCTACCACGAGAACTCTTCCCCGCCCGCCGTCCAGACAAGCCCAGCCAGGGATATCTCGCCAACGTCACGCGCGATCCCCTGCCCAAGAACGTCCCATCTGAAGAACAACTCACCGAGACGGGCAAATATAAACGGCGCATGGCCGCGCTGCGGAAGACGCATCTCCGCTCGAGTCTAACAGAGCTGCACGCTCGAAAGACATCAATCGACAACACCATTGCATCCCGGAGTGCAGCCAAACAGCTCGACCGGGCGAGACTTCTCTCTCAATCGGAACGCGAAGACGCACGCCTTACGAACATCTCTATCCCCAGCGCCATGCGGCCGCAGAAGCTGCATCAATTGACGCCAGAAGAGGAGCGGGAAATCTACGACGCGCGTCTCGCTGCCCACCAAGCCACGCTGGCCGCAAAACATGAGGACCGCCTCGATAACCTCCACACGCTGTACATGAATGCGCGGAACTTCATTACCACGAAAGAACAGCTCGCGGCCGCGATCGACCAGGCGTTCGACTCGAGCAGATCGATCTGGGATAAGGAGGGCAAGCCGGATACCGTCGAGACGATGATTGCTCGGGGCAGGGATCGGTCCGCGGACGACGGACGCGGTGGAACCATGTTGCCTGGCGATGTCACGGAGCGGGCGAGGAAGGATCAAGAGCGCATGAAGAAGATTGCAGAGCGGTTGAGTGGTGGGAAGTTGTGAGCTGGGTTGTAACCGGAACAGCAGCGTCGGCGAGATTTGATTGACTCAGTTGGCTGGATAGTGGGCGCCGTCGCTGGAGGAATTGTACAAATACGTGTGCCAGGACGCTGGGGCCCGGGACGCTGAGAAGAAACCGGGTGTCGAGACTGCAAGAAGTTGTACAAAACTTGTTACGAAGGATAAGTTACATCTTAAAACCTTGCGCTTCGTCAGGCGAGCGACCATGTGTCGGGCTTGTGCAGCGGCTCTTTGGCTACGGCATGGTTATTCCTTATCTTGAGAGATTGGCGCTGCTGGCCTCCTACTGATATATCAGGAAAATGTTCAAGTTCTCCTAGTAATAAAGGCGGAGGTTGGTTGGTGGATAACCAGATAGACCTAGTGTTTGGTTTCTTCGCTTTGCGCGTGGCATAACATTGGCACCCTTTTACTCCCAATCTCCAAACTGTCTGGGGTGAGGACGCAATATCGCCTGCTGGGGAGAAGCTCGAACGTGTAAGCGCGTGAGCAAACGGCCACGAGGGAGCAATGCAAGCACCGGCCTCCATTTATTTCCTCTCAACGCAAAGAGGTTGTAATCGAATAGCACTCCTGCACCTGTAGCACCTCCGGATGATCGCGTACGCCGGTTTGCCCTGTATGTGGAACACAAGCAGCCCAGCACTCCTTGTGCGTAGGGTTACCGTGAAAGCAATTGTTTGCAGGTATGCTCAGATGCTGTAATCTGTGGTAAACGTCGCCGGCATCAGAACGTTTTGAGACGGGCAGGTTGCCCGCGTCTCTAAAGGCGGCCCGTAAATCGGATGCTGTTGCACCGAGCTCAAAGCTCCCATCGAACTGTGAACTGGGGAGGACAGTGCGTTGATATTGGCTCTGGAGTACGTCCTCGATTGGCGGGTTTGCCGCTTTATACCTCCGTTTGTCGGCAAGCCGCGCGGCCACTGTATGTAAAAAACGGATGGTTGGAAGACAATATTGGGCCCCATAACTGTTTGATGGAGGGCATTCTGTGTATCAAGTCAGTGCTCGTACGCCGAGACCCACGCTACGAGTCTCGAATAGCTCGATTAGTCCTGCACCCAGACATTCTTCCAGAGCCCAATCGAAGTTCAGACCATACAAGTCCTTCCATTTCTTGGTCTTCGCCGGCATGACGCCGGAAAACTCTCCCCTGATTCGCTTGGCAGTAGAAACCCGATTGTCGGAATCCACAGCCCCGTCCCATCGTTCGCGGAGCAGATGAAGCGGAGCCTCCCTGTATTTCGATTTGCCAAGTAGCTCAAGTAAATGTGCGCGACCAGCAGCTAGCAGCCTCAGATATGGCCCGATATTTGGCACGGAGAGCACCAACTCGTTTGCTTGCAAGCCTTGCGTCTGGTGGATGGACGAGCTCGACCGCCGTGCCGCACCCACACCACCTAGATTCTCGAATGCCGACTCCCCGCCAATGGCATCTGTTGAGCCTGAGGCGGCACGGGATATTTTGGGCATGGACACAAGAGATGAACCAGCCAAAGAAACACTCCGAGATCCGGTCAGCGACGAGGAGACAAGAAAGCCATTCCGAGTCAATGCGGTCACATGAGACGTTGGCAATGCATGGGGTGGAATGCCCGTGGCTCGAGGCTGAGCGCGGAGCACGTTGCAGAAATCAGCGCGAACACTTGGTCCAACATCGCTTCGGTCAAGCAAGGCTTGTAACTCTTCCATGCTGATGACCACCTCGCCGAGGCCACTGACATCGTTGCCTCGACCCGTGATTTTGATTTTTCGAATCTTACCGGTGGCTTGCAACGCAGCAATGTCTCGCTCCGTCTTGGACGAGGCGGCCATCAGAGCGTGAACATGCGCTAACGACACAATAGGTGGCATATTCCGCTGGAAGTTGAGCACCTCGGCAACGCGCACACTGTTCATGCCCGCTCGCTCCGGTAGCAGCGCAAACATAGACGCACGAGCATACTGCACGGCACTCAGGACATCTCTGGCGGAGTCAACAGTGATGGTCGAGAGGACTCTGCCGCTTGGTGTCAATCTGTCCTCACCATCCTCCCGTCCATCTGGGTCGTCGCCGACAGCCTCAGCAAGTGACTTTGTCCGCTGACCCGTCGGTTTACTGCGCGGAAGACTCGCGAAAGGTGACGAAGAATGTCGACGTCCAGTCTCAGCGGGTCTCTTGGCCGGCTTATTTACCCGCGACGAGTGGGACGCAGTGAGATAGAGGGGCATGGCAGGAGAGACTGAGCTCAGAAAGGAGAAAAGTAACAATGATGGGTACTGTGGTATTTAGCTGCATCGCCACTGCGGCAAAGTCTCACCAACACCACAAGGCAAGGTCCCCAGAAAATCTCACTAGGCACCACCGGACACGGCGACGGCGATGTGGTTGGTGGTGGCCGGTTCCGAGGAATTGACTAGAACCTTCAGCGGCGTGGTTGGAAGAGAGTTTGCGAATTGGGTTGCGGAAGACAGACCGAGCCAGTTAAAGAAGGCAACAAGGGCGCGCTTACCTTCTTCCGGGCGGGCCAGAGGTAGTTTTCTAGGCTAAAACTCCTCTTGGGCCGAAGTTCCGGGCTCTTTCGGGCCTTGCTACGAGTTACGAGGTCCGAGCAGGTGGCATCCAGAGCCTAACGGATTGCTCCGACCGTGGCGCTACGCAGGAAGCTGCTCCCCTGCAATGCCCAGAATGCCCCACAGCATTCACGTCACTCCCAGGCTGGGAAAAACCGGACGCGGCTTCCTGCCAGCAACGACGACACCAACCGCGCTCCTCGAAGCCTGATCGTGATGCCGGATGTTGGATGTTGGCAGTGACGGGACTTAGTTCCATACCCACCGTCACCCAACCATGCAGGCGGCTACCAAGTAGGGCCTCGTGGGCCTGTATCACTGTAGCATGTGTAAAAAAGTTCCACAGCGCCCACGCATCATAGCTTCAAACGACTGACTTTCTCGCCCTTGCCGTACCACGCTCGTTCCACCCACTACGTGCCATGATCTTATTCTTATTCACTCCTTTCTCCCTGTTAACAACCTCCCGTCTCCAAGGCCGCAGTCTCTTCTAGCACCGTACTATAGTAAACGGTTGCCGATCCTTCACTTACTGACAGTGACGGCCCAGGCTACCTGATCCAGTGCAACTACTGTGTACTTCAGCCCAATCAACTCCTACGTCAAAGTGACTCCCCAGCTCGACTCCCATTAGACTGAGGTGGTTGATCACCAGAAAGTCTGCGGACTACCTCTCTCAAGGCATTGCTGTCTCCTTCTGCCTCGTCGATCTTTGACGCGAACTCGCACCATTGAAAGCGACAATGACCATCTTCGTGGCGTCCCTCTTCCTCCCCTACACCGTCAACTTCGACGCTCCTGGCTCCAGTTCCAGGCCACTGTCTCCGGAACTTGGCCGACCGCAATCGGCAGTCTCTGAGGCCTCGACCTTGCTCGAGGCGCAGCCCGTCAGCCTCTTCACACCGGGCGCCGGCATAACTGGGATTCCTGTGCAGACTCCGGGTCCCATCCCTCCGACTCCAGGCGGCACCACCGACCATGAGAAGATCTTTCGCCCTCATATTGACCGCAAGATCAGCCTCAGGCTTCCAAACGTCAGACCAGGCGCCGGCGCTCCTATACGAACCATCTCTCGACACGACCTCCACTCACCTGGCTGGGGGAAGACGTTTGGCTGGAATCAACCTCCCTCAAGAGCCAAGTCGCCTCCACCCAGCTCGATCCTGAAACACGCAGCAGGCGGTGTCAAAGAGCTTAAGGAGCTTAAAGAGAAAGCCGTTCAGATTGCATACAATTCTTCCACCAGGCATCACCGCCGACAGCGGACAAGAACTGTCAGCCAGGAACGGCGCTTTTCGAACGACAACTACGAGATTGACAGAGCGCCCCTGGGAAATGGCGGTCTTTACAATGCAATTGATGCCGCAGTAGATGCCGGTATTTGCGACGAGAAGACTTGGGTTGGGACCCTCGGTTGTCCAGTCGATGCCCTGGACGATCATATGAAAGAGAATATTGCAGAGAAATTGGAGAATGACTATGATTGTCTGACCGTCTACGCCAGCGACAGCGATTTGAATGGCCATTACGAGCACTACTGCAAGACCATCCTCTGGCCGGTGGTCCACTATCAGATCCCAGACCACCCAAAGAGCAAGGCGTACGAGGACCACTCGTGGGTATTTTACGTCAAGGTCAATGAGGCTTTCGCCGAGCGCATCGCAAAGAATTGGAAGAAGGGAGACAAGATCTGGATCCACGACTACCACCTGATGCTGCTGCCTGCCTTACTGCGACAGAAGCTCCCAGAAGCTGAAATCGGCTTCTTTTTGCATACGGCGTTCCCTTCGTCCGAGATCTTCCGATGCCTTGCGGTGCGGACCGAGCTGCTTCAGGGTATGCTGGGTGCCAACATGATTGGATTTCAGAACGATGAGTATGGCCATCATTTCCTACAAACTTGCAGCCGTCTCCTCAACGTCGAAGCCACCAAACATGGGGTCATTCTTGAGGACGGCAGGTTCGTCCATGTGGACACGTGCCCGATTGGCATTGATCCAAAGGCTATCGATCATCAACGCCAGGCGGACGAGGTCAAGGAGTGGGTACAGACCATCACCGAAAAGTACCGCGGCAAGAGAATTATCGTCGCGCGAGACAAATTGGACACTATTCGCGGAGTTCGTCAGAAGATATTGTCTTACGAGCTCTTCCTCAATAAGTACCCTGAGTACAGAGATCAGGTCGTGCTCATCCAGATTGCCACGTCGTCTACTGAGGATCCCGAACTCAGTGCCACTGTGGCCGACATCGTCACGCGTGTCAACTCTACTCACTCGACCCTGGCTCATCAACCTCTTGTGTTCTTGAAGCAAGACATTGACTTTGCTCAGTACATGGCATTGCTCACTGTAGCGGAGTGTCTCATGATAACTAGTCTGCGCGAAGGCATGAACTTGACCAGCCATGAATGGGTCGAATGTCAGGATGGCAAGCTGTCGGAGAACAAGTATGGTCCCTTAATTCTTAGTGAGTTCACTGGCTCTGCCACCGTTTTCGGAAACAACGCTATTTTGGTCAACCCATGGCATTATAGCAACTGTGCCGACGCCATTAAGCAAGCTCTTGATATGTCTCCCGAAGAGCGTCAGAGGCGTTGGAAGGCCATGTACGATGTTGTCATAGAACAGAACGCGGTGCGATGGTACGAGCAATACCTCAATGACCTGGAGCATGCATGGAAGGAACACAGGATCCGTGACTCCACGGCAGTTCCCCGATTGTCGGTGTCTTCCACAAAATCGAAGTACCTCAAGGCTAAGAGACGCCTGATTATCCTGGATTACGAAGGTACTCTGGCATCTTGGGGCTCGCCGACCGACATCATATTGACCACTCCGAAGAGGTCGATCGACGTTCTAAATGACCTCATTGAAGACAAGAAGAACATGGTCTATGTGATGAGCTCAAGAATGCCGGAAGAAATGGAAAGACTCTTCAGTCAAGTTAGCGGCCTTGGTTTGATCGCCGAGAATGGTGCCTTCGTGAGGGACCCGGAAGCAGATGAATGGCAGGAGCTGATTGACACCACTCATGTTGAGAAGTGGAAGAAAGGAGTGCGGAGCATTCTTCAGTACTATGTGGAGAGGGTGGAGGGAAGTCGAATCGAAATGCGGCACGCCTCTATCATCTTCGACTACGCTGATGCAGAGGATACATCGGGAGCTTTCAAACAAGCCGGTGAATGCGCCAATCACATCAACGATGCTTGTCGCGGGCAGAACGTCAATGCCATCCCTATCGAGGATGGGCTTTGCATTTCGGAAATCGATGTCAACAAGGGAGCAGCCGCTCAGTTGGTCGCCGAGAATTTGGAAAAGCAAGTCCAGGAAAACGGTACCACGTTTCCAGATTTCCTCATGGTCATTGGAGATTCGAGGGAGGATGAATATGTCTTCAACTGGGCGCACAAGTTGGAAAAGGCAGGCAAAATCCGGGATGTCATCACCGTGACTTTGGGTGCCAGAAGCACCGAAGCATCGGCTACGTTGACCCAAGGTGTGACTGGTAAGTTGCAAGCTTATACGTGTGAGATCTACAACTAACAATTCTAGGCGTGTTGTCAATACTGGAGAAACTCGCACGAGGAACGTAGCACGATCCTCGGGAGCGTCGTTCGGAGAGCTGGGCGTGAACTTTTATTTCATTGCTGATAAAGCGGACGGGGATTCAACGGACGGTTGATGAGTTGATGAAGGAATGCGTAGAGATCAATGCCACCAAGATACCCTGTATTAGACTGCACGAGCAATAGGGGTTTCCGCCCATGGGCATCGATAGACCGGAAGGTATTTTTGAGTTCCGCACCTGCTCGTCCGACTGTTTTTCAACAAGCCTTGATTTGGCGACCGGAAATATTACTCCTAACTACTTTTTACCGCCTTGATCCCATCGATGTTGCAGCCTAGTCGAGGCTCCTGAAGATTGCTCTTCCGTCGAGCGGCCTTTCGCTGCCAATCTCAAGGAGTGCAGGAGCTTACTGCTCTGGCGTACACGCTGGCATGCGCAACATCATTGGCCTCAACGATGGTCAAAATCTGAGTAACCCCTAGGCGAAGCAGGGGCTCGAAGACGGCGGACTGGGCGAGATCCTCGGCACGACAATGTACGGAGCCAGAATGGTCTTTCGTGCCACCAAACCGCCAGTATAGATAGATGAGGCAATTACAGGGGCAACAAGTCGGGAAGGACAGAATCGCACCATAGCAAGTGAAGTGTTGCCTCATTTGCTGATTGGAATTGAGACGAAGGCATCAAGGCATCACAGCCTCGCAGTATCGGACCCTCTCGCCACACGCCACACCCAGAGCCTCGCATCTCGCAGCCTCATCAGCTTATGTAAGGTTCATGGGCTGCCAAGCAGGCACGCAGGCTCGACTCTCTCTTCCGATGTTCTACCGTCCATCTCAAAATTTCTAGGTCTTTGAATTTCACGACTTCGAACTGTTCTCCTACCTGCGGTCTGACGCCCAGCTCGAGAACCAGCAAGGGTCAATCCCATATCTAGACTTGAACGGCTTCAAGATGGGAGCACGAAAGAAAGAAGCATCCCGTCGTGAGCGGCAGGGTGTTTCAACAGATGGCATGGCCAACGTAAAGGTCAAAGGCGAGAATTTCTATCGGTGCGCTTGACTTGGCTGGTGCAGGGCGACCGGTCTGTAAGCTAACTCACAGATATAGCAATGCCAAAAAGCTGAAGACTTTGAATATGCTCAAAGACGGTAAAGCGCAGCGAAACGCCGAAGGGAAAATCACAAAAGCCGCCTCCTACCAGTCCCGCGAACTCCCCAAAGCACGAGTCGAGCCGAATCGGAAGTGGTTTGGCAACACGAGAGTTATATCACAAGACGCTCTGGATTCGTTTCGACAGGCCGTGGCCGAGAGAGCGGCAGATCCGTATCAGGTCCTTCTCAAGACGAATAAATTGCCCATGAGCTTGATTCGGGACGCGGAGAATACCAGGAACGGGATCAAGCAGCACCAGGCCAAAATAGCCGTCGAGTCCGCCCCATTTGCGGACACTTTCGGTCCTAAATCGCAGCGCAAGAGGGTGAAGTTGAGTGCCGCTTCAGTGGCCGACCTGGCGGGCGAGTCTGTCAAGATGCACGACGATTATCTTGAAAGACTGGAAGAAAACAAGCTCCTGAGCGGCCAAACCGCCGAACAGATGCAAGGGCAGGAAGACGGTGAGCTCACCACGGCTCGCGAGCCGATCTTCTCAAAGGGCCAGAGCAAGCGCATCTGGAACGAGCTGTACAAAGTCATGGACTCCTCCGACGTGATCATCCATGTTCTGGACGCAAGAGACCCTGAGGGCACCAGATGCCGGAGTGTCGAAAAGTACATCCGTGAAGAGGTGCCGCACAAGCACCTGGTGTTCGTGCTCAACAAGTGCGATCTGGTGCCGACTAGCATTGCGGTAAGTTTCTTGTCTTTGTCTGCCCCTTGGACCCTTTCTCCTTCCGCTGGAGTCCCGATAGCGACTTCCAGAACTCTTCTGCTCCATCGCTAAGTCAAGGCTACTTTCGCGCTCTTCTGTGCGCACCTTTCTCCGTGAAAGCAGCCTGTTACAGCTTTGGTACATCAAGCCGCGCTCGCCCTCCCCCTTCAGGGACGGTTCACGACACTTGCATCCGTCTTGGAAGCATCCGTTACAGAGTGCAACGCGTGTTTCGTTTGAGTTGAGGTCTGCTCTTCATCACCCATAGCATATCTCTTAGTAATGTCTCATACACTTTTTCAAACCACCAAAGACTGACTGTCAGCAACCAGGCCCGGTGGGTTCGACTCCTGTCGAAAGAATATCCGACCTTAGCATTCCATGCTTCGATGACCAATTCGTTCGGCAAAGGGTCGCTAATTACCTTGCTCCGCCAATTCTCGACGCTCCATGCTTCGAGGAAACAAATCTCCGTCGGCTTCATCGGGTACCCCAACACGGGGAAATCCAGCATCATCAACACCCTCCGCAAGAAACGCGTCTGTACGGTGGCGCCTATACCTGGCGAGACAAAAGTCTGGCAATACATCACCCTCATGAAGAGGATCTATCTGATCGATTGCCCTGGAGTGGTGCCGCCCAGCCAGGGCGACAGCGAACAAGATATCCTGCTCAGGGGTGTCGTGCGCGTGGAGAACGTAGAGCATCCGGCCCAGTACGTCGAGGCCGTCCTGCGACGGACGCAGACAAAACACATCGAGCGGACGTACGAGCTCAAAGCCGCGGAATATAACGACAACGCGATGGAGTTTCTCAGCATATTGGCCCGAAAGGGTGGCAGATTACTGAAAGGCGGAGAACCAGACGTTGACGGCGTCGCGAAGATGGTGCTGAACGACTTTCTGAGGGGCAAGATTCCGTGGTTCACTGCACCGCCCAAGAGGGAGGGTGTCGAAGACGTGGATGCCGACGCGGCAACGCAGATCGTCGAAGGCCGAGAAGGCCGCCTCGGCGAGATGCCTGGGAAGCGGAAGGCCGATGCTCTGGCAACTATGGATACGGGTGCTGAGGCGGCAGCAGCAGCAGCGGTCGATGAGAAATCGATCCCTACAAGTGACCACGCAGGGGACGAAAGTGTCGACCAAGATGGAGAAGCTACCACCGCTGATGATGACTTCGAAAAGTTTGACGAAGACGAAGAAGATGATGATGACGACGACGCGGATGATTCTGACAGTCAAGCCGATGACGGCGGAACTCAGCTGTGAGGACCTAAATAAATATATAGATGGTTAAAATTGTGAATATGCTGGCCTCTTGCTGTGCAAGGCGGGAATACGGTGCGTTGCTTTCGCGTCGATCGACTGACCCAGTCAGAGCTATTCGATACGATCCGTATATAATCTAAACACAGGAAAGGCATCACCTTGGTCTCTGCATGTAGAGACCAAAGTTCGTGTTATCATCAAGTCCCAGCGCCAAAACAGCTCGTTGTATGGGCCCTTTTGCAGTTCCATGTCCCATTAGATATTACGTACAGGTAGTGCAGCTCAATGCGGCGTCTGTGGGCGTCTCACCGCCACGACATCTTATTACTATATACGATCAGAATCCTGTGCGCCACACATCCATTTCAACGCTTTTGGTCACGAGCCCCATGCCTTTATAAGTACTCCACGATTACTTCCCTTGCCTCCCGCTTGCAAAGCAAGGCATCCCGAAGTCCACGAGAGGGCATCCAATAGGCAAGTCGACAAATCATCAATCATCAATCATCCATCGTCACTAATCCATCACATATAACTTACAACTCATCAGGGGTTCCATTGTCGACTGCCATTCCAGTGACGTTATATTTTCCACGGCTCCAATCCCAAGGATCGCCCCCAGGCACACAGAGGCCCAGCCTCCAGAAATAATCCCTATGCGCGAAGAAAAGCTCCCAAAGCTTATATCGCCGGCCGAGTTCCCACATGTGCTGGACGCCGGAGGAGGGGCCGCCCGGGTTGGTGTTGTCGGTACCATTGGACTCGAGGACATGGCTGGCTGCAGCACTAGGGACGTCTTGGATGCATGAGGGGTCCTCGTCGCCCACGCAATGCTTGACATCTGCCCGCGCTGGTGGCAGAGATGGTTTCGAGATGAAAATCTCGCCCGCGTGCATCTTGTAGCCCCACTCTTCGAGGGGCAACAGGGGGACTGGGTCGTCGATGTGCGTCACCCTCCTATATTTCAGCGATTCTGGGTCCGTGGAGTTCAGGTTGAAGCGCTTGTCAATGAATCGGTTGAGGGCTGCGTTGCCGATGCGCGGTTCGCCGAAGGTGGTTACGTGGGGATCCCAGCCTCGAGCTTGCATTTCAAGCGACCTGTGAGTTTCGAGTCAGTCCATGGGTCTGGTGTGCGCATAGATTGCAATGTCAACGAGGCAAAAACTGGGAGGAGGGGAACATGAACACAACACCCGTTGTCCTTCTGCTAAGGCGACTTACGCTAAGGCTGCAACAGCTCCGCCGAGCGAGTGGCCTACCAAGACCAGTTGATAGCCAGGATAGTCTCGCAGTGCCTTCTCCACGTGCGGGACGACTATACAGCGTGTATTGCGCCAGGAGGTCATGAACCCGGAATGGACGGTGCAGTTGGGACACTCGGGTGGCTCCAGTACGGTCCTCTTCTCCTTGTTCGGTTGTTGCTGGACGATTTGTGGCAGTAGTGGTTCTTTGATATTCTGGTAGCCATGGCCACCAACTGGCTTGTCATCGCCCCCAGCATCACTCGTACAGACGCTGTCGTTGTTACTATCCGCAGGGAAGGGCGCGTATTCCGCTGGATTCGTGCTCAGATCGGCAATCGTATTGGCGATCGAATATGTCCCCCGGAACGCAACGATGACTCTCTTCTCGTATGGCGCATGGCTCAACGCGATATATCCTGACGAATCCGACAGCAGGGGGCCCGTGTTCCAGGCGGTGATAAGTTCGAAGCCCTCGAAATCGCTACACCGGGACAGGCATTTAAAGGGTTTGTGGATGCCGCTGGTGCCGACGCAGTAGGATATATCGACAATACGAGCGAGTTCTTCGAGGGATTCGAAGAGCGCTTGCGAGACCTCGTTACCGTCGGTGGTGGTTGGGAAGTTCGCAGGCAGCGCTGCGGCGAGGGTTGTCCATAACCACAAGATTGTCCAGACGGACAGCATCGGAAAGTGCCAGTGTATGACTCTCGATGATTGCGCGGTGCTCCTACTCGTAACGAACCGGTGCAACTGAGGATCACCTCTGCATCGAAGAACGGGAGATGGGCGGGCTTCTAGGGTGTGCTAGGACTTGGGGGGAAGGGCGTCATATGATCTTTACGTCAGAAGCATTGTTCCTAGCACCTTCTTCCCCATGATCAAATCTCCAGACCGGCCACGGCAATATATTTCGCCGTCCGGCCTTGGCGGCAAGGCTCTGAAGCCTCGAGTGCATTGTGATGAGTAGTCATTGTCGGGCCTTTACTGCATTTCGATCCAGCACATAAGACTGTTACAATTGCCGATCTTTCAAGCACCTTGTTCAAGAAGCAGATTTTGGTGCGCATCTCAACGAACGGTCGCCCTCTTTCCCGCCCCCGTATGCTGACGCCGAAAGCGCCAGCCATGGCATCCCAACTTCTGCCTCTAGGTATATTCCACTTCTCAGCATGAAGCGTTCTACAGAAATCGGACACATTGCTAACCATTGCTTTGCAGAACTGATCGACAAATGCGTCGGCTCGAGGATATGGATCATCATGAAGGGTGATAAAGGTACAGCTTACCGAAGTGCTTGCAGTGGAATTTCTTGTGCAGCTCCGACTTTGTCCGTTGATATATTTGTCACTGGGATGTTTCTAGCCCAGTTCTCCCGCGTTCATCTTGGTCCTCAGAGGCATTGGAATTACTGACTCGAGAATGTGCAGATTTCGCTGGCACATTAATTGGCTTTGATGACTACGTCAGTATGTTATCCCCTTGCAGCCCTCTTTCAAATGCCTGGGGCGGTCTGGAACGGACTGTTCTGACTCGGCTTCTTCTGTGCGACGAGGGCGACGCGCATGCTGACGTCAATCTGCCTCTCTGGATAGATATGGTACTCGAAGATGTGATTGAATTGTAAGCCTCGCGCTGGTTTACTTGTGACATGAGACTAATCGGGGTAGCGACTATACTGGAGCGCAAACAAAACTGCCCAAGATTCTGTTAAATGGAAACAACATCTGCATGGTAGGTCAACCCAGTCCCTCGCTCTTGGCGAAGCTGCTTTCCACAGCGCCGAATGTTCTGGTGCACGATGTCTTCGTCACCCAAAACATGGCGAATACTGAGCAGTCCAGCTAACATGCGACCAGCTGATACCCGGGGGGGAGGGACCTGCTCCCGTAGCGTCATGACGACATACGAAACGACGAAAACCTGTGACACCTCGCATTTTGGCCCGGGAGGAAGAGAGCATGGCAGTAGAGCTCGCTGGAGCAGGATGGACCCCATGGCCGCAACGAGGCACTGGCGGCAGCACGAATATTGGGCATTTCGGCACGGCTCATGGTCAAGACCAGAGCTTGGTTCTTCCAGGCAAGCAGTCATGACAGAACGCCCTTTTACGAGTTGTACTTTACAGCGGACTCGCGTAATACCTTGACTGCCTCCTGCTGTACCCTCCTTACAATGTCAGCAGCAGACATCACTTCCTTCACCAGCCCAATCCCGGTCCCGGCGTAGGTGCACATCCGGCCCTCTGGTCCCCAAGCCGAATCTCCCGATGTCATGGCTTCTTTGTATAATGCGATATTCTCCTCCTCACTCATCCCAGCCACCGCGTCCAGAAAGGTCCTGTTCACCACCCCTCTGCCCACATATGTCTGTGGCCAGTCATTGATTCCTCTAACTTTATCATATATCGTACTCGCCACGGTACTGACACCTCCATCGGTTACCCTGAGCACTTCGTCCTGATACCCCTTCGAGATTGCCGCTTCATTGCTCGCGAGAAACCTTGTTCCCAAACAGACTCCATCCGCGCCTAGGGTCAGCGCAGCAGCAGCGCCTCTGCCATCAATAATGCCACCACTTGCTACAATTGGGATACCCTCAATTCCTTCCTCCTCGAAAGCATCCAACACTTCCGGCAGAAGGGTCATAAGACTCGCCCGCTCACTCAAACCATGGCCACCCGAGTCGCTCCCTTGAACGACTAGCACATCTGGTTTCGTGGTCTTGGCAACCTCTACCGCCTCCGCCACGGTGCCGATCTGTACCCAAATCTTTGTCATATTGTTGCTCGTCTGGCGGATCGATTTAGCCCAATCGAGCAGGTCGGACAGATGGCGCGGCGCAAAGAACCATACAGCTGCAACGGGATGCTTTCGCAGTGCTTCGAGCGCCAGGTCGAGGGAGGCGCCCCAGCTTAGGAAGCCGACGCCAACGGGGAGCTGACCGTTACGAAGAGGTGTATTAGTTGATTTCGCGTACTCGGCCGCTTCAGCTAAATTGTCTGACAGCTGCGAGAGGTCGAAGCCGCCGGCAAGGAAGCCTATACCGCCCGCAGAAGAGACAGAAATCGCAAGGCGACCTAGTGTGATTTTCATCATTGGCGCAGAAACCACGACGGGGACATTTGGGGTGGTCCATGGATAGGCATCCCGGAGAGGATGGGGAGCAGGCGACATCGCGTCGCGACAGGAAAAGTAGAAAGCTTCTCGTGGCAGTGTCAAGGCTTCGACGTGCCAGCAGAACATGTACCTACAATTTCTCGGGATCCGTTATCTTGTAGGATCGAACTCGTCGAGAGAGGGAGCGCAACAACGGATCTGCAAAAAGAACCCCCAATCGGAGGTCATGGTGTACCACATCAAGGCGTGCCCCATACGGATGCTAGCGCCTGTTAGACCTGCGTCTTTCTTGGCTGCCGGCGAATGATGGCTTCCACAGGTCCGATTGCGCGTAGACGGAACCGCTTTACTGGCTTTGCGATACGAGTGCCTGCTGGGCATGAACGGGGGATGGAATAATGCCTCAGCAAGGTTACGTGTTTGTATCGGTCCCTGCATAATGCAGCGGCGTATGTATCTGTCCGTCTGGGTCCGACGGCCTGCACGGAGTAGTGTGGGTGAACAGTGGGTGAACGGTAGGCCAAAGCAAAGTGAGCAAGCGAGACTCGGTTGTTGTTGCCCGAAGCTGACTTGGCAAATTTCCCTTGTTTGTCCGCTCTATTCATTCATCCCGTCGAATCTTTTTGGATGAATAGGCCTTTGCGGAGTGAAGCCACAGTGTTGTTACCGCCTTCTCGCCCGAGCTCGGGTTCATCATCTCGTCGCCTTCATTTCGTGTCCTTTCTGCGTACTTACCATTGCTCTAATCTCCAATCCCCTTGCTCTGGGACAATTCTGAACCACCTGGCACCTTGCCTCTTCCGCAAAGTCATTTACGCGACGTCTTTGCATTTTGGATATTTTCGCACAGATTTGACAAGATGTCCAACGCTCCAGACCGGTATGTAGAAATTTCTATTGCTTGGTATTACTGCACTCAAGCGACTGGCGGTGTGAAGAAGGAAGATGGAAATCTGCTCAAGAATGAATCCACCTGAGGAGACAGACGTGGTAGTGGTCGAACCACCTGCGACAAGCCCTACTGTCCCCTAGTCCAGCTGGAACGACACAACGACACAACGACACAACGACACAACGACACGACGACACAACGACACAACGACACAACGACACAACGACACAACGGTTCATTTCACCGGCGGACGACGTGTTGGCTGCCATGAAGAATTCCCTGGACAAACTGCCTGCATCAAACGACTCAAGCCTTGGCATTGTCTTCACAGGACTACATATTTCACCTGCGCCTTTACTTCAACCTGCCGACCTAATTTAATCGACCCTCGAATTGCCGTACCAAGTGCTGTACACCACTTCTGTAAGAAAATTTGTCATTCATCATGTCGGAGACTCCAGCACGCCAGATCATAGGACCGGAAGAGGCGACCGACCCCGGACAATCTTCCTCAGCTCGCAAGGTTGCTTTCAATCTCCCGGCACAACGAGTCTCGCCTGTTAGTCTTATACCGGCCAAGCAACAAGTCTGGTTGGAGCAGCCAAATAGCGAACTGGTTGGAGGTGACAATTCCAGGGTCGACACAAACGGCGCAGGTCTATCAACTGTGTAAGTTGACCTTTCCACAGTCGCTCCAGTTCTGGAATCTGGTCTCTAGATCAACTCTGGGACCAGATCTGGATTTGGAGGTGCTACTGGTCCGACAATAGAACTTGAACCCATTTTAACACTTGGCAGCAATGAGGATACCAACAGCAAGGTCGCGGCAAAAGGCAGTATCGCAGATATCGAGAAAACTGACACTGAGGATCCTGGACCACCTCCATCTCCACCTCGCGCCTCTGCCCTCGACCGCGGCCGTGGTGGCCTTCCTGCCGATGGTAAAGCCTGGAGAAACTACCCTGCCAATCGCAAAGGTGTCAAACTCCATTGTTGGGCAAATGGGATCGACCACAACGCGATCAACATACTTGACAGGTGCGCCATTACGAGGAGAGGATTAAAAGGATACTCGGCACAAGCGGTTGCTACTACTACGCTTTGCTTGCGTCCAATCTTGCGGTAGGGGTGGCAGCGGCTGACTTTGATGGTGTAGTACCGAATCTTTCCTCCTTGCAGATGGCGAGAAGAAGATTGAAGAGAAGATCGATACTCGTGAGTGGCTTGAATGGGTCCTGGTATACAGCCTACTGACTGTTCTGGCCAAGGTACTCCCAACACCACAATCTTCACATTCAACAAGGAAGACCACACCCTTGCCAACCTGCTTCGTGACAAACTCCTCAAGAACAGCCACGTCACCTTCGCTGCCTACCGCGTAAGTCATGTAATGACCTAAGTTCTCGCTCCAGATCTGACAACCCAAATAGATCCCTCATCCCCTCTTTGCCAACTTCGAACTGCGAGTCCAGACGGACGGCGAGATCACTCCGAAGGAAGCCGTGCTCGCCAGTTCCCGGGACTTGGTCCAGGACCTGAACAACCTCAAGACCAACTTCACCCGCGAATATGAGTTGAGGAAGATGGTTGGAGGTGCACAGAATGGACAGTGATTGCCTGCGCTGGGACAGAGGCATGGCCCAACATGATACGATCCGAAGATTCCGACTGCGATGCGGTGATACCCTGTACTCTTAACGGGCGGCTTGAATTCTGGACATGGGCGTTGCACGGGGTGTGATATTGCATGATACGGCTTAGTGGGGGAAAGGACTATATTATGCACGCATGCAGAGAAGCACAATGAAAAGGTCATTGAATCCATAAGGACAGAACGCGGTACTCAAATCGCTGAATCAAAACACGGAACTGCCTGGTTGGATGCATGCATACACGCCATAGTTGAGCCAAAGCGCAGTTTAGTCCGAAGCCATCCCAGCGTTCAACGCGTCCCAAAAAGCGGTCCGTTCCAACCCCACAGCCTACCTGCACCACGCCGCCTCGATCTGCCGCAATTTTGGGCATCATCCAGTTGTAGGTGCCCAAACCGTGGAATTCACCCATCCATATTGCGGCTCCGTAGCTGCGAGGCACCAGTCCACGCACTCACTATCACCATCGTGCATCCCTGACCAACGGAGACGGACAGCCTATACACCACGGGCAACAGATAGACTCCTAGAGCCAGACCGCGACGACGAGCCCTGTCCGGTGCAAGGGCTACGAGACCGCGACGAACGATTGGACCATCGTGTTAAGGGAGATGGTAAATCGACCGCCGCAGTCGTAGGACTGCATGAGACTTGAGGAGTAGGGCTGGCTAGCATAGGCGTTAGAAGAGCTACTTGAGTACTTGCCACAGAATGAATAACAAAACCGTCCAGAGTACTGGTAACTCGTCACAACATACTGCTTGCTTTCGACCAGCCTCGCCCTTTGTGATTGCAGGTGGCTTTTGCCAGTTGTGGACGGTGAATTGTGGTTACGGCAGCGTCTACCTAGGTAAACTTCGATGCGCCCGGCACGTCGCGCTCGACGTCACCAGCGTCACGTTAAGCAGCTTTGTGCGGGCGCTCCGCCGTAGCATAGCCACGTCGCCGTAGCAGCTGAACTCGTAATGGCGTTGACTGATCCGAGTCGTTGAAACTGAGCATCGTCTCACTCAGTTCCTCTTCGATTTCCATCTTTTCCGCGTTGTTCATCTGCTTTTCTGCTTTGTACCGTGTGTTGCAGGCATGTATTCGGCTTCCAACTCCTTCCTGGGCGGCGCCAATAGTGCCCGCCCTGGTCCTACTCCTGGAGGCTTCGGGCAGCAGCAGTCGTTCGGCTCATTTAATCAAGCTCCCCAGCAGCAAGGTCCCTTTGCTCCACAGCCGACCGGCTTCCCCGGTCAGTTGCAGGCTCAGCAGACTGGCTTCCCTCCATTTCAGCAGCAGTCGGGTTTCCAGGCTCCGGCGCAACAGCCTCAGTTTACGGGTTATCCTCCTCAGAATCAAGTCCAGCAGCCCCCCTTTCAGCAGGCACCACCTTTCCAGCAACAGCAGTCTTCCTTTCAAGCCGCTCCACCTCCCCCTGCCCCTCAACCACAGCAGCCCGCCGCTGCCCCTCTGCGTTCGCAGCAGACTTCCTCGCAGATCGCGGCGTCCTTCACCCAAGGCTCGTCAAGTGCACCTCCGCCGAGGAGGGGCAGAGCTCAGAGCAAGAGCGCTAGCAAGATCCCAAACATCAGGTTGTCCTTCATCACTGCCACGGACCAGGCAAAGTTTGAGCAGTTGTTCAAGTCCGCGGTGGGAGAGGGTCAAGCACTGAGCGGCGATAAGGCCCGAGATCTGCTTCTGAGGTCGAAGTTGCCAGGCAGCGCTTTGTCGCAGATATGGATTCTCTCAGACACTACAAAGTCCGGCCAGCTCCTGTTCCCCGAGTTTGCTTTGGCCATGTATCTTTGCAACTTGAGTTTGACGGGGAAGGAGTTGCCGCCGGTACTGCCCGAGAAGATCAAGAACGAGGTGTCAAGTATGGTCGATATCATTTCATTCAGTGTTATCGAGGACAAACCTCTCCCGACCCCGCGAACCAACGTACCGGACTTTGACGCTCCACTGAGGCAAAATGCGATGTCTCCTCCCGCTCCGCAACAACCTACGCCCCAGCAACCCAACAACCACCAGCTCCTGTCACAGCTTACCTCCCAGCCGACCGGCTTCTACAACCAAATGCCAGGCCTTCAATCGCACCCCACGGGGTTTCCTGGACAACAGCAACAAGGTTTGCAAGCCCAGGCGACTGGGTTTCCCGGTGCCGCTCAGCCGGCGGGTTTTGGTGGTGCGCGACCGTCCCTACCTCTGATGCCAAGTGGTGGCTTTGGTTCAAATGTGTCGCCTCAACAGACTGGTCTCATGCAGGCACAGCCAACGGGCATGCCCGGCCAGTGGGGATTCGTGAATGCACCAGCTGGTGGCTTGCCGAACATTGAAGCTCTGCAACAGCGTCTGATGCCGCAAACTGGCCGTGAAGCAGGAGGCTGGACGACGCAAGGTCTCACGAGCAATGCAAAGATTCCTTGGGCCGTGACCAAGGACGAGAAGCGGATTTACGACCAGCTCTTCCGTGCTTGGGACGGCTTGGGCCGAGGCTACATCTCTGGCGACACGGCGATTGAGATTATGGGCCAGAGCGGCCTTGAAAGATCGGATCTGGAATCAATCTGGACGCTCTCTGACCCCAATAACAAAGGTCGGTTGAATATGGATGAGTTTGCCGTAGCTATGCATCTCATCTACCGGAAATTGAACGGGTATGCCATACCTGCTCGACTTCCCCCCGAACTGATCCCTCCGTCGACGAAGAACTTCAACAGCTCTATTGATACTGTGAAGTCGCTGCTCTCTCAGGACGCCGAGGCTCGGAAGACCTCGGGCGCGTTTTTGCAACCGCAAAAGACGGGCGTTAGCTATCTGAAGGATCATTCGTTCCGTTCTGGCTCAGCTTCACCTAGTTTTGGCCGCAAAGATGCAACAATCTTCCGGAATAACGACGACGCTGTTGGCTACCGCTCAAGCGCGAGACGCCGTCTTGGAGATGGAGGTAGTCGAACTTCGTCTCCTGCACCGTCATCCGACGTCGGCGATTCAGCCTACGACGATCTGACCCCTGATCAGATCAGGAAGAAGATCCGTGAGAAGAAGATAATGCTTGACGCTACTGATTTTCAGGACGAGAGACAAGCGGATGATGATGATGTCCTGGATCGTCGGGATAGAAGGGAGGCTGAAGAACTCTTCAGACAGATCCGCCGTGTTCAGGATGACTGTGACACTCATCCCAATTCCGGTTTCGCTGGCGGTGACACAGGTGCTGAGAGGAGAGCAATGAGAAGGGAGCTACAGCGATACCAGGATCGACTACCACAACTAGCATCCGATGTGCGGAAGGTGGAAAAGAGCATTGCCGAGACCAAGCTGCAGCTTTTCCGTCTAAAGGATGCCAAAGCCCACCCAAATAGCGCCTCAAACATCGTGGGAACCGGTCCTGGCGGCAGTGTCACCGAGGCAGATCGGATCAAGGCGCGAGCGCGCGCTAGGATGCAAGCACGAGCCGCCGAACTAGCCGGCCGTCCCGCCCCTGCAGCGGACGACGAAAATGGTGCTCAGAGGCGCTTGGAACAAGAAACATCCAGCATCAAGTCCGAACAGGAGCGGCACGAAGCAATGACACGGGATGTCGAAGAGAGCGCCAAGGATTTCGTGACAACTCTAGAGGATGGTCTGCGTGACTCAGGGGAAAATGCGACCCAAGAACATGAACGTAGGAGATGGGAAGAAGCATTGGGCGTCGAGGACGAAATCAAAGAACTCATCTACGATCTGCAACGCAGTAGTAGGACTGCCAAGGTCCGGAAAGAAGAGTAAGCACCAATCTCATTTGCAATGACTATTCACTAACGCAGGCAGGCAATCTCGCCAAGCTCCTGCTAGAAGAAGTTCGCGTGACTACAACCGTGAGGAAACAAAGCCCGCGAATGGCGATTCACCTTTACGATCAACGCCACGTTCTCCACCCCCGGCCTCGTCCGTGGGCCAGTCGCAGCAAGATCGTGTCGCTTCTGCCAAAGAGAAGGCCCTCAAACGTATCCAGGAAAGAATGGCAGCCGCCGGTCTCAAGCCTGCTGGTGAAGCTGGCGAGACAGCAGCGCAGCGGCAGGAACGTGAAAGGCGGGAGAGAGAGGAGCGGGTGCGGAAAGCCGAGGCCGAAGATGCGAAACGCGAACAGGAGCGACAACAGAGACTTGCTAACGAGGGCGTCATTCCTCCCAGCCCCAAAAACGAGAAAAAGCCACCTCCGCCGGCACCTCGAAAGCAGCGACAGGACAGCTCGGATTTCTCGGCCAAGCGAGCAGCCGAGGCTGCTGCTCGTGCAAAGGAGGAAGAAGCGGCTGGACGAGCCAAGGCTGAAGAAGAGGCGGCCGCGCAGATCAGGGCCGAGCAGGCAACTGAGAAACGTGAACGAGAACGACTGGAGTAAGTTTTCCGCGTGTATGAACCTTGCATCAGCTGACACTATCTTAGGGCTGCGGCCAGCGCCCAAGAAAATGACCTCGAGAAAGAGCGTGAGGCTGCTCAAGCTCGGTTGCGAGCACTAGAGGAGCAAGTCAAGGCTGGCAAGATCAAGAAGCAGGAAGAAAAGGCTCGCAAAAAGGCTGCGGAGAAAGAGGCAAAGGAGAAGGAGGCCAAGCTTGCAGCACAGCGAGCTGAGCTGGAAGCAGCCCGTGAGCGAGAGCGACAACTCCAGCTCCAGCTTGAGCAAATTGAGAATGACTCCTCATCGGACGAGGACGAGGGCCCGCAGCAAATCACGCCTCAAGAGAGTACACCTGCAACAAGCCAGGTGCTGACAGGCTCAGTTGCCTCACCTCCGCTCAGCCATGCTGCCCCAGAACGGTCAGCAAGCAGTGGCTATGAACCCACGCCTGTTTCTAGTCCCCCTGCTGCTCAAGAGTCAAGGAACCCGTACTTCCGCAAGCTTTCACAGAGCAAACCCGCGGAAAATGGGCGGCCAGTCTTCTCGCCTCCCCCGGTTCCAGAAGCTCAAACATTTGCACCACCACCAGCACCACCAACCGCTCCTGCGCCACCGGCTGAAAGTCTCGCATCTACCAATCCCTTCCACCGCATCGCCCAACAAGAGACTGCGAAGCCATTGACGCCGAGCTTTACTGGAGCTCAGTCGCGACGTCGTCCCGAGGAGGATGAATGGTCGGCAGCGGGATCTGACAAAGACGAAGAAAGCGACGACGACGAAGATCGTCCCGGGGGCGGATCTGCGAAGCATTTGGCTTCTATCCTGTTCGGCACCATGGCACCGCCGAGGCCACTTTCGGCAATGGACAGTAAGCCCCAGACGCCTGTTCAAGAGCCGCCTCCAGTTCCTGGTGCTTTTGAGCCATCTTCTGCTCCGCCGCCTCCACCGATTCCTGGGAGTGGCGCCCCTTCCGCACCTCCACCGCCACCACCGATGCCTGGAAGTGATGCCCCTACCGCACCTCCACCGCCGCCACCATTCCCTACCTCTGATGCCCCTGGAGGTCCGCCCCCTCCACCACCGATGCCTGCGCCTGCTCGTGCAGGGACAGCTGACATTGGTGCATTGCTGGGTGAGATTCAGTTGGGCAAGGGCTTGCGGAAGACAGAAACGAAAGATCGTAGTGCTAGTTCAGTCGCTGGAAGGGTTCTTGGCTAGCTAGATATCAGGTGAAAGGGTCATAGTGATCGAAGAACATGAGAGACGGAGAAGCTCATGCTGCAGCGCCTCCGGGTATTATAAGATGAATATAATCCGATGACTGTGTGAGTGTGTTTCCAGCCCTCCCCGAGTTGCTCGTCCACGCTCGTCCAAGCGAGCCGCGCACGTGACGTTGAGAAAGTGGCTATCCGCGCTAACCAATTCTGGACACTGTCAACATGTCAACAAGCGGAGACCCGAAGGCTGGCCACTTTGACCCCAATCTTCAGATTGTGTTATAGATCTGTGAAGCTACAGAGTCGCCTAATATCCCAATGTTGTAGCCGGTTGGAGACCAGTTGGGCCCGGCGAAGTGAAATAAAAGGACGGCAGTGCAGGGCAACCCAATACCTGACAGCACAGCAAACGACTACCTGGGACGCCAAAGGCAAGATGCCTCGTGTTACTAGAGAGTCGAATGTCCGTCCTAGCCGGCAAGCAGTTGTTATGAATATGGCACGAGAAAAGAGCAAGCTATCACCGGTGAAGTAAGACTTCAACCAAAGTCACTCGAGCGCATCAAGGCGCATTCGTGCTCAACGCAGCCTCGATCGCACATCCGAGCTAACAGTTCCTCAGGATTCCGCTCAACGATGACAAAGGTGAAAAGGTTGCGCGTCTGCATTCCCGGCAAGCCCTACAAGAAATCCACATGAACGAGATTCGCGCGGCAGCAAGTCCAGTACGCAAGCTCAACCAAAGACGAAGAGAATCGAATTACAGCAATATGTCAGACTCACCGCGCACGCCGAGCACGCAAGACGCGGGAACAATAGCGCAGGCGCGGAAAAGAGCTGGGCAACACAGGCAGAGTATTGGTGGCAGCATGCGGACGTCCCTTGGCCATGGCGATAACGGCGTCACGCCCATGAAACGCGTTCCCATCCTTGCCAACTTCGAGGAGTGGATGAAAATGGCCACCGACAACAAGATCAATGCAGCGAACAGCTGGAACTTTGCGCTGATAGATTACTTCCATGACCTGAGTCTACTGAAGGAAGGTGATGGTGTCAATTTTCAGAAAGCGAGCTGCACGCTGGACGGATGTGTCAAGATCTATACGTCTAGGGTCGATAGTGTGGCGACCGAGACGGGACGTTTGTTGAGCGGCCTCGCGGATGGTGGCGCAGAGGGGAAGAAGAATCGGAAAGGAGAGAATGCCGACGGCGAGGAAGATGAGGAAGAAGGTGAAGATGGAGAGGACGGAGAAGATGGCGAGGGCAAGAAAAAGGCCAAGAGGAAACCAGCGCGCAGTCACGAAGCTACTCTCGCGCCTAGCTTTGCTTCGTTCCAGGGCAAGAAGCTCGAATTGGAGTTTGCTGTTGATCCGCTGTTCAAGAAAGCGAGCGCCGACTTTGATGAGGGAGGAGCTAAGGGCCTGCTGCTGAATCATTTGTCGATCGACTCGGACGGAAGAATTGTCTTTGACAGCAGTGATGATGCTGGTGATGCCGCGTTGAGCGGGGAAAAGATTAACCAGCAAGAGCAGACGCACGACAGCGAAGCAGCAGAGTCACAACAGAAAGATTCAAATACATCAACCGAAGAAGACCAAGGAGCCATCGACGAAGAAGGCGACGAAATCGACCTCCCCTCCCTCGCCACCAAATTCTTCCCCGACTTGTCCCTGCTCGATTCTCAAGACATCTGTCCCTCGATGAAAACCTTCACACTGGGCGACCCTTCCGGCTCTCTGGACATCCCGTTCCTCAAAGCCCCGGACGACTGGAAAGAAAAGAAAGGCTTACAAACTCCAGCTCCCGGGCACACTGTTCCGCTGGATCTAGCAGACCAAACAGGGATTTTCCTAGATGGAAGTAATGCCATGGGCTTCGACGATGATGACGATGACGGGGGACTACTCGGGGGGTTTGATGTCGCAGACAACGTTGGCTTTGGCCAAGGCGGCGAAGCGTGGGCTAAGGAAGCCGCAGTGGACGCTCAGGCCCGCATCGTTCGTGCCGAAGACGTGGACGACAATTTGCTCGAAACAGGTGCTCAGGACTATGCAGTGTCCTTGCAGCACAAATACCAAGAAGACGCGGAGCATGAATCCATCATGGCCTATTTTGACAGGGCCTTCAATTCCCGTGCGAAAGGCAAGACTGCATTTCTGACCCTCGAGAATTGGCGGATGCAGAAGATCCAGAAAGCGCAACAAGCTGAGGCGACCGGGACCAACGCTGCGCCGACGAGACAACGCAAAGAGAAAGAACCGTTTGAGATTGACTTTCTTGGACCCATGTCGGAAAGTTTGCAAGAATTACTGCAGCAGCCACCAGTGCTGAACTCACAGATTTCCCTGCCGAAAGCACAGTGGCGCACGAAAGGACATAATCTGCTCGACAAGGATGACGAGCTTGTCGATCCGCGGAGACTTATGCGGCTGTGGACGAAGCCAAAGTGCCGGGTCGGACGGATCCGACGGAAAGAAGGGGGTGTTTCCATGGGAATCATCGATGAAGGGTTCGGCGCAAGGAATCGTCTCGGCACAACTATCGCCGGCGACCAAGATGTTGACGACAATGTGGGAAGAAAGGGCGACTACGATGCGAATTTCTTTGCCGATGATGATCAGCTTCTACCTTTTGACGGGCCCCTACCGATTGACGATGATGACGACGACGACGATATCGGAGGGGCAGACGACGGGCAGGCATTCATGGATGCAAGAGAGATGCTATCGCCTCAACCGGAATCCCAGCAACAGCCGAACATCTTCGACGCGCTTAATGGCCAAGACGAAGAAGCGATATCACAACACCGGGACTCTCAAGCCCCGAACAGCCAACCCGATCTCCTTCCCGGGTCATTTGGCAGCCAGCTAGTGACGCAAGCGGGCAAGAGACTTCGGCCCGAATACGTCAACTACGCGAGGACGGCAAAGAAGGTCGATGTACGGCGACTGAAGGAGAATATGTGGAAAGGCATGGAGACGAAACTGATCCGCATTTTTGACCAAGCGGCTCCCAGGATACCCAACGAGCCAGAGGTGAACGACAAGGGCGAAGGTGATGGTGATGGTGATGTGGATATGATGGACGTCGACGACCCTCCCAGTGATCAACCTCAACCTCAATCTGCCGCCAACGAACCACCTGAACCCTTTTCTGACCAGCAAGAGGACCAGGCTCTGAATTTCACGGACCTCATCCAGGATCTCCGCTCCGTGTATCCCGACCAGCAGATGAAGGACATCAGCACGTCGTACTGTTTCATCTGTCTCCTCCACCTGGCAAATGAGAAAGGGCTCGTGCTGGAAGGTGAACGAGAAGGGGACCATGCAATGCAAGAGATCACCGTCAGGCGAGATCCCACCGTCGGAGACGGCTACGAAGGGGAGTAGAACTGGTCTAGACCCCACACCTTCGTAGCTATTTCCCACGGTGGGTATCTCGCATGGCGGCAACGCGACACGGACTCAACCCAAACCTGGTTATGGGCAATCGATCTCGACGAAACTGCGAGGGCTGGGTAGGAGGTTGTTGGGTTCGACTTCTAAATAGCACTGGAGCAAGCGAGCAACCCCGGCGCCCGACACCGCCGGCGATGTACAATACGAACGAACAAATGAGTTGGATACAGTACGAGACCACGATTTCTTCCAGAGTAGTATTCAAGCACATCGCGCAATGCGATGCATTTCAATACAGAAGAATGACATTTCGTCTTGTCGGGTTGCTTCTTGAGCATTAACAAAGGGGAGGCACAGAGGATGGGAGTTTATCCGATCCAAGCGTTGGTTCGCTTCGTAGGAAGGCCCGCCTTCTCTGGGTTCGTCGGCACTCAGTCGACGCTGCGCACCCGCTTTCCTGGTGCTCCGTACCTCATAGACGCGGTGTCTTCAAGACAGGAAGAGATCGCTTCGTTTTAAAGCGGCATTATCAAATCCCCGAATGGGGTAAGGTGGCAACTTCCGTGGATTTGAGCTCATCGTTCAATGTTATGGTAAATCCCGCTTCAATTCCAAGTCGTCAATCTGCACTCAACCGAGAGAGCATGGCACGCCTTTCGGGCCTGCAACGTGAAGTTCTCAAACTATACCGCGCATGCCTACGAGCTACACGAAACAAACCAGAGGTGCGGGAACCCTTCGCGGCTCAATTTGCCGTTGCGTTCGTCGTTACTCATGTCTTCTGTTCATAGGCGACCAGGGAGAACTTCCGCAACGCAGCACGGTAAGCGCTTTCCAACTTGCGGTAGTCTTTCGCTGGATCTAATCAACTGTCCAAGGCGAGAATTCCGGAAGAACCAATCCGTTGACAAAAAGGACTTTGGCGCTGTCGAGGCCTTGATCAGGATGGGGATCCGGAAGCTCGAGTTATGCTCGTCGCCAGGAGTCAAAGACATTCACTGAACGGCAACCAGTCTTACGGTCCTGGGTCGAGCCATCGCATCGAGCACGCAATAACCTCACATAGCAGGATGTTGTGTTTAACAAACTTCTGACTCTGTTTGCCTGATCACGTGATCACGAATCTTCTGGCACTTGGTCGAAGCAACTGGCGCGTTGTGGCAAAATCACGAAGACGCAAGCCGACTCTGCCTGGCCTGAGAAGCATCCAGCATCAACGACGGTTCTGCTTTCTCATCCGGCTGGATCAACCTAGTATCTTCCACCAAACGAGATGAATGGGTATAAAGTCTTCGTTGACACGGCACTTTCTGAAGTTCGACATCAAGCAAGATCACGACACACAAGAAATCTCCTGCATTCGACCAGCACGACCATAAGTTCTCGCACATCGGGATTTATCAAGCCAACAATCCCCAAAGCTAGAAACATGTCTTTCCTCTTCCCAAGAATCGCTTTCGCGCCCGTGCGCTGCGGACCAGTGCGCCACGAAGCCGCTCCTCTCTTCAGCCTCCTCGACGACACCTTCAACGAGCTGCAGAGAGCTAGCCGAGCAGCACGAAAACAATTCAATCCTCGCTTTGACCTCAAGGAGACGAAGGAGGCTTACGCTTTGGAGGGTGAACTCCCTGGTATCGACCAGAAAGACCTCAACATCGAGTTCACCGACGAACATACCTTGGTCATCAAAGGCCGGACCGAACGCCAATCCGAATCTGGCCGACGGCCTCAAGCTGTCGAGGCCGAGCAGAAGGCTGCCGTTGAGGGAACTTCAGTGAACTCGGAGACCGGCAGTGTCAAGTCACATCGTGCCACCGTTGAAGACGAGGAGCCCGCCAACTCATCCACAGCCGCCGAGAACAAGACAGAGGTGGCCGCATCTACACCTGCTGCGCCTGAGCAGCAAGTAGCAAAGACCGAGGAGCAACAACAACGACCTGAGCAACAATACTGGATCTCTGAGCGCCATGTTGGAGAGTTCACGCGCAGCTTCAGCTTCCCTCACCGGGTGAACCAGGAAGGTGTCAAGGCTTCACTCAAGAACGGTATTCTCAACATTGTCGTGCCTAAGGCACCCGCCCATGAGAGCCGACGCATCGCAATCGAGTAAATGATGGACGTTCAAATCGCGGACATTGAGTTCTGTACAACACCTGCATAACGACTGCATAGCGTGGCGTCACGACAATGGCATATTGCATAGACAGCATAATAACTTGGCGATCGGGGTCGGGTTCGTTAGCATAGGATCATTGATAGACAAATCCATTCAGTCTTGACACAGACTTTCCAGTATTGCCTTTATGACTAGTGGTTGTATACTTTCCTGTCACTCCTTGAAAGTTGCCTAGAATAAACTCAGTCAACCCAGACTTGCACATGCCACCTGAGTTTCTCCCTTTGCCAACCCAATCACAGCATAGGCCCCGCACACCCAATCTTTTGTGCACCACTGACAGGTGAAAAGGAGGCTGGGACATATAGCTTGCGCATACTGCGTACTCCGCGCATGTGTCTCAAAAGGGGCTTGCTCTTCGAGGATCCCGAAAACTCAGGGTGCAGTTGACGCATGTACTGTGCAAGTGTTGAGTATCTCCTCACTTCCGCCGGCATATCGGTCTTGGCTGCATGAGTGACATGCACGGATTTTGCGCCGCGGACGCGGCCTCGACAAATCCGTGTCTAGTTTGACATGCGAAGGTCTAAGTTAATGTATGCCTCACTCGCCACAGAGATGGCTGGTATGTCGAAGGTCTTGCCCGTGGAAACTCGATCGACAGTTCACATCGGAGTGGCGAGCCGGATATTCGAGCTTTATCGTGCGCCTCGTCAGCGATCAGTGGCTGAACGATTGCGTCAGGCGTGTCTGGACCTTGACCCCGGCCATCTGGCCCCAGAATCGGGAAAGCAGCTGTGGCGTTCCATCTCGGCTGCATGATGGTGTGTTGAGAAAATGGTTTGGCGGTGGCTGACCACTTGGCCTGTTGGCGCATCTTGCTGCAGCCAAACCAGGTTCTGCACAGTGGCCGGCCAGTGCTTTGCTTCGCTTCGTGGGACGCGGCTTCCCTGGCAACGAATCGCGTGTGGCGCCGTCCGTGTCAGCCAATGGCTCCCCGATCTCGATACTCGTACAATCTCCACCTCCACGAAGGATCAGCTCTTCAGACTCCATGCTGCCTCGCACTCATGGCCCGAGCTCTGGTGAACATGAAACTGACAGTTCGTCATGGAGCAGTGACCACTTCCGTGCCCACCACCTTGCCAGTTCTCTTCTCTGGCACCATCATATCTCACTAGCTACAGAGTAGAGAGCCCGCACTGCTTCGCTGCTTGTGTTGGTCTCTGGTCAGTTTGCGTCTGAAGCCGGTCTCAGTCACAATTTGTTCATTCGTTCGAGCCATTCTCTTCACAGACACCCCACTTGTTCCTGGTGAACGGACCATTAATACGACAATTACGCTGAACTTATCTACCCGTGGCGAAACGTCGCCAGGCCAGTATTTGCATAGTGGTCGCAGCTCACGCTATCGCGAGAGGTCATTAGCTAGGGTCACTACGTATGCTAATGGGGGTGGAGTGATGCCTTCGGGAACTTGATATCTCTGTCACTGGGCCTTAGAAAGCCTGCGCGTCCAAACCATCCCGCACATAGGGACATACTAGGACTCAAGATGCGGTTTGGCCGGCGCAGATCGGGTCTAGCAGCCGACTCTTTCCAGACTGAACCCGAAACTCGTCGACGAAACCGACTGTCGAAGCCCCTCACGAGCAACGCAACCAAGATCCAGACCTCCACGAGTGCACTGGCGCTTAGTCTGCAGGTTCCCACTCAGAGCAAGAATGCAAGCACAACGGAGCTGCCTGCCAGCCCGTTGTCGGCGATCTCAGGCACTGTGTTGCGCCAGCACATCCGGAACGACATCCTCGCCCAAGAAGATGACAGTCACTCCCCCACTCGTACAGTCAAGAACGACTCGAGTTGGAGGGTAGCCTACATGGTCAGTCGACTTGAAGGAAAGAAGCCAACAGCTGAAACACCCCAGAAGCAAGCGCAGCAGCAGCCGCTAGAGCCGGCGCCGTTGTCTCCAGTCAAGCCGCAGAAGAGGAAGTCTATTCTACTTCGCCGGTTGTCATTGCAGAGGCAGTCCAGTCTAAGCCGAACCCCCAGTTATGAACGAGTTAACTCGCTCAAGTCTGAGACGGCGGTTACGAACACACCAACTCCTTCGCTCGACCAGATTGTGGAATCGCCTTCCATTCCTCCAACCCGTCGGGCCTCTTTTGCCCCTGGCACTGCCACTAGGAGAACATCCCCCATCAAGGCCAAACAAGATATACAAGTGCATAAGTTTCAAGAGCTGGAAGACACTGCAGCGAGAGTTGTCGATTCGGATTATTTGGACTGGCAACCTCCCCCACCAAGGACCGTTGGCAGGGCCGGTACACCGTCAGACATGGGCTATTTGCAACTGGGCGGTTTGAGACATGGTTCTCTACAAATCGTCAACGGTCGTGCCTCACCGGCTTTCAGCGAAGCGTCCAAGGTGTCGAGGCAGCTTCTGACGAACCATACACCGCCGCACCGAGATGTGTCTAGTGAATACGGCGATGCTGATGAAGAGGTCGAACAAACCGATCTCCCATCCATTCACGGCGACCGCAATGGGCCAGTGGAGCGTCGAATTTTCAGCTGGGAAAAGGATGATGACGAGGTCATTCCGCGAAGCCATCCACTGCAGACCGTCATGAATCCAGAAGAAGACACCACCACTGGGAACCACACGTCGCTGATGGCAAATGAATACATTGCCGAGCTCCCAGCTAGTCCTTTCGAGCAGCAAAGGCAGAGCTCTCCCGTCGACAGTATTCGAAGAGCTCGATCTGATTCGTCCCTCTTCTGGAGGCCCAGCTCGCGCTCATCACTGCAAAGGTCACCTTCAGTTGAGAAAGGCTCGAGTGAGCTCTCTCCAAGCAGTCCCTTGCAGCTGTCGGTCTCTCCAACTGGCTCGGTAATCCGCAAAACGAGTTTCGAGACAGCGGGCCGACGACTCCTGCAAATGACGCCTGATCATAAACACCACACTTCTGATAGCACAATGAGCTGGCATTCTCCGATGGAGGCAATAGACCCAGCTGACGAAGCCTTTCAATCAGCGGTCGAGTTCCAAGTCCAGCTCTCACCCACTAGAAATGGACTTAAACCATTTCGTGCGCCAGAGAAATCAGATAGTGGCTATAGCTCCAGCAACTCTCTCCGATCTTTTCACGCCGCGAAGCGGACAACACCACCGCCGGTAGAGATGGAAGCATTCCCACAGGTCTCAAATTCGACAACGGGCGGCGCTACGCCACAATCAGCTCGACCTGCCTCCTTCCTTGTCAACAGACCATCCATTCTGAAGTTGCGAAGGACTGAGCTCAATGTGCCGACTCTTGCCAATATGCGATCCAGCGTCGTGTCAGCAGAGCCGGCGGTTGCCTCGATGGCAACAGCTGTACCTGGGACTGCGAACGATGAAGCCAAGCCTGGAAAAGCCCGGAAAAAGTTGCTGAAGAAAAGACGCCCAGTGAGCCAAAGTCCCGGTCAGATTTCTCTCGTCAAGGTCCAGTCCTTTGAGGTGGAAAGCATCCCTCAGGTTTCTCCGGCGGCACGAGAAAACCTTCGCGTAAGGTCGCAGACAGTCCCTGAACTGGAGCGAACGTATATGCCACCGGACATCATGGAAAACACGCCAAATAGATCTCTGCTTGACCTGTCCAATACCGCTTTCAGGTTTCCCTCGCCTGGTCCGGTGCAGTCTCTTCAAGTCAAGCGATCGAGGTCTCGTAGTCGACCAAGGACGTGGTTTGAACGTTCCAAAACGGACATTACAGATTCGAGAGGCGATTCAGGCATCAGTCGAGCCGAGGCGAATGCCATCATTGATCGTTATGGTACTGACAGTGCAGGATTGGGAAGAAGTCCATACGACTTGAGCAGCCACGGTGCTCTTTCGCAGAAGTCAGGGACTGTGCCTATCATCTCTACGGCTCTTCCTCCCCAACCCCGCTCGATGATGGACGATAGAACAGCCGCAGAGTTGTCCCGGGGTCGAAGTCGATCGCTTCGGGAGCGTGAATATACTGTCCCAGGGCGGCGACTTTCCTTCAATGACAGAGGTGGCATACCTGGTAAGAACCTTAGCCCAGCCGGGTTTTCCAGTGAAGCACCTCCGATCACATCTGAAATGTTGGAGAAGGCATATCGGACCTCTTCTATGCAACGACAACCGTCATGGAGCACCGATCTAGCGCCACCTCCTCCACCACATGCATCGCGTCCTTCATATCTTAATTATGAGGAGGTTGAGTGTGATGCAGTGGCGCCGCCACCTCCGCCGCATTCACCTCAGCCGGTCGACATAACGGCTGACCCTTGGGTTGCTCGGGCTGCGGCGTGGAAGGCTCGTAGAAAGTCTGCAGGCGAAGCTCTAAGACGACAAGCCTGGGACTATCAGGAGTACGAGGGGTATCATGAAAGCTCCGATAATGAGCTTCTATACCCAGTTATACCTCCGGGACAGCAATCCGAGCGGGCGCAATACCTCTCTCCCAAGAAGTTCTCCTCATCCCCACAAGAGTACCACCGAGGGAACATGGGCCCGTCACGGCACCAACAGGTGTATCGATCGCCATACGAGGCAGATGATCATGAACCTACGTACGCGAGACCGTACGGAGAGTACCCCATACCGCACGACACTCGCTACCCATATATGAACCAATCGAGAGAAGCTTCCCGCCACCGCCCTCTCCCGCAGCCTCGGCCTGCGAACGGAGCTGTTACCCCACGACCACACTCGAGAGCAAATAGTGCACGCAGCTTTGCCTCGTCAATAGCGGAAGAACTGCATCCACGGCATCTGGACAGGCAGCATCCTCCGCCAGCATTTGGTCGCTATTCGGGTGGAATGGCCTTCGGCTATGAACACGGAAGTGGATTCGGCGGCTCAGCCGGGACCAGATCTTCCAGCGGGCAAGCCGGCGCTTCGAGGAAAGGCGTTTACCTAACGGCTAGCCACGGCGTTGACCTGGGAGATGTGCCTGTTGGGATCATGGCGAGACAGTGAGTGAACAAAAGTCGACCACTTCGATTGATTGCCGCGTGTCCGAACCCAAGGTGATAGGGCCTCGGCTGGAGTTTTATGACGTTGGGTTTTGCGTCCTGGAGCATATATCCATGCAGGGTGTATGATCAACCAGTCTTGGGTGGAGGTGAACATTTTAGGAAGCACGGCGGCGACTTCTGGTTATACCTAATTCTTGGATGAGGCTAGGTTGCCGTGGCTTGCAGAGATCGATCATGTGTATAAGTACAAAAACGGGTTGGACAATCAGCGACTTCAGAAAAGTCTCAGTTGGATAACACGCCAGAACCCTGGTCACAACTTATATCACTTATTGCGTTCAACATATCTGCTGCCGTGTGAAACAACGTGTGCAACGTGGACATTTCGAGGTCCTGCGAATTCGATACTTGACTGAAATTCGGATACCTTCGCAGTTGGGTTGAGCAGAAGCACCGGTCCCATCCTCGTGAGGTGACCAGGTGGCAAAGTGACAACTTGTAAAGGCCTACACTTTTCCACTGAGGGAAATACAGTTGTACCGACTCATGTTTCCGAATCTCACTTTAAACCCCCAGCCTCGAGCTCACCTTTTGGTCTAATCAATCATTGATTGATCTCAAAAAAGCTACAACAACCCATCTCCCCTCATGATATTAATCCCCAAAGGTACCTACAGTAGGTAGTTACGAGTATCCGGATTCAGAGCTGGCGCAACCCCCACACCGCTACACCTACACAGGGTGAGCGCCTACGGCGTAGTAGGTACCTAGGTACCCATATGAGTGCCCAGTGTAGGAGATGCGTAAGACGTAAGGTGTACTCCGTACTCCGTAGTCAGACTGGTTTGTGCGGGGCGTGGGCAGGGTTGATTAATATACTGTAAATAGTACGGAGTACAGAACGCAAGTACATAGGCAGTGGTGGGTCGTGTCACAGTTGCAGTGTGGCCTCCTGTAACAGCGCGCACTAAACCTTATTTCTGGGAGCACGTGCGGGAATGCATCTCGTCTACAGCACCACAGGACTGGTACCGTGTGTGCAGCAATCCACGCCGCAGTACTCCGTGACTCCGTAGGTACGAGGTTAGGCCAATTTTATCCGTCTTCTCACCGCACTTTGTCCGAACTGCTCGCGACCATGAGGCAGAGGCAGTATTTCAAGTTGCTCTTCACGTGGCTTGATAAATCTCGGCGTAGTCTTGGCGCTAAATGCGCATATCGAACTTCTACAGATCTAATATTTAATTATTCGATGATCAGACATATCCGGCCCAAACCTCTCCTCTTCTTCAACGGCACCTCCGCGTCAATGACTTCTTGCAGTCCAGTCTGCATGTCGACCTCCATGGGATCCCAGGCCCACTTGTCCCGCCAGAACACGATCCGGTGGCCGACGTACATGACGACGAAGATGGGGATGCCGATGTACGCCGTCAGGAAGGAGCTGGCTGACCACTTGCTGGGGAAGAAGACCGTGAAGCCGTTGATGAGGCAGAGGATCGTGAAGGACACCATGGCGATGTATGCTCCGTATGGTTGGACCCAGTTGCGATAGATGGGTTGGATGTTCTGAGCGGCGCACGCCTTTCGGAACCGGAGGTATATCACCATACAACAAACCCACGAAGTCATGCCCCAAGTATTAGTTAAATTCACGAACCAGTTGAACACGGTGGACCCATCGTCAGCAACGTTCAGGTACGCTAGGCCGCAGAAGAGGGAGGAGCAGGCGACCGCCATGCTAAAGATAATGTGTTAGCGTGAATCCGGATCCGGGGGGAGGGAGAAGAAACTCACTAAGGCACGCCCCAACGGTTGCAGGCTTTGAAGATTCGCGGAGCGGATCCTTGAACGGCCAGGGAATACAGTGCGCGGGAGGAGATGTATAAGAATGAATTGCCGGACGACCATGCCGAGATCAGGATAACCGCGTTGACGATCGATGGAAGCGTGGAAATCCCCGCGTTTGCAACCGCCACAACGAATGGGGAAGATCCCGCTCCAGCTCCGCCGTTGGTCAATCGCTCATCGTTGCTCGGGCAGGTTACCCCAATGGCGAGGACCCCTAGGACATAGAAGATGACGAGACGGTAGAAGTAACGTCTAGATGCGATCGGAAGGTTGCGTCGTGGCGACTCCATCTCGCCACCCGTAACAACCAGAAGCTCCGGCGCGAACGTGAAGGGGAAGACTGACAAGACCAGCGTTTGGAAGAAGGAGATGAAGCGCCCAGTATCGCCTCCGACGAGATAAGGATGTGCTGCGCCCGGGTCATTCCAGTATCGAAAGCCGAGGCGGTCGCGAGAGGGACCGCCACCCCAGAAGAGAATGAAGCTTAGAATGAGCAGGCCGATCATCAGGACGACCTTCGTGCCGGCGAACCAGAATTCGGTTTCCCCATAGAATCTGACGGGCAGGAAGTTGAGCCCGACGATCACGACGATCATGATGGTCATCCAGACGGCGATGTTGACGTCGTTGGGCCAGTAGTTGATGACAAGGCCCGCGGCTGTGATTTCATATGGAACCAAGATACCCAGGGCGTACCAGTAAAGGTAGCCTAGAGCAAATCCCATGGACCGAGAAACGTAGCGATAGCCGTAGTAGGACATTGTGCCGCCATGGACTGGAAGGTAGGCGGCCACTTCGGTGACGGCGGTGACGACGCAGTAGACCAGGAATGTCATGATAAGATAGGCTGCCAGAATAAATGCTGGGCCACCAAGAGCGAGGGTCTGACCAGAACCGACGAACAGACTGGGTGGGAGAAAGTTAGTCGCCATGATGAAGATAACGGAGAAATTGAGACATACCCAGTACCGATGGTTCCTCCCAGGGCGATCATCTGAGCATGTCTGCTCTTCAAACCACGCTGAGTGATGTTGTAGCGGTCATCGAGCAAGTCTGCAACGATGATTGACTCCGCCACAGAAGACTTTCGGCCGGTTATCGAGTGTCTGTGGCCATGCTCGTCGACGGAGATCCGGTTCTTGACAGGCTCGATGCCCTTCTCGGGGTCAGTGTAGTCTTTCTCGGCCATGGCGACAGTGCTACTGTCTGCCTGGAAGGTCGGATCTGCCCTGCTCAAGGGGGTATCTCAGATCGATGGACTTCTCCAGTGAAGTGCAACCAGAGCAGCTGAGGGACGGGGGGAAGAAGCCGAGACATGGTCGAGACGGGGGTCAGAAGGATGTCTTTATATCTGGGGTCAGTTCGAGCTCAGCAGTGGTATGGGCACAGAAACAGCAACACGACGGGCAAGGCTCGAGCTGACTGCCTGGTGGGGGTGGGATGGAAGTAGCGCAGGACTGTCAGTGGCTATTGATAAGGTAGTGCGTGAAGGGGCAGGCGAAGGCGAGGTGTAAGACTCATCTTGGTCGCTCTTGGCTGCAACGCAAAGGGCACTTGGCCACACGCCATCGAAGCTCTCTAAGGCTGCTCCCGCCGCATATCTTCCCGCAGGGATCACGTATCTGACCTACCTTTCCATTGGGCCCTGGTCGCTCCAGTGCGGCCGGGATCAGGTATCCTCACACGGATTGCCCAGCCAGCCCGGCGTGCCCAGACCAGAGGCTGCGATAAGCATCGGCCCACGTGTTGATGTCTTGAACGATTTCTTGATACTGTGTACGTTCGACGGTTCCTGGACGGCCGCTATGGCTTTTAGCTTTCCAGTGTCATTGATCAGGCTTTGCCGCCGAGACGGCGTTCTGCGTGATCGTCATGGCTCTCGAAATACACCACACCTCAACCGCCATAGCATGCCATATTAATCGTGCTCGCCATGATCTCCTGAGGCCAACCGCTCTGACGGTCGACCGTCGGCGGCGTTATTGCTACTCTTATTGTAGTAAATGCCATCACTTCGACTTCTGAAGCTCGGACCTCGCTTCAGCACCAACCTGCTGATGCTGCATGGTAGCAACGAGCTAGGACCCCAGCTGCATGCCTCATGGCCACGCCACGCCACGTGCCGAGGCCATGGTACTGGAAGCATCTTCCCGACGCAATGGATATGGCTACGACTATGCTCTTGCGCGGGCCAGGGCCCTCCAGGGCAGGTAGGAACTGGGCCATGCTTCGAGAAAGCCCGGCGAATCCTTCAGACCGATCGAGAAGTGCTGATCTGATAGGCGAACCACCGACCTTGGCCCAGTACGAGTACTTGTCTCAGGCACACACGGTTCCGACCTGTAGCTGCGTCGCCCCATGCCTGCCGAACTCAAAACTTCCCCCATCATCTGAGAAGATATTAATGTCATCATTCCTTGCCGGCATTTCCCTGATGCTCTCCACGGTACTGGTTGAGCACTGGATATGTCCGTTATTGTTCTCGGCCGTTTCAAACTTCTCGACCTCAAGATAACAAGATTGTGGCTTGCAGAGCGGACATGTCCTGACTTCCGGACTAAACATTATTTGTGCTTGGCTTCCCCAGTTTGCCCAGCCTCAGTCTCAGTCTTCGGGTATGCAGCTGGCAAGCGGAGATGTGAGCCTGTACAGATTACGACTATGGTGACATGCGAGAACCTGGGAGCACCAATCTATCAAGGAGGGTGACAAGGAAGGACAAGAGGACACACGAAGCCACCAACGTCGCTGTCGATCAATGAACAGAATAGAATCTGCTCAGCTCGACGGCTACCGCGCTGACTGAGCGAGCCCGGACATGCCCGCAGACGCCGAGCTGTGTAAGATGCGGCAGGCTCAACGCTCGCGGATGTATTGCTTCTGTGGACGACATGCATTTTTCACGGCCGTGTCTTGACGTCCATTTCTAGGCTCGGTTAAACCTTTTAGTACAAGTACCAGGCCTAAGGTGAAGCTAGAAGGTGAGGCCCTTGAGAATGATCTTTGGGAGACTGTAACGTTGAGACAGCAAACAGCTCTGATCGACGAAATGCCTGTCAGCTTGTGGATCGTGCTGGCACTTTTAATTTATGCTGCGACACGTCCTTCCTCGCGTGCTGCAAAGCTCAGGAAAATCCCGGGCCCATGGCTTTATGCGACAACTAGGTTCAGACTGGCTTGGGATGCGTGGCAGGCCCGCTCAATTCATGCTGTGCACGGCCTGCACCGAAAATACGGCCGTGTTGTTCGCATCGGACCGAATGAAATCTCATTAAACAGTCTGTCCGCGCTGAGGACGATATACGGCGCCGGCAGCGGCTTCGAACGAACGGACTTTTACCGAATGTTCGATGTCTATGGCCGACCGAATCTGTTCACGTTTGCGTCAGGCCAGCTTCATCGGGAACGAAAGAAGCTGATCAGCCACATCTATGCAAATCAGACCGTTCTGTCGCCTCACTTCGCGAGCCTGGTGAAGAGCAAGGTGGCAGCCTACATCAACCTCCTTGAGCGTGAGCCGGACCTCGGTAGTGAGATCTTCGCCAGTTTGCATTACTTTTCCTTTGACGCAATATCTGAGTTCGTCTATGGATCTAAGTATGGGGGCACGACTGCTCTGGCGGGATCGAAGCAGTCAAGGAAATTGATCCAAGACATACTCAATCCAGCTCGACGGCGACTGGCGTGGTTTACGGTGTATTTTCCTGCTTACACCAAGTGGATAACGACCCGCACCGGTATCTTGGAGAGACTGCTTACTTCGATGGGCATGATGCCGATGCGGAAGCCTTTCACGTATTCTGGCATCCGTCAGCATGCATTGGAAGCCTTCCGCAGCTTCAAGAAGGCGTCGCACGAAGACAAGGCCAAGAGTGCTGAGTCCACCGTCATTGGTCGCTTGTTCAAGGTTCAGGAGGATGCAAACCTGTCCGACATGGACATTGCTTCCGAATGTGCTGACCATTTGTTGGCAGGGATTGATACCACTTCAGACTCCCTGATGTTCATGATCTGGGCACTGTCGTTGCCCCAGCACAAGGAATGCCAAGAGAGGTTGAGAGAGGAGTTGTCGCAGATCTCCGTGGACAGCCAGGGGCTCCCTGAGCCCAAGGATCTCACTCAACTACCCTATCTGAATGCAGTCGTCCGGGAGTCCCTGAGGTTGTACTCGCCCTTGCCTGCGTTTGAACCTCGCTCCTCGCCTGTCGACACAGTGGTTGATGGCTACGAGATTCCTGCGGGCACAGTCGTGGGCATGTCACCATTCTGCCTCCACCGAGAAGAAACTGTGTATCCTTCGGCCTTGACTTTCAGACCGGAGCGGTGGCTTACAGATTATGGCACCCTCATCCCTGAATCGGATCCCAGGAACCGAACTTTTTGGGCTTTCTCCAGCGGGGCCCGCATGTGTATTGGAATGCATCTGGCAAACGCAGAAATGCTTACCTTACTGGCTGCGGTGTACCGGAAGTATAAGACATCTGCAAAACACCCGGACACCTCTCCAGGTATTACAAGCCGATTCGAGATTTTCTTCGATGAGACAAAGCCGAAGATGGTGGAACATGAATGTCACATCAGCTTCACAAAGCTTGGTTGATGGTTGACTGACTGCCGACAACTCGCTGTCAGTCGCACTGCCCCTGTCCGGAAAGCGCAGACCAGACCGATAGCACCAGGAACGAAAGATCAAAATCACGGGGCAAGATGCGGGCCGTACCAGGCACAAACATAATATGTATGCACGCAACCGAACTCAGTGCAGATTGATTTGAGCAGAGGCTGCCAACTCAGACCAGCAATGTCACACAAGAGGATGGTCTGGAAACAGCGTCAAAGTCTTGTACCTTTCCCTCATCTGAGATTGCAAGAGGTGCGGCAGAAATTCAGTCCCAAGATAACACAACAGTTGACGCGAGCTGACACTCTTCTGCGGTCCGGGCTCCTGACACCCTGAATTCACAATCTTCAAATTATGTCTTAATCCCTTGCGAGTTCCATGTTCACACTCGCCTACTCGTCCTTATTTCTTGACTTTTCAGTAAAAAGAACTGCCGGCAAAATGTGTGTGACGGAGGTCTGGAGCTACCGCGAGTGTGGCTGCTTCTACAATCATAGCGTGCTTTGCCGGTCTTATCGAAACCAGTGCGCCCCTTGCTTTGCCCCAAACATACAATATCCTTTGTATCGATGGCTTCAAGAGACGGGAATCACCGCCGAGATGGCACACAAGCACCCTATAGAGCGAGCGAGGCCTACCAAACCCCAAGACTGCGCCGACCACCGTACCATGCAGAAGTCATTTCTCAACCAGATATGCGAAGATTGTCTGCTCGCAGAGCTTGATACTGAGGCCAACCCTGATCGGAACGGTGACAACACACATGAGACTTCGGTTCCTGTCCAAGGGAGCAGAGAAGGTCTCATTTGGGATAGTGAGGTCAGAATCGAGATTGAGGATCAAGGACTGGTGTCTTCGACAGGCGCAGTTGTGCAGGCTGCTCCTCAGCCTATTGTCGGACCCCATGACGACAGGCAGATTTTCGAGAGTCAGGTCCAGATCACGATCCAGTACGAAGACCACAGTGGATTTGAACAAGACTTGCCTTCACCAACCTTCACAGCCTCGCCACCCGTCTGCTCCTCGCGGACCTATTCCCTTGGAATATTCCCGGCAAGCGCGTATTACACCCGTTCCTGTCAACCCAAGTCGCCCAACTACCTGTCCAAGAGGCACGGGCGTGACTCTCAGAGCAGGCTTTATGAACTCGATGACGCTGATGATGAATTCGACCGCATAGAACGACTCTCAACAGATTCGCGACAAGCAGAACGAGGGCGACCTTTGACGCGGTCAAACCTACACAAGGTTGAGAAGAGCGAGCCAGAGGCAGAGGTCCCGGTCGGTTCTGTCAGTGCGCGTACTGCTGGTTGGCCTAGATCTAGACCCCACAGTCTCAGATCATTATCCACAACATTACTCTCTGGTGTGAGAGCCGAAGGGACGAGAATGGTGCAGAACTCGGCGACCTATCCGACAAGCAGTTCATCCTTGTCAGGGTCACGGAAGAGGAACCCCTTCCGCAACATTCGTAGCCGCAAAAGTTCACCATTGACGCAGGAGTCGAGATCTCTCACTTCTGCCTCTTGGACTGATTCCCCTGTCAATCAAGGGTCAGTCTCTGAAGCACATAGTTTGCGGCCTATGCTGCCTCGGAAATCGACCTTGAAGGATCTCACACTATGTTTGGCGAAAGACTCCAAACGCACAGAAACAGTGTGGCCGCCGTCCGCGGGCACATTTTGTGACCTCGTTCAGATTCCGAGCAGCATGGGGGAAGATAGTGACTGCGACGATCAAGATATCACCTTCTCAGGAACGCAAGTGTCAGATTCTCATTCTGATACTGTCTTTGATACCGACTCCAGAGTCACCAGTCTACACAGCGAAGCGACGCCGCCCCATCACGCGGATAGAGGCACCTCGGGCTGTTACATAATCCCGAGCATTCCGAAATCGTCGACGCTGAAAACCCTGCGTGCTGTCATCGATGACCTGAGTCTGGGAGTTGATGTTCAGAGCGCTTGCCCGTCAGGTAGCCCGATCGCACCAGACGAGAAGATAGTGGTATAACGCCGGATAGCTGACGTTGCTGAACTTGGTCATATCGACACACCTGGGCTGTTGACACAGCAAGAGCAACTGCACAGTCGTCACCATAGGGAAAGCAAGAAAGGAACCCCGGTCTATCCTCCTCGGTCGACATCCTTGAAATCGATTGTGGGACAAGCCATGCCTTCCAATCAGTACTCAAACGAGGGAGTACACAAACTCGATTCAACAGCAGCTTTCGAAACGGAGGACAGATTCTGAGTCCTAGATAGTCTGAAGAAAGGAGATTCTGCATGTGCCGATGAGTCACCAATATAAGCCGGCACATCATCCATGATTCTTGACCGTGCAGCGAGGCGAGATTGGTGCGAGATGAAACAGACATGCGCAAGGGGGCAGAATGGCAGGCTTGAGGCGTGCATACGTGGACGAATAGGAACCGAGCCGCCGTCTCACGTGACTTGGGACGAGGCTTCGATAGTTGGAGTCGGCGGTGGAGTCTCAATCGATTCACAATTCACAGGCCAAAATTATTGTCACGAACCCGTAGTGTCCATTTTACCGTGGTGCCTCGTCCTTACTATCGCTTCTCGTCGAGATCCCGGGGGTTCTGGCTCGTGGACTGCTGTTTGTGTCTGCCATCTCGCACGCAGCCTACACCGTTCTACCGCTATATATTAATCCCTGTCCGGGCCCAACAAAGCGGTCTCTCAGCGAACACGCGCCGGTGCACATTCCAGTCCCCCGTCAACATCCTGTGATCGCCGCGACCGACTGCCCTCGCTCGTGTATGCCATAGACCGCCATCAGGCAACATGTCTGTTCTCCCTGCCGAGGTGCAGGGAGCCTTGACCCAACTCCTCCAAGCCCTCCAGTCGCCCGATAACACTCTCCGCAGTCAGGCGGAGGAGCAACTCAACAATGACTGGACCCCCAATCGCCCTGAGATGTTGTTGATGGGATTGGCCGAGCAACTACAGGTCGCGGAAAATCCATCGGTAGGTCAGGAGATGATGTCGCAGGGAGGATGCTGAGAGATACTACCAGACACGATCATTTGCCGCAGTCCTGTTCCGCAAACAAGCCTCGAAACAACGAAAAATCCCTCCTGGTAACGAGTCGAAAGAACTCTTCTGGACGCTCAGTGGCGAGGCCAAGGGTGCCATCAGGTCAAAATTACTCGAAGGACTGGCAAGAGAACAGGTCAGTCCCGTCAGGAACAAGATCGGAGATGCGATTGCAGAGATTGCCCGACAATATGTCGAGTCTGGTAAGCAGTCTGTCAGTGTCGGACCCCGCTCTGGCTGATACAGTGCACAGGCGAGAATGAGACGTGGGTCGAGCTTCTCCACGCCTTGTTCCAGGCCAGTCAGTCCTCCGAGCCTGGGATGCGTGAATGTGCATTTCGGATATTCGCGACGACTCCCGGAGTCATCGAACGAGAGCACGAAGGTGTGGTGCAAGAGGTGTTCCTCAAGGGTTTCAAAGACAACTCAGTCGACGTAAGAACCGAGACCCAAGTTTCTACGTGCACCGTACTCACCCCTCCAGGTCCGACTGTCTGCCACCGAAGCATTTACTGCCTTTTTCCATTCCATCAAGAAGAAGACACAGCCGAAATACTACTCGCTGGTCCCTGAAATCCTCAACATTCTGCCACCCCTGAAAGAAGCTGGAGACACAGACAATCTATCAAGAGCTTTGGTTGTTCTTATCGAACTCGCCGAAATATGCCCCAAGATGTTCAAAGGCTTATTCAACAATCTCGTCAAATTCAGCGTTTCGGTCATCCAGGACAAAGAGTTGGGTGATCAGACGCGCCAGAACGGACTGGAGCTGATGGCCACTTTCGCCGAATGGGCCCCTGCCATGTGCAAGAAGGATCCCTCCTACACGAACGACATGGTCACACAATGTCTCAGCTTGATGACTGACATAGGCACCGACGATGACGATGCTGCAGAGTGGAATGCCACCGAAGATCTCGACGGGGAAGACCAAGAAATGAACCACGTGGCCGGCGAGCAAACAATGGATCGGCTGGCAAACAAGCTCGGAGGGCAGATCATGCTCCCTGCGACCTTCACCTGGCTGCCGAGGATGATGCATTCCGCCTCCTGGAGAGATCGGCACGCGGCGCTGATGGCCATTTCCGCAATATCGGAAGGGTGTCGAGACCTGATGATTGGCGAGCTTGACAAGGTTCTGGAACTTGTGGTCCCATCACTGAGAGATCCTCATCCCCGAGTCAGATTCGCGGGATGCAATGCCTTGGGCCAGATGAGCACCGACTTCGCCGGACCTATGCAAGAAAAGTACCACCAAGTGGTCCTGACCAACATCATCCCCGTGCTCGAGGCTCCTGAGCCTCGCGTCCAAGCCCACGCGGCCGCAGCGCTCGTCAACTTTTGCGAGGAGGCAGAAAAGTCGATATTGGAACCTTATCTCGACCAATTACTCAGTCACCTCCTGCAGCTGCTACAGTCTCCCAAGCGATATGTCCAGGAACAGGCGCTGTCGACGATTGCCACCATTGCTGACTCGGCCGAGAGCGCTTTCGTGCGATACTATGACACCTTGATGCCTCTTCTCTTCAACGTGTTGCGATCGGAACAATCGAAAGAATATCGTCTGTTGCGTGCCAAAGCAATGGAATGCGCCACACTCATTGCACTGGCTGTCGGCAAGGACAAGATGGGCCAAGACGGCATCACACTGGTTCAGATCCTGGGCAACATTCAGCAGAACATTGCTGATGACGATGATCCGCAATCACAATACTTGCTGCACTGCTGGGGACGAATGTGTAGAGTCTTGGGCAGTGATTTCGTGCCGTACCTCCCCGGTGTCATGCCTCCCTTACTTGAACTCGCCGCGGCAAAGGCCGACATTCAACTGATTGACAGCGAGGACGAGGCGATAGATGAAGAAGGCTGGGAATTGGTGCCCCTGAAAGGCAAGGTGATTGGCATCAAAACATCAACGCTGGAGGACAAAAACACCTCGATCGAGCTTATCACGATATACGCCCAGATCTTGGAGGCCGACTTCGAACCCTACGTGGCTGACATCACGGAACGGATCGCTCTGCCTGGACTTGCATTCTTCTTCCACGACCCCGTCCGAGTCTCCTGCGCCAAGCTCCTCCCTCAACTGCTCAACTCGATCAAGAAACGGTACGGCGAACAGTCACCACAACTTCAAGAGATTTGGGGGAAATGCTGCCCCAAGGAGATCGAGATCCTCAGTGCCGAACCCTCGATCGACACCCTGGCAGAAATGTACCAATGTTTTTACGAGAGCGTTGAAGTCGTAGGTAAAGGATGCCTCACGCAAGACAACATGGAAAAGTTCATCGAGTCGGTACAATCGACATTGGAAGAGTTCCAGAAGCGCGTACAAGAACGGGCGGAAGAGAGAGCCGCCGACGCGGCAGCCAACCAGGGCGCCGCGGATGCCGACGAAGACGATTCACTCTCGATTCAGTATGCCATCGAGGACGACCAGACGCTCCTCTCCGACATGAACAAAGCCTTCCACACGGTGTTCAAGAACATGGGCGTCGCCTTCCTCCCGACATGGCAGAGATTGATGCCCTTTTATGATGGGTTCGCCACCTCCGCGGACCCCATGCAACGTCAATGGGCAATCTGCATCTTTGACGATGTCCTGGAATTCTGCGGCCCTCAGTCATACCAGTACTCGGAGCATATCATCAACCCGCTCATCAACGGCATGCGTGACGAGAATGCCAACAACAGACAGGCAGCGGCATATGGGGTTGGAGTCGCGGCCCAAAAGGGCGGCGAGCAGTGGAGCGATTTCGTGGCCGCCTCGGTCGACACGCTCCTCCAAGTCACGCGTGTGCCTAACGCCCGGAGCGACGATGAAGTCTTTGCCACGGAAAATGCGTGCGCCGCGGTGGCCAAGATCTTGCACTTTAATGCCTCGAAGGTCGTCAACCCGCAGGGGATAGTGGAGCAGTGGCTCGACTCGCTGCCCGTCGTAAACGATGAAGAGGCCGCGCCCTACGCTTACAGTTTCGTCGCGCAGTTGATTGATCAGTGAGTCCTTCCCCACGTAGATGTTACTTTGTACCACGTCGGATCGCCATCGCTAACTATCATGATCACAGAGAAAACCCCGCCGTGTTTGCAAAAGCAGCGCAAGTCTTCCATCACATTGCCCTTGCGCTCGAGGCCGAGATGATCCAAGGCGCGACGGCCAAGAAGATTGTCGAGAGCGCCAAAGTCCTGGTGGGCAAGACGGGGATCAATGCCGAGCAGACGCTGCAGGGGTTAAGTGCCGACGGGCAGAGGACTGTGAGGAGTTATTTCTCGTGATGCTTCGCGAGTGCCCCCGCCTGGGATTGGATGGGGGATGTAGCAGATAGAGAGAGATACAGTGTCTCGAGTGTCTACCTAGCTGTGATTCGGAGTCACCTTCGAGGTCCACAAGGCAAGCATATCATTGTCAGTGTCAGTGCCGGAGTAAGTGGTGCAGTGATTTCTCTAATACCGCGACCTGTCGCTGTAGGTACAGTCTCGTCCGGATCTTCGCGCAAGCGACTGACTAAGCGGGCATCTTGAGATGGAAGGGGAACAGAATAGGGAATAGGATATGATGGCGGTCTGGACAGGGCAGGCATGACAGGATGGGATGATACGCGATGGTAAGGTGTGTGTGTGTGTGTGTGTGTGTGTGTGATGTGAATGACTCGGAGTCGAGAATGAAATCTATAGAGAGAGAGAGATTTACTCAACATAGACGGGTATCACATTCGCCTGCTGTACTTTACTCCTGGTGCTCTATATTATCATCTCGGCAGGTGAGTAGGTGAGTAGGTGAGTAGGTAAGTAAAGTAGATCAGACAGAGTAGATGTCCTCATCATTCCGCAATCCTCCACGGGCCACTGGAAACTGGACACAGGCCATAAGGACAGTCATTGCACATCCCACATCCTACATCCCACATCCCAGACGTCCGCCGTGCGTAGTATCTGTCTACCTACCTACCTTAGGTACCTATGTACATCTATACGAGCTAATTACCTGGGTACTTCGTAGCCACCATGGCAATCCGCATTTCCAAGTAGCAAACTCTCGCTAATGCTGGTAGACCACTATATATATAGTACAGTCGGGAAGTGGTACTGTACTCGGCAAGGAGATCTGTGTTTGGGGACACCCGGACTAGATGTGTTCAAGCACGGGAAGGAAGGCGAGAAGGTACGTACCTAGGCAGCGAGGTACACCGGGTATATATATGTATATATGCCGTACGGCGTATGTCGCTGCTTGATACAGCACACGTACACATACTGTGCCTCCCACGAACAAGGCCGATTCAATATGTACTCATCCCGTATCCTCTACTAGACCGAGTATCATACTGTAACTTTTGCTCCGGGGCGATCCAACACGCAATGTACACACATACACACACATACACACGCACGCACCCACACACCGCACGTAATCAAACTCTGAAACCATCGGTCCGGCAGTCTCATTCTTACTGTACTGTACTTGGATCTCGCCCTCCCTGCCCTTCCTGCCCTTGGGTATAAGTCCTATACACAACCGTGGGAATAACAATAATAAGCCCCTTCATCAATCAATCATACTGTGTCCATATTGTCATTGCGTTGTCTCTAGTCTTACTCAGACACTTACCAGAGGCTTTGCAACTTTTTCCACCCAACATGCTCAGTCAACCCAACACCGACCGGATTTCCAGATATCGACACTATCATTACAAGCTCTCTGGACTCATCATGCTTGTATCGCCATCCCCCGATTTGATCCCGTTGGCCTTGCCATCAGCCACGCCATTGACCTCCACCTCGACGGCGTCATCATCCATCATGCCGTCCACGACAAAATCCTCGACAGCAGGTTCGCCGGGTTGACCTTGACCATCCTTCTCACCTCCCGCTTGATTCATGTCCGTCGTGGTCGTCATTGTCCTCCCCTTGACCGTCGCCGGCTTGGCTTTCTTCTCGGGACTCCCATCTCCGCCGGGCCCGGGCGTACTGGGCGTCGCGTTGCCGGGGCCATTCATCACGGGCGTCTCGTCCGTGTTGTTGCCTTTCTTCTTCGCCGGCGTCACATTGGCGTTGGCAGGGACAGCAGTATTACTCTTGACGGCGTTGGGACCCTTCGTCGGGCCCTTCTTCTGGGGACTCGTGTTATTATTCTTGAGCGTCCCCTCTCCAATCTTGCCGCTTGCTGGAACGCGTGCCCGCCCGTACCCTGGCCTTTGCTTGAGCGGCAACTCCAGATCTTCCACGAGCGGTCGATCGCCATTCTCGCGGAGCCTGCGCTGGAACCAATCGCGCATGAGTCCGATCTGATCCTCCACATTATCCAAGCTGATCCGCGGCCAGCGCTGCGGTTCCTTGAACATCGACTCCCCAACGTCGACCGGTCCGACGGCCTGACTGTTCATGCCCAATCTGTTCTGCAGGATGTGGAACGGCACGGTCAAGCTCGCCATTCCGAATTCCTTATCTAGTCCCAGTTCGCGGAAGCCAAAGAAATCCTCATCCAGATCGCCCGCAAAGTCGCCGCCGACGAATTGTTCGCCGCCGTCGGCAAAGGAACCTTGGCCGTGGGCGGTATCGTCGGTCAGTGCAGGGCGGAGAAGATCGGTCAAATGCGCTTTCATGCGGTCGTGCATGGTGGTGAGTTTGGCCGAGAAGCGGTCGATGTCCTCGCGGGCATAGATGTCCAGGTCGTTCATGCTCATGCCGCCCGAATGCAACGCATGCAGAATCGCTTCTTCGCTGGTATATGGAGATTTGTAGATCGTTTCCGTCTTTTGACCTTGTGCCGCAGCCACCGTCGTCGTGACGGGAATCTTGTAATCTTCCTTGTAATTCGCCAACGCCGTGCATAGCCGCTGAAAGAAGTCTGCTGCGATATCCGTCATGGCATCGAGCGCCGAAGGCTGAAATTCTTCAAACCCGGCGTGGAAGAAAATCTTGCCAATAGACCTTTGAAACGCGGCCTTGCACACCCACGGCGCCATCAGAGGCCCATCGTCACTCATGACATGATTCGGGATGTCCGCCTCGACGAACGGTTCGGCCTGGTACTTCTGGAACTGGTTCTGATAGGTTTGCGACTGCAGCTGCATTTGCTTCACGACGGCGATCTTGGAGACGACCTTGCGGGTATCCTGTAATTGACGCGTGTTGGCGTTTATCTTCCTGGAAAGCTTGCCTTCGGGTGCGATGAAATAACCTGATGGGACGAGACGCATAAATTCCTCGCTTTGAGCAATGACCTGGCCTTCGGCATCTTGTTCCCACCGCATTCGAGGATCGATATCTGGGATTGCAGAAAGACAGTCGTAGTAGTCCGGAAGCATGCTTTCTTCCTCGACTTCCATTCCTTCGGCCAGCGTTTGCCCTTGGATCTCTCCTCTTTTTTGTCGCTCCGATGCATCCACGCCGAGCTCGGCAATGTCTTTTGAAGTAGCTTCCTGTTGCATTCGCTGCCACCTGCGCATCCCTGCTTTGCTTCGCAGCAATGCAGTCTCTTCAACATTCAACTTGTCCCCTCGAAATAGCTTGTGCCGCGCAGCGGCGAGCAATGCCCGATCTTTCTTCGTCTTTTGTTTCCAAAGTTTGTAATCTTCGTCTTCATACTCGGGCATTGGTGCTTGTAAAGGTAAGACAGGGATATCCAAGTCCATGCCTTCACTTCCGGCTCCAATCACACTTCCGGGGCCATGAGCTCCCGCTGGTGTCAATATTCCTGGTGGGGGCGTCGAATGACCTTGGCTCCCGTCAACTTCGGATTCGGCTCGAATACCGTTCTGCACCGAACTCAGCGATTGCAAGACTGGTTTCGTTTCCGGTATAGGAGTGGTTTCAGGAGGTGCTTTTCGCGACGTCGAGCCGCCCTTTTTGGCACTTTTCTTGGGAGCTTTACGACCTCTCGACGACATGATGGGTTCGTCATCGCTCTCCTCCGCCTCGGCCTCTAGCTCGCCATTGGCAATCTGCTGCCTCCTCTCTTCGGCCTCGACTTCAGCGCGATCTCGAATGACGATGTCCGGGATCAGGGGTACCAGCTTGTCCGTCTCCTTCTGCATGAATAGCGCGTGCTTGCGAAACAGATGATCAGGATTGCTGTTGAACTTGAGACAGTTCTTCCATATTTGAGTCAAGTCGTCGACGAACTCCTTCTTCGACTTGTAAGCGAACTGCTTAAGTTTCTTGGTCATGGTGCCGAGGTCCATAGGGTACTTGATGATGAGGTAGTAGTCAGGGGCGTCCTTCTTCTTGACCGGGTTGAGGAATGGAGTCGAGTGTTCGGTATGTGCTTTGAGTTCAGTCAGGACTTTCTCCGCCGCTTCGTACAATTCTTCCTGGCCGACTTTGTCTTCACTTGCCCATTTGCTTCGATTCTTGCGAACTTCGCTCATGAGCGCGCGCAATTCCGACTCGGTCGCGTGCACCAAGTTCCGGTGTTCGTCGAGCCTTGCAATGAGGTTTTTCAGGGTCAGACTGGATGCGCCGAGGTTGGCCTTGCTGAGACTTCCTTGCTGCATGGCGGCGTTCTGTCGGTTTGCATGGCCTTCGGCTTCTGCTTCGGCACGACGCTCTGCCTCATCAAGACGTTGTTGATCTAACATGGCGTCCCGGTCGTTTTCCAGGGTGAAGAACATGGTACGCGACATTGTCTTGACGGTCTCGATTTCCTTGCGCTTTGACTCTTCTAGCTTCTTCCGGGCATCCTCTGCATCTTCTTTCTGTTTAACTGAGCCGGTCTTTGAGTGCGTCTTTCCAGGATCGGAGGGTATGGACACGGGCGGAGCGGGCCTCGGGACCGGCGACGAGGTCGCATCGGCGACAATGTGGACTTTGTTCGGCTTGTCCTTTAGGGGGGATGCCTTTGCAGCATCGGCAGATTCATCCTCCTCGTCGTCATCCTCGTCATACTCGTCGTAGTCATCATCGTCCAATTTGCGCTTCTTCGATATAGGAGCAGGGATGGGCGCCGAGGAGGATGCGGATTCGGTCTGAGATGCAACGGCGGTAACGCGCTTTTGAGGGACGACGACCTCTCCGACATCATTGAAGAGTGTGGCAAGTTTCTCCTCCGTCTCTTCAAAGAGTGCGCGAAAGCGGACAATCTGGGGATCTTCATCGGGACCGGCCTCTGGCTCCACAGGTTGGCCGGACTGGGAACCACCGCTCCCCAGACTACGCAGCTTGAAGGAACTCGGAGTATGGGGTCGGGAGGGTGCTCGAAGCAGGCCATTCATAAGGGAGTCCCGATGTAAGGAATGCAGGAGTGGTTCGTCGTCGGGTGGTTTCTGCGCGTTTGGGGGCGGCCATGATACCGACATGGCCGGGATTGCCCCCGCGTAATGGTGACTGAGGGTGCGGATGCCAGCGTGACCTGCAGAATCTCGAGCGCGCGCGCAAGGTCAACGAGATGGCGGCGGGACATCAAAATCGGGGGACGGAAGGTTTGGACGTGTCGGTGATGGGATGCGGCGGTTTGAAGAGCTCAACTGTTGAATTAGTCGTGGTGGTTGATGCGCGGGTTGACGGGTTCTGATGGTGATGGCCTGCGTGAAAGGACGGTGGAGGTTGAAAGAAGGTATGAGCGAGCAGGCAGTGAGTGGCAGTTCAGTCCACAGTCCTCAGTCGCCCGCGTCGAGCTCCAGGCGCTTCTCCAACTGCAACTTAAACCTCCCCGTGGCCTGCGGCGGGCGTCAGACTCTCGCATAATATCGCCAACTATGGTACAGCAGCTCAACTCTCTGCTCTACACAGACAATTCAATACGATGCGAATCCGCTTTCCCTTTGCAAGCAAGTTCCTCTCCTGTACTTGGTTACGCTCATGCTAACATGTCCCAGTCGGCTTCCTGATCCTCCTCCTCTTCTCCTCCAGTCTAGGCCTCCTTCCGTCCTCCTCCCTGCCCTCTACTCCGGCCGCCGCCCAACCGTACATCCCCTCTCAGTCCGACAAAGCATTGCACTTTATCTGTTTCTTCCTCCTGACCGCCGTCTTTTACTTCATATTCGACACCGCGCGCCGGCGGGTCATCCACTTGACGCTCATCATATGCACTCTGTTGTTGGGCGTTGGGAGCGAAGTTGCACAGGGACTATTGCCTAACGATCGCGAGTTCGATGCATGGGATGTCCTTGCTAATGTCCTGGGGAGTCTGGCTGCGCTGGGATTAGCGAGCGCATATCATCGACGGTCAGCAGAGCGAAGGCGCCGGGCGAAGTACTCTGCTTTGACTGGCGACGGGCTGGAGGGTGAAGATCTGGAGCTCGGCGAGGGTGCCAATGGTACAATGAGAGCGGGTGATGGCGGGCAGGAGAGTGGTGTTGTACCTGCGAGGTCCATCGAGGAGGAACTGGACAACTGGGATGAGAATGCTCCCGATGACGCCTGGGATGACGATGACGATACTACGGCCACGCAGAATACGAAGGTGACGCCCTCAACCAGCTCTGTCGGCAGCGAGGAACCTCCGCACAAGGTCGCTGTCGACTGATTTCCACTTCACTTGTGGGCAAGAACCAGCGAGATTTATGTTTGTGGGATCACGGCGGCTTGACATATGGCCCAAACCAATGTACCAGTATGCGAACGCAGTAATGACCAGGGAGATGTGCCAGAGAATCCCATCAAGATTGATATGAGAATAGAGTATCAGATCACCTGTCGGCTACTATGTATGACAGCTAGGGATGGTGGCAGTACTGATCAGACGCGATTGAGACCCTCCGCAAGCTCCTTTTTTGCTCAATGTGATGCGCCATCTCCTGCTCCATGCCAATGTTCGCCTTGTCACCGAATTCAGATGAACCTCCGGACGCCTGGCACGTAAATACACACGTAGCCACGGCCTCACCGTCGGCCTGGCCTCTCTTCACTGCGTAGCAATTCGCTAACAATTCAACCCAGAGCTTTGCCGCAATTGGTGATGCTCTTGCTCGTCATCCTCGTAACATCGTACAGTCCTCGCTGCTCGATGGCATCTCTATCTGCTCAACGGAAACAGCTAAACCTTCCAAGGCTGAATCTGAAAGGATTTCGTCTGACACCGTGACGATCAACTGTCACTCCACCGCCAGCGCGACGACCGCCCCAGTTTCTGTTTGCCCAATTAGCATCCACAGCCCGACTCGAACAAGGCCGCATCGGCAGGAAGGTGGCACGTCCCGCCCACCCTCATACAGGGATAATGTACTCACTTTGTGTAGAGAAACGGCATGTTTCTTAGGAATACGTTCGAAGAGGTCTGAGGGGTCTAGAAGCGAGCTTTCTCAGTTTGCGAGGGTCTTTTGTGTCTCGGGATCGAGCTGGAGTTGGCTAGATGAAGGTTTCGAGTACGGCTTGTGTTGGCGCTCGTGAGATCGTCCACTGTGGATGGCGCCTATGCTTCTGATGAAGAGAGTGGAGATTGCGGATGGAGCAGAATGATGACAGTAGCAGGTGCAGCAGAGGAAGAATGCAGGTAGTGCGGTATAGTTAGGTGAGGGTGGTTGTCACTTGCAGGTGAGAGACTTCGGAAGCTGACCTAAAAAAGAGGGAGAAGCAGTGACATCTAACACGGGTTCATCCTTGGAAATCGCAGTGCTATATACATGCCTACTCAATTGTCTTCCGTGTGACGACTGTTCCTCGTTTACGCATGGATCGACAAGCAAGAGCGGGCAGCAACATAGTCCAAAGGGACCGACCTAGGACACGGCTTATTAGAGTCTCCAATGGTCTTGGATGACGCTTCAGGAACTTAATTGAATGGCTAGCAACCTCTTGCCAAGTTTTGAACGGTTATTCGCGTCGACAGAATCAGGGTTTGGGTCCGGACGTGCGATCAAGGCGAGGTGCAGAGGTTGAACAGGAACTCGCGAGTCGACATTTATGGCGCGAAGTGACGTAGCGATTCGGTGTTAGCGCGTGGCTGCTACGGCCACTAGCCTTGGCTGAGATCAGATCGACGAAATGTGGCGTTCGATGTGGCGCAGTCGATATGCACGAGATTGCTGGATATGACTGCGCCAGACTGGTCGCCAATCTCTTAGGGCAGCACATGGCTCTTGTACTCGATCACACAGTTCGTCAAGCATTTCATTCATGTAGCACGCTTGCGAGCAGCACATTCTCACGAGAGACATTATCCATCATCGGTCTGCTCGACTCAAACTTCGCAGCACGCTGGCAATATCCTTTGGTGGCGTGTCTGGTGGCATCTGGCCTGCTGTTGCCAGTGCTTTCTTTCTCCCTTGCTTCTCTCGTTCTGCAAGTTTCTCGGCGCAAAGGGCCAATGTTCTGCCCGCTACATTTTCAGCTGCGGTCTGATATTGACCTAGCTGGTGAACTCCGTCTGCGAATTGGTCGATCGTCGGCCCTATAGATTCCAATATTTCATTGATTCGCTGGGAGATTTGATCTGCTGAAGCCGGATTGGTGGCAGGAGCTATCGAGTTAAGTGCAACTGCTTCGGCCTCGGAGAGCAGAGATCGGTCTATTTCCCAAGGCTCTGTCTCTGTGGTGCCTTGGTGTAATGTAGGTAGGCTGGGAGGTTGCAAGAACGATTCTAACGACTCCTTTTCGATCCGTAGCCTGAAACAACGTCAGTCACAACTTTCTAACGGTTGTCTTCATTATCATGCCTTTTTATCTGTTCTTCCAGCCCTGCGAGCTTTTCAAGGTTCTGCACATTCTTGGGATTTGGCCGTTCGGGAAGTGGTTGTTTCGGTACCGGGACGTCTTCTCGGGCGAACCAGTCTGATAGTTCTGACTTACTCGACAGCTCTTTCAGTAGCTCCTCCTCGATTACTCGAGCTGGGCAAGATGTCAGCGTGGCCGTCAAAGGCGTAGATTGCGGAGACTACCAACCTGCTTGTCGGGCACTTGAGTGCTCAAATTCTGTGCCTATAGGCTTCTCGTCCAATGCGCGTTCCGCGCACCAGGTAAGTAGTTGCCTCATCCGCCTCGGTTCCGGAAGGCCTTCACTTTCAATATGCTTGTAGTAGTCCGCAACGTCAACCTCTGAATGAGGAAGTGCTACACGCTGTGTTAGCCTGCACCACCTAAGTTGGGCGTAGTTTGCCTCGCTTACCATTGGAAGTCCCGGACTCGATGAGCGAGCTTGCCCGACGCCCGCGGTTGCCCAAACTACTCCTCCTTTCACCTTTGGCAGACTTACCCTCGCGCATGGCTTTGTTGCGCTTGATCACAGGAGTGTCCGCCAACGGCAGGGCAATTCTTGTCCCAGAGCTATTCTCTTGTAACGTAGGGACGGTCTCTGCTTGATGACCATCTTGGGTACCTTCAGAATGTCGGTCATTTGGATCCTCCTCCATTTGCTCCTTTTGCCGTTTTCTAGGCGAATGATCTGCGATCAACGTCCTTTGTTCTGGTTGCTTCTTTGGAGGTTCTCGTCGAATTGCCCTATTAGGGGCCTCCCTTGGCCGGGGCTCAACCCGTCGCTCAGGATGCTTGGAAGATACCTCCTCACGGCTGGGTCTCTTCGCCGGACTCGCATCGGCGTGGTCATTATCCTTGGACAGACGCTTCGACCGACGAGGAGGCGGATTGCCTTTCGGTTTCGGTGTGGAAAATGACATTCTCTTCCGCCGGACCCTCGGCTTGGGTGCTGTGTCGTCATTATTGGGTGCATCTGACTGTTCCGTGGGCGCTTGTTGCGATTCCGACGCGTCTCCTTGAGCGGGAGTCGTAGCCTTCTCGCCCTCGGCCGGCTTGGGCTCTGGTTCCTTCTTTTTGACGCGTTTGAACGTGAAGCCATCGTCCTCCTCGTCGTAGTCTAGGGTCAATATGTGAGCAATAATGTTCGGTGTCCGCGTGCTAGCCGGTTGCGCAAACCTACTCATTTTCCTTTTCCTTGCGTTTGCTTTCACGTTCTGCGCGGCAGCTGGGTACGAAGAAGCGGCGACAGACTTCACATTTCCATTGGTGTGTTGCGCCTGACTTGAAGGTAGCGGCGCGTCTTCCTTCTCTTGTACTCTTGTGCTTAATCTTCGCGTTTCCCTCTGAATAGTTGACATTGGCAAGGACTGCAAGGGCGGGCGCGCCACGAGCATGGTCAGATGCGGTTTGCTGGTGGGCGATCAGGGTAACGTTTCGCGTTTGTAAAGGAAGTCGGTCGCATGTGCGGGCGCAAAGTTGGCCGGTGGCTAAATACCATCAATTCTCATGATAAAGATATGTCCTCCTCCGAGCGATCGAGTCAAAGTACAGCCGACGGACGATTTGACGCAGGAATGCCTGCTCAATGGTGACTGATGTCGCAGTGAAGCGCTCAAATGGCTTGCATTGCGGGCAACTGGCGGTTGTTTACGTCTAGAGTGGAGCCCCAGGCCAGTCTGCCAATCAAATCAGTCTGCCAGGCAAGCGGAGCATCAGCTGGTCCAAGACTTAACAGTCACTCATCTTTCGCTCACCTTGGTCTCGGCTCCCGGTCACATCACGTTCTTACATCCGCAACGAGTAGTGTATAGGAGTCTCAGTTCCAAATCATTGACCCTGAAGCAGCCTGCCGAAGAACATCTAAATCTTCTCAAACGGGACATTGCTGGACAGATTGGACTCACTTCGTGACCTGTGTCATCCGGGGTCGACGAGGCGAGTCGCGATGGCTGTTTCCATTGATCAGGAGCGATCCAGATCTTGCAGGTGCAGTGTCAAAACTGGGCGTGGCGGAAGCAGGCCTAAATGCCGCCGCCAACAATGAGCGATATCTCTCCGATTCAGAAAATATTCGGTGGCCCTTGAAGCATCTGTGCCGATTTGGCCGAAAGGCCGCTTTTGCCTTCACCGCTACCTCTGCAAACTACCTTGGAGAGCTCATTCTTTGCCTTTCCCCTGATTTCTTCTGCAACTCACTCTCGCCTGCCCGCTTGTGGTGATGTAAGGAAGTTCCTCCTGGCTCTCATGGCCGTCGTCAACTCCCGTAAGTCTTTTGTCTTTGTCTGGTATCAGCCACAACCGAGAAGGTCGTGACAGTCTGGGGTCCCGCCGTCGCCCCCAGGAACGGTATACGAGCTGAACTCCGAATCTCCGAGTCTTGGGTAAAGCAATAAGACGCTAGAAGCGTCTGTCACACTCCTTGGTCGAGACAAATCCGCTGAGCAGTACATGTCCTGCATACATTAGCTTGAATTCCGGCAGTATCATCTCCCGGACTTTTGAAGAGGCTCCATCTGCGCCGCCGATGACACCCGCCACCAGTGTTCTCTGGTTGCCAAACATCATGCGTCTCCTACGGCCCTTTTTGTTTCGCCTGCGTGCAGCTACCCCAAGCTAGGCGTGAGTCGAAGCATATCCGACGGCACAAGAGAAAGCAAGGTCGTACAACCCTTGGCCATGCTACGATCCTCTAGCACCCGTAAGCGGAGAGCGCGAGGGACACGGAGAAAAGGACTGACTGACTGTACTCCCTACGGTGTGCAAGCAAAACACCGTGAACTGTAGTGGTGGTTCCGCTCAGCCTCGCCCTCATGGCTTAGTCCATGCTTATACTCTCTACTGGTACTGTGTGGGTATCCTGCATGCCGGTATTTGCGCTCGTATGCACAATTATATAGATGGACAGACAGACGGAAAGACAGGAAATTCCGTCTTCCGCTCTCACAAGACCCGATCCCCGAACCCTGTCCCATGCCAGTATGCTCGAGAAATGCTTTTTCAGCTTCAATCTCATCCTACAGTACAATCCCGGAATCCATACCTTGTACCGGGTACCCATCACACCGATCACTCGTACACGGTAGTCCACTCCTTCAGCAACTGATCGATCTCATCGGGCTGTTCATCCGTGGCGATGTCTGTGGCCCTGCCCTTCCCCTTGCCTTTACTCTTCGAGCCGCTGACTTCTGCCGGCCCTTCTGAGGGCTGGCTTTCTTCCGCCTTCTTATGCTCTTGCTCTTGCTTTTGTGCGTCATTCTCGCTCGAAACTTGCTCCGTCGCTTCCTCTCCCTCAAGCTCAATCATAGCCTGCTGGGTGGGCGTCTCCCCTGTCTCAGGCACCTTGTCTCCGAGATTCATATTCCCCTCAGGCGTGGTCCGTCCGCTTATATCCCCGGCCTCGTTCTCGGTAGGGACAAGGAAAGGGATCTTATTTTCGATCTTGGCGGCTCCCTCGGGTGACCCGACGTTTGGGGCGTGCGTCCCGGCGTCAGGGTCGGTCAGCTTAGCATTCGCGTCCTCCTCCTTGGAGACGGTCGTGGAAGGAGGGGTGTATTGGCCTTCCGACGAGGGCGACCTGAGCAGTTCGTCAAACGTCGAGGCTCGGCCCAGTTTCGCGCCGGGCGAGTTCGGTGGCGACGCCAACCGCGAATCCTTGCGGTATTCGAGCACGGTGTCTGGATTTTCTTTGGCGTCGTCGACGCCGAAGAACAGCCCTGTATTTTTCACGGTTCTTTAATGCCGAGGAAGGTCAGTCAGTGTTCATTCATCGGTCTTTCTGTGTCAGAGAGCTCAAACTCACTTTTGAAACGAATTGATCGCCGAATTGGGCGAGGTGATGGAATCAAAAATCGACTCGTACCACGTCTTCGTCCGCGGAGCGCCCTTGCGGAATTGAACTGGCCCGCCGATGTCAAACTCCCCTACGATAGCGTTACCCATTAGCGACTCCACCCGATCCCCCCTTTGCGCAACTCGGTTCACGTTTTCGTGCATCAGGCCCAAGGTCTCATCAATATCCGCCTGCAGGGCGTCTGTCCTCCTGCTGGGGCCTGGCTGCGAATTCTGATAGGGTCGGTAGGAGTCAAAAGACTGCCCTTGAAAGCGCACGCGTGATCGCGATCGCGAACGTGAACGGGACCGTTCGTCGTAGTCAGCGACCGTCAGACCCTCCAGGGCCCCGGCCGCGATTGAACCGTACATCTCCCCCTCGGATGGGATCCACGACTCGTTGTACGAAGGTGGAACGTCTTCTTTTCGCCCGATCGAGACCAACACCCATGGCTTTGACCCTGTCCTGGCGTCGCGAGATCTAGAGAGCTCCTTCTCCAGTTCGACCTGGACACCCATGCGCGAGCTGCCGTACGATAATGACGCGGAGCGCTCAAACTGGAGTAATGCCCGTTCGATGTGTTTGAGCGAGCTTCTGACCGACGGAGCCAGCTCGGGCTCTGAGCCTGGATCCTGATACAGCGGCTGGCCCGTCGCGGCGAGGGCGTTCACCCCGTGTGACTCGACCATCCTGAGTAGCGCCTCGTACTTCCTCGTGGCTTGTTGGTTCGCGAGGAAGAGATTCTCCAACAACGTCCGCTGGTATAGATCGTTCCCTCTGCCTTCGGGAGATGACTCCCTTCTAAGCCAAAAGGTCAGTCAGTCCGCCATTGTATGCCGCAAATCAACGAACTTACTCGACTCGCGAGTCTCGCGCATAAGTCAACACATTCAACATCAGCACCAGCGTGCTCTTTAGCCTCTCCAGGTTGCCCCTGAGAAGGGCCATCTTGGGCTGCAGGAACGGCCACTTCAGCCTATCCATCGCCGACAAGGCCACTTTGCCGCCCTTCCTCGGCCATCGTTTGGCGACACTGTCAGTGGCCTTCGCCAACACGCCCTCGATCTCCTGAAAGACGACCTCGCACTCGGCCATGACGTCCTTGGCTGTCTGGACCGCGGCGCCAGAATACAGCTTCGCGTGCTCGTCTTGGTCGAGATAGGCACCCAGCTGTTCGAGGACAGACGAAGTGAGCGAGACATCTCGGGCGACGTTTTTGATCTCCGTGGACGCCGTGGCCACAGTCTCAGAGAACGTGTACAGCGTGATTGAGAGCTTGACGCCCGCGCCGGCAATGCCGATGATGGTGGCCACGAGGCCAACTTCCGCCATCCTCGTGCCCTCGACGTGAGCCTTGTGTCGGGGTTTGGGGTGAGGTCTGGCCGTAAGGCTGTTGAGAAGGGGTTGGAGGCCTTAATTTGATTTTTGCCCGGCAGTCACGCACGCGTTACACCAAAACACAGCAACTGCAGACGCTGTGCGACCAATTCATGGGGAGCTCAGAACGCCAAAGTCAGTGATAGGGAATGTAAGAGACCGTGCAACAGTTTCAGGAGATTAAAGAACGAGAAGATGAAAGGCATCTCAGCCGCCAGTCAGCACGGTTCAGCTAACGGCTGGAGCGGGCCTCAATTGAGTTAGACCCATTTCGGAGCCCGCAATATTTGACCAATCAGCCATCGCCGGTCACGAGTGCGCCTCACGCGTCGCCCCCAAGTCTCCATTCGGCCCCCAAATGTGCGACTCGACAATTAAGGTACCGGCACCGTCATTACAGTATCACGATCATGGCGAAGCCCTCGACTTCTTTGCGACCCGTGTCGCTCACATACAGTAGAGGTACTTGATGGCCGGCTTTCCTTTGTCAGACTTGTCATATCCCACCATGACCTGGACATTGGCGATATGGATCGGAGGCTTGTGATCCGCGTCAGTGACATTCAACATCGCCATGGTGCGCGCGTGCCCCGAGGGGAAGTCGGCATCTCCCACGAAGATGAACTTGCCGCCGGCGGGGTTCTGGATCACAGGGCTAGGGACGGTAAGGTGGACCTCGTCTGGACAGACCCAGATGATGTTCATGAACTTGTATGGGGTCTGGCCTTTCTTGATGCCTTCAGATATGTACACGTCGACCCGGTTACATTTGTCGCTGGTCTTGGAGGAATCCGCCAGGCGGAGTGTGAGCCAGACCCCGCGCCCGGTGGTTCGTCCACAGACGAATGAGCCTTCAAGAGGTGGGACGATGTCGAATGTGAGGTAAGGAGGCCAGTCGCGCGAAATGAGTGCTTGCTCATGTGGGAGTGGGAGTGCTTCTCTGGCGGCTCTGTTCCTGCTGAGGTGCGAAATGGTGGTGCTGGCGTTTGCGAGGGCCAGCATGCCAGAGATGGAGGAGAGGAGGAAGATCGATTTCTTCATGCTGCAGGCTTGTGTTCAACTTCTGACTCCGGGTGGGTATTGTATGGTGTGGAAAGGCCAAGTTAGAGTCCAGGAAGGAATCCCTCGAAGTACTACGAAGCATCGTGAATTTTATATACTCGTAGCCGACAAGATATCGTTTGCATGGTCACAAGCACAACCGACTCAGTGATGCTCCGTGGTGTCATTCACGAGTGGCATCGTGGCGATGTGGTCGCCAAAGACTTCTTACGATCAGGTGAGTAAGGTCAGATGGTGGTCGAGTTGTCACTGCCCAGCGGGCTTACAGGTTAAGCAGAGCAGGTAGACCAGTCCCTTTACATTTTCGCAATCCGACGTCCCTCTCTTGGTAGCCTACGGGGCTATTGTAGAGGACCATACAGTACTCGGTTGGGAACCCCAAGAACTGCGCACTGAGTACTACGCCCTGCAATCGACCAAGATCTTGACATGCTTGTCCTTTTCATCGATCAAGGCTCTATATCCATCCTCGACGACTCGGTCGATCTTGATCTTGCTGGTAATCATGTTCGCGGGCTGTAGTGAGCCCTCGTCAAGGGCCTTGATGACGCCCGCAAAATCCGCCTGTAGGTACCCGAGAACTACGCCACGCACGCCACGTTAGAGAGCGAGTAGAAGGGAAGAGCCGGACATGATATCGACTTACTGGCCAGATACTTCTTCTCTCCGAACACGAGATTATTTGGTTGGAAGGGCACCTGTTCATTTGAAGTCAGCTCTAGTGGCATTGGGACTAGTGCTCACGGCGTCGTTTCCATCCCACACGATTTCACTCTCTAACATGGCGGTGAACTATAGGCTTGGGATGTACGAGAGGGGTTGTTAGCTCGGCGAACGCACCTCCTTTTCCCAGATGGCCAGATTGACGACCGTGCCCCTTGCCCTGACAGCCAAACAGGCGTCCCTCAAACTGGCCGGCACGCCCGCCGCATCAAGCGCAACATGGGGCCCCAGCCCTCCCGTGATCTCCTTTGCTCTCTTGACAGTATCCTCGTTCCTCGGATCAATGAGGTGCGTTGCCCCAAACTGCTTCGCGTACTCTTGTCTCTGGCGGGCGATTTCAACGACAATGATGGTCCCCGCACCGCGGGCTTTGAGGCACTGAATCACTCCTAGGCCGATCGGGCCGGCGCCCATGACGAGGGCCGAGTCGCCCGCCTTGAGGGGATACTGCTCCTGTGGTCAGCGACGAGAGAGGACGACATCAGACGGTATTTGCTGCCAATCTACACCAATGCGAGTCTTGGTGAGTCGAGGCATACCTGATCGACTGCGTGCCACGCCACAGCGAGCGGCTCTACCAACGCGCCCACATCCAGTCCAATGTGCTCGGGCAGTTTGAACACGAACGCCGCGTCCACGGACACAGCATCACTCATGCCCCCGCCTCCGCCGCTCAGGCCGACAAACCCGGCCGCGTCGCAGCAGTTGAGATATCCTTCTTCGCAGGGGCCGCATTTGTCGAAACAAGCGATTGTGGGTTGGACGGCGACTTTGTCCCCGACTTTGAGACCCTGCGGGTTGTCGGCCGAGGAGCCGATCTCGAGGATCTCACCACTGAATTCGTGGCCGATTGTGATGGGCATGACTTCTCCGGTGATCGGATGGGGTGCGGACGGTTGGGGGATGAATGTAGGGGACGAGTATTCGTGCACTAGGCGTGATACGGTGAGTAAGTAGAGTCTGTCTGTATAATGGAGTGAGAGAGGACGACGACTGGTCGCTTCGCAGATCCTGGACTCTGACCCTTTATTTCAAGATGAGTCTGCCTAAATCTGAGAGATGCCGGGAACACGTTTCCAGTCTGGTACGGCTGAGCCGCCCGACTCCACAGATCAGAGCCAGGCTGTATAGGTCCATCCTCGATGTAGGGAGAACGGACTCCTCGTCCACCGCATCTCCTCCTCTCACAGCATGGAGAACACGCTTTCGGATCAAGTTTGAAGTTTGAAGGAGCACTTACAATCAGTCCCACAGATGCCACAAAACGCAGCTATCGTCATATGCATCCGCGTCAGCAAACACACAGTACAAAATACAGCCACGGGCGACTCCCACGACGAGTCGAGTCACTCCTCTCACCCAACCAAAGCACAACCAGCAACAGTAACCTGGTTAGTGCAGGCAGACTAACGCTTGACCTTGATCTGGTTGTCCCCACACTTCGGTTCCGGGATGTCATGGTCGACACGAAGGTCCTTGACGCCGTGATATCGGAGGGCGCGCATCCTTGCTGCTGTTGCTTCTTCTTTCTGGGGCCGTCAGACGAAGTTACAGTCGACGCGCTGACGGACAGGTGAGGCAGGCGATCTGAAGCTCTTGGTTACAGATGTGATGTGGGGAAGTAGGGAGTAGTGTAGAGGGGATATAAGAGTTCTATAAAGTAACGTGATCTTCAGCCTGAAGGTGTAAACATGAAGGAGACGCTGGCTCGTCAGGCACCAGAACAGAGCGAGAAAAGATGGAGAGGGAGTCTTCTTGCATGCTCCTGTAGAATCTTCGTGGCGGTCCAGCGGAGATGTCATGAGAGTCCCTTGCAAACGTCCCTACCTCGTACAGATACACAACCAACGGGAAACCAAGGGCACATGGGCCAGGGTTCCATTGTCCTTGTAGATGTGAGGGGAACATGGAGACGGAGCGTTTCATTTGGGGCCTTTTCAGCTCTTCCGAGGTCAGCAAACAGCCACAACCGAGCCACATGTTTATCTGTGGCTGAAACCAGCCCGAGTCCAAGGATGGTCAGGATTTTCTCCGCGAGTTTCTGTGGGTAATTGAAAAGTGGAACAAAGCGATGAAGACGAGGATCACCATGCAGATCCGGGGAAGCGTCTCCATGTCTCGGTTTCAGAACATCAGTCCATATTAGCGGAAGCAATTCACTGCCTTCCATCTCGGTGCGATAGTACTATCTCTGGCTAGTCAAGAGTGATGTCCGCGCCAACACGCTCGCTAAAGGATTGAAAAGTGCTCGTGCCTGTGACATGAGCACCACGCTCAGACCCATAAATCATCGCTCAGTTCAATGTCGTCATCCCCTCCCATTACCCATCGACATTATGCAGAACCCAAGTCATATTCCCATGTGGCATGGTCCGAGCGCCGCCAATACTACCTGACAAGTTCTTCGTGATTCGCCCCTGATGCTTTTGTCTTTTCCCGTGGCCGAGAGAAAATTGTTTTCCAATAGTAAGGCATAGAGACGAAGTGAAGGTGCCATTGCTCATAGCTCGAATTGGTAGGCGGCAATGCTTAGACCAAGAGCTTGAAGGCAGCCATCAGGACAGCAGCGAAGACGCCAGTGGCAGCATGCTGAGAGATGGGAACGGCAGCGTTAGAGGGCTCAGCACTGGCACCGGTTGCAGAAGCGGAGCTGGAGGCTGAGCCCGAAGCAGAGCCACCAGCGGAGGCAGCGGTTGAGGAAGCAGCAGAGCTCGAGGTAGAAGAGGCCGAAGACGCTTCTGCAGCAGAGGTCTGAGCGAGAGCCTCGGCAGTGGCGTTGCGGGTACCACATTGCATGTTCTCAGTGCAGGTTTGCTGTCCTTGAGCATCATCAGGGTGGGCGTCGATGCACTGGGAATAGCTTTCTTGACAGATGAAGAATGGGAGGGTCTGACTGAACGCGGTGCAGTCGGGAACGGTGCCGTTGGCGCACACGCAGGTGTAGGTGAAGGCGTTCTGACAAGTCAGCTTCAAGCAAGATCGATGTGAGAGATCTCGTAGCTCACCTGATCGCATTGGTTCTGGGAAGCAGCTCCACCGCAGATCTGAGGGCAGGTGTTCAGCTGAGCGTGGCACCAGTTGACTATTGCGATCAGCATTTTCTCTGGTCAAGCCAGTGGATTCTCAGCTCTTACAGGCAGTGGTAGGGTCAATTCCGGCGGGGTTGAACGCTTGGGTGGCGGCAGGAGGCATCACCTGGGACACGGTTGTCGAGGCCGCGACCGAGGCAGCACTCGAGGTGACGATGGTCTGAGCATGGGCGACGGCAGCAAGAGAAGCTGCGAGGAGGATTTGGTACTGCATGATGGCAATGGAATGGAGGAGTCTGTTGTCAATGCAGAGTGTCAATCGATGCTCAAATACTGTTGATCGGTGTAGAGGATGAGAGAGGGGAAAAGTGCTTGGAAGAACGAGAAGGTGGGAGCAGGCAAGTAAGTAGTCTGGCAGAATTCGATAGTCGATCTGTGCAAGATGCGACGGGGAAAGAGCATCCGGCGACTTGATGGGGAGCTCACCTTTATCTTTGAAGAGGCGGGTAGCTGCGACTCGATGCTCTGCTGAGGATGCGGTGCGGTTGCTACGGTATTAAGTACTAGAACTTGAGATAGAGCTTTGAGGAAGAACGAGGTGATGCCGGCTTGCGTGGCTCTTTTATTTTCTGCGAGTCATCGCGAAAGGCCTGCGCATTTCCACTTGCAGTGAAGGCTGGTATCATGTCCATTGACGATGCCGCTATCCCATCACCCACTATGCCGGTTTGATCGTTAGTGGCAGCTATTTAACCCGAAGTGACTGGTGACCGACTGGGGTTACGCACGCATGGGCCTCCCAATTCGTTGCGCTGGCTCAGTTCTAAAACACATTAAGGGCCGCGCCAATCACCGGGGCAGCGCATCGCTTGACCCCCTCCACTGCGGACAATCTTGCAGCAAGCCCAAAGCCCCGAAAGCCGTAGCTACCGGACATTGGATCCTCCAAGCAGAAGAGACTACCCCAACCGAGATCCCACCATCCAGAAGGCTCAGACTACGGTCAAAGTCAAACTGTTATCGAGACCGAGGCTCAAGCTCGGGATTGTTCCGTTTCCATGATTTTGGAGATTCAAAAGTCGAGGTGGGAGGATGGCGCAACTACAGTACAACACGACTTTCCTGCTCGCGGCCCGTTTGCTCTTGCTGTAGTCACACCCGATGTATAACACACCAAACACTGTATCCGTCTAAGATGGCACCACAAACTGAACAGATGGACTTCCTGTCCAAGTTCATAGCCACACATCGAGTCCCCGAAGATGCCTGCCGACGCTTCGCATCGGTCGAGTGGACCAACAAGCACCTATCCAACCCTCTTTACAAGGCCGTACCCACCTTCTCGCGCGTGCTCAAACCATCTGGCGAGGACTACTTCTTCTCGCGCACCGTCAGCAGCCCGTCAACCATCCCCCACCTAGTCACGCTGCAGTTGAAAGATTTCCCGTTCAAGGAAGAAACTCCCAAAGGACAATTGAAAATGAGAACATCCCACAATGAGGTTACACAAGTACCCGAGAATCCAGACTGCATCATGCTTCTGGAACTCGGGCACCCGGGTCTCGATGGCCACCCGTCAGTCATCCACGGTGGCATGGCCTGCGCTATCCTCGACGAGATGATGGGATTGTGCGTGATGTTACATCACCAACACGTCTCAGGGCCCAGAGACTCTCTTTTCACCGCCAGCCTGAATGTCACTTACCGCGCGCCCATCCCAACGCCGAACAATGTCCTTGTGCGGTGCTGGCTCGCCGGAAGAGAAGGTCGGAAGTGGTTGTCGAGGGGACAAATTGTAGACAAAGACGGCAAGGTCCTGACGGAAGCCGAAGGACTGTGGGTGATGACGAAGAGGCAAGAAAAGTTATAACAACAAGAGTAGAGGTCTCCTCGCAGACTCCAATCGGGTCTCCACGTTATCCACGTCAAATCGAGAGCCGCGGCATCGCAACGAGTTCGGGGTTTCAAAGGCAGGATGCGCTATTATCTCGACGATCATAGAAGCGACCTTCGACGCCAGTACCCCATCACGATGGCTGCAACGTATGCAACAGCGTTCCCCTTAGATACTGGTGCAAGAGGGTGCAAGAGCCACCAGCACTAGACCTACTCCGCTAAATTACGGACATGGCCAGACAACTAGAACACGTCCCAACGCAAGATAGATCCTTGACACGCTGTCCAAAGAACCAAGAATTCAAAAGACAGGCTACGCAAGTGGTGTTGACCAGATCCTCTTAAGACCGCGTTCTTGGGGACTAACTATATAGACCAAAGTCCCATACGAGTAAAATATCTCATTTGATCTCTGCCTCAACCGTTCAGAGTACTGTATCCTACCGCTAGCCTACGCAAATCAACCTGCCTATCGCTATCACACGCAAATCAACCTGTTTCAACGCCCGTACTCCAAGCTGGGAACCACAACGGGACCGTACTTGACCACATTCCCATACGCACCTTCACCTTGGACCAAAAAGTCGGCCGCCAAACTCAACCTGCCCGAACCTCTGTTCATGCCCGTCTGGCCAAACGTGCCGTTGACGACTTCAGGGTCATACACCACTATTGCCACGTAGTTGCGCCGCGCCATCAGTTTGCGGTTGTTGGTCGGCTGGCCCGTCACGTCGTGGGTGAAGATCTCCATCATGTCCTCCTTCGTGTCTGTCGGCTGGGAAGGCGTCGATCGCTGCCCGTTGGCAGGAATGTAGAGAGGTCGGTTGTTGTTCAACAATTTCATGACGTAGCCCGGCGCCGGGGTGTTGACCACGGGGCATGAAATGAGCTGATACATCGTCTTGTGGTCCGAGGGGTGGGATGGATCATGAACCAAGCCGGCGCCACAGGTGTTGACAGCCCCGGAGAGAAAGGTCACGCGGATGGACCGCTGGTGAGAAATCCCCTGAAGCGTGCGGATAAAGTATGTCCGTTCCAGATCCTTTTCACAGAGTCAACGACGACCGACCGGAACCAAAAGTGGCATATACGTACCTTGGAATCATGGGTCCATAGATCCTTCAACTCGTCGAGGACATCAATGTCACCAAATGGACTCAGGATGCCTCCCATCAGTCCGGACTTGCCTACAGCGCGTTTCACCGAGTCAAAGCCGGATCCGACGGCGCCTTTCGCGCCCACCACCCCTGCCACAGAACTCGTCACCTTGCCGAGGACGTTGTACGCGCCCGTTACTGCTTTCTTCCCCGTAGCCACGGTGTGGGCGATGGATTCGGCGGCGTCCAAGCGTGGATAGACGATAGGAACGGCGAGTAGGAGGAGACAATGCTGAATCGTCGGAGGCAGCAGGGCAATTTTCGGGAAAAGGCCCTGGTAGGTCGGGCCTGCCATGACCTGATGCGAAGTTCGCTCACTCCGAGTATCTGGGCCAACCACAGCGACGGCCGGCCCCAGGAACTTGACAAAGTGCCATCCAGTGCCGGTGATGGTGAAGAGGTCTCGATCGTCGGCCACGTCTCGAAGGAGCTCCAATGTCGTATGGTGTTGGAACAGTAGGTACATCTCAATCCCGATCCGTCCGATGTTCTTGAACATGTTGCTGAACTGCATGTACTCTGGGTAAGAACCAAATCCGTCAAATCTGCATTCTGTTAGCTTCGAGCTCGCCGACGAGGTGTCAGTCATCAAACCCACATGTCATGGTCATCAATCGTCAAAATATGGGGTATCTGGGCAAAAGCCTCGCGCAAATTGGGCTGATCAAAGTGACTTGTGTAATAATGGAAATATGCGTGCGTCACGTCCTCCTCGTGTGCGGCAGTCCATACTGCGTTCTTGCGATTCTCCTTCCCGCTCGTGGCCAACCATTGTTTCAGAGAAGGGATCTCCTTCCACAGTCTATCGGCGCTAATCTGGCTTCCCAATCCAATCTGGCAGTGGAAGCCGCCACATTCTGCGTGTTTCTGCATAATGTCCTTCCACATGAACCCCACGCCTCCTAGCCGGGCGCGCTCGTTGGTACTCACGTTGATCGAGAAGTCATTTCCAGAGGTGCAGAAAAACCGCCAGTTCGTCTCATGTTTCCCGGCGACCAAGAACTCGTACCTCGTACAGCCTAGATGCGAGGTGATGGCATAGGTCCACTTGGCAGGTCCAGACTCTTCCATCTGGATATCGATGTCGTACTTGTAGAATGTCCATCGCTGGTGAGTCGAGATCTTGTGGGCCTTCAACTGGCGCGGGTTAGGAGACAGATCGACACTCTGGTGCAAGTGTATCGTAGGCGGCTGGGGTGCGTCTGTGACCAAGAGTATGGAGCCGAACCAGATTCCGCGGTCGATATCCATATTGGCATATCGAAGGTAGGGACCAAAATACACGCCGTTGGTTGCCACCACCTTGTACAGGTCCACACCTGCACTGGGAGGCGGTCCGGTAAAGGCTGCTGGTCCAGGTATGCCCATGACGCTTTGCTGATCATAGCCGGGAGTCATCGGTAGGCCAGGCGAGGCCAGTGGTTTCGAAGCAAAGGACAAGCCGGGCGAAGCGAGCGGATTCTGGTAAATACTGGCTACCGGCGATAATGGAGTCTCGTTGAGATTGAGAGGTGTTGGACCTTTGGGAAACTCCCATTGCGTGGATTGCGTTGGTAGATGTATGTAGTAGTATTGTCCAGAGTTCGGGTCCAGGTGTGCAATCCAGCCCTCGGGAAGTGGTGGAGGAGAAGCCGGCGGCAATTGAGAGGGCGTTTGCGGCATGACTGGTTGCGCGTGTTGTACCTGGCCGTTCAAGATCTGCTGGGCCTGATGCGAGCTTTGAGTACCCTGCCGAGGATCATTTGCGAAAGCAGGATGGTCCATCTGGTTCGGAACCACTGCTCCTGGTCTTGAATTTGTCGACTGCGGCACCGCTGCCGCTGTTGGTCCTTGGGCAGGCGCCGGCGCCGCGCCCACCATGCTTCGTCTCTGCTTCTCAGCCGGCAACCCACCTCGCGCGCCTGGTATTTGAGAATATGCTGGTGGAGGCTCGTCATGAGGCTGCAGCCTCGATAGCTCATTTTCTACGGGATGTGGTGCCCGCGTGGGGGACTGTAGTGGTCCGGTGCGGTGTGTCGAGGTCGTGGCCGAAGGAGGAGTCAATGGGCGCGCTTCTTCCATGCCTTGATAGACTGTAGGAGCCGGATGGTGGGAGCTGCCTGGGTCTTCGGTCGGAGTCCAAGGCCGTCTGGGAGCTTGGCCGGCCTGTGGCTGGGCTGGCTGAGGAGGTGCGCCATAATGTGCTGCTCTTTGCTGGGCAGCCAGGCTCTGAGCTTGAAGGCTGTTTAATGTCGCAGTTCCCGCGATGCCCGAGGCCGCATATCGGGCTTCGATGTCAGTCTGCGGCCGGACGCCAGGGGCTACGATAGGTGTCTCTGGCGGCGGTGGAGATCCCCGCTGGGCTCGTACGGTCGAGGTCGAAGCGGTAGAACTGATTCGATTGATCGAGGAAGGATCTCGGATCTTGAGTCGGCTCAAGGCATCAGCTGCAGACGAAGCACCTTCAGGCGGAGGTGGCCAATACGGCTGCTGGCCCTGACTCTGGCTTGGCAGAGGGGCAGTGTTGGGAGCGTCGCTGCGGTGTACCGGACGCTGAAACAGACCGTCTTTATCTGGAGCATCTGGACCTGGGGACTCTGGCAGAGGTTTTGGTAGGGTGCCGCGGCGCTCGGCCAGAGTCTGGCCAGTGCGTCCGTCCCCCGATGTCGTCCTCTTTGCCTGTTGCCTTATGCCGCTCTCGGCACTTCCTGGCTGTTGGGGAGATGTTACTCTTCTCACATCTGGATATGGGTATGGGTACGGGTTTGCGGCGGGGGCGCCATTGGGTCGAGGGGCTGAGGCAGCGGCCTGGGCTTGAGCTTGCTGCCGCAATTGCTCGTCTGGATACGGCAGAGAGGGCATGGGGTACATCGGCTGTTGTGGAGCAGGACTCTGCTTTCCTGTGATCGAAGGGACGCCAGACGATCCGCTGGAAGTCCTCTTGTTGATGCGCAGCGGCTCGACAATGGTTGGGGAATCGCGGTCGTTCGCTCGGTTCAGGAACATCTCATCGGCCCCACGGCCCTGCTGCCCAGGCGCACTCATGGCAAAGGACCGGCCAGGCCGTTCAATATAGAAGATAGGAAGAACAGACAAAGGACAAGATGTGAATCGGCCTGTGTGTCGAGGTGGGGTCCGGCCTCGTGAAGGATGACCAGGCGACGGGCTGCGGTCGGCCCAGGCCACGGAATTAGCAACGGCGGATTGGGTTGGCTGATGCTAAATCAAACCTGAGATATTCAAACAAGCGCTGCAATCGATTGAGTATGAGTTGAAATGCAGCCGCAAGATGAGGAAGAGCGAGGAAGTCGAGGAGGGGAACTGCGGTGGCTCGTCACCGCGTCTTCAGCAGCGCTCACTCTGTGTTGAATTCAACGAGCAAGCGAGCGTGCGCTTGACAACTTGTAAAGGCTTCCAGCGCTCAGCCTTCGTCCACTCCTTTTCAGATGGAATCCTGCGCTGCCGCTTCGTCGCGAGTGGCCGTCCAAGGCGTGTAGCCGCTCCAACCAAGCGCTTGGAGATGTGTCTATCCAAGGACCGCCCACCATCTGCCCCACGTCTCGGGCGTCAATCGCGGCTTCGGGCCTCTGATTCGCGGACAGGGTCCACGTACCCCTCGTGATGAAGGCAAACAAGATCTTGTGTAGATGCGCGGAATCAGCGGCTCTCCGCAGACCGAGTCAAGCTCGCTGGGATCACGTCAGATATGAACTCGTGTGCATTTCACCCAGCATCGGGCACTGCGCAGTTCACACTAGAACGTTGGCTGCCTCCTATCTCCGGAAATCGTTCTACATAGTCCACCGGAGATACTCGCAATCATGCAGCTCCACGCATTGTGCCTAGCAAATACTGACGGGCGCCCCAGCTCCTGGAAACGTCTACGCATCTTGTAAACCGTGCGCTTGGGGTCTGCGACTGCTGAGCTCAGTCTTCATGCCCGGCGTCAACCCTGGGGTTGAACATCGAATATCCACCCTCGCCGTCACGCAAGCACAGACATGGTGAGCGTCTGGAAATCGCTTCTCGGAGTAGCTTCGAGAGGACGGACCGGTGACCATGCATCCAACCTGGCTGCCGATCATCAGTTGCGGCGGCATTGTGTATGCCGGAAGTCGTCCAGGAGGCTTAAACTGGGAGGATCATGAATTCACATGGGTCACCTCTAGGTAGACCTCGTCTCAGGTAGGCCGCAGATGATCCTTCATGGCCTCTCCCACTGTGGTGACAGTAGCAGCCGAGGAGCAAGTGAGAATGGCCACTTCTGGGCAAGGCTCATGCTGAATGCTGTCCAGCAGGGAGCTGGTGGTTGACTATTTTCCTGCCCAACGGCGCGCGTCACTCGACCTCGCCTATATTCGAATGCGTGCGGACAGACGCGGAGCTGGGCAAGGAAGAGGCCAAAAATGCTTCTCGACACCGGACACCGCGCAAGCTGCTCTCGGACACCGACCGTTGCTGCTGCCTGGTGATCGCACGACGCCAGCATCTCTCCCAGTCGGACTGAAAGCGCTCGAACCACCAGAATTTCCGACAGATCATCGAGACCCTTTTCCATGTCCGCGAAGCAGGGAAAGATTCCAGGACGTAGTCGAGGAGTTCGTTTGCCCGGGGAATGGGCTTAGCAGATTGAGTCCGCCAGGTGACGAGCAAGGACATCCAGATAATGACTTCGGAGTCTGCTACCGATGGGTTGTCGATGGTCTTAATAACCTTCGCCAACGCTGCGAGCGATGCCGTGTCGAATATGTTTGTGCGGTTCTCTCCACTGACATGGCGCACGGCAATAGCGAGACCTAGACAAATGACATGCTCCAATCCTGGTGGGAGCCCTGACCGCCTGAGGTCAAGGAGGAGCATGACTGCGTTACGCGAGCACTCTCTGGGCTCGGCGAAGAGGCGGCAGTATCGATCCCGCGCATTCGTCGCTTGCTCGGGTGAAGTGGTGGCACCATTTACCAAGGGCGCCCACGATGCAGCTTCAGCGAGCAGCTTGATGCACTGCACGCTCAGATGACCAGTCAGTGCCGCCTCAGCCAGACCAACGGGAAGCTTAGCGATGTCGCGGCAGATGTCAGGCGGAAAAGGATGGTGGATGAATTCGATTTGCCTCGTGGAGATTGAGGCCGGGTCGTCTGGACTGATCTCGAGATATTGACCAAGCGCAATATAGAATTCGATCCTGCTTGGCCATCAGCTCGCATTGACAAAGGTTTGTGCTGCAGTAGCAAGGCTTACATGTTGACGATAGCTGTCACCGCCAGATGAGCAGGCGAGTTGCCCAGGCCACCCCGTAAGCTAATTATCTGTCTAACGCCTCTCAGATGGGCTTTGAGCGACAGCAGATCGCGGCGACATGACTTGCGGAATCAGAGTCAGGCTCAGACCCTGGTGGTGGCAGTAACTGACTTACATCGGCAACCATGAGATGGGTGATGGCGACCAGAATACCATCGTCAAGGTGGGCTTCGGGGGCGCTCAACCGCTTGCGCACCGCCAGGATAGCCTCGTTCTGCAACTTGAGCATGTCATGGGACCGGTTGACATGGAAAGGGTCGCGGCGCCAGTCATAGAGACTCTGGGCTCCCATGAGGAGGCATTTGAAAAGATCAGGGTCTTGCATCGACATTGGGAAGACGACCGATACCGCAGGATGGTCGACGTCCGGAGTGATCTTGAGACATAGCTCTTCCTTGCGATAGATGCCAATATCTGCAGACCGTCAGACAGACCCTCACGTGCTGGACTGTATCTGCTTACACTCGTCAATACTTTCCTTGGACATATCTCCACCTCCTGACGGATATGATGCAAAGACATCCCGGCGGTAGGAGTCCAGCGGCGTGAGAATCAGCTTCTCCTTGGTCGTCGACGGCACAATCGTTGGCGCATCACGGTTGTCCTTGACTTGTACCGGACGGGTTCGCCGATGCAGCCGTCGAACATGATTCAAGGGATCCTGGGCACCCATGAGCCTGATAGGGCTGATTGCTTCTTCGCCAATCGGCAGGTGTTTCGTTTCGGGAATTAACCATTGCGAGGCTTGTTACGATAGTGCCATCCGGTTACCCTTGATGTTTGACAAGATGGGCAACACTGGGATGGTAGGGGCGTCTAAATGAATCGAAACACCACACTTTCCCAATCTTTGGCGAAAAGGAGAAGGGAGAGCTGGAACCTGTCTCGCTGGAAGAGAGATGAAGCTTTGAGCGAAGCCTTCGGGGGGAAAACGCTCCCAGGAAATTGTGCGGGCACACCGCGCGAACAGGTTTCAAAACGGCATTTGATAATCGGGCGATCCGCTCGGCCACGAAACCAGGCTGCCCAAAGATCTGAGATGTACGCTTTCTCGATTTGTCCGGGATGCCTGAACTTCCAGGCTGTTTTTGGCCGGCAGTTTGAAGTGGCGCGCGTTCGATTTTCGAGACGACGATTGAAGCTTCCGAGGTAGATGGATTCTGGAAGATCGCTCGATTCTTGTTTCTCGATCTGCCCCTTGATCCAATCATACTAGCGCTGACTTTTCTGCTGTTTGGGCATAGCTCAGCCAGCGGATATAGCCACCCTTGCAGTTCGCTTCGTCAGTCCATGGTATGAGGCGGCGTCGTACTTTGTTAGTCAGCGGCTTGACCGAGGCCCACAGACGGGCAGCAGGTACCTCGTATCACAGCAGGGATTGCACTCGGAATCGCAGGATGCTGTTGATATCGGAATATCGGTGTGGGAACTTGTCGTGACCCGAAGCCAAGCAGAGTCAGCATTGCTCGGATGGGATGTCTGGTACGAGGTACCACAGTACCTCGTACGGAGCAGGTCTTCCGTACTCCGTATCTTCTCGAACTACGGAGTACCAGCTTCGGATGTCCCCGGATCCAATGCTGTCGATCCGGAGCTTCGCCGGCTTGACAGCGGCCATCACACCAAGTAGGACGGGCAGTCTGTTGCTCGCAAAGACCGCCTTCATTATTGTCAACGCCATAGTGTCGTCTTGATCTTTTCAAACTGAGGCAACTTCTGCCAACCTGCTCGCTGCAGTGGACACCCAGCGGACGACGGAAAGCATTGACTTGAGGGAAGGGTAGTTGCCGGCGTCTTCCTCGACCACAATGGCGGGAGGTCGTCACTGATGTAGCCGCATTTAATGCTTTTGCCCGAGCTGCGACAATGCTTTAGCGATAGTTCGCGACCTATTCATGGTCGGATTGTTACAGCGTAGAACTGTCATTCGGGTTTGTTGAGCTGCAAAGGTCCCTGCAGTACTTCGCATTATTCGACCGCAATGACTGTTCCGCCGGACTTCCTTTGACCGACTTTGCATACTGTGGTAGTGCAAGCTTGTGCCGTCTGAATGCCTGCTAGAGAATTGTCAAGCCACAGCGTCGTGGCGGCGCTCAGAGCCATCGCTTTAGGTAATCTTGTTATGAATGGTATCAGCCGGCGTCGGGAATACCATTCTAAATTTCAGTGAGGTCCTGGCTTCCTGCACCGAACGTCTCCGATACACTGCATACACCGATCCTCCGACATCTGCCCTCTATGCTGCTTTTTTCGGAATGCACAGCCAGTTATCGCTCAGTGGCCCCAAATCCATCAGATGGTAAGCCTTGTGGGGACCCCGGCGTTAGGGTATGCCATTGGTACGAGGTAAAAGTTAGGTAACTGATGGGTGACAGCCGCCGCATGAAGAATAATGACGGCATTTGCCGGAAGAGATGAATCGAATACCTCGTACCGCGTAAACACAGCATGTTGCAACGTCCATTATGCTGACTCTTGACCCTTTAACGAGCCCTGGCTTACCCGTACTCTGTACGACCACGAATCGTCCCATAGTTGCGGGGACATACTGTGTAGAGCGGACTGCGACCCCATCGACAATCATAGCATCAGGCTTGACGCCATTTTCATGGCTGAGGACGTCAAAGGTGGGAATGCCTCAACCCTAAATTCAAGGAAAAGTCTCCGGCATGGATATCATGATTTGGTAGACATCTGGTTGTCCTGCAGACTGTCCGAAACCAACGCAGGTCTGTTGCTACGTCTAAACGTAGTCCCGTCGTTGCATATTGTACTCGAATGTGGCACGAGTGCGAGGCCGAGTTACTGTGTACACAGTCTTTGACGACTCGCTTGGCTGAGTGGTGTCTCGAAACCCCGGTTGCGCAGCAACCGGAAACGCTCTAAGGCCGCCCAGAAGAGAAGTGTAGCTCGAGGAACAGGAAAGGCTTGCGTGGCCGATGTGGCGAGATGACGTGGTGGCTGTGTTGCGAAACATTCCCTGACATCCTTTGTGGACTCAAGAGGCTGCATGTTGGCCAATCCAAACCCGTCCAGCTGGCGATCTGCGCCGAACTGCATCCTCTGTTGGACAGGCTTTCCTGCAAGGCCGGCCTGCAAGGCTGGATGTTCCCATACGGCCCACATGCGGCTGGCGGACAGACGTGATGATTGTGGCTCATTTCGTGCTGTTCCATAATATCCTGGGAAACGTCATTCCGAGGAGGGACAACGTACTGGGTATATATGGCTGAAAGTGTCCTGTCTCTGTGACCTCGTAGTCAATCCTCTCAACATCAACTCAAGACATAACCACCCAGGACAAGCCAATCAAACCGTCGTACCTCTTCCGTCACTTCGAACAGTCCCTCATTATGCATTTCTCCAAGTCTATCGTGCTGGCCTTCGCCGCCGGCGTCGCTGCTCAAGACGTCAGCTCCATCGTCTCAGCAGCAACTTCACTCGCTTCATCCTTCGCCAGCGACGCTGGTTCTGCCTTCGGGTCTGCCACCTCAGGCGCCAGCTCAGCCATCTCATCAGCAGAATCGGTGGCATCCTCATTCGCCACCGGCGTGCAGACAGACGTCAGCTCGTTGGTCTCGTCCGTCCAGTCTGAAGTCTCCTCGATCTCGGCTTCGGCCGCGTCCGACATTTCCAGCCTGTCGTCAGTCGGCGCTACAGCGACTGGTTCGGCCCAAAGCAGTATTTCAAGCCGGATCAGCAGCATTCTCGCCAGTGCCAGTTCCGCACAGAGCAGGATCCAGAGCAGCGCCACCTCCGCGGCTTCCTCCGCCTTGACCTCAGCATCAGGTGCTGCTAGCAGTGCCGCGTCATCTGCATCCTCGGCTGCAAGCAGTGCTTCCGCCTCCGCGACAAGTGCCGCCGGGAATGGTGCCAACGGGTACACAGTGCCCGCTACTGGAGTGTTGGGTAGCTTGTTCCTTGGTATGGTGGCTCTTTTGTAATGATATTACCTGAAAAGTCCAACATCAAACCGACGTCCACTAAGGCGGAAGGGGTATGTTGCCAGAGGATAGGATGAAACATGTGTGGAGTCTTGTCATAACAGTGAACATGTCTCATGGCTCGTGTCCCACAACACCACATCTAAAATAACACTTCAATTACGATTGATCACCATGAGTTCCATACCATATAATGCATGACCATATTAATGTCTTGCTGTTCTCGAAGTCCTTGGACGTAATGTACACGTCTTTTTTGGTTTTGGTGTACTGGGCAGATGTATTAGAGCTGTCGTCTGTCGAGTAGACCAAGTAGGCGAAAAGTACGAGTATCTTTAGTTCGCAAACGTTGAACCCTGTCCATCGTCCAGATCCAGCCAGAGACAATTCTCCACATCCAGCCCATTGAATAATACCACATTCATGATATTTTGGAGCATTGATAGAAACACACGTTGTGAAATCGGTTTCTATGGCCCTATAAGCTCCATGGTCCAAATCCAGATCGCCATAGACGCGAGAACCAAGTGCATCCATGGATACAAGCCAGATGTATGGCTACTGTTGTGGGACCGCACATTGAACTTCTGAGTGTGAGGTTTGATCCTCCACTAATCATCAGACATCTGACAGCCACCCTGGCATGGGTCCTAGGTGTTGGCAGCCACTGAATAAAAGTGAGGGATCCCCATCCATGGAGAATTCGACTTAGCCTGACCGTGGCGACAGACAGTCCTTAGCAACCCCATACACGCCGAGGCCATAGAAGGACTTCACCCAGGACGAGTCAAGTAATCCTCATTGACTGCTGTCAGTATGATGTACACTGGGCTCTGTCGTTTCTTCCCTAACAAAGGGAGGAGGCCAAAGTCACCGGATAGACATACAGCCAAGGCGAGCGGGCTCCATGCTGTTCGAGACGCGCTTCACCTTGCCTAAAGCTCGGCATGTTTCCCATCTAACTCATAGCAAACGCTGCCCAAGGGCACACTAATGAGCGCCATGTTCCGCGTTTCCAAGAGACGACGTAGGGCGTCTGCAGTCTCATAGGTCTCCTGCTAGGGGCATCCGCCGAGGCTTTTCCCTGTCGAACACCACATACTTCGCGGACGAGTAGACCGGTCAAGGTCATGTCCTGGCGGTGAGGATTTTTGTGTAAGATCTGTTGGGCAGCGGCTCGCCAAATCACCACGGCCCTTCACGACGGATAGCCCGGCACCGTCGAGTCGAAGCCTAGGAATCGAAAACGAATAGAAGAAACCATACGCCTGGTTGAAGCTGATTTTAATGCTTGGTCGGTAGCTTTGGGCAGCAACGCTTGAGTCTAACTGAGAGGTCAGCTATAGTACCAGCAAAGGGCTCATCATGGAAGTAACACGAAGATGTGGAGGTCGGACTGTCGACCGTGTGGGCGCTCTACTGCATGCCATGGACAGCTCAGGAGTGCTGCATGCAAGGTGACGAGAGGAGTCCGCTCGTCGCTCGCACTTGGGGAGGCCAGAGACGCCAACCACCATATGGGCGCAAAGCTGGTCATACAATTCTCGTCGTACTGTCCATCAAGAACTCGGAAAGGAAGTGATAGCCTAGCCAGACATCCATGGTATCTTTTCTGGCGACCCAGTCCCAGGCGAGATGATCGGCACTCTCGTTGGGCACAAACTGACTTATCGCCCTAGGAAGCATAGTCGAAGCATAAAGTACAAGAGGCGTCGTATCTCTGCTCCGGACAAATAATTCCACCCAGACATTGTACGTGCCGGTGGGCGAAACGTCTCTCGTGGCCACGTGGATGTCTATTGCTCTAGCTGGTATAAAGTGAGGGCTCCGGTGACTTGCGCCCGCCTCGCACCCCTTCCGCCTCACCCTGAGCGGAAACGTACAGCGATCGACGCAAATGAGCACCGGATCGTCTGAGCGGAAAATTGGTTGATGCTCGCTCAACGGCGCGAAGCTTCGAAGCTACTCCGTACGGAGTATGCTCGAGAGGATCAGAATCCACAATTGGGCGGCGAAGAAGCACCCCATCTTTCACAAGGAAATCTGCAGCAGCACTGTGTTCCTCGTAGCATCAGTCAGCAGGATTGCTGACTGAGGAGCCACCGGCAACGGGCGTTATGATCTTCAATCCTAAATTTGACGATGCAGTGCCAAATGCACCTCACTTGTCCGAGCTGCAAAGGAAGTCCAGCAATGATCGAGACGACGGATGTGGTACGAACTTGTGGCGCAGGCAATGAGATGTGGCGCCCGCGACTTCCTTCCACTGTCAAGCAGGGGCTCTCCTCCCGGGGGCCTCCGAGGCTCTAATATGGCGGCCAAAGCGGGTGAGGCTAGGTAGATCATGGCGGTGTACGTAGTACTACTGTGTACGTGTAGTTAAGAAAGTATCAGCCGAGGAGCCATCACTCTGTACACGGTCCGCCGTACCTCGTAGGTACGCAGGTGATGAAGGAGCATTCCCTACCTCCTTCGGCGCTTCGGTGAGGTGGGCATTGCGAGCCAGCTTGAGGCTGTCGTGCGGCATTGGTGACTCTAAAGCGTGCCTGTTTCAAAAAGGAGGCGCCAGTGCTGGGCCCGTTTGCTGTGGTCACCTGAGACGCAGGTGAGCGCTTTCCGGAGCCGAGGGAAGACTCGTAACTCGTATCAGCAGGATTCAGTGTGGACTGGTCGACTGAGCTCGGGTTGTCAATGCTACGGTGGCAAACCCAAAAGCCACAGCGACAGGGTGGAAAAGGTTCGAGGCACATTTCATGTGCAGAGCAATCACGCGCGACAGAAGAAGTGGACACCTCTCTATGATTTTTGCCGCAGCTGCAGGAACAAAGTGTGCCGGATAGGCCTGAATTATGATGGACATTTGCAGCAGGGAGCCACTGACAGCTCAGCTGCGTAGCTGCACCCAAGCCGCGCCTGAAGCTGCAAATCCCCTGCTCCTTCCAGTTAAGAGCCACTCGCCTGCAGCTTAACCCCAGCCCTGCAGTTCTTCGTTGTCGGCTCCTCCTGTTGACAGCCAGAGCTCCTGTCTGCGCGCTGGTTGGCGGCATGCTTGGACTGATGGTACGCCAAATCCAAAGGCGCCTTCACTTGTTCGCATTCCCAGGAACGTCATCCCTAAGAGTGACATTACGAGGACCGCTCCCCCCGGTTGCCAATGTGTCTCATCTTATCCCTTTCCGACACAAAGACAATTGCAATAGCTGCCCAATCAATCCACTCTCCCAGCTTCCCGTAGCCTAATCAATCTTGCTGAACACAAGTTCCCAAGCGTGACGATGGTGCTGCCTGATCGCCCACTGGGCACTGGTGTGTTTGACAATTCTGTCCACCTGCCTGCTGGTGCCAATCCACATCTCCACAGCCCATGACGGTTTCCACAGCCTTCTTTACCACATTCGCCCCTTTAGCATCCACACCTGCGTCTGCTTGCAAACATCTCGCCTTACCTCGTACTGCGGATGCTGCCGTTTTCAAGCCACCATTCTGCTGGCTGCTGCTGGCTACTGCTGCGACTTTATTACCCGAGAACCCCGTCCTGGGGCGTGCCAGTCATTCCTGGCAAGCAAGGCTTAGCTCTCGTTGCCTGATGCTAGATACCAATTTGGGAGTCTGCCTGATGCGAACCCCATTTCACCAGGCTTCAGTGTGCACTGAGTCACTTCACTTCATATAAGACACTCAGTTCCCTTCTCGATCGGCATTGTCTGTCATCACTTTGACAACCAGTTCTCCAACGCCACAGGCCTTCCGTCAGACTCCTTCAGCGCCAAACCGTCACCCCTTAACTACTAGCAACATTCTTGGAACTCGCCCCCACCTCCATCAACTGTCACCACTTTTAGAACATCGCCACAAAATACCCAAATACCCCGAGCCATCCTTCCAGACTTTCCAGCAGGCAACACCTATAGCACTTCGGCCTTGCTTGGATCATACAATACTTCCACTTTCCATTGAGAGTACAAAACACTCCGTCGTCCTGTTGCTGGAGTGACCTCAGTTACTTCGACAACGCGGCCTACAGACATACAAACAGAAACCAATTACTCCTCTCACTCAGGCAAGCCAACCACCAACCAACAAGATGCCTGCACAATATCACAGCTCCTCTGGCTCCAGCAGCGCTGGTGAGAGAATCTACCACGACTCACGGAGAGAACGACCACAGCCGAAGGAGCCTCGCAAGCCCATCAAACGCGAGGTTGTTGTCATCCACCATAACACCGTCACCCGCGACGAGCCTCTTCGATCATCCGGCATGAGCCATAACAGATGGACGTGATCTTGTTCCAACAAACACTAAAACATCTACACGCAATGTCGACACGAATGGTTTTTGCACGGGGCCACTTGATACCAAGCGAAGGAGTTTGACGGGTTAGGTTGGAGGAAGGCCACCAGGCAGTACAAGGGAGTTGGTATTTGGTTATTGCCATGGCTTATCGCCACTCTTGAAGAGGAGGGGAAGCTATTGCTCAGGCGTTTCCTATGTCATTGGGTCAAGGATTGCTATTCAACCCATTTCTGTACTATTCTGAGGCACTGGCTACTGTCCCAGGCCTCGCTCAGGTCATAGACATTGAGAACTCTAGAAAGAGAAGGACGCAAGTCTGGAATGTACTCTATGGAATATCGAGCATTGATTATCGCTCGCAGGGTTTGCCTTTATCGATTGCGGGAGCATATCTCCAGCCTATCGATAAAACCATCATGGGTCCCGCCCCGAGAATGCAAGGGCGTACAGTAACATAGTCCCGCTCAGCTCAACGTGGTTTCTGTGATTCTCTAGGTAGGCGCAAGTCTATCTCACCTTCCTTTGCTCGGGCAAAGACAGTCTCTTTCTTCCCGTCTCCCAGTTCTTCGGTGTCGATCACGGCAGCCCAAAGCATATCGGCAAAGACAATACGGAGTACTATGTAAGATCGTCATACAAAGCATCCAATCGTGACACAGCCGTCGGCCTCCAATCAAGCGGGACGGGTGAGGCGGCGGCTTAGCTGCTTTTGCTTCTAGCTGCGCCCGACGCAGTGGGCACATTCCCTCGAGTCGGGGTTGAGTCAAGCGAACGTGAGAGCATCTCCATTCGGTGGTTACACCCGCGCGAGGACCCTAGCAAGCTCCTGCAATTTGGGGCTAGGGAGCCTCTGCCTTGGTCGCTCACGATAGGCCAGTGTGAAGCGCCAGACTCGAATGGTCTCTCCGGAGTCATCCTCGACTCTTCCAAAGGTCTTTGCGCCGCTGGAAATCCCCCGAGTGCTCCCATTCCGGGCGCAAAGAAGCTGACTTGGCGGAACTTTTGGTTCGGGGTAATGAGCCATTATTCTGGAGGGATTCAACTTGCTGCGAACACATGAGCACAGCTCCGAGGACTACGATATAGGCCTCACACCCAGAATCTACACCGGTCAGGTACTGCTCCTCCTCGTAACCGGTGGTTTCCGAGGCTCCAAGGCAACGGAGGCGTTGCGTGGCAAACCAAAGGACCATGCACACGCTCCAAAATCGCATGTGTCTCGCCGCGACCTTTCCCCAAAAAGTCGGCCAGTATGTACCTTACATTTGGCCACGACTACTGCATGCCACGACAGCGACCTGTGGAGGTATCGCTGCACGCAACTGCGCATGCCACTCGCTCTGAATACATGACCTGCAGTTTACCGTTAGCTGCAGTAGTTGCCGAAGGACCATGCATGAAAACGTCTCTGACTCGTCACGACCAAAGATCCTGCTCCATCTCGTATCCCATGAGTCCGACGGCCCTTGCAGCGACTGTTGCACCACCACCTATCGCGAGCTCTAAGAAACGGTTACTTGCGGTCCGGGGTGACATCTGGGTCCTGGTTACATCTGCAACTCATCGCAGGGACCGTGGCACGCAATCGCGAATCCTCGGCCACGTGTCGAACGCCTGCGAAGTACGGAGTACTTCTTCTCTCTCTACCGAGCCTCGACTGCGATGTCTTCACATCGATGCTTTGGCACTTCATCCACGACCTTCGCCTGACGAGGCTGGCAAAATACCACCAGCACAGCCATGCGGATTCCATCCTGAGGCAGCCAGTTGGAGATACCAGAAACAGAAGTCATGACGCAAATCAAAACATTTCTGAACCTTCTGTCAAAAAGTCTAGCACGTAATCGAGTAGGCATTGATGCAGAGATTCTGCAGGGTTTAGCTCCAGGTACAGTATTACTTCTCTCACATGAAACCTGTCCACGTTCTCTGTGCACCTCGTGTCTAGTCTCGTCGAATACCCAAACAGAATTCGACGACATGGCCGCCATCCGCTCCCTCTACGCGTCTGCGCGTCGAGTTCCCCTGCAAGCCACGCCTCGAACCATCCAGATCCACCCGATCCGGACCTCTCTGAGGCATCTCAACACCGACACAGCCCCGGTTCTCTACTCCGCCCACGCCAAAGTTGTTGGCGCTCGCACCGGCCACGTCGAAGGCGATGACTTGAATGTCGATCTCACAATGGCCAAAGCTCTAGGCGGGGCGGGGGACAAGGGCAAAACAAACCCAGAAGAGCTATTCGCTGCGGGATATGGCGCCTGCTTTCAGTCTGCCATGAACGTCTCGGCAATAAGCCTCAAGGTTCAGATGCCAGAGAAGAAGGAGGACAGCATCGTGGAAACAACAGTGCATCTCGTGGGGGATATGAAGAAGCTAGACATGGGGATCAGGGTCGATATGAAAGTCAGCGTAAAAGGGTAGGTCCTCGCACCACGGCCTATAACAGAAGGGTAGACAACTAACCAATGTTTGTTTCTGCAGGCTGAACAAGACGGATCTGGAAAAGGTGATTGAAAAGGCAAAAGAAGTGTGCCCTTATTCACGAGCCACCCGAGGGAATGTCACCACGAATATAGAGGTCGTCCAGTTGTAGGCCAAGGTAAAATGGAAATACCTGCCGACCCTTCCTTCCATTCTGTGCACTCGAGAATGGTGCCATCCTTCTCTGAATCTGTCGACTGCCCATTATCAATTTCTTCAGTCGCACATTCTGGTCTTCTCTGACCGCCCAAGAGGCGCAAATTTCGTCTCTGTCCTCAGTACATGTAGACACCAGGAGTCCATTCCCCTTCACCCTTCTCCTCCTTCTCAATGCTCTCGATGATTCTCTTCTTGATCATGTCCGGCGGTGGAGGGCCCGATCCAGCCGTCTTGCTGACATCGGCGCAGAACAATGGCAACGGCTTGACCGCATCTGCAGCTTCCTTGATCGCTTGAACGTCATCCTTCGAGTAGCCTCCGCCGATAACGACGAGAGAAACGTCGCTGCGAGCACTCCCCTCTGCATTGGCACCCAACCCTGACGACGGCGCTGTCGTTTCGCCTTTAAGCAAGGCCGGGATTTCCGACACGGCCGTGCCTCGAGAGGTGCACACGTGGACGACTGGCCGCCACCTCATGTCAACTCGGGACCTGGCTTTCGCGAGAGAGGGACAGAAAGGACAAACCTTCAATTTTTGGAGCCAGAAGCTTGATCATGCCTTGTGCCATTTTCGGCTCTTTGCCACAAAGGATAGCTGCGATGGGGGCCATTTTCTCAGATGCTCAAGGGACAGAAAGGTTGGGATTCGCGCTGGAAGTCGCAAGAGTTGGAACAGGAAAAAAGGGACAATCCTTACTATGGCGAAACGAAGCTGTCAAGTTGCTTGGGAAGGCATTGCGACTCGGCTGTCGGTGAGCTGCTCCTTCTCGGCGATAAGAAGAGAGCCTGAGAAACCATCGTCTGCACTGTGCATTGTGCAGTATGCACTCTGCAGTCAGCACGAAGTCAATCCATCACACCTGTACTACGATACTGTAGCCAAGATGACAGTGCCTGAGGTCTGTTCCTCAAGCGGCGTGTCGGTGAGCAAGGGCTTGGCATTGATTTCCTCAATTACCCCACAACTTACGCTTTACTCACCATTGGTTGTTGCCCATGGGCTCGTGGATCTTCTCTCATTACTGCGCATCTTCAAAAAGTGGCATGTGGCATAGTGAAACGGCATGCAAGAGCATCAACGTGCCTAACCTACCCACTCCAGGGCTCGACGTGGCAGGATTGAAGCCGACGCATTAGCAGTGAGGTTACTGATTTGGAGCCGTGCGGCTTTAGCTCAATGTGTGTCTCAGCCTGTGCTCTGACCACGTCCCAGATGCCCAAAACCTATCCGCACTGCTTACCGTTGCGAGTGAATTCCAGGTTCCGCTCCTCCGGAGGCATATCGGCACGCAATGATGGTCGTTGCAGCGACGGGCCTAACAACGGTGACTGCTCGCCGGCAGTCGTAGAACCGCATCATGAAGAGTTACTGTGGGAATGCCACCCATCTGCCCGCCGTCAGTGCCCACAATACTGACCAAACCGACGACGCACAGCAAGAACAACCATCTCATGTTGCTCTCAACGGATACCAAAAGCCCCCGTTTTAGACAACATACCCAGGCCCACAGAGCTGGTGTTGGGCGCGGGACTTTATCACCTACCTGTCTGGATTCATGCATCCAATTATGACAACACCGCCGCGGAGATGCGTTCAATATGCTTCGATCTGCTTGGGAACAGGTCTCAGATATGGCTCATGACTCCTGCATGGGTGGGGAGCTGAGGGCTCTCCGATGAAGAATCGATAATACCACCAGTTGAATATGCCATCTCTGGCTCGTCGAGAATGGCATCTCCAGAACTGCTGGAGCACCAAGGTCGTGGGATTTAGCAGATGCCACCTATCCATCCAGCTCCGCGGTACGACCAACTGCTCTGGTGTTGCACCTGTCGTAACTTTCGAAGGTCTTTGTCATTGCGAGGTTGGCCGCCAACCGGCTCATGGGAGGGGCGTGACATATCAGCTGGACTCTAGGATGAGATGTCGGTCTCGGAGCTGCTCGATAGAGTACTCTGTAGTATTTCGATAAATCGCTCGACACCCAAAACGAAACATACTGTGCCCGTTTTGGTCTGCTTGGCACCCGCTCAAATTATTTTGAAGACCTCGAAGGATAGGTCTCCGGCCTCCAAAGTTTTGGGCATTGCATTTGACAGAGGAGCAGTAGGCTCCATGGTTGCAATGAATCAAACAACTGACCATTTGACTCTCAAACCCCGTCGAAGCTGGAGTGCGTATAACGTCTGGGCCTGACCCGGCGAACTATCGGTTCTCATCTTCGGTAGCTGGGCCAATCGACAACAATGGCTTGCGCGGACGGGTATGGGCGTGAGCAAAGGTCAAGTGTACCCTGGGCAAGGACGCCTCTGACCATCAAATCAATCAAAATAGAGGGAGATCTTCTTCATGTCGGTGGTATGTCGGATATCAGAACGCCTGGTCCATCGACCGGCCCTCATGCTCTAGCTTGTGGTCTGCATGGCTTGTCAGATACTAAGCAGACACGGACATTGGGTGTCTTCTACGGCATGGGGGAGCAGCCACCGTTTCGTCCAGTGGATCCGGGTTTGCGGAAGTTCGAGTGCGCGGCTTCGTGATCACTGGTTCGCGGTTTACATCAACAAAACCCTATCAATATCAGTGTATTTGCTGGAGCTCCGCTATACAGTCTGAAATCCAGGCTCTCCCAATAGGACGTTCGACTTTGCTTGCGAAGCGGCTTGCCGCTCGAGTCTTGTCAGGGCTGTGCACGTCGGAGTGGCAGAAAATATAGAGTCTAGCAAGCGTATCACCTCCTCTCCGGTATTGAGTTGGACTATTGTGATGCGGCATCAGCTGCGATTGCGCGACCACAGTCACATCGCGACCGGCCACTCTCCGAACCACACGTCAAAGACTGGCCGTTCCGGTAGCCGACATTTCCACGGTATTGCCCTCTATGGACGACAAACGCAGCGGAAACTCCACAAAAGTGATGAACGACATCATCGCTCCACTGCAGCCCCAGGATAATCAGGGTCGCAAGACATCTGTTTGCGGGGAATCCACGTTAGTGCTTGGTGAAGCTACGCTTGCTTGCTACTGCGAAACCAAGCGGCATGGAGACTCGCGACAGACACGACTCGCAACAGGCTATTTGGAAACTGCTAATAGGCATCTCCATCCCGACGGGCGACCAAGGCGAGGACTTGGGACGGAGCAAATTGGCCTCGTCGACGTATGAATTGTTGCGGCCACAAGACTGAAGTCAATGCCGCACTCAACGCACTGAGTTGACCACAGCAACAACCATGAGCAAAAGCAACATTGAGCACGTCGAGCTCCCAGCTCTCGACAAGAGCAATGTCGGCCTCTACGCGGAAGAACACGTCCAAGGCCTCACGATACCAAAAGTCACCTGGTGGAAGCACAAAGGCCTTCGGCGTCTGTATCTCATGATCCCGATCCTGTTTCTGTCTGCCACCACCAACGGCTATGACAGCAGTCTCCTCAATGGCCTACAGACACTGATGCCGTGGCAGGACTGTATGGCCACAGCTTCCACGTCCTTCTCATGCGCTAACACCTTCAGATTACAATCACCCCAAAGGCTCTAGGATCGGACTATTCAATGCTAGCTACACTGGGCGGTTTGTCTGCGCTTCCTTTCTCGGCCTACATCTCAGACCTCTTCGGTCGCAGGGTGGGCGTGTCGTTGGGTATTGTGATCATCTTCGTCGGCACCGTCATCATGGTCGTCCCAGCAGCCAACCATGACCGCCGCTTCATTGGAGGCCGGTTCCTGGTTGGTCTGGGCGCCAATATCTCGCAGGGCAGCGCTCCCGTGCTGGTCACCGAGCTGATCTACCCTCAACACCGAGGTCGCATGACCACACTGTATAATGTCATCTACGCGGCGGGTGCAATCGTGGCCGCCTGGACCGTGTTTGGAACAGTCAAATATGACTCCAATACCGGATGGATCATCCCGAACAGCCTCCAGGTGCTCATGCCAGGCATCCAACTGCTGCTCGTGTGGTTCCTGCCGGAATCGCCGCGCTGGCTCGTGTCCAAAGACCGCCACGATGAAGCCCTCGCCGTCCTGGTCAAGTACCACGGCGCCGGAGACGTCAACGACCGGTTCGTGGCGTCCGAGTTCTACGAGATCCAAGAGACGATCCGGTTGGAGAAGCAAAACTCGCGCAACGGCTGGCACATGTTCTTCAAGACGCCCGGAAACCGCAAGAGGCTGGCACTGATCGCACTGACGGCATTTTTCTCGCAATGCTCTGGCAACGGCCTGATCAGCTACTACCTGCACAGCATCTTGAACACCATCGGCATCAGGCGCTCGTACGACCAGAGCATCATCAACGGCGGCCTCTCGATCTGGTCATTCCTCATGGCTCTCAGCGCGGCATTTCTCGTCGACCGAGTCGGGCGAAAGCCCCTCTTCCTCGCGGCTGGCGTGGGCATGCTGCTCGCCTTCTCCGTCTGGACCGGCTGCTCGGCCGTGTATGCTCAAAGCCACTCCGCCAGCGTCGGCAAGGCCGTGATCGGAATGATCTTCCTGTTCAACGGGGCTGCGGGGCTCGCGTGGCCGGGCCTGACGGTCGCGTACCCGGTCGAGATCCTGCCCTTTAATCTCCGCGCCAAGGGGATTGCGTGCCTGTATGCGTGCAAGGCCCTCGCTTCCGTCTTTAACCAGTACGGTATGTGTGTGATATACCCTTGATCGGTGCAGAACCCACGTACTTTACACTTCCGCGGCAATGGCTGACATTTGCGGCCACACAGTCAACCCTATCGGTCTCGAGCATCTGGGCTGGAAGTTCTACTTCGTCTACATCGCCATCCTGGTCTGCGAGATTGCCATTATCTACTTCTACTTTGTGGAGACCAAGGGACCGACTCTCGAAGAGATAGCTCGGCTCTTCGACGGAGATGAGGCCAATGTTTCGGGCAAGGAACTCATCGACAGAGGCGCCAAGGGGAACGTTGAGGTGGCGGTGACTACTGTTCCATGAGGAGAGCAAATGAGATAGATCTATGGTCCTGTGCAGCACCTCATACTATAGACAACGAGGGAGAAATGCTTGATGTATGGACAAGCCGGAATAACAGACTAGTGTCTGTCGCTATTGTCACAAGAGACTCCCACTGCCATGCCGGGGGAGGGAGAACGGTCTGAGCGAGAAGCAGCTCGTCGATGTGGCCGGGCGTTTCGGTCACGCCTGAACCATAAAATCTACGTAGATCAAAGCTCATTTCGTGGCATCCTGTCAGACCGTAAGGCTAGCATAGCATACCCCCGTCTGCTGTCTATCGAACATGTAATGCCGACCCCCGGAGTTCTAACGAGGTAGAGCCGGGCCCGCTGACTCCCCGAGCGATGCCCAGGCAAATACTGTACTCCGGAGGGAGGACGTACTGTACTTCTGTGGACGAGAAGTTCCGGCTAAATTGTGGCTCCAAGCTACGGAGTACAGTGCAGCTACTGTGGTAATTACAGTATCTCAGAGCCAGACCTCCATCCTGTCAATCTCGAGGTGCGACCCCCCTGCCTACCACCTCCACGTCCTAAGAAGTCCGCGTGGAGAGGTCTCCGATTGCGGGGGAATCTCTCTCCATCGAGCACTGACGGCTCAGTACATACGGAGCACAGTACTGTACGCCAGGCCGCCGCCCGTACGAGGACCGAAATACTGTGATAACTTGAGCTGTATCCTCGTCTCAGCTGATAGGGGTTGGACGATCGTTTGCCCGTCCGTCGCACCAGTCGCATTTCTGCCTTGACCCCCTTTTAGGCTAATTGATGGCATCGGGCGTGAGTTGACGCATCGAATCAAGCATGAATGAGCCCTCTGCGAGCGCGTCGCCCGCGATGTCTGGCATGTGGGTGTTTAATGACTCCGTGCAGGCCAGTCCGTGCAGTCCGTCCATTCGGCTCGGATCCTCGGATCTGTCCCCCACGACTTGTAGCTTGGACGTGACATCTGGGCTCCGGCCCGTGCGCTCGATATGAGGACGTGGAATCCCAGAACTAAGACTGCCACTGCAGCAGAGCAAAGGTAGGGAGCGCTTTTTCTTTTGCGGGGATCTACACAACAGATATACTCGTCAATCAACCACAGCAAGCAAGCAGGCAAGCAAGCAACCATGCCGGGCAAGATCGAAGAATGGACAGACTACAAATTGACGGAGGAGCAGAAGCAGCACTGGATGGACCACGGCTTCGTCAAGATCGAGGGCTGCTTCTCCCGCGACTTTGCCGACCGGTGGACGAGCTCGATCTGGACGCGCCTGGGGGCCGACCCCAACGACAAGTCGACGTGGCCGACGGAGAAACTCAATATGCCGGGCCACACGGTCGTGTCGGTCAAGGAACACGCCCCGAAAGCGTACGCGGCCATGTGTGAGTTGGTGGGCGGCGAGGAGCGGGTGGCAGACTGGTATGTGTGGCCACGTTCTATTTGTTCGATCCGAGGGTTTTTGTTCGCTGCGGCAGTCCGGGAAATGGAGGTTTTCGTCCACGCTGAAAGAACCATCATGTTGACTTCTTGAACTGCCACCAGGTGCAAGAACTGGAAGGACGGCTGGATCCCGAACCTGGGCAAGCCCGAGTACAAGCCCACCGACGAGCTGGACTTCCGCGCGCTCGACAACTGGCACTGCGACGGCGACTGGTTCACGCATTACCTCGACTCGCCGGAGCAGGCCCTGCTCGTGATCCCGCTGTTCACCGAGATCAAGCCCAAGGGCGGCGGGACGGCCATCTGCACGGATGGGATCAAGCTGGTGGCGAAAAGACTGGTACGTCACGCCCTACTAGACCAGTGCCACCGCTACTAACACAGGGCTGGAACCAGCACGACCTCCCCCAAGGCGCGACGCCGTACCTCGCCGAGCGCGGCACGCCCGAGATCCCCAAATCCAACCCGCGGCGGCGCGAGCTGTGGAATTCCTGGGTCCGCGACCCACAACTCACCCGCGACGAGTCCTTCCACGAGGCCACGGGTCAAGTCGGCGACGTGTACTTTCTGCATCCCTTCATGCTGCACTCGGCGTCCAAGAACCTGCGGCGCGAGGTCCGCATCATCACCAACCCGCCGGTGGCATTGAAGGAGCCCTTCAACTATAATCGCGCGGATGGCAGGTATAGTCTCGTCGAGGCCAAGACGTTGAAGGATCTCGGCCGGCCCGAGGGGTTGCCGGACTGGACAATCACGGGGCCGAGGGAGTTGCTTTCTGCGGCGGGTGGGCGGATACAGGTAAGTAATTATGCGTGAATATGACGTCCCCACCAGCGTGGCCCCAGGAAGAAAGTAGTGGCTAACCGTTGCCGCGAACAGATGCAGGAAGAAATGAAGAAGAAGGAGCTGGAACGGCTCAAGATTGCCGGCATCCCGATCCACACGTTGGAGGGGTTGAGCGAGTACAAGCTTGATTATTACCCTTCGTAGGGTCAGTGTATAGAGTGCTTGCGCATTCGAGGAGAGAAGGAGACGCAAAAAGGCAAGCATATGCATCTGGACGTGATGGGGACGATCTCGATGACGAGTCCACAAGGGGAGGTCAGTCGCTGATCTCTTGGGTCCCGTGTATACACAGTGTGTACAAGTAGGCACTTCTCATACGTACCTGGTACGGATAACTTCTTTGTCGACGGTCGTTGCGTCAGGATCGTCTTCTCGTCTGTTTGCCTATTGGCCCTCTGGTCGCTTCAAAGGCTTGCGAAAGAGAGTAATCGGGTACTCTGCATGCCGACAATAAGCGGCCGAAATAGTGAGTACCATTGAGTCGCACTGTACCTGGTCGGTACTTAGCCAGACCTTGCGCTCGTCCTAAAATTGCAGGGCACGCTCCTGATGCCTGGTGGGTGCCTTGTCTTGTCTACTCGCACTCGTACCGAGCCGGGTGACAAAACAAGTGGCACACTTTTGTGGTCGAACCAGATTAAACCACGGGTTCGGTCATCAAAACATACCATTATTCAACCATTCTTTCCGAGATGATGCTGTATAGCATTGGTACTGCTGAGTAGAGTAAGAGGTACAGAATCGATCTATGCAACTATATACATTGGTTAGCACTAAAAGTATCAAGTGCTCGTGGAAAGTAGCTTGGGTGTCTACTTGTCATCACTTACATGTGCCACTGTTTTTTTTTCACCCGGCTCGGTACATACCGCGTGACAAAGGCTACCGTGATGGCGCTGCGCCTTTTTCTCCTCTCGTCTCCCTCTTTTCTCGTTTCCCCCATAGTAGTTCAAGCTACAAAGAAGCGCAGGGCATCGTGATCGGCGTATCCGTACTCGTACTCGTATTCGTACTGGGTCGGCAGTGGTGCGTGGTGCTTACTAACTACCGTGTATGTGAATCCGATCATGATGGCACATCACCAACATCGGTATGGGGTGCTCTATCGAGAAGTGTCCAGCCATGCACAATCCGCTCCAGCATGCATGCTTACCGTAACAGAGTCCTCACCGACGGCTGCTTACATTAATTATGTTCAAGCTTGAAAGCGGCAGACGAGGCTGAAAATCCAGATTTTCGAGGCACCTCTTTCCGTATACCTTTTACATGTCTATTCTGGATTGCGAAAAGTCAAGAGTGGAGGAACGACAAGACGAGAATCCAATACAGGGCCAGGTGTTGGCACGGCGCCTACGCCATCACCGGGATAGCCTCTCCGCCGCCAGCCTGCTTTGCCTTCTTCACGTTCTTCCACTCCAGGAAGCACGACGCAATGAATGCCACGCACGACACCGCAACAGACACGCGATAACAATCCTTCAGCGCGTAGACGTACGCTTGGATGGCCTGGCGGAGCTCGCCCTCCATCCCGCTCTGCTGCAGCGCGCTGCGGATGGCCGTGGCGCCCGTGCGGAGGAGGAACTGTGGATCCAAGTCCGGGGCGTACTTGGCGGCACCTTCGACCAGGCCGTTGGAGAAGACCGACTGTCCGACGGCAATGAAGAGCGCACCACCCAGTGACTGGCAGAACATGAGCAGGACGGTGCCCTGGGGGATGTCTGCCATGGGAAGAGCCGTCTGCACGGCCACAAGCGGCAAATTGAAGCCGAAGCCGGCGCCGAGACCCGCGACGATTTGGTACCCGAACCATTCGCCAAAGGGTGAGTCGACGGTCCAGGTGCTGATCAGGCCGTAGCCGACGGCCATGAGCGCGGACGCGCCCATCAGGATGGGAGTGTAGTAGCCGATGATCGTGACCATGATGCCGCCAATGATGGATGTCAGGACCGTGGAAAGCATGAGCGGCAGGATCTGGATGCCGGATTCGGTCGGCGAGGAGCCCTTGACGCTCTGCAGATAGAGGGGGAGGTAGTACATCAGGATGAAGATGCCGGCGCCGAAGAAGAAGACAAAGCCGCACGCCGCCATCAGGGTTCGCTGCTTGAGGAGGCGGGGAGGAATCGTGGCCGCCTCGCCCAGTCGCCACTGGGAGACGGAGAAGAGGACGAGCATGAGACCCGCGCCAACGAAGAGGCCGATGATCCGGGAGTTGCTCCACGGGTAGGTTGAGCCGCCCCACTGCACGGCGAGCAGCAGCATGACGATTGCAGGGATCAAAATGCCAGCGCCCACGAGGTCGAGTTCCATCACTCGCTTGAGGAGGGGCTTCTCTGATAGTTTGGGGTCTTGAGGGATGTGAAGGACGAAGAGGACGACGACAACGGAAAAGGCGCCGACGGGGAGGCTGAAGAAGCAGGGCTGTTAGTTTGCAAGCTCCGCTGGATGGGAAATATAATGGGTTATGCTCACTTGATGTAGAAGCACCACCTCCATGAGAGTTTGTCCGTGAAGACACCTCCTGCGGCATAGTTAGCATCTGAGGCTCGGTCGGTTGCGGTAGAATCCGAGCAGGACATACCTAAGAGCGGACCTGCAACGCTGGCGAGCCCCCACATGGCGCCGAAAACCCCAAAGACCAAGGGTCTGCGAATCAGAGGGACTGTGATATGGCAGGTCAGTTACTGGGCCGACTCGAGATTGAGGGTGTGATGATAGTTTACCTGAATGAGCGATGATGACCAGAGATCCAGAAAAGATACCGCCAACACCAATGCCGGCGATGGCTCTTCCGACAATCAACGCAGTGCTTGACGGGGCAACGGCGCAGATCAAGGAGCCAAGTTCGAAAACGCCAATGGCGGAGAGAAAGACCCATTTGATCTGGAAGACCTTGTAGATGCGCCCGAAGCTCGGCTGGAGCGCCGTGGACGTAAGGAAATATGCGCTCCCATACCAACCGATGTCGTTGACACTGTGAAAGCGGTCGGTGATTTTGGGAATGGCCGTGGCGATGATGGTCTGGTCCAGAGCGACAAGAAAGACAGCCAGACAAAGCGCGATGATGAGTGTGACCAGCTTGAGTCCATGGGGGTAGTTAGTATGGTCTTCCGTCTCGGTCTCGGCATCAACTTGTATATCTCCCTCCTCGCCCTTTTCTTTCTCAAGAACGGCGGCGGCAGATTTCTCCTCCTGCTCGTTCAGGGTGTCGGTGGGCTTGTGGACGGTTGAGGCAGACGAGACTGAGGTGGTGTCGACATTGTTTTGATAAGGGGGTGTTGGCCCTTGTTCCGGCTCTCGCTCCGACGCTGTCACCATTGGCGGCACTGGAGCCTCTGATACAGCCATCGTCCTCTTCAAGGTATGCTTCCAGAAAGTCCAGATTAGTAGTCCGTCAACTCTCGAGAATGATTAGAAGAGGGAGAAATCTTTTGGCCACATATAGGGATATATGATTGAAGCCTGAACATCGTATTTGGCAACTAATTCTGAATACGAAAAGGGAGTTTGATGATTCACAGCCCTGGAACCTTGCCGGGCCCGCCGCTAGCTGGACGGTCATAATGCGAAATCTCGGAGCGACTGAAATTCACGTCGACGCCCTTGACAGCCCAAAAAGGGACCAGCTGTTGGCTCGTGTCCAATGATAAGGGAGTCGGACCAATTTCAAGGGGGTTGTTGAATCTTCGCTTGGATCGAAGACTCGGATCGAGGCGCCAAACTTGACCGAGTGGATCACAAAGCGCCACGAGCGGCTCAATCGTGGCCCGACTCGCTTGGCACCACGTGCAGAACAGCGGCAAACGCAGAAGCACCGGCCAGTAGAAGAGTACGGCGGGATTTTGTGACTTCTACGCACCGCTCTTCTGTAACCGTGGCTCCTTTCCAATTTGAGCGTTCCTTGACAGCCTACCCGCAGTTGATATTCACCTCAAGGGCTGCAAAGGGAAAGTCCTATGAAGAATCTACCTTTCTGTGGCTAGTCGTTCTTGAGTGGGATAAATGGCTAGAAACTATGCTCAATCAAGCCAGATATCTGTGTTCAGCTCTCCGAACTGTATCGCCCTAATTTGTCTCTTATCAGATTCATCGATGTCCGCCTCCAGGTGCTAAAGAAATGACGGTAGTGTCTCGAAGGTCCAACAACCACCAGAAATATACGCCTTGATTTAAGCGCAAGAAAGGTTGCGCACCAGGAAAGCCTTGTTGCAGGAAGCCTTGTCCTGTGCTCCATCCAGCATAAGTATCCCATCCGCCGAGTTCTGGATCCACACCCGATTGGCACATACCTACGAGCGAATGATAAACAGTCTAGCTCTTTCCACCTCTGAATGGGATTCGGGCCTTGGGACATCCGATATCAACCGAATGCCTAGTACCATGCAAGGAGAGTACTCGCCAAATGCCGCAGAGCATGGCCAGCGTTCAGATGTCCTTGCGCAGCCTTGGGGTCGTCGTTGATGCCATATGTCTCAGGGGCAGCATGTGCTGGATCTGCCGCCAGGATGGTGTATTGCATACAGTCTCTCCACAACCTGCCTCCGATATGCCTGTAATCTCCCAGACCTACTTCCTTTGGATAGTCGCCTGCAAGGGTGCCTGGCATCGTCAGCAACACGCAGCCACAGGACGCAGTCAGTCTTACAGGAATTGACTATGTACTTGAAATTTCTCGCGCATTGATCCGCAGTGTATTTTCCCATTGGGACGCCTAAATCATACTCCGTGTGCGAATCGCATGCATTGACATAGGTGAGCCCAATGCTCAAACTGTAACCGGTCTGGGTGATCTGAACCATTGAATTGTTCTCTCTCGAAAACTGGTTGCATTCTCCCACAGTAGTGCCGCTCTTGTCCAGTGTGCCAGCCCACAATGTCGCATTCCGGACAGCAAGATTGTTGCAGAAGCTGTTAATGGGTTCATCGACATCTCTAAAAGGTTGGAAATCCTGAGTCGGAAGAGACCACGCGGTGGGCAGGGCGCTGGTAGACTGCAAACCAGTAGCCGTGGCGCACTTGATGTGGTGACCCTCCGTCCAATCAATCGTGGCCTTTGGCAGCGGTGTCCAGTGATAACAAGCTGTTTGACGCTTGGTCAGATTGGGAGCTGTATGTGACACCCTCGACGTTGTCGTAGCAGTTGAGCTAGTGGACTGCTGACTCGGGGAGGTGGAGGAAGACGTAGAGCTAGTCGAAAGTCGACTGGAGGAGACCGAGGAGAATGTAGAGCTAGTCAGTGGACCAGAGACTTTCTGAGTGTCACAGACTCTGGAAGAAAGGCTGGCGCAAGTAGGCGTTGATGACGCGGACCCTGTAGCAACGGTTTTTGTATTTGCTGGGGTTGAAGTCGTGTTTGAAGAGCCGAAGGACGTACTATTCCACGCGAGAGATGTAAATGGAACTAGTGGGAACTGTGTGATCCAGTTTGCCATTGAAGATGAGATCACCGGATCATTCCACCATGCACTGAGAGCGCATGAAGCTTTCGACTCCGTCGCTGTGGTTACCGTGTTCGTACCTGAGCATGCTGTCTCGATGCTACACGTCGTCGAGCATGATTCGGTCGCCGGTGGAGGAGCGGTCCCATTTGTGCAAACGACGACGCAATTCGAGAACGTCCGCGAAGTTGAACAAGTGCTTGAAGATGTTGACGGAGCACTTGCAGAAGAGGTGATGCTTCCTGATGGGTTGCTTGCACTCGGGGAAGGAGTGGGTGTGTCAGGAGGATAATGCGTTGTTGGCAGAGTCTGAGGCGATAACGAAGGCGGGCCGATTGGCGGGACAATAGGGATCTGAGCGGGTCAAAATACAGCAAGTCGAGATGAGGTTGAAGAACTCACCGGTGAGAATGGCCATCCTCCATTGTTGTTGCCCTGCGAACATAGGAACGGTATCAGACACTCCAGGAGGTTCAACAAGCCCAAACCAGTGCCTGGATTGCAAAGATCCCCGAGACACCACCAGATTCGGAATGAGAACTCGATCCAGATACCATTGTCGCGGTGTAGAGTGCTCGTCGAAAGAGTCGCGGTCCACCTTGCACTTGTAGAGCTGTGGGATCCATCAGTCTTCGTGATCGTCTGCCACGTTTCGTTCCATGAAGTAGGTGATGCCGTCGCATAGGTGACTTCCGAGGGTAACCGGAAGCCAAGTGTACCGCCAGAGGTCGACGTAACAGTACATAACCAGCCAAACTGGCAGTCATTCGTGTCTGTAGGTTTGGAAGCGTCACAGAGCCAGGGTGAGTCAAGCCAGCAGAACGGGCACAGGCAGTATTCACTCAAGGATGCTGAGGTTTTCGGAGTGTCGAGGCACCATGGGCTAAGACCATTCCATTCACAGGGCAGGGATCCGTTCATGGGAGTTGGGAAAGGCCATGAACCTCCAGACGTTGAACTGAAGCCGGGTAATGAGAGGCTCACGAGCCCGCTGCTGTCTGTCGCCGAAGCGGGTACACCACTGGGGGCATGCTGAGGGCGCAGGGTTGCCTCGGGGTGTAGTGGAAGTGGTGCCACTATTCGGTGCTGAGTTCGAACTCGATGACGAGGCTATGCGGGATGAAGAAGCACCAGGTGAGCTCCTGGATGACGATACTTGCACAGTGATGATGGTGCTGATGACCGTAACGAACGTCGTTGACGCCCAGTTAACTGTGCTAGTAAAAGTGGAAAATACTGCGGAGGAGGAGGCTGGCCCCGGCTGTCCCATACTAGAAGAACTCGACACAATGGAGGTTGACGATGCCGCAGATACTATCGAAGCTGGACCTGTAGGATCAGATGATGTCGAGGTGGTGCGTGTGGAACGCGACTGAGAAGTAGCAGTTGACACTGAAGCCGATTGTGACTGATCCGTAGACGGAGGTATCTGAGATGTTGATGTGCGTAGGCTTTGACCAGAGCTCTCACGCTGACTGCTTGTAGATGTAGAAGAACCGTCACCAGCGGCAGATGGAGAGGTTGAAGGCAGAGGGCCAGTACTGGAGGACTGGAGGCTGGCAGTGCTTGTCAAACTCGACAATGGTGAAGAAGAGCTTTGGGTAGGGTTCGCGGAAATCGACCTCGAAGCAGAAGAGGAAGCCGATGACAGTGCAGCACCAGTGCTGCTTGTCGAGGGTGTCCAGTCGGTGGAAGAGATACTCGAGGTACGCATTGTTGTAACAGAATTGCTGCTCCAGTCCTCCCACCCATTGTTGTCTGTCCGTGCATTAGTACTTGGATTCCCAAGACTCTCTCAACAACTTACGAGAGGAATTGGGTTGAGATTGACATGTTGAGCAGGTCTCGTCCCGAGCGGGAATTGGATGAGCTCGGCGTTCTCGAGCAAAACAAAGAGCTTCGCAGACCAAGAGAAATAACAGGGTAGCCAACCATAGTTGGGCCATCACGCCCTAGCCCAAGAGGATATAATTCTTCGATCAGTGCGTTGAGTGGGATGACATGAAGGCCTCGACATTTGATGACGAGGTCGATAAGTGCCCGTCAGGACTTGTCCTGAGGTACAAAAGCAGAACGGACTTGTGGGGAACGTACAAATTGCTTCGAGTGCAAGGAAGGCAGCTGCGACTCGAACTTGCCACCAGCAGCGTCGGCGATTGTGTCGGACTTGCCTTCATCGTATGCAAATACCTGGGGAAGCAGCGGTCGAAACTCGTACGAGAGACCCTACCCTCTACTACAGTATGCTGCTTGTGAGGGACGTGGTTGCCCTTCAGTGGGAGACATATGGGGTGGCGAGGCAACAGAGCGTAAGATGGGAAAGCAGACGAACGCAAGTTCTTCGAGTTTTCTCAGCCACTGCCCGGGATGGTATCAAGGAGATCACCAACAGCATCACGGAACACGGCGAGGTTCTCATAGTGCTGGCGGATGAACTGTGATCTTAGCAAGACTCGCGAATGCTTCCAGGAAGCTCTTGCCTGGGTGAAGATGCCGTATTCCTGGCCCCATCAGTCACATATACCAAAAGTCTCCATCCAGACTTGCTTGGAGTTTCCGAGAGACAATCACTCGCTGGTAGACATGGAGAATCAAGGAGAATATAGCTGGCGCGACTATACCATATAGAAAAGACAGCGTCTCGGTGAACTCTCGCACGACTGGGCGGACTGGGAACAGGTCGAGGAGGCTCGAGGGAGCAGTGCATTACTACTCCACCAAAAACGGATCGACCACCACGCTGCCCAGGCGTCAGAGCCGTGTCGGTCTCTTTGAGCATCATGAACGCTACTGAAACGTGCATCAGTGGATGTTAGAGCGTGTGAGAATGTGAAGATGAAGGTGTCAGAGCAGAAGTCCTACTCCCCTATCACAAGGGGTTTCGTTAATTAGGGGATCTTCGCGCGAACCCTGCGGCCGCACTAGGAAGGTTAGGGGCCGATACTTAGGTGGGGTACGCTATGCTTACTACAAAACATTAGCCAACAGAGCCAGAGCTGGACCTGTCACGCCTGTCAACTTTTGATCTCAAATCCGAGCAAGCGTGACAGAACGATTACACAGACCCAAGAGCGCGCGCAATGTGCAATAACCTCCGACGGACAGACCACCAGGTTATTTATGTATAGAGATATGTATGGACGTTAGTGTATGTACGACGGCCTCGCAATGTAAAGTCAGTCTATGTCATCTTCATCCTCTGGCACGGCTTCATCGGCATCTTTCTTGTCTTTGGCCGGATCTATGGTCCCTGGACCATCCTTGGCTGCGGCATGCTCTGTATTCGCTGCACCGTGCTCCTCGGCCTTGTCCTCGACGTTGGCTCCACCATGCTCTCGTTCCGCTTGTGCCAGCTCTTCTCCAAACAACAACGTGAAGACCACGACGGCGTAGACTTCCCCGGTCCGTCTATTCTTCAATGTATAACGCAGTTCATGTGTCTTCGAGTCGATGTACCCAACCACATTCAGACTAAAGCCAGGTAACTTGAGGGAGAAATCATTGAAGTCGAGGTACCCATTGCCAAAGTCAGCCTGATACAGGCGACCGGCTTCGAAGGTGAAGGTGCTGAGGTTCGAGGCCGTAAGGAAGTGCTTTTTCCGCGCAGCGCTATCGGCAGGGATGGATAACGAGGACCGCAACTCGCAGCCCGACCCTTCACATCCTTCCTCGACAATGGCGTCGTGAAACTCCTCGGCCGAGGCATGAGGCGCCTTCCATTCGTGTTTGTCGTCGTGGCTATGCTCCTCCCCACTTGATGACTGTAATTGGTCTTTGGGTATAACCTGATCGCCTATCCGTAGGATATTCCAGCTGCTCAGCGCCGGGCCATACAGGTACGGTTTGTCGGCGTACATGTCGCCATCAAGCCCAGGGTCAATCCACCATTTCACAATCCTCAGCGCGTGGTTCGCCCCTGGCGGCAGTCTGTCTCGCAGAGGTCGGTCAAAGTCGTTCCCAAACACCAGATCTTCGCCCGGAATATCTGTCTTCGGGATGAAGCTGAAGGATATACTGTACTGGTCGTACTTATGCGGGTCAGAGGTGAAGTACTTCTCCGCAGTGACTGGGGAGTCGGATGGGTAGCCTGTGAAATGGCGTATGCGCACGCACAGCGAGAGGATGATGGAGGGAGTTTCGAACGTGAGAGTCTTCGAGGCGTTTACGGGGACGGTTTTGTGTGTTGATGGATTATATGACGGACCAGCCGTTACGCGCAGGCGGTATTGCGAGTGGTGGGAGGCGTTGGAGGGGTCAGGTGGGATGGACTGATCTGCCATGATGAACGGGTGGAAAGAGCAATGTGACAGGCGGCTCGGTTGAGGCGGAGGTTTGGGCACTGAAGAGAGATGTAGTTCGGAAAGGTGAGAGCGTGAGCTCGATTGTGAGCAATGAGCGTGGGCAACAGCGTCAGTGTCGATCAAAAACATTTGTTCAACGAAAAGATGACGGCGGTGACGTCAATCGCGGCTTTGGGTTGATGGTGTTCGTTGAGTAAAAGCCAAACTTCTCACTTTACAGTCACCTAACGATTATCTCCAATTCACCACCACATGCAAATGCGCGTATCATCTCAAGTCAGTTCAGTACCTAGGTAACCACCTAGGCAGTCATGATGATGCGCTGCTATGATCCCGTGCTGTCGGTATCTTTGCCAGAAGCTTGCCTCAAATGTGGGGTTTCGGTACCTATGATGCTTGTGCCAAAAAAAAGTGTGGTACACCATCAGCGACGCTCTAGTCTGTCCAGCATGGGACACTGTGTACTGGATGTGACTGGGCTCCGCGCCCCAATCCCTGCAACGACGAGCTTTCAAGACCTGAGTCCGGTAAGAGACCGGCCTTTGTAGATCCGCTCAATGTCCCATTCCATGTGCTACAGTACTCTCATGTTGTTTCGAATGGACATCTGAAGTTTAGCACATTGCCTCATCACAGTCATCCCCTAAACTAAAAGACAGTATTTCATGAAGCATCTCAGCCTTTGTTACTCGGAGAACAATGCCCGGCCGAACATCCACGAGCTCTCTTCCAATTAGCACTGTCCATGCGAGGCAGCCGTGGATTAGCATGCACGACAATGACTGAGACGAGGCTCGAAGAAGCAAAGGTAGTCCCGAAAATGCCATGATCTCAAGCCATGCATTTGTCCAGTAACAGACGGTCTTGGACTGCCTTTATGAGCAGATCGATTTTGGCCTATGATCCAGCAGAGGCTGAAAGATGTTGAAACACGCTTTACGCGTCGGGGATAGCAGCTTCGCGTCGGCCCCCACTTGGCATTGCACTGCTCGAGTCTAAACCGCTTTGGGAAGGTTGTTGTTCCACTGCCATTTCGAGGTCCCTTTGTTTATATGCGACCAGGTTCCCGACCACCTGGGACCACCACATTTCTGTTTCCTTCATCTTTCGTCTTTATCAAGGACTTGCTCTTTGCTGCATTGGTATCCTGCATCATCGTACACGGCAATCATGGCAGACTCAAGTACCGGTCCCCCACGCCGTTCCAAGAGACCGGCTGCCGCCATTTCCCCAGTCAAACCCCAAGACGCAACAACGCCGTCAAGGCAGAGACTCAAGAAAAAAGCACGTTTCTCGGAGCCCGTCCCAGCGCATGACACGACCGGCCTCACACCAGCTGTTGGAAAAGCCTCGTTGAAAACTCCCAAGCGAAGAGTATCAACTCCGGCATTTACCCGATTTCGGGACCACGACGAAGTTCAATATACCCCTTTCCGCGAGGAACTTTCCGCTCGGACGAAGCGACAGATTCGACGCATTGGCCTAAGCGATGAACAGAATCAATTCTACGCCGAGAAGCGATCCAAATCCCAGCTGCAACGGATAGTCGATCAAAAGAACAAGGAAATCCAGACACTCAAGGATGAACTGGAGGCATCTAAGCTTCGCGAGACGCCCCTGGTGCAACCTGGTATGCCCAGTAGTCAACTTCAAATCAGCCAACTCGAGGCAGAGGTTGCAGAGTTGACACAGAGATCTAACAAAGAGACATCTCTCTTTCACAGCGGCCCATCGGAATTTGATGAGGATTGTGGCTTCCAGATTTATGAGGACGATGCAGCCAACGACGAGAACCATGTTCCTGGGTCGGAAGACGACGCAACAGTGGATCTGGAATTGGAAACTGCTCGTCAAGCAAAGGAGGCCATGTTCCGCTCGAGCCAAAGCTTTTCAAATAAGGCTGTCCAGTTTGAAGACTCGCCTGTGCGCTCGTCGACGTCGACCCGAAACAACCCATCTGCACCTACCCAATCTGCTCACGACTTGTCGAAAGAGTTGAACGCAGCAATCAACCGTGCCGAGGAGGCCGAGGTAGCTCTTCAAGCTATGACGACTGAGATCAGATCCTTGGGCTTCCCTTGCAATGGCGATGATGCTGCGGAATGCCTCTCCGCCATCAAGATTCACTTCCGCGACATGCGCTTTGACTTCGAGCGTATCGTGCCTGGAGAATCAACCATATCCTTCAACAATCCCCGCCTGATGCCTGAGATGCTTAACAAGCTCAAACTCGTCTCGGCACAGACCCGCGATCGTGAAGCCGAACTAAGATCAATGCATGAACAACAACGTTCTCTAAAGGGCAACTTTGACCATGCCTTGATCGCTGCAGGGAAAGCAACCGCCCGAATCAGAGAACTCGAGGATGCAATGGACAAGAATGCCGAAGAAATGCTCGAGCAGCGCATGCGATGCCAAGCCACAGAGCGCGAGGCCAAAGAACACGAGCAGAACAACAAGGCCCTGATTGTGGCAATTGAGAAGTACAGAAAAGAAGTCAAGCATCTGGAGGAACTGGTCGAGTTGATCGAGAGGGAGCAGGCTTCTCGCCTCCAGAACGTGCGAGCAGCCACAACTGCAGAGTTTAGTCAACAGCTCTCAGACATGGGAGCCAAAGTTGTTGCAGAAACTCGTGGCCGTAGAGCGGCTGAAGAATCCGCAGTCGAGCGCCTTCGAAAGATCAATGAACTGGAATCCGCACTCTCTGCGGCAAGACAACACTCCGAAGACGTGGAGGAGCAGCTACGATCTCTCCAAATCCAATTCGCGGCAGCGGGACGGGCGCAAGAAGAAGTAGTCGACGGACTGACCTCCCGAGTCTCCAGCCTCACTAGTGAGCTCGCTGCCGTTAATGCACGCATCGACAAGTTGAGCAAAGACCGCTGCGAGCTGGAACGTCTCTACAGACAACAAGTCGAAGATAGCGAGGAGTTTGCAGAGCAGCAGTACAAGAACGTCTTTCTCATTGCGAAGCAGAGCTTGGAGGACAAGAAGACGTTTGTGCGCTCTAATAAGATCCGCATTGCGAACTGGGAACTCGAGAGCGAACAGGATGATCTTCCTTCCGATCCTGTTGGCCCGATGACTCCTAGCTCCATGGTCCGATTCAGCGAATTCTCAGAGATGGAGGAGGAGGATCGCAGCACGCGCGAACACGCAACCGACAGTGATGACCATGTCGAAGGACAGGTTGCGATCTCCAGGGGAAAGAGACATCGCAGACATTCGTCATTGACCCTACCTGCCAGTTCGCCGTTCTTGGGTAGAGGCATCCTCAAGAAGAAGCCTCGGAGACGGTACGATAGTGGGATCGGGATGGACAGTTTGAGCGAGGCTGAGGATGAGCGTGAAGGTGTGATGACACCGGAGTTGAGTTCGGAAGCGGATGTCGAGGTCGAGAATGAAGTGCTTGTTTGACCCTGCTAGGATGGTGATGATCTGGTCGCTGCTACTACAGCTACAGTTACAGCTACTTTTGGCTTTCCTGCATTTTGGCGACCCGGCAGGCGTGTTTGGACACACTACAGACGATCATTGTTGGCCTTTCTTTTGTCACTCTAGATAACTGGTTAGATATACTCTGTACTGAGGTTCTCACTCTCTGAAGAGACTCTCTTTGTTTGCTAGTAGGGGACTAGAAATCGAACGGTGTCGATTAAACGGCTAAACGGAGTGGCGGCATGTTCCCGGAGACTGTAAGTGGATGGCCATGGTTTCTGAAGTGGTTCTGCGAGCGCGGTGGCAAATGCGCTGCTGTAACAAGAGGACTATTCGATATTGTGATAGTGACTTTGGGTAGAAAACCACATGCAGGGTAGCGGCATGAACAGAGTTGTAGCAGCATTTGTGGGCATGGTGTATGTAGTCGGTCACATTGCGGTTCATCTCGATCAGAGTTGACGTTTTGTAACAGGATATGCCAAACCAAGAGCAGACATCATTCCGGTGTCCTTCCTAATCATGCTTCAACTACCCCTTCCATACCTGCTGGATGCTCCTGAACTCCTTGTGATGCATCATGGTAAATCCCTTCATTTTCAGCGTCTCCACTGTGACCTTCACTCGTGCCTTCCCGTGTGTAGGTGTCTGCACTGCTCGGCTATGCAATCGAGCTTCGTGTGTCTTTATGTTTTTCCATGTTCGGTGCGGCGGTAAAAAGTTGGCTCCTCTCGTCCTGCGTTTATCGCCTTCGCTCGAACCAACTACTGCTCCCCATCACGGCGATACTTTGGTCCATGACCCACTCTCCGACACCCAAGTATCGGTCAACCCAGGTTTGTACCTCTTTGCTTTCGCCGAGGGAGGAGGCTTTGATACTGGTAGGTCTGTTGTGTTAGAGAATTAGTCCGAGATGAGGACAGAGGAGACGAGGCGTTAGCAGGTAGACGGGCATGGTTGATAGCGACGAGTGGACGGGGCCCGAGTATAGCTGGAGGGAAGGGCAACGTACGTGAGACCAGTACTCCTCTTGACGCCTGCGAGGAACGCAGAGATGAGGACGGCGTCGAAAGCGAAGTGAGTCAGGCGACCTAACTGTGTGGAAGAACTCAGTTGCTTGTACAGAGACAGCTCTTATATCAACTTACCACCATGATGAAGACGTGGGTATGAGTTTATGCTCGTTCCAAGCTGGAGAGGCACTTGAGGTCGACAGCAACGGCGAACATCGAGTGTGGCCTGTTGTTCACATGTGCTGTTTTGGAGCGGACACAAACCGGAGTCGGAGAATAGTTATCACGATCCCGTGTCGCGTATCTTATCACCACTCGATGGAGGGGCACAGCCACCAACGCAGCTGTTGAAAGCTTGAAGCATAATTATGTAGATGGACCCTCCATCAGCTGTGTCCAAATCCCAATGGTCCATCCCCATCCATTCTTTTTGGGCACAACGAGGCCACAACAACCCTCATTCGTTGTTGCTGAGGCCCGCCTAGCATAGGTAGACAGTGTATCATGATAAGCGTGACGTGAGAGCTCCAAGCATTATCAAGCTGCCACCTCGTACGTAACTCAACCGTTCCTGGATATGCAGCCATAATTTTTTGGCGAAGCGGTGATACCTTGACCCGCCTGTCGGATCTCGACTCAACTGAACACTTTCCTTCTGCTACAGTACTTTCTTCCAGCAGTGACAAAGTAGGTTCCTTGCCCTCTGACACCTGCCATCGGATCTCACTTCGACTTGTGAAACAAGCATTGTGACTGACGGACATCCTCCTAACCTATCAGCCCCTTCGGCGGCCGACCACCGCTTTTTGACTGCCAGTATCTGCACACCGCAGTCTGACTTGCTCTGCTTCAGAGTCTCCTACCAACTCAAACTCATACCCAAAGAAGAGAACATCTGTAAAAACCAGACAAGATGGGTGACGCTCTCGACCACCTCGCCAACCGCACCAAGCTGGAATGGCAGTGCAACCTCAACATCGACTACCAGCCCAAGAAGAACCACCGCCGGACCAGCATCATTTGCACGATCGGTGAGCCGCCAGTTCCAGAAAGAACTATACCAGTCGGAAAAGGTGGACATACTGACATACTCGTCGTTGACAGGCCCAAAGACCAATTCTCCTGAGAAGATTACCATGCTAAGGAAGGGTATGTGCAGGGACACGTTGTGCTAAAAGAGACAAATACTCAATGGTCGGCAGCCGGTTGCAATGTCGTCCGCATGAACTTCTCTCATGGCTCCTATGATGTACGATCTATACTGTGAAGCGTAGGTACAGGATGGCTAACAATGTGCGCAGTACCACCAATCTGTCATTGACAACGCAAGACAGTCAGCAAAAGACTACGAAGGTCGCCCAGTCGCGATTGCCCTTGACACCGTGTGTGATTGATTGAATCCATACGGGAGACCAATAACTGACTCTGTAAAAGAAAGGACCAGAAATCCGAACGGGCAACACCCCTGGGGACGCAGATATTCCCATCAAGGCTGGGCTGGAGTTGAACATCACCACCGATGACAAGTACCAGACTGCCAGTGATGACAAAAATCTGTAAGTGTGTAGTCCACCATGGCAGGCCTTTGGCTGAAACCGACCAGCTACGTAGACTACAAGAACATCACCAAAGTCATTGACGTGGGCAAGCTGATCTATGTTGATGACGGCATTCAATCCTTCGAAGTCCTCAAGATCATCGATGACAAGACCCTTCGGGTCAAAGCCCTCAATAACGGTCAGATCTCTTCCAGGAAGGGCGTCAATCTGCCAGGAACCGACGTCGACTTACCAGCTCTGTCCAAGAAAGATGTCGCCGACTTGGAGTTTGGTGTCAAGAACAAGGTCGACATGGTCTTTGCCTCGTTCATTCGACGAGGAGAAGACATCAAGCATATCCGCAAAGTCCTTGGCGAAAAGGGCAGGGAGATTCAGATCATTGCCAAGATCGAGAATCAACAGGGAATGAACAATTTCGACGAGATCTTAAAGGAGACTGACGGCGTCATGGTTGCGCGTGGTGATTTGGGTATCGAAATTCCCGCTGCAAAGGTGTTTATTGCCCAAAAGATGATGATTGCCAAGTGCAACGCTGCCGGCAAACCCGTCATTTGCGCCACCCAGATGCTGGAGTCCATGACCAACAATCCTCGACCTACTCGAGCTGAAGTCTCGGACGTTGCCAATGCCGTCCTCGACGGTGCAGACTGTGTGATGCTGTCTGGCGAGACTGCCAAAGGCAACTACCCCAAGGAGGCTGTCAACATGATGCACGAAACCTGCTTGTTGGCAGAAGTTGCGATTCCATATGCCAATGTCTTCGACGAGCTGAGAACCACCGCTCCTCGTCCTATTGATACGGTGGAGTCGATTGCCATCTCTGCTGTTGGCGCAAGCATGGAGTTGAATGCCGGGGCCATTCTGGTTCTGACCACTAGGTGAGTGTCCTACAGTGGCGATGAATTGGACTTAAGCTAACAGTTCTGCTCAGTGGACAATCGGCCCGACTTGTTTCGAAGTACCGTCCAGTCTGTCCGATCATCATGGTGACACGAAATGCGACTGCTTCACGCAACGCTCACCTCTCTCGTGGAGTCTATCCCTTCCACTTCCCCGAACCTAAGCCCGACTTCAGCGGTGTCGACTGGCAAAAGGACGTGGACAAGCGTCTGAAATGGGGCATCGCTCAAGGGATCAAGTTGGGTGTCCTGGGCCGAGGTGACAGTGTTGTTTGCGTCCAAGGATGGAGAGGTGGCCAGGGCCATACCAACACGATTCGTGTTGTGCCCGCCGAGGAAGACTTGGGTCTTAAGGATTGACTATCAATGGATGACTTCTTCTCGGAGTCATCCTCCAAAGTCATGCCGATCATGTCATCTTTTACCCCGCCACAGTCCCCTACAAGGGGCATGAAGCAGGGGCGTTTCCTGAGAATGTGAGAGGAAACATCAGCCCTCAGTGGCAGAGATGGTACACAAACTGCACCGAGTTCGTCAGTTCCTTATGTCAAAGAAGGTCGAGCAACGATTGTGGATTGCATGAACGAGATGCGATCGAGGGCGGAAAAGGGTACTCCGTATCATGGCTGTGATTGTCCTCTTACTGCGCTCAACGATATGAAATATGAACACTTTAGATGGCGTATTAGCGATACATGGGCAAATAGCTACCGGTTCGATTGTAACACTGTCACCAACCGGCCAGCCATGAGCGATGGGGACCCGAAGCGACTGAGCGCCAAGGGACCAGACGCAGAAAAGCTTGACCACGTCTAACTATCACGCGTGACACGTGCACGTTTCGGCGGCAGCGTAGGTCAGCGCAGGGAGAGCGTCATGGAGTCTTGGGGGCGACGACCAACGCCTGGAAGGATCAGCTAGTTACTCCGTACCCCGTGCATACGTAGTGGTAGTATATCAACCCCGTGGCGTTAGCGAATTGCGTGTTTCACAGATCCAAGAGGTTACTATTCCTGGCCCCCGACGCCCATACACATTCGAGTCCAGTTTCAGATTCAGCTATGAATTGATCTAGCATCCGCACAGAACTGGTCAATTATCAGTTATTGTCCGCTTGCTACACTTCGTTAAACTTCCTTCCGGGTCTATCTCCTCTTGAAGTCGAGGCGCGTTTGCGCTCACGTCGTGAAGACCGCGTAACCTCTCCGCCCCTTTAAACGACATTGGACCTCTACGCCTGCAGTTGCAAGGGGACCTCTGTCACCAGATCTCGCATCTGAGGTAGCCGACGCTCGCACACTCCTCTGACCCTGTCGGTGCGACGCCGTTCGTCAATCATGGCGACCGAGAGTGCTCCTCCCGCGCCGAGCGTTAAGCCCAAGATACCTGGCTTTACAGATTCATTCTGGTCCGCAGACTATGCTGGAGGGCTGGGAGTGCTCTTTCAGAAGCTACAACAGGGCGTTGTGGAGAATCAGCAGGTGCTCACCATCGCGAGCATGAGGGCGGATGCAGAGGAGATGTACAGCGACCGACTGGGAGACATTGCGCCGACCATTGATCGGATGACTGGCGGCTTCGCAAGAGACGATGGTGCCAGCACAAGAAAGGTACTGTTCGCAACAAAACCCGAGAGTCCTTTTACTGACGCACGGTTTCGCAGGCGTACGAGGGCGTCCGAGGCGAGATGGTCGAAGCCTCTAAAAACCACAGGAAGATCGCCGACAACATTCGCGAACTCGTGGTCAATCCTTTCTCGAGATGGTGTGACGCCCATGCCGCACGAATACAGAACTCGCAAGACGACCTACAAGCGAAGATCAAGGCACACGATAGACAAGCAGAGGCAGTCAAGAAGCTAAGAAGCCACTACTTCAACAAATGCAGGTTGGTGGAAGATCTGGAGGAAGAGAACAAGATGGCCTTCGCCGGCCCACCGAAGGAAAGCCCCAAACCGCAAAGTCCTCCTCCGCCGAAGATCATTGTCCTACCCGACGAGGAGGTCGTGGAGTTGCCGGTCGACATCGGTGACCGGACATATCAGCCCGAGCAGTTAAAAATTCTCATTACGGACATGCTCGAGAAAATCCCCTTGGGCGAACACCGAGTTCCTATATTGGGTCTCTATCAAAACGTGTCGGCGGGCACGGATATTACAGACTACATCCTGAAAGAAATGAAGGCCTCAAGCGTAGGATATGCCGAGAAGATAGGGCAAGATCTAATCGATCGTGGATTCTTGAGGCTCATAGGTAACATGGGCAACACATTCGCAAACAGTTCGAGGATGAAGTATCAATGGAAGCCACGAGCTTTTCAGGTATCAGGCGTGCCCGACAAGAGGAAACCGTTGAGCAGGTCGTTCACGGGAGGGTCAGCAGATGGAATCTTGGACTCTCCGACTGTCGGCAACATCACGGAAACTCTTTCTAGCTGGAATCCACTGAACAACCCGCACCCGAACGAGACACCGGCTGAGCGACTGAAGCGAGAAGCTCGAGAAGCAGATGAAAGGTACAAAGCTGGCGTGCAGAGACTCGACCTGCTCAGGTGCAATTTGGAGGAGGCTATGATGGATCACCTCAAATTTCTTGAACGATGCGAAACAGACCGGTTGAAAGCGATCAAGTCGGTGATACTCGATTTCTCAGGCGCCATCTCCAACAGCATTCCATCCTTCCAGAGTCAGGTCGATCACATGATGTTGTATCAGGAGACCATTCAACCACTCGGTGATCTGCGATATTTACTGGAAAACTATCGCACCGGGGCATTTGTGCCCAAGGTCACGCCGTATGAGAATTACTACGGCAGTGTTGACGATCAGGTTTTCGGCGTCGACCTGGAAGCACGAGCGAGGGCAGACCGCAAGCGTGTGCCCGTGGTCGTCACCGCGATATTGACGTTCCTTGACAATCACTATCCAGACCTGGAGGGCGATGAAGCAAGGCGGAATATATGGTTGGTGGATGTTCCTTTAGCCGCTACGCACCATTTGAGAAGCCAGATCAACCACGGTAATGCGGCGCCCAGAGAGGTCCTGGAAAAGTATGAGATGCCCATCGTGGCAAGCGTGTTGAAGCTATATCTGCTCGAGTTACCTGGTAGGTTGGTCGCTCTACCCGTAGACAGTTATTGACAGCAGCAGATTCCCTCGTCTCTTCACAAGTCTACGAAATCATCAAGACCATCTACGCAACAACCCAGGACGCAGTGCCCAACCCAATCTCATCAGAGTCAGTCGATGCCACTCCCAGGATAAAGGTACTACAATCCACCCTCGGCCAGCTTCGCCTGAACAACATTGCCACTCTGGACGCCATAACCACCCACTTTACCCGCCTTATCGACCTTACCTCGGCGGACGAGGCGTACATCGCAGCCCTAGCCAATGTCCTTGCACCTTGTATCCTCCGACCACGAACGGAAAGCTCCCTCACCCTAGAAGAACGATTCGCGTACCGTCTGATCCGCGACCTTTTCGACCACAAGGAAGCCATCTTCGGCGAGTTGAAACGCCAGTCGTCCACTCTATCCGGGTCAAACAGCCTGTCTAACCGACAACGAGCTGTCTCTACCGCGGACGAGAGTTCTCGAAGGGCGAATATGGAGGCCCGAGCCCGTGCAATCACCGAACAGAGGGAACAGAGACAACGGGACAAATCCCCCGGCCCAGCAAACCGGCACAGGAGGGAAAAGAGCACGGAGGGATCGATGGGACGGTTCCCCGTCGTTGCGAGTCCCAGGCCAGACGGCGGCCATGGCCGCAACGTAAGTGGCGTGGGCGGACCCAACGCTGCGCACCGAGGAAGTCTCGAAGTTCCCGGAAGCAACGAGTCCAGTCCCGTGCAACCTAGACATCAGAGTGCTCTCGACAGAAACGCAGCGGCCCGGGAAGCCAATGCCTCGGCGTCCGCAGCGAACGCAACGACAAACGGCCAGTACCATCAGCTCTCTTCGCCTGATTCGGTCTCCAGTCCCGGCGCGAACCTCCCTGGCGCATTCAGCGGCGGGGGACCGGGTCCACATATCCCACCACCATTGGATGACGACGACCATGACCAGTCTCAGGAATCGGACAATTCTCCAACGAGCGGCGCGTCGGCCGCCGCGTCAAACAGCGAGTCCAGGCCTGGCAGCCTCAGACGAACGGCTGCAACCAGCGACCGCAAGCCCGTGGGCATGTCGAGAGCGAGTGCCGTTAGCGGGAGTTTGAGTCGCAGACTTGCGAGTCTGAATGATGGGGCCTCGAGTCATCCTTCGACTGGTGGTAATTATGGCGTGCAATTGAGCGACAAGGCAATGGACGATTTCTCATGAGAGACGAGAAACGGACAGGATGCAAAAGGAACGATGAGGTGACTTGGGCATTAAGGACGCTTCTGCCCTCTCCGTAGGGTCAGTGTACTGTATCTTGAAGAAACGGGCAAACTCCTGTACAAGCGACGGGCGCCTCCCCTTTCGCGCCCACAAACCCCGATGAGTACGAATACGAGAGATTGGCCAGGGAAAGGAAGACAAGACCCTTGCCGTACTTGCTACGAACGAAGTCCACGTCGCGACCCGCAGGGTTCTCGAAACCGAAGCCGAACCGTGGTGTCGCGCGCACCCTGGACAGATCTCATGAAATGGATGATGCTGAGATCATGGACAATGTTGAGGAAAGAGAATATCCACAAGCTTTGCGCCAGGTCCATGGCTTGTTCGCCCTCGCTCTCAATGAGCTTGACTCGGGAGAGCATCCGTCCTACCGTATGTAGCGTATACCTACCAGACTACGGGGTACCTAGGAGTCCAAGGCAGGTATACGTAGGTATGCGAGTCGGTCCTTCATCTCCTTCTGCCGTCCACTAGCTACGCGACCACTCAGATGGCTAACATGTTCTCACATTCGTCCCCTCCGCACCCGGATTGCGCCAACTAGCGCGATCCTCACCCACCTCTTTGCAACCTCTTTGCAAAGGCATCGCAGCACCAAACAGGCAGACTTTTGTTGTGCAATTTGCGGCGTTTTATAAGCTGGTCTTTGCGCCATCTATCGATATAAAAAAGATGCCAGACATGTGCCTGGGGACGTTTACGCCGGCGCACGTGACTGCAGAGCGACCCCTCCAGCCAGCTTGACCTCGAATTGGTAGTTATGATGCTGGTGGTGCTTTTCGAAGCAGCCTTTTGACAGGCAGAGGTACTTCATGCAATGCTCGCAATAGTCTGTTGTTCTTGAGGCGCGAGATAGGCGTTCGAGACGTGGTTATGAGACCAGAATGAGGCGATCGGGGCATTGTGTTCGAGTTCCATAGCCATCTCGAGTCTGACAGCAACCCAGCGTCTTGGTTCAAGCGTTGTGACGCGTTTCCATGCTGTTCTGCGTGTTGTATGTCGTTGTGCTTTGAGGTTGGTATGAAATAACAAAAGATCAAGAATAGGCGCGATGAGGGCGAGGAAAAGGCGAATTAGCGACCATCAGTTCATGACAGGGTCTCGGTATGTAAGACCTCGATAAGTAACAGTAATGGGAGGCTGAAATGATGGGTCTTTTGTTTCAATAGCTTCTATCAATTGTAGGCGAGTAAATTTTGCCTTGGTGGTGGAGGACTGGGTGGTTTACGCGGACGCGATCGGGGTCACGTGGAAGAGCAGGTCGGCGTTATCATCCCGCGCGAGGTCGGCGGGGTCTGTAAAAGGCATGATATAGACCGTTTGACGAGGCGATGCGAGGCAAGGCGAATACAATAAAGCGTTTGTCTGTGCGATCAAAAACGATAGAGTTGTTGTGGTTGCAAGAGGAGGTGGTTGGTGGGTAAGACGCGTCGCGCTAGTTGGCGCAATCCGGGCGCGGAGGGTGATCGTGCTTGCCACTGCCGACCCGCTAAAACGTATTAGGTGAAGCACATTTTAATGGGCATTGCCTCGTACCTCGTACACCACCTGAAGAAATCCATCCATTGGAAAAGGTTGGCCACCACAGCACAGCACAGCACAGCAGCAGTGATCTCTTGCACACCGTTATAATTCCTCAGGCCCTAACCTCAACGTGCCGGGCACCGTCTAAATCATCATTTCTACTGCAAGCATGGCGGCGGCGCTCTTCGTTCCCAACATGTCGTACTCTCTCTGTCCCTCTCTCAATCGCCTCGACCATCAGTCTAAGTATTTATGGCGGTGCTCTTCGTTCCCAACATGTCATGTCGGTATATACTCGCTCTTAATCGCTCCAGCCAAAGTATAGCGTCGTAGCGTTGTACCGTTATATCGTGCTCCTGTAATCCGTGAAAGCAAAGTAGATGAACGACAGATTCTGAACGATGTATGACAGATGATGATATGATGCGCTCTCAATGCCCCACTGCTCACCGCTCAATGCTCTAATGCTTCACTGCCTTCACCGTCCGCTTCTTCCCCTCCTTCTCCTGCCGCTTTCTGCTCGTGCTCGCTCCGCGTGCCTCCCCCGCGAAAGGTATCGTCGATCAACCCGTCGAGGTCGACTCTTTCGTAGAACGAGATGTGGCCGTAGGGGACCCAGTACTGGGCCAGTTTGTTCGGGCTGATCATGATGAGTTGCGAGGGGATGAATTCGTCTATAAGCAGCGGCACCATGTTAGCCACGTCAACTTGTTGAAATAGAATTCAGCGTCCAAAGTGCGCGTAAGCCCGACCTACCATTCTGAAACCCCCGCGCAGCTACGTGTCCTCGACTTCTCACAACTCTGGCCCCCTTGAAGGGATATTCCTCCGCGATGCGGATCAGGCCGCCCGGCCCAATGTCGTCGGCCACAAAGGTATACTCGCCGCGTGGGATGTTTGGGTCGCCCGTCAACTTGACGGCCTCGATCGCGCCGTGGTAGATCCCCTCGGCGACCTGCGCGGCGAGCACATCACGCTGAAATTCCGAGGTCGGGGAGCCCGGCCGCTGCTCGAGCAGCGGTTCGTCGAGTTCGGCGTCCTCGCCCACGGGAGGCAGGCCGATCAGGCTGCGCAGGAACGCGTCCGTGGGCCGGCGTGCCGGTAAAGTGGGCGGGTGCTCGCGCTGCATCACCAACAAAAACTCGCAGCCGTGGCCGGCGTAGTCGCCCACGTAGATGCCCTGGTAGGGCTTCTCGCGCGTGGGCGTGTACAGGCTCGGGTCGATGGTGCTCCACGTGCTCACCTCCTCGCCGATGCGGATGCCAAAGTGCGCCATGCCCGTGGAGAACTGGCTCCAGTGGCGCAGGCGGAAGGCCGTCTGCGAGATCTGGTCGTACTTTTGGGGTTTGTGCCCGCTGCTGCGGAACCGGTCGGCGCTCTCGGCCCGCACGCGCGGCATGTCCGGGATGGTGCGCGGCGGCCACAGCGCCATCGACGGGTTCTCGAGGTGCGCGGGGATGTTGCGGGCCAGGAAGAACGAGGCCGACGTGTTGTGGCCGGGCCGGCCGACGGACATCTTGACCTCGGCCTCCCACCAGCCTTGGCGGGTGTTGAAGGGGACAATGTCGTGCGGGAGCTTCATGATCGGGTCGTCCAGCCAGAGGTGCACGCGCGGGCGGAAGCTGTGGATCACGACCGACGCTTCGTACGGCCAGAAGATGGCCACGCTGGGCGTCCGCTCGGCGAGGAGGCGGTAGCCTTCGATGCACCCGCGGCGGGGGTCGTAGTGGGCGATCATCACGCGGCCGATGTGCGGCTCGTCGGAGATCCAGATCCGGGACCGCGGCACGAACCAGTACGGGTGGTGTGTTATGTACAGGTCGCGGAAAGACGAGGATGGGTAGGGGATCGCTGGGAAGTCCTCGGGCGGGATGTTCGGGCGGAGGAGATTTGCCCACAGCAGGTCGTTGGAGGCGAGGCCCCGTAGCTGGCGGCATGTGCGGGCAAGAGACACAAGTGACTGGGGCGGCAGGTAGCATAGGATCTGATGTAGAATTTCAGAGGGCAGTTGCAGCAGTGGTGCGTCTTGTCGCTCGATTGTAGCAAAGCTGATCGAGCCGGTGGCGTCAGTTCCGTCGGAGACGAACATCTTCCTTCTCTCGGCCTCGTCCATGGTGTCGAGAGTGCGGCCTTCAAAGAGGCCCATAGTCGGACGACGTGGACGGCTTCTACCTAGCGACGCATCATCGACGTGGACGCGATAATTGACGGAGTCGAGAGAACCGTCCAATTCAGGTCGGATTGATCTCGATGGCGCGGTCTATGCCGTCATTCTCGCTGGACGATAGGGAGACGGCAAGGAGGTGCAATCAGAAGGCTGCGAAAGGCTATGCGACATATGTATTGCCCCGCCATGGAATATCGGGAAGTAATCGTCCCAAGCAGCGTGGATATGGCTTGCTTTTGTTCTGCTCTTCGGATGACGAGCACGCGATCCCCACCAGTGCAGGGGGTCTCGATTGGGAGAGACAATCCATGCTTGTACAGATGTGGAAGGTGAGTCTCGTACACAGTAAGCGGAAGCGGCACGAAGGTTGACCTGAAGCGGGCTCGATTATTGATGGACATCGCCGTCTTCGGGGACCCCGCCATCGACATACAGTAGCAGACAGTGTCCCGAAGTATACTACGACTGCTATAGAAGGTGATAAGAGCCAGGCTGCGGGATGCCGTCGGAGGATCCAAAGCCTCCTGCCTCTGTCGGCCGAATGTTGCACCAAGGCAGCGCATGGAGAGCCCCCCTTCCTGCAGCTGCCACGTTGCCGCAATCCTCCCCGTCCACGTTGCTACCCTGCTTAGGGAGATAGAACAGGACGTCGGACGTCCTGTCCAGTCATCCTTAAGATGCGGCCACCTTGCGCCACGACTGTTCCACTGACACCGACATTCTCCCAGATGACGACTGCACACGGTAACCACCTGAAAGTCCGATAGCATTGTCATGGTGGCTGATCGGGCTCGCTACGGCGACTGTATCTCCCCGCGCGCGGCATCGTGCATCTGAGATGCATCGTTTCTCCGCGCTTTCCTGATGCGAGCCTAACGACTGAATGCGACTTCATCAAACAGAGTACGATGGTGTAATGCTCCAGAACTCGGATTACGGTCCCCAGTCAGCGAATGCGATCATCCCCGACACACCTGGGCGCCTGAACCGCTGGCCAGGACGAATCTCCGGGAAAAGAGCATTCGCCATTGCGAGACGAGGCGGTTGTCGATACTCGAGACCAGCCATGCTTTTGGCTTAGGTGCAACCTTGACCACCCGCCACGAGTTATACTGATATTTGCGCTTCACGGAAACAGTTCCATCAGCCGCGTTTCCCGGTCTTTGTGACAAGTCCAGAGCCATTATTTTCTTTCGGTGTCGTGGTCGAAAAGTTCTCGTCTTCCCAAATCTCGCGTTCAAGCTCTTTCAGACTGTACGGCTTGATATTCGGGTCTTTCGGCGGATCTGGGATTAGGAATTTGCCGATAGGTTCGCCGAATATTCTCGTCAACCAGGTTTGTCGAGCTTTTCTGTCTTCGTTCATCGAAACCGAGTACTTGAACAGATCTTCGGCATACAGGTCTGTCAGTCTGGCCTCCTGCAGGGCGGCTCGTGCGGCTAGTTCTCGTTCGTGCGGAGGATAATCGTGGAGAGGCTTCTTCATCTTGTCCTCCATTGCCTTAGGCAAAGCCATTTGCTCGATCGTTGGCGCGGGTCTGTTGGGGTTGAAGAGGGACGAGAGAGGTGGAATGGGCTGGTCGTTGCGCTTTGCGTCTTCCGCCTCAGCTTCGTAGTCCATCATCCGGTGGTATAGTTTGTCTGCATGCATCTGTATCTTCTCTTCGTCCTCCGCAGAACTCGTTGCGCTTGTCATGTATCCCAATGCCTGCAGAAACTTGGCTTGAAGCTGGTAGCACCGGTTGAAGGCTTTGGTCTCCTCGTGACACATGGTCATTCTCCCACGCACCCTACTGGAGAGGTTGCCGCCCTTGAAGCAGATTTGTTGCATTTCCTCCTCGAAAGCGCAGTTCTCTAGTGCGGCTTTGTGTATGGATTGATTTCTTTCCTTCCTTGCTGAAAGCACTCTCTCTACCGGGGTAGAAGTCGCCGCAGCGATGTCATTCTGCGGGACATAGGACTTCCAGATGTGCTTGTATCGGCCGTCTTGAAAGAGGGACGCTTCAGGTAGCGGTTTGTCCTCAGGAGACAGACTTGGGTCTGCAACTGCTGCCGGTGGTTTTGGATTCAGCTCGGCCTTCTCTTGAGGCTTTGGCTGTTCGACAGGAGGGTCGGCAGGGACATATGGCCGTGGTTGTTGCTCCTTTAAGAATTGCTTCAAGTCATCGTCTAGGGCCTTCGCAGGATCATCTTGACTATTCTTTCCCCAGAACCAGCCCATGACTCGAAGACTTGATTTGTTGCGGGACTAGCTTTGCGACAACAACAGCGTCATGATGCGATCGTTTTCGTAGCCTCACGACACAGAGTGCTCGAGATGCATCTGACCCCAGAGAAACATTTCGAGCCCATCTCCGCAGCTCGACGCCAAGCCAGAATCCCTGCTTCGCTTCACCCGGTCGCGTTCCCCTCACTCGACGCGTCTGTTCACTTAAACTTCATCTCGCGATGCCTTGATACGCAATCAAGTAGCTGGCGTTTTGTATTGTGTGATTTTTTGGTCGCTGTTCTATGAGTCGCGCTGATGGCCATGGGTGCTTCTAATCGAGAGAATCGGGCGCTGATGCGCGTCCGTGGTGCTGGGTTTGTTTACATTGATCGCATCTGGTCGAATCGAAGCTGACGATACCAGATCCCGTAAGCCTCCAACAGTTGATTTCGGTTTCAGTTTTGCTTTTGGCAACAACAAGCATGAGCGACAACAGGTACCGACGCCTGCACGATCTCTTCGTTCAAATACAAAAACCCCGCAATCGAGACGAGCGTCTTCGAGACGAGCGTCCGAGACACCGTTAGCGAAGTCTGTTAGGCAGAGCTCAGTCGCGCTCGACAAAAGAGAAAGCACGCAAGCGGCGGAGACCTCTACAAAACCGGAGGAAAATGCAAGGTCAAGGAAGAGAAGGAAAATCACGCCCGAGCAGCCGACGCCCGACCACACTATGTCAGTTGAGATACCAAGGTCAATACCTTCGATCCGAGCATTGCGAAGAAGAACTTCTGGCAGGGTCTTTACTATTGCCGAAGACGAGGGCATACAGCAGGTCAACGGCCCAACTCCTGATGGCGAGGAGGTGGAGGCGCAGCAGCAGCAGACGTCCCCTCTCTTTGTACCGGAGCGCGAGCAGCAGAAAGAGAACGAGACGCCAAAAGATCATCAGTCTAAATCGAGTAACCAAGACTCGATCTGGCAGACAACGAAAAGTGGCCGCATCTTACTAGACCCAACCACCTTACCCGAGGACGCTAGTCCAGTAGATGATGAGGTGCTCCGACTGGAACACGGGGAGACGCTGCCCTCAGCTTTGGAAAGTCCTTCTTCACCTGTAGCAGAGGCATCAAGTATCTCCAAGGAGAAGAAGCGGCGAAGCCAAAAGACTCCGACTCTCGACAAGAGAAGGAGACCTCCATCTTCGCCAGCTCGATCTACAGTTGTGCCCCAAGAGACCTCGGCCGCTGCTCTTTCCTCTCGGGTTACATTAGAGAAACCACCAGCGTCATCCGTCCTGCCGCTCGCGGATCGAATCAGCAAATACAGCAAACTTGCTAGGAAAGTGAGAAAGCAAGAAGAGCAAACTCCAGCCTCGGAACGCGAAGAAACTCCAAAAGAGGCAGACAATAACGAAGAGGATGATTCTTACGTCGAAGAGAGCGAGCCGGAGCCCGAGACGCCTGCGGCAAGCAAAAGGACCACCAGACAGCCTCGGAAACCTCGCTCTAGTAGCAGAACCGCAGACGTGCCTGGTGGTAAGAAGCACACTGCGACATTTCCAATCCTGACTCACAGGCTCACAAACGTCTCGGCACTACCAACGATCAACGAGGAGGATGAAGAGGGCATTCCTTCCGGAGATGTGTCATTCGATTCTACAACCGCACGCACGCAACCCAATGCGGTAGATATACTAGCCCAGATCTGCCGCGAGACCATCTCAAATATGGTAGAGCGCATCGCTGCATCAGCTCAGACTCTTTCAAAAGCCACAGCAAATAATCAACGGACAGCCCTCGAGGCATTTGGAAAAGACCTAGACGACGAACTTTTCGCCATGTCAGAAGCTGTCGAGAACCGCACCAACCTGGAAGCTCGCGTGCGGAAAAGCAAGCGAGAGAAAGCCGCCTTGCAAAGTGAATATCTTGAGCTCCGTCGCGAGCGAGAACAAATCGCCCTCAAATGCGACGCGGTTAGACGGCAACATTGGGAGTGCGAAGAGGAGACAAGGCAGAAGTGGATACTTAGCGACGCTGCCCGGCGTGTCGAGCAGGAGATGGAGAGAAACGAGGCAGACGAAGATGAGGGACTGGAATGCTTGTTGCGCAGTGTGACAGACTCGGTCAGCAGCACTTCTGGTCGGGGTGGAATTTTGGATAGGGTCAAGTCATTCAATGCGCATCTGGAAAACATGGCGCTGCTTTTGGAGGGAAGGCGTGGTTGATCCATGAAGCAGGATGGATGTTTTTTTGAATATCAGGGACCGAGTCGTCGCATTCCACGTTGACAGCGGTTGGATTGCACAACGACCTACATGAAACTGATTGGATACGAAGCCGACGAAAATTTAATGAACATGGATATGAACACTATTCAACAGAGGCCGCAACGTTTCTAAAATTGAAGATACTGTTGAACGAGGTGCCCTTCGTTACGATTGATGCGCTTGATTGCAGAAGCAGGGCGACTTTCCTCCATTGCAGCCTTGGTGGCCGCCAAGCGAGAAATCCCAGTGATTGGCTGGGGGGGAGGGGGGGATGGATATACGTTGAAGCGGACGGACTTCAAATGCAAGTGGCCGCCTCTCGCCGCCGCATGCGCGCATCATTTGGAATCGAAGCTTAGATGTTTCCTCGCTGTCGCTTCAATCGAACACCACAGCGAACACCACCGCCATGCGTTTACTCGGTCTTTGCGCACTGGCGCTGGCCGCCCAACATGCTTACGGCTACCTCGACACTGCGCCATTCTTCATGTTCTCGACCTCTGAGTAGGCACTTCCTGAGCTTTCGGATGCCGGGCACACCCTCAACTGACCCATGTTCCGCATAGACTCCTAACGACAACCTCTCACATTCAATCCGCACCTCTTCTCACATCCGATGTGGCGCTGTCTCTCTCTTCATGTCCCTCAGATTACTACATCCTCGTCTCACAGCAAGGCGTCTCCCTCCAAGACTACTCTAACTCGAAGAAATCAACGCCGTTGCTCTCCAAAGCATTATCGCCGTCCCAGGCTACGGACTCAGGCATCCGAAGTAGCTTGGCTGTCACTGACGTGCTCGGCCCGGTGGATTCTTCGGCGTGGATCGAGGTCCTCACATCGAAATGCGGAGTCTCGACAACAACCAGGATCTCGAAACATGGCGGGATCCCCATAAATGACTTGACGACCTCGCCACAGCTGATACAGCTCAATCTTCCCGCTCCTTCATCAGAGAAGAGAACAAGCGACCTATCAGCAAATGACGCCTTTCTGGCGTCTCTAATCGATCTGCTTCCCAAGCAGAATTATACCGTCTTGTACACGACATCGCGCTCCGCGGACGGCATGCTGGTTGCCCAGGGAAGAGAGGCGCTTGAATATGACATGGAATCGCAGCTGCAAGAGAGCCTGCACCTGGACCTCAAGCGAGATCTGGGCGTCCATGTTTCGGCGAACAAGACGGGCAGTAACCAGACCATTATTGACGGGCCATTGTTTGATAAGTACCAGTTTTTCACACCTGGTAAGTATCTGGCTTGCTCACGTGGCATATATACTCCCTATGCAGCTTTCTACTCTTCTAGCCGTATGTGGATGCGTGCCAATGTGATGCTGACCCCGTTTTGCAGGAATCTTCATGGGTTACCTCGTCGGCTTCCTACTCCTGTCGATGCTATATGTCGCCATTTCCGCTGTGGCAAGCCTTCAGGTCACATACGCGGCATTCGATAAAGAGCAGGGCCAACTCGCGGGGAAGAAGTAGGACTGAGAAGACTTGTTACTTTGTTCAAGTCGCTCGAGGAGCCATGAATAGACGGGACTTGTGCCAAGTACAAGAAGTGAGATCAGATGAGCAGACAGTCGCCTGTCCTAGCCCTAGCCTGATGCCGCATTAGAGGAGCAAGAAATGAGCACCTAACGATTCCGCGGCACACGCGGCCTATATCTATGCAAGCTTTTTGATGGTGCAGGCGGAGAATCACCGTGTCCAAGGCATGCATGTATAGCTACTTCCTCGTATTCATTTAGACTGATGTCCAACATGTTCATGACACACAGACGCTCTCTTCTCGTGCCTCCAAGACCACTCGTCCTTCCTCTTGCGCCGACGCCTTCGTTTCAGGTGCCTTGCAATGAAGAGTTCTTCCATGTCCGTTCAGTACAGCACGCAGGGGCAAAAGGCGAGATGACCATTCAACAAGAACAGGTCCCTCTGTTCGATTTCTGTCAAGTGCATTCAGCTGAGACTCAACTTCGTTGATCTGAATGATGAAAGTGTGATCGACTTTTGCTCTACCCATCCCTCTAGTCCTGGTTTACAGCCTCTTGACTACATCGTCCAACACCTCCTGCGTGCTTGCCTTACCCCCGAGGTCGGGCGAGACAAACTTCCCCTCCCCCAAGGAGCCATCCACGGCCTTGTAGACAGCTTGCGCAGCATCAGGGAGATCCAAAAACTCCAACATGACGCCCACGCTACGAATCGTGGCGATCGGGTTCGCGATGCCCTTGCCCTCAATGTCGGGCGCAGACCCGTGGCACGGCTCGCCAATAACGATCCCCTCACCAACGTTGGCCGAGGGCACGAGGCCCAACGACCCAACCAGTGCGGCAGCCCCGTCGCTGAGCAGATCGCCGTACAGGTTCGGCGCGACAATCACGTCGTAGTACTCTGGCTGCAGGAAGAGTTTGTACACCATGCTGTCGACGATCTGTTCCTCCACGCGCAGCGACGAGAATTTCTCCTGCGACAGCGCCTGCCGCGCCGTGGATCGGAAGAGTCCATCCGTCTGGCTGAGGACGTTGGATTTGTGGGCGATTGTGACCATGCCTTCGTTTCGACTTGACGAGGACTGGTCGCGCATCTCCTGCCGCCGCAGCGCGATTTCACCGGCTATATTGGCGATGCGCCAGCTCGCTTTGGAACTTATCCGCTTGATGGCCTCGGCGATCTCGCCGCCTTCACCGTCGCTGTACGTCTTCTCCTCCTTGACGTAGAGATCCTCTGTGTTTTCGCGCACGATGACCAGGTCGATAGGATGGGGCGTGGGCGATTTGAATGCGGGGGATGCCGTCGTCTTGCAAGGCCTCACGTTGGCGTACAGGGACAGCTTCTTGCGCAGCGCCACGATCGGGGACGTGTACCCTGCGACTTTTGTCGTCGGGGAGCTCACGGCCCCGAATAACGCGCCGTCACATTCCTTCTGCAGCGTCTCGACCGTCTTGTCTGGGAGGGCGGTTCCGGTGCGCTTGAAACATTCGAAGCCGGCGTCGAGGTCGACGAAGGAGAAGTTCAGACCTAGGGAGGAGGGCAGGGATTCAAGAATCCGTTTGCCGGCCTAGACGGCGTCAGTGCCAAGTGAGAGAGACTCCCGGAGCCATGCACATACCGGAATGACCTCGCGGCCGATGCCATCGCCAGGAATGAGGCCTGCAAACGATGGTATTAGATCCCAGCCTTGACATCTACACAGACAAGAGCGTCCACCTACCTATACGTAACGACCGGCTCGCTGCCATGGTGTTATGCTCGGGAAGCGCCTTCAGAGAAGAACTACGACTGTGCTTTCAAAGAGCTGTTTGGAGAAATTCTGACGCTGCGTCTCCGATCGCGGAGGGTGGAGACCACCAGACCTTAGGTAAGCTTCTGTGCCTGCGTAGCCACGCTAGCATGGGGGCTAAGCCTAACGAGATGGACGCCCCCTCCATGTGCTCCCCACGGAGTACAGTACCTCGTCCGCAGTACGGGCGCCGGGTTGTCTACGTGCTAGGCTTCCCAGCCTTGCCCGGTACCTACCAGACACTTCGTACTCTTACCCAATTACGGAGTACTATACCTAGCTAATTAGGTAGCTACCTACACAGTAGGTAGGTAGCTAGGTAGGTATGTTTCTTGGGGAAGGGGGGCATGACATCCTCGCACCTTCTCAACCTTCTGCTCGTGTGCACAGTTCATTTTATCAAACCCTGACAAATCTGCATCAGCCACCGCCAGCACGCCCTTGACACATCGTACCACAGTAGGAGATGCAACCCAATGCACTCAGGCGACCTGGGCGCATTAGGGACAGTTAACGACTCCGCCTCGACCACGGTCGCTCAACACCTCCCTGTCAATGCTCCGGCACAGCCTGACCGTTACCACAGGGGCTCAAGTACATCTGCGTCTCGAGCACCGTGTCCAACCACCCGAAGACTACTGTTTCTGTCCTTTTGAGCCTCTTCAGTGCTAACTTTTCCTGCTTGATCGAACCCAAACTCTTAGGCTTTACGCCATGAGATTGGGCGCAGGAGACCAACTGATAACGCTGAGGCTGAGGCTGTCTCGACATGACTAGGTAGTCTTGGTGGCGTCATGGGGCTACAGCTAGCAGACATAGCCCCGGATGGGTGAAACATGCGCACCCAGAGTGCACGCCACTGGGGATGCCTCGAAGTCCACAATTTACTCTGTTACATTGCGGAGTTGATCGAAACCATGCGACCCGTCCCGCTTTCATCGATCATCTTCCCCGGCCCCCAATTTAGACCCCAGTGCATGCTTGCGGAGGTCCAAGGGTGACAATGCGAGCCGCAGAATGCAAGCCGTGGACACGCTGCAGTCTTGAGGCCTACAAGATGTCCATACTCGCCGCTACGGCTGCCCTACTGAATTGACATCAGGCTCAGCTCGGACTCTGGAATGTCTCTATGTGATGGCCAGTGACAAGGGTTTCGTAACGCGTGAATATATGCAAGAGTTGGCTTCATGTGAGCTGGCGGACACAAAATGCAGTGCTGAATCTGATGACTTTGAACAGGGAAACAACTTCAGCGCCACAGCGAAGGTCGCAAAGCCTTCTTACATCCACATGGAAGCCATCCTGCCGCTGTCCTGGAAGAATGGATCCCACAAGCTCTCCGCTGGCCCAGATGTGTCCTGATGGCTGCTTTATGTTGGTCCCTGGTCGCTATCCTCGAAATCTTCGACGTCCTAGTCCGCAACAGTCAAGGGTTGTCGCTACAGGAGACAAACCTGGTCAATCTGGCAAGATACATGCCGACTCTGGGGGTGATTGCCCTCGCATTTGGCTTCAAAGGCGTCATCAGCGATCTGAAAGTCGTGAGTCCATGGTCAAGCATGAGTGGTAGGTGGGCTACGGCTCAAGACTCGGTGCTGTTGGACTATGTGAGCGGCATTGAGTTCCAGTCTATCTTGCTTGCCATCCGGAAAGGGCACTGGGCTTTGGCCATGGCCTTAGTTGTCGGCTTGTTGTTTGGTGCCCTGGTGCCTCTTGCAAACTCACTGACCTTCGTCAACGACTCGGCCGTCAGGATCGTTTCAGCGCCCTTTCTGCAAACATCCACGTTTGATTTTGATGCTACATTGGCTTTGCCGAACGGATCGCTGGCTCTGCCCCTGGACTACACCGGGCAAAAGCCGTACGCTGCCGTCGCTTCTGAACGGCTCGCCAACGGCGCGCCCTCTCCGTGGACCAGCGGCAATTTCGCTTTTGAAGCCTTCTCTCCCACTGCATACACGCCTTCACCGGGGACAACCATCGCGGCTAACGTCACCGCCCTCTCGGCAGACCTGAAGTGCTTTTCTCTCAGGCACACTGCCCGTGACTTAGGCAAATATAACCTGACAGTACTCGATGGGAACGAGGACGATCTCAAAGCAGCGAATTGCTAACTTCCCGTGCAACAATTCTATGGTCAAGAAGAGACTCTCGCTTACCTGAATCTCACGAGCTGCTCCGATAGCCGTCATGACATTCGCGTCTTAGCTACGTTGATCTCCAAGGATGAGGCTAGATTTGGAAATTTTACGGCAGCTGGTCTCCTCTGTTCACCCGCTTTCGCGAGGCAGAATGTCCACCTGAAAGTGAACAGCACCACAAAAAGAGCGGCTAGCTATACAACTGTAGGCGACGCCTCGCCGACAGATATCCGAACGTCAGTCGAGGCTCTCTGGATATACCTCAACAACCCCTTAGACACCACCACTATGGGTGCGTTTGGCGCGGCTCAGGCGCCCGGCCCTTTTAATCCCACGGAGCGTCCGCTGGCAACCCCCAGCAATATCACAGCCGCCGTCGCTGAGCTGACACAGCTCGGCATTGCTGATCCCTTCTCGAATCTTCTCATAAACGGCCAGTCTGACATTTTCGACTTCTACGTTCGCAATCCTCTGTCGTTCCAGGCTGACGTTGAAAGCCTTGCCAGCAGCATTTGGGCTCAAACCATCAACGCCTTCTCGAGAAAAGGTACATCGCTACCAATGCGGGGAACTATCGAAATAGCAGAGCCCCGGCTCTTCCTCCGTAGAGAATCGTTGCGGGTTATGCAAGCCTTATTAGGCTGCATTGGGCTGATCAGCGTTTTCGGTCTCACCTTCCTGAGACCCAAAACATTGCTGCGAACGGACCCCGGCCCTTTGGCGACAGCGGCCCTTATGCTCTCTGCATCGGATCCCTGGATTGAAGAGCGACTGGGCTCGCATGCACAAAGTCCTGCCAAAACCCTTGAGCAAGCTTTCCTAACTTCCAAGTGGAGTCTACAGTCGACTCTCATCCGGGGCCAGATGGAAGTCAAGCTGGAGGATTTGGGAGGTCCAGAGGCAGACAAAGGGCGGAGGTCGACCGGAGCAGAGGCCTGGCGACCGCTTACACTGCGCCTGTCGGCCAAGATCGCCCTCATCATCGCGATGCTCGTGTTCATGATGACTCTTGGTATTCTTCAATGGGTGTCCAGTAGAAACCGAGGTCTCTGCCGGTACACGTTCGTATCATCGACGGTCGCCTCCATTGCCCCTGCCACGGTCCTAGTCCTGCTCGGATATTGGGTTTCTGGGTTCGACCGAGCCGCTCGATCTTTGCTCCCCTACAAAAAGCTCCGAAAGGCATCGAGTCGGCAGACACTTCTTCTCAACATCAGAGACACGGTCTTTTTCTGGTCGCCTACTCGACGAAAGACGGATCAGGTCTTGTTCACTTTAGTCACGTCGGCTGTCATCCTGCTGGTAGTTCCGGTTGTGAAGCTGATCGCAGCAGGATTGTATGGTGCACAGCCGTCTTTGAGCGAGGACATCGTGGCATTTCAGGCCGATACCAGCCTGCCAGACACTCTTGCCTCGATCTGGAACGTATCCGACTTTGACAGCATCGTGAAGAGGGCCTCAGAATTTACAGAGTGGACCACAATCCCGGGCTTCAATGTGCCCCAGCAACCTGGGATAATCAACAATCTTGTCCTTAGCAACATTACTAGTGTTGTGTTATCTTCAACAACGACCAATCAAACAGACAGCGAACTGAGCGTGCGGGTCCTGGCGGTTGCTGTCGATATCAAATGTACGCCGCTACCGAGTTCGGACTTCAACCTATCGGCAGAGTACTATTCAACTTTAAATCAAGAATACTATTCAAGTTCGGCGAGTTGGACATTTACCTGGTATTGCAAGTCTGCGACTTGTTCGACCTTGCTCAACCAGACTGTGCAGGTCCATCAGGCGATAGTATCAAAAGAGCAGGGTCTCAGCCCTCCGTACCGATACCAAGGGTCAAGTTTTGTCCAAAACCCTTATTATGATACGAAGCAATCGATGGGAAACTCAGACCTCCCTCCGACCGTAAACACTGCCTTCAACGTCATCCTAGCAGACGTCTCAGCTCTGATCAGACCATATGACTCTATTCAGAATGCCAGCTTGATGGAACTAGGGGACAATTCTACCTCCAAGACTATGTGGGTTGGGAATGACACGTTTTCATTCCCCCCACCTACAGTCAGGGCACTCTCTTGCGCTCGTGAATTGAGCCTTGTTCAAGTGAATGCGACTTATGCCAGGACTTCCAAGGTCGTGGTTGGAGATGTCGAGAAAATCCTGCCGTGGAGCCCAGTGTCCGTCGATTTGAGCTCAGTAACGCACGAGCGTGCTTACCCGACAATGCAACCATACTGGTTCGCGCCAGTAACCCAACCCACCTCGCAATATACCCAAAGTGACGATATGGACGGAAAGCTCACCAGCGATTCCTTGTGGCCCAAGATTGGCAGCCCCACGAACTTCTGGGAACTCCTCGCCGCCTATGCAGAGTTTAAAGGAGACAATTTGACGAGCATCTTGGACGCTAACAAGCTTGCAGCCGCAACAGAAGCTGTCCTCACGGCATACTGTACGCAGATCTTGACGCAATTGCGCCCTCTGGCACTCGCATCAGCAGCACCCGACTCCCAAGTTACTCAATCGCTCGAAGGGATTTTGAGTCAGCTCGAACCGCGCCTCGTGCAAAGCCTCAACGCCACAATCGCGCTTGAAAGCCTTTTCGCCCTGATGCTCTGTTGTCTCGTCTGGCTTTTCATCCAATTCCCCAGCGAGTCCATCCTACCCAAGCCACCTGATTCGATTGCCGCCCGATTTTCGTTGCTGGCAAATAGCTCCGTCGTTCAAAGGCTGCGCGACGCTGGTGGTGCTGACCTGGAGGCCATGGGAATATGGCAGCAAAAGGCCGCCCTAGGTTGGTGGTTACATCCAAGCAAGAGCAAGACTGCAGGACCAGATGGTGCACCTCATGATGAGTCTGTGCAATGGCGCTGGGGAATCGACGTTGGTTCCGAGGTGATCTTGCGAAGCTGGAACAGCCCACCAACTGCGGCAGAGACTGCAGAGCTGCTCAAATTTCGTTCCGAGCCAGGTGTGCCCTATATTCCACCCACCGTTGGGGACTCCTGTCCTTCGCTGGTTGGTGATGGTTCTCGGTTCGACGCACGAGCTGAGGAGCCGGAACTAGAGTCACTGATGGACCGGGACCAGAAATATCTCCTTGACGAGCATGATGTCGTCAGACCGACAATGCGGTCGCCAGGACTAGGACGAGCTCCTGCTATATAAATATCATGTGTATATGTAGCGGCGTCATATATCTGTGTATGAATGTGCACAAAGCATTGAGTACGACGGGAGGGCAAGGCTGCGAAGGCATGGAGGCTACACGGAGTATTATTGTTCCGATGGTGGATACTTCTGCTTACATAGTAATGGTCTTGGCAAGGCCAAACTTCCCACTCATGTCATTCTCACTCAACAGTCAAAAGTTCCTCTTGCATTACCTTCGCTTTGCTGTTCTTTCCCTGAGCTGCAAGCTCGTCGATCCTCAGTCTGCCCTTCTCTGCTGACTTCCAACATCGCCATGATACAACGTCTCCATCTGAGCCTGAGATGCATCGGCCGTGGCTTATCCTGACGTTGCTTCCGTGGTGCGGCGCGAGCACAACTCGCGATCTAAAGATCAATTTCATGAAGTATTTGACGGACGGGTATGTCTTGCGAATTTCTTTTAGTCACCTCACTTCACTTTGCTTTCTGGCAAGCACAGCATAGCACAGCGCAGCACTGTACATGATGATACCCAAATCGCTGATTCAAACTTACATTGATCGAGACTGGTTTGCTACGGCAGCGAGTCGATGCGAAGAAGAAAAAACTTCATTTTTTTTTCTTTCCCCTTCTGAGATACAGACGATGCTGTTGCTGTTGTTGCGTGTTGTGTGCGCTTTCAATCTGTGGAGTACTTGTACTTGTAATTGTACTCGTGCTTTGCGCCGAAATGTTTCTTTGATTGACGTCCTATTTGTTGTCCAGGTTGCTGACTTTCGTGTCTTTCAGGTTAGTATGACAGGGATGTCCCTGATTATTGTACGAATTACCGTACCTCGTTGGGTTTTAGAGGCTATCGATCGTAGATCTTGACGCACGGACGCGACTGAGCTGACCGGCTACGTCGCATATACCACGTTACTACGTCCCTATGCGTCTATATCATACATTCTACATCATACATACGTTTCAATCTTCAAATTCTTTCCAATCTCATCAGACGTGAGTTTGCTTCTCTGGCTAGCTGGCTGGCTGGATCGAATGACGGAAAGACGCCAGAGCAGGCAAACAGCTCGATGACCGCTTCTCTCAACTCCTACTACCGCCGCCGGCGTAACTGTTCGTGTGCCGTTCCAAGGCGAGGAACCCGCCTTTTATGTCTCCTATCCATGGGAGCTTTTGTCTTCGCGCCTTGGTCTCTGCTACGGCCGTAGCTGTAGGTGTCGCTGTGCTTGTAGCTCTGTCCGTTCCTCTAGCATCTCGGACAGTCTGAATTCTCGTCATCAACTGCTGCGCCGCGATCTGACTATCGTTCCCGCGCTGGCAGACGAAGTATACGGCTGGAAGCTCGTCGTCATCGCTGACATTGCCGCGGTCGTGGTCATGATCGTCGTCGCCGGGACGGTTGCTGTAATCTACATTTTCGTGCGCACTCGTCACCGACTCCGCGGGTCTGGTTGGGAAGTCGGCGCTCAAAAAGGTCGACTGCGTTGCCGTGTGGCTGGGTATGGGGATGGGCGACTCGTCATCGAGCATCCCTCCGTCTAAGCCTGCACCGGCGCTATTCGTATCAGAGGCGATTCGTGTAGCCGCAGCCACGGGAACATGGGCCTCGCGGTTTAGCATTCCTCTATCCGGCTTATGCTGGCTCCCACGATAGCTGTACTCGTCCTTGGCCCGGGCGCGGATGTGTGATTCCCGATTAACCTTCCTTCCGTCCGGACCGATCGCTGAGCTCTCCGTCAAGGCCGCGAGACTCCCGCTGTTCCTGTCCCCGTCCCCAGCAGTGGGGAAGTTGACGTTGGTACCATTTGTGACGGGATTATCTGGCTCCCTGTTGATCTGGCCGCCTTGTGGACCAGTCTCATATTCAGGGCCGTTCACGACCTCCTGTCCTGCAGTCGGGACATGGGATTTCGATTCCTGATCAACAACTCTTTCGGGGTGATTTGCCCCATCGCCAGCGCTGCTCCCACACTCAAGCCCAAGCTGATCAAACGCAGCATCTCCGTGCCTCAGAATCCTCGACAGGGGGATATTCACACTACCGCTGACCTTGGATCCCAATTCGAACTCATGCTCCTCACGCACATCAACGACAATGGTTTGCCTCTTCCTCTCTTTTACCCTTGTCCTTTCCTCATCCCGCGCCTTGCCATCACGACGCTGCCGAGCATGCTGTTCTAGAAACTCACTTGCGTTCACGCGGTTCTCCTCGCCCAGCAGCTTCACATCGTCCGCAACGCCGCAGAAAGCTCGGTAATCCAGTCGTCCCTGAGACACCATCTCCGGCGTGATTCTCGTTAGATTCTTCTGCGCGAGAGTCTCGTCGTCGCCGCACGCCAGGCAGTCCCCCCGTCGGCCTCGTAGGGTGATTGTGCGGAAGACGCTGCGTGGATCCGTGGCAAATGTATTATAGAGGAGCATAGTGTGCTTGTGTTTAGACGGCGGGTCCACCACCGCATCAGTATTCGCGATGCCGTTCACACGCTGGGCTGTCGGTGTCACCGCCGGCGGCGGCGGGAGATGCCTTCCCGCGGAAATCAACTTGATAGCCTCCCCTGCCATGAGCGTCCCGATCGTGCCGACCACGGGTCCCAGTATCCCGATCTCGCTGCACGAACGCACCGTCTCGGGAGCCGGCGGACGGGGGAACACGCATCTATAGCACGGGCCTTTGTCCTGCGTGGCGGAAGCCGCACTCGCAGCCGCAGCCGCACCAACATCCGGCGTAGGCGGAGCAGCAGGGGGCGAGTTAAGCACGATGAGCATGCCCTCGCCCCTCTGCGCGGCACCACTGATCAGGACTTTCCCTAGAATCACGCACGCATCGGAGATCAAGTATCGCGTCGCCGGGTTATCCGTGCAGTCGAGCACGACATCGTACTGCGCCACCGTGGCGAGGATGTTGGCGCCACTAGCCTGCTCGTCGTGACACACGTACTGGATCTCCGAGTTGAGAGCCCTGCACGTCGCGGCTGCGGAACGGACTTTCGACAGGCCCGCGCGGGCGGCGTCTTCAGTGTGCGCGATTTGGCGGTGCAGATTGCTGACTTCCACACAGTCGCTGTCCATGAGGCCCAATGTGCCGATGCCCGCGCCGGCGAGGTACAGGGCCGCCGGGGATCCGAGGCCGCCGAGGCCGATGATTAGCACTTTGGAGGAGAGGAGGCGTTCTTGGCCCCGGAGGCGGAGTTGGGGGAGGAGGAGTTGGCGGTTATATCTGCTGGAGGCGAGCAGCGGGGCGGGGATGAGTGGAGGGAATGGTGGTGGTGGTTCATCGTGTTTTTCTGTGAGGCGGGGGTGAAAATAATTCATCTTGTTGGGATGTGAGTCTGGGTGATGAGGGTGTATTTGGTCGTTGTGTGACTGTGGGCATCGTGGACGAGGAATAATTCACTCCAAAGTGAGCGGGGGCAGGTATTCCAACCACGTCGTCCCTGGCCGAGTTCTGGCGATTTTGGTTCAACCAGTGAGATTTTCTAATTGTAATACTCAGGATAACCCTGTTGGAGGGAGACCGATGTGTCTCTGCTTCGGCTCAAAATGTCGAGACACGAGCAATTACTGTAAAAGGAGTGAGGCTGAGAACCTCCGTTACATATGGATCCTTGATCTGTGCCAAGCCCTGGAACAGGCCGGGAATTCTACTCTGAATTCTGATTCTGCTCTCATCACTGTATAACTATTCATCCCATCATGCATCGTCGTTGGGTATCAAGTGTCGCGCTCTTATCCGGCGATCCGGCCTCGGCAAAACAAAATGCCTAGTTGCAGAGAAAACGTCCTGTGTATGCACAAACAACCCGCGGCCAACTCAATCGTCTTCCGGCTCGATGAGGTCGGGCAGATTCTCGGCCTTCTCTTTGCCTTGCAGGACGTCGTATACCGCTGTGAGCAGAGGGAAGTCCTTCTCCACGCCCTTGTATTTCAGGAATTTATTGACTTCACCCGCAGTCATTGCACCTTGCAGTTTTTGCCCGTTAAGCTCTCTCTCCTCGATCTCTTCGATCGATTTGCCTTCTTGAATGCTCATCTTGGCGCACCGGAAGTTTCGACCACCCGAACACGAGGTGATCAAGTCGGCCACACCAGCCGACTCAACAGTAAACGTGTCTGGCTGAACCGTATGAGGGAAAAATCTGTTACCGAACTCTCTCATCTCAAGCAGCCCGACTCGCATGACAGCAGCCTTGGCGTTATCACCCCAGCCCAAGCCATCGACCCAACCGGCTGCAACAGCCACAACGTTCTTTAGAGCGCCGCCAAGCGACACACCAGCGACGTCCGAGACCACTCTGACGTGGAAGTACCGTCGATGGAAGAGTTTCTTCCATGTGTCGTGGTCGATCGCATGGTATTCTGCTGGGAGCGGCTTCAGCTTGACCTTCGACGGCTTTCCTGAAGCATCCTTGTGTGCTAATTTTGTGAGGTCGACGTGACTCGAGGCCGGGCTAGGTCCCTGAGATGTCGCCGGCGTGGGAGTTCGTGAATCCATTGGTGGAGGGTCGTACGCGACCGTAGTCTCGGAGAACTTCTCCAGAGCCACTTCGCTGGCAATGTTTGCACCGGACAACGCACCGCAGTATATCCCCAGCTCTTCGCCAATCGTCTCGGAAAACAGGCTGATGGAGGATTCGTGGACGTTGACACCCTTGATACATGAGATCCCTCGGGCGAACGGCAGGATATGACCTCGCATTTGTTTACATAAATTCAAAATGAACTGGTGGGGAAGATTGAAGATGAGGATCGATGAGTTCTTGACCGAGTCAATGAGGTCCGGATTGGCAATGACGTTGTGAGGCAGAGGAATGCCGGGAAGGTATTTGACGTTCTCATGGAAAGTGTTGATGAGTTTGGTGAGCTTTTGCTTTCCTTTGCTGAGCTCTGAAGACTCGTTGTAGTGCTTGGACTTGTGGTCTAGCTCGACTTCTTCCTCATAAACCCACATTTGCACATCTCGCTCGAAAAGGTCGGGGTGGTCGGCGGTGTTTTCAGCAACCACTTTGGCAATAGTTGATCCCCTGTTTGAGTCAGTCGAGCATTCTTGTAGCACCGGACCTTCCTACCAGTTCCCGGAGCCGACCACGGTGACCTTGTGTTTCTTCTGATATGGTGTGAGGCCGGACATTTTCGCTCGAAGACTATCCATGGTGAGGGCCGGTCTTGGTTTGGAGAAACGATGAACAGGAACAGAGAGTCTAGAGAAACGAAGAAAAATACTTGTACGAGAAGGCAACAGCATCCAGTGCTAGCAGTGACGTTACTCAGGTATCAAAAGCAACTTCGTCCTGCGTTTGAATTTCTGGTGAATGGTGGGCTTTGACGCAAAATGTTGGACCGTTGGTCCAGCTCAACATCTCGCGTGACGCAGGAACATCGAATAGGCGGGTCCAGCTGATCGATTAGGCCTTATCTTGCTTAGTGGGCGCCGCTAGACCGAACAGCCTCGCCTACCTACACCGAGGCTCGGGTGTGACGCACTGCTGATCGAGAATTGATTTCACGTCGCGCGTCTCACACAACCCGATGTCAGCATGATTTCATCGAGGTCAGATTCAGCAGCCATGGAGACGCAACGAATCCTTTGATCGATCAGTCTCTTCATACAACAAAGATGACATCTGAAATTGGATTCTGCCCAAAGCAACGATTCTGACACCGATTGTCGATAATATTGACCATTTCTTCACAGTAAGCCCAACGATAATTATTCATCAAAAGGCATACTACATGAGACACTTCCTTGAAAGCTCTTGTCGTAGCCGGCTTTGACGTCTAATGCACGTCTGATACCTGCTGAGTTCGAGCCCAATCCTGGAGACGATGTCTTTGCGAACATTAATGAGCAGTACTGCCACCAGGATATTGTCCTAGCCCACCAAAACTCTAGGCAGGAAGAGGCCACTCTCGCAAGCTCGTACAGCCATCCTTTTCGCTTATCTACTACGTACACGCTGTATTATTGCTACCCCCTAGCGAAGATCGTTTGCTGTCAAAAATTTCGCTCAGCAGCAGCTTCGCTATCCTAGGATCGAGTACCGGCTCAACTCTTCTGGTAGACCGAGCAGGGAAACCAGAGCGCCAGATCTCGGCACGGAAGCATGGTATATTTCTCGTTCATGTCGACATATGTACTGGAAGAGCACAGTGAAATCAACAAAAGCTCCGGCATGAGTTCTCAGATGACCTTGAGGAGCCGATTTCCAAGAGCCAAATTGTGGCGAGTCTGTTGGTAGGTCCGTCTCATTGCTTCGACGATTAGGTTAAATTCGCGTTACGATCTTCACGAAGTCGCGAAGCGGCAAAAGAGCACATGATAATCGAGCGTGTTCGGACTATCATCATGTGCTGCATCACCGTCTGCGATACTGAGCTTTAACGGCGAAAAGTGTAGTATCCTGGCATCCCTGGCGACTACGGAAAATCTTGACGGCGTACCAACACGCCTCCAAAGTAGCAGAGTCGAACTCTGCGCGCAAGGCAGCTCACAAAACCCTGCCTGTCCTGTAAACTCCTGCCAAGATGTCCAAACAACATTGAATGTGGCTCTCTCTTGGCTCAACCAAGAAAGACTCGCAGTAGTAGTGCTTGGTTTTCCTCTCACATTTATGAAGAGGACCTGCCGCACGGACACGGTTCCGAGCCATGAATATCGGACAACCCGGAAGTTCTTATCCGAACCACTCGCGCCTGAGCACCCTTAACGCCCCCAGAATTCAGGTCATGGTATGGAGTAGAGTACTAGGCTTTGCTTTGGACCACGAGGACCTGAGCAGCTGGAACCAATGTCACTATGAGGACGCGGCGATTGTCGAATGTTCGACCTGTAAGGGCGAACAGTATCTCTGGCTCTGGTGCTCTGACCGACAACCTACCTATCCCTGGGTCCTCGAAGGAAATGGCGGTTCTCTCGTTCAAAGCTGCACATTTTTCACGAGCAGTACAGGTCCTCGATCAGGTCCTCATTCACGTCTATAAAGCAGCTGTGTTCCCCTTCGATTGTGGTCTACACACCACTCCCATCCGTCTACAGTCTTCAACACAGCACCAGTACAACCACAGGCACAAGCACAAGCAAGCACCACTACAGACACAAACACACCACACACACACAGCTACAGCACAGCTACAACACAACTACAGCACAACTACATCTCAGTCACCATGCCTTCCTCTCTCCGCATGTTGGTAGGCCTCACCCCGCCTGATCTCGCAAACAGCTCATCCAGGCGCGAGCCATGCACCAAGACCGTCACCGTTGAGCAAATGATTCTTGTCCTGCAATGGTCTCACGGAGAAAGCGACAAAAAGGTCTACAAGGTCTTCAGCACTGTCTACCCTCAAGACGGGATGAAAACGTTTGCTAGCGTTCCAGACACTCTCGGCGATCCTCAAAAGTGCTCCGCCGAGCTTATGCGCGACACCCAAAAGTATATGCGTGATCACCAACTTTCGTCATGGGACATCAAAAGCATCTACGAAATGGATGCAACGGACGAAATGTCGGCAGAGGAAAGCGACGAAACTCACCTTGTTCTCCTTGAGCGCAACAAGCCATGCAATTGCCACAAGATGTGGAGGCCAAGACACGCACTCAAGATCGTTCGTGTTGCGGGACGTCTGACTTCTCGGGAGAAGGCGGAAAGGAAGGCCATGAGTGCCTTGGATGCGCACCGCATCCGACCTGATTGCTGTTCGGACAAGCAGCCTCGTTTCAGCCTCGCTAGACCCCTCCCGCATGTTACACGTTTCTAGCGGCCGCGACATAAGTTGAGATCAAGAGCCAGTAGCCCCTGATTCTATGGAAGTGGTTACGGAGGTGTTCATTGAGAAGGCATTTCTCTGGGAGATATCTGCAGCGAGGACAGGGACGACCATGCTGAGCCAAAGCATAGATGTACCATGTAAACGCACAACAGTCCTCAAGTCATGTACAGTACAGTAAGTACATAGTACATACGCAGTGTAGGAGAGCATCGAAGAGAGTGTTCATCGCACTTCTCCAATTAGCCAAACAGTCGCAGATGATAAATCGCATAACGTTCCTCCTTGTCTCTCTTCCTCCGGGACTCCATTCGCTGTCGTTCTCGTTGTCTCTCTGCGGTGCCGAGATTTCATGCATCTCCGTCGTTAGGTAAGACATGGGCCCACACGCTCGAGCTGAAACACGATGAAGTTTGATAAACAGGAAAGGCTGCACGAGGGGGGGGCTCCCTATCGGTATCTCGCGCGGCTCGCGTGGAAGGTGATGCCTAAGTTGAGAGCCCGGAAACCCTTCTACGGGGCCCGCGAGTACGCCTAAGCTAGCGGAATGCTGCAATTACAGTAGGTTCCCTTTTAGGCGCTTTGACCCCCAGTAAAACGTCACCACAGTGCTTGAACTTGTGCGCGTCCGAACTTCACGGAACCCTGGTCAACAGTCGACCTTTCCACGACTGCGCCTGAGAATCACGCCACCACTGCAGTAGATGGCATCTTCATACTCAAAGTACATGACTGGCCAATGCCTACGTGCGTACCCAGTAAGACCTGCTTCGTACCTTGTGCATGAGCAGAGACGGCGGTTTACTATTCCAGCAACAAACGCCGGGGCCGGCACCACGGCGTTGGGCGCGCCTGCCGAGGTTGAAGGCCAGGGCGAGGCTATTTCCGCCCTCGTAGAAGGATTACTGATACACAAGCAGAGGATGATCGCCTTGCCGATCGATGACTTGAAATATTGTCGAAACACAGTAGTACGAGCAGGTTCCTGGATACGTCGTTTGACATTGGAGACAGACAGGACGACAGGGAACGAACAGAGTAGGAGAGCTGTAAATTGACATTCTTCCCTCACATCTTGATCTTCCACGGAACTTAATTAGTACAGTAAGACAGGGGGCCAGACAACCTCGACAACCCACACGACACCCGCACCGCCAGCGCCAGTCAACACCGTCGAACAGCATGTCTCTAAACAAGCACAACAAGCCAGTCATCGCCGTCGTGGGCGCCGGCCCGGGCATTGGCGAAGCCGTCGCCCGCCGCTTCGTGGCCGAAGGCTTCTACGCCGCCCTGCTAGCCCGTACAGAGGACAAGCTGCACAAGATGGCCCAGGGCATCGAGGCCGACCACGGCCCCGACACGGCAAAGTACTACATCACCGACCTGCGGGAGGAGGCCTCGGTGCTCACGAGCTTCCAGCACATCCGCGACGAATTAGGCGCCGTGTCCGTCCTGGTATACAACGCCGGGGCGCGGCGCGTGAACGGCCGGTCCATCCTCGACACGTCGTCCGAGGAATTCGAGAACTTCACCAAGATCAACCTGTTCGGCGCCTTCTGGGCGACCAAGTGCGTCTTGCCGGACATGCTGGCCGCGGGCAAAGGCACGATTCTTTTTACCGGCGCGACGGGCGCCCTGCGCGGCAACCCGGGCCTGTCCAGCTTCTCGCCGGGCAAGTTCGGCCTGCGTTCGCTGTGCCAGATCGTGACGCGCGAGTACCAGGCCCGGGGCATCCACGCGGCGCACGTCATCGTCGACAGTCCCGTGGATGGCAAGTTGATTGGCGAGTGGTCGAGGAGGGAGTGGAAGCGGCGCGGGCAGGAAGGGAAGCTGGACGATGTGGATGCCCATCTGGTGGCGCCGGCGGATCTGGCTCAGACGTATTGGTTCTTGCATACGCAGCCGCGGAGTTCGTGGACGCATGAGTTGGACGTTCGGCCGCAGGGGGAGAGCATGTTCTCGAAATTGTAGCACGTACCAAAGGGGGATGTTTAGTGTATGTTTAGGGTTGTAGCTTGCCACAGAAATGTCATCTTATCATCATGCTGGAGTTCCTATATTGGGTTGTATTGACTATACGGGGAGCGAAAACGAGCTCAATGATGACGGCAGGCAGTCTGTACGAATTTCAATCCCTTTCGCTTCCCTTCTTGTGCAGCAAAACGTACTCTTCTCCCAACCGATCGGGCGCGAAAGGGCAGATTCCCGCGAGCACCAACTAACCATGTCCATGGAATATATAATATCGCACTACAGTCGAGCCGACTCCTCCTTCTTCGCCTGTTCAGACAGGGCCCTCCGGAGCACCTTTCCCGCACTGCTCTTTGGGATGGCATCCACGAATCGAATCCCGCCCCGGAGCTTCTTATGTGGAGCTACCTTTTTCTCCAACCACCCGGAGATTTCTCCCTCCAGCTCAGAGCCGGCGGTGTACCCCTTCGCGGCCACGACATACGCTCTGGGTAACTCCGTCGCCTTCTCCCTGCTGTACACGCCAATGACAGCCACGTCGTCGACGGCCGGATGCGCGAGCAACAGGCCTTCCAGTTGAGCCGGCGCGACTTGGAAGCCGTTGTACTTGATGAGCTCCTTGACCCGGTCCGTGATGTAGAGGTTGTGGGCCGTGTCGACATAGCCGACATCGCCTGTGCGGTAGAAGCCGCCACTCATCGATTCCGCCGTTGCGCGTGGGTTCTTGTAGTACCCCTTGAAAACGTTGGGGCCTCGAATCCAGATCTCGCCCGTCTTTCCCGGCGGTACTTCGTTTCCATCAACTGCTACACACTTCAGAGATATGGAGGGGAGGAGCGTCCCGGCTGAACCGACGGTCTTGTTCCATTCACTCCAAGGCTGCAACACGAAATGAGTTGAGCGTAAGTAAGTAACCGTCACAGAAGATGGGAGGCTCTTGTCGCGTACGTACCTGGGAAGCCACCCCGGGAGAGGCCTCTGATAATCCGTACCCCTGCTTGACCGGGACTTTCAGCCTCTTGTACACCATTTGGACGAGGTCATCGGTGAGCGGTGCCGCGGATGAGTGCATCATGCGGAGGGAGGTCAGGTCGTATTGGTCGACCGAGGGGTGCTTGGCCAGGGCCAGCACGACGGGCGGGACAACGTAGGCGAACGTGATCCTGTGGTGTTGGACGAGGCGGCAAAACGGCTCCAGCTCGAATCTTTGCATGATATGGACTCCTACTCCTCGGAAGACCGGTTGGAGGAGGAGCACTGCAATGCCTGCGTCCCAGAAGATCAGCATCCTGACGCGGATGCAACGAGTGACACATCTCGATTCTCACCATAGATATGGTACATGGGCAGGAACCCGATCGTGCTGTCCTTGCTCCAGTGCATTTGCTGCGCGTCCATGACCGCGGCCTGGAGCAGGTTTGCGACAATATTCTCATGTGTCAGCATCACGCCCTTTGGCAGACCGGTGGTGCCGGAAGAGTACACCAGGAAGGCCAGGTCCTCTTTCGGGTCGATCTGCACTCTCTGTAGGAGTACATCAGCAGTCGAAGCCCGGGCTTGCACGTCGGAGTAGTGCCTGAATCGCTCTTTCGGGCCTCGCGGTCCTAGGAGAATGACGCGGTCGAGCGGCAGGCCCACGAGCAAGGCAGCCTCCCGGGCCACCTCAAGACATGCCACGTGGGTGACTAGGGCCTTCGCCTGCGAAGACTTGAGTTGTGACACAAGTCCGCCGACAGTGTATAGATTGTTAAACGGACATACGACGCCGCCGGCCCAGAGTGTGCCAAACGTCACGACCGCGATATCTGTACTGTTGGGGCTGAACAGCGCCAGCACATCGCCCTTTTGCCAATGCCACTGTTGGCAGATGCCCTGGCCGAAACGTGTGGCAGCTTCGCGAACATCGCGCACGGACTGCTGCTTCTGTGCCGCGACATCCACAAAGACAACTTCACGCACCTGTTAGCCCAATGACTGGACCCCGTAAAGCTTCCCACTTGCCTACCGTGATCTTCTGGAAATTCGCGTTCAGGTCGTTCGAACAGGAAGTCCCAAATATCGACAGGCGGGATGGTGATCGGTGGATAGGCCGATTCTATGGGCATGGTGCTGCGATTTGGGCGGTGCTGTCAGGGCCGCAGCTCGAATAGCTGCGACAAAGTATTGTATGAGACCAAGAGGTGTTGTTGCGAGCGACAGTTCCGCCCCATGGGGAAGCTCCTCCCTGCCATTTTGAAAGCATTTCTCTCATTGGGTTGATTAGAAGACGCTGGTTTCGTGCGTAGCCAGCTGCGTCGGTGTCAGAGTCGGGACTCCACCGGCGCAGCAACAATCTCGTGGCGGAGGGTCTGATGAGAGACAAAATCTAGGTCTGGTATGCTGTCGGCATCACTTTAATGATTAGTCGGACGGTGATGCGCTGGGGAGCCTCGGTTTACCGAGATCCCTCATTTGTCCTTGTCGGCCTCATGAGCCGCCGCTTCTTGAGATTACTCCATTCTATTGTCCTTTTTGTCATGCAGAGAGAACACTGGATTATCACGACGGTTGCCCCGAGTAGAACAGTAGGGTACATCACGCAATCTGATTAGCCTCCAGCCCAGGGTTCGTCGTGGAGGAGGCCTGACCTGCACCACACGGGGTAGTCAATTACGGCAGCCTCGCTAGAGGACGAGTTCGGAGCTTCTCAGAATGTCGCTGTTTCCGAAAAAGAATCCAGAGGGAGGAAAGCTTACCATCTTCGTGGACTGTGGTAAGTATCGAGCCTTGAACGTCCACATGCGTCGCAACTCACGTGGCGTCTACAGTCTCGCCGTACTCATGGTTCGGCTTCACCAATGCCATTCGCTACCGACCACTTCTCAACGCGTATGGCGTCTCGGTCGAGATCGTCCCATTCTTCCTGGGCGCCGCTCGCGATAGCGCCGGGAATCCATTCACGCCGACACCCAAGTGGAGGGAAGCTTTCGGGGAGCAAGATTTCACGCTGACAGGCGAGATGCTGGGCCTGAAACCGGTCCGGCCCAAGGAGTTCCCGATTCTGTCCCTATTCGTAAGTTGTCTTTGAGGCTTGTAGGTGATTGAAGATTGATGGTAAACAGGCCGTCCGCATCGCGACTTGGGTCAAAGACCACTATCCGGCGGAAAAATTCGACCAAACCTTCCCAGCGTTCAGCGTGGCGTACTGGAGCAAGGGCATCAATATCTCGAAGCCGGAAGGTGTACTCAAGGCCTTGGCGGGGATCTTCACCGAGGAGGAAATCAAGGAGATAATGAAGAATGCGCTCAGTCCGGAGAACAAACAGCGAGTCATCGAGCTGACGAAGAGTGCTGGCGCATTCGGCGCGCCTTGGATTCAAGCCGTCAATTCCAAGGGCCACCGCCGAGATTGGTTCGGGAACGATCGGTGGGACCAGGTCTTCTATCATCTCGAGGTACCTTTCACGACGACGAGAATCATCCCTCCCGACGAGCTCGAAGCAGAAGCCAAAGCAAAATTGTGAACATGTCATATCAAGTGCATACACGAACTCAACGCAGAGCATAACCGTGCAGTAGAACTATATTGTAAATAGTCATGTCTAAGACAACTCTTTCTTCACCTTGACGCGTACACCGTTTCTATCGAACCTTGGAAGCGCCACGAAGAAGTCATGCACAATCTCCACATCTTCCCACGTCGTCTCGAACAATTCCAACTCGAAGTTGCGGATGATCAATGCAATTGCAAACAACATCTCAGCATAGGCAAGGCTGCGGGAAGGTCAGCATCTGCAAACTCCTTGAGGCCGACTGACTCACTTGATTCCGAGACAGGCCCTTCTCCCCTTGGAGAAAGCGACCTGATATTTGCGCAACTCCTTGTTTCCGAGCCACCTCTCCGGGTCGAACTTGAAAGGATCGGGGAATATCTTGTCGCTCATCATGACCATCCAAGGCGACATGGAGACGGCAGTCTGCGTTGCATGTTAGCTGAGACACGTACGCATATCGCGCGTGGTACTCACCCCAGGCTGGATTGTCCATTTGTCATAATGCAGGGTATGATCATGAAACACCCTCGGCGACCTTGCTGGCACGGGGAATGCTATCCTGACCCCTTCGTCGACTACCGCATTCAGGTAGGGAAGGTTCTGGAGCGTTGCCAAGGACGGTATTTTGTTCGGTTCAGGCATGGCAGCAGTCAACTCGGCTCTGAGTCTGTTGACAACATGTGGGTTCTCGAGGAGGTGGTAGAAAGTCCGCACCAGGGCCTGGGCAGTGGTCTCCCCTCCTGCTCCCAAGACCATGCTGGCTTCATCCGTCAAGCGTCGTAGAGTCTTTTCCTCGGCGGGCAGGTCGCTTTTGATCAGCTCTCGGAACAGCGTGGTCGGCTCGTCCTTTGACTTTTCGCTTCCTTGCTCATCCAAGACTTGTTGCACCTTCTTTCTCAAAATATTGTGGAAGTCGATGAAGCCGCCTATGCGTGGGTTCAGCTTGACCATGATGAACTCCGGGACAGATACCAGCACGGCCATTATCCCCTTGAAATGTCTCCCAAAGTTGTTGATCCGGATCGCGACCGTAAGTTCGGCCCATTGCTTGCCAAAGTCGGGGTGGGTCATGAAGTGCATCGAGAGGTCTTTCCCAAGGGCGTACTCGGAGACTATGTCCATAGCAAACGCGGTGAACAGGTGGTAGAGATTGATCGTTCTGCCGTCCTGATACGCCTCCTGGATCCGGTCTAACATTATCGCGACAACATCTGTGATGCGAGGTTCGAGAGCTCGAATCGATTGCATGCTAAAGTATGGGGACAGCGCATTCCGTCGTCGCGCGTGAAGGTCATGGTCGATGGTGAAAGCGAGTCCTTGTCCGATGTGGTCGAGATTGAACCACTTGTCGCGGTCGGTCTTGTGCTTCTTGCCATGGTAGATCTCCTCGTAGAAGTCCGGGTCGTTGAAGTGAAGCTCGTTCGGGTTTATCCTGACCACCGGGCCTTCCCGCACGTTAATCCTCGCCAGACAGCCCGCTTCCGCGTTTGCTTACCGTACTGCTCATGCAGCTTCATAATCTTCCAGATAAATCTTCCCTCCTTCGAGACATCGTAGTAATACTCATACCAGTACGATGCTGCGGCAAGCTTCGGGCCAGGGAACTTGGCTAGAGGATGTAATGTGAGACGATAGAGGTAGAGCAGTACTTGCCATGTCATCCAAAGGCAGACGAGCAGCAAGACAGTATGAATAGAGTCGAGGTTCTGCACGAGGTCTTGCACGCGCTCAAAGACTCTGCCCTCAGACATCGCGGTGTTTTTGTACAGCACGCACAGGCAGTGGCAAGATGGAGTCTCTTTCTCCCATCATATGTAGTTCTCACCCAGCTCTTGTATTCAGATTATATGATGCAATCGGGCGTGTTGCACTCGGAGACATAATGTTCAGGCCCTGTTTGGGACGCCTGTACCCCGTATGCTCGGAGAGTTTGAATGCAAGGGTGGAGGCCTGAACAAGGTGACGGTGTAACACTAGCCCTGATTGCTTCGTTTGCTGTAGGCTGGCCCAATCATTGCATTGCCAAGCACCCACCAGGATCGCCGCTAATTACTAAGTAGCTCGAGCTTGCCAGTACTGGCTCTGGTTGTTAAGGGAATGAAGTTAATATGCTCCGTACACACCAGATGAGCACGGCATCGCACAGTTGCCTGGCCATTTTAGAGATGGTCCTGATTTTGGTGAATCTCGTGCGAGAGACAGCGGTGTCCTCGCGTGGATCTCGAGTATCTGGTGCCTAGAATTGCCAACCAGATGAGGGTGTGACGAATCATTCGCAACGGATTTCAGCCCCTGCTGGATACGGCCTGTCGAGCGGACTTTGGGCAATATCAAGGGTTCCATGGCGACCAACTGGTATGCGTTTGGGTCCAGGCCGTGATGGATAAGATCGGCAAGGCTCGACGTGATCGGGTATGGAGGCACTATCTCTAGTTCCTGCGCCGGCCGAGTCATGTAAGAGGCTTAGCGGAGTAGGGGAGATGGTGACAGGAGGTGAGTCTCCAACAGACGGTTTTGAAGCGGCGCGGTTCGGTTGAGCAACGCGCACCCAACGCGTGGCAACGCGTGATGGGAACACCAGGAATGGTGGGAAAGATACCCTTCTTACTTAAGCCGCCAAGAGTCCGCGGCTTCGACTTTCTCTTACCGGAATCTTTCCGCACAGCTCGTGTACCTGTTCAACAAAAAGTGAACACAGATCAAGCCCGAAAATATGGGTTGTACTCTGGAATAAGAAGATTTCGGCCCATCCGCGTTACGTGTTCATGGCATCGTTTGACGCAGGTTCTATGGGGACACGACTTGGAGCGTCCACAGCGCAAGCAGACTTTCTCTTTCGCCCGTCCCCCGGCTATCCCAAATCGTTCGCTGGAGATGTCACGCAAGCTCGTAAAGAACCAGGGCAACTGATCTGCCAGGGGAGTGTCCGTGCTCTCGCAGCGCTTCACGACGGTGGCAGGTAAGTTAAAGATCTGGTAGGTGCTTGGGACGGAAAGCGACATGTTCGGCTCTTTCCGATGTCAACTCCACCTAATACTGAACTGGAGCGTTTTCATGGTATACTGGAGAGAGTGACAACGGCTTTAGGCTTTGCACTATGCTGAAGGCTTTCTGACAATACCGAACCTGACTGCGGTACTGGCACTCACTTCCGACAAACGCCAAGGGCCATAGGATTGTCGTGGCCTACAGCCAAAGAAATCCAGCCAAACATGCACCGGCCCTCTTCCACAGTTTGCAGGCCTGGCGACGACTGCCATGCGTGCTGGCGGGAAAACTGCTCGTCATAGAAGCGAGTGTTCCCCCACACTGATAGTCGGCCACCCTTCTAGGCAAGAGGAAGCATTGCAACCGGGCAACACAGGTCACGGTACTCTGGACACTTGGACCAATCGACTACACTGACGCCCTCCATCCCATCGACGATGGGCACTTTCACGGGTTTCTACCGACCAATCCGACCTTCCACGTGATGGCCAAACGATTGGAGCGTGCAAGGCAGTTCATATCTCTCATCAGCTCCGGCGAACCGAATGCTGACTCACCACCTAAAATACTCGCTTTCCTGATTTCCCGATTTTCACCTTTGGAAAACATCCCCTTATCGAATGCAAAGACACGTTCTGTTCTAACAATTCAAGAGCCCTTTTCCGCCGTAGAGGTCGTATCCTCTGCAATCAGGATCAGCGATAGTTTAGTGGTAGAATACCTGGCGGTCTAAGAGCCGTGCCCAGGTGGCTGTGGTTCGATTCCATGTCGCTGAGGAACTCTTATTTTTCTCCGTTTTAGAAGCTCGCAATATAGGACCAGGTTCGAGACAGGTCGGCTCCACGGACGTGTCTTCCCCTTTTTTCGCTCTCACGTCCGGCGCCGTTCACAGAGGGAATGCATACACAGTAATTGTGCGTCGTAGGCCTGATATACTAAGTGGAGGCTGTCCTGATTTCTTCTGCCTATCAAGCCGAGCACCGGTGATCTACCAGCCTTGTTATGTGCAAGGTCACCATCCAGAGACGGTATCTTCTCCCTCCAGAGTCTCCCGCTGCAGCTTTCTAGCCACGGCGTCGGCCTTTTCCCATACCCTGATCAGATTCCCACCGGCCACCTTCGCAGCGTCGGCATCACTGACACCCATCTTCAACAGCTCAGCAATCAGGTCAGGGTATTTATCAACCCCCTCCAAACCTTTTGGTGTCAGCTCGCCCATACCGTCAAAATCACTTCCCAGGCCGACAAAGTCATACCCAATCTTCTCGCCCACATACACGACGTGCCTCGCTACCTGGTGCAACGTGTTGTTCTTCTCGTAGAACTCGGGTAACACGGTCTCATCCGGTGGCGGCAGGCACGAAATAAACCCGGGGCTAAAATTGATCATGACCACACTCCCCGTCTGCTTGACCAACTCGAGAATGTCGTCATGGACATTTCTCGGATGCGGACACAGCGCGAACGCCGACGAGTGCGAGTATATCACCGGGGCCGCGGAGGTGTTGTTGCTCAACACGGCCTTCTGCGTCCAGTACGACGTGTGTGAAATGTCGACCAGGATGCCCAGTCTGTTCATCTCGCGGATGACCTCTCGTCCTGCAGAGGTCAGCCCGCCACGATGGTACGGCGCCACGTGCGTGCCGTTGCGCGTGGAAATCAACGCCGCATCGGCGAATGCGTTGTGGCAGTTCCACGTGAGCGTCGCTGCACGCACACCTAGTGCGTGGTACAACCGCAATGTCGACAGCGGCGCGGACTGCGGAAGCTGATGCAGCCCCTCAATGCTGATCGGCGAGATCAGACTCCTCGAGGCGTGGAAATTCGCCAGCTGCCCGGAGAGCGATGTCGTCGCGAAGGTAAAGTTGCCGGCATACTCGGCCTGCAGACGGCGGAGCACGTCGATTTGAGACAGCGTGTGCGCGACCGCCGTGGCGTACTGCTCGTCCGAGAAGTCCTCGCTTGCGTGTTCCGGACAGACGACAAAGGCGCTCCAGAACGCCCCACCGACCATGCCCTTGCGCAGACGGGGCAAATCCACGTTCTCTTCCATGTTCCCGTTCTTGAACTTCTGCTTGAACTCCTTGGTGTGCAGTTTGTTCGCGTACCTGCCGCGGATGAAGATCGCGAGGTCGACGTGGCCGTCTATCAGCGGGGTGTGGTTGAGGATGGCCGACACTCGTTCCTCGATGCTCTGAGGCCGCTTGGGGACAGGGATGGGCTCTTGATCTGCGACGCGCGGGCTCAGAAGGGCTATCACGAAGCCCATGGTTACCACGATGGAGAAGAAGGCGATAATCCTGTGCAAGGCCGACTTTGTCGATTCCAGCGACATAGATTGTGTGTCTTCATCATCGTCTTCTTCGTCTTGGTAGCCCGACTGGAGCTGGCGCACGTCTTCCCATTGCTTCGGCTGTTCTTTATACTCTGGCAAGGGCTGGATACCTTCGTATCCTCTGTATCTCGAGAAGCCGCGGCCTTGGATCTCGGGAGCAGGCTCGTTCTGGGGCAGTAGAGGATCAACCTCTTTCGGAGACATCGTTGATTTCTGCACGAACGGATTGATAGGCGACCGGTCTCCGCACACCTCGACCTGGAGGCGAAGGAACACGTCTAGAGGACTCCATGATGTAGATGCGCACGAGGTTGGTCGAGGCGGAGAAACTCCTGGCCGAGCTCATCACCGAGCTCGCGAGCTTGTCGCGCATTCTGCTGATAACGATATCGGCCTCCGCATCAATCATACCCCGAGAAAGAAGCCCGATCAGCCGGGCGTGCCGGGAGAGCTTCTCAACACGGTCCAGGGTACGAGTAACTAGGCATGACGCAGACTTCTAGATACTCCTACTATTGCTTCTCATATTGTCGAGGTTGCGCTCTGTGTCCAACGCTCACTTTTGTCTCAACCTGGACATATCCAACAATCTATAGTCGTAGATGGGTGTTTGCCAGTCGTCGTGTAGCAGCCCGTACGACTCGACAGAATTACTCCCCGGCTTGCGTGGATTGATCGCCCAGTATGCGAAGTCGGCATCAGACTCCCTTAGATACTTCATCAAGTTCTTCCAGTAGTGGTAGTCGCGCCTGGAAGGTGAGTTCGGGGCCCCTATCTCCCCTACCCACACCGGCGCTGTGTCAGTCTGCCGCAAATATCCCCAGTTCCTCGTCATATCAGCGGCGAAAGACTTGTACGTCCGATACCAGTACGGCACCAGCGAACCCCAGCCTGACCATCCATATACATGAGAAGAGTACACTACCTTGTTCTGATGTGCCAGGCGGACCGGTCTGTCCTTGGCTCCCCTGATATCGTTGGCCGACTGTACCCCTTCGACGATCATCAACCACTCCGGCTGAAGACGATGTAGTCTTTCCGAAGCACGCTCCGCAGCAGAGGCCCATGAATTCCACATCAGACGTCCAGCGAACCCACGAACCTCGTTCCGCAGGTCGACACCGACCACTAGCGGATCATTGATATGGGGCTCCATCACAGTCAGGACGTCTTGTATCCAGTCCTCCTCCGTCTGTCGGACGGGGCAGAAAGGTCCCAAGTCACTATTCTTCCACCCCATGTCACATGGATTCCCGTCGCAACACCATCTCGCTTCCGTGATATGGTTGTTGATGATCACAGCCAATCCGGCCTCGGTCAAGGTCCGAACAAGAGCGGCATACACGTCCAACGCTCGGAGTCCAATCAGGTCGTGGTTCGCATTCAGGTGCTTGGGATCGATCAATGGGTTCTTGTGGACGAGTTCGTCGGCGTACGGCAACCGAACACTATTGAATCCAAGCTCACAGATGACCCGAGCGATTTTGGTGCGATTCTGCACACTCAAACCTCCCGGTACCATGTCAACGTCACTCGCCCCATACCAGTTCACAGAAACAAGCTTGATGCGGCGCCCATCTCGATCGATAATGTCGCGGCCCCGGGTGCTGAGGGGTGGGCTGATGGATCGGCCGCTGCGGTCGTAAGGGACGGTGACATTGGCTTTGATCAAGTCGGCAACAGGGTACAACGACAAATCTGCGGGAAGGCTTCCTCGGTACCAGAGTATCCGCACCATGAGCCAGAGGCCGCTCAAGGTAAGAAAGGTCAGTATTACTGGCGTCCTGACAATGCTCCACAGACTGTGCCTGCGTGTGCGCCTGCGCCCACTTCGGCTTGCGAGCAGCCTATAGTTGCGTGGGCGGTGCCAAAGTAACCAGACCATCACTGACGAACGCGAAAACTGCGCCTCGAGATCCCAAGTCTAAGATCTCGGACTGTTCTGGCAGGTCGCTGATGGACCGCACATTGTCTATCGCACATTTTGGCGGCCAGTCGCAGCGAGCCGCACAGTTCCGGGCGATTAAAATCAATCATTGGCTGCATGCAAACGTCCCCGACTGATTGCTGACTCTTGCATTGCCAGAAGCAACTGACGGCGAATCCGGCCATATATGAGTGCCTCGGCCGCGCTGGGTTTCTCATCCTCCCGCATTTCTCAACGACAACCACAGCCGTCCCACAACACAAGTCACTTGACATGGTTATCAATTCAACAAGCTGTTTCTTGGGCGAGCACAGACAAAACCGAATGTGAGCCTGAAGTGAGCGGCGAATGATGCACGTTGGCTGCCATCGAGGACTTGATTGGTGGGAACCGAGACAGCACACATGCCAATTTCAAATCGCCATGACTGGTTAGGCAACTCTCACAGCGAGCCCACGAGCCTCGTTGTTTGGTATACACCTCACGGCGAGTTCGCATCTTTGTCGCTGCTCTGCCACTACAAGATCAGCTGGACTGATCGTCTTTGCGCTAACATGATGGAGACAGGCGAGTAAGCAGATGGCTGATCAGGTGCTATCGAGTTCGCAGCGGCGGCTGCCCAGTGGCAAGTACCACGCGGGTCATGCCGCCTTCCAGGAACATCCAAGCTACGGCTCAAGATCGTGCGACGAAGTGGAAAAGACTGGCGTGATGGAGCGAAGGTGAGAGGCATTCAGACTAATTGTGTGGAATTCGGAATGCACCACTCTCCTCTTGTCAGTATCGGAGCCTGAACCAAGCAAGGCCTCGACGAATCAGTCCTTGTCAGTCATATCACACTCGTTGCTGCCATCCGCCGACCTCAGGGTGGCCTCTTGCACCGCTTCTCCTTTATTGCTCCCATCTTCCTCCCTTTCAGTGCCCAAGGCTCCTATCGAAGAGGGCCAGCACCACGAGGATGTCCCTTCTCAGGTGGTTTCTGCGTTGCACTCCTGGGCTGTCAGTACTCTGCCTCCTCATTTTGCTCGAAGCTGCATTGAGGATCGTCGAGACGGAATGGCTTAGCTTCTTCTATCCTCCTTTTCTCAACCACATCGCAAGTCCTGTCGTGGCGCAGACTCTCTTCATCTCATACTCGGTCTTCCTGCACGTTGTGGCCTTCCTCTTTCCTCTGCGACTGTGTGCCTCGGCCTACGCGGCCACCCGAGATATCAAAGCAGCACACGGTTTGTCGAAGCCCACTACCGCCAATAATGCGACGGTCGACGCTCTCCGCCATGATCCCGACCTCCAGCCGAGTGCACTTAAAAAGTCAGACTCGGTAACATTCGCGGTGGTCTTGCCCAGCTACAAAGAGGAGTTTGAAATACTAGACAGTTCTCTCAGAGTCCTGGCAAGCCATGCACTCGCCCGATCCTCATACGATGCAAGACGAACCCTGAGAACCATTACGTGGCATCAGTGACTAACCAATCAGCAGATCTTTCTGGCCATGGAGGAAAGAGATCCCAACGGCACCAAGGTGGCTCAGAGCCTCATCACCCTGTTTTCTGGCAAATTCCGCGACATGCAATACACTGTTCATCCTGCCGGATTGCCCGGCGAAGCACCTGGAAAATCGAGCAATGTCAGCTGGGCAGCGAAACAAGTCGAGCGAAAATATCTGAACAATCCCAACTGGTCCAGCGTCCTGGTCACGGTAATGGACAGTCAGTGCTTCAAAGATTGCAGCATGCGAAAAATGTTGACACGGTTTTAGGCGACACTCATCTTCTGAGTCAGTACTTCGAAACCGTCGTTGCCCACCACCTACGCCGCAGAAACGGAGGCATGACCGACATGACGCTGTACATGCCTCCCATTGTCTTCGACCGCAATGCGCATTTGGTGCCCCAGTTGGTGCGTGTAGCAGATCTGATGTGGGCTGGTGCTGGTCTCTCTTGCTTCACCAGCAAACCAACTCTGACCACCATTGCCATTCCGACCGCAGTCTATACTGTTCCGCTTCCTCTCGTCTGCCTAGCAGGAGGCTGGGATACCGGTTCAGAGGCGATTGGTGAAGACATGCATATGATGTTGAAGTGTTATTTTGCCACCAACGGCCGCCTGATGATCAGACCCATCGCGAGCCCGGCAAGTCAATGCAATGTTACCACTGGAAAGCCAGGGATTCGGGGCTGGTGGGCAGATCACTCTGCTCGCTATGCTCAAGGCCTTCGACATATGTGGGGATGCCTTGACACCGGATATGCTGTGCGTCGGTGGTGTAACATCTCCCTCGATTACAAAGCCCAAGAGCAGGCTACTCCAGGCAGCTCGAGCAGCTCAGGCAGTTCCGTCGGCTCCGACCCCGAACGGCCTCGTCATGTCGAGATTCACTTGCAACTAAACCAACATGCCCTTCATGGCCCAAAGCTTCGAAGATTTACCTGGCGGAACCTGATCTTGTTCAGCCGGCTCTTTGAAGCGCACTTCTTACCTATCCATTTATTCCTTGTACTCCTCGCGTCAGCCATCTACGCGGCTCTACCATATCCACTGACATCGTGCGCATCACTGACAGTTGTCCTGGACCTAACCTCATACCTCCGAGCCGCGAGTTTCTTTCTGATGACGATATATTTTGTCGTCTTCTATGAAGCCTATCATCAAGCGTGTATTTATGCCAGAGCGAACGAGATGAAGAAAGCCGGTCTGTATGAGGAGCTGGCGGACGAGTTCTCCTACCGCAAGAGATTGTCGGTTGTCTCAATAATGGACTACCTGCTCTTTCCGGTTGCGGGAACCTTGTTCGGAAGCGTGCCTCTGCTCCAAGCGATAGTGTCGCACTTTTGGACGGAGAAGCTTGTGTATCTCGTGAGCGCGAAACCTCTGAAGGCGATTGCAACAGGCGTCCTTCACATCCCCACCGACGAGTCAGACGCGATACTGACGGATGTGTGAGCAGAGGTCCGAAGTGAGAACGTTTAATTAAGTCAGCGAACATGGCACGATTCTGAGGACTGGAGTTTCTCATGGCGTGCGGACATATCGGTGTTTGAGCGGCGATCTGTGTTGACCACTTTCCATAGCAGAGTAATGATAATTGCTGTCGAGATACTTCTGGTTGGAGGATCGCATAGACAGCAGAATGAGATCGGGCAGTGTCTATCACGTGTACACGGTAGATGTGGGTAAGCTGAGCCCCCGTGGCCTCCTTATGCAGCTCACCGTCATGGTGGTTGCCGTGGCCCCGGAACCCGCAAGTTTACAGATCCCTCACAAGAGCTTCATTTGACTTCACATGCTGTTCACCTCGAGCATTGGAATTGGTAGACTCCATCGGACACTGGGCTGCTTGTGTGTAAGTCGTCCTTGAGCTCCTGCTCCTCACTCTTGCAAGCCCGTCACATCGCTCAGCGACGCGCTTTCTTGAGGCGAAACGCGTCTCGGCAACCGGCTCGTGAATTGAACCACGAACCAAGACCAAACACCCCCTGTTCAAAATTCCCCCCAGATCCACACCCGAGGCCACCTTCGACCTTGACTTGCTCACTGCACACACTGACTGCACTGCAACTGCACTGCAACTGCACCATCATTTTGTCCTTTAGAGCAGTCTCCAAAATCGGCTCCAATGCATACCTGATTGCGGTGCCTGTTTATCCCACGGCTTCTGCCTCTCTCGTTGCCGCCGCCTCTGCACCTGGGTGCGCCTGCTAATCTCGCTTGAATTGCAGCCATGTCTGCCAGCTCTGGTAACAACGGAGTCAAGAATCTTCGGGCAATGTTCGAGAACAAATCTGGCGATCAATCCACATCTCCACCGAGCCGCGGTCGATCTCCCAATCCTTCAGAGTTCTCCAACAGCAGTAGACCTGTCAGTAAGGTCCGAGCGAGCTTCGTGGCCGTCGAAAAACCAGGCGAAAACGGAGGCCCCGCATTGTTAGGTCTTAGAAGGGCCAGCGAAGTGAGCAGTATGGGAGGCATACAAGAGAATGCTATTGTGGACAACGAGGGCACAGAGAAGCCGTCTGTCTCATCCGACACTGACACCGCATTGAAGGATGTCAGCGCCAACATTCCAGAATCGACGCTCCCCTCGGACGGTGCCCATGAAGACGGCGGCTTGGGTAAGATCCTTAAAGGCTCAGCGTTTATTGAGAACACTCCTTCCAAGCCCCCTACAAATGTGACCAATCTGGGTCATGCTGTTGCTTCGGGTCGACTCCAACAGAAAGCACCTCTGTCGTCACCCTCGAAACCCAAGAACGAGTCAAATGCGGCTGCGATGGTGGACAAAATGCAGGCATCTAAAGAAAACAAACCAGGACCACCACCGACGACCACACTCAAAACTACAGAGACTGCGCAGCCGATAAAGGCGCCGCCCACAAGACAAATCAACTCCAAAGTTGTGCCCAAGTCGCCTATTGTCACACAACCCTCACCAAGAACACCTACCTCCCCCAAGATGAACATCAGAGGCGGACCTGCGAAGATCCGAGGAGTGATTGACTCCGCGAAAGAAGCGCAAAAGGCGAGAGAAGCGCCGAAAGAGGCTAAGGACGAGCAAGAGAAGTCACAGCCACCCGCGTCCAAGGTCAACACACAGGCCAAGTCAAGGCCTGCACCCATCGCAGCAAAGAAAGAGCAAACTCCTGCATCCCCAAAGAGCGTCAAGTCACCCACCATAGTCAAGCCCAAACCTCCCACAGTCCCGGGCAAACTTCCTGCTGCGGCTACTGCGACTACAGCATCAGCAGCGGCTAAGCACGACGAGGCACAGCACCCAACAACCGAGGCCGAGCGTAAACATGATATGAAGAAGAGCGCTCCTCCCACATCACGGCCGCCTCGGGCTAGTACCGCATCTACAACCGCAACCCTGGCCAAAAAGGCCTCTCGAGCGTCTTTGACCAACGGTCACCAGAGACCGCACTCTCGTGCTAGCACAAGCAAACCGGATGAAGGGTTCTTGGCCAGGATGATGAGGCCAACGGCAAGCAGCGCCCAGAAAGCACATGAGAGAGCGCAACCCAGTACTCCTCCCAAGAAAGGAGGAAAGACAATGCTGCCACCCAAGACTAAGCCAACGACGAAGCAAGAGCAACCACCAAAGATGCACGTGGACACGCCGAAAGAGCCCGAAACTGGAGACAAGGAGAATTACGGTGATCGTCAGCAGGAGCAGGATCAAATCACGCTGCCAGAGGTAGGGCAGCCTTCGTCTTCCGACACCACGAAGCCAGATGCCATAAATGCCGATGCGAAAACAGAACCGATCGCTTCTGAGCCTGCTCCCCAGACAGAACATGACCGAGTGAACGGCGAGGCCCAGAAGGTATATTGAGAGGAAATAGCCCTTGTTTGGTGGTGGATTTGGTTCAATTACCCCAGTTTCATCTGTACCTTTCCATCTGTCAGCGATTCAGCGAGCTTGAAATATTGACAGTACCTTCTCCGAGCGGGCATTTAAAATGTCATTGATATTCAAGCAGATCTTTTTCTTGCCGACTTCATCTTCTGCCGTGCAGAGCTCGTTCGACCCTGACCGATGTGCGCAGACGGTCGAGTTATTGCGGGTGTGTTTCGCAATCACGATTCCTCTATTGATCGACTGCGACATCATGACAACAGGAACGGAACCACACAGTCAGCCGAGCATCGACCTTGACAAGAATACACACATCTAACCAGGATTCCCGCGGAGCTGTAACCAATCAGCGCCAGCGATTTTCAGCCTTGTCCCTGTCCGAAAGCGGTAAAGCGCAGTTACCTCTATTCAAATACACATCCGGCAGCCTCGTCCTCACCACGCCTCTATTCAAGTCAGCTTTGAGTCTAAGCAGCCATCTGTGCAACCTTATTCAAACCGACATCGAGTATAGCTCGCAATCCCATCTCTTTCTTTTGACATCGAGTCTTTGAACACTGGTCCTTGTGCGATCCTATTCAACTCTCCTTGCGGAGTCTCTTTACCGTTGTCTTGTCTCTTACACCGGCTTCTTGTCAGGATGTTGCTGCTTCGGCATGTCCACTCTCCGACATCTCTTTATCGCTACATTCAAAGAGCTGTTGGCGAGTGCCCGGAATACTTCAAGGTTGGAGGTGTCCATGCCGATTTAGTCTTCCTCTGCACATACAAACCACATATAGTATTCTACTCATACTGACAAAACTGACTATCAATAATATCTGCAACTCACTTACACGATGAAGCTTACCACGTACACGGTGGCCACCATTCTGGCCTATGCATTGGCTCAGGCCGGCGCCCTTCCTTCTCCTCAAGATGCCGGCACAGTCGCGTCCGATACGCCGGCCGCTTCTACCGAAGAGCCCATGTACTACGCCGACGAAGCCGACCTTGACAAACGCGACGGCCCTGTCCAGCACAAGAACTGGCAAATTGACGGGAAAGCCCGGCCCTTCGTCGGGCACAACTGGAAGGGCATGAACCAGGGTAATCACGGTCCCATGCCCGACGATGACGACCTCACTCCCTACCTTGACCACCCGGACCCGACCGTCGCCGCCATGGCCAGCATCGTCCGCCGCGCGCCTGAGCCCGGATTCACCAAGATCAATGGCATAAATTACATCCAAGCACCCAAGTCGCACTGGTGGGAGTCCCAGAGCAACGGCGACGGCTTGAACCCCGTTGTCGGAGGGAACCCCAACATTCGCAGCTACTTTAACGTCAAGGAAGAAGTTAGGCTGCCAAAGGGGCTGGGGAAGCGAGGCGCCGCCGAGGATGGCCATCGCGGCGGCCCTCCTGCTGGCTTTGGCCACGCCATGGGCGGTCAGGGTCAAGGCCAGGGTGGGCATGACGGCCCTCCTGCTGGCTTCGGCAAGGGTGATGGCCAAGGCCAGCATGCTGGCGGCCCTCCAGGCGGCATTGAGCACGGACAGGGCGGACAGCCATGGAAGAACCACGGCGGCGAAGGATTTCGTGGCCACGGTCCGATGGCTGATGAGGAGTAATTTTGGTGCTCTGTCTGCTTTTTCGACCGAACAGTTCTCCTACCCTGGCAGAGGCACGCTGGACGTGACTTCATGGATGGGCAGACTCGACACGGCATCGGCAGTACCGACAGCAACAGTATCAGCCTTCAAGTTTTCTCATTTCTTTCTCACCGCCTCAGCGAAACATTTTTCCAGATTCATGCCCTACAGACAAGTCGTTGAGTAAACACAAAGTTGTCGGTCTACTTCCCTTCGACACGCTGGCTGAAACGACCTTGTCACACTATTCATCATCATCATCCGCGATCCCTCAGATGAGCTGGCCCTCGACTCGAGGTCGACGATATCATTATTTAGCGTCTTCACTTCAACGCATCCCCTTATTATTTCACTTCGTCGCCGTCCGGATGGATCATTCAAACAAATAACCGACCAACCAACCACGTCCGATCTACTTGCAGCACCAGCAATCAGGTCGTTCGTCGCAATATTCACTCCTTCTTCCCCTTTGGACTGGCTTCTGCTTCCCTCATGCCTGCTACACAGGGCTTGAGCGAGGACAGTTTTGATCAACACAGTGCCCACTGCCCGCCTTTGTCTTTGCATTCACTGGCCTGCCCTCTCTCTTCCAGTTCTTCCGTTCAACACGCCAAAGACAAGCAGAGAAATGCCACGTGCACGGACCAGGACACATGCCATTGAAACTGCCATTGACGTGGGCAGGGACGCGGACGTGGGCACGACACGTGAGATCCCCCGACCCCAACCCTCGAGGCATCCCCTCAAGGAAGTCACTCCTTACGTGCGTGGTGCGTCGAGTCAGGTATCTCAGCTTCATCCACCAAATACAGTATCTCCACTTCTTTTCACCTTTCCTTCTTGTCCCTCTGCCCCTGCCACCGTCCCCTACCACCTGCCCCCTTTTGTCTTCTATCCCATAGGTACAAACATCCTTGTTTTCGATAGACACCCTCTTCTGCAATAAGACCGCAGCAAGCACGCAAAAAAGGGGTTTACTCAGCCTAGAGTCCCCCTGCTTGGTGGTAGTTACCAACGTGCACATGATTTACCTCAACTTTCGCCTTTCTTTCTTGCTTTCTACCCTGGTCCCTACCCCTAATTTACCCCTCTGGTTTCTATCCCATACACCGTACACACTTCCCTCGTTTTCGAAAGATTCCCCTTCCCGTCAATAGACTGCGGCACGCGCGCAGGAAGGTCTACTCGAAACTACTCAGCTTTGGAATCCCCGTGCTTGTCGACGGTCGTCAGTTACCAACACGAACGAACAGGTATGCGAACGAATGCAACCCGACGGCGAATCAACTGGAGTCTGGACTGGATTTGACTGTTTTGCTTCCTCTCATGCGACTGTCTTTCTTCGAGCTTTCATTCGGACAGGATAGGATGGGATGGGATAGGACAGAGTATTACCTACCTACCTACCTACCTACCTACCTACCTACCTACCTACCTACCTACCTACCTACCTAGGTACCTATAGATAAGTATGGACTCGTAAGATTGCACATCATAGGTACTGCAGACCACTGACCGAGATCCGTGTCTACGTACTGTACGTATGTATGTATATATATATACTTCTAACCAATGTACTTCTAGCCTATTTACGTGCCCTGCCCACTTACCTGTCTGACTATCTAACTCCCCGCGTGCGTTCCTTTAGGCTTATCTAGTAAGTAAGTAGGTAAGTAGGTAAGTAAGTAAGTAAGTGAGTGAGTGAGCGAGTGAGTGGGGGCTAAATACAGTATTTGCGCTTCCTTCTGCTCTAACTGTATATCCCGCTCGCTTTAGCCCCTGTAAATGATAGGACATGATTACAGAATATGGGCTATGGACATGGTGCATGTAGCAATGCACGGGCTTGTACCCGTACCCGAGCTAGAACATGGGCTTGGCTTGCCTTATTACCTAGGTACCACACAGCCTCGTTGCATTTCGTCGTTAGTCCTACAGTACATGCGATGCTCGTGCCCCTTTAGGAGGGGGCCGGCATACCGGTGGGTGAAGGAATGAAGGAATGAATGAATGGTCATTGAGATATTCCATTGACTTTTTGACTGCCCGACGTGCGGGCATGCTCATCCGGTTTACTGTAGCCTGCGTGTGTCGTATTGTGGGGTGGTATCTATGCGTCCAATCCGTCCGTCATGCGTCGCGTCGCGTCGAGTCGTTCGTGCATCTACATCCATCCATCCATCCATTCATTCACCCCACCAGCCATTCCTCAATGTAGAGTCCCGCTGTCTTGACATTGAGGCTCAGCCGCCACTGACCGAATTCAGGTTTCCGATCGCGATCCCGCTTCACACTCTCTTCGCGGACGGTCTCGCAACTGGGATGACCGGTAGTCTGTAGTGGAACCAATGTTATAACCATTTATCAAAGCAGGAAGCCTGCTCACGCGTGCCCATTCTGCCCACTTTCCCCATTCGTCGCCCCGTTGACGGCCTTTTGGCCCAGCTTTTCTCTCCTCTTCTTGACGGCGTTGGCGAGCACTTCCAGGACGGCTTCTGTGTCTTCCCAGCCTATGCACGCGTCTGTGATGGACACGCCGTACTTTAAGCCGGACTTGCCTTCGGGCGGGACTTTCTGGTTGCCTATTATGAAAGTCAGCACGTGGATTTTTGAGGAAAAGGAAATAACAGAATCTCGCTGGTGACAGTGAGGGGGACGGTATTTCGGCCCCTACCTTCATTGATGTGACTTTCAACCATGACGCCCATGATCCCCTCTTCTCCATTCTCGATCTGCTCGGCCAGAACCTTGGCCACGAGCGGCTGGTTCTTATGCTGCTTCTCGCTGTTCCCGTGGCTGCAGTCGACCATGACCCGCTCACGGAGACCCTTCTTCCGCAACGCCTCCTTGGCCTTCTTTATCGACTCGGCATCGTAGTTCGTCCCCGTGGTCCCTCCCCGCAGGATGACGAAACAGTCGTCGTTCCCAACAGTACCCACAATGGCCACGACGCCCGGCTTTGTGACCGACAGGAAGTGATGCGGGTGTCTCACCGCGCCGATGGCGTCGATCGCCACGCCCAGCGTGCCGTCTGTGCCGTTCTTGAACCCCACAGGGAAAGACAGACCGCTGGCCAGCTCGCGATGTAATTGACTCTCCGTTGTCCGGGCGCCCACGGCGCCAATGCTCAGCAAATCAGCCAGGAACTGCGGACTGATTGTGTCGAGCATTTCACTGGCAAGAGGCATGCCCTTGGACGTCAGATCCACGAACAGCTGCCGACTGAGCCTCAGGCCTTTGTTGATCAGGAACGACCCGTCGATTTCCGGGTCGTTGATCAGCCCTTTCCACCCGACGGTTGTGCGCGGCTTCTCGAGGTACGACCGCATCACGATGACCAGTTCGTCCTGGTATTTTGCCTTCATCTTGAGCAACCGGTCGCAGTAGTCGAGCGCGGAGGCCGGATCGTGGATTGAGCACGGTCCGACGATGACGAGTAGCCGCCGCAGAGGGTCCGTGTCTTGCACCACAGCGACGCAGTCATCTCGACCGGCTAGCACCGTGGCTTTCGATTGGGGAGTCTGCGGGATTTCGTGTTGAAGGAGGTCCGGTGGCGTGAGTGGGTTGTAACCACTGACTGTGCGTGTCGTCTCGGATCAGCACGTCGAGTAAGGATAGGTAGGATAGAGAGGTAATTGGGTGACAAGACATACTCCGCCAATCTTCCGAAGATTCTCTGTTGCCGACGTGGGGGTTCGTGATATAGTATGACTGTTCGTCGCAAAGCCGTCAACGAGTCAGTCAACATCGCCCCGCAGGTCTTTCTCTGGGGTGGCTTCCGCCCACTTACAGCCATGTTTGTGTACAGTGGTTGCGCAGAAATGAAAAGTCGCAGCCAGAAATGATGATGCTCGCTCGTGCTGAATATGACTGTGGCACGAACGAGAATGCGGAGGGGCGGTCAGAATTATTTTTACTTCGCGGAGAAGCTCAAGGTGGCGCTGGATTGATCTGATCCGATCTTGAGCGCCGAGGGCCTGGACTTTCGGTGCCTTGCATGACGCATGTCGTTTGTTCCAGGCCTGATTGGCGGCTTAAGTCAAGGGAAACTGCTTAGCTGTGCCGCTTTAAGAACGACTACAGTACTCCGTACTCTCGCACTCACCTCGCTCACCTTCACACTTAACCTTCATCCTCGACTTCTCCACTGCATACAGCGCCAACAAGACGATCCACCACTGGCGGCGTGCCAATCGTTCCCTTTCGACCATGTTCGGTCAGATCGTGATGAGACCGTCGTAGGAACTAGCTGAGAGGTGGTCGCGGCAGTGAATATAGGACTATGAGCTGGGGCCTTGCAGATCATGATTTCTAGACGCGCACAGTGCCCAGCTTTAATGTCCTTACACTGTCGGCGAGCTGAGCACGCTGGGGCACTATTCCACGGGTGCGGCCAGCGATGATCTCGGAGCGAGTCCTAGTGGTGGAATTCTGACTGCCAGCGCTAATAGCAAATCGCTATTGGCAGGTCGATAGATGTCGCAAACCTCTCTATGTAATTGCAATTGGCACTATCGAATCCCTATATAGGCGATTGGAAACCCTCATTCCTACGCCACCACACATCCTCCAAAGCCCGAGCCTTGCTTCACATCAGGCATGGGGTTTGGCGGTTCTACCTCCAGTGATATTCATAACTACCCTCGGGCTTGATGATGACAGCCTTGCCCGTGTACTCGTTCACCAGATCACCCATGCCCTGAGTGATAATCTTCCGGTCCTTCTGGTTGTATCCCTTGATAATGTTGCTGTCTTCCCACTGCGCGGCCAAATCTTCGACCATCTTCGTGTTACCGGCAACGTCGACCTTGTCAAATACCTTGAACACTTCCCACAGAGACGGTTGGGCATTCACCGGCGCGACCAGAGATTTCAGCTTGAAGATCTTGGTTAGTGTCTTTTGATCTTCTGGGCCCAGGTTGAGCAGGTCCGACCGTGCGGCGGGGCCTTCTTCGTTGAGCTTCTTGAACCCAGCGCGCATGAAGGCTAGGGCCTCCTTGTCGAAGTTGCTGAGACTATTCTGTACCGTCGGCGGCTTGTTGATTTTCGCGCATCGATAGAAAGGTATGGTCTCCACCCAGGGCAGCATGCGCTTGAAGGTCGGGCTGCTTTCGTGTTCAATGTAGAGCGTTGGGATCCCACCCAGGGCGCCTGCATCCATTGCGCCAGTCTTCTGTCCCAACTGGTATAGACTGCCCGGATACCGTTTCATTAGGGCGAGCAGGAACGACACCTGCTCTCCTCTCCCTTTACCGGCCAGAGGGTCCTTGAGATAGAACTCACCCAGGTGGCACTTGGCATGGGCGCTATTGATGTCGTCATTGTTGGGGCTGCCAGGGCGGTCATTTACGGGATCGTGTCCAACAGTAATAATGGTGAACCTTTCCTCGAAAAGGTGGATGAGCTGCGCCTGTCCTCGGACGTCACTATCGCCCTCCGGATTGTGGCCTCCCCCGGGTTTGTTGAAGCCAGAATACCGGGGACAAAGCAGCAACACCGGTTTCAAACTAGGGGCCGGGAGCATTTGACCGGCGAATTGCGCATCCTTGAAGAGTTCTGCGATTTTGTACTCTGTTGCGCCCGAGGTACGGGATGCGATGTCACGGTAGAGTTCCGTCAAGTTGTTATTCTTGATGGCATCCACAAACTTATCCCTGATATTGAGCGTCGCGAAGCCAACATAACGAATTTCATACACCGTTCGGGTACTGCATGATCTGATTTAATTTTTCGATGAAGGTCATGTCGGGGGACGGCTGGTACAGTTGATAAATTCCACGCGGACAAGTTTGGGTTCCTAACCTCGTTCTCGCCCGGCAGGAGGACCGGCTTTTGTTGCAAAGCTTTTCGAAGGGCATTCTCCTCGGGTTTCTCGCTGGGTTTAGGCTTCAATAACCCGTTCCAATTCTCCATGTACCTCCCGTCGCCCATTAATAACTGTTCGACGTTGGTTTCACCGTTCATGCCGAGTGCGTGGACACGGTCACGGTCACGCGTCGCGCGGACGTAATATTCCTTGAGCAGATTCACGTCCTGCGGCTTGGTCTGATCATTGAACAATATCAACACGGAGTTGACTGGATCTATCGCAAGAGACGCAACGACATGTGTTGTGTCGCCAGTTTGGTCCATTCGTTGGAAGATCATGTTCTTGTCGGCTCTTTTAGCCATGATGGAGTCAGGTGGATGACAGTTATGTGGGATTCAGGAGATCAGTTTGGCAATGAAAGAATTCAAGAGAAGTACGAGTCTGGAGGACTTACTTTATATCGTCTAGCCAGGAGACTCCATGGTGAAGCAGGCACGGGAAATGAGCATCAAGATGCGGACTCGGCTCGCAACATGGTGTCTTGCGAGCTGAGCGACATCAGTGGTTCGCCTGGTCCGGAAGAGGTGTGCCAGTGCTTGCTCAGACCTGAGTTGAGAGATTTGCAGTAGCTCCCTCAAACTCTTATGCAGGATGACAGGTGCGAATTTCGGTTGTTCGCATCCAGATGCTTGATTTTGCGCTGAGTGGCCTACCAGCCAGAGCGAGATGATATGACTCTGCAGATATGAAGTACTGCACCTCGCAACAGGATACAACCTCAGCTGGCAGACGCCGCATAATTGCAATCGCAAAGGACCAGCAGCTTTAGCGAGCTGTCTCATCGCTTGTGCGGTCTTCAGCTCAGTTATGTAGGCCACGAGAGATTCGACTAATTAAGTTAAAGTTGGCGCCCGTCGGACGCTAGCCACGTAGCGCACGTCGGCCCCTAGTGGCTAGCGTTCGACGTGCGCCAACTTTTAGCAGAATCTGGCGACACTGGGGTGAGCACAGGGCGGCTTCACCCTCGTCCTAGTCGGGAGTGAGCTCGATGTCGATTTCCTGCACTGTGGCGGAGGCTGGGGCAGCTCGTGTCTTTATCGTGTACTTCGCAGGAGGACCGAGTCGATGATTATGTTTAAGAGGCATCCAAACGGTAGAGTAAAAGTCTTGATTTCATTCCGCTTCTAAGGGCATTGTGCCATCTAATGATATTCTTTTGTTGCGCTGTGTAACAGCCCGGACCTCATCCATTCTAGGGATCAATGGTGTAGCCTCATATCGACATCTCCAAGGTAGGCAGCTCGCCCATCTCCATTCCGAGCTCCCACCCCACCCTCCTTCTATTCCTTGCCCTATCCTGCTCATGCTCCATTTGTCTGTGGTGCCAGGGAGTACGCGTCGTGGAACAAATCAATCATGACACCCGCCGACCATGCTTGCGTAGGGGACTGTCACACTGTTAGCTGTCGCGCTCCGGAAAAGGCATGCATGGCTCTACTCACCGAATCGGCACAGAACGACCCATTTTGGTTGGTCAATTCTGTCAAGCCCTTCCAAGGACTTTCCTTGATGGCTTGCTTGCATCCCGCCAAACGTCTGGTCACCTGCTGGAATGATTCCAATCTTCCAGCCGAATCGGACCGTCGCTGAAGATCAAAGTAAAGCAAGGCTCGCAAAAAGAACCCGGTTGGCCATAGCCACTCCGGTCCTTGATGGTAGTTTCTTCCCTTGGACGTGGCAAAGTCGGTCGAGTCCTCGGAATTGTTGTAGTGCGGTCGATAGTTCAGGTCCGACGGATCCAACGTCGCCATTCCTGTAGGTCCTCGGAGGACGTCGTCCGCCATCTTCAGCGCGTGAAGAGCCCGCTGGGGGGTGAACAGATCCGGGGCCACAACCATGGCAATCGGGAAATTGGGCCGCAGCTGGTAGTCTTCGTATTCTTTGCCCGACCGATACAGATCCTTGTAGATACCCCGCCGATTGATAATCCGCGGGTCAACATCATCCTCGATGTCGTCCTTGGGGTCCAACGGGATCCAGTAACACTTCTCAAAGTTGGCTTTGATGCGGTCGGCCCATTCCACGAAGGAAATTTCCTCCCCTGTCTCAGTCTTGACTCCAGACCACTGGTACTGTCCTCCTTGATTGAGGTCAGCAACCCATCGTAAGGCACTGTAGTGAAGCCCAGTGATTTCGACAGCGGCGCCATCTCGCGGTGTTCCCGGCACTCCTTTACTACCAGCCCGCTCACTTTCACCCATCTTGTCCATCCAGGTGCCACAGTTCCACTGGCTGCCGCCAAAGATAATTCCCGTCGACCAGTCCACGTGGACGTCAATCTGGAACCCTTCAGGTCTCATTTGCATGTCGAGCTCAGGACCAGCATTGTACTCTCTGAAAGACAGTCCGGACGCGTGCCGCTGGAGAATTTCTTGGATGACTTCCTCGACGGTCGACTCTTTGGAGTACGCCCGCGGATCATCCCATGGGAACCACGTGTCATCGTAGGGCAAGAATCGCCGCGGGACCTTCATCTTGAGGATGTCGGCTCCATCAGGTGCAATCTTCGAGTAGTCCTGAATGTTTTGCAGGAAGAACCAAGGCGAATCTCGCGAGTTGTATCTTGGAGCTGCGCCACTGCTCAGTAGGTTTGGGATCAAGCCGTGCTTCAGAACGCTACCGAAGGCCTTGATGTGCTCCTTTGCCTCTTCAAATCGACCTGTGCACAGGAACAAGCCACGCAGGGAAATAAAGACGTCTCGACCCCAACATCTTGCCCAGGATACAGCAAAGTGCGGCAATCCAGCAGCCAGTGACGGTACACGTTTGTCAGGCCACAATGAGGCAGACTTGACGAATCCGGTTTGTTGAATGCTGACCAGCGCTAGGCTTTGTAAAAAGTTCTGGCCATGCTGGATGTTTGGACTCATCAGCTCGACCGCCCTTTTGACCGCCGCATTGTAGGCAATCTGGCAGATCAGGGCGAAGTAACGTGGCAAGAGGAAGCTTGGTATGGTGCGAACTGCGTCGAATCGTTCCTTCAGCCACTGGGCGGGTTGAAGGAGTCTTGAGAAGCCTTCCTGTTTCGAAATTCTCTCCATGCGTCCGACCAGGAAATCCAGGGCCCATTGGCCTTGACGGAGATGATTGCAAAGCGGGTGACCGAGATCGTTCCGTCTGACGATTGGCTCAATGACACTCCACCAGCCCTGAAGACCGGCGTAGACCAAGGGACCATAGCCAGGGATGTTGTAAACACCGTCTTGACCGTCGCTGAGATCACGCTCTTCCGCGTCCGACCGGTACAGAACGAAGTTCATGTCAATGAGATCAAGTCCGCCAAAAGCTTCATCGGTACCACTGGAAATGAACGTCCCGAGGCCTTGAGAGTGCTCGGCAGAGGGAACCCAGGTCTCAAAGAGCGCGATGGAGCCAGGCGGGAAGAAATCGGCCACAGTGATGGTGGTGTCACCATTCTCATGAGTAATGGTGCTGCCCTTGATGTTTCTGACTCGTGCGGGCAGACCAACGAGGTATTCGCTGTCCTCCAAGGCAGCTTTCTTTGCTTGCTCACTTTGGTCAACTTCGAGAACCCAAGCACCAAGGGGCCGTGCTTTTGTACCAGCCAAATGAACAGGGCTCAGGCCGCCATTGCCATTCCCATAGCCCGGGAACGCGGTGTGGGCAATCAGGAAGTAGCCTTTTCGGGAGTCTGGATGAACACGGTGAAGCGTGATGAGTTCGCCTTCGTGATGCAGGAAGGTTTCGTCATATCCATCCTTGCCCATCATGGTATGGATGTGGTTCATCAGTTTCTTGACGCCAGCTATGCCACCCTCACCAGCACCAGTATGGACTTCGCCTTCCGAGCTGATGGAAGTGTACTTGCGGTCCTCGTGCACAATCTCGACAAGCTTGGGATAGATCTCATCAAAACCCATGACGCTGCCTGTGGCACACGCACACATATTGACCAACGCGGCCGTGGGCAGAGTATCTCTGGCATCTCGTTTTTGAGCCGGCATCTCATTGTCATGAGTGCAATCCATGAACAATGCGTGGACCGGAGACTCCCTGATGTGCTTCACAACTTCTTTGGTCTGTGGACCACTGCCGTTAACGGCGTTATCTGTAGACTTGTTGGCTGATCTTGAGGGAACGTTGATTTCGAAACTCCCAATAGGTCGACCGCAGTGGCGATGCACAATGCGGCTCAATTCTTGCGTGCTCCAGGCTTGCATGGCTTCACGGATGAGGGCGCTCAGCCCCAAACGCTTCACAAAGACATAATCCATCTGTTCATTGCCAGTAAACAGCTCGGCGAAGACAGCCAGATTGGGCTGGACTTTCCGTGCTTCGTCCAGCAGGTATTCAGCAACATGAATCGGGGTAGAATGACAATTGTCGATGCGGAAAGCTGTGAAGTATTTGGCCATCAATCGAACGTATTTCGTCATGTGTTCCCAGAGATACGGACTGTCCTCGGGACCTTTGCCGTATCTCAGTTTGACACAATCACTCCACGGGATGAGTTCTCTTCTGAGGTAAGGCCGCCAGTCCGGACCAGCATTGTCCTTCATAGCATCAGCAGCCCAAATCCAGCCATTGACGGCCAGGTCTAAAGCTCGTGGGCTATGCTTCTCCGTGGTCTCGTTTTGGGGGAGCCGAACAAAGTACGTTTCAATCAGCGGGTTCTCTTTGGTGATAGGGCCCAGTCTGGGACCATTGGGGTCCATCCTCGTGTACTGGAGTCGGCCTCTGGTCTGTTCTATGATAGCGGCTGAGTCATCATTGAACTCTTGGTAGAAAGGGACGTTCAGCTCGTTGATAATGGCTGTGATCTCATCCATTGCAGCGTTTGCGTTTGCCCCATCTTCGTACCGCCCAAATAGGGCAGTCAGAATGGCAGCAGCGATTTCAGGGTTGACCTTTCGTGAGAAGCGGCCATCAATGCGAAGGCCGTTGAGCATGCCCTTGTCCTGAAGGAAAGCGGCCTTCTGATGGAGATTCCAGGATTTGACTGTGTCAAGCCCACCACCAATGGTATTTTCAAAACCTTCAGCAGGCGGAGTGACGGCACCTCGCTTCCAGGCGTCGATGGTTGCCTGAGCATCAGCCTTGACGTCGCAGACGAAGTATTCCCAGAGACGGATCTTTTCGATGACGTGTGGTCTGATACCATCCACAGCCTTGTTTAGATCATCTGTATTCTTGAACTCAGTGGCGAAGCCTAGCGACTCGAGTTTGTCACTATACTCAAGGAGAGAGCGGTTTACTTCCAGCGCAGACTCCAGCCAAGGAGCAGTTTCGACGTTGTAGCCTGCTTCGGGATGTTCCTCCAACCACTTGCTGTTGTTGGCCGTGTGGTTGAAGACGACGTCAGTCAACCCAAGGAGTTCGTGTACGTCTTCCATGGACTTGATCATCTTTGCGACGTCGTCCTCGCCTCCCGGAAAGAGTTCCGGATCAAAGGCCAACTGATCGTACAGACTGTAGGGCGAGTTGGACTCGCCTCTGGTCTGTAGCGGTGTGAAATGAACCATGTTGTACCCTCTTGCACTAATTCCTCTGAGATGCTTGTCCCAGTCTTCAGGGTATTTGCCCATGAATTTTGAGACGACCGAGAAGATGCCCAGAGCATCGAGAGGCAAGGTGCCGCCGCCCAGATGCAGTTTGGGCTCGATATCGACATAGTAGGTAGGAGTGCGAGTAGGCTTAGGAGGCTCCACGTCAGACGTAGAGAACTCGGGTAGAGGCGTGTAAGTGGTGTAGAAAGAAAATGCGCCGGCAGAGGTGATGGGGATGTCAATCTCGAGGGTGCGGTTGAAATCCGGGTGCAGCTTGAATTCATGGTACCGGTTCCGATCGAAGGGCTGATTGTTCAAGGGAAAATTGACCCAGAGACTGCCTTGACGACATATCGAGCTGGTACCCTCAATGGCAAACCTCAAATAGTAGGCTGGCTCGGTTGGCGCAGGCAAGTAGATGTACTCGTTTGGCACGTCCGGAGCTCCTGCATCGGTGAGAGGCAGGAGGTAGACCTGGCGGGTGCTCTGATGAGTCTTGGGAGGCATGTTCCTGGCTCGCGGTAAGACTGAGGTGGGCCTGGGGTAGAGTTCTGTCGAGTTGCTATTCTATTGCTGCATTGTCGGCTACTGCTTCAATTCGAATCTGAAAGCGGAACAAGGTGGAAGTGCTGGCTGGTAACAATGATACTCAAAGAATGCGGATCAAAGACTGAAAAGTGATAGGAATACACGATGCGAGCACCGAAGCTGTCAGACAGGGTGGTCGCTCAGCGGAAAATGGGTGAGAAAGCAGAGAAGAAATATCGAATGAAGCTCTAGTGCTGTAAAGCTCATTATGACACTTTGAGGAAAGCGCCAATTGAACAGCGACGGCGAGGCAGGAACTTTGGAAGCGGGAAGGAAACAGCTAGCCCGGCTGGGAAGTCCACCCCACGGCAGGCGCATCAATCTGTGGTTCAAACCAGATTCCGAGCACTGTTTGGGCGATTTGACATGGAAAAGTTCCTGTCAGGCGTGTTCCTGCATCCCACTGTTCGGAGTACCTGTCCGACTTTCCAGCAAAAGGAACGGAGAAATTCCAACTTTACCGGGCGACTAGCGGAGAGCCAATCGAGCTTTTTAGGTGCTAACCGTACCTTGATGACGCCTAGCCGCGGGTGCTTATCGTTAAAACAGAGGGGCTGCACACTCGCTGAGATGCGAAATCTCCTGCGTCAGTGGCTGATTGGAGCCGCAAGCGAGGATGGCGAGAAAACAGCTCTTTCAAGGCTGTGGTTGAGAATCCACGGAGTACGAGGTAGCAAGTAGCGGGAGCGGCGTATATGTACGATCACGGTCTCCCTGACCTCCAGTCTCCAACAGAATTGTTCCCTTCTGGAAAATGTTCAGGAAAACTTTGCGCTGTCCGTCCCCATGGGGTATCCAGTGCATATCGATGTCGATCTGCACATCCTGGCGATCCAGCCACTCGATGTTCCGAGTAAGCCTCCGCCTGTCCAACGATTGTTATCATAGAGCCGCATACGGAGTATGGAGTAAGTCTGCCCTACTACAGACAAGTAAAAACCTCATTCATTCAACGCAGCACTCCATTTACGAAATGATCTCGTAGAGATTGGTTTGTGCACGGTTCGTGATGCAGGGCCATTGTGTGTCGTGACGAGGCGCGCCGGCTTTCAAAGGCTTTTTGTGGGAGTGCGCCGACGACGCCCTTCATTAGTGTTTTGTCATCTCTCCAGTCAGTGACGCTTTCAGGGAAGATGTGATGTTGTTGAACCCTTTGCCGTTCAAGGACGTTGCAAGTCTCGGCGACTTTCAATCAACCGACATGGCCTTCAATGAGCTCGTATACTTCTCTTGCAATATGTAAGTCGGACGTATCCCGGAATGCGCTGAGTAGTACCTCTCGCGGTCCCACAGCAGACAAAAGGCGATGAGACAGGCCAGACGCAATTGTACCTCGCACGGTGAATAGACAACTGTGTAGTCTTGCACACGCCAACAACGCGTCTGCAGACACCTACAATTGTGCCAGGAACTTCCTCTTGATCTCTAGCGGGAGCTATCTCTCACCACAGAGTGAGCACGCAAATCAGGAGTCGAGATCATCTCAAGCTTAATACTTTCTTTCCACTGGTCGTGCTCCATCATTGTGTGCGGAGATAGGCGACCACAAGAGTCGACGTCATCGATTGGCAATTCTTCTCAAATCCGGGGTAATTAGGTGGGTAAGTAGGTACTCTCCCTCACCGCACCTCGAGAAGTCAGCACAGAATAATTGCCCCAAGGGACGTTGCAGTCCATGCCTGCGGAAATCTGCATGTGAGCAGGTGTCACAGTACAACTTTTTTTTACCAGGTCACGCCAGACAGCGCCCGAGGCAGACCGGGTCTTTCGATGTAGCTGCTGTAAGGCAGACAAGACCTGACCTGAATGCCCAGTCTTCTTGGCCTTCAAATCAATTCGATGAGGCTGTTTCTGTTACGTCCAACTTTCGCCCAACTCGTATGTACTCCTCCTTACTCCAGGCTCGAGCTGCCTTTTCTCTCCGCACGTGTGACCTCCAGAGAGATTTTCAATGTCGGGGCGCTATGATGCAAGACTCCAAGTCCAGGAAGTAACTTGTATTACTGGGTCAATGCATAAAAAGGTAGAAAGATGGGTCACTGTCGAGCTCGGGCTCCCTCACATTTGTTCACTCCACACCTCCACGACTACGTCCCCGACTTGCCGATAATTTTCTTTATCTATTGTCCCTACTGCACACTTTCGATTTCCAGTACCTGCACATAGAAGGAGTTTATTGAGTTCCGAGGGGTCCCAGCACTGTCTCCACGGTCCCTTGTGCTAGTGGCGCAACATCAGGATTTGAACGCAAAAGCAGCAAATCCACAGCAACAATGACGAACGAGACGGTAACATATGGCCGTGGTGGAGCTGGTCAGTGCAAGATCGCAGTCACAACGAGATGCGACTCTAATCTCTCGGTCAGGCAACGTCACCACGAAAGACGCTAAATCACCTGCCTTCAAGCCACAGACCACACCCACATTGAAGTCGCAGGTTTACACCACTGGTCGTGGTGGAACTGGCAACATGGCCAAGCTTGATAGTGCAGAAGAGGCAAGGCGCGCTCAGGATGTTGATGTGCCTGGAATTACGATCCCAGAAAATGTCCATCATACCGGCAGAGGTAGGCCTGAACACTGAAAGTACTCGTACATCGTCTGTAGCGCAGTCAAACTGATCACCCCTCCATGACAGGTGGCGCAGCCAACTTATATAAGCCCACAGAGGCGGAGCAAAGGGAAGCACGGGCCCATAATGAGAAGGTGCGATCAGAGTCATTCAGCAAGGACCGAAGTGGTCTCAAAGGCTTAGCGGGTAAGGCAAAAGATAACTTGGTCGGCAAAAGCAACGGAGAGAAGCAATGATGGGGCTTGTTGATGGACAAAGAGTCGAGAGCATCTTGGAACGATCCCCGACGGACCAGGGGTTTGGCGGGATCTCTGTCGCTCTCAAGAGGCTTCCAGCTTTGCCACAAGAAATTACTGGGACAGATGCACCGATCAAGGGTTTGTGGATCGGAACCGCCCTATTTCTGTAGTCACATTTTCACGCGATTCTTGGTCATTTTATCCATGCGCCTGATCTTTCCTTGAGGTATAGGAGCCCGCCGAGTCCGTGATGCGAATAGCGGGATGCTGCATAGCGGGAATAGGGTCTCAATCGCGGCAGCGGTACCGGGAAGGGTTGAGACGGGTCTGGACGAGTTTCTGGACGTGGTTGCTAGTCGCAGGCAAACCCCTGGACATCGAGCACCGATATGCTCGGATAAGGTCCAGAGCCATTATAGTAGGGATCACTGGCGTAAGTTGCTATAGCCGATTGCTGCACATGTCAGCGAGCAACCCAATCGTCCCAGAGTGGCGAACAGTCAAATGATTTGATGCACTACCTTGTCAACCTCGTGGCTATTTTGCCTCGAGACACCCACAGTCCCTGGAGGGCAATGCAAGCTCGATCGGTCTCAAAATGGAAACGTCAGAAAAGTGGCCGGACACCGAGAAAGGTCAAGCCACCGATTTCTTGAGAGCTGAATTGAGGTCGGATGGTCCGTGGAGGCGATAAACACCGAGCAAGTCACAGAGATCTTCAGCGCTAGCGCCTCACCAGACCCTGGACACGCGGGCAGTATGCAAGATCAAAATACCAGGTCTGGTTGACCGCCGTCCACGGCAGGGAGGCAACCCGCTTGAGAAGCAGGGAATTTTGTCGAATTTTCGCATGTGGCTGCCAGCAACTTCTATAATACCATACTGGCACTCTCTGGACCGTGTCGGTGAAGGATACCAGCGGTAGAGTCATTGTGGCTGCTTAGTGATGCTGTGAGCGAGCTCGGGAGGTTTCTTGTACACGAGATACAGTAGTGGCACGCTTGATCTCGAGCCCTGGACACCCTGGACACCCTGGACACCCACACTCTTCTACCTGTGGTGACCGAAGCGCCGATACGAGGAGGATGTAATCATAGCTAGTCGAAATAGGTAGGATAAGTGTGTGGGATCAACCGCCTTTCTTGCTGTGAAGGCATTCTAAAGCAATGCATGAAAGGTCCTCCGTGTTCCGTAGCCAGGGCGGAATTCGAAAGGCCGAAGATGGCGCACGGTAACCAACAGGAGATCTTGAAATACATACAGTAAGAACGAGAGTGCCGATGGAGCTATGGGTCCTGGCGAGCCCTGAAAGCAGTCGATCATGTCAGGGACAAATTGTGGGTTTGATTCTCTCCCCGCCCTGTCGGATGTACAGCCGCCTCTGTCGGCATCGAGCCCGCATCCCTGTCTGCTACACCGAAATCTGAAGCACGAGTAAGTCCCTTGCTTGTTTCCGACATGACAGCTGTTTCTTGATTCAACGGCCGGCTACAATGTCTGTCTAGCCTCCTTTTGGGTCTCACACTCCGCATTAAAACACGAGGCGATTTCTATCGATCGGGGAGCCTGGGTGTCTCCGTCGGTCATCGCACAAGTTGAGTTGTTGCTCCGATCTGGAGCTCCAGTACATGGATGCCGGTGATCGTCTTTTTGCTGGGTGACTTCGGTGGCTGGATCAAGGAGGCTGATCGCCTCACTCGACACGATGGACCCTGAGTTGCTCATGAGGCGACCCCATTCTGCGGCCACGAGCTGGCCCGGGAGGCCGAGGCCTTGTCGGCGTCTTAGTAAACACAATCGCAACTCAAGTCGGCGCACACTGCTCTGGCCCTCCCCAGACCTTGCCGGATCTGGTTTGGGGGTTGCGTTGGTGGAGGTTGGGTTCTCGACCTTCGTGTTCAAGCACTTCTGTCCGTAATTGAGCGAGCCAGTTAAAGTCTTTCAACAGGGCTTTATCTATATGCAACGTTGATTTTCGATGCCCGCGAAGTTTTCCCTTGTCTTGCTCGCACCGAGTTGTTAGATCATACCTGACCTCGAATTCAATTGATTTCACTAGATCTCAGCTCTGCGCTTCAAGTCTTTGTCGGCCTGATCAGCTAGCTACCACGTCTTGTGACAAGGCACGAATAGTACCAAATCTCGCCCCTTCAGGCGCGTGTAAGAAGCTCCTATGCCACAGTCGGTCCAGACCAGTTGCATCTTTCCAACGGTCTACACAAGTGTATACAGCATGACACCAACAACTCCTTGTTACTTTGGCCAACAACATCGCTGAGGTCCTCAGTCACTCCGCAGGCCAACAACAATTTTCTCGGTGTCGGCGCCACCACTGGCCGCGTCCCAGACGGTCCCCAGGGTTCGCACGGTCCCAACCTGTATTCCAGCTTTGGACTGTGGAAGTCATCAAAGTCTCGGTCTACCACTGTTTCCACACACGTGCTTGAGAGCGTGGCGATGCTTGAAGAGGGGCGTGGTCAAATATTCATAACCACATAAACTCGTTGCTCGTCAGAAACCATCCGCCTACAGCCCTTCACCTGCGCAGACGCTTCAACACTCTGCATCGCGTGGACAGAGCGACTCGACAAGACGGTCTACGAGGAACGCGCCTTGTTGAACCTGTTCGGCGTTACCAACCTTCGAAAAACAAGCAGCATCCGCTTAGTCTCACTGGTGGTCCTTCTTCCAACCCGGGTCACTTGAGAGCCACCAGTTGTGCACCTAGTCGTGCTTCGCCCTCCTGCGTTCTGTGTCACCTCAGCGCTTCCGTTTGTTTGGTGGATTTTTTGCCCCCTCACCTGACCTTGACCCAAAGCCATTATTGTTTGGGCGCCCAAGGTCCTCTGTTCCTTGGGGACGGTTGGATGTGTGGCGGAGCAAGTGTTTTGTCAAGAAAAGTCTGCTGTTCCGCAACTGCTCACGGACGGAAAATTTGATCTTTCGAGAGTCGGGGCCTCTTTCCGGCCTCTGACCTCCTCAAAGCCCCAATCCGACTGTCGTTACTGGACCACCACCTCCGGTTTGGAAGATTAGTCTTTGCCTTGGGAAAGAGCCAATCAAGCACACCAACGACTCCCTCCGCCAGGACTTATATGCTGCGCAATCGATGTTCACTTAAATTCGTGTCTCAGTATATATCGCGACATTTCCTTGGACTATGTATCCTTCACAACAGCATAGTTTACCACCTCCAAAGGTATCGCTCCATCAGGGCTTGCATACTTCGCCAGCTCCTGCGCCACTACGCATACTACCGCCGTATGCCCCGTATAGCATGGGACAGCCTCTGCCGAACAGCAACATGCATGCAATAGCTGGAAATGGCACATACCCTACTGCAGGTAGCAACATGTCGTCTTTAGCGAATGGGAACGGAATACCACCCAGTCCGAGCCAAACAAGCATTACCACTGATGATCTGTCGAACTATGATCTGCCAGACCTCCCGACAATGTCAAGAGTCTGGGGAAAGCATGCTTTTGTTCTGGTCATTCAGCAGCAACCGCAGCGCGCACGCATGTGTGGTTTTGGCGACAAGGTGAACGCGACCTCTCCGACGCAACACGTTCTAGGCTGACCTATTCCGTAGGACCGTCGACCCATCACACCTCCCCTGATTGTCAAGCTGCTGATTGTCGACTCGGCGACAAATCAGGAGATCAACTACGAGTACGTTTCTCACGACGTACACACAACGTGATTATTGATCGGACGCAGGGCAAATACGGAATGGTCGAAGCTCATTCTCAGCGTAGACCTCTGGGATGTCCACGGCGAGCACGAAGACAACTGTGTCAGGCATAATGCCGCTGCCCCATCCATCTCAGCGACCACCACCACCGCTTATCCAGCCATAATCCAGCAGATGGGTCCTAGAGCCCAGCAACTCTTTTCCTACGATCCCATGAATGCTCCCGCCTACCGTAGAGATGTGATGGTTACACCCACACCTGGTAGCGTCCCATCGTCTCCTTATGAGAGACCTCCGGCGTTCCCTCCCAACCACCATCAAGCTTACAACGGACACTACCAGAACTCATACAACGGCGGTTACCCACAACGAGGCATTCCTCAGGAGATGGCTCCCTCCCCAGCATCATCTCTTCAGTCCCGCCCTTCGCAAGATACGGGCTCACCGAGTCCGAACAGGTCTGAGCCGTCCAAGAACCTGATTGGCCAATGTCATAGTAGCCTTCAAAAATTGGACGGCCTCGACGAGATCCCGGGGCTGTTCTTCATCTTCCAAGACTTGAGTGTTCGAACCGAAGGCTGGTTTCGACTGAAATGCCAACTCTTTGCGCTGGGCAAACTAGGTCTGGACGGTGAAGAAGGAGTGACGGGCGAGATTCGTAACGGACTGCTCGTCGAATGTCCCTGCCTGGCTGCCACATTCACCAAACCTTTCAAGGTATTCAGTGCGAAGAAATTCCCAGGTGTAGTCGAGACCACTGCTTGGAGCGAGAAATTTGCGCTGCAAGGGATCAAGATACCGATCCGGAAGTCAGATACTAAGGGTAAGACAAGGAAGCGGAATCGTGGAGAGGACAGTGATGACGATGATGATGATGAGCAAGACGAGTAGGATCTCAATACACAGGGGCCCGAGGAAAGTTCTCAGGCAGAACATGGACATATCTGCCAAGTCTCTTGTCTTGGAGGGGCATCATTTGGGATGGGTATCGGCATAGGCCCATTATGCATACAAAACCGGGCACACAGTACAAATACAAGGATCTTACTTCGTAGAGCACCTGAACATTACGCATGCTGGATGGGTTGGATTCTGAGAGTCCAGTCCGGTAGAGCGCCAGCCTTGTGGTCCAAGATGTTTATAGCAGCGTGGGAGAATCAGGATCAGGCTCAGGCTCAGGCTCAGAATCAGAATGAGAATCAGGGTCCAACAAGGCTTCCACTTCCACTTCCACTTGACTTCCGGTGCAAGGCGACTGTCACTGCTCCTTTGGCAACCCATAGATACACAGTTGGTCAACTGGGTCCGGCATCACTCAGTTGGCCCGTATCTCGAGCGCGCCATGCGGCTTCCAGCGACATGACTTACGGGGAAAAGTGACGCCCTTGTCTCGCCATCCTGGGCCCTCGGATCGACCGCCAGCATGTCGAAACCCACGAAGCCCACAGGTCCCAATAAGGTGCCGCGGAGAGACCCGCTGGCATCCTTGAAGATGGCGGATATGATCATCTCGAAACCCATCCTTCCAGCAGGTAAAGCACATTCCTCACCTCAAGTAGCCATTCGAATCTGCTAACCCACTCAAGAGGTGCTGGCTACTATGGTCGACTACCTGGCGGTGCCCGATCTCCTTCGGTTTGCACGTGTCTCTCGCCGCATGCACGAGATGGTGTACGACGATGCAAGATGGGTTAAGAGACTGAGAATCATGGGCTGCTGGAATGATGGTGAAGCCAGACGCAGAGTCGAGCCACCGAAGACACCCAACACCCCGGGTCGAAGAAAGAGTACGGTAGACTGCAATCTGATCAACGGCAAAGGCAGACCGGAGGTTCTGTTTGATGTGGATGCAGCTCCGGTCTATCCGACGCGCCAACCGAGCTTGCTCTCACCATCGAAGCCTCGACTTACGGTGCCAGACGGCTTCGATGTTGCTGAAACATCAAGTTCACGGGCCATATCTGCCTCAGAATTGCCTATTGATCATGATGCGCCCTTGTCAGTGTTCTCCCGCGTCAGATCTATCCGAGGACAAGCCAGACAGGAATATGGCAAAATCTATAGACTTCTGGCGCCGTTCTATCTGGATTTGCTCTCGACATCTAACCCCATGGAGTGCCGCATATTCAGAGACTTCAACATTCCCGATCAACAAGTCCGGCTTCTAGTCAACGTGCGAATCTTCTCTGCAAGCGACTTCTCCCCGGGATCAGGGAGGAGAGAACAGCACATCGCGGAGGCTGTTGCGAAATACGATACTCAAGCTCTGTTAGAATTTCGAAAGGGGTACGAGTTCAAGGATATCCAAGGCAGGATGCGACAGTACGCACGGGTCATGCACACCCTCAATGGCGGTAAGAGTGGTATAGACCTCTTTCTACACGACAACAAGATCATAAACCAAAAAGCGGAACTCGGTTCAGTCTCCGACTGCATCGACTACTCTCTGGGCTATGGTCAGTTATCGCTCGAACGAGTCCAAGCATACTTCGAAAGGTTGGGAAATGCTCTCAAGGAAGAGAATGGGATCGTCCAGGCTGTCTTTCCCAATGCGAATGAAGTATCGCTATTACTACTTGAAGAAGTCGCTAAGGAGATTCTGGGACCATTTCTATCTGAGCTGTTCGAAGAAGCTCGAGCTCGCGGGACATCGATCTATTTACGGATCATCTCGGGGACATTTCAGGCCACCAAACAATTCATCGAGGGTGCTGTTCTCTCCGACGACACGGACGAGGCCACCATCACCCGCTGCAATGCAATCGGAGCTCAGATCTTTGCACCTCATCTTGAGACATATCTTGAGGAAGAAATGGCCTTCTTTCGGCAGAAGGCAGACTCGGAGATCGAGCATTGGGATCGAGCATTATCCGAGCAAGCAGCATCAACAGAAAGCTTCCTCATGTCCAACATCAATCGGCAAGCCGACAAGAAGGACTTTATGTCATCATTCAAGCAGGTGTTGATGATGCCGGTCAATATCCTCCCGAGCTTCAGCGGGTCTCAGACTGCTAAAACGCCCGTCAAGAAGCTCAATGCCGAAGCATCTAGCTTGTCCAGGCCATCCACCCCGACTCCAGGCGGTGGTCCAAGAGCTGCGACCCCTAACCTCCCTCAAGAAGCACCAACAGATGAACTTGCTGCAAAGGCGGCTCTGATGAACACAAAGCTCGAGAACATCAAGTCTCTGTTCTCCATTGAGATCGCCCTCAACCTCGTCCATGCCGCCAAGTCCTCCCTCGACCGTGCTTCCCAATTCATCGCGCTTCCAGACGAAGCAGGCGAATCCGCACGAACGCAATGCGCGGCCATCTTCAATATTCTGGTCCAGACTGTAGGCATCCGCCACGTCAAAACCGGCTTCGACAAAGCCATTGATCACCTCTCTCATTATTCGCCTCGCGAGGCCACCGGCGACACCACAACAACACCCGCACCCGTCCAGGTTGCTCCACTGGCCACCTTCCTCGAGCTAGTCAACGTCGGTGACTTGATCCAACAGATGCTTGACGTCTTCTACGAGTCGGAGCTCGTCCGACTACGCATCTCCAACCGCGACGACTTCCTCGACGTCAATGTAAAGGAGAAGCGCAAGTTCGAGGCAATGCTCGACGAACGCGTCGCTGCAGGACTGGGCAAGGGCATCGACGTCCTCATGGACGAGGTGGAATATATTTGCGCCACCACCCAACTCCCCACGGACTTCTACCCCGAACTCGCCCTGCAGGACGACCACACGACCACTACAACCCACCACCACGCCAGTAATACCATGAGCTCAATCTTAAATGGCGTGGCTGGCCGCCCGGCAAGCATCGCCATCGCCAGCAAACTCCCTAGCACTGTCATGGACTTCTCCGGACAGCCCACGCCCACGGCCCAACGCGTTATCAAACTGGTCGGCCACCACACGAGCATGCTCACGGGCGCGACGGAGAAGAGCCTGCTCGATGTCTTCATCACCGAGGTCGGCCTCCGCCTCTTCACCACGCTGACCAAACATATCAAACGCCAGCGGATCTCGTGCGCGGGGTCGCTCAATCTCCTCTCGGACCTGACGGCGTATGCCCAGTTCATCTCGACGTTCAAAAACCCGGACCTGTCCAGCTATTTCACGGCGTTGCGGTCGCTCGCACAGATCTACTTGATTGAGGGGACGAGTGATCGCGACGTGCGCGAGATGAGTACCATCATCGCGGACCAGGATCGGTACAAGGGTGTTTTCACCGTCGAAGAGGTGGTCGAGTTCGCGGAACGGAGGAGCGACTGGTTGCTGTTGAGGGCGCGAGTGGAGGGGAAGGTCAAGGGCGATGGATGCGTGGTCATGTAGAGAGGAGCTACAAGTCACAATGCAAATGCTAGAGACGATCTCTTCACCCATGAACAAGTCATACTACGTGCTGTGGGCCGTATTCTCGAGTGCTGGTAACCGATGATCTGAGCCAGTGGTATGGCCTGGATTATGTTCTGTTTGTGCTGGGCTGTGCTGCATCCTACATAGTCCTTGGCTCCCTTTCAATGCAATTGTTGGGACCGACCCTCTTCCTGAGACTCCCAATTCTATCAACGCCGTAGACGGCCATCTGATACGAGATTTCTCGCATGCTTTTCACAACTCAAATTCTTCTTCAGTCTCTGTTGCCTCCGGGTCGGAAATATGCCCACTCTCGTATCCCACTTGCGTCTCATCGCTATGGAATCGATCGTCCATACCATCTTGCAACCCAGCAGCGACAATATCTTGGACCACCTGACTCCAATCAACCCACATTGGCGGTGGCAGGTACGTCCTCAGCACCCAGTCTTTCCCGGCAATTAAGGCTCTTTGCAAGAAATGGCGTTTGCGATTATGTGCCGCCATCTTGATTTCAATGTCGTCCATCTCCTCCCGCAGCTCGCACCGCGATTCAGCCCGGTTGAGTTCGCGGTCCAGGTCCCAGAAACGGGTCCACACTGGCTCGGCGGTTGCGTACTCTCGCTCGAGGAGGACCATCCAGGTGTGATGTTTGAGGGCGTTGGGGATCGTTTCGTCCAGACACGCCAGCCAATTCAGCCAGTCGAAGTAATTCTGCTTGACTTCGGGTGGGACGGCGGTGTAGGGCCACTGTCCTGTCAGGAGCTGCTTGCCACGGTTCAGGACGTCGTGGATCTCGGTGTTCTTGATGGCGGAGTGGAAGAGGATGTACGTCATGAGGACTCTCCGGGCGAAGGCGTTGTTCGAGAGCGCGCCCATGTACACGGTGCGCCAGGCCTTTTCAGATGGGTAAATGGCTAGAATGTCTTCTCTGGGGATGCGGGCGGAGTTGGGGTCTTCGAAGGCGTTTCTCTTCCGATCCCATGAGGCTTCTGCTGGTGTGGTTGGCAAACTTCTGGCTGATCCTAGCCCGTATGCGCTGGAGGTGTCTGGCCTGCTCAGCGGATCTTTTATCGCGGATCTCTGTTCGTATCCGTTTATAGATAGCTTTGCCATGTCGCTGGTCGTTGCGATGTCGGATTGTGAGTGCTTGACGGTGGCAGACTTGACATCATCGTTATTGGTTTCTCCCTCGGACTCGACGGGCTCTGCGGCCTTGGTAGAAGTAGCTAGGCTTGACGGATCTAAGCCCGCTTTCACTCATGGTCAGTCTCATGCCGGCTGTGTGACGGCTTCAAGGTAGACTCAACAGGCGCGGCCGCCTCCATTCTGTTCTTGTGCTTGTTGGGAGCCAGACTTCTCGCGCCTCTCAGCACCGTCGCGATCTCTTCATCCCAATTCACGAAGGCGACCCGAGAAATTGAGTGTCACGCTTTTACCAATTCAGCAAAGATTGGGGCATGAACTGCATTTGAAGAACACCTACAGAAGAAGACATTTCAGTAAACACGAATGCAATTTGATGCCAAAGTAAGAGAGCAGAGCGAATGTTTGCTGTTTGCGGTGACTGCCCGTTGGAAACGGAAAACTGCAGATCCATGACTGTGAAGAAAAGGCTGAGGTCTCTTGAAGGCATTCATGCTTCAGGTCTCTCCTTCTTCCAACATGTACTGTACCTTCTTTCCATCCATACTTGTGTTCGTCAAGGTGGAGCATGCAAACAACCACCACCTCCCCTTCCAGAGCCAGATGAGCTCACTTCCCATCGAGCCTCGAGCCAAGCAGGGCGTGGATATTTCATACGCATCTCGACAGCAAAGTGACCTCTCGAGCATGAGCTTCGTACCAAAGCGAATGGGTCTTGTCTCTTTCGTACGGGGTACGGAGTACTCTCTTTTCAGAAGTGGTCTTGGGCATCTCTATTAATACTTTGCCCGCGGTTACCGGCCGTTGCGGGCTCCGCGTATGCATCCGGATTCCCAGCACACAGACCACGCCGACCTCCACATGGCGCTGCAGGGCGAAGAGACAAGGCCTAAACGCGCCTATCGGCTGTCTGGGGCGCCGACATGCAGCCTGGTGACGTTGCAAGCTGACCACTGGCAACTTCCACGCATCCTCGGCCATCCATCGTCATGGCTCGCATCTCTTCTCCAACCACCCGCTAATTACATCCTGGCGTATACGAGACGGACACGGGATGCCTTGTTTCGCGGCCGAGCAGTTTACGAGTAGCGACAGCTACGCCTCAATGACTTACATATACCTTCCTTGTGCCTCTCAATGCGCGACATCTGTCGAGTCATCTTGATCTTGGTCTTCCTGAGCAGTACGCACACTTCTGACCTGTTCGATCCGGCCGGTCCGCTCATTGTCTGTGCCTCATCTTTCATTTCGTCCCTCGTTCAGCCTCGAGTATAGAAAGCACCAAGCGAGCAATGGCCTTGACCCGAGGCTAGCAGAAAGAGATCCATCCTGTACATATACCACATCATGCCATTATAGCAAGAGCTGTTTTTTCAAGAACGAAAGAAATCATACAATAACGCTCAAACATCCCCTGCCAGAACGCGACGATGCTCACAAACTTGCCCCTCCGCGCAACCCTCCTCCTCGCCCTCCCACTCCGAGCCTTCGGCCAAGATACGGTAACAGTGATTCGCACGACAGTAACACAGACATTCACAGCCGCAGCTTCTACGACCCCTACCTCCCCACAATACATCAACTCGCTCACCTTCCGCGAGTCGATCCTCAACTCCACCAACACCTACCGCTACCAGCACTCGGCGAGCTACGTATACTGGAACGAGACCCTCGCGAGATACGCGCAGTCATACTCAGAGAACTGTCAGTGGCAGCATTCGCACGGTCCGTATGGAGAAAACCTGGCCCGCGGATACCCTGACGTGACCTCCGCGGTGGACGCATGGGGCGACGAGCGCGCTCTGTACGAATTTTCAACCACCGATCCTACGGGCTTCACCGAGGCGACCGGGCATTTCACACAGCTAGTATGGCAGGGCACACAGGCCACAGGGTGCGGCTGGACAGATTGTGATGGGCGGAACGGCCTGGACGGCATCTACCTGGTCTGTGAGTACTGGCCTGTCGGCAACATCGTGGGCGAGGATAACATGTTCTTCGTTGAGAATGTCCTTCCTGAGAGGAGCGGCGGAAGCAGTGGGTTCAATGAGTTGGAAGCCACCAGGGGTGCTACGGGCGGGACGCCGACCAGCACGAGTTCTCCGTCCAAGTCTGGCGCGAATACGCCCTCAGCGACGAGCAGTGGGGAATCGATCGGTGCGCCCATGGCTGAGGTCGACAGGAAGGGCTTGCTGGTTACGGTGTGCGTTACGTTGGCAGCGCTACTCTTCGGCCTGGGCATGTCATGATGGACATATTGAATATATCGGACACATTCGTCGGTTGGACGCGCTCACTAATAGAGGAGGACAACAGCGATGCAATGCAGGAAGGACGACGTGGCGTAGTGTTGGGTGCCCTTGCGAGGCGATAGGGAAAGGATGTACATGAGCACGAGCATGAATATGAATAATGAATTAATGACCACCAGGATACATAGCTCCCTTTACGCGGCCAAACTGTGGCCCATCGCTCGGTCCGTGCATATTACAATAATGCATGTAATAATGTCTCTCTGATGTCGGACACTTGTCTCCATGCTATGTACAGTGTAGATGCAGTGCTCCCAGGTCCGGACATATGCAGCAGGTCATATGCTCTTTGGAAACACTAACAAAGTCATACGGCTGGTGACGGGGTCTTGCTAGAATAGACGACTATTGTTTGATAAGACCAGGCAGGATGTCGCCGTGATGAGTGCCAGCATAGGGAAATCCAAAGTGCTCCCCGGTGCCGCAAGGATCCAAGTCTCGAAGTGGTCGCTTGAAGCATGGCGCCAGGGGACCCGCAATCCCCCCCCCTCTTTTTTCAAAAAACCAGCGGTGTTTAACCAGTTGGGGAGGCAGAGCATACGGACTACTTCATTCTACCCCTAATGCCCATCAAGCATCCTTACAGGGAGAAAGGTGCCACTACCAAGCTTTGACAGGTTCTCTGTCGCTCTTGTTTCTCGGAAGTACGAGTATGAGGTGTCTCCAGACCTCTATCTTCAAAGTTTGGCAACTGCGGACCCTTCAAGTCATGACGTCCACGACGTCGTGGTAACGGTCAGCGGCTTGGTACCTAGGTAGGTGACGGGCCAGCCATAAGATGGCAAGGCCGCTCCCAACTCTAGTCGAAATGACTACTTCGCTGCAGCATGATGAGTGGGATCTCGTTAACACGGCACCTGAGAAAGCTTGGACTTGGACAAATGTCGACCATTCCCCACGCACCATATGGTTCCTCAGCGCCGGCGTATCAGAGAAGGAACGAGCACAAGGCTCATACTGGAAACGAGCACGAGGAGAGCTACGTGCTCACACTGCACACCAACGTGGAGCACCACAAGCTGATGACATCGCTTCGAGAACAGTACTTTCCTCCCGCCCTCAACAAACTCGAAGCCCACATTGCAGTGTTCCGGGCTCTCCCGGGATCACAACTGTCTCGGATCATACAGGATATTGCCAGTGTCGCGGGTTCGCAAAGGCCCTTCTCAATCACTGCGGATGCGCCATTTCGGATGAGACGAGGCGTAGGTATCCGCGTGGTCGATGAATCTGGCCAAGCGAAAGGCATTCATCAGGAGCTGAAAGCTCGGTGGAGCCCCTTCCTCAGTCATCAGGATCGGAGTTTTCAAGCCCACTATACGGTTCAAAACAAGGTCGATGACGAGGCAGTCGTTAATGACACACTCGAAGAGCTTGGGAATCATTTCCATGGCAGTCAAGGCACGGTCATTGGGTTGGCTCTGTACAGGTATGATCGTGGATTCTGGAGAAAGGAACGCGACTTTACCTTTGAGGATGGAGGGCCATGAGGGGTTGTCGTTCTGAATGTGTTTCTCAAGACAGATGAGAACCTGGCGGCGAGGCCGTCCAAGGAGAATGACAACAGTCTTCTACGCCGGCAGTGGCCTTGCTCGTTGTACCTGTTCGCTATCCACCTTCGTCAATCCGGCAGGCAGCATGCTCGGCGCCTCAGCAATGGCTTCCCAGTGGGACATGGGCACAATACTCAGGGAGAGTCCTTCATCTGCATGATGAGAACAGATCCACACCAGGAAGCAAAGAGAAGCACGCGCCCGGAATGAAGAGGGCTGCTCCTGGATCCACCACCGCGAAGCCCCACTCGAGACACGGGCATGGAGCTGCAGCGGCTCGACCCATCGACCTTTGTGCGACAGTTGTCTTGCATTTCTTTCCGTCGTCGAGATCCACAGCCCGTTCGAAGATGAATATACCGCTAGCACTCGGCCCCTCTGCATACTCGTTGTACGACGGATCCCAGGCTGACAGCTGATGCACTTAAGACATGCTTGCGCGGACCTTGCGACCTCCCACTTCGATGACGGATGGACTGCATCGACCGCAGCCTACCATAACGGCTGCAAATATTCGAGGATGACAAGCTGTGCTCTCAGCCACAGCTGAGCCGTGAAACCACAGAACAGGGTGATCACTCCGTTTAGCGGGAAGTTCGCATCCTCCATCCAGGGGATCCTTCGGGCTGTGTCGGGCACAGCGTGAGATTATCCACGACATCATTTCCATCACCACTGCCCCCTCTCTAACATTCTCAATCGGCTGTTCCCTAGCGTACGGCCCTCCCCTTCTGCATCCACGCCAACGCCCACCTCAAACGCACCCCTCTGCTCACTGACTGCCATCCCAACAAGCACTCGCCCCAAGCCCTCCGTCGGACTGTGCATCCCCTGGCCAGCCCACCCCCACCGAATAGGACACATCACCCCCTTGAGATAGAAGCGCTGAAACGCCGTCCTCTTGGTGTTGAGCACATGATCCCAGATCCACGGCTGGTTGGCGCCGTCCACGGCGGCCGGGCGGACAGAGTATACCGACAGCAAGGGCGAGTACTCAGCCGTCTTGGACAGCTCAAGCAGCGCCCGTTCCGTCTCGCCCTTGACGCGCCCGAAGATGGGCGTCCACGGCCGGGGATGCAGTGTCGCGCCCTCGCCGGAGACGTAGATGAATTTGAATTTGGATTTGTTTGCGTCAGCGTCGGCGAAACTCGAACTCGGGTCTAAACTAGACGACAATGACGACGCCGCCACGCCGCCGCGCAACCCCGAGAAGGCCTTGGCTGCCTCGACGGCATAGTCGCGCGTGATGGTGACGTACTCGTCCCTGGAGACGTCGTTCTGGCTCACGCCCAACGCCCAGATACAGGCGTCCGCGCCTTTCAGCCTCTCTAGAAGTTGGGGCGGGTAGGGGGCCCCGAAGTCGCGGTGCTCGATCACTTCGATCTTGGTGTGTTTGTTGGTGGTTGGCGTCCCGGGCGGAGGCGTGGCGGAGAGCCAGGGGATCGAGGTCGAGCGTGTGAGAATGGAGAGTTTGTCGATGGCCGGTTTGCTGGTCGGTGGGAGGGAGAGGATGTGTGAGAGGACGGACGAGCCGACCAGGCCGGTGGCGCCCGTGAGGATGAGGTGGACCATTTGTCGTACAGGCTCGCCAGTCGTGCACGAGTACTTGTCCTGTGAGGTTGTTTTTCTTCGGGCTATGGACGGGCGGATGCAGGACCGACTACGTGCCAGAACGTTGGATGTTGAGTAAGTGTAGTGACGGATTGGTAGTCCCCTCGCGATATTAGCGCCTTCCGGACGCGTCAGGGCAAGGGACCCCTAGACGCTCGGGTCTGGAATCGAGGTTCGTTTGCAACGTCCGTAGCTGTTTTTGGTGTTCCTGTTGTACTTGACAACCGGCGACTGGCAGCTCACACGTCGGAAATGGTCAGTGGCTGCCCCGGTTAGTATGTACCCCAGTGAACAACCAAGTCGAGAAAGCAAAATATATATCAGAGTACACCCTGCTCCGTGTCGACGTCAAGGATATTATTCATCCGTCCGTTCATCCACACAGTAGTGGCACCGACAATGACACTCTTCCAGGTTCCGAACCCTAACTATGTACCGCGTCAGCGGCTCGGTGATAGCCATGACAATATCAGGAAATGCGGTGCTGCGGCGGCCAAACCAGGCATCATGCACCAAGCACCAGGCAGCAGCCAATCTCCTGAGACTTGGGGCGCCTGAGCTCGCAAGAATATCCTTTCCACGCTATATGCTGTGCTGTGTGGATGGCATGAGATGAGCCATGGAAAGGAAAGGTGTCACTCGTCGGAGCCGGAGTCGGTCGAACACGGAGATACGACGTACTTGAAGGGGAAGAGGCATTATCTTAGCTTCCTGCATCTTGCTTACCCGCCTACTGGGCGCAGCTGGCCTAAGATCACATCAGACAGGACATACATTTGAAGAGGCATTTGCAGAGTATCCCTTGCGAAGATGCCATCAGGAAGAGATTAATTGAACGATTGCCTACTTCGTAGACTGTGGCGAGCTTGTCAGCACATGGCGACGCGACTCTCTACTTTGTTCCCTTGCGCCATGGTCTGACTATCGCTAAGATGAGGCATATGGTTGTTGCGATCCCGGAAATTGACAACATCGAGATGTACCCGCAACGAAGCTGTTCATTCCTAAGTGACGGCTCGTCGCGTTCCTGCCCGTGAATTCGAAGAGCATGGCCGCGGTCGCTCATCGCTTGACGCGTACGGAGTACTCTGTAGAGGCCTGAAACTCGGAGTGCGGAGCATGTACATGCCGCAGTGTGCGAAGCAAAGCGGTGCAATACGTGGTCTTTCCGTACGAGATGCAGGCTTCTTCAAGACTTGAAGTCGAAGGCGGTGTCGACGTCGGTACAACTTCGATTTCACGACAGCATTACTGAATCTGCCGCTCCCTCACAGATACTCCGTGTTGGTGACTCGTACTGTTGAGACCAACGCTACACAACGAATGAGATGCACAGAAATCCATGGAGCCCCAGGCACTCCCCCCCAGTGCCGGCCCCCCTTACCCCTCAGCCTTGGGCTCATCACCCCCCACGGCCTTCTTGTCGCACACGATGCGGGGATACACACCTACCAAGGTTGCCCGGTTGGAGTGGCTGGGGGCCGGGACTGACGGGATTTTCTCCGACCCCGGGCGTGCTGGACGAAAGACATCAACTCACCCAATCCAGCTACCGCCATTGATAAACATTATTCTTTCCGGCCTGCCTGCTTGCAACAAGCTTTGTCTCGGCCTCGAACAAGCACACTTCACAACCATCAGGTGCTACGCTACGCTCCGCAGGATCAACAATCACAGCAATGTCGGACGACTCCAAGATGCTCAACGGCAACGAGGTCGCCACCCACGCGTCGAAAGACTCGTGCTGGGTGATTGTGTCGGGCAAAGTCTACGACGTGACCGAGTACCTCGAGCAACACCCCGGCGGCAGCCAGATCCTGCTGCAATACGGCGGCAAGGACGCCACGGCCATGTACGAGCCGATCCACCCGCCGGGGACGATCGAGCGGTCCTTACCCAAGGAGAAGCACTTGGGCCCCGTAGACCCGTCGACGGTGTCAACTCCGACCCAACCCCAGGTGACGCGGGATCTCGACCAGATGGCGCGCATCCCGCTGGCGCACTGCCTGAACCTCGAGGACGTGGAGAAGGCGGCCACGCGCATCATTCCCAAATCCGCGTACGTGTACTTTTCCTCGGCGGCCGACAGTCTGGGGTCGCTGCACAACAACCACGCGGACTGGAAGAAAGTGTCGCTGCGCCCACGGATCATGCGCAACGTGCACCGCGTGAGCATGACGCGGACGATGATGGGCCAGAAGTTCCGGCTGCCGTTCTTCATCGCCCCCGCGGCACGGGCCCGCCTCGTGCACGAGGACGGCGAGTTGTGTCTCGCGCGGGGCGCCGCGCGCTGGGGCATCCCGTATTGTCCGAGCACGTACTCGACGGTGCCGCACGACGAGCTGATGGAGTGTCTGACCGCGGAGAAGAAATCCACCAAGTTCCGCGGCTTCGCGCCCGAGGACGGCGCGCAGCTGTGGTTCCAACTGTACGTGGCGCTCGAGCGGCAGCGGACCGTCGAGCTGGTGACGATGGCCCGCGACCTGGGGTACAAGGCGCTCGTCATCACCGTGGACACGCCCGTCGTGGGCAAGCGCGAGGCCGACGAACGGTACCGCGCCGAAGTGGCCACCTCGTCCGGCGACTACACCGTCCTGAACGAGTGGTACAAGCCCGCCGACGAGGACGACGAGAACGCCCCGCCCCTGCGCGGCCACCACTCAAGCACCCTGAACTGGGACGATCTGCCGTGGATCCGCGACGCCTGGGTCAAGGGCCGCTCCGACGCCGGGCCCATCGTGCTCAAGGGGATCCAGACCGCAGAGGATGCCGCGCTGGCGGTGTACCAGTACAACGTCGATGCGATATACCTGTCCAACCACGGCGGGCGGCAGTGCGACGACGCGCCCTCCTCGATCCGCACACTGCTCGAGATCCGCAAGTTCTACCCGGAGATTCTCCAGAAGGTCGAGATCTACTTGGACGGAGGCGTCAGGAGGGGCGCCGACATCATCAAAGCCCTCTGTTTGGGGGCCAGGGGCGTCGCGCTGGGAAGGCCCTTTATGTACGCCGTCTCGATGGGCGACGAGGGCGTGAACAAGGTGATTCAACGTGAGTGCCGCCCCACCTTTCTTTCCATCGATTTGAACCACTCGTCCCGCTGACCATCTTATCTTGACTTCGCAGTCCTGTCCGAAGAAATCGAAACAACCCTCCGCTGCATGGGCGTCACGTCCCTCGACCAGCTGAACCCATCGTACGTCAACACGAAACTGCTGGACCTCGAGGTGCAGGACCGCTTGTGGACCGAACAGCAGTTGGGGTCGGAAGGGTACGGCGAGGGCTGGGTCCGCGGGTTGAAGGCCAAGTTGTGAAATATGGGGCCCTAATCAAGTCACGCTACGCATGGGTTAGAATTCATCCAGGAGGAGCCTCTCTGGTCCGCAATGCTATGGGTAACGTTCTTTGGAGGTAGGGAGCGCTCACCAAAAGTTGGAGTGGCAAGGAAACGTCTTGACTCGTGGGTTCTTAGACCTGGGACTGGCGATGTTACTTACAATAATCATGGGCGACATATATTGCGGTGGTCGGGGCTTTCGGAGGCCTTATGCTGTTGACGAGTCGCATAGGATGCGATGAGATATCATACTGGAATCTCATTCTTGTTGTGAGCAAGATCCTGACGTGGTGTCTTCGAACAGAGCAAGGCCGAGGGCTGCGTGTTGAGCATGACAGTTGGCCTACAGGTATTTCTCTATGTGTACTGCGTACACCATTGCACGCAATTACTTGTTCAACCTGAGGAGACAGAGCAAGCTGACCAGATGTTACGGGGTAATGCGCTTGACATTGAAACGTTAATTAAGATAACATGTTCCCTCTCGTGTCATCACAACAGTAACAGCGCCGTCATCAGAAAGTCCTACGTGTCTGTCCAATCCCATCCCCGATATGTAACATGGCCTCGTCCGGGCATGAAGGTAATCATTCATGGACGGCCGTCGTGGATTAGAAGCCGCCTCCCCCCTTTTGAGTAATCATCTGTACAGACTGTGTACAATTCGGTCATTAATAGCTACTTGCCCGTGTAGTCGAGCGTGCCCGCAAGCCGAATTTCATCGACGAACCGGTCTTCATCGCCGACTGTTTGCAGATTCCAGTGGCCAGACCGCGGCAAGCGGTTGAAGGGGCCCCATCCAAGCATTTCTTGGATGTTGCGCCGTTTCAGGTCCAGATCGCCTTCCATGCCAAACAGCTGTGATTGGAGGCTGCCCAGCACGGCGACAGCTGCGTTGACCAGTGTTCGGTCACCCTCGAAAATCCATATGTCCCAGACGCGGCACAGTCGATCGACGTCTAGGCCGTTCGAAAATATGGTGCGAAGCATGGGTTCAAAGACCTCCTCGCCGCGGAAGCCCAAACCACCCTGCTCGAGCGAACCGAAAAGGTACTCGTGGAGACGAGGGAATTTGATAGCTAATGTCGACACCGCGTGATTGTAGGTCCGACTCGTCATGGTCTTCTCATCGGTCTGGAAAGCAAGCGGTACGGGACGGTTGAGGCAGTTCGCCAGAAGGATGAATGCCTCCGAGGGCGTCGGGAGCTGTAGAAGGAGCAACGCGCCAATCAGTTGAATGCCGTATATGTACCCCACGTCGCTGCGATAACACGCGTAGGCTTCACACACGTCGATGAGATCTTGCCACATAGGTGCGCCCCTCTGGAACAAGCTGAGCTCCGGGAACGCTGTTTCGGCATCTCTTTCGATATCAACAAACCATCGTCCCATACTCTTCTCGTCCTGGTCGAGCTGGTCGCTTGTCCGCTTCTTGATCTGTTTGGCTCGGTTCAACGCTTTTTCATAAGTCTGCGCAGTCAAGCCCAGCGGATTGCCTATCGCTCTTTGCCAGACCTTTCCGCGAAGGTTGGCGCTGATGCCACGCCAGCAAAGGTCGTTGACTCGTTTATCAATGGTCGTGAGGTCGGTTGACTCATCAACGTAGAAACGCCATATTCGATTCAACGTCTGTCTTGTGTCGTCTTTCTCGCATTGCTGAACCTGCAGCTTCATGCGACGTTTCTTCTCTGCTTCGATGGAGGCGGCCATCATCCGTTGGTATTCTTTCAAATGTTTCTTCTCCTCTCTGGGATCCTTGGGTGGTAGCCAAGACGGTCTTGTTCGTGATAAAATTGCCTCCTTTTCCTTGGAGATCGGCATAAAGTCGAGCGTGCTCTTTTGTATCGGTGGGAGCTGGATAGACGACATCCGCGAGCTACGATCCGTTGGAGTCTCCAGGCTCTCTCGAGAGGAGCCACCCTGGAGCCTGTCGAGTCGTTCTTGATCCCGTGCCTCGGCATGGAATTCCAGCGCCTCAGATATGACCTTGGCTTCCTCACTAAGATCGGCCATGGCGAGGTTCCACGATTTCGTCCTATTCTTGAGAGCGAAGTCGCCTTTCCTAGGCGAAGAAGGATTAGAGTTTGCAGGAGTGAGCGAAATAGACCTTTGTGGTAGAGGCTTGGTCTTGGGTAGGCTCTGCTGTGAATGTAAAGCCGGCCGTGGAGGCATGTCGGGAGCAGTTCTTGCATGTTCCAAAGGGATCGGACGGGGACTGGGAGCCGATTGATATCTATCGGGGCTTCCGCGGAAACTGGACCGGTGTGATCGTAGGCCGGACGTATGAGGAGACACAGGGACATTCCACAGGCTCGCATCTTCTGGTAAGTCGTCATCGGAGTCGTGGTACTCAGCTTCCAGTTCCTCCACGGTCTTTCGGTGGGGCTGCCATGATGCACGCCGGGAAGGGAGCCCCAATAACGATGCTGAGGATTGAGGCATAGGCCGAAGTCCACCACCGCTAAGAGACGGGGTCGAGGCGGACGCAAGATGTCTTCTGCTCGGAGGGGAGGACGACCGCGTCCTCATGTTGTTCGCAGAGTAGAATGCTTCGGGGCTGGTGAAGCCACGTCTGACCATGGCCATCTTGGAAACGTTCACTCGTGGTGGTGCGGAGTCCTGCCTCGACCCCGATGCCTTGACACGGGTCTGTAGTTGTGGGAGCGTCGGCCTCTTCTCTCCCGAAGCCACCTCTTTCGCCTTGATCAGCTCATGTTGCGAACCCACAGACTGCATGGAGACGTCGCGCGAATGGGTGAATTTCGAGAGCGTGTGCTTCTCATCCTCCAGCCCAATCTCTTCAAAGTTGGTTATGTCGGACTCAAAGCTGTCATCGGGACTCGAAAAGGAAGAGGAGTAGGAGGACGACTTCGAGGACCGAGAGCCCGAGAGCTCAGGAGGCGAACCCGGAGCCTCAGTAATGGTTGTGGCCATAGTGAAGATATTATGGGCCTGCGATAGAGAAGTAAGCGAGCGTAGGTCAAGGTCTAAGCCTTGCGCTGAGTTCAAGGATAAAACATCGACGCGGATGCCTTCGATTTCTTTTCGTGAATAGGTCCCCAGCAGGGACGTAGATAGTGGTGGGAACTTAATTTCCGATGAATCCGATGAACGAGAGGTGTTGACGATGGTGTTTGGTCGCGCCAACGATGTTATTTCTGCTGGCCGATGCTTTGCTGGCTTTTGAGGAACGAATGTTGGTAGTGTCCAGCTGCCATTCTCACTGTCGACCTCGACAACTTCAACAGTTCCAAGGCCAAGGTCCGTCGGGTCGAGAGTCCAAGCTTGCGCGCAACCAAGTGGGAAAGTTTCCCATGGTGGCGCTGGCTCGACCCCTGACGAGGATGGCCGAGCGATTGGTGGAAGCGCAGAAGGTGCTGACATGGTGGAGGATTGGCATGATGCTGGCAAAGCTCCATGCGGGAAGCCATACCAAGCATGGCTAAGAGGTAGCCGACCTAGGGGCCCTTCCATGTCCCTTGACTGGCTGCTGGGAGGCTGGCTAGGGGCCGTATCCGGAGGACAATGGTGCCGATACCGTGACCGCCGGCCGCCTACCTCAAAGAGTGGGCTCGAGAGTGGGAAACTGGGTGCAACACGGGTGGCTGGCAGGATTTTGCGTAGGCTCGTCCGTCATCGATTGGGGAGGTTTCAAGGATTGACAACGTCCGTCATGATCCACAAATGGTTCGATGTCTCGCTGGCTCGTCCCCCTCTTTTGGAAATCTTGACGCAGCCGTGACGATCTTGCTGTTTGAGTCGGCTTATCGATAATACTCGTACATGCTTCCGGACATTAGTCGCTGAGCGTTGGTTTGAGGGTTCGGAGGAGGGGGTGTTTCAGCCGCAGGCAGACGTGTCGCAGCTTGACAGGCGTCAACGCGGAGGCCCGTGGCTGTCGTAAAGGATCACGCAGAACCTTCGACACTTACAGATGGGCAAATGACAGGGAGAACTGCTGTCTGCGGCAGTGTGGCTGTTTCACGACGATCGATGCAGGTCTCTTCGAACTGAACGAGATCTGGATCTTATCGGCCAGGATCGGCTGAGTCGCGGTTATTCGTTGTGTTAGTTATACACTCGTAGTATTGTCAGAACGAAGCGAGCGAGGGACAAGCGAGACTGCGGGAATGCGCAGGGCAGAGAGGGTTGATATGCATCTTGGTCACAGGTGAGCGAGAGCACGTATGGAGGCGCATTTGTTGGTGGCTGGTGCTGCAAGCGCAGTCGAGCCGCAGATGCCAATGCGCTCGATAATCTAGACTACCGAATACTGGGAGTCGTATCGAACGAGTACATGCCAACCAATCGTGCGGCTACTCAAGTGTCTGCCACTCAGTACACATAGGCCTGAAAAGCTTGGTTGTTGTCGTGGAGGAGCCGTGCAAGGACCGCTTGTCCCATGTTCATCTTGGGCTGTGCGTATTCCCTCAGAGCTCTTAGCCACCCCAATAGATCTCTGTACTCGCTCTGCTTCCGTTCGAGCACTCTCTCGAATGCTACAGCTGCGATCCAGCACATTTGCGCTTGAGTGATATGCTGGACCTGACCATTGGAACTGTTTCTCGCCCGGCAAATCTTACAACCTGCAACCACCAAGTCTTGGACCAGACCGCGCACCAGCTCTTGTGGCGGACGTTTCCTGGCCGCCAATCCCACCATGTACTGGTGCATCTTCATCGCTGATTCGGTAAAGTTCCCAACCAACGTTGAGATCACCTGGACTCGGCTGTTCAGGGACAGGTCTAGCAACATGGCATGCATTTGGTTCTTTAGCGAGGCCATGATCTTCCGTTTCAGGACCACTCCGGGCCTTGAGCAGCTCTCCACGGTCAGAGAATTGCTCACTTGTTTGTCCTTTTTCTCTCGGTCTTTCTTCACTTCCAGCGTCCGGACGTTGATGGCCATTCCGCAATAAGGGAATGCAGCCTCGCCAGAAACTCGAGGAACCTTTCGGCCGTGGATAGTCACGTCGAAGTTGACCAGGGACTTATCGGCATTGACTCGGATGCCATAGTGCCGGTCACCATTTGCCATTACCTCCAGGAACCTTCGGGCAAGCTTGTCATTCGTTGTCACAAGCAGAAAGTCGTCAATCAGTCGTAAGAGTAAGCATGATTGAGGATGGAGGAACCCTAGCTCGCTTCGCTCGAAGGCTCCGTAGAAGTAGTTGCAGAGTAGACTGCTTAGAACAGAGCCTTGTGGTATGCCGTCAATTTGCTTCGCGTAGCTCTTACCAATTTTGACCATGCTGTCGCTGACGTGATCCTGCAGAAGCTTGAGCACGGACTTCCGACTCCACACGCTCTCCTGCCCCACACTGGAGAATATCACCTGGCGCTTCCTTGCCGCGAGCCCAGATATCACTGTCTCCGAAAACACGGCCTGTCCGTCAGCTGGACGAGCGATGCCAGCCCACTTTCGTTTCAGGCCCTGGGCGTGCACTTGACTTCCAGAATCGAGCGACTTCAGCTCTATGTGTTTGGTCGTCCGGTACGACGGTTCAGAGAGCAATTCTTCGACCAAGTGAAGGAGGTGGTCTTGGGGTATGGTATCAAAGCAGGAATCGACGTCGACTTTCGCGAAAAACAATCGAGACCCGGGCGGGACTGTCCTCTTGAACTCTGCCACCCTGCCATGAATATCACCCACCGAGAACAAGGCAGAACCCAGCCGCGAGGGATTCCGTGCACGTTCGAAGTTGAGAACGCTGAAGATTGGAGCAAGCTGAGTATTGATACTTTGGCCCAGCACTCTTTTCCCGGGGCCCGTTTTCGATTGCTTTCGCTTTAGGTTGGTGATCGGTCTCGCCCCGTGATCTTTAGGAAGCAGCCTTAATTGGCTGTATCCCAGGCTGCGTGATTGCAGTTTGTGGCGGGCGTTGCTAGGTGTCATGGGTGAGTACATCTTCAACCTGAGGGTCGCCAGGCTGGGCTCTGATAGTTTCCGCCATACGTCCTGACGGAAGTAGAGCAAGCGATTCCGATGGGTAGAACTTTCTGTGACATAGAAATGTGCTCTGATTATCGGGATCAACAACGAGTCAAAGACGTAATACATAAGCTCCTGCAAGAGCTCGCACTGCTTCGAGTAGTCGGATTTGCTCATTTTTGGATTGGGGTCTCTGTGGTTGGATAGCCAAGGAATGGAGGTTATGCGGAGACCTTGTAGAACATGATGCATGGTCATACTCTCAAAGCGGCGCATCTGCACAAAGCCGTCGACCTTGTTCAATAATATATTGCGATTTTCCTGACCTTCTAGTCCACTTCCGAAGGCATTGCGTGGGAGCAAGTTGGAGATGACAGCGCGACAAAACGCCGATACTCTAGCCACAGGGGTCGAATGTGGCAGGAATGAGGTATCGCTGTCATGTTCCTTGACCGGCGTGTCCGCCTTCGCCTTCGATATCCCAGAGAGCAAGTGTTGTGTGACCAACTGGTCGGAGCCAGATATGGACCATCCGGCATCCGCGGGTTGAGCAGGCTGGCCTTGAGATTGGCTCGAAACAAGAGGGCAGTAGTGTCTCAGAAGTTGGCTGTATGAGCAAGCTTTGTGATTCCGTTGGATCTTCCGGACGAGTCGAATGGTTTCGCCACGGAGTCGACGTGGAGTCCAGCTTGGTGATCTCTTTCTTTGGCTAGTGATTTCCTGTTCGCGAAAGGTATAATCTCTATATTTCTGAGTCGTCTCGTTTGCACGTGCTTTGGACCGGAAGACATTGTGGAGGCCAAACTGCCGCGGGAAGATATACTTCAGAAGGTGAACAGCCTGGCGCTGGTCGGTGTCGTCGGCGAGCCTCTGTAGGATGTGGGTATGATGGAGTCCGAATTTGACCTTGCCAGCAGCATTCAAAGACGGCCTGGCATAGAGCATTCGGTGCCTCACAAAACTAATGCTACCAACACTCAGGACGTGCTCCTTTCGCGCATTGCTGGTATGAGCTCGCTCGGTGCGAGCAGGCTTGATTTCCGGCAAGTCTGAAATGGGAATGCCACTGAGTTGGAAATAGTTGTCCTTTCCACTTTCAATCCGTGTAAAAATACCACAGTCTAAAAGAAGACTGGAGAAGATGACCTCAGCATCTGCACCCAGCAAAGGCAGGATATCCGACCACGGGGCAGTCTTTAGAGCGGTCAGATTGTTGTTGGGATGCCTCCGGATGATACCAGGCAGGGAAGTTGGCGCCGCTCCACGACCGTCTTCGTGGACAGCTCCTCTTCGGAGACCATGACACAGAATGTGGGAAGGCCGACCACGCTTCGTCAGGTCGCCTCTGAATAGCGACCAGATGACAAAGTCGGCAATCTAGATCACACGTTAGATCTCTTTCGTCGAATGCGGCAGGTCTGACATATCCCCTACCTCATCCATGCAACACGGCTGGGTTCGGCCTGTATTGGCCCCGGTTGCACGGCATTGAGTTTGAGTAAACGTCGCAAATTCAACCCTGCGCGACTCTTTGCCAGAAATCGAAGGTTGCGTCAACAAGCCCACTAAGCAGGTGTCGAGGATGGAAGTTGCCTCATCCGTTCCAAAACCCGTCAGCTTCCGTCTCCGCACACGAGAACTGGTGGGCAGGCCTGCTAGCAGATAATTCCTCAGCGTGCAGACATTAGGATAGAAGGATGACAGCACAGAATGGTGCAAGTAGGGCGATCGTTCCTGCACACCATCCTGATCATGATTGGCGGATTTTGCTCTCTTCACTGCGCGATTGGATGTTGTTCCAGGACATTTTCTCTTCCTTGCCATGAGCGCACACTGCTCCAGAAATCAAGCACGTGGATGTCTTTCACGCGACTGCGCAAAACGTCTCTTCATCGGAGACAGACCCTTGGGCCCGAGATACACCAATAATTCTCGAACACTCGGTAAATTAGTATGGCGTCTTCTTGCTGCAGCAATCGGGGTCGCGACTGGGTTCAGGTCAGACGCGCTGACATGGATTGGAGTCGGAGTCCACGAGAGTCTTCGGCACATGAATCTCCCAAACACCAACGCGTGTTTCAGGCTGATCAGAAGCCCTCGAACGCGGAAAAGCAATCACAAACACGGGCAAGTGCTTGGCGCGCGCCCTGGAAGACGCGTGAGGCGCATGAACCCGCCACAATCCCAAGTAGCACCAGTAGCAATGTGTAAAGCGATCAATCCCCGCGTGAACGCGAGAACCCCAAGCTAGGGACGAGGACAAGTACCTCGTAAGAGTAATTAGGGACGACTTGGCCGTGCCATAGATTTGCGCTGAGTCGGTGGGGTTTCATAGGCAAAAGTGGACTGAAAGACTTTCGGCGACGGGGCGCTATCAACCCACTATCAAGGCTTGACGATGAATGATGACGGTACGCTGTGGACTTGACAGGGTCGAGCAGGGTGCAGTTGTAGGCAAAGGTTTGTTAACTAAACGGGCATAGACAAGCCGATGGGCCCCGGAGTAATGTACAAGAGTTACGCTAAACGCCCTGCCCAAGATGAACCTCGGGCCCCAAGGACTTACTTGGTTAATTAGGTTATCTTGGATCCTGGGGTGCCCAACGCCCGGACATGAGTTGTGCGCAGTGACTACCTCGTATCAGCGAGGGTATTGTTATTGCCCACGTACTTTGTAAGCTGTTGCAGGTACAACTACTGCAGTAGCTTAGTAGGTCAAGTGCTGGTCCCAACGCAATGGTTTCTTTGTTCTCTGTCCCGCAAACAACCAGGAGCAGCGTTGAGAGATCCCGCGCTGCGACCGATGACTGGAGTCGGCTAATGCTGGACTAACTGTCGCCTGTGTTCCTCTAGGCTGACCAATGCTTGTCCTTGTTCCCTGTAGCCTTTTGATAGTGCCCGCCAACTAGTGGGCGAGGGGACCAGGCTACTAACGCTAAGTCGTCTGCTCTACCGCTCTCGCTGGGCCGAAGTTGGCGGTCATTTCACGTTCACCATCTACCGACGGGCACACCACCTCATGAACCGCAGCCCAACCACGATATCCATCCCCGATGTGCACTACGACATAGCATACCACATTGCACCAATCTATAGCGCGCAGACCCTTCGAAAGTTGTATCGGCATCGTATTCTGCGTTCAACTGTGGCAGCCCGCAGACCTTAATTGTCCGGCGCACTTGGTTTCCGTTACCGTCGCCTCACCGGTTCCAGAACACTTCAAACAATCCACAACATCTCAGTCCACCCGTTCACTCACGACCGAACCCACGCTTCATCCTGGCCTAGCGAGACGACCGTCACAGTGCTCGCAATCCGCAATCTCTCAGTGTGCCGCGCCCAGCGTCTGAGTCCACCACCCATCCAGTCAATTCGTGAGCACCACGGCTCAGCGCAAGAGGAGGATCGACGAGGTCCATATTGCCAGAGAGCAGACCAGCAACGCAGCTGGATCCAAAAAGCTGACCATGGTGGGCTTAGGCAATGCATCTGGACCGTAGCATTTTCAATCACCAGCCACGAAGGAAGGCCTCTTTCTCAAGATGCCCTCCGCGGTATCGAGCCGCAGCAACTACTACTCCGCCCACCATCGTCGACAGTCGTCTCAATCACAGACCAATCTGCCTGATCAGCTTCGAAACAGTGGGATACAGGCCCAGTCGCCAAATCGATCCCTTGTCTTCCTCCCATCCACCGCCTATTCTTCGTCGCAGCCAATAACCCAGCGTTCTCGGACCCCCTCTCTGTCAACCCCTTCAAGGTCGACCTCAAGGCTTGGTACTGTGCGGACCGAGGATGTTCCAAATGATCCTCACGATTTCTACCGCCAGTACCAAGATCACTTCACGAACGCATCGCCTGTAGCCCTCCACCAAGAGGCCATACGAACCGCGCCGATTGAGCCGGCAGAGGAGGCACTTGTCAATGCCGGAGAAGCCAGCTTCGATGCTGACGAAAGAACATCAAAGACGGCAAGAAATGGGGCAAGAGGCCGAAAGCTGTCGTTAACCACCCAGACCTTGCCGAACGGCGCCTTTACTGGGAGCACTTCAAAGCCTGCCACGGCCATGCACAATGGCTTAAGGTCCAGGAAGGCTTCGTTTAAAGACCTAGTCGCTAGATTCGATGCGTCGTCTGACGATATTCCCCCTTTACCTTCCCAACCCATATCGCGGCCAGCATCAAGGACTGCTAGTCCCATGCCTTATGGCTCGGTCGACACATCCCACTCTTTCCAGCCGCCCATAAAGCGCCCGCAATCAAGAGCTTCTGAGTCAACGAGAAGGGCAGGAAGTGCGGTGGGGTTGCGGACTCCCAGCAAGGACAGTACAGTACACTCCAGAGGTGCGTCTGCTGCTGGTGGGCTAAGCCAAGTCATTAGCAATCCCGAAGCGCCCGCCGATGGTCGAAAACTGCTGTTTGGCGAAGTTGCACCATCAGCAAACGACCTTCCTGCTGCCCCAGGCTATGGCATCCACAATGCTCGGCTGAGAAGAGGTTCCGAGGGGTCTTCTATGCGTAGCCCTAATCCAATGTTTCAAACGAAGCGTGGCCAGACTCATCTCCCTGGGCCGCCAATGTCGCCTTCAGGCGTACATCCGGCCAGTACTGTCCTGTCGAATGAGGTACAATCCCAGCGCTGGCCCGCTCACCGTCGAGCAAATAGTGATTTCTCGGGACCATCCTCAAGAGCCAACAGTCGAGATGGTCAGACCGCATCATCACATCCGCGGACCAGCGGTCATAGGTATACCGCGGACGCCACTGCCAGATCCCGTATACCGGTAAGCACACGACATCAGCGGATAGCGTCAGATTCGGCCGCAAGCTCCCCCACGGCCCCTCCTACCGCCGTTCCACACCATCAGCTTCCGTTTCGAGTGGAGGAATCTGGGCGGAAACAGTCGAGTTCTTCGCGTCCGGGAGATCGCAGACAGCAGAGTCCCAACAAGCAGGTGCGGTCACCAGTGCAAATCAAAAGCCCAAACAATAGAGGTCGCGGCACCACCACTGCAAATGGCGAAAAAAGCCCTTCTCTTCGCGCAAACATCATTGCTCCTCCGCCAAAAGCCTCCCCTCCACTGAGAAGTTCGAGGCCCCGAATGCCTGTTTCTTCTGCCACCACAGCAGCGTCACGAGCGAAGATGGCAGAGAAGTTTCAGACGATGGCCAAGCAGCAAAGTGACAAGAAGGCTTTCAGACGTCAAAGGCCTCCGGAGCTTAGTGACATCGACCTGAAAGCCCGGCGACTAAAGATTACTCAGGCCTTGAGTAGGTCGAGAGAAGGGCACGATCTAAAGGGCGGAGCCACTTCCGCTCCCGGTGGTTCACCTAGTCGGTCGGATAGTATGACGCCGTCCTTCGAAGAGTCTGATGAGTCTGGGCAGCGCCCTCACGAGGCACTGGAAATTCCAGCTGTGGTGGTGAATGAGCCTGCCATTGACACATCGGATGAACGGGCATTCTACGCTGCACTCGGAGAGAGCCCGGGAGACCAGCAAGCATTCACACAAAATGCCCTACGGGTCGTTGAGTCAAGTTCTTCACATCCAGGCGATGAACTAGATTCGCCAACCCTCGGGCACACTGGGTCCTCTTTCAGCAACATTCCTTTCAGTCTGGATACCCATCTGCAACCACTGCGGGATGAACAAGAGCCGCAATCCGCAATGACTGAGGGCACGGTGGCAACAGAGGCCACGATGATTGATGTTGAGCCCCAGACCGATACCTCGCGACTTCAAACTCCCGGCCAATCACTTTATAGCCAGATCAGTATCCTTCGAAACCAAGAGTCCTTTTCTCCGTTGTCATCCACATCTGAGGCGTCTGGCGAGAATTCCGATCATGCCGACCAAGTATCTGTCCACCTCATGCTTCGAAATACCACATACCTTGACGATGAAGAAGCTGTCGAGAAGGGCTATCGACATCTTGCACCGGTTCCTCAGCCCGAACCCACACCTTCACGAAGCGATGGTCGAAACTCTTGGACGTCCTCAATACAAGATTCGCCTGATTCTGAAGTAGACGAGGGTTCCGCCTCTGTCACTCATTCACTCCATCCACAGGAAGCGGAAGCAGCAGGCGTCGAATCCGGTTCACATCTCGAATCGGATCATTCCAGTATCGAGGATGACTCGGGTCGTGATCATCATGCCGCCGATGCGTACACAATCGTGAATAAAGTCCTCCAACAGCAGACAGAATCTGGAGTGGTCGATCAGCAACTTGTGGATGATATATACCACCGTATCATTCAAGCCTCCCCCGACCTGGCCGATGTCGAAAGTGTGGACGAGGAAAAGGTGCGACGCCTGTGTCTGCACGAACTAGCCGAGTACACCCGTCAATGGGAGCAGCTTGAGTCATCGCCGTGGCGTCCGAGCAATACCTTCCATAATGAAGAGCAGAAGGCTTCGGCGCACTTGAAGACAGAAGCGCAAGGCGATAGTGCCGACAGGCCGGCCGATACTCCAATGTCAAATTTTGACACTTCTCTGCCACCACCGTCAAGTTGGAAAGCGAACCATAGATACAAATCGAGCCTTGATAGCCCGCAGGACTGGGCAGAAACTTCACCATCAGTCGGTGATTGGATGCAATTTGGTCTCAAGCCACCTGCGGAACAGCGGCAACCATCCGGACTAGCTCGTGAGGCATACGCAGACGAAGATCCACCAACTTCAGTCACTCAAGACATTCGAGACCTTCACCAAGATGAGGACGAGCAGCAGAAAGAGACATTCGTACCCATAGGTGCTGAGAGTGGCATCCCCCGTCCACCTAGTCATTCACCGCCACCGCCCCCACCGATAGTGAAGTTGCCGACTATCGACCAGTCTTCATGGTCTGCGCCAGTGGGTGTGAGACCGGCTGTGCCACAACCGCCGCCATTGTCAAGGCCGCAAACCGCGTTCTCTCAAGTGTCTGCTCGCTCAAGCATGGACCAACAAACAATGCCGTCCGGCTCCAGCAATACAAGACCCTCCGTGGATGAGGAGAGCCCCGAGCAGCGCCGGCTGAAGAAGAGAAGACATATTCTCAAAGAAATTGTGGATACTGAGTATACCTATGAACGAGATATGAGAGTCCTATGCGATATCTACAAGCAGACTGCCGTTGCAGCCATCAGCGACGAGGATATCAAAATCATCTTCGGCAACGTCGACCTAGTCCAACAATTTTCCAAAGATTTCCTTGCCTACTTGAAGCAGGTGGTCAAACCAGCTTATGTAATGGAGAGGTCGGACCGACGGAAAGATGCAGATCGGGCGTCTACCGTCCAGAGCTCGGCGGCTTCGATTGGTGGCGCGCTTGACTTGACAGACGCTGAAAAGGACGAACTCACTAGGGTCGGCACCGCGTTCGAAGCCTCGATGGCTGACATGGAAAAGGTATACACGGACTATATCCGGACCCGACACGCTGCAAACAAACGGTTGGAAGCGCTGCAGGCATCTTTAACCGTGAAAGAGTGGCTCAAGGAGTGCAGTGAGAACTCAAGTGATATAACCAACGCTTGGAGTCTCGATGCTCTGCTTGTAAAGCCAATTCAGCGCATTACCAAATATCCTCTGCTGCTCAACCAGCTCTTGGAAGCGACACCGGACACTCATCCGGATGTAGAGTTCCTCCGGAGAGCAGCCAGCGAAGTGACTGAGGTCAATGTGCGGATAAATGAAGTCAAGAAACATACCGAGCTTGTTGATCAGGTGCTCAATCGCAAGCGCAAAGAGTCTGATGTCCGGAATGGCCTGACCAAAGCATTCGGTCGTCGTGCAGAAAAATTGAGGCAACATGTTGGAATCAATGAAATGTACGAAGATCAGGAATATGCCAAGCTCAAGATCGGCTACGACAACAATATTGCCCACCTATTTCTAGTCACCAAAGACTGCCAAGGCTATGTCGAAGCGATCACCAAGTGGGTTGGTCGCTTGTGTGAGTTAGCGGCGGCGGCAGAGGCGTGGGTGGACGTGGGACATACCAATCACTCACAAGCTGAAAGCAAGCTCAGACAATTCGCAATCGTGGTGCGAGGAATTAACTCGATTGCACTGCCCGACCATAATGAACAGGTGTCGAAGCGTGTCATACAACCTATGGACAAGACGGCAGCGATGTTGGAGAGGTTCAAGGCTGACACCAAGGGGCTCATCCAGAAACGAGAAAAGCGACTACTCGACTACAATCAATTCAAGAACAAAAGGGACAGAGGTGAGAAGGTTGACAAGAAAATGACTGAGCGGATGGAGCAGTGGGAAGCGCTGAATCTAGAAGCCAAAGAAAGAATGAAGCGTCTCCTGGGGTCAACCGCTGATCTTGTTCATGCTTGTCAGGCCAATCTGATCCAACTACATCTCAACTGGCTCGGCATGTGTCGTCAGAAATTTTCGGCTGCTATCGACATTCCCCTGGACAAGGTCGACAGTTCTGATATTGTGAAGGACTGGCAGGAAGACTTCGACTACCAGGAAGCGACGGCATTGACATTTAGCATTTGCAACGGTTCATTGCTAGCCGAGGCTGTCAACATGATCTCGTTCTTGACCCCCGGATCGATGCAGAATGGCGAAGAGTCTCCCCGTCAGCCATCGTGGAACAGTATGAAGCGAGCGATATCGGCAAACGAAGAAATTCCACCGTTCCCAATCAGGGACCATCACCATCGAAACAGTGGAGGCCCATTCAGCTCCCAGAGTGACGATCGTACTGAATGGAGTTCTTCTACATTTGCCAATGGACGGATTCGAACTGGCTCAGCTGCATCTGGACGGCCTCCGAAGACTCCAGACACAGCAAGTCGAGGTGTCTCTGCCTCGCTCCATACTGTTGACAGCCTGAATCCTTCGCGACCGGGGACCAGTCCGGGGCTTCCGGCCGACAGTGCAAAATCAGCTCCGAGGTTAAGCTTGGAGGCGCCGTTCCCGTCGCTCGGAGAGCTCTTAACAGAGTCCCCCGTGACGCTTCGCCATGTCTCCACCTCTTCATTTTACACAGCAGCTCCTGGTCCGAGTCAGTCTCAGCCTCACCTTCCTGCGCCAGGCGGAGGCAACGTTTTTTCTTCGGCGATGCCGATGGAAGAGCATCCTCGTTCAACGAGGGCAACCCCCCAGCCACGAGAGGAACCGGGGGTCCTATTTACAGCGGCCAGTGTCTATGAGTTTAATATCGATCGGTCACGGCAGCAAGGTGGCTTTCGATACCTTACATATGTGACAGGGGAGATCTTTGACATCATTGCCGAACACGGGGAGTTGTGGTTGGCGATCAACCAAGATGATCCAACGCGAGAAATAGGCTGGATATGGAACAAGCATTTTGCCAAACTGGCCGGATGAGCAACAATGTCTTCTGGCGTCAGAGGGTCATGAGACGGCGATATTTTGGATAGTACAATTCGCCAGATGTCCACTCGAGCAGTGGAAGGGTGTACCTAAGGAGGGTCAAGTTGGAGGGGATGCCTTTCAGGGACGTGCCGGAGACCCTGACAGGTGTAAGACCCGGCATTCCCTGCGAACTGGAAATACTTTTTTATTTCTTGCGATTCGAGCGTTCAAGCGGAACAAGCGGGGTTGGCGTTGACATGTACTACAAAAGACAAAAAGGGAGGCGAGGGCGTCAACTGTACAGTACCGAGGCATGGGACACGACTTACGGCAGAGATCCTGAAGACACCAGCGGATGGAGGTATCTTGTAGTTGGAAAGATTCTACGTGGGCTAAGGGCAAACAATTGAACATTCCTCATCTAGCTTTGCTCATTCTTTGTCCGTCCCACTTGCACTTACAAAGCGTGGATGTCCTTGTCCGCATTGACGCGGAAGTTGACGAGGCTTTGCTCATGCAGACGGCCGGCTAGTGACGTAGAGGATTTGCTTGTGCTGCAACTTGGGGAGCGGAAGGTGACCCCTTTCTCTCATCGCGTACATAGACATGCGGGCTGGCTGTCGTGGCGTGAGTGTTTCATTGAATGATTGTATTATCACGTCTATGATGGATGCAACATGAAGCCGCATTGTCCACAGGATTGTTTTCTGGTGTGTGGCTAGTCGACAGCCAAAAATACTGCTATCTCACCACCTGCCTGCGGCGGAACCCCCCGTACCTGGCAAGATACCATTGCACGACATCCCTCCTCCACCACACGCTCGAGCAGACGAGGAAGGAGGCAGGCGACATGCCTGAACTACACCCCTTTGGAGGGAGAATGAGTAGAGCGTTCGGGAGATCGGTAGGTTGCTTTGTGTCCTCGCGGGCGTCCTGTCCCTGCACATGACAGTTGTTGTCCGCAGTCGCCTCTACAACAGCCAACCCTTCCCCATCACCGCCTTGATGATACTACCACACCGCCCGACAATCGAATTCGGCTAACATACTTGGTGTGGATGAACAGCTGGCGCCAGAGGACGCATATCTGAGCTGTGAGTGTTCCTTCACTGGGTCTCGCGATCATCACTTCCACCTCACGTCTTCGTGCCACATTTCTGACCTCGTTCTGTCTCTACCACAGATTATGACATAAGATGTTGGTGCCCTTGCGCTTGCGGCGGTCGCCCCCGGCGACGCTGGACCTCCCTGGCTTGTTGGAAGAGGTTTGGGCTAAATGGGCCGTGATCCCTACAGTGACGAGAGAGGACATTTCCGTGTTGAAGAACGACTGGTTAACCGACAATGTAAGACGAAATATTTTGGTCTACCGGCACCGGTGACAGACGACGGACGCTGACTCCGAGTGTGTGTTCTATCTAGGTCATCGCCTTCTGGGAAGAGTATGTACACCACGTCCGCGTCCATGTGGCGCAGCGCAGCGTCCACATGTCGACAGCAACAAAGACTGAGACCTGACTGACGCCCCGGCACCCTTCTAGATATCTGGAACGCGAATACCTCACAAACTACAAGCACAGCCACATCGTCCTCCTCCGACCGACCATGTCGTTCATGCTCATGCAGACGCCAGACCCACGAACCATCAAGGTATGGAGGATACCGCACGATCCTTCCTTTTTCCCCGACCGTCGGTGTCTGTTCTGTTCCTTTCATTTTACTAACGGGCGTGTACGAGCGCGCGCGCAGGACGCCCTGCCCGATTTCACAAACGTCACGCACATTTTCCTGCCGATAAACGACAACCCCACGGCCTCTGTCGCCGAGGGCGGCACGCACTGGTCGCTCCTCCTCGTCTCGGTCGTCGACGGCGTGGCCTTCCACTACGACAGCATGCCGCCGGGCAACCAAAACGAAGCACACTACGCGAGCCAGAAGCTGAGCAGGCTGATCAATCGGCCCCTGCGGTTCATCAATCTGAGTGATTCGCCCCTGCAGGACAACGGCAGCGACTGTGGCGTGTTTGTCTGCCTGAACATGCGCCACCTGTTGCTCAAGAGGCTGTTGATGGTCCGGACGGACAACAAAGTGAGCATGTCACTGGGAGGGAGGACCGTCGATGCCGCGGCGGGACGTAAAGAAATGCTCAAGATCATCGACGAGTTCCGGCGCGAAGGGGAGCGCAGGCGGAGTATCAGCAACTCGCCGCATCCGGGGCGCAAGAGCAGGAGTCCGCCGCGGATCGATAGTCCCGGGGCGAATAGGAGTAAGAGTCCGAGGCATGGATAGGGACCTGCCTTTGAGATGGGGAGTGACTCTAGCGATGAAGATGAGGGCTGAGATCTGAGTGAGACGCCTTGCCGGTGGGGGAGGTGCCTGTTTCAACAGTGGTGTGATGAGGGTTGTGTTGTGAGCTGGCATTGAAGGGCATCATGATTTCCCCGCCCATAATGATATGATGAGATGGGATGAAACAGGATAACATGAGACCCTGATGTTGTGCACCAGGCAGAAGCCCGGTCCAATGAGAGACAATGAGCAATGAGATGACATGGATACTGTGTGCCGCTTCAGTCGCGACGTGAACGCGAATGGGAGACAGGCAGCCTGTATTGAATGAGCTGTTGCATGGGCGGTTTGCGTTCAGCGGCCTCCAGCACGTCAATGAGACAACTTTTGACCTTGGAGCCGGCGCCCTCTCCTCTTCCATCCACCACCTACAGACCACACACGTCTAGAGCGTGTAGATAAAATCCGGCCTCTTGTCGCCCAGCTTCTCGATCTCGTGTTCTGTCTTGCCTTGGACCCAAACATCCCTCTCTCCGGCCCGACGCTTCGCATTCTCTCTTCTAAGCAAGACATGTTGCAGGATTGAGCCGCCAAGGAGGAATAAAGCTTCGTAAGCCAAAACCACCGCGTGACCCGGCTTGAAGCGTGGTTTGTCTTCGGCGCGATAGATGTTGCTGGAGACGATTCCTGGAACAGGGCATTAGTGGATCTCTATCATACGATAGCCGTGGAGAAGAGGCTGAGATACTGCTCGATAGCCCTGGGACAGCCAGGAAACATGACCTCCGCATCTTGATCGATAGGTTCCTCCTGCGATCGAGAACAGAGCATGCCAGGTGCCGCTGACTTACCGTTCAGATTTCCCCACCCGATCACGAATCCCAACGCTATACCTCGCTTATAGACACCTTCAACGTTGTTGGCGGTCCAAGAAATCGTGTTGGGGATGCAAGGGTAGATTCCCATTGCGCCGAGGAAGGTGCCTGCGTATTGTACGTGCGGTGTCCCTGAGCCGAGAAGCATGGCGAAACCTATTATCCCGAAGAAAGACATGACTATGTTGCAGTAGCCTGGATGACGTGTCAGCAGGAGACAAAAGAACAGGCTCACATCGATGCGTACCTCTCTGTCCCGTTCGATCGGCGACAAAACCGACAACGACGGTGACGACGGCAGCAACGGCATAGGGCGGAACACTCAGCAGCTGGGCGTGGATCGACTTGTATCCCATTTGCTGGATGATGGTCGGAAGGAACAGTGAGAAGGCGTACAGTGCACCATCACAGCCCATATAGATGATGGCCCCGGTCAACGTCTTCCAGTCCTTGAGCGCGGCCCACAGATAGTCCACTTTGAATTCTTCGTGCTCAGCGCTGGACTGCTTGTCGAGTTTGAGCCGCCGGATCACGCGCCGCCGGTCATCTTCGCTGAGGAACTTGGCTTCGTCGGGGAAGTCATGGACCTGCCGCTCGCGTTAATGGCGTCATGGCCAAAAGCAATCGAGTGCAACATACCATGAAGTAGGAAGCGAACGCTACAAGGATCGTGGCGAGACCTTCAAGAATGAAGATCCATGCCCAGCCTGGTTTACCTCCCACTCCGTCCATCTGCACGATAGCCGCCGCAAGGAGACCGCCAAAGGACCCGGCAAGGGCTGCTGCGGAGAAGAAAATAGCAGCACGAATACCGAATTCGGAACGTTTGTACCAGCATGATAGGTAATAGTTCACACCTCGACGTTCTGTTAGATAAAACTCCTACGACATAATGGAGGACAAGCCAACGTACCAGGGAAAAGACCTGCTTCGGTCAAACCAAGGAACCATCGTGATGCCATCAATCCCTGAAAGTTGTGGACAAGACCCATGGTAGTCATACAGATGCCTGCAGTAGGAAGACGGGTCAGTAAGGGCCGCCTTATTGATAGTGACTCCATGGCACGTGGGAATCCACCACGGCGTTGAAGTCAGCCTTACTTACCCCATAGTACCATGATTGTGGGCAGAAATATCGAAGGCTTGAAGCGCTTTAATAAAATCTGGGTCAAAGGCTCGAAGAGCGAATACGAGATGAAAAAGATGGTCAATGTGTCATTGTATTGGTTGTTGGTCAAGTTCAGGTTTTGTTGAAGACCGTCGATTTTGGCATTTCCGATGTTGGTTCTGTCCAAGAAGGAAATGAGGTAAAGAAAGGCGAGCCACGGGATCAGTTGAATATCGAGTTTCCAGAGCAAGGCGCGGTCCTGGCGGGTGTTAATGCCACAGTCGCACACACACAACAGCGCAGTCAAATCGTCACCCACAATTTTCTTCCGCTCTTCTTCGCTCAAGCCCTCATCGGGATCAGGGATGTCGAGGATACCGACGGGCTGTCCACCTTCAATGTGCTTCTCATTGTCGGACGGCGCACGAGCATCGTCCGAGTCGGAGATCTTGGGATCAGTCTTCTCCATGGCGATGAGCAATTAGGCCAAGTGCGTATGTCCTGTGATGAGATGGCAGCGACCGCGCAGACTATATAGAAATGAAGAGAGGGCCCAACTCGAGAACGCGTCAAGAATGGGGTTGAAGAGACCCGATGGGATATTTTTAATCAAGATGCACCGAGTAGGCCTGGTGACCACTTGCAGTGGACGACATGGAGCTACTACCGGCATTAGAAGTCCTGTCGTGGGCGAATGGACAGAAGACGTCAGGCTGGGTGCACATCCTGGCATGATCGCTGTCCTTCCTGATGGGGTGTTAGCTCGGTAAAGGTCGCAACGGGGATCGGTGGCATGTGGTGGAGTGAGCGTGGATGATAGACAGGCTCGTGTCCTTGTGCGGCGTGTGTGCGGACGTGAGCCAGCCATTGACGTCGAAGACATTCTTGTCTCTACCAAGCTCTCGTGCCCAAGACACGCTAGAAGCATGCTGCAGGAAGTTTCCACCGACCTCACAGGCTCGCCTGGCCCCAGGGTTGGGGAGCTTGTGGTTCAGCCAAGGATATGCGGGGAGCCCGGGGCCTCCGGTCATTTGCCGGTAAGAGGGTGGTTTGTGGGCGAAGTGCCCGAAGCTGGTCAGCACACTCGGCAGGTGGGATGTGCGTGCACCAACGTTGCATTCTCAACCGCCGACTCTCGCGTTCCGCCTAAGTATTTAGACGGGATGTGCGCGGCATGTGGGTAGCATGCGAGCTTCGTATCTCATGTGCCCGGAAGCCCGGATGCCCGGATGAACGAGTCGAGTGGAGTGGAATTTTTTCTGCGTCGCTCTGCCCAAACCTTCAATCCGCCTTTAATTGATCGAAGTTTCGAGCTTTCAACTACCGGCCTCCGTACGGAACGTTGCAGGCCTGAGTAAACGGCAAAGACGCCGACATAGTGGTGACTGAATCTGCTCAATCTGAACTCGAGTTGAGGGAAGCTGTCCTGATCTCAGACCACCAAAACCATACAGCTGCGGGTACAACGCGGCATGTGATCTCATTGCTGGAGGAGGGAGTCATATCCTTGCTTGTCGCCCACGACCATTACGATCGCATAATGCAGCCAGATCGCTCCGTGAGCATGCTGTTGTCGGTGTGATGATGTTGTGGAAGTGATTAGGAGGACGCATTTGCAACTTAAGGTCATCTCTCTCAACTGGTAGTTGGTGCAGGGATCTGAAATCTCCAACCGATTCAACCTCGAGGGATGCCTGATCACAAAGTGACCTTCATTGGCGGTTGGTTCGTTAAGTCGTCCAAGCTGGAGGTGAGAGAGTATGTGTTGGGACGACCTCTGATCCAAGTACCTGAACATACTGCGAGATGAGAAAGGCAGCCTTCAGAAGAAATCGAATGATGGGTGAGTGACGAGGAGGAGCTCTGGTAAAGTTTGGGTCTCGTTGTCGATGGTGATGCAGCAGGTGCGACGGTGACCATGTCTGTACCGCCGTGATGGCGAATCTGCTCCTTCCTCACACCTCCATCGCCAGCAGGGCGTCTCTTACATTATCTCCCGCTTCACCCTCCAACAATCTCGGCTCTCTTCCACTCACATGCCGTTCCTCCCTTCATCCTGTCGTGCTTTATCCGTCCGTCCTCTTCATTTCTTCATGTGCATCATCTTCCCTGTTCCTCTTGCTCAATACTCATCATGCCTTCAAAGATGAGTGAGCGACTGTTCAAGTACCCTCCAATGGAGCGCCAGGATCTCAATCAGTCTCAGCTCGGGAGCTTCAAGTTCACCCCGGTTGACCCTGTGGACCTCAAATCCCTTACACAGTCGGCGAGCCAATTCCTTGAGCATCAGCTTTCCCAGAGGCAGAGACTATCTGTAACGTCAGCTTCTTCAACGGGGGCTTTTCAAGACAGTGCCAGCACTTGGTCCTCTGATAGAGGGCCCCCTCAGCCAAACCAATATGGTATCGATGCTGAATTTTTCAACAGACACATCAAGCCTGATCTCGGAGATTCTCGTCTGCGATTGGGTCCTGCAGCTCTTCGATCCGCCGTTGACGGAGCCAGCCCAGCAAAGAAACCGTCGTGGAACCACGTCCAGCAACAGCCTGACTTCTCCGTGAACTACCATCATCCGAGCGGCTCTATCAGTGTACGTGCCAGGCCGCGATTGTGTTACGTTTCCGGCTGACATTCCATCTAGATTTCACAGGTGGCTTCTCCCCAAAACCCTGCAGCCAGCATGGATCCGACAGCTGCCACTTTCATGCCTACAGCGGATGCCCTCAGCCCAGGCATTTCAGACCCTGCTTCGATCAGCGAGACCTTGTGTAATGCTCTTGCGAACGAGCAGCGTACTCATAATGCTACAAAGGCTGCCCTGGCACAGCATATCACCCGGTGCGTTGAGCTGGAGGACCAATTGAGAAGAAGCAAGCAACAAATTGCAAGCATGAGTGTCACGATCAAGAGTCTCGGTGCCATAATCAAACACAACACCAGCAAGCAGAACTCGGAGCAGGATGAGTCGCATAACAAAGTGGGTTATTCTGAGGAAGCTGAAGAAACTGCTTTACGGGATTTCTATCGTGAATATAACAGGCTCAGGCAAGGGGCAAAGAAAGGTAGCAAAGAGCCAGGCAAGGGAAAGGAGTTTGTCAGCGACGGTTCAGGTCAGGACAATGATTTGACGAAGCAGGAAGCAGTCGGAGTTGTCGATGATTCCCAACTCTACAATCTGGACCTGCTTGTGAAACCAGACGCTGGCGACTCTGTCGAATCAGTCTTGCGCCGAACCCTGCGCAAAAACTTTTCCCTCGACAGCAGTGCAGATGACGGCAAAGCACCAGGGACTCCTCAAAATACACGTGACAGTCTCAACAGGCTGATCGACATTTCCCCTGAATCAGGCGCTGAGGGCAAGGACACCATGCGGGCAAAAGAACACGTCCCTGTGACTAACGGCCACGGAAGCCTCACTCGGACCCAGATCCAACCGTCCGTGAGTGATTCGATCTAGTCAACTCATTGATCAGCACTGACAACAGACAGACTACAATAGATACTAATCTAAACTCAGTAACTGCCCACTCTCTGTGTCTGTCACCCGGCGCATATCACTGACCAACACTTAGAGTAGAGAAGCTGTCGCTAAGTATCGCCACCGGGCCGTTTCCGTGTCCTTGAAAGAGAAGGTTCGTCTACCCCTTCCTCACACCTGTGAGGTCTTAACCCGACATCCAGTTTAATGGTGCCGATCTCGCGATGGATCACATCGGGAACCTCGAGGCACTGGGCTTCTCTGAGCACGCAGTGAAGCCTCCACAAGATGAGAGGAACGGCAGACACAATCCGATCTCCTCAGCAAATGATGAAGATACAGAATTGAATACTGCAGTTGTTTCTCCCACCAACCAACCTAGAAAAGAACGCATGACGCTCAAGATCGGCAGCAATCTTTATGGAGAAACGAAATGGCTCATCAACAAAGAATATCCCATCTTCGAGACTGAGCAGGAGAAGTTCGAGGCCGCCTGCGGAAACGGGGTCGCTTTCCATCGCAATAGCCCCTTTCTGAAGCATCCTGTTCGCTACATGCCTGAGGATGCAGCTAGCACCATCGATGCCTATCGCACTGTCATGATCGACGAGATTCCAGCCGGAAGCACCATGATCGACGTGCTCAGTATTGTCAAGGGTGGCTCGGTGGAGTCTATACAGTTGTTCCCATCCATCGGCAAGGCGACCTCTTTCATGACAGCTCGAGTCATATTCGTATTCGAACGGTCTGCGCACAACATGATCAAGCACCAAGAGGCCAAGTCCAACGAGGATGCCGGGGCAAGGCGGTTCAAGATCAACGGTGTTGCCGTTCGCTGCTGGATGCCCAACGACCCAACTTATCCACGGAACTACGAAGTCGACCAAGAGATCTTTGGCGACAATCAAGCTACGCGAATCATTCTCGTTGATGAAGTCGACGAGTTCGTCTACAACGCGCTACCGTACAAGATCAGGTCTCCCTACGACCAACACGTTATTGAGTACAGCTACACTGCGGAAGGCTCTGCTTCGATCGAGTTCAGTGACATCAAGAGTGCGATCAAAGTGAAGGCCATGCTGGAGAAAGATCGAGGCATGTGGCCTGCTCAAATGCGATACGCCGACGACTACACCTGTGTCCCGTATGTCCATGGTGAGCCGATGGGTGCTTGAGAGAAACTCGATGCAAGGGGAGTTTGCGCCAGAAAGGGGTAGCAAATTGGCATAGATTAACCTCTATGCGCCTCACCCCAATTGCATGATAATTACACATTGGGCCTTGCAAGTGGCCCCGTGCTATCGCGTCAGAGATAGCGAAGGGAAGGTATGAGGTCGTCGAGTGCCGCCGTTGTTCTCGTTTCCCGAGCGTGCCGTTGCCTAGTAGTGAGGTCGTTGAACAGTTTAAGCCCTGTGATCCCTCATATTGCCTCCCCTTAGCATCCATCGACTGGCTAGATGCCTTGGCCGACTCCATCCCGTTGTCTCGTCACCATGTCCAAGGCTGGATGACGCTTCTTCGGTTGGACTCGACGTGAAGTTGACCACATCGCCGCCTCAGATCGTGGTGGGGCCTTGGATGACCCATTCGAGATGCTTCCGACGGATGCTCATCAGGATCTTGCATCATCGACTGGTTTGCTACATGAATTCCATCACTCTAATTAGCGGCCGGACGGTTCCACCTTAGAGTACTTGAATCGAATGTGCCTTCTGATCCCTACTGAGACGGCTCAATAGGATACTATCCCCCAGCCCAAGCGGCTCCAACATAGCGTTGATTCTCCGCCCTGGCTCATCCGAAGTGGAACAGGGTCTCTCCCTTCTTTCCCTTCTTGCCCCTTTTCTTCCCTGCTGCGGTGTCTCCATCTTCGTCACCGCCGCCGGATCTGGCACCGCCTGCCGCCGCGGCCACAGCAGCCTGGGCCTGCGCAGGGGTGGGAGTCGTGCCACCGCTGCCCCACGGATTGACGGGCGTCGCGGTCCCCGATCCAGAGGGCGAGGCAAGCCACTTCACCGAGCCCCGCGTGTTGAAGCCGACCATCATCGTGTTCGGCTTGGCCGCGGCAGGAAGGGAAGGGAAAGCATCTTCCGTGGCGCGAGGCGGGGCGGTCTGACGCGAGTTAGTCTTCTGGCGGAGCGTGGATGCCGCTGTAGGGGGTGGCGGGCGGTACGGCGTCGCGCTCGCATTGGTATTCGAGACCGATGGAGCGGAGGTGTTGCCCCACGCTGGCGGGATTGACACGGCAGAAGCACGAGAAGAGCCGCCGTTCGCAGGGGACAACGCTGGGAAAGGGTCCTGGCTTCTGCCGCTGGCGATCGAGTTGTTTCCCCAAGAATCTTGTCTTGCCACTGCTGAGCGGGATGATTGCGCCGTGCTTTTCTTGAGTGTCAATACTCGTCGACCGCTGCTGGCTGCGCTTGATACCCCGGGCAGCGTGCCGCTCGGACCGGGCAGGCTGGGGTAATCCTCGTTGATACTCCGCCAGTTGTTCCACGCCTCGAGCAAAGATTGCCGCTTCGTTTCATCCTCGTACAGGTCTGCCAGTTCGCGGATCAGTTTCCCCAATTCCGAGCTGGGGCAGTCGAAGAGGGAGAAGAATGCGTCGATCAGTTCGTTTGCAGAGCTGGTGCCACTCCGGTAGGCGGAGACGTGAGTGCGGAATTGTGAGAGTTTCGTTTTGTCGTTTTGGAGAAGTGATGTCGCACGTTCGGTTACTGCTTGGTGGCGCAGAGCCCTGACTTGCTCTTGCGGGGTCAGATTCGCCATGGATACGGGTCTCTCCTCTAGAGTGAGGTTATCCATAGCCGGTAGCGATGGGGCTGGCTGTGCTGATGCCTGCTGGGGACGGCTTACAGGTGTAGGGTGGGTGAGCTGTCCTCCGAAAGTCCTGCCTGACACGGATTGCGAACTTTGAATCGCGAGCTGACGTTGATAAGCCAGCTCTGCTCGTCCGATGGGCTGTGCACTGGAAAGCGGCAGTGGCTCAGCATTCGGGTCTCTGCCCCTTCCACCGCCACGGTTGCCTCGATCGCGATCTCGATCTCGCTCTCTTCGCGGTGGCTGGTATGCTTCGCGGAGGTTGAATCCCGAGAGATTGACCAGACGTGCGTCTCTACGCGCATCCTTCGACAGGCCGTTCGGGTGTTCTGAGAGTTGATGTGCTTTCAAGTCCATTTCGGACTCGAAAACATTTGTCTTGTTGGCCTGGCACTCGGCGTCCAGGCAGACAAAGTGCTCCGCTGCAAAATGTTTCTCTAGTTCCTGGTAGTTGAGATAGTACTGGGGATTCCTGCCGCCATTGCGCCTGTCACAAATGTGGCACCGCTCGTGCTTCTCTCGGCAATGGCTGTAGAGCTCATCGTCCCCATAGAACCGCTGCTTACAGAAGCCGCATTCGGGATGTCCCTTGAAGCCAGATTGGTCCACGGCCCCTGGGTTGTCGTCGCCAAACTTCTCGTGTTTTCGCAGATCGCCAAATGTGAACAGCTCATGCTCGTGGGTGAAGACTTTCTTGTTCCTGGTGCATAGATCGCACATCATCTTCCCGTGTTTGCTTCGGACGTGGCGATGAAGATCGGGCCAGCCGAGACATGCGACATCACAGTCCCTGTCTGGACAGTTGTACCGGAGCAGTAGGACGGTATCCTCCAGGATGACATCTTTTTCATACTTGATCCCGAGATTGTCGTCGATCTTTACGAACTCGTTGTCCGCCCAGTCCTCGTATCGTTTCTCGGTGTTGTCAGTAAAGATCACGAAGGGTGCTTCTGTCTGAAGGTCTAGTCAGTATTTTGTGCATGAAGGGAAGCTACGAACCCACTCACCCGGCAGTGAGCACATGCTCGTGTCTTGTAGAGTGCCCTCAATCTCAAAGAACAAATATGGCAGGTCTGGTGATTGCAGGGAGCAACAGAGATATGCTCAATCGGACTGGCACAGATGAAGCAGACTTCCTGTTCTTCGGCCACTGCAACTTCAGCCTCAGCGTCGTTCTGTCGAGATCGGGGGTTTTCGGAGTCGCCTTCAGTTCTCGAGGCAGCTTCGGTCAGGCGAGCACCGAAGCCGCCTCCTGGTGGTCTTCCCGAGCTGACCTCCGCAGCGGTTTGAGGTGGAAATGTGGTGAGCGGGGTTGGGCCATCTCGTCCATGTGCTCGCCCTCGCCCTCGCCCTCTTCCTCCTCTTGTACCTCGTCCTCCTCTCGAGCTGCTACCTACGCCGCCGTTGTCATGGGAGTCCCGGTCGAAATCTCCGCTACGATTGTGTTGGTGCGGTCGATTGCCTCGGCCTCGCTTCCCGCCGCGGGCCGTCGAGGAGCCTTCGTTCGTGGGTGCTGTGTCGTCCATGCTTTGATGTGCGAAATAGATCCCTGCGAAGGCTGTCGTGGGGTCGAGTTTGCGGTAGATGGAGGAATGATTCGTGGTTTTGAGTTACTCGACACCATATGTTCGACAACGGCTTCAGCACAATTACGGAGTGGTGGGGCAAATAAATGCTGGCTACAGCACAGCAGCTTGCAGCAGCGTGAGGATCAAATTCAGGGACCGGCAAATGAGATGCGAGAGTTGCACCACTCCACTCTCTGGATTTCTTCCGGATTCCCTCCTGGGAGGGCGCGCACCAAAAGCCGGTTACAGAATGGCACTTGAGGTCATTCATTACATATCCAAGTCACACCGAGTCAAGTGAGTCATTTCATGCTTGTCTATGACTGCCAGCGAGAGGGTCACAAAAAGCAGCGAGTGTTCGAAGTTGACATCCAAGTTTTAGTCAGCAAGGCTGTCGCTCCTGACGTCAAAAACTGACTGCTAGATGGATGATTCTACCCTCATGTCTCCATGTCCAATATTCGTGGTAAACTGTCCATCGTCGAGATCTTTAAATCATGTGCTGAGATCCATGTGAGCGAAAGAGAGCTCCCTCAATGTTTTGGTCCGACTCCTGCCGTTACAGCGCCTGTTGCCGACCTCTCGTCGAAGCATTATGTCGCTAAAGGCTCATCAAGCACTGATGAAGCACAGAGAAGGCAATATTGCTCTAATGATCCAAGCCCGTGGTCACACGCTTCCTAGCGGGAGGCCACCAGAAAGCTCATTCGTCCGGGTTGTAAACCTGTTGGGATATCAACTTGGTCATGGTGAACATATGGACCTTATCTTGCTTGAAGACCTCTCGCATCCGGGCATCGCAGATAATAAAGCGCTTATCGCTCGGATCCTGCAGGTCGTTACCCTTGATGTAGGCCCAGATCCGTTTGGTGATCTGAGGTCTCGACATCTGCTCGGCGTTAGGGGCGATTACTCAAACAAAGCGGCATTTCTTACCTGAGTCTCGCCGTCAAAGAGATTTGAAAGTGCCGGAGACAGATTCAGCGGTTTCTAAATCTGTCAGTGGATTGTGCAGGTACAGTGATGCACACGACATACATGGAATCCTGTATCCCGCTTAGGTTTAGACTCTTTTTCCTCTCCATCGATTTCAGAATCATCCGAGGCCGTTATGCGATCTTTCTTGGGCTTCTTCTTCTTCTTTTTCGCAGGGGCGGATTTCCGAGTCCCGCCGCCTCGGGTTGGTCGCGCCATCTTATCCTCCTCGGCCTGCAGCTTGGCCGCAAATGCGGCATCGGCGTCGACTGTAGCCTTCTGCCTCTTCTTTGGTGGGGGTGTATCTGCTACATCTGAAACCTCGTCACTCTCTGCCACGCGCTTGGCGGGTGAGCTCTCAGATGAATGGTGAACACCATTAGTCTGCCGTGCCGTTTCTGCAGGTTCCACTGCCTCGACAGACGGTACCACTGTAGGTTCACCATTTCGCTTCGCGTTCGCAATGTCAAACCGTTCGCCAATCAAACCCTTGATAGCATTCTGATATCGTGAGTCAATAATCCCTCTCCAGGGGAGACCCCAATGCTTGTACCCACCTTCTGCGGAGTGATATCATATTCCACCCGGTCTTGTATGCCTTGCCGGATGCTTTTGGTTGTGATTGTGGTGAGATCAGCATTCTCGAGGATTGAGTCTATGATTGTAACATAGCGTGCGCGGACTTCGGCAGGCACTGCTCAGTTGTCAATAAAACGGAACCCAGCATGACAGTCGCAGCAGACTCACATGACATGGCGACCAGGTTTCTCGAAGTGGAGAGAGGAGCTAGAAGCAGAAGTAACAGTCACAAAAAGAGGTGACGAACAGGTCGAGGTGAGTGACAAGTCATGCGCCCATCGACATCCTCCACCGCCCGCTCATCGGCTACTGACAGGCTTGCGCTGAGCAGCAGAGGCGCGCAATAATCGCCGCACTCTTAGGTGAGGCACCCAGCGCGCGATTCAGCCGAGCAGGTAGAGCAAGGCTATGCGACGGGCTGGCCAGAGGAACCGCGCTGCTGGAAGATGTTTCGTGGTGGGCTTCAGAGTAAACCGCGATGGTGAAGATGCGGGAGCGTCTCCAACTTGAATGACTAAGCGTTGCAGGTCACGCCGCACGCTTGGCGCCGACACAGACCCACACTCGAGAACTTCCAGTTCATCAAGTCCATATCAATCAGTGCCTGCCCGCGCCGTGTGAACTGTTCCGCTGCAGGCGACGACACAGCATAGTCAGATCAACGATAACCGCAAGCATGGCTCCAGGATTCGACCAGCTGTCCGACCACGATTACGATGACGATCTTGAGAACATCGACTTCAGTGATCTCAAAGAGCGCTACGATGTGCGCATGGAAGAGGGCCTCGACACTTTCGTTGTACGTATGCTGGAAGCTAAGGTGCTTGAGAACGACACACTGACCTGAACAGGTCATCGACGGCCTTCCACTAGTCAACCAAGAGCAGAAGGCCAAACTCATAAAGTTCCTGCTCAAGAGACTGAACTCGGTTGGCAGAATCAAGGACGGCGAGGAATCCATTTTTATGCCCATGAATGATGAAGGCATGTCTGAGGGGTATGTTACATGTTGTCAATTCTTGTTGCTGGGCCTAATCCAATACAGTTTTGCCTTTGTCGAATATCAAACCCCCGAACAAGCGGTCGCCGCCACGAAACAGCTGCACGGACAACCACTCGACAAGAGACACACCCTCGCTGTCAACAAGCTCACAGAAATTGAAAAGTACGGCAGAGAAGGAAGGATAGACGAGGAATACCATCCACCCGAGATTGAGCCTTTTGCAGACCGAGAACATCTCAGATCATGGCTCTTCGACCCGCAAGCTCGAGATCAATTCGTCATGTTCCGCGGTGACAATGTCGGTGTTTTCTGGAACCAAAAGAAAGAACCGCCAGAGCCCATCGTTGACCGCAGGCATTGGACACAGCTGTTTGTCCAGTGGTCGCCTCAGGGAACATATCTCGCCTCAATCCATCAACAAGGCGTGCAATTGTGGGGAGGGTCGTCATTCAAGAGAATCAGACAATTTCCACACCCGTTCGTCAGCCTGATCGAGTTCTCCCCTGGCGAGTCATACATAACCACCTGGTCGAACCAACCCATTGTCGTTGAAGAAGGAAAAGGACCCCTAACAATTGATGAGGAGGGTAAACACATCATCATCTGGGACATCGAGACAGGCAAACCACTCCGAGCATTCCATGCTCACGATCTGACGCCTCCTCCGGGCACCGATGCTGCAGCTCTTCCCCCCAAAGCTAAGGTTCAATGGCCAGCTTTCAAATGGTCAGCGGATGAAAAGTACGTCGCTCGCATGAAACCCCACGAAAGCATATCCGTCTACGAACTACCCCGCATGAACCTGCTGGAGAAGACTTCGATCAAAGCCGAAGGTATCATGGATTTTGAATGGTCTCCGGCCATCACCCAGCGCGAAGGAATCAAAACCTACGAATCGCTCCTCTGCTATTGGACCCCCGAAATTGGCTCGAAGCCGGCCAGCGTGGCATTGATGTCGGTGCCCAGCAAGGAGATTGTGCGCACACGCAACCTCTTCAATGTCACCGACGCCAAACTGCACTGGCAATCTGAAGGCAAATTCATCTGCGTCAAGGTCGATCGACACAGCAAGTCGAAGAAATCCGTCGGCACCAACCTCGAGATCTTCCGCATCCGCGAGAAGGGCGTGCCCGTTGAAGTCGTCGACTCCCTCAAAGATACCGTCATCAATTTCGCCTGGGAGCCCAAGGGCGACCGCTTCGTGCTCATCACGGCGGGCGAAGCCGTGGCTGGGAGTAACGTCCTTCCCAAGACGGCGGTCTCATTCTTCGCTCCGGAAAAGGTCAAAGGACCTGGAATCGGAGGATTCAAGCTCGTCAAGACATTCGACAAGAAGAATAGCAACGGCATCTACTGGTCGCCCAAGGGCCGATTCGTGGTTGTCGCGACAGTCTCGGTGCAACAGCACTCGGACCTTGATTTCTATGATATGGACTATGAAGGCGAGAGGCCGGAAAACGATACCGCCGCACATCTAAATGCGAACTTGATGTTGATGAACAGTGAGGACCACTACGGTGTGACGGATGTCGACTGGGATCCAACGGGTCGCTATGTCAGCACCAGCGCGAGTGTGTGGACACATCAGGTAAGAAATGCTTTCCATCATAGCTTCCCCTTCGTCCAAGACTGACGTTGCCTCTTCAGATGGAAAACGGCTGGCGTCTCTGGACCTTCCACGGCACCCTGCTCGCTGAACACCCGACGGAGAAATTCAAACAACTTCTCTGGCGGCCGCGACCGCCGACGCTCCTGTCGAAAGAAGAACAACGTACCGTCCGTCGCAACCTGCGCGAATATAGTAAGGAGTTCGAGGAGCTCGACAAGGAAATGGAGGAGGGCGCCAACCAGGCCGTCATCGACGCGCGCCGAAGGCTGTACATGGAATGGTACAGCTGGGTGCAGCACGAGAAGGAACTGTTGGCCGAGGAGAGGGAGGAGCTTGGTCTGAAAGATCCCGAGGAGGAGTTGGCTCTGCAGCGGACGAGGAGCGTCGAGGGCGAGGGCGAGAAGGTCGTCGAGGAGGTCATCGAGGAGGTGCTGGACGAGACGGAAGAGATCGTGCAGTAGTCGCGTGTGTCCCTCGTGATGTTGTCAAAGGGATGGAATCAGCAGAGCATGTCAATGGCAACGTCTCGAAATCATGATTTATGCATCCACGTAGGCAGGAGAGTTGTCCGCACTCGAATGCATTTGTCTCGTGCAAGCTCAGGACCTGCGGAGCTTGGGGCAGATGAAACGAGCGCTGATGCCGTGCTGGTACCCTGGGTACGCAGCAAACCTAGATGTTGCATGAAGACCATCGTGTAGAGGTTCAACAGCAGCATATCGACGGGAGCGTGTAGCAAGGGCCAAAAACAGTCATGTCGCATCAAAGATCACCAAAGGAATTACCAGAGTCACAAGGTTAAATAGAAATGCCTCGTTCCTATTTCGAATGCTTTGCCTGCATCCCCCCATCCAGTACATAGAGCTTGGAGCCCTGACCTGGCTCTCAACCTCAACACTGTTGAGAGCCTCATTACGCCATGGCCCATCCCAATTCCACGCAATGCACGCTTTCGGAATCCAACCCACGCGACCAATCGGCATTCAATCAGAGCAGTCATAGACAGACATAGGCACAAAAACCATAGATCAACCCGTGCGTTTCAAAGCCTCGCAGCAGCTTGAATCACCCCCAACTCCACTCCAGCCGTACAATGCTGCCTCACTACTGACTCTCGTCGTCTTTCATCCCCTCCTCGACATCCCTCAGTTGATCCAAGTTGATCCGACACTCCTCCATTTTCTTCGACCAGTAAAACAGCTGTTCACTCGCAGCCGCATGCTTCTTGCTGTTCAAGGGGGCCTCAATCGCATCGTACTGCTCCCACGCAAGGGCATGCTTCCGCTTGGCTTCCTCGAACTGATCGGTCAGAAGCTGCCTGACATTAGCAAGAGCGTGCCAGGGGTGGATCCTGGGCCGCAATGTCGGTTCCTCGAGCATGTTTTCCTTCATCAGGTGGGTGACTTGGGCGGTGAAGTCGGGTCTGGACTCAACTGGCGCGGATGTGGCGCGGATGTTACGGGGAAGCTTTTCGGCCGGAGCGGATGTGGAGCGAATGGTGCGAGCAAGCTGTTTGGATGCTCGAGCTGGAGCTGTGAGGCGTTGGCAGACGGTGCAGTTGTCACTGTGATCTGGGTCACTGCCATGGCGGTGGAGGACATGTCGAGCCTCTTTTGAGACCTCGGCTCTTGCGGGCTGACTGACAGTGATATCCGGAATGATGTATGCCGAGGTCATATTGTCGTCGAGGGCAGCGTGGCGTCGGCGGCGCGAAGTGTTCGATGCGGCAGTAGGGTCTTCCAGGACGCTGTTTTCGGTGTCATTGACTGTTGGTCTCTGGTAGGGCTGGATTCTGCTCCTGGCGTTGGCCTCGTTCTTGCTGCTCAGTCGTTTCTCAGCGTTGGGAGACAGCGGTGGGTTGATGTTGACAGGTGACAGGACACGGGCCTCGTCAGAGATGGTGGTCTTGGCTTCTCCTTTGGGTTCTGAGGTCTTCTCTCTCAGTGAAGCTCGGCGGGCTGGACCTTCTTCTGGAGTCATGGACCGGCTGATGTCGAACAGTTCCTCCTCAACGCGTGAAGCAGCTCTGTTTTTCCTCACGGGCGTGCTTTGTTTCTTAGATGCAGCTCTAAGCAACCTAAGCTCAAGCAGGGCTTCGTCGCGTTCGCGGGTTAAAGAATTGATGGTCTGTATGGCTTCGTTGAGATCGCGTTGGAGAGTGCGTAGAGACGCGACAATCTGTTTCTCATCTGCGGGAATGGAGTAATGGATGTTGACATTCGGCAATTGACCGTGGTCGGGCATGATCATGGACGTGTTGGGTATGTTGGGTAGGATGAAGGACTGGCTCGGCTGCGACTTTGACGAGGCCGCTCTGCTAAAGCGAGTCGACTTCTTGGGGCGGTTCAGTTGCGGAGAAGTCGACCCTGGAGTGTACATGACCTGACGGGGTCTGTTAGTAGATTTCAGCGACAGCAAGCTTCAAGTTGTACCTGATATTCGCCTACGAAGGCTTCATGCGAATGGATGCTGCTGTAATTAGTGTTGAGGGTCCCTTGGTCGAACCGTGAGGGAGCCATGACTGTTCGGTTAGTAAGTTGTATCGGCGATGCTGAATCAACGGATGATGAGTGCTGCAGAGTCGAAATCCCAAAGCAAAGTGTTCGTGGTCTGTGTTTTGTTTATGCGATTCCGAAAGAGGAAACACGCGGCTTCGCCAAGAGGGGCAGCACATCCGATTCACTTTCAGCTCACTAAGTTAAGCGTACGAGTAAGCAAGGGTCTGTGCCCTGGAGCTACCTCGTACGAGTCCCCTCCAGTCCCGGAGGCATGTGATTCTGCATCACGTTGTCTCGTCTCACCCAGCATGCTCGGGGTCTTGTTCGCATCATTAAGCCTGTTCCCGAGCATTTTTCGGTCTCATAGTTTGCTTACTGTACTGTGAAGTAGGGGAAGCACCCTGTTCGAGAGGCCAAGGTCGTGCCGACTCGAGCGTCAGTCAATCAAGATAGAGACGTCGAGAAAAGTTTCAGGAAGCGACTACTCCGTACTTTACTTTAGGTGCTTGCTGTGAAGGAGAACTCAGGTCCTGAAAATCGAGCCCGCCTCGGCCTGCCTCGCCTGCCCACAGTTGCACCAAAGCCAACCCAATGGAGTTCGGCGATTACGCGAACAAGAGACGGGTTGGCACCCTTGGACCCTTGCCTGCGTGTCTCGCACAGCCTAGCTCCGCACCACCAATCCTAGGCTGTTCAGCCCTGAGAGATGAGCGTAATCGTGCCACTCGTCGACGCCGCTGTGAGGCTGACGGCATGGCTTTGGTGCTTGCGAGTTCCCTGCGCTTGCTTCTGCCCTGCCAACTCTTAACGTCTTCAATGCCGCCCACTTCGATGGCTAAGAGACAGCATCCAATCTGACCACATTTTTGTTGCGTGCACCTGTACCTTGTACACAGTACCTACTACAGCGGCACTTTCAATGCTGACCTACTCTGCCACGGCTTGACCTGTACCACTCTTCTCCCACACGTTTGCAGGATATTCCCCGTTCGTCAGGTCGTACAAATCTCTCGTTCCGGGTCTGGCCGCTCACGCTGGTTCGTGAGCTTTGCGACCTCGATCAAATGTTCCGGTAGAGTCCTGACCGCTTACAACCAGTCGATTGGACTTCTCCTCGCACTTCTCCACCGCCATGGCGGCCGCTTCAGCCATACGAGGCCGAAGGAGACGCAGCACAGATGCAAGTCAACTACATATAAGGCAGAACAACCGACCGCTGGGCGGCGGGGACGAAGGAGGGGGAATAGGTGCAAATGCTGTCATAATCGGGGTGAGTAGGTCCTACCTCTAGCAAGAGAGAAAGTTCCTGATGTTTTTAGGCACTCGCCGGGATAGTCCTCTTCATCGCCGCCTGCGTCATTTTTTATACCATGCTCCGAAGATGGCGTGTTCAAGGAAAGAGGCCGAAGTATATCCCGGGAAAATTCCTGAAACAGAAATGGCAACAGTGGCAGCCTCGTGGAAAATACAATGCCGTCCGCAATCGAGATCTTTCTTCCACGACTACCGCATACAATGGCAGTGAACTCGAATCGGGCGCGGGAGGTGGTGCGGGTGTAGACCGGAACACGAGCGTGCGATCCGTGATGACATTACCTGCGTATTCAAGGACGCCCAAAGACACTGAACAGGTGATCGGGCGGGAGGGAGAGAGAGGTGGTATGGACACCGTCGTGGAGTTTCCCGAGACAGCGGACGAAGAAGAGAACCGCCGTGAAGAACAGATGGAATCCTTATATCAGATTCGCCTGGCCCGACGACGGGAAATCGAAGAACGAGAAGAACGCCGGCGTGAACGAAGAGAGGCTCGTGACAGAGGAGACACGGCTCGACTGGAGCAGCTGAGACGAGAATCTCGGCAGCGGGCAAGTGAGAGCGCCGCTTCCCTCAACGGTGGCGCCAGCGTCTCGGCTGCCACGCTCATTGCAGAGCATCAGTCCCGCGGCCGAGAAAGCAGAGTATCGAGCGTGGCCTATGGCTCACTGGGCGAGGTCCGACACGATGGAACTCGGCTTCGAGCGAACAGTAACGACTCGGAAAGAGGTGGGCTGCTGAGTGGAGCGGCACCTATGGGCCAGAACATTGGCCGAGCTCGAGGCCTTTCGGACGCGACATCGATGCACAGCCGCGAGCGCTCAGGGAGTGCTATAAGTGTTTCAACTATGGGCTCAGACAGCTATCCTCAACCTACCCCTGGCTCTGAAAGAAGACAGAGCGATGACCCCCCAAGTGGTCGTACATCCAACTCTTCTCCCACGGCCAATAGATTCACGCCTGATGAAAGCACCGGCTCAGAAGACATTGGTGAGGCACGGTTACAGCCCCCGGAACTAAGCGACGCGAACCGGCCGCCCGAGTACGACTACCTCGAATGGGGCGATGCCCCTGCTTACGAGGCTGCCATTGCGCGTCGTGCGACTGCTGCTAGTCGGCAGGCAGGTACTCCCAGCAGAGCACCGACGAATGCAAGTCTTGCACCTCAACTACCACAGCTGAACCTGCCGAGGATCAGCGTATCGGGAGCAACGGAGCCAAATACGCCTGTATCCCCCAGTGTTCAGTCTGCTCCCTCAAACACAGTGTCCCCAACTTCGCCTGTCGCAACAAGCTATGCGGACACAGTAGTGGAGAATGCACAGCGGAGATGAACCCCATTCCCATGGGCAAAGACGGCCAGGAATCCGATCTCTCGAGAAAATGGGTTTGCCCAAGTCTTACAGGAATCTGCAATGAACGCAATGAGCATGACATCCACGACGACGATGTACTTTTGGCTATGTCATGGCAAGGGCAATGTAATGCACAAAAAGCACGGCGTTGGGGTTAAGGTAGTTTTCACATCTAGTGGTGTGGACAGTTGATACTTATTATCTTCGGAGGGAGAGCGTGCGACTGTAATGTCTTGTGGGGATACAATATCAACGATGTATCTGCTCTTTCATGCCTCTGCCTGCCTTGCCACAATCTTGATGCCCTGCCTGTCTCTAACCGATGATGAGCATGGCATGAAGACAAGCTGAAGCAAGAATCGGTCGTGAAGTGCCCTTAATATTCTGATGTGCGAGAGGTGAGCATCGACCACATACGCTACGGCCAGGAGACTTGACAAATTGAAGAGATAAAGACGGCTACAACGACTATCCGAAGCACATAATTTGGTCAATTGCTTGAATTCTACCAATGCTGGGCGGGCAGATGGGTGCTCTTCCGCCACTGCACAGAGCTGGGTCGGATTTGAGTTTTCTTGCCAGAAGGACTGCTCTTTTGGCGTTGCAAATCTGCTCTCGGCGAGTTCTCATCGTGGGCGCTGGGTTTTTGTGAATTGGGCTGCGGTGTCTCGTGGCTAGTGAATAACGCCGATGATGGTGGTGATCCGTCTTCCTTCCCACATGCCCCAACAACATCACTGCCATCGCACCTCATTCGTAGCGATCCGCATCTCGTCTATCGGACAATACCCTCGAACCGTGTCTTGAACCACTTGATGGAATCATCCTTGCTGACCTGGTGGCCGCGTCCAACCTTGGCCTTGGCCCGTCTCCGCTTCGCAATCCTCGCACCCGGCCGTCCCATGCAGCAGTAGAAATCCATCCCATAGATACCGATCGCGGGGTCGTACTTGATGCCCAAATCAATGTGTTCGGAGATGCCGAAGCCGAAGTTGCCGGTATCGGAGAAGTTCTTCTTGCGCAGCTCGTACTCCTTGACCTTGAGGCCGCGCTCGAGGATTTCCTCGGCCTTGGGACCCCGGACCGTAACGTGCACGGCGATCTTTTCGTTGCGGCGGATGCCGAAGGAGCGGACGGTGTAGCGGGCTTTGCCTGTTGCAACATATCAGAGAAAGTAGCCAGTGTGGAGTGGCCCAGAATGCGTACTGTAGACGGGCGTTTGGCCAGACAGTTGTTCCAGCACTTTGGCAGCGCGGGTGAGACGATCGCCAGACTCGCCGACCGAGATGTTCAGCACCAGCTTCGCGATGCGGAGTTCCCGCATGGGGTTGGAGCTCTTGTCATTGCCTTCCGCCATTGCGTGTCAATGGTGGTGTTAACGAGTGTGACAGAGTTATTGTGTGCGGGTGCTGTGCTGGTTGATGAGGTGCAACTTTGACTGCAGTTTCGAAAACCGATGTGCGCGGAGGGAGGCTTGGCAGAGACGCTAAACCCAGATTGGAGAGCTGGAGGGCATCAATTTCCTAGCCTCCAAGTCTCGCGACCACCACCGCCTGCAGCCTGCACGACAGAAGAAGAACATTGCAAGTTCGGGCCTGCCTCATTCCTTGTGTCCCAAGAGTGCGTTGCAGCCATCGTGTTGCGAGCGAAGTCGAGCTGCGGCTCTGAACTGCGCACTAGTACAATTTTTTAAAGCATTCAATCTCCAATACTTCTATTTCATTGCGGCGGGAGATCAAGTCGAGCCAAAGGTTAAGTCGCATTCCTGCGCAACAGTTGCCCGGCATGGCGAACAAACAGGGGAAGATGGTGAGCCTGGAAGATTATTCCATGCCACGTGGTTGACATGCTAACATCGTGGTAGCAAAACTTGGTGATACCACAACAACAACGGGAAAGATATTCGTCCCAAGCTAACTTGACCGTCAGATCAACTACCGTATGCGCGTGACACTGAACGACGGCCGCCAGATGACCGGGCAGATGCTGGCGTTTGACAAGGTCGGCTCATTCCCTGGATACATTTCTTTCATGATCGTTTTCGCTAACCTCTTCGTATTATAGCACATGAACCTCGTCCTTGCCGACACTGAGGAATTCCGCAAAGTCCGACGGCGCCAAAACAAGCCCTCCGCCCCCGGTGCCCCTGGCTCCGCTGCCACCTCCCAAGCCGTCGAGACAGAAGAGAAGCGCACACTAGGCCTGGTGATTCTCCGTGGGACGAATATCGTAAGCTGTTCAGTTGAAGGACCTCCTCCATCAGACCCGAGTGCAAGGCTGGGCACTTCAGCCCCGGGAGGCGCGCCGAGCGCATTACAGGCCGGGACGGGCATTTCGCGACCAGCGGGACGAGGCCTTCCAGTTGGATTGGGTGGACCGGTTGCAGGCGTGGGAATGGGCGGTCCACCAGCACCAGGCGGCGGACCACCTGGAGGCGCACCGTTTGGATTTCCTCCACCACCACCCGGAGGATTCCCTGGAGGTGCTCCGCCCCCAGGTTTTGCTGGGAGGGGAGGACCGCCGCCGGGCTTCGGAGGGCCGCCGCCTGGGTTTGGAGGACCACCGGGTGGACCACCTACCGGGTTCGGAGGGCCTCCTGGGCAGGGGAGAGGGTTTCCTCCCCCAGGATTTGGTGGTCGTTAGCTGAAAGAGAAGAGCCGAGGATGAAAAATCGAGATCGTTCCAGTTGCTCTACACAAGTACCAGAGAATGGGTGCGAGAACCTCCGACACTTTTACGTGCAGAATGCATCGGCACAGCGAACACTCGGCAACCCAAACCATACTGGAAAAGTTCATGCCTACCTACCGCATTTCCTGGATCTGCGTGCAAGGCATTGGCACATTGAAGTGGAGGGGGCTGGCCAGCACAGTTGTGTGATCACACAGCTCTGAGGTGCTGGCGATCGCTGAAGAAATGGGGATCATCAATCCAATTCTGCACGAACACTATAGAACAGCGGGAGTCCTGCGGTGGGTCAGATACCGAGCCAGACTCGAAGAAGCTGTAAGGCGAAGTGGTTGGCCATGCCAGGATACACGAATCAAACAGATTCGAATGGCTCCGAGCGTTGCAAAGGCTAGGCATAGCCAGACGCTGCGAAGCACGCAGCATAGAATACGTCCGCAACGATAACCAAGGTATTGTTTGCGGGCTTTGAGGTCCACAATCCTCGACCACGATTTCGCTCCTCCACATGGGAGTCCTCGTACATCATCTGCTATCGTCGGAATTGACTCTCACGAAGTGCTAGCCGTATCACAGACCGTATGCCCATGTATTGATGTACTGTGTACTATACCGAGTATCTGAAATCGTTGTGCACGGCTGGCTATTAGTGTAGGTCAAGTGGTCCATACAGAGTGACAGAATCCTGTGCACAGGACCGGAAGCATCACTCCTACAGCAACCCGCTACTGCCACTGATTCTCTGTCTTATCTCAGACCACGTCCGGACCATCGTCCTCGTGCAGCGACTGCGGTGAGTTTCGAAGCCAAGGCTTTCCATTCTGCGTCTGACTAATGAGAACGTATTTCATCATTGAGTGGCCTCTGAATAAGTACCTAGCGATTGAGCGACAGGTAAGGCTTGACTGTGTATCCTCGATCTCACTACTCAATGGACTCGGTCGCATGTTAAGGTCAGCGAAGGTACGGAGTAAAGTCAAGCAGGACGCGATTGGAGGCTGGAGGAGCTGCGTGAAGAGAATTATGCTTCGCCCCAAAATTGCCTCTCCGCAAGAATTCTAATTACTGCCCGCCCAAGCCGCCATGTTCTGGATTAACGCAGGTCTACTCCGTAGACAAACGCAAGATGCCTCCTCCAACAAAGCGCCGGAGGGTCGAACCCACCGTAGTCGAAGAGATCGCTTTCGACCCGGCTGCTCGGTATGAATTTTTGACCGGCTTCCACAAGCGCAAATTGCAGAGGGCCAAGCATGCGCAGGAGGTTGCCGAGCTGCGGGCCAGAGCGGAGAAACTAGAAGGGAGGAAGCAGGTGGGCGACGGGTGCCTTGGTCGCTTGCCTTCTTGTACTGACCATTTATAGCTGAGAGAACAGAGGAAAGCCGAACTCGAGCGGCATGTGGAGGAAGTGAACGCGATGCTGGGGTTGCCTGCCGCAGCCAGCAATAAACAATATGGCGACTCAAGTACGGATTCCGACGAGGAATGGAAAGGCATCTCAGACTCCGACCCACCGCCGATCGACCACGAGGCAGAGTACGTTGATGAGGAGAAGTACACCACGGTGACGGTCGAGGCTCTGGACGTCTCGAAGGAGGGACTATTCCGGGCGCAACAGGAGAGTGATGAACATAACTCGGATGACAATGGAGTGACTCCCACATCCACAAACGGAGGTGCTTCGTCCGGCAAAGAGAAACGTCCTTGGACAAAAGAGAAACCTAAAGACGGGGTGAAGAAGCGTAAGAAGAAACGGAATTTCAGGTACGAGGGCAAAGCAGAGCGGAAAGAAGCACGAGCGAAGCAGAAGTCTAGGAACTCGAGGCAGGCTCGAGAACGACGAGCTGGCGGATCGTAACACTGTTGTGGGATCCTCGTTCACGAAAACTGTCAACGCTTGCCTTCGAATTCGCCCTGTATCAAATGCCCGTGGTATCGTAGGTATGGCTGAGGTCTAAGCATCCTGCCTTGTCCACCCAGCTGGTCCAACACTTCTGCCGACACCAAGGTGTTCCGTACCAAATTAGATGTTGCCCATGCTCTGCTCCAGCTCTTGCAGCTCTTTCTGGAGATCGGCGTACTTCTTGGCCATATCTTCGTATTTGTTCTCCCATTCATCACGAGCCTGCTCCAATGCTTGGACCTTGCGCTCGAAGTGGCCGGCTTTGACATCGGTCTGTCGAAGTCTGTGGGGACATATTAGAACAATCGTTGGCCGTAAAGGGGGTGGTCTTACTTCTCATTGGTTTCTCTCAAAGTCTTGTCAGCTTGCTCGGCTTCCTCCTCGAGCACCTGAAGCTTCCGCTGAAGGGCTTCATTCTGTGTGCTGTGGCCCGCAGACTCACCAGCGAGAGCCTTTGCCTCTTTGAGGCCGGTCTCGAGTTTCTCAACTTCGGCCTCGAGGAGCTGGTTGCGGTGGTTGAGGGAGGTGATTTCTTGTTCTTTCTGTAGGTTGTCTTGTTCGAGCTGCTTGACTTTGGCCTTCATTTCTTCGGCTTTGGCAGCGTTCTCGTCCGCCTCGATGCGGAGAGAATTCATTTTCTGTTGGAAATTAGCGAATGCGCTCGCCATGGTGACTGATCGTAGGATCGAGAACGGGCGATGAGTACGACTAAGGGCGTTGCTCCAGGGTTGTGGGTTTGAAGAGAGAATGACGGGTGATGGTATTTCGAACACGACTGCAGCAGGAAGTGAAAGCTGATTGAAGGTCTGCGTTATGGGTGCAGCAGAGGCAGCCGCGAAATGAATTCATGGTGCCTGGCAGGAGCACGAGGGAGAAGGTGCAGGGTCTGGCAGACGTACCTCCTTGATCCGATCCATTGTGAGTTTTGGTAACTGAGTTGTAGCTGAAGTTGAGGTGAGGGCCGACTGTGTGCAAGAGCGGTCGATGCTTTTGATAAGAATACTTGGTCAGGATGAATACAACAGGCGGTCACAGGTACGCTCCGTTGTCAAGTACTGTGTTAAGCCTTAGGAGTCAGCGGGCGGTGGATGGAGGGGAAGCGATCGCTCATCAGGCCAATAACAATTGGCTTCTCAAGTTGAGGCTGCCGGAGATTTAGGCTTCGCCGTTTGCGTCTCAGGTGTTTCAACGCCCCTTACAGCCCCATTCTCTGGCCAGGCCAAGGGCACCGTTGCCTGCAGCCTCGGTTGCTGGGGCAATCGCGTCAACAATCCGCAGTACGTCCGCGTTCTGTCGGGATTCAGGTTGCCTCTGGTTCCAGCGGCTAACAAAACACGCCAGACTGCTACAACTAGGACGCACATTCGAACTATGCAATAGCTACGAGACATCAACCATGGCGAACATACTAGCTGCTCGAGATCAGGAGAACCTCGTACATGCCCGTCAAACCACGGCCGCTGGAAAGTCCCTCAACCAGAATATTCGCGCACTACACCCAGGCAACCTTAAGACTCCTTTCAAACCAGCAAAGAACGACGAGAACCTACCTATTACACTCAAGGGTCAGAAGACTGTCGGCAAAGATGGGCCCAGCAAACAGGACAAGGGCTCCTTTGTCACACCAGTAGCTCCACGGAATCGAGCACCTCTTGGGGCAAAGACGACGAATGTCAGAGCTTTCCAAACCCCCGGACCTTTGACAGTAAAACCGGGCAAGACCCAGCAAAAGGTTTCTACGTCTGGCAGACGCTCAAACCGATCAAAGATTGCTGTTGCTCGAGCAGAACCCCTCGATGCTGATGTCCTAACAGAGCAACCCCTAGAGGAGGAAGAGCCGGACTTCGGATATGCTCCTCCCGCACCTGTCGAGCTCCCAGATCCTCCAATTGCGTTCGAAGAAGACCATGAGCTTACAGAAGAACTACAACGCGGCCACGGCCTAGCCTACCCTTTTGATTCGCCAAAAGATGAGAACGGATTTTCCATTCGACAAAGAAAGGAGGACGAGGAATGGAAAAAACAGGACGAAGAGCGAATTCAGAAGAGCCTTGAGGATCTAGGGAAGCCCATTTTCCCTACGCTTGCAGAGCTCAACAAGCAAGTTAATGACATCATTGCGGCCGGCCCAAGAAAGCGTGGTCCGTTATCGAGAGTAGACTCAACTGAGGCAAGATGTGCTGTTGCTGCACTCTCTGAACCACAGCCTCGGCTGCCATCCGCTGCCACAAGACCTACCCAGGCGTCAGAGCAGAAGAAGCGGGATCTGCTCGCGGGCACGAAACCTGCTCCTCTGTCTGTACGAAACCCACCAACATCAACTCGATCGAACCATTCCGCCATCTCTAGAAACACCATCGGCTTCCCCAAAGCAAAGAAAGCTCCGTCCATAATGCCTAGAAGCGCCGCCATCTCGGCCCCCAAGCCCGTCAAGATAGACCAAGGATCCATTCACCCGCGAGACTTTCGAGATTTGTACGGCTCGCCTCCGGTCGAGAGCGACATGTGGTTCCGACTGAAGAAGTATGAGTTGCTGGAGGACGACCTGGCGAAAGACAATGCTGATATTGAGGAGGAACTATTTGAGAGCGACTTCTTCCCCTTCGACAACGCAAAGTTGGATGACGCAGACTTCCAATTACCCATGCCGGAGTGACATTGGTCCTACCTCTACCTATACTTGGTGCGACTCTGCTCATGAGCAGCTCTGTGAGCACTTGACATGACACTGGACGAATGACGATACCGATACCCATCCTGGATACAATGGTAGAGGCGTTTGCAAGCACGTGAAGGAACACCAATTAATGATAGAGCTATTCTCATTGGTAATCGACTGAAATGCATGGGTTCTGTACAGGCCGCTTTTAGCATCCATGCAACTTCTGGGCTTTTCTTGCTTGTGCATATATGTCTTCCTGCACCTGTTTTCCATCACTTTCCCGAACACTTCCTGCACCACATCGAGGGCTCGATGCTCGTCACGGGCACCCCAGCAGCCTTCTTCACTCAGGGTAACTCATCAACCGCACCGTTTACACCACCATTCGTGGCAGCCTTGGCAAAGTCCTTTGGTGGCTCCGTGACCGTGAAGTTCCAGCCAAATTGATCCTTGACTTTCCCCTGCTGAATGCCCTTGAGCGTGCTCAGTAATTGCGAACAAACCGGGCCAGGGTCCAACTTCTCATTGACGGGATACTCGAATTTGTCATTCTTGGACTTCATCGTAATGCTTTTAATGGGGACCAGACTCGCCGCCGTGCCGGCCGCCATGACTTCCTTGAACTCGGGCAACTCATTATAGTCGATGCGCCTCCTCTCGACACTGTAGCCAAAAATCTCTTGTGCGATCTGGCATGCAGATTCCGCGGTGACGGATTTAATCACATTCTTCGAGTCTGGAATCACAATCGTGGTCTTGTCGCCATCCTTCCGCACGCCCAGGAAGCCCGATGTCGAAAATTCGTCAATCTCACTGCGCGTCTTGCTATCCAGGTGCAGAGTGATTCCGAACCCCTGGTTTCGAGCTCTCTCGCTGTGTCTCAGCACAGGCGCATAGTTTCCTCCAACCTTGGCGCTTCCTGTTCCCTCCGGCGCCGCGCGGTCAAAGTCTTCCAGAATGAGGGCATCGACGGCATGGACACCGTGGTACACGCCTGTTGGCATGACAAATACCACAAAGGTATATTCATCCGGGGGACTCAGACCCAGCTGAGCAGAGGACCCGAACAACAACGGCCGAATATACATGGCCGCGCCAGTCTCATGGGGCGGGACAAATTCGGCGTTCATCCCTACCGCCAGATTCACGCACTCGACGAAATGCTCCTCCGGCACGGGCGGCACAGAGATATACTCGGCGGACCGTTGCATTCTCAGGGCATTCTCGTTGGGTCGGAAGATGGTGATGCTCCCGTCTGGTTGGCGGAACGCTTTCATGCCCTCGTAGCATTGCACGCCGTAATTGAGGCCGGGCGCCATGCCGTGGATTGAGAGGTGAGGAGAGGTGACAAAGCGCGGTTTGCTCCATGTTGGCTTGTCGGAGGAGGAGTAGCGGAAGGTGGATTCGATGTGGCCGTTCACTTCGCGGACTTTGAACCCGACGTTGGACCAGTCTGGGGTAAAATAAGTCAGAGAAGCGCCAATCCGAAATATTCCTGCTCCTATCTTCAAAGACGATTGCCTCTTAGGGCTCAAGGACAAGGCATGAGAGGCTTACCGATTGTGCTGACTGGTGGAGGAGGAAAAGGTGCCATGGTATTGGTAGGTAGTGAGCTTGAGATGGCCTGAAAGGGTTCTCGTCCCTTGTTACTCGATCGTCTGTTGGCTCCCGGGCTAGGGCTTGGACAGCAACAGCCTCAACCTGCGTGGGCTTCCCTGCAGCACAGGCGCGAGTTTCGAAATGCAGAGGAGTCACAACGGAAATGATACTTTTACAAGGCTCTTCAAACAGAAATCTTTTTCCGCCGGTGGGATTCCGATTGCACGGCTGTAAGCACAACTCCGCCAACGTTTTCCCTGTGGCAGCTCAAACACGTACTTGTGCTCGTGTATAGATCGAGCTGACAGCAATGTCCTCGCAAACGGTTCTTGACGATTTTTCTAGATCTCGGTTGGCAGTGTCAGCCTCCTTCTCATTCGGCAGAAAGTAGTCTGTTCCTGAGCCCACCTCCAGCGAAATCGGAGGAGAGCATGAACCCTCGGTTGTCTGCATCCAGCCACATTTCAGGGTCCAGCATTAGAGTCGAGTATAGGCACGTGACTCTCAATCCCGCACCCCTCCGCATCCGCACTAGTCCTCGTCAGTGGCTGTGGTGGCTGCTGTGGCTGTCCGCCTGCTCTTCACGCGAGGCTCGTTTGCCCCGGAATCTCAGATGCGAAGCCGAATTCATCTCGTTTCTCACATCTCACCTGTCAGTCGTCGTGTGCCGTGCGGTCTTGCTCTTATTCATCACCTGACGGTATTGAGATGCCTTGATACTTGAACACTCCTTCCTTCATTGATTTCTTTCCATTGCGATAACCTGTTTCCTGGAGACCTTCGTTCCCGTACAACTCCGTCTCGCCTTCACCATGCCTCGTGGTCCGCCTCCATTTATGATTGTCTTGGCCGCCATTGCCTTATTTCTATGGTACGTCGTATGGACACGAGACCATGAGCGACCCATGAGCGGTCTGTCGTACTCCGACCGCTTCCAAGACAAGTTGCAACGCCCTGGCACCGCAGACATACCAACTGTGACCGCGACCCCGGATACCCTACATGGCGAGCATGTTATGGGGAAACTCGGGAACGAGACCCTGAAAGCAGAACTCGGCCGAGCAGCCTGGAAAGTCCTACATACCACTATGGCACGGTTTCCAGACAAGCCAACCCAGGACGAAAGTGATGCCTTGAAAAGTTACGTCTACCTCTTCGCCCGCTTGTATCCCTGCGGTGAATGTGCCGAGCACTTCCAGCAGATCCTCAAAAAGTACCCTCCACAAACCGGGTCGCGGTCGAGTGCAGCGGCCTGGGCATGTTTTGTCCACAATGTCGTGAACGAGAGCAAGGGGAAACCTCTCTTTGATTGTGCGAATATTGGCGACTTCTACGATTGCGGTTGCGCAGACGAGGAGAAAGAAGAGATGAGCGAGGCGGGAATGATCAGCGACGTCATTGCTACGCAGAAGGACCACCCGAGACATGACTCCGTCGAGATCGAGGTGGAGGGTGAAACAAGAGGTGGCTGACAACGTTGTTGTTCTTGTTGTACATTGGATCAAACTATTGGCACAACTCTAGAATATGAGGACTTGTTCTTTCCCACGGTTTTCGGACACAACCACTAGTGTGGCGATTCACACCGAGCTGGTATGACTCCATTGAGACGATAATCTCGTCCTTCGATCCTCGTCGCCTCATATGGCCCTTCCTGGGCCTGGTTTAGGCAACAGGGAGCCGGTTTCCTCAAAGTCAGTCGACGAAGCAGCTTCCGACAGATGTTGGGTTCACCTCCCTTGGTCTTGCTCGGAGCTGATGGTGGAGCCAAGGGATCTTCGTCAATTGATGGTCTCGGCGAAGGCAGGGTGGGTGATATGGATTCCGAGACCTCCTTCCTGAATGGATCAAGCTTCTGAAACCCGACATCGACGAAACAGCGGCTGGGAATGTGCCATACATCGCTGTAATTCCGTTCCTGTTCACCAGTATACATCGAAGTCAGCCCCCGCTTTCGGCACTTCTGGCAGGGGTGGCGGAGATAGCTGTTATAATCGCGAACTCGGCATCCACGAAGGCTTGGAGAGTCGCAGATCTCATTGCGGAAACGATGTGTGGCCGGATGGGAGCATAAAAACATGTACCTCCGTGTCGTACACATTCCGGTGGTGAAATCGGTGGTATAAGGGTCTGCGGATTTTTGGAAATGATCGATTGTCAGCTGCCGCCTCTTGTACTGCCCTTTACATCTGGTTTTGCAACGGGCACTTCTGATATTGGTTCAAACCACTTTCCCAGAGTTCATTATGGAAGCACCACAGGATCAGGATGGTATATCAGCTGCACAAGCAGAGCGATTCAGACGTCAGCACTGTTCGATGTTTATCGGCTGCTACAGGAAGCGGGAAAAGACGAAATCTGGACAAATTTAGCAGCAGGAAGAACAATATCTTTGTTTGTTCTTTGTTCGGCTCCCGGCTACACTATACATATCACCACCGTGTCCAGAACGTGCATCTGACCGAGCAAACAATGGGCACTTCAACAAAGGAAAGCCCAGGAAAAGGGAAAGGACCACTTCAGACACCAACTCTGGGGGTTTCGGAGTGTACCAGCGGCGTGGAGTGGTTCTGCAGAATAGTGTTGCGCAAGCCGTGTCTTTCACCTTTGACACAAGGTCGTTGAGCTGTGCTCGCCTGAGCTCTGGATCGAGTCCGCCTCCCACCTCAACAGACGGCTGATCATGGAATTGACTTTCGGTTTCTGATACTGTAGTAGAACAGATTTAGCGTTCATAGAGAAGTCATCAAGGAAACAAGGACACCAGAGCCCCAACAGGCAACGAGCCTTGTGCCTTTCATCGGAAGCCTTGTGAGCCTTCTGAGCCTTGCAGCCGTGCAGCTTCGCACATTTGGTTTGGAGAAGCGAAGCGAAGTGACGCGGGGAAATTTCATGATCTGTTCTCGCTGCTGGCCGAGCGTGTCGATTCCAGCTCCGCCACGCGTGCATTGATCCCTCGACCACTACCTTCTCCTCCGGCATGCTCACTGTCGAGCATCGTGCTCGCAGCTTCTTTCTCCAATGTCGAGCTTCTGCACGACGCACGTGGCCTTCCTCCGCCCGGCATCCGGTCAGATTTCAGCGACGAGGACTCGCGGCTGCCCTTGAATCCAGGAGGTCCTCAAATCCCGCCCTGAGCAAGCCTTACTACGTTACGACTCCCATTTTCTATGTCAATTCAGGCATGTGATTCCGCGGTTCGCTCTGGGATCTCCCTTCTGACGCAGACACTCAGCCCCCCATGTCGGCCACCTTTACTCCATGGTCCTTGCCGATGTCCTCAAAAGATGGGCAAACCTTCGCGGCGATGACGGAGCCAAAATGCTCACCGGGACGGACGAACATGGCATGAAAGTACAGAAAGCCGCGCAAAAGGTCAACACAGACGTCAAACTGCTCTGTGACCATCACGCCGAGCAGTTCAGACATTTGGCCGACGCTGCCAACATCAGCTACGATCGTTTTATGCGCACAACAGACGAAGACCACAAAGACGTGGTTCGCTATGTTTGGGAAGAGTTGAATCGGAACGGCTACATTTACGAGGCAAAGCATGAGGGCTGGTACTCTGTCAGCGACGAGACATTTTATCCAACCACCCAGATACACAAAGTGCTCGATCCCTCCACGGGTCTGACCAAGATTGTCTCCATCGAGACTGGCAAGGACGTCGAGTGGACTTCGGAGACCAACTATCACTTCCGACTTTCTGCCTTCCAGCAACCCCTGCTCGAGCACTACGACAAGAATCCGGGCGCCATCGTCCCGAAACAACGCATGAATTTTATTCTCGATGAGATTCGGGGTGGATTAAAAGACCTCTCTGTCTCCAGGCCAGCGTCGCGACTCACATGGGGCATCCGAGTACCGGGAGATGACAGTCAAACCATCTATGTATGGCTCGACGCTCTATTCAACTACTTGACCATGACGGGGTATCCCTTCGTCCACAAGAACGATCCAACTACGATTTGGCCACCGAACTGTCAAGTGATAGGGAAGGATATTATCCGATTTCACACGATCTACTGGCCTGCATTTCTCATGGCGTTAAATCTGCCGGTAACTGAAAGGTTTCTGACTCATGCTCACTGGACGATGAACAATCAGAAGATGTCCAAGTCCTCGGGCAATGGTGTGAATCCGTTCTATGCCATGGATCGTTTCGGCGTGGACTGTATCCGCTTCTACATGGCTCACAATGGCGGCATTGTAGACGACGCCATGTATGAAAACTCCTTCATCGCTGAAACGTATAATCATCTACTGAGGGGCGGTCTGGGAAACCTCATCCACCGTGTCTTCAGGAGCAAGCATTTCAGTGTCCACGAAGCTGTCAAAGCCGTGAGAGAAGATGAGCATGTTTCGGCTATGATGTCTCACGAGGAGTGGAATGGGCACGACCAGTCCCTGAGGCCAATCCATGACATCCTTAGGGCCCAGTACAATAACCTTTGCTCGGCGAGAGATGTTGCAGACAGTCATATGAAAGAGCCAGACCCGCGCAAGGCTGTACAATCCATCTGCGAGCTGATAGGACAGGTAAGCGTCCGCCATTTGGGCAGAGCGACATGCTAATCCTCCCGCAGACGAATAGCTTCTTTCAGAACACTGCCGTCTGGAGACTTGTCAAGAGCAACAGGCCGGAGGAGCGAGCATTAGGCCTTTGTGCGCTCTTCATGAGTGCCGAATCCATTCGAATCATGGCTATCCTCCTCCAGCCGTTCATGCCGGAAAGGATGAAAGCCGCCCTGGATCTGATGGAGGTCGACGAGTCGAACAGGACGTTCGACCATGCTGTGGTAGGAGCCGACATGACCTACGGCCCAGCTGCTTTGGCGGCTGACGTGAAGCCTTCGGTGGACGTTATTTTTCCATTGCTGTTGTCCTCCCATTGAACCTTCGCGGCAAGTCGCAGATTTCCTCGCAACAATAGCATTCGCCTACGAGCTTCCAGGAGCCAGGTCCTGTCGATTCAATGTCGGACCATTTCTGACTGCTCCACTACCTCAAAAGTGCGATTACGACAAGCTCTGCCCAGGCTGCAGCTCCTGTTGCAAGGATTGTGTGGCGTTTCTCATCACCAAGGTATACTTGGCCAGCGCAGCAGCACACGCGGAGGACACTTCAGAGGGGGGAGCTCCAACCACCAGCATCGCACTGTGTGGTGTACCTACAAAGGCACGCAGAACCAAGAATCTAGCAGACAGTGTATGAAATATATTATGTATGTACAATAACCAGCAATGAAGCATACGCGAACGTTCGCCAAGCGTATGGTGAACAGAAGGAACTGCTGGATCAAATCTCCGCTTCACGGGTCTTTAGCAAGTTGAACGTCGCTTCAACATAGGTATGCATTGGGCTAGTAGTACCCTGACCCTGACCCTGCACCACCATCGGCTGCGAAGGGGTTGGACTAAGGAGCGGCCCACGAGAGTCTGCTACGAGTACGGGGTATCTAACTCTGGAGTTGCGCGGACTGTAATTCAATCTTCTTGCAGAGTCCTCATATCCGGCCAAGCTCTTGCAACTCTTGCATCTATACGCATCCACAGCGCTACGCTATCATGGATTGTCATGCCGTATACAAGGGGGGTACTGTATCAGTGAACGCACGCTCTCTAATGCTTCCCGCTGTCCCTACTTCTATACATCTAAATACTGGTGGTGGTGATATCCAACCCACCTCTCTTGAAACAATGCGTGGTTCAAGAGTCACAGTATCCGGGTTCCTTCGCGCCACTTCCTCCCGCCCACTGCTGCACAGTCAAAACGGTGGTATACGCACAGCTTGCAACACCAAAGATACACATGGCGTAGTCCAGGCCGCGTTGCCACCGGGTCTTTGAGACGGCCTTCAAGTGAAGCATTGGCGGGTAGATGTACACTTTTTGAGTTTGTTAGCCTTGGCCTTGATGCACGATAATGTGGCTAAAGGGGGCGTCGAACTTACCCAAGGGAATGCAAGCGAAGCTGCCGACCAGGGCGACGAACTTGTCGAGGTCGCCAGCTCCGCCCCAAGCTATGAGCGCACAGACGAAACAGAGGAAGAAGCGAAACACGTTCTTCTGCCATTTAATCCAGGGGTTGTATTTCCCCGAGCGGCTGAACAGTTCGTTCTCCATGATGCGGATGGCTGGGAAGAGCTGCAATGGAGTGCTGAGCAGGATGGCGAGCGAATAGAGGAATTGGACCCCGTTGACCATCTTGTTGTCCTGTGGAAGGTTGAGGAGCACCACGGTTTTGGTCTTGGAGCCGTATGCCGCGTACGAAAGGGCGCCCATGGACGTGAAGAGCAAAGTGATTATAACCATGACGGTGGCGAGGACGCCGGGGAAGTTCTGAGGCTTCCTCATTGATTCCTGAATGGGGATGATGAGCCCGACACCCTCGAACGTGAAGATGGCTGTGCCGATGAAGAGAGTCCATGTCGCTGGGTTGAAGAGGGTGATGTCTGAGATGCCTTTGTTGTCGACAATGGTCGCAATGTCGTAGTAATATAAATAAATCAGGCCGACGAGGATGAACGCGTCTGCAACGAGAGCCGTGAAGCCCAGTTTTCCTATATCCCTGATCAAGCTCAGGGGCAGGAAGATGACGAGTTGCATCAGGACCATAAACTTGATGTCGATGAACGTTTTGCACTTGGACACCGCCAGCACGAACGCCTGCAGGTTTTCGGACGTGAAAACAGTATAGGCGGCCACGAAGCCGACCTGGCTCAAAACAATTGAGAACAGAATTGCGGCCCTCATCCATTTGCCGTACAGAATGCCGCCCATGTCACCAAATGACGCCTCGACCCTGCTGCGGGTACTGATGAGCAAGAGGAAGCAATAGTAACTGAGCATGGCCACGCCGAGCAGGACCAGCGACGAAAAGAGCATGCCTCCGTTCAGGAATGCCCGAGGGAGGAACAGGACGCCTGTACCGACAAACGATTTGAGAAGCAGCAAAGCGGCGTTGAAGCTGCTGCCAGTGCCGGTTGGTGCGCGCTCCTTGTGTTTCCGTTTTCGCAGTCCACCGGGCGTAAGCAAAGCACTGTCCTCCGTCGCTTCTCTGTCGCTGCCCTCGTCATCATAAGCGTCAGAGGAGAAATATTCGTCTGGCTCGAGCACCTCATCATCTTCCTCCAGGTCCTCGCCTGCAAAGTGGCCGTACAGTGTGAGGAACTCCAGAAAATTGTTCGTGAACAGGCGAGGCGGACCATTGCCAGTAGACGGGGTACGGGGATTTCTGCCAGTCGCAGCACTGCCGTTCGCTCTTTGACCTTCGCGGGCAGGACTTTCTGCGGCTTTACGCAGGAAGTGTCGACGAAACCCGCCGGGCACTCGAATGTTCTGGATATCCGTTGTCTCACTTTCCGGGTCAGGCCGTGCGATGGTGAAGCTCTTGCTCCTCTGGGCCTTCCCCGGCTGATTAGTCGCCTGCTCTTCTGCCCACCGATATACGGCGCGTGTCACATCTCCTCCCTGTAATCTCAGGCTCGAAAACTCGTTCGCGTCCAGGCCGCTTCCATCCGTCAAGTCCAAGCGAAGCGACCTCCCGTATCTGGTCGAGCCTTGTTCCGGCTGCACTAGATGTCTCTTGACCACCTCTGGATCTTCCGTTGGAGCGGGACTGCCAGCCATGTCACGAGCGCTGAACGAGCCATAATTGCTTCTGGGTAATCTGTCATGACCGCCCAATCCTGCACCAGTTGTTAATAAGGGCTGTTTCGGCGTTGAGGCGGGTGGAGGAGTTTGAGCTTGAGGCGGAATATGGTTTCTTGCATCAGCGAGCGCACTCGACAGGGCAGACGGTCCTGGTCCTGGCAATGAGCCGGACTGGTCGAGTTTGGGCAGGTTGGCATCGTCGTAGTCGGCTGCTATCTGCTGGGGTGTGGGCACTTGCTGGACAGGAGGCGTATTGAGGCGACCCGAAGGGACTGGCGAAGATAATCGTGCTATCGAGGCATGTCTGGAGTGTAAACTGCCTACTGCCGCTGGACTTCTTGAGCCTACGTCCACAGGAGTAGACGTGGATCTGACCGACGACATTAAGGCCACTGTGGAGATGGTGCTATTACAAGATCATGAGAATACAATCTGGTATATAACTCCTACACGGAAGGTAACCCAGCAAAGATATGGCATGTGGGCGGAGCAAGTGATCAGGTACAGGTGCGAACGGCCGTGCAAGCGAAGAAATTCGAGGACGCGGATTGGGAGGCGTTTTTCCCTTTGAGGTCCGACGTCACACGCCTATGCTGCTTGCGGCACCGCAGCCACAGCGCGTGTTCCTTAGGGGAGAGATGGGGGGGCCCCGGGCGCACCTTTGCGTGCGGAGGAAGCCGATAGCGAGGCTTGGGCCAATGGCATCCTTTAACTGTTCCCCCTAGCAGAAGTCCCGGGCCCTTGCTTCTGGTCCTTCCAAGCCTTTCGGGTGCCGCACGCCACAAGGAAAACCCTTCGACGTGGCTTCGACCTCTGCGGCGTCATTATTGACCTCAGATCTCTTCTTTATGTGTAATAGTTCCTGGTGCTGTTAGCATTCTCTCCACCTCTTACGTATCGGATACTATAGTTTTATCGCTTCTTCCGAGTTTGAGAATCCTCTCAGGAACTACTGCCTTCAGAGCCAGGATTGGTTCAACGTCGAGACCAAGGGTCTGAGAGTCGACATCCATCCCGAGCCGCATACCGGATAATCCACCAATCATGGACTGATTATGGATTCTCATTGGAAGCTCTTCTCAAACCATTATGGCTGGCATAGGAGGAAAAGGCTGGCCCGACTTGGGAAGAGGACGACGCCATGGGAGCCGACGTGGTCCTGCGTTTCTAACACGGACGGCCACTGACGAAGCTGCTCAATTACTACGACGATCATCCTTGCCGGCAACACCTGAGGAACATCGTCCACAGTCTGCTCACGAGGTCTCAAGCCATCTTCGTGCTAGGCCTGGAACTGCCCAGCCCTTCGAGCCGGATCTTTCCCTCAGCCGACATGGCAGGGCCTCGTCCGAAGCTTATGGTACCTTTGACTGCTTTCAAGATACGCAGGACACCAACCGCCAGCGGGATACTATAGTCACAGGCCTGTCCATACCAGGACATCCTTTGACTGTACATCCCGCTAGTGAAAGCCGCAAGGTCGAGACGTCCGCCGTCAACAAGGACAGCACTCCGGCGCGCCCAGTTGCTGGCACGGAAAAACTGGGAACGATCTCTGGGGTATTTATACCCACCAGTCTCAATGTGCTGAGCATCCTGATGTTCATCCGATTCGGCTTTATCCTGGGCCAAAGCGGCGTGGGGGGTATGCTGGTCATGCTCGTTGCTGCCTATGCCATCAATCTGGTCACCACACTGTCTCTGTCTGCAGTCGCTTCCAACGGGACAGTCAGAGGTGGTGGTGCTTACTACCTGATTTCCAGATCTCTCGGTCCCGAGTTTGGCGGAGCAATTGGATTGGTCTCGTATCTCGGCTTCGTTTTCAACACAGGAATGAACGCTGCGGGTCTCGTTGACTGTGTGACCTACAACTTTGGTCGTGATAGTGGCAATTGGGAAAACACGCTGCCTGAAGGAAAATGGTGGGCATACCTCTGGAGTACCCTGGTAGTCATACTCTGTGTTGTCATCTGTATGGCTGGAAGTTCCATCTTTGCTCGAGCAAGCAATGGCCTGCTGATGATTCTGCTGCTTGCAACCTTCAGCGTTCCACTGTCAGCAATTGTTCGGGGACCATTTGAGACCAAGAAGCAGTTTCTACAGTTCACGGGTTTCAGGCTTGACACGTTGAAGGAAAATCTGCTGCCTCATTTCACAAAGGGAGCTGCTGGGAGTCAGTTGAAAGGCAAGGAAAACTATCAAGACCTCTTTGGCATCCTTTTCCCGGCTACGGGAGGTATTCTTGCCGGAGCGAGTATGTCTGGCGATCTGAAAAATCCTAGCTCGTCCATTCCTCGGGGTACTCTGGCCGGGCTCGGCTTGACATTCGTTGCATATACCCTCGTTATCGTGGCTATGGCAGCAAGTATTACCAGAGAGTCCTTCTACAGGAACGCCAATGTGGTCCAGGACGCAAGTGTATCCGGAGTTCTCATCCTGGCTGGAGAGTTGTCCTCGACATTCTTTTCCGTCTTGATGGGTATCATCGGCCCGGCAAAACAGCTACAGGCCATTGCTAGAGACAAAGTTATACCCGGACTATCAATATTCGGGCAGGGTACAGCGAAGAACGACGAGCCGATTTACGCAATTCTTTGCACATTTGTCGTCACTCAACTCGTTCTCCTCCTGGACATCAATCAGATTGCCTCTCTCATTACCATGGCCTACCTCATGTAAGTCGCATATCTACTGATTGGCAGCTAGCAATAACGACTCTCTAGGACATTCTTCGCCCTGAATGTGGCAACTTTCCTCCTGAAAATCGGATCGGCACCCAACTTTCGACCTTCATTCTCCTATTTTAACTGGTGGACTGCCGCCGCCGGTGCACTCCTCAGTATCGGCAGCATGTTCTTTGTTGATGGTATTTCGGCGTCGGGCTCCGTTTGCATCCTGCTCGTCTTGATCATACTCATCCACTATACCACGCCTCCGAAGCCGTGGGGTTCAATTTCGGAAGTGCTCATCTACCACCAAGTACGAAAGTATCTGCTAAGACTGAAGACCGAGCACGTCAAATTCTGGCGACCGCAGATTTTGCTGCTTGTTAATGACCCCAGACGGAGTTACAAGCTTATTCAGTTCTGCAACTCCCTCAAGAAAGGTGCCTTGTTCATCATCGGTCACGTCATTGTCACTCAGAACTTTGGAGATTCGGTGCCTGAAGCTCGCCGTCAGCAAGCAGCATGGAACAAGTTCATCGAGATGTCCCGGATCAAGGCGTTTGTCAACGTGGCCATATCACCCTCCATTGAATGGGGAGCAAGAAACATCTTCCTTTCTGCTGGCCTGGGCGGCATGCGCCCCAATATCGTCGTTTTCGGCTTCTACAACCTGCAGCAGTTCCGGTCAGAGCAGCCGCTAGTTGATATACCCAGTCCCCCACCGGAAAGAAAGGCAGGATCAGTTCGAAGGCGACTAAGGAGCCGGAGCCAGGTGCAAGGAGAGCTTCCCACTGATACCTGTCACATCGAGAAACGAACAGACATTCAGAGCTACGTTATGGTTTTGGAGGACATGATCCTCAAGCTCAGAACCAACGTTGCCATTGCCGTCGGTTTCGCGGACCTGGAGCTACCAAAGGTTAAGGACGGCACGAAGAAATACATCGACCTTTGGCCTATTCAGATGTCCGCCGATCTTACCTCTGAGGCGGAAGGCGAGCCACGGAATGTCACAACCACCAACTTCGACACTTACACGCTGATTTTACAGCTGGGATGCATTCTCAACACCGTGCCGTCATGGAAGCGGTCGTACAAACTTCGAGTTGGTGTCTTTGTCGAGTACGAGAGCGACGTCGAGGAGGAGCGATCCCGAGTACGTTCTCTGCTGGAAAATCTTCGTATCAAGGCAGAGGTCATGGTGTTCTGGTTTGCCTGTGGAACCCTCAAATCTTACAATTACATCGTCAATGGAGAAGCTGTGGACGAGGAAACCCAAGAGAACGTCAACAAGATCCTAGAAGACGAGGTATGGTGGCAAGAACTCCTCAGACTTCGTGGTAGAACACGGTCCGGCGACATCAATGCTATTGATGCTCTCTCACTTACAGATGATGTTGCCTGGCCAAGCTCATCTTTCCCAGGGAGAAGAGAGAGTGCAATTGTGCGACTCGATGGACTGCGTAGGATCTTGACGCACCCAAGGAAGAGGTCCTCCTATGGCAATTTATCAAGTCTAGGCGTCAGCCTTTCTATGAGAACTTCACGCATAGACGACGACATGCTCAGCCGACATGCATCTCATCCAAGCGACTCGGAGCGTTCTGATACCGACGACATGGACGGGGACACAGACGACGACGATGACGATGACGATGACGACGATGATGAGGATCAGGACAGGTCCGAGGGCAGCCCGCCAAATAGGGTACGTGGGTCCTCATCCAAGAAGAGCAGCAGGGCGAGCTCCAACAAATCGAGCCGGAAGAGCAAGAAAACCTCTAGCAGGGGAAAATCAACTTCACCACGACCACAACTTCAGTTCGAAGAGGATATCTTGCATGCAGAGAACGGTGAACAAAGGCGAGGACGGAGTCGGGCGGTTTCCAACCCTGCTGCTTCATCTCCTAGGCACAGCCTAGACATTGCTGCTTCGTCCCACGCATCTCGAGCAGTATCTTCCAACTTCACGTCTGAGCCAGTGCCACCTACGAAGGTGAATGTTGAAGATGAGGCTGGTCCTTCGATTATGTTTGCCGATGATCCACATCCACGGCGGCAGGAAGCAGATGAGGATATCCCAGCGCCAAAACCATCCATCTACCAGCGGGCACGAGACGACAGTGCCAATCCTCAACCCTTAGCGCAGGGCTTCCCTACAGGTGCCTCGATACCGCTATCGTTCAACGAACTTCCAAGTCGAGCACAACATCTGATCCTGAACGAGATCATCTCCCAGAACAGTGATGACACGGCAGTCATCTTTACCACGCTGCCTGCACCATTTGAGGGAACGTACCGTAGCGAAACGGACAGTCTTGGGTATATTAGCGACTTGGAAGTTTTGGCTGGTGGACTGCCACCCACGTTGCTGGTACATAGTAACAGCATGACTGTTACCACGAACTTATGAGAGGTTAGAGCTTCATGATACCCGTTACACTTGGTTTAGAACGACTTCTTTTGATTGTACATCATGATCACGAGATGTACATACAAATACAACTCGATCCATAGTGATCAGCATCCTTCCCTCGTAGTCTCATGGTAAGTAGATGCACTCTGCTGTCCGCTCAGTGGAATGTAGACTCTCCAATGCCACTCACGAGGCTCTCGATTTCCCTGGCCTTTCCAACGTGGAAGGAAACGGCCCGTACCAAGTGATCTTAGAAATCATTCGGGTCTAGTTCGGCGACAGCAACCGATAGTCGCCCAGACCCCCAAATCATCACGTTTCGACTGTCGAGGCATCGCTCGACAAGCTTCAAGTGAGCGTTCTGTACACTCAACGTGCCATGCACCGTCGCGAACAGCATAAGGCTGTGTAAAAAGACAGGCATCAAACTAGAACCTTTCCACCCTGTTGAGCTTCCGTGCTGTCTTGATTTGGCTCCTAGTGTTCTGCCCTCTTACAGGCAAGTTCATTGCGTGCCTTCTGCCTCTATACGTGCCGGTATCCCTGAGCCTGGCGATATCCTGCTGCATTTTCCGTCGCAGGTGGTTTTCGATCGGCATGGAGTCGAGGTGCGCGGTTAGGTCGAGGACTTGGGTTTGAGTCAATTCGCCAACTTTGATAGTATTGTGGAGGTGGAAGCGCGACATTATTTTGGCTCGAGTTGCAGAGCCGATACCGAAGAAGGTTTCAAGGGAGCGCTGTAGAATCCGTCAACAAGATTGCGCTGGTCGAGCAAGAGAGAGGGCAGTAGAGAATGCATACCCATACAAAACGGTGTTCCGGGAAGTTGACCCCCAGGATGAACACCTATTCACGATCCGTCAGCATCGTTTCAACTTGCCGATATTTTGGAGAGAATGCTCACCATGATGCCACCTCCTCCGCCGCTTCTGCTGGGTACTGTGGTGGCTGCTTTATTCGATGTGCAAGAGACTGGTCCGAATTTCTGGCATGTCCGAGAAGGTGAAGTACAGCCTTGCCGATAGTTACCGCAGCCTCGTCGCAGCTCGGAGCTGAGGGATTCACCGTACTGCCCTTGGCTGGTCAAAGTGCCTGCAATGTGTCCCTCAGCGCCCCGTCCCGTCTATCCTTCGACCTCGACCCCCAACCCGTCCGTTACATCGCTAGAAGCTCGACATAACCAGATCGATGTGGCTCGAGATGGCTAACGTCCAGCGAATCATCATCTCGCTGATGGTCATTTTGACCGCAACCTTCTTATTCATGGGCCAGACTGCTCAAGCTGCAAAGGGCCCCAAGATCACTCACAAGGTCTACTTCGACATTGAACATGACGGCCAGCCTCTGGGTCGAATCGTCATGGGTCTCTACGGCAAGACCGTACCAAAGGTACGCTGACTTGGTCCTTTCGGCCTCGAATCTCTTGCTAAAGCCCCCTGCTTCTCAGACTGCAGAGAACTTCCGAGCACTGGCTACAGGCGAGAAGGGCTTTGGCTACGAAGGGTCGAGTTTTCACCGAGTCATCAAGCAATTCATGATTCAGGGCGGTGATTTCACAAAAGGAGATGGCACAGGCGGAAAGTCGATCTATGGGAACAAGTTTGAAGACGAGAACTTCAAGTTGAAGCACACCAAGAAGGGCTTGCTGAGCATGGCCAATGCAGGAAAGGACACCAATGGGTCTCAATTCTTCATCACCACGGTGATTACAAGGTACGGGATCTCGCTTGGGACAAGTGAACCCGCTAACGAACCACAGCTGGCTTGATGGCCGCCACGTCGTCTTTGGCGAAGTCCTCGAAGGCTACGACGTCGTGGAGCAGATTGAGAATGTTCCAAAGGGTTCAGGCGACCGTCCGGCCAAACCGGTCACCATCGCAAAGAGCGGAGAACTTGAAGTCCCGCCTGAAGGTATCCATAACGAATTGTAGGATTTGAGGGCGGGTACTGCTCTCGGATTACTACTCCTTTGAACGGTCGCTGAGACCTCCTTTGCAGAACCATCGGTGTATTCCACTTTGCACCCTGAATACCTGGATGACGATGATAACGACGAGAAGATCGACACGGAAGCGCCGTCGCCAGAGAACGAGGTTGAGACTCCCGCCAAGGATGTGCCAGCTGCGGGAGAGGTTTCTGCTCCTGCGGAGGCTTTGATCACACAAGCCTACATGCAGAAGGCCGTCTTCTTCCTGTTGATCATGGCCGTCATCTTCTACCTAGTTAGAAGACGGCGAGCGGCATACCAAAAAGTGGATGAGAAAAGCATGGCATAGACAGACAAAATCCATGTTTGATGAAAAGGTCTGAAGGGTGTATGACTTACCGTCAGTGAATGTAAAAGCCTCATGTTCCTTGTGCAATGCACGTACACAGTAATAGCAGCGCGTCGCTTTGCCACCGACCGCACGCTTCTGCATCACTAATTAAGCCTTAACCCCTATCGTGGCAAACCTGGCTATCTTGGCAGCGTAGAATGGCGTAGCCTATCAGCGAATCTGCAGGTTGCCGCTGGCTCCCTAGAGAAATTTTAACTTCTTCGTAACAGGCTGCGCTTTCAACTTTTCATCTTCAAAACCTCAAACCACATTGTCAATCAAACATCCTCCCTCATCCACAACACCTCAACTGAAAAGTCCACTGTCCTTTCATTGTGCCTTTCGTTTTCACTTTCGGATAGACTTGGAGAGGCGTTCTGTGTCTCTCATTCTATCTGCCGGACACGAAAGATTCACCAGTCCCTCAGTTTCTTAAGACTCAACGCTTCATCCGCAGCCTCAATTCCACACTCAAATCACTTATCACAACAACCTGTGAGTCCTTCACCTCCTCCATTCATCGATCTGCTTCGCCCGCACCTGTTCCTCGATCCTCGCGAGACCTGGATTTTTTCTGGAATTTTCTTGAGGAAACATTACTCTGGCAAATCCTTGATCGACATCATCCCACCTGGAGTTTTGACTGACCTGGATTTTCGCAGATTTCACAACCGAATCAATTGCTAAACATGGCTGATTCTCTGAACATGAATGGTCTCTCTCTCAATGACTCTCGACACGCTCCAGGCGGTCGAGCTGCCTACATCCCACCTCACCTCCGCGGCTCATCCGCTCGCGGTCCTCCCCCAATGATGGGCTTGGACGGCGCTGGTCCTGGCCCTGGGCCGATGGCAGCTCAAGGTCTGAACGGTAGTGCTTGGGCCAACAATACGTATGTTGAACAACACTCTGGTCCTTCTGAGTAATTCACTGACAATTCTCAGCCAAAACAACGGAAGCTGGGCGGCTGCTCCTGATTTCAAGCCCGGCCCTGGTGGTCCTGCCCCTGGGCCTCCTGGCCCTGCTCCTCAGTCCAACGGCTGGGGCGCCGGTCACAATCCTCGTCCCTTCAATCCCAATGCCTACGGTGCTCCGGGTGGTGGTCACGGCGGCGGCCATGGCGGCGGATATGGTGGCAGCTACGGTGGTGGCGGTTCTGCCCGAGGTTCAGGAGAAGGTCAGTGGAGAGATGGTCAACACATTGCTGGTCCACCGAATCCGAAGGTCGAGCGTGAGCTGTTTGGCGTGCCCAACGACCCGACCAAGCAGACTACTGGCATCAACTTCGCCAACTACGACGACATTCCCGTCGAAGCCAGCGGTCATGACGTTCCTGAACCCGTCAACTCCTTCACAAACCCTCCCCTCGATGATCACCTACTCGGCAACATCAAACTCTCTCGCTACACCACCCCCACACCTGTACAAAAGTACTCGATCCCCATCGTCATGGGCGGACGAGATCTCATGGCCTGCGCTCAGACTGGTTCTGGCAAGACTGGTGGTTTCTTGTTCCCAATCCTCTCCCAGGCCTTCCAGAATGGTCCGTCTGCCAATCCAGCAAGCGGAGGTGGTTTCCGCCAACGCAAGGCGTTCCCGACTTCTCTGATTCTTGCCCCCACCCGCGAGTTGGTCTCCCAGATCTACGACGAAGCTCGAAAATTCTCATACCGCTCTTGGGTGCGACCATGTGTGGTCTATGGTGGCGCCGACATTGGCACTCAGCTCCGCTCCATCGAACGTGGCTGCGATCTGCTCGTTGCTACCCCCGGCCGTCTCGTCGATCTCATAGAACGAGGTCGCATCTCATTGGCCAACATCAAGTATCTGGTTCTCGACGAGGCCGATCGTATGCTTGACATGGGTTTCGAGCCCCAGATCCGCCGCATTGTCGAGGGCGAAGACATGCCCACCGTCCAGAACCGTCAGACGCTCATGTTCTCAGCAACCTTCCCCCGCGACATTCAGATGTTGGCGAGAGATTTCCTCAAGGACTATGTCTTCTTGTCTGTCGGTCGTGTCGGCTCGACATCCGAAAACATCACCCAGAAGGTCGAATATGTCGAAGATCAAGACAAGCGCTCCATCTTGCTTGATATCCTTCACACACACAAAGCCGGTCTGACTTTGATCTTCGTGGAGACCAAGCGCATGGCTGATACCTTGTCCGACTACCTCATCAATCAAGGTTTCCCAGCTACGGCAATCCACGGTGATAGAACCCAGCGTGAGCGTGAGCGAGCTCTCGAGTTCTTCCGCAATGGACGATGCCCAATCATGGTTGCCACTGCTGTTGCCGCCAGAGGACTTGATATTCCCAATGTGATGCACGTTGTCAATTACGACCTCCCAACTGATATCGATGACTATGTCCACCGCATTGGTCGTACTGGTCGTGCTGGCAACACCGGACTATCGACTGCGTTCTTCAACCGCGGTAACCGAGGCATTGTTAGGGACTTGATTGAGCTTCTCAAGGAGGCCAACCAGGAAGTCCCCGGCTTCCTGGAGAACATTGCTCGCGAGAGCTCTGGCTTCGGAGGCGGTCGCGGAGGACGTGGCCGTGGCGGTGGCGGTCGTGGTGCTTCTGCTACTCGTGATATGCGTCGCATGGGCGGCGGTGCGGGCGGAGCAGGAGGTCCTCCTTCTTACGGCGGCGGATATGGTGGTGGCAGTGGCTACGGCGGCGGCGGCGGTAAGTCTCCTTTCAGCTTCCATTTGCTCAAAGCATTCACTGACAGTGGCAGGCTATGGTGGTGGGGCTCCCTACGGCGGTGGGGCTTATGGCGGCGGAGGATATGGCAACCCTGGTGGTGCCAGCGGTCCATCTTCCTGGTGGTAAACGGTCAATGGCGTTTACGCACGACACGGCATTGACTTCTTCTTCTCAACTCGGTATTTCCTTTCGACTTCGACACTTGTGCTCTTGAAGGGCGGCCAGGCGTTGTGAAGCATGAGCAGGCTCTGACTCAACAGGAGCTTGCTTCTTCGACCATGGCGACGCAAAGGTCGCTTTTCGAGCAACTGTTTTTATCGGGCACAGCATGATACACTGATAGATAGCGTTGGCTTTTTCCGATCGATTTCCAGATACCCTCAGCATGTCGAAACTTCCTCATGTGAACAGAGGAAAAACAGACGATGTGTGCGACGAACACCAGACTCACAACACGGCGTCGGTTTCAAACGGAAGAGAGTGGCGACGGCGCACGCACAAACTTGCAGCAATGAATGACGAGACTCAATGATGGCCCTCGAGAGGGCTTTCAGGCTTGGAGGCTTCCTTTCCGGCCACGGTCGAGGTTCGTTCTTCGGCGACGAAAAGCACCAAAAGTTATTGCAGGTTTCTTCTCTCTTTCGCCATCCTGTGGGACATGAATCAAATAGACTTTTTCGACATGTGGACATGACACGAATGATCAATCACGAGCTTTTACGAGAGGTCCAGGGGACAACAGGAAATGACCGGGATCATATGGATGGAAGCTTTCTACCACGGACAAGGGCAGAAAGATAATCGGTACAGAGCATCTGTGCATCTTCCCAGGGTTTTTCTGGTCCGTGGGCTTCTTCCACGCTCCAAAGGCTTGTGCTTGACGACCGAGCATACTTGACGAGACCCAGAGGGAAAGGTCTTCGCTGGCGCATTAGAATCAGGCTTACCAGGCCACAATTGCACCATTAGCTTCACAGTCAATGAAAAGTTATTCATGACAAAATCGTTTCCAGTTTGACCAACATGCTGGCCTTGCCCGTCCGGGTCTGATTGTCAGAAGGACGAGGTAGCGAGTGCGCCAGTGTTTTGCAGATGGTCGGGACGTTGCTGAAGATTCGTCCGCACTCCGCCGGGAGCAGACAGGCTTCCCCATCCCACTGCCGTGACTCGCAAAAGCCGTTCTTCTCCATGTCAGCGCTTCTCGGCGTGTGATGTTTACCTCCTGAGACTGTCTTCGAGGCACCGCAGTGGTTCGAGACTGAGTGAAATGCCCGAGTCGACGATGGACGTGTCGAGACGGGCGGCAACTGGATACCCGTGAAAGAATGAGTGCCCACCCCAGACCGGACACCTACCGGAAGCAGACCGTGCATCTTCGAGAAACAACAGCCGAAACCTCATTCGAGACCCGTCGTGCTTCGCCCAGGAGAAAAGAGGGGCTACGCCACCGCCTGTATCCAACTGTCTGCCTGAATCGCAGCGGAAGAGCTTGCTGTAGGTACGAGCTATGGACTTTAGCCATGGAGATAACTCATTGCCCTCGCATGCCTCGATCCAGTAGCTGCTCCTATCTCCACCTGCTTTCTGGCGTGATGGGTACGAGTAGTCCGTACTCCGTCCTCGTGCGGACACGCGAAGGACAGCGTCAACGAAATATATAAAGGAGCCACCTCATTGGAGGTTTTGGCTCATCACTTTGTCACTAACGCTTGAGCTCCAAAGCTTCGAGAGACATTCTTCCTCCGCACTGTCTGTGATATTCCCGTGACCATTTGTGTTTCGTCCTGCACTCACTCACTCTTCTTCCTTCACATTTCCCTAGAACCCAACAGCAAAGCAACCATGAGTAGTATCTTCGCCCCCGCCCCCGAGCCGCCCACAGAGCTGGGTCGGTATCGCATCCTCTCCAGCACCGCTGGCGTCCGGGTCTCGCCGTTGTGCCTGGGTGCCATGTCTATCGGTGATGCTTGGTCCGATGTGAGTTCCGCACCACCATGGATTTTTTGGCCAAGAGCGAAGTCCGACGTCCACAAGAGACGAAACTTCAATCTCGGCCCCTCTTGAATGCGGACGAATGCTGATCAATTTGCTGCATGTATAGTTCATGGGAAGCATGAGCAAGGAGCAATCGTTTAAGCTCCTCGACGCCTTCTACGATGCCGGTGGCAACTTCATCGACACCGCGGTACGTTCCCCCCCTCAGACGAAACCTCCTAGGGCAATCAAAACGATGCATTGGACACCTGCAAGGGCGCAATTCCCCAGCAACGCTGACTTTGGCGTATTGTAGAACAACTACCAAAACGAGCAGTCCGAGAAGTGGATCGGCGAATGGATCAAGGAACGAAAGAACCGGGACCTAGTTGTCCTCGCCACCAAGTACGTCTCTTGTTCCCGGCATTGTTTCTTCTTGCACCACGCAGACTAACACGGGTCGCAGGTTCACCACCGGCTACCGAAGCTGGGAACTCGGCAAAGGAAAGTCGGTCAACTACTCCGGCAACCACAAGAAGAGCTTGCACCTCTCGGTGCGAGACTCCCTGGAGAAGTTGCAAACCGACTATATTGACCTGTTGTACGTGCATTGGTGGGTAAGTTGAAATCTAGGTTCTTTGACTGTTTCAACTTTGAAGGGAGTGCGCCGGCTGACACAGCTCACGTAGGACTGGACGACCTCGATCGAGGAGGTCATGGACAGCCTGCACATCCTAGTCGAGCAAGGCAAGGTCCTGTACCTGGGCATCTCCGACACACCCGCCTGGATCGTGTCCGCCGCCAACACTTACGCCCGGTCCCACGGCAAGACTGTGTTTTCAGTTTATCAAGGTCGCTGGAATGTCATGACGCGCGACTTTGAACGCGACATCATCCCCATGGCCCGGCACTTCGGCATGGCCCTCGCGCCCTGGGACGTCATCGGCGGCGGCAAGTTCCAGAGCAAGAAGCAGATCGAGGAGCGCAAAAAGGCCGGCGAGGGTCTACGCAGCATGATGGGCCCGGCGGGCCAAACGCCGCAGCAGGAAAAAGTGTCCGCCGCGCTTGAGAAAGTCGCGGGAGAGCATGGGATCGAGTCGCTCTCGACGATCGCGCTGGCGTATGTGCTCCAGAAGACGCCGCGCGTGTTCCCCATCATTGGGGGCCGCAAGGTCGAGCACCTCCACGACAATATCAAGGCCCTGTCGATCAAGTTGACGGACGAGCAGATCCAGTACCTGGAGAGTCAGACCGAGTTCGACGTGGGGTTTCCGTCGAACTTTGTGGGCGAGTCGCCCGAGGCGACGGGCAAGAGTTCGTGGATCGTGGCGGGTACGGCGCAGATTGCGTATCCCACGCCGGCCAAGGCCGCGGGGCATTGAGTGGGAGAATGAGGATGCTGCTGTTCTGTCAGTCGGGTCCATTGGAGAAGGGCAGGCCGTGGGACGCTGAGGGGGACGTGCAGGCGTGAGGATTGATGGTGCTGTCCGTCATCCATTGAGGAAGGGTAGGCGGTGTGAAAACCCTGCGCAAGACAACAAGATGAACAAGATGAACAAGTTGACACGTCGGAAGTGCAAAGAATCTAGGGGTACAGTAGATGGCGTGGGCAGGCGGTTTCTTTGCCAAGTCACGCAGATTCTCGATGTATGTGCCGAACCCTTGTGCTCCTGGGCTCGATCAATCCGCTTGTGGACCTATACTCAGTCTCCGGTGCTCTCGATTGAGACAGTAGTAGGAGTTCTGGGGCAACCTTCGCAGCAGTGATGTCTGTGTGCCGTGGGTTCTACCGTGGTCCGGCCAGACAGCTATTGTATACAAATTTTGCTTCCTTTTCACCGCCCGCTGAATCACCGAGCTAATGCGCACAAGCAAGCACACAGTAGGCAATATCAAGGACACATATAAACCAAGCAGCAGCTCCGTTCCAGTGGCATATTTTCCAATATTGGGTGGCTAGACAATCAAACCCTCGTAGCAAGCATATCATCCATCATCAACCCTGAACGCCGCTTGAATTTCAAGTTCGATCCCGTTTCGATTCCGCAAGTCGTCTCGGGTCAACGATGGAGAGATCACGATGTCCTCACCCTCATATTCGCTTTAACCCGCTCGATGAGCTCCGCCCTCGTCAGCTTCGAATCGGCCGTGAGGTTGCGCTGCGCACATAGTTAACATTGTCCATGTGTCGGTATATCCGTCCCGTCCCTCGGGGTGTGCTATTGTGATGGAAGTCTATACCACTGTCCGAGTACGTATGCGGCCATCCGAATAATGATCGACTGACGCGCATAGGTAGACAGGTAGACAGGTACGCCCGCAAATAGGTATGGAAGGGGGCAACCGCACAAACAAACACAGGGACTCACCAGCTTCAGCCACCTCCGTAGCTCGGTCTCAGTCCAGGATTCTGGATCTGTGGATAGAGGTTATTTTAGCCCTTGAAGTAACGGTCAAGTACATGGCCACATGTGACACAACCTGCTGGTCAAAAAGAGAGGCAAGTGGTAAGTAGACAACGTAACATACTGCCAGTGGGATCCTTCTCCGGGGGAAACATTTCACCAGACCACATATTCCAAAGCGACGCGACGGTTACGAGGCCCGCGAACCCTAGAAAGGGGTAGAAGAGGTCAGTGTCGAGGGTTGGCATTGTGCTTGTGGTGCTTGGGATGTGGTCGCGGGTTGATCTCTGGCAAATCTCAAGCGCGACTGTGTGTAGACCTCGTGGAAGTAGGTGGAATGGCGAACAGGAATGGGTCGGCCAGTGTATAGTCTACTATGTGGTCTGAGATGCAAGATGCAAGATTGTATGACCTGTTTGGTCTGGAGCGGTCGCATCACATCCCGTCTCATCGCAACGCGAACGAAGGGGAGGAGTGTGAAGGATGGAGAACAAACCGAAGAAGAGGTTCTAGACACCAGCCATCGAGTTAGTGATAACGTTAGAGATCGCTCCCCCTTGTGGCGCGGGAGAGAAGTCACCCCTTGTAGTGTAGTACAGTGTATCCGTTTGAGGTCAAGACAAATAAATGGCCGTGTAACAGTGGAGGCAAAGGGAAGAGGAGACAACGCGACGTACACGAGATTGCATGGCTCGATCCAGCGGAGTGGGCATATTGGATCAGTTCAGTCTCGGGTGCCGGTTCCAGGACTCGTAGAGTTGTTTGAGGGTACCGACTACTTGATCTTTGCGGGGTGTGGGCAGTACAGACATCCGGCTTCAGGTGGTATATATACGGCGGAAGGGAAGACGGCAATGGAGAAGAGGACAGGTATAGGTAGGGATTGCCAACTCGTACTTGGTATGACTGATGCCTTGTGAATGGGGAGTGAGAGGAAGGTGATTGGCAGGTGACAGCACCACGCAGCACCAACCGAAGGGACTCAGTGCCTGGGGGAATGACGTTGCATGGTAGGCCTCGTCTGATTGGCCGGATGCATGCTTGCATACCTACAGTATATCTAGCATACCACCACATACTCTGTAGCTCTCAGGAGCTGCTCAGATTTGCCGTGGCGTGGAGAGTACCTCCAGTCGGCTCTGCTTTGGCTCTACCATTCCAGACGGTCGTCACACACAAGTCTAACGTCATATCTCTCCTTCCTCTTCCACACCTGGCCAGCAGAATTGCAGCCCGCGACAATCCTTCGTAGATCCGAAACCATTTCACCCGGCCCACTAGCATACACGACGGTAGGGCCACAGACCGTCGTATCAAGAAAGCCCTGCATGATACTGGTGAGATCTGGTCGGCCATCTTGGGGTTCAGAGTCGGGGTCCGTCGGGTGATGGATCGATAAGGTATCGACACACGTGGCTTCTTTGTCCTTCTCTAGCTGGTGGGAGGACGACGACGTGACCGAAGCCGAGGACACTTGGATTCTGTCGTCTTGAGGTCCTACACTCAAGGCTTCGACCTGCTTGAGGCCATGGGACCCAGGATCCAAGTCGCGTTCCCTCGTAACAAAGATGCGAACCTTGATATCATGCAACACTGCTGACCGGCGCAGTTGATCAATCTCTTGCCTCACCCAGGCGACATCTGCATCCCTCCGAACAGCCCAGACGAGGTCCAATTTGCGGTCGGGGACAGGGCGCCTGGCAGTTAGTCCGAGAAGCACGGGCAGAACGAAGGTTATGCCAGTTCCGCCAGCAATGCAGAGGACGTTCGTGTTCGGCGTCAAGTGGTCCATGATTTCCTGGCCGTACGGCCCGGTGAGAAGTACTGAGGTCGATGCGGCCGGAGTGGCGGCTACCTTGCTGTCGTGGGAAGAAGCGATGGTCTTTGCTGCTGCCAGGTCGGCTACGGCTCTTGTGGCCCCCTTCTTCGCGCGCAAGATGTACGAATGGATTGAACCTTGGGGATTGATTCCTGGCAGGCTGCATGGAGTAAACGGATGTGATTGCCAGATAGTGATCTCGGGAAAGCAGAGATAGAAATGTTGGCCGATTTCCCAGGGCCTGCTCGGATGCACAAAGTCCAGGCGGACTACATCCCCATTGACGGAGTCTGGAAATCGTGTAATCGTTGCGCTTGCTCCTCGGAAGCCCATGCCGCCGTCAGGGAGGTAGTGGTAATGTAGCAGTGCCGTCCTGACTAGACGTGCTCCACGGTCGATGAACCATATTACCAGGGACGGAATGAGGTAGCAATTCAGCTTGGACCAGTGGCCCCAGCAGGCGCCGATGTACAGTATTGCCATCACGTAGTGGCACTTCCTGAAGAACTCGTATCCCGTCCGGCGGATGGCCCATGGTGTGCTCAACACGAAGAGCACGGTCAGGAAGAACATGGCGAGCACGCCCCATATCATGTATTCTTCTTGGATCCATTCGAGGCCCACCGAGGGCTGAGGCTGGTACAACCTCATCTGGATTACACACCATCCTATCGTGTGCAGTGCCGACTGGACGAAGATAATGTAGCCGAGCCAGCGGTGCAGGAAGTTGAAGCTCTGATAAGGCACGCCCGTGATAATTGAGAGTAGCGACTCTCGACTCGACAGCATCACCGACATGGGCGTCAGGGCATACGCCAGAACTCCAATCCGGTCCGACCAAGGACCCAGGCTTGTGCGAGTATTGTTTACCCCGGGCATGTTCTTGACGGGAGTTACCCATCTGCGGTACTCAATCCCCACGAATGAGAAGACCGTCAGATATCCAGTCAACGTGAGCAGGACGAGCACTTGGAGACGAGTTGTACGGCCGAAGATTGCTCGGAGGGATTCAGAAAGCAAGTAATGACGGCAGAGGGCTGCAACAGAATCCTTCAGGCGGTGGATGTAGTGCTTGTTGTCGGTTCTCTGGCTCTCCATGGTCAGAAGCCGGCTCTGCTCCGTATCGAGGGGTGGAAAGAGATGCCTGCCAATAGCCCAGACGAGGAGAATGCCTCCGATCGTTGCCCAGATGATCCCGCAATACAACATACCCAGGTCGTGGCTGTGATATACGACGTCCAAGTATTCGCACGAGCCTGGATCGTTGGTGCACGGAAGTGCTCGATTCGGATATCCCCAGTGAGGCTGGAGGTACTTAGCCTCGCTTATATTCTGGATATGACGAGAGACCAGCATGCTGGAGTGCGAAGCCATGTCGGATACGGCGTCGGGGCGCTGCTGAATCGAGTTCAATGTGCCTGCTGCAGCGCCAAATGCAGAGGGATGCCATCGCATATATCATCGAATTTCCTGCTTTGTGAGCTCCGTACCATGTCCCATCACTTCTCCTCCTCAGGCGCTTGATCCAGCAGCCTCGATTCTTTTGGTCATCGTGTTGTCTGGTTCGAGCATGGATCAACCTACACGGCCGAACCTATTCGATCCCGACAGGGTGGATACTGATAGTCGAGACCCTCACGACGAATGCCGCTTACAGCGGTTGATAGCACGATAGGATCGCGGTGATGCATGCTAGTACACCGAGCAATGCCATGCAGGGAGGATGCGCAAGTTTGCCAAGTCCACTGCGCAGATTCTTTGTCGTGGTGAGCAAGTTTCTGTATCGACAGCTTCTGCACCCGCTAGCTTGGCGAGCACTAACCACAAAGCGGGTAATATGCTCTCCTTTTTGTTATTCTTCATTCCTCTTGTCGGTAGAAGTGCCATTGGCCGGTTCGCTGTCCTTCGCCTCCGCTACGGGCCACCTACCGGCCTTGCTACATTCAGAGATGATAACCTGGGGAGATATATGCGCGGATGTTGCCTCTGGTGTAGGAAACCGTTCGTCCACCCCAGACTTCACAACGCATTGCGAGCAGAGACGATTGCGATCAGCATGGACCATTCGACTATGGCAAGTATGACCATGTCAATGGCGTCCAATACCGCTGCAGCACCGGCGGCCACATCGTCCGTCATGAGCATGGAGGGTATGGATATGGGAGGCTCTTGCAAGATTTCGGTAAGATCCTGTTGACGGCAATGGTATCGGCCGTGCTGATCAAGCGAGCAGATGCTGTGGAACTGGTACACGATCGATACCTGTCTGTCTCGCGCTCGCTGAAGCCAAGACGTATCCATTGACGCGGCTACAGGCTTCCTCGCCTCCAGTTGGCACGTCCGCTCCGAAGGAGCATTTGCTGCTTCTTGCATCGGTGCCGCCCTACTCGCTGTCAGCATTGAGTTTATGCGGCGAGTCGGGAAGGAGTATGACAGCGCCATCCTCGCTCAGTTCCAGCGCCGCGTGGCCGCGCGTGCAGCGGATTTAAAGACAACAAACAGCTCCGAGGGCTGCGTCTCTGAGCCCCAGTTCGTGGTCTTTCGCGCCACACCTCTCCAGCAGCTCGTCAGGGCAGTCATTCATGGCGTCACATTCGGAATTGCATACATTGTCATGCTGCTTGGTGAGTTGGGGCCCTTGACTGTCACGCAACCACTGACTAGCCTCGTGGTCCAGCAATGTACTACAATGGATATATCATCATCAGCATATTTATTGGGGCTGGACTGGGAAAATTCCTCTGCGACTGGATGGTGCAAAGGGTGCCGGCTGGCGGGATGTTGGCAGCGTCGACTGGTCGGGGTATCGAGGAGCCGACTGTTTGCTGTGGGTAAAGCAGATCGAGCACCGACCATGCACCTTCATGCTGAAAGGCTGCCACATAAGGACGGAAGCTGGACGATAGGTATATGCGTACGCTCGGGACGAGGGCCGCATGCGCTCAGCAAGAACATTGAATCCCACGGCAAAGTCTTCATAAAGGGGTATCATATTGTATCGTCGTGACCATCGTGAGACAAAGGTCCCATAAATCTGTACAACATCATCGAAAAGACGACCCAATAAGCCCCAAGGGTCTACGAAAAAAACCCTCAATCAAGCCGCAGTCGCAGCAACGCCTTCGCTGCGGACGCAAAACTCAACAATCAGTTTCTGCAAATCGGCCAGTTTATAAGGCTTCGTCATGAATCCTTCCATGCCTGTTTTGGTCGCCCGATCGATGGCCTCATCTGTGACATCGGCGCTGACAGCCAGCACAATGGGAGGAGCCACGTGGCTAGAGTCGGAGGCATCTGCATCTGGAAGATGCTGGAACATCTTCATGATGTTCTCCGTCGCCTGATACCCGTCCATCTCGGGCATCCAAAGGTCCATCAGTATGACGTCCACTTTCCTAGCAGGCCGTTGCGCTTTCGACTTGGCGCAATCCCGCTCCATCTTATGCAGTTCGCGCATGATCCTCACGGCCTCCCTGCCATCGAATGCTTCAAGAATATCCTTGTATCCTAGTTTCCCAAGCATATTGACGAGTAGCTTTCTGTTGATTTTGTTGTCTTCGGCAACCAGGAATGTAAGGGGATGTTTCTGTGCAAGAAAGCGATCGATCTGGTCTCTCTTGAAAGGACTGGTCGGTGCCGGAGTGCGGGGTCCCGAAGTAGGGTGCTCCTGAACGGAGGGCATATATATCTGTGGTGGGCGGGGACTCCCCGGCGCACTGGGTGACGACTCCGGTACTGTCAGCGAGGTCGTTTGCTGAGAAACGCCCTTCAAGGCTTCTGGGGTCCGGCTGCAAGGGGTACCAGACCGGCTGTTGTTACTTTCGCTTGGTTCAAAAGGTACTTTGATCTCAAATTCGGAGCCTTTGTTCGGACCCGAGACATCGGATGCCACGAGAATAATATCACCACCAAGTCGTCGTGCTAGACCCTTGGCGACCAAGAGTCCTAAACCAAGACCTTCCTTGGTCCGCGTCAGAGAATCGTCCTCTCGCGAGAATGGTTTAAACAACTCCGGTTGAAAATCCACTGGAATGCCATCGCCCGTGTCTTTGCAGTTAATGACCAGAAACCTCTGGCTTTTTGAGAGTCGAGCACGCAGGATAATATAGCCCTCCTCTGTAAACTTAATGGCGTTGAGGCAGATGGCTGACACCAACTTGGTCAAGTCCCGTTCATCGGCGTAGAGGGTTTCCGGGACATCTGGCGCTACGGACCATTCGATCGTCTTCTGCGAGGTATGGCCATTCGACGCTCGCGACCTGACCACTATCCGTTCTCCACAGTCGATGGGTTCGCCGATAGCAGAATCCGGCCTGCCACCCACACGCAGAGACTCGTAAATAACTGTCGGTATTAGCTCTCGAATTCTACAATGTTTCAACCCCGGCGTTGGTAAGGTATCGCTATCCAACGATAACAACTTGGTGGAAGGTGTGTCTAGATCTCCGGGGGTAATGAACTCTGACGTTGGTGTGAAAACGGTCGGAATGCGAGTGTCTGAACCGAGTGTTTGCGGTGTGGGTAATTGGGGAGGAGGACATCTGAACGTATTGCTCTTCGGTGACACATCAATGCCCTTGGATGGTGCAAGTTGCCGGATCTTGGTGGCATTGCCGAAGTGCCATGAAGTGGGACTGCTTCGTCTTCGCTTGTACGTATTGAGATGGATGTCGCTGCCCTCGATCAGGCGCGATGGTTTGTAATCGAAGTAGCCGGTGGATGCAGCAGCTGGCGACTCGTTGTCGTTCGAAGGAGTATCTGGGACTTGCATATTCATGTCGTACGCATGGACAACGTTGTCGGCGGCCTCAACCGCTCGTTTGGCACTGTCCTGAATGGTTTCGATATTGTCTCTCAGGCTCTGGAACAGTCGACAGACAGAAGTATCCGGAACGCTCTCGATCTGTTCCTGCACCGTAGCATGCATGACATCTAACATTCCTACGACGCCCTGCATTGGCGTCCTTAGTTCATGTGACAAGTTTTTGGCGTATGGCTTCAGCGACTGGGTCCCTGGCGTAATCGCGTCACAGGGAATAACATGAGGCGGTCGAGTTTTAACAGCGGTGCGGGTTCGAGACTTGGCAAGTCCCTGCCCGGTCAAGAGACGCTCGACGATGACATCTTCCAAGGAATGTAATAGAAGTTCCGTGAAACTCCACGTCGTCTCGCGCCTATCCAGGCCTTCCTGCGTCCACATCATACCGAAATGGGCGAAGCACTTGCCATCTGCGAAGAGCGGAATGCCGATATAGCCTTCTGCTGGGGACGGTAGGGCGTTTGGATTGTGCGTGATGAAAGAGCTCATGTGTTCGGGAATGAGGAAGACCTTGTCATGCTTCATATAGGAACAAGGAGACCCCCAAGCAAGATAGTTGTAGTCTCGGTGCATGGCTTTCTGCTCATCCCCGTCGTTGTAGTAGAAGGCAACACCCAGCAGGCACGAGCCTGACTCGCCAAAGGGGGGCATCTCTACTGCTGAATGGTGGTCATCGGCCAGTACTCGCTTCGCGACAAATCCGTACTGGGCATGGCATATCTCGGTCATACCCTCCATGAGCTTTTTCCAGAAGGTATCCGAGTCCACCGTCTTCAGTTCCCTTTTCAATTGCACCACCTTCTCCACAGCATTGTTTTCCGCCGAGGGAAAGTGTCTCGCCAGATTCTGAAGAAAGCCATCTTCTCCACATTGCGTAGGCACACCGGGGCAAAGGCTGGGGAGACACAGCGACTGTCGTTCGATGAGAGGTATGAGTGGATCAATTCCAGGAGGTTGTCGAGCCATTACTGCCATGGCCTTTTCCTCGCCTCTCACACAGCTCTCATATGCTACATGCAATGACCGACCTCGTCAACATCGGGGTCGCCCGTAAGTCGCAGGTGTCGTGCTGTGTGGATGCTGAGAGGCCACAAAGGCCTTCATCAATCGTAAGGTGTTTGTAGTTCGGTATCGCCAAGCTCGATTTGTCAGGAGGACCTAGGTGCGATGTGGAATTCTAGAACGCAGAGGGGCCAGGTACGGGAACGGCAGGGTGACGGTGAATGGTTGGGAACAGGTAGAAATTATCAACAGACGGGTCGCTGGCGAGAGGTGACTAGTAAGCTAGAGACATGAATGGAGAAGGCAGGAGAAGCGTTTGGTAGCGGGACGCAGCTGGAGGACGAGGACAAGAAGCCAAGGCAGGATGCAACACCGGGCGGAGGCTGAAGCTGAAGCGTGCGCCCGACCCGCCCGCAGATTATGGGCAGATATGAAGTACTTGTGGTGCGTACTACCAGCTCAGGCTTAAGACCGTGTGCCGGGACTGATCGTGATTATTCTCACTTATACACGGACTATAGAATCGTGTTTTGGTCTGGGAAAGCCCGGTGAGGTGCCGAAGACAGCTCCTGACAATGTGAAGCGCCGAAGAATTCTTCTGGCATTCGCCTGCAAGGAGCGTCGATCCATTACACAAGGCTACCTCGTACTGTACAACAGATCTTTCCGACTTTTCCTCTTCTCTCTACTTCTGCGAGTACGGAGTACGCCCGCCGGAATTTCCATCCTTGCGAAACTTGAATGAGGATTGCTAGAGCCCTCAGCTCGGACCAGTAGCGAATGCGGGCGCAGCCGGCATCCCAATGCAACTCTACAAGGTTCCCGTGTATGCGATTTCCCGTGTGGCATCTTGGATACTGCAAGTGTTCCTCTTTCCCATAGTTTCGTACAGGGGAACAGGCCTCTGTTAGTGCTGGCAGAGGCCTCTTTGACTCGTCCACACCAAAGCCGCATCACTACGCGAAGGCCTAGATGTTAGGCACCTGCAAACTGAAGTTAAAATAACGCACCGCCTGTTGCATGACGCGGGTGGCATCCTTCTTCAGAATACACAGTATGCCCTCACGGGGCGTCAGCATGTTGGATTTATGAGAGCCACGAGAGCGTCGGTTCGATTCTGAACAGGAGAGCAGTGGAGACATGCCGTTGGACATGCGCAACCGTGGCGGGAGTCTAGGCCTGGATGGACCGCATCCACCGGGCAACAACCCTGCACATGCAGTCTTCATCTGGCCACAGCGCCGTCGGTGCCTTTGCTGTGTTGCAGTCTGTCTACGGAGCCAGGACAGCAGTCGCCGCACATTCCTGGCAGGGCGCACCACTCGCATTGACACCAGTAGCACCACGGGCATGCGCTAGACATACAGAAATCGGTCGCAGAGGTTTCCATCAAGCCGTGATCTTGTTCTGGTACATGGTATTCAGAAATGCGAGATGCTGTGAGCGACTTTATGAATGCGGTACACCTCATGCCCATCAAATGTTCTAGGCTTTTCATCGCCTACGTTTGCCCCCATAGCGCTGGACTGCGACTAGCGCCAATGACATCACCAAAGTGCTTCGCTGCGGCTAAGTCGGCATTGCTGGCACTGGCTCGCTTCCTGTGTCTCTCACCGCCAATGACCAAAGACGACTGGGGGCATGTCGACATCAAAATTCTTCCGGCGGCACTGAACTCTTTTCCGTTGTCAAGGTCCAAGCTTGAGCTCGGGTCCAAGGACGCGACGCTTTATTCCTGTATTTGCAGTACTCAGTACCGAGTACGAGTACTCATTGAAGTTGATAGAATGTGTACATCACATGAACCCAGTACTCATAGCACTCCATGGCACATTGTCGCTCCAATCACCCCTGACTGTGCTCTGGAATGTGTTTCACTTTACTTGGAGCACATTAATGAAGCAGCAGTGACCAAGATGCCAAGTCCGGTACTGCGTCGAAGCACTTATTTGCCTGGAATATGCAATCACTGTCCCATATCATCAAGCCGGTCTCTCCTGATTGTCCGATGAAGGATAGCGCTACGAACCAACTACCGGACACGACTCTTAGGTCTGTGCGATCCCATCGAGAGCTGATATACGACTTCGACACGCGGCACGTCAATCACCATCTTGCGTCTGTACCGTCCTGTGAAGAATCTGACTGGTGGGCCGACTCGTGCTTGACTCCTGGTGCTAATCAAGTATCTCTTGTCTGTGCCAACATTCCTGGCTGCACACACAACTTGTGTTGGTAACGACTATGTTCGCTATGTAGATCGATCCTTTCGAACATGGTGTACGGCTTGCTCGATTTGCGGGGGCCGAGGCTTATGTTGACGGCTTCCCGCTTCGGCTCCAGGTTGGCAATAGCAACCGAGGCAACGCCTCCAAGATGTCGCGTGAATATAGGAAAATTGAGAAACTGGTGGTCGGGAATCCCAGACTGCCTCGTGAGTAGGCAACGATAGATCAGGTGTCCAAGGCTTTCTAGCGGAGTATCAGGAAAAAAGGTGTTGCAAGACCCAAAGTGTTCGAAATGAAGACTTATAAATCGAAAGACCCTGCCATCGACATTCCGACTGATCTAAACCTTACAGAACTGCTCCTAACTAGTGCTCGCTCACCAGCACTACCAGCTGACCATGTCATAGCCCAGGACGATGCCGAATACCGCGCTCTCACCATCAGCCAGCTTCGATCGAACGCCGGCTGCCTCGCAGCAGGTCTGGCAAAGCAATACAGACCAGAAGACCAAAGCCGTTGGGGGATGATTCTGCCGAACAGTGTTGCCTACCTGGAAGCGGTTCATGCTGTCTTATGGCTAGGAGGTGTATTCTGTCCGATAAATCATCAGTTGAAGGTGGGAGAGATTGCACATGCGCTCACGGTGTCGAAGCCCGCATTCCTCATCGTGTACTCAGAAGTCGTCCAGCACGTAAAGGATGCTGTCAAACTGGCCTGCCAAGGTTGCTCCAGCTTCAAACCTCCGGAATTGCTGACCGCCATCGGACCTCCCGTCAAAGGGTGCCGAAGCCTATTTGGAGATTTTATGGCCTCCAAGCCGTTACCGGTACCTCACAATACAGACACCAGAAAAAGACTCGCATCTATTCACCTCTCATCGGGAACGACTGGAAATCCGAAAGGGGTGGGTCTTTCACACTACAATTATGTTGCGAATGTGTTGCAGATGTGGGCGCATGACCCAGAACACTGGTCCCCGGAAGAGAGAGTTGTGTCCTACACGCCGTTTGTGCACATTGCGAACAGTAAGTCTGAGGCTTATTGACAACAGGTCCTGTGATGGAGATCGGTGTCGTGGGACGTATGGGCATGTCGGAATATTGCTGATATTGACCTGGCAGCAACGATACCGCTCTTTCTCGGACCGTGGACTGGTATGGAGCACATCATCATGCTATCATATGATATCGAGGGGTGGGCAAAAACCATGCAACGGACAAAGGCCACAGCGGCACAAATCACCCCAAATGCTGCCTTGAGTATCGCAACGACAGACTTGGCCGAACGCTACGACTTTTCGAGTATCAGGCACATGACGTGCGGAGCTTTCCCACTGAAACAGGAGGATTACGACAGATTTCTGCGGAAAGGCAATTGGAAGACAGTGGCTTTATACGGAATGACGGAGGCTGCCCCGTACGTCGCCTGGCAAAAAATTGGGGAGGCGCTGCCGCTGGGCAAGAGCGGAACGATTCTGCCAAACATTCTCTGCTCGCTGAGGCTAGAGAACGGTGACAGCGCTGCAGAGGGCGGGCCGGGAGAGCTGTGGCTCAAAGGTCCGAACCTGGCGGCTGGTTACCTTGACAATCCTAAAGCGAATCGAGCTGCTTACGACGAAACTGGATGGTACAACACTGGCGACGTGTGTACTATCTCCCCAGAGGGCCATCTTCAGGTGGTGGGAAGGACAAAGGAGCTTATCAAATACAATGGGTTCCAGGTTTCGCCCACCGAACTCGAAGCCCATCTCATCTCTCATCCGGCGATTCTGGATGCTGCGGTCGGAGGGACCTGGGACTCGGCAAAGATGACCGAATTACCTACCGCCTACGTCGTGCTCAAAGCGCATGTTAAGGACCCGGACCAAAAGGTCCAGGCACTGCAAAGTATTCAGAGGACTATTGATAGTCAAGTGTCGGGATACAAGAAGCTGCGTGGAGGGGTATTTGAGGTGACTGCTCTTCCTCGCACGCCAACCTTGAAGCTCGTCAGGAAGCAGCTCGGGATCCATAAGACGGGACTGTCATGGTTCTCTGACGGGGAAAGGTGTTCTAAACTGTAGAGAGCCACATATTGGGTCACAACTACGTGGCTGCTGTGGCCGTTGTCCAATGCAAAGGCCCTACGATCAGCTTGTCGACCTGGCTGCTGCATCGTTCCTGCACCGAGACGCGGACAAATCCGTCCGACACCGATACCCGCACATCCACCGCGCAGCCGGGTCGATGACCGGGGGATCGGGGCTTGCGGGCTCGGAGGCTTGGGGAAGTTGTGTGGTTATCAATCTTTATCTTTTGGAATTGTCTGGAGGCGGTGGGCGTATCGAGTACTTGCTGATTTGGTTGGTACATAGCTACTGTGTATAGGATGCATCTCCCTGGTCTTCCTACGTCTTGTCAGCGACCGATATCAACCACTTCTTGTAACTCATCCTAATCCAATACGTACCTGACTCTATCTTTCTCCATCTTTTCTACGGTTCTTGTGCGACTGGACAAATCTACGCTCTTTCTGCGCCCATACCATACATCCGTCAAACCAATTGGGCTGTGATATGCGAGGCTAGGGTGCTCGCGTGCTTCGGCTCCCATTGTAACAGAAGCCAGTACGTACCTGGGTACCTAGTACGTAACTGGACTGCCCGCTGTCACTTGCGTCATATTGAACGTCTGATACTACACAGTCCACTTCCAGGTGCAAACGCTTTGGGCTGGCGTGCTAGACCTGCGTCTTGACTAGAGGGAATCTGATAAGGGCCGGTCACTGGGATTGTACTTTCCGGTTGCATTGCAAAGCCCGCTCCTGCTCCAGAGCTTCCTAGTTGGGCTTAATAGGCAACTGATCTGCAATTGCAAAGATGCCGTCGTCGCTCTTTAACGGTGCATTCCCTTCACTCTCTTCGTGGGCTACCAAGGCTTTCGCGCATCTCTTCGTCATGTTGTCGCTTCTGCAGCTGGCTTGTGCCATCGTTCTGCCGCCTCTGTTACAGCAGGCAGGGGCCAATCCTCTTCCCGCGGTGCGCCAGAGCGATGCGCCAGGCACAATTGGCGCTGTCGCGAGTGAGAGCACCGTATGCAGCGAGATTGGCATCGACCTGTTGCGGCAGGGTGGAAATGCTGCTGATGCGGTGAGTCAACCCAACCTGTCCGTGAATGAGAATGAACATGGAGTAATGTCTGGAAGCTCGTCGGCACCGTCTTTTGCACTGGTACGATCCTCCCTGGTTCCGTGGCGAACATACAGGCCTTTTCGGTTTGGTGAAGTTCTCATTTTGTCACAGGAGTAATCGGCATGTATCATTCAGGGATCGGCGGAGGCGGTTTCATGATCGTGCGCGGTTCAAATGGGAGCTACGAGGTCATAGACTTCCGCGAGACGGCGCCTGCTGCTGCCTTCCAGGATATGTACAACAACAACACTAATGCGAGCATCTTTGGCGGACTGGCTAGGTACGCGCTCTTGGACCCTGAGGGCTGGAAATTTCGGCAAGCTAACCTCAACAGCGGCGTACCAGGAGAGATAAGAGGCCTGGCGCATTTGCATCAGAATTACGGCAAGTTGCCATGGAAGCGAGTCATGCAGGGGGCAATTAAGACGGCAAGGGAAGGCTGGGAGGTGTCCGAGGATCTTGTGAGGTACATGAAATCGGGGATGGCCTCTGCGGCAGTACCAAACTTCCTGATTGAGGATCCTAACTGGGCTATTGACTTTGCACCGAATGGAACTCTTCTGGGGATGGGGGACACAATCACGCGGAAGAGATATGCTGATACATTGGAAACGATTGCGGAAAAAGGACCCGATGTTTTCTACAAGGGACCCATCGCCGAAGCCACGATCGCGGCGGTACAGGCGGCGAACGGAACCATGACTTTGGAAGATCTGCGCAATTACACAGTCGCCGTCCGAGAAACAGCAAACATCACGTACCGCGGATACCGGCTGTTCAGTTGCAGCGCGCCCAGCTCTGGTGAGGTAGCATTGTCTGTGCTTAAAATTCTGGAGCAGTACCCCGATCTCTATCATGGGGGAATGCTCAACCTCAGCACTCATAGGCTGGACGAAGCTATCAGATTCGGGTACGGAGAGAGAACCAATCTTGGGGACCCATCCTTTGTTGGGAACCTGTCAGCATACCAAGACGACATGCTCTCAGAAGCGACAGCACGCTACATTCGGAACAAGATCTCGGACCACAACACCCTTAACGTCTCGGCGTATGATCCCAATGGCATTGAATCGCTTGAAACGCCGGGCACGTCTCACGTGGTCACCGCGGATGCATCAGGGATGGCCATTTCTCTGACCACGACCATCAACCTGTTGTTTGGCTCACAAGTCCTGGTGCCGGAAACCGGAGTGATCATGAACAATGAAATGAACGACTTCTCTATCCCCGGATCTTCGAACGCGTTTGGCTATGTGTAAGTATTCCCCGAAACCGTGCCCGGTTTACGTGCATTTGCATACTGGTCTGCTGTCCGAACAGAGGTCTTAAAAAGCTGACGCCGTATCAGTCCGAGTCCTTCCAACTACATTCGACCGGGCAAGCGCCCCTTATCCTCGATCTCACCCACCATCGCCGAGTTTGCAAATGGGACATTGTACTACATCACTGGTGCTGCTGGAGGTTCTCGAATCATCACTGCCACCATCCAAAGCCTTGTGCATGTGCTGGACCAAAACATGACGGCACCCCAAGCACTGGCGCAGCCCCGTCTACACGACCAACTTATTCCCAACCAGGTGGCATTCGAGTATGCATACAACAACAAGACGGTCGCTTTCATGAAAGCCCGGGGACATAATGTGACCTGGATTGCTCCTGGCCAAAGCTCCGCTCAGAGCATCCGACGGCTGCCGAACGGAACGTTCGAGGCTGCTGGTGGTAAGTGCCTTCAATTCGCTATCGTCGCGGGTCTCTGTACGGTGACAGCATGCTAACAATATGTCTTGTTTCTTTTAGAGCCTCGACAGAAGAACTCCGCTGGGCTGGCAATATGATCAAGTCCATGAAGGAAACATTATCGACTGAGCTTGCCGCCCACTGCGGCGCACACATCCCAGATAATGCACTAGATATGCTTGTCAGTTCGCGGATCAAGTGTGTTTCGTTATGCACCTGACACAACTGAAGTGTTACGGACTTCGGACGTGGTGGTGGTCAGAAGTCACTCGATACCTGCCGTACCGCTGGAATGTTAGCGTCGAGGAGTGCCTTCTTCGCACGTTCGAGAAGAATGTTGCTTAGCACCGGGTCGGCAGAAGATCCTCCCTCTTTGGGGCTTGTTAGACAAAGTATCCCGGCTATTCGGCAGTCGATGGTTTTACAGACATCGCCGAAATCGGCAGCAGCTGAATGGATGGCTCTCAGGTTTTGGAGACCTCGTACAAATAGACGCTGTGAACTGTAGCTACCCGGCCGTGCCAGTACGAACAGCCGTGCCAGCCGTTGTCCCTCGCCCCGTTTGGGCATGTGAGGCTCGCGTGCTTCCCTGTGGGGTTCAAGCATAAATTTGTGTCAAGCCGCATAAATTCGATTGTGCATGCTCTTGCGCTCCTGTTCCGACACCTTCTTGACTGACTAATGACCCCGTCCGTGTACTTGCTCGGTCCGTTCTTTCTTGACCAGAAGATGACACTCTAAATAGCATTTGCTGGAATCTACAGACCACGTTGTCGGCCTTTGCAGCGCGTCAAGTTGCTCGGCGACAGTATGTAAGATGGAAGATCTACCACGGTCTGCAAGGTGATCTCTGTTCACGGCCATAAGCGGCTTTAACTGTCGCAGATCCACCCGGGAATCGCATTGCCGGCTGGTGGAGAGCAGAGAACCAGTGGCTTTCGAGTCTTCACATGGAGGCTCCGCGCTCGAAGTTGATGGTGGAGGAGTCAGAGAGAGCACAAAGAAGTGCTGCACAATATCCAAGCATTAAATAGAACCCGCTTAAGACTTGGACCGAGATCACCTTCCAGCTGCATGGAGATTCGTCAAACAAATAAACCATTCTTGCTGCCTATTCTCTTTCTTTCATCTCTGTACATAGTCCTCCGTACAATATCCCAATCCTTCAAGATCAAACCTTCAGACGCTTCCATTTCAGAGCCGTCATCATTGCGCAGGACACTCCACACCGTTTTCGCGATCTTACGGGCTTCCTGCTGACCCCCGAATCGAATCTGACGCGCCGAATCTGGAAGGCTTAGCCCCGCAAAAGTACCACGGTCCCCAGCAACTCGAATCCCGCCAGCTGGTACGTGCGTTTTTCACTACATCCCTCGATTCAAGCACTTCAAGCTGCATTTCAGCGGCTGGTTTGCACCGTGTGCTGACAAGATGGGCGCTCAGAGTACATGGCGGCCGAGTCGCCGCGGCCTGTCCCTGTCGACGACAAGAATCTCGAACGGGACGACGCCGACACCAGCACCCATTCGATATCGCTTTCCGAGAAAGAACGGGAACGACAGGTCGATCCCGACATAGAACGGGGCGTCCCCGTTATCGATACCACTGAAGATGCAGACGAGAAGACCCCTGGCGAAACAACCGTCCAGCGCGACGAAAACATTGTGGACTGGGACGGACCCGACGATCCGGAGAAAGCGTTGAACTGGACCGAGAGGAAGAAATGGAGCAACGTCGCGATCATCTCGAGTGTGACATTCCTGACTCCTCTGGCGTCGTCGATGGTCGCTCCCGCCACACCATTGATCATGGAGGAGTTCAACTCTTCGAACGAGACTATCGCGAGCTTCATCGTCTCCATCTACATCCTTGGCTACGCCTTGGGTCCCCTGTTTCTGGCACCGTGCAGCGAGATCTGGGGCAGGCTCTATGTGTACCATGTGTGTAACTTCATGTTCGTCATCTGGACCATGGGCTGCGCCTTGGCCCCTGGCATGGCTTCCCTGCTGGTTTTCCGCCTCCTGGCAGGGATTGCTGGAAGCTGTCCTCTCACCATCGGCGGCGGCTCCATCGCAGACCTGATTGTCCAGGAAAGGCGCGGTGCGGCAATGGCCATCTTTGCGCTGGGGCCTCTCATGGGCCCCGTCATCGGCCCAGTGGCAGGAGGGTACCTGGGCCAAGGTGCAGGCTGGCGCTGGATCTTCTGGCTCATCACCATCGCCGGCGGTGTTGCGTTGACCTTTTCCGTCATCTTCATGCGCGAGACCTACGAACCCATCCTGCTGGAGCGCAAGGCCAAGCGACTGCGGAAACAGACCGGCAACGCGAACTTGCGGTCGAAGCTGGATCAACAGATTCCCATGCGCGCCTTCTTCACAAGAGCCCTCATCCGACCCTCGAAGATGCTCGTCCTCTCGCCCATCGTGCTGTCCCTCTCGATATACATGGCCGTCGTGTACGGATACCTTTACCTGCTCTTCACCACGCTGACCCTGGTCTTCGAAAACACCTACCACTTCAGCCAAGGCGCCGTGGGGTTGAGCTTCCTAGGTATCGGCATCGGCTCCATGCTGGGTCTGGTCATCTTCGGCGCCCTCTCAGACAAGACGGTGAAGAAAATGTCCGCCAAGGGAGAAATGAAACCAGAGTATCGGCTCCCGCCTCTCATTCCTGGCAGCTTGATCATCCCAATCGGTCTGTTTTGGTATGGCTGGAGTGCAGACAAGGGTATCCACTGGATCATGCCAATCATCGGGACTCTCTTCATCGGCCTGGGCCTACTGGCGACTTTCATGCCCGTCCAGACGTATCTGGTCGACGCATACCCCGTTCATGCCGCTTCCGCGATCGCAGCAAACACGGTTCTAAGGAGCTTGATGGGTGCTTTCTTGCCCCTCGCAGGACCGGACATGTACGCGGCCTTGGGCCTGGGATGGGGCAACTCGTTGCTTGCTTTCATCGCCCTGGCAATGTCGCCTCTGTCGTGGATATTCTTCAGGTACGGCGAACATATCCGGAACAAGTATCCAGTGAAGTTGTGAGTGTCGGTTTCTGATTGGCAAAGAGCATGGCGTTTTCAGGATATGCGTACCAAGGGATAGGGATACTTACATACGTGGGGTTAGACATGAGCACAGGCATGAGCATGGGCGTGGGCGTGGGCGTGGGCATCGGCATAATCATATGCATTCAACGGCGTTCCTGCAGTGATCATATCAAAACATAGGGCCCATGAGCGAAGCGAAAACAGCATAGAGAATCAGATCTCTTCAGATTTTGCAAGACAGTGGCGTAAGATTCGTCTAAGCGTGCAAGATTCCTACTTGCCGGATATACGTAGGACCACGCGGTAATTATACGAACCACGGATTCGAATTCATGGCCAACCACGTCTCCGCCGTGATAAATGACCACGCTCCACGCTCCACGCTCACCATGGGCCCGTATTGGGCACAGTCCCTGACTGGACGGAGCGCAACAGAGGTATGGGAACAATGCAACCAGTCACGCGCACCCAACTGTCAGCGTACGAGTTGCGTTCAAGATAACGTGGCAGATGGGCGAGCGTGGGGAGCATAAATAGAGCAAGTGAGGGGCACGGACGTGTATATAGGACGCCTAGACAGACAGTCAATTACTTACACGTCCGCTCACTCAAGCAACTCACTGATTCCGACCTTGAAAATTGACCACCTACCCTGACTGACTGATTTTCCGCCGTACACTCTGCTCGCAGTACGTCCCGTTTGGTCCGGTCCGGTCCATTCTATTCCATTTCATACTTTCCATGCGTATTTGTCTTGCGCTGCAGATGAGTTGACCCCTTCTGACTGGGCAGGACGAGGATCTACAGTTTCATTTCGGGTGCAAGCTACAGAGACACCCTCTCACTGCGCATTCTTCCCTTTCGCCAACCGCCCGATCGGAACAAGCACCACAGGGCAGACCAGGGCAGATCAGATCAGAATGTCTCACAACGGGTGTCCAAAGTGCGGGGCTACCATCTCGTCGGGGAGTAAGAGTTGTGGTTCCTGTGGAGCGGTGAGTGCCTCCCAACCTGTCCTGCCGGTATATACGCTGTACATGGCTTGTTTCTGTGGCGATGGTGGTGTCTTGGAAGTGATATGAGATTGGCTTGACTTGACTCGACTCGACCCGACCAGATTCGACTAGAGTGGCTGTGATACGGCGCTGAGGTCCACACCGAGAAGATGGGTGGGTGGGCGTGGTGTCACAAGCCGAGTGTTCTTGAAGGAAGAAGAGAGATGCTGACGACTGTTCGCTCACAGAGTTGCCCGCGATGAACGGCTTTGCGAATATTGCTCGGCTCCCAGGTGGGGGAGAACGGGACGCAGTGGAACAAGACTAGGCGATTGATTCCCAGGGGAGAATATTGACTTCTTTGCTACGAGTCACTCTTTTGACAACGAACCAAGGGAGAAGTCCATGCGGAGTAGCAGAGACGCAGACATTAAGGGTGGTGTCGAGTCGTTTCATTACCAATTCTGCTTCACATCGTACAGCTCCGTCCGCCTCTGTCTACGCCGGAATGACCTTCTCAAAGAATGCGAGCATGTCTCTCAGCTCGGCCGAGTTGGTCGAGTGACCCATTCCGGCGTATACGTGTCCGTCGATGTTCTCTCTATCCACCCATTTGAGTAGGTCTTCATTACCCTGGACGAACAGCTTCAGGGGAACGAGCATGTCCATTGTCCCGTGGACATAGAACCATTGCTTCGCATCCTTCTCGTTCGAACCGACCGCTCGCTCGTTCCGCAGCTCGGCGATTCGATCCCGTAGTGGGAGATAACCTGACAGGCAGAGAACGCCTGCCACTATGTCCCGCAGCCGCCCGGTCAGACCCCAAACCAGACTAACGGCACAGCCCTGGCTGAATCCACCCACGAGAATCCTCTCCGGTGGTGTGCCGCTTTCTATCTCCTGCTCGACCAGTTCATCCAAGACATCCACACTTCGCATGATACCTGCCTCGTCGTCCGGGGCCTCTTCCTCTGCCACTTCGCCCGGGACCCGGGGTTTCATGGCATTAGGCAATGCTCGAGGCATATACCAAGCCCGGGTCATGGCTTCTTGGTTGTGCGGGGCGTAGGGCAGGACCCACTTCAGATATTGCATCTTGTTGTAGAACTGGAATTGTTGCGCCAGGCCCAGTGGTAGGCCGTCCGCGTCGTCTCCATAACCATGTAGGAAGATCAGCGTTGCAGGCCGGGCAGGAGAGGAGGCTTCGGCTGTGGGAGGCACGATGTAGGGCGGCCTTTCGGACATGTTGAAGGTCAATGTCCGCTGGTACCCATGTGTTGTCACGATGGTCAGGGAGGTCCGAGGCTATGGTCAGCAAACGAAAGCAGTCTGATCAGTGACGGATGTCTCTTGCGGGGCAGGAGTTCAGCGGCATGGTACGCGAGTGAGCGACCAAACACTATCCCCGGGAGGCTGAAGCGTCACTATACAAAATTGCGCTCTGGAAATCACGGGGAGGTTCCAATCCTCCTTCACTAGCCGGACCGCAACTGTTGAGGCTCGCGAGGGGAAGCAGACTCGTGCGTCGAAAAAAGGCATCCGACGGCATTAATACTTTACCGTACTGGACAAGTGGTACGTCGACGTATTTGACTGCCAGCTGCAAGCGTGGGGTTTTGATGAATTTCCATGGCCTCTGAATCTATTGCTGCCTCCTTCTTGAGTTGGCGTTCAGCACCGTCAGGAGACAATGAAGAGCCTCAAGAGAGGTCTAGCCGCTGATCCGAGTGCCGCCAATATCTCCACCAAGGTCTACATCAGATCGACAAAGAGCGGCAGAGTCCAGAAGATCGTGAGAGAACAATATTTGAGGAAGGACATTCCCTGCTCTTCGCAGCTATGCACGACCTGCGCTTCGACTGCAGCTGGCAGCGCCAACGGACTAGGTGAGTCTTCTCTCAAGAGACAGTCGCAATACCCTAACGAGTAAATCCAGTCCCCAAACTCGTTCTCTCGAAGCGGCCGAGTGCCACGAAAGTCTACCCGAATGGCCACTACCTCATCCCGGATACAAATGTACTGCTCAGTGGCATGGATCTCTTTGAAGAGCCCAATCATTTCCGCGACACCATCATACTGCAGACGGTGCTGGAAGAGTTGAAGAACAGGAGTCTTCCTCTTTACAACAGACTAATGTCCTTGACACAGTCCGAGGACAAGCGTTTCTATCTCTTCTTCAATGAGTTCCGTTCGGAAACGGCAGTCCGACGAGCAGACGGCGAGACAGTCAATGACCGAAACGACAGAGCCGTAAGGAAAGCCGCGGCGTGGTACATGACTCATCTGGCCCAGGTCACAAGGAAGCCTCCCACCATTGTGGTAATCACGAACGACCAGGAAAACCGAAAACGGGCAAAGGCAGAGCATATGAATGCGGTTTCACTGCGAGAGTATGTCGCAGGCCTGGAGGATGCCGATCGGTTGCTTGACATGGTCAGTCAAAGTGCCGAGAGCCGGGAAGCTCGAGAAGTGCAAAGCGAAATGATCTATCCGGAATATTACTCGATGTCAAGAATGATGACGGGCATAAAAGCCGGGACACTGCATCAAGGGGTCTTCAAAGTGTCTACCTACAATTACCTCGAAGGGACAGTCAAGGTACCGGCTTTCGAAAAACCGTTACTAATCCTCGGAAGAGAGAGCAGCAATCGATCAGTGTCGGGCGACGTGGTCGTGGTCGAAATCCTGCCAAAGGAGCAGTGGAAAGCACCGTCTACTCAAATTCTCGACGAGGAGACTGTCAACAAGGACGACAACCCCGAAGACGAAGAGCAAGAAGAAACCGTCGTTACTGAGAACGAGAGACGAGCTCTTCAGGACGACGTTCGACGCGCTCACACCGCAGGAGGAGAGACAAAAGCGCAGCCCACTTGCAGAGTGGTGGGTATCATGAAGAGAAACTGGAGACAACTTGTTGGAACAATTGATGCTGCTTCTGGGACTTCTGGGAACCGACAAACGACCGTATTCCTTGTCCCGATGGACAAGCGCATTCCAAAGATACGTATTCGAACTCGTCAGGTCGATGAGTTGATTGGCAGGCGTATCCTTGCCACGATCGATTCGTGGGAACGAGACACGAGATATCCAGTTGGTCACTACATCCGCTCGCTGGGTGAGCTAGAAACCAAGGAGGCTGAGACCGAAGCATTACTTCTCGAGTACGACGTCCAGTATCGCCCGTTCCCAAAGGCTGTTTTGGATTGCTTGCCTGCAGAAGGGCACGATTGGAAGGTGCCAGACGATCCTTCAGATCCAGGGTGGAAAGGTCGAAAAGATCTTCGGCACCTGCTCGTCTGCTCCATCGATCCACCCGGATGTCAGGACATTGATGACGCTTTGCACGCAAGACCGCTGCCAAACGGAAACTTTGAGGTCGGCGTCCACATTGCGGACGTCTCTCACTTTGTCAAGCCCAATAACGCGATGGACGATGAAGCTTCTGCTCGAGGCACAACCGTGTATCTCGTCGACAAGAGAATCGACATGCTGCCACCATTACTGGGTACTGACTTGTGCTCGCTCAAACCGTACGTTGAGAGGTACGCGTTTTCCACGCTTTGGGAAATCACTCCAGGTGCTGAAATCGTGTCTTCTTCCTTCACCAAATCTGTCATCCTGTCTAAAGAAGGCTTCTCGTATGAGCAAGCTCAGAAACGGATAGATGATCCAAATGCTACTGATCAGCTTACTGAGGGCATGCGGGCTCTGCTGTCCTTGTCTCAGAAGTTACGTCAAAAACGAATGGATGCGGGCGCATTGAACCTGTCCAGCCCAGAAGTCAGAATCGAAGCAGACAGCGAGTCTTCCGACTCTTTGGCCGACGTCAAGACGAAAGCACATCTGGCCACCAACTCACTTGTGGAGGAATTCATGCTTCTAGCCAACATCACGGTGGCACAAAAGATCCAGTCAGTCTTTCCTCAAACTGCTCTACTGCGACGACATGCAGCACCACCAGCCACGAATTTCGCAGACCTTGGCGAGCAACTGAAACGGATGCGCGGTTTGGAGCTGGACGTATCAAGCTCCAAGGCACTTGCCGATTCTTTGGACCGCTGCGTCGATCCCCGACATCCTTTCTTCAATACACTGATTCGGATCATGGCAACCCGATGCATGACTTCGGCCGAGTACTTCTGCAGCGGATCTCACGCGGAACCTGAATACCGCCATTATGGGTTAGCTAGCGAGATATACACCCACTTTACCAGCCCTATCCGAAGATACGCCGACTTGCTAGCCCATCGCCAGTTGGCCTACGCTATCGGCTATGACGGTCAAGGAAGCGAGATTGTCGACTATGACCTGCGCAACAAGGGCAAGCTGGAGCGAGTCTGCCAGAATCTGAACTTCAGACACCGAAACGCTCAGTTGGCCGGCCGAGCGAGCATTGAATACTATGTCGGACAAGCACTCAAGGCACGTGCGGAGAAATCTCCTGACACTCCCATCGATGTCGATGGATATGTGATGCGAGTGTTTGAGAACGGAATCGTGGTCTTTGTCCCGCAATTTGGAATCGAAGGGCTAGTCCGGCTTGATGATTTCCGGCTGAAGTCCGGGGATGCACGACACAGAGAGAGCAATTTCAACGCTGATGCGTATCAACTCACGGTATTTGAGAAAGGCCACGAGCAGGATGGTGTTACGGTAGAGTTATTCCAGCAGCTCAAGGTCCGAGTGAGCTCCGAAGAGAAAAGCGGCGCGCGGGAGAAGGGAAAGAGAAGAGTCCGGATCGTAGCGCTGTCTGGGTCGTAGAACGCGACAGGCGATAGAGGATGACTTGCCAAAAGACGAGAGAACATTACTGCCATAAGCAGCTGTCCTTGCCAATGGGACGGACAGATTTAGTTCAATCTCAAGTGGTGACTTTTGCCAGTGGTTGTTTTGTTCGACCCATGATCTGAGCCCTACTTGACCAGAGACTCTTGGTCTATTTGTTTCAGGGATCAGCATTCAACCTGACTGACTTTTGTCCCTACAATAACTTATATCAAGCTTCTTACTGTGCAAGGTGCAAAAGGCCGCCAAGCACAATTTAGATGCATCCACTGCATTTTCCCTCTTCAGACGAAGTCTTTATCCTGGACCCGCCAACGCTCTGCCACCACGACTCGTTCACGCCCGTCGCCAGCCAACACGATGGTCGGCCCTCCCAACAAGCGACAAAAACGCGAAGAGTATAAAAAGAGCCAACAAGGGGGCTTAGCAACAGGCTCTGGAACCGAGCAGCAGATCAAACTCCCAAAGAAAAAGTTCTACCGGCAACGAGCCCACGCGAACCCGTTCTCGGACCATGCGCTGGCGTAGTAAGTCCCGCGGCCTCCCTCCCTGGTGGTCTAGGACCTGTCGATGAACGACTCGAAATGCTAACAGTCACCAAGCCCCGCGAGTCCCGCCGAAATGGACTGGACGAGACACTTTCCGGCGTTTGTGAGGAATGCCAGTCAGAGCCAGAGCCAGAGTCAAACTCAGAGTGAAATCGGGACACCACGACCGCCCATGACGCGGGACGTCGAGATCGCGGATATCGGATGTGGGTTTGGCGGGCTGCTCGTCGCCCTGGCGCCGCTCTTTCCGGAGACTTTGATGCTCGGTCAGTTCTGCTTGGATTTTCCCTATTCGCCTTTTCGCCCCGTGTGCGTATCTCGCTCTGGATCGGGATCGCTTTGCTGACGGAGGTGGCGGAAGCAGGCATGGAACTACGCATCCAAGTGACAAACTACGTGATTGATCGGATCGCGGCGCTTCGGGCGCAGAACTCGGGCGCCCAGAATCAGAACTCAGGCCTCTACCAAAACATTTCCGTGATACGGACCAACAGCATGAAGTTCCTGCCCAACTACTTCACGCGCGGCCAACTGGCCAAGATCTTCCTCTGCTTCCCGGACCCGCACTTCAAGCAGCGCAAACATAAAGCGCGGATCGTCTCGGCCCAGTTGAATGCCGAGTACGCCTACGTGACGAGGCCGGGCGGGTTGGTCTACACGATCACGGACGTCGAGGAGCTGCACGGGTGGATGACGAGGCACTTTGACGGCGAGGAGGCCGGGGAGGGCAGGGAATTGTGGGAGCGCGTGGCACAGGAGGAGCTCGAGCGAGATCCGTGCGTCAGGATCATGAGTGAGGAGACGGAGGAGAGCAAGAAAGTCACGAGGAATGGGGGGAGGAAGTTCGTCGCTGTGTTTCGGAGGAAGGAGGATCCCGAGTGGCCTGGCTGAATGAAGAAGAGGGCTCTCAACATCCTCAGCACACGCGCACGAAGAAGCTTCTTTCATGTGGAAAATCGTCTTGCTACGGCGCACGAGGAAGGATCTTTGTGTAAATCGTTTGCCAGTACAGAAAGGAATTAGATCTCAGCCTTCTTCTCCGCGCCTCCGTTCAACGTGTCATCGCTGGACCGGGTGACATTGACACCGCCGGCCTCGCCTTCTGCAGGGGCCATGCCGACAATCTCCCCTGCCTTGAGAGCATCGATGTCGATCTGAGGGCCCGTATAGTTCTTCCGACCGTCGATGAACCACTGGATTGTGGAGATGACCAACACGATGGCGAACGCGGCAACGCAATAGTTCATGTTACTCCCGGTCACGTCCTTCTCCGGCGGGAACATGAACAGCACGGTGGTGAGAATGACATATGCGATTCCGATCTGAGCAGCGTCAATATGGATCCTCATCTCTGTTGTCGGTCAGAAAGCTTACCAGGTTGCAGGTCCAGCCCAGCCAGGTAGGAAGGATGAATGGTCGCGAAGCTGGCAACATCCGCCGACCTCGAAGACAATTGATGGCTGGAGGAATGGCGTATGTGACGCCCAACGCAACCACCGACGCTGACACTATGGCGTTGAAAGCGCTGCTGGAGCCGAGAAAGATGCAGCCGAAGATGATGACCAGGATCGTCGTCAGCCAGAGCGCGTTGAGAGGGACCTGTAGTCGTCTGTCAACTTTGGCGAAGAAGCGACTGGCAGGTAGCCCTCCATCTCTGGCGAAGGCGTACACCATCCGGCTGCTTGTCGTCATAATGCTGACCGCGGCGAACTGGGTAGACTGTGTCAGCGCCGCTTTCGCTCTTCAGCGTCACAGATCATGCAACCTACCAACAAGCAGACGAGGGGGAACATCAACAGACACACCGATCCGGCCTTGCTCGAAGTCGCATCATAGAAGATTTGCAACATTGGCCCAGCTGCTGAGCTGATGACAGTTTCCACGTCTTTGGCGACGAACAGGAGAACGCTCAAATAAATGAAGCCGGTGAAGACGCCGATGAGGACGCAACCGATCATGATCCTAGGACCCACGACCGTCGGATTTCCCACCTCTTCAACACAATGCGCGACTGCGTCGAATCCGGTCAGACCCAGACCTCCCTGCAGTAGGCCGAGGAGCCAAGCAAGTCCATCTGGCCAGCCAGTCTCATTGATGAATGTTCGGTAGACGAAGCCGCCGCCTTGATAGTTTGGCGACGAACAAGCAAGAACGGTGATGGAGATCACCAACCACCCGGTCAGCGACCAGATCAAGGCGGCCTTGTTGACCAGAGGGAGCAGCCTGGTAATGAAGGCATTTACCGCGAACGCGAAGAGATTATAACCGATGTAGATCAAGAACTGGTGCCAGCGATGCGCCTCGTAACCTGGAGAGCAGAGCGCAATGATTCCAATGATCAGTTGACTTCCCAACAGTCCAGCGGTGGCTGTCAAGGCGACCCAGCCGGCGGTGTTGATCCATCCCGTGATCCAAGAAAGCAACGGCACCCATCGTTTCCAGCTAATGACCGCCACCCAATGGTACTGCCCACCCGCAGTTGGGTATGCCGACAGGAATTCGGCCAGTGACGCTGCGAGGCTCAGATTGCAGATACCGGCAACAACAAGACCCCAGATGACCGCGTCGGGGCCACCGCTGGGCAAAGCCAGCGACATGCTAGCACCAAGGGCTGTCCAAGAGTTCAGGATCGCAAAGGCCAGCCCCAGCATCGACAAGAAGGAAAAATTGCGCTGCAACTCTTGCTTCACGCCAAGTCCCGCCAGCATGGCCGCATCGTCCTGGATACTCGTCCTCCGCCGCCCGGTGCTCGATCGTCGTCGTGGTTCAGCCATCTTGCCGTTTTGTGAGGCGCCGATGTGTGTATGACTGCCCTTACAGGGAGGAGTGAGCAGAGAGCTTCTCGAAGGGGGGTGGAGGAAAGCGAGTTAGGGCATGGCACGCTTTCGACAAGTCCATAAGCAGCCTACGTCAGTGATGAGGGATGAGCGATGAATCAGCCACCTACAGTATCAGTCACGGGGTTCTCCGAGGTTTAACTGGGTTAAGGGTCTCGTGCTCGGTCAATGGACGCGAGATTGCGCACATTCACAGGCCATGCGCATGCGGTCATGGTCGACTTTTGCCTCCAAACCGTAACTGCAAGCCGGACAGTGGATGATCGATGACCCGCCCGATTTGTGGACGGAGTTGATCATCTTCGTTCCGACGACTCATGTTTTGAGTGTGCGTGAGTCTGGCGTTGCATCGATCGGATGGAGCGAAAGCTTGAAGACGGAGCCAAGTTCAACGTTGAACCCCGGATTCGCCGCTGCCGAACCAACGATGTCACCCGCATTCGCTCTTAGTGTTGTTGCCATTACCTACTCGTAAACACGTACTGTGTACCTAGGTACAGTATTTCCCCGTCGCTCCATCGCTCTTTCTACTGTGTACGTATATACAGGCATGACGCCTGACCGCTAATTTGAACGCCACCACCTACTAAATGCGAGATCGCACCCGGCATCCTTTCGCTTCGACAAGGGCTCTTTACCACCACGAGCAAAGCCATCGGCGTGGTGGATACGGTGCGCAGTAGCAGGATGCAATGCGAACAAAGCACGGGACGGACAGGCAGCCTCGGTTGCCGAGGACAATGACGTATCTTTTGACCGATGCTTCCGGACTCAGCCTTATCCATTTGTGACTGGGAAGGTTACCCGAGGGTTGGACAGACAGCGCCAAGGGCTGTCATGGGCCACCCCCCCTTTTGTAGGATACCGTCTTCTTTACAGAGGCCTCCGTGACGATATAGTCGGGTCTCTGCCCAGACCCCTCTGGAATTCATCATGTCCTCCACTTGAGTCACACATTCACGCATGCAAATATCAGCCTTACACAGCATGGCTAGTGCAGGGAAAACTGACCATCAGGCATTCCACCTGTTTTTGCTGCTGAGATGCCCACGATGAAGCCTAGAGAAAGTGGACTCGCTGCCACTGCCGCTTCTTACTGCAAGCAACATCAGAGCCATCTAAAGAACAAAGAAACTTGAACACCATCTGATCTGGATTGTCATTGACCGACACTAACGATGCAAGGGATGCTAAACTTGGCGACAACAACAAAGCGCGCCAGAGCGTACTTTCATTGTCCACCAGGCCTTTCTTACCAGCTTTGTTTGTGTCAAACATACCCAAAGTCGCGCAGAATCTACAGGTCGTCCGCGTTCCAGCCATGTCGTTCATTTCAGCTCCCGGTCCGCCAACAGCAGCAGCAGCAGCAGCAAACAACCGAACCAAGCCCTCTCCCACTCGAGTTCCTAGGAGGCAATGTGCGAATCTCACACGATTTTCCATCTCTGTGGCCACGTCAACATCAAGACCATCGTCCAATGCGCTGACATTATAGACAAGTTACTGGTTTCGGGCACGCCCATCGCGTCCAACCACCAGGTGTGCCAAGACGACGTCAGCGACAACGTCCATGTCTTCCCCGACATTTGCACCAAATGCAGGACCACCGGCGTCATCGGCGACGTGATGGACGTACCGGGCGTGAAGCTCGAGGTGATGAAGGCTTGGGAGTCGCAAAGAAAGCGAGTATCCGCGGTACCCAGCCATGACAATAACAACACCGACCATGTCGACACGGAAGACGGCGTGGCCGACAAGATCAGAGAATGCGAAACCTTCGAAAGGATCTCGCTCCCGGATGATCTGAGCACTTCGACACCAGACCGTGCAGGGGCCTCGAGTTCCCCTACTCCAGCAACAAGTAGTGCCTCGAGTTCGACATGCCCTGAGCCAAGTCCAGCGCCGACGCCGGACTTGAGCCAGATCAAGGCCCGAGTGATCACCTTGCGGGCTCGGACTGAACGGCTTCTCATGAAGATTCGTGCCCACAACGTCCCTAAATTGGGCTAGTTTTGCTTTTGCTTCCGCTTTAACATTTTGTATTTGGACTTACTTACATGCATACGTGTACATGCGCTACCATCGACCATGTATTCGGCGAAACGGCGTTGCCATAGGGCAGTTCGAAAGGTGGAGGGGGGTTTAACAGCGTGGTGTACCACCACCACTATCACGTTACCAGTACTATCACTCTTACTGTAGAACCGTGGATCAGGGAAGGATATTGATACACCGCGCGGGCTCGGAAATAAGGGTTACATAATGCTGGTAGTCTCAGCAGACAGCACGAGAACATATCGAAGTTGAAAGCCTTAATACGCTCGCAAAGCACTCTACTACTGTGATTGTTGTCTTCACCAAGGGCGAGTCTCTCTGCCTCTCATATCTAAACTTTCCGGGCAGCACGAAGTCGTGAATCAAAACCCGCGGGTACTCTGGCGTTATGGCGGCTCGGATGTGTCTTTGAACCCACTCGCACTGCGCACCGCTTCAGGCGTGTAGATTTTGCAGCGGATATGATAGAGGGGCGCACCCTGTATCGGGCCGCTCCTTGGGAATGCCGTGCTCATCCGTTTTCGGAAGGTAGGGCTGGAGCACCTGTCTGGTTTCTTGCTGCTGCTGCTGCTGTTCCAGCCGAAACTGCCCTCTTCTGGTCCTGTAGTACGAATCTCTTTCGGGCTTTTTTTCGAGTGGTGGTTCCTGCAGCGGAGACGCCGGTTATAGTAGCGGTAGTGGTCTCTAGGATTTTCAGCATAGTGCTAGCGCTCCGCCCAACGATGCCCATATATGCGATGTTTGTGGCCGATACATCGCCAAGCATGCCCGCCCGATCGATCTCGGTGACTGAAGGCATCGCGGGAGGTAGATCGTCCTGTTGTTCTATTTCGGCCGTCGAACACTGGTCTCGCGGGGTCGGCTTGCTCGGGCATTGCCTAGGGTGGCATCCCGAACGTTCTTGTGAATGCGTCCGTGGCTGAATTCTTGGGTTTGATGTACTTGTCTTGCGCCACGTTTCAGGCAGGGAGATGCACATCCTGTCCAGGAGCGGCAGGGGCACGGCCTGCCAGTTGCGGAATCGGCGTTCCCGAGACTTGCGCAACAATCTGGTGGCCACATAAGGGGAACGGTGGGTTTGGGTGAAGATGCTGGAGAAGTGAAGAAGTGAGGACGCGCACGAGGTGGACTATCGATCGGGATTATCAGGTTCGTCTCGGTCATGGAAGAGACCGGGATATGGGGCTCTCTGTGGAGGAGTTAGAGAAAGATGGATACATAGACAGATAGAGTGACGATTACTCACCAGAGACCAGGTTCTCGGTGCCCGCGATAGTCGCTAGATGTCCAAGAATAGTTTCCTCATTCAGCACCTAGGAATTGTTCAATTACCCGGCAATGATGGCCGCCGGATGCATCATTGCCTCGGTGCCGGTTGTCCTTCGTGTCCAGACTCCCAAGGCGCCATGCCCCCCTAGGTTACAACTCTCAGTACAAGGAGTCCCGGAGGTGTCAACTGCGAGGCTGGTGACAACAGCCGAGATATATCTCCTGCAAGGTGGTCGCCCAAGCGGATGCCTCTGCCTGCATTGCAACACGGTCGTCGTGCTCCGGAGAGATCGTGTCCAGTCTTGCCGATGGCAGTAGAAAGCTGGCGTGGAAGCCATGTTGACGTTGATCTGTCGATGAAAACATTGTTAGCGAGTACCCACGAATGGAGACACAGCCGGAAATCTTGAGACATGGCGCAATTTCTATCCAGGCCCGGCGCCCAAGATGTTTAGCCTAGTACATATCACTGGAACAAGACTATCAGCTCGGCATTATCGTCAGGCCGGCCGGTCTATCTGCACAGAGGGACTGAGGAAAGTCTGTCCGATGCCCGGGATGTGGCGACGGTCCCTGACGGACGTACAGGTGCCAAAGTGGCTGGTGAAGCGCGGCATATGGAATATCTGCGTGCGCTGTATGGCATACCGGGAGTCCCAGTCCCTTGTCGAGCCGCCTGATTTCCATTGTGATACTATATGTCAAGTTCCCACTGACCGCTCTTCGATCATCTCCTGCGCGTTCGAAATAGGGGCGCTGCTTCTACACGCTAGTGGCAGGCATGCAGAGAGCCTGTCGTGGAAGGTCGATCAGGAGAAGCCTGGCTGAGAACACTTTGGGCCCAACAACATCGAAGACAACGGCTGTTAGTCAAAACTCTGTGTATGCGGACTCAGTGAAGGCAAGCGTGCGGTTGGCTGGCGGGATCGGCGGGATCGGGGTGAAAGGCGTCTTTTCCAGGAAGGCTGTTTCGTTGACCATCCTTTCTCCTTCTCCACTGCAGTAGTGATAGGCTTTGAAATGAACGCCACCTCGCAGGACAGTTCGCCAGACCCTAGATGGCCTGCGGGCATAGACTCTCCTCTGGCCCATCCACGGTTCCTGCTCAAACTCAGAACCCTTGTCACCACCACCTGTGCCAGATAACGAGCGTACCGCCAACGAACCTGACCACTCCCAGGCGGGAAGGATCTGGTGGGAATTTGAAGGACTCATGCCCTGATTGGACAAGATCTACAAGAAATCACAACACTGGGCAACGGCCTCGACCCAGCAGAGCTGCTCCAGGGCGAGCTAGAGCGGTATCCAGTCATCGCCGAAACTGCCAAGTGCCGGTGTGTGGTGATGTGCCGTCTTTGGCTCGGCATAGATTGCATGATCTTCCTGTAGGGAGTGAGAAGAGAGGGACCGTACCTCGCTGTGACGTCCAGTACAGATCCACGTTTGGTACCCGCTCATGTGGAGCTTGCTGAAAAGAATCAGCATGTTTCTTCTGGCCTTCACGCCGACAGCACTTCTAAACGGCGACTGGTGCATCACGCTGTCAATAGAGAGGAGTCTGCTCGAGCCAGACTGGCCGCGCGGCTAGATGAGCCGACGACGTCGACAAACCTGGCACTGTGAGGCAAACTTGCCCCTGAGCACAACCGAGAGCATCTCCATGGTAGTGCAAGCCGTCTATCTCCTTGTCGCGAATGTTTCTGACGGCCCGAAATTTCTCAGCTTATTTCTTGTGGTCAAGAGCCATCGACCGCCATGGGTCGTGTCTCGGATTCTGTGCCTTAGATCTCCGCAAGGATTGTTGCTCAAGAAGGTAGCTCAGATTATTTTGGTCTTCGGGATTTGTGCACGGTCAAATCATCAGCATCATGGGTCATTCGGCCCCGGGACGCAGGCGAGTTTCAACCCTCGGCCGGGATCTGACACGTTGCGAAAGACATCAGCTAGGTATTCGAGGCAGCGGTCAGTGGACGAAGTTGCACATGACCAATGCTTCTCTCATCCTCGCTGTGGTGTCGCGGACCGCATAAACTGAACAAGATCGTGCGGACGTATGAAGGGGCCAAGTCTATAGGGTCTCCAAATGCCCATGCGACGGAATGCTAGTCTTGCAATGCGGCTGAAGTGCAGGCAGGATTAAGCTTGTAGCCATGGAGAGTGCCCGGCGTCGTCACCTCCTGCCGTAAAGAGCTTCCCAACGGTCTCTGCGTCTCGCAACGTGCAGCATCGACATCTGGTGCAGTCATTGTGCGCGGGAGAAAATCTCGTGTCGACAACCAAGGCTCCTACAAGGTCATGACCAATGTCACTCTCTCGTGCGAAGCTTTGCGACGGCTGAGGCTGTGCCAAGCGAACGCCAATGACACCTTCTCGAAACTTGAAGAGGAGGTGAGATTTTGCAGGAAGACATGGCTGCGATGAGACAAGCTCCATGCGCGTCTATCTTGAATGACAACATCACTGCCCTCCGAACATAGGCATCGAGTGAGCGTCATACCATTCAGAGCATGAGAAAAGCTTTTGTCCCCAGTATTGAGTGCGCGACGTCGGCTGCGGTCCAGCTGAGCCGAAACTTAAAGGATCCGGAATGCAAGGTCTCGCGCACCCAAAACCAAATCGGAAAGGATACGCGGCTCTGGAGGGGCATGAGGGCCAAAAACAGAAACCACGAGTGGCGATCCAATCGAGGGGCAGCAAGAGGCTATTGGCACGCGATAGTTGCCGGATTCGCGGTGCCAGTGCGGGGCCGTCATGGGGTGGACGCTGGTGGACGGGTTGTCGACGTCGATAGTTTGGGCGCGACCCGTGCCCGATTGAGCGATATCAGTCCAAACGGGCAGCTCGAAAGAGGCGGGGCCGGCAATGCACAGGCCAGCGTCGCGTATGCTTCCGTTTGCGGGCATTCAGTGGAAGCGAGAGAAAAACTGCCAACCGCCTGCGTCTCCCTGCGCCCGCGTGGCATGGCTTCCTTTTTGCTTCCCCATTCTGCAAACTTTTACATTCTGTCAGCTGCTCGTCTCCCTCTCTGCGTAGTCAGCGACGTCTCACTACCATTGCAGGCTCTCTAACTTCGTCAAGCTGGAGTTGCATCCTGGTCTCGCACGTGGCTGCCCAGCCCTCCCCAGGCACGGCTCGATGGGCATTGGCCTCCAGCTCGACCCTCTCCAGCTTTTGCTAAGCCTGCTCCGGTTAGCCATGCGACGTGCGTCCACGAGCGCTATCACTTCGCGACCCTCGAGACGAGGCTCTCCAATCGCGGAATCGTGAGTGACCTCAGTGTCCAGCGCTCGAGGCTCGGATATGTTTCGCTGGGACACGAGATACCGCACACAATCGCATTCCCAGCTGGCGCCCCCATCACACAGCCTGGCCCACAGAGATGATGCGATGCAACATCCAGACCATCCTGACGGACCCCTGGCCGGCGAAGACATTCTGGCACAATTAAGACTATCAGCACGCACGGCTAATTCGGGTTGACAGCACAACCGACACACCGATAAATATTGAAAGGGGACCGCTCAAAGGCGCTCATCTCGCACAGGATCCAGATTGTGGCGGCTTCGAGAGTTTGAAAGTACTAAGCAACACGCCGTGGGACATGCATCTCGCATCGTGAAGCCTGGCGGAATCCCAAATTGACTTCGCCATCAATCCCCGATAGAGAGTACCTCGCCGCCAGACCT